TATAAAGTTATAAAGTTATAAAGTTATAAAGTTATAAAGTTATAAAGTTATAAAGTTATAAAGTTATAAAGTTATAACAGTTAATACAAGTTATAAAGTTATAAGTTATAAAGTTATAAAGTTATAAAGTTATAAAGTTACTAAAGTTATACAGTTATAACGTTATAAAGTTATAAAGTTATAAAGTTATAAAGTTATAAAGTTATAAAGTTATAAAGTTTATAAAGTTATAAAGTATTATCAAGTTATAAAGTTATAAAGTTATAACGTTAATAAAGTTATCAAGTTATAAAGTTCTAAACGTTATAAAGTTATAAAGTTATAAAGTTATACAGTTATAAAGTTATCAAAGTTATAAAGTATAAGTTATAAAGTTCTAACGTTATAAAGTTACCTAAAGTTATAACCCCAAACTCCCTACCACCTCTCAACCCAACCCTAACACCCTAACACCCTAACACCCTAACACCCTAACACCCTACACACCCTAACACCCTAACACCCTAACACCCTAACACCCTAACACCCTAACACCCTAACACCCTAACACCCTAACACCCTAACACCCTAACACCCTAACACCCTAACACCTAACACCCTAACACCCTAACACCCTAACACCCCTAACACCCTAACACCCTAACACCTAACACCCTAACACCCTAACACCCTAACACCCTAACACCCTAACACCCTAACACCCTAACACCCTAACACCCTAACACCCTAACACCCTAACACCCTAACACCCTAACACCCTAACACCCTAACACCCTAACACCCTAACACCCTAACACCCTAACACCCTAACACCCTAACACCCTAACACCCTAACACCCTAACACCCTAACACCCCTAACACCCTAACACCCTAACACCCTAACACCCTACACCCTAACACCCTAACACCCTAACACCCTAACACCCTAACACCCTAACACCCTAACACCCCTAACACCCTAACACCCTAACACCCTAACACCCTAACCCTAACACCCTAACACCCTAACACCCTAACACCCTAACACCCTAACACCCTAACACCCTAACACCCTAACACCCTAACACCCTAACACCCTAACACCCTAACACCCTAACACCCTAACACCCTACACCCTAACCCCTAACACCCTAACACCCTAACACCCTAACACCTACACCCTAACACCCTAACACCCTAACACCCTAACACCCTAACACCCTAACACCCTAACACCCTAACACCCTAACCCCTAACACCCTAACACCCTAACACCCTAACACCCTAACACCCTAACACCCTAACACCCTAACCACCCTAACACCCTAACACCCTAACCCTAACACCCTAACACCCTAACACCCTAACACCCTAACACCCTAACACCCTAACACCCTAACACCCTAACACCCTAACACCCTAACACCCTAACACCCTAACACCCTAACACCCTAACCTAACACCCTAACACCCTAACACCCTAACACCCTAACCTACACCCTAACACCCTAACACCCTAACACCCTAACACCCTAACACCCTAACACCCTAACACCCTAACACCCTAACACCCTAACACCCTAACACCCTAACACCCTAACACCCTAACACCCTAACACAAGCTATCGATCGTATTTGATAGGGAATCTTTCAAATTGCTATAGAGCCTTGCCCCAATTTTTAAAGGCCTCTGACATTTGGAGGTAATTCTAAATGTCAGAGGCTTGACAAAGCCTTATAATTATAGAGAATAAAAAGACTTGTATTTCTGGGCGAGCAAGGTAAAAAGCAATACAAATTTAAATTAGTACCTTATTATTAATGTGAATAATTACTATCCGTGATATCAAGTCGCTAATCAGCAAAAATTTGCTTATGCTGCTGACCATAGAAAGAAATATTTCTGAAGTATAATATTTTTTTATATCTTTTTTGAGTTTTGCTAGTTTTTCAATAAGTGGCTGCTTAATTTCTTCTAAAGGTTTAAAGTAAAGCCTTAAGCATCGATGTCCTTTAGAAGCTGGCTTTTCTACATGCTCAGAAAGGTGATCTTTACAAAATAAGACTGTTCCTTCACATTCACACTTTCCATGGAGCTTGTTTGTGCAACCCTCTTTGGAGCACCTGCCACTAAACATTTTTATAGATTTGTAATGTCTTAATAGATTAATACTTTAGCTTTAAAGACAATTAATTTAATATGTAGCCAACCTCTTTCTCTATATATTGATTTTACTTTCTATGTTTTATTTAGCTAAAATATGCATAAAGTGTTCAATTTAATTAAGATCAAGTAATGGTGATCGGCTCGATGCAGCTATCAGAAAATAAAAATTATGCCAAAAACTATTTATCAGAAAATAAAAATTATGCCAAAAACTATTATAATTACTGTAGCTCACTAATCTCTCTTAGATTCATATCAAAAGAATAATATTTATCCACATCATTTCTGCATCCAATATATATTACTCCACTATTATATGCACAATAAACTTGACTAGGACAGCCAATAATTGGTAATTGGCCTACTTTTCTCCAAACTTTTTCATTCCAAATATCGCTCTCGTAGATTTTTCCTCTACACTCAATTAAATACAATCTCTCTCCATTTATCAAAATTTTTCTCATATTCGGTGTAAATTTATAAGGAATTTTTTTCCCAAAAGTATTTGATTTTATATTGTACCGTAATAGCTTTTCACTATTATATCCAGAAATCAAAATTTCATCATTAAATACTATGGAATGGCATTTGTAGTCGATCTCAGGCAATGGCTTTAACCCAATTCATTTATTTTTTCGTAAATCAAATTTTTCAGATAGATTTAAGAACTTACCATTACTGAGACCTCCAAAGCAATAAACGCTTCCTTTGAAAAAGACAGCTGATGACCAAGAGCATGTTTTTCCAGGAGGGAGAATGCGAAATTTATAATGCTCATCAATTGTTAATGAAATATTAGACGGAGGATAGCTTCCAAAGCAGAATAATTCACCATTTGGAAGCTGAGCTATACATGTGCCACTGCTTAAGGGCTCGGGAGTTTCTATTTTCTTTTTATCTTGAATTCTATTCTCAGTGTCATAAATATAGAGGTTTCCTCTATATAGCGCTGAAAGCGCAGACATTTTCCCAGGAGCTTTCCAAGTTCGTCGGACCAAATCGCTTTTTGGTCCGACCAAGGCATTGATTTGGTGCAACCAACCGATAAATTCCGATCAGAATTTATCGGCCTTACAGCGCCAAACATAGGAAACTTCTATAAGCAAATTTGTTTGGCTTTCAATATTTGTGGTAAGATATAGTGATGTTTTTTGGTTGTAAGCTTTAATAAGGTCTTGATGAGCTTGAAACAAAGCTGGATTTGAATAGCAGATGCTTTTTCAATTATCTTCGAACAAAGATAATGTCGTTCTAACTCCTCCCCCCCCCCCTCCGTGAGCGAACAAAACCATTAGAAAAATCGCCATTTTTTGACCAAAAACCCACCCTCCGTGAGTGAACAAAAATTTTTTTAATAGAAAAAAATTTTAATGGAAAAAAATTTTGATATATAAGTGATAATTAGTATAATGAAATCTAGAGCTAATTCTGTTTATTTTAAACAAATTGCGTTTTTAAAACATAAATTTTGCAAATTAAATTAATATTTGCTTCCCAATTTTTGCAAATTAGGATTTTTTTAAATTTCGAAAAAAATATTTTTTATAAAATTTTATATATAAATTTTTTTTAAAAAAAAAAAATTTAACCCCCCTCCGTGAGCGAACAAAATTTTTTTGTTCGCTCACGGAGGGGGGGGGGGGAGTAAAGCATTTTTCTATATCTCTATCAATATTTTTTTCCAAAATTTGAGATTTTTCAGCTTTTAGTTCTTTTGTTTTGAACTCTGCAAATAAATTTTCAATGAGTTTTATTTTTTCCCCAATTTTTAAAATTGAGCTTTCAATCTCAGAAGCTTGTTTTAACTGAAAATTTTCCAAGTTTGTATAATTTTCCATTTTCAATATAATTTCTTCTTTTCAGCTGGTAAAATTTCGGTTGGTTTCCTCTGTTAAATTCATTAGATGAGATATATTATTGTCATGGTCTATAATGCTTTTGCTATTTAAATTTGCCTTATCCTCTAGAGCTTGCAGCTTTTTATCTATTTCATAAAATTTATTTTTGCAGAGCATTTCAATCTCCCAAAAGTCAAATGGTTTCGGATGTCTAGAAACATTTGGGTTTCTTGGAATAATTTTTTTGGCTTTCTTAACAGCTTCATTTGGCTGTAAAGCTAATAGATTTAAATCTGGATCTTGCTCAGTGTCTGATAAACTTTGAGTTTTATTAATCTTTTCAAAATAGCGATATAATATAGAAGACTCAGATTTCAGAATATCAAGGGACTGCTTTAGGCTGCTTTCGTGACTTGAAAAGCTTTGGGAGTAGGAGTTCACGATTTTTTTTTCTAGATTATTTCTTTTAGTAATTTCTTTTCTAACTCCCCCATCCTTGAGCGAACAAAACCACTGGAAAAATCCAAAAAACCCACCCTCCGTGAGTGAACAAAAAATTTTAATATATAACTGAAATTATTATAATAAAATCTCTTGCTAATTCTGTTTAATTTTTAAACAGCTGCATTTAAAGCATAATTTTACAAATTAAATTAATTTTTGCTTCTCAATTTTTAAATTAAAAACAAATTTTTTATAAAATTAATATATTATTTTTTAGAAAAAACAATTAACCCCCTCCGTGAGCGAACAAAATTTTTTTGTTAGATCACGGAGGGGGGAATAAGTAATTCAAGAACTGCTTGCTTCGCTTCTTTATTGAGACTTGAATTAGACATTGATGAAGAAGTTATATAATGAAATTTTCGATGCTCTTCTGCGTGAAGCTCACACATATTAGTTTCAGGGGAAGTGCAGTCGCAAAAATACTTACTCCCCTCCGTGAGTGAACAAAAAAATTTTGTTCAGTCACGGGGGGTTAATTTTTTTTTTTTAAAAAAAAATTATATATAAATTTTATAGAAAATTTTTTTTTCGAAATTTAAAAAAATCCTAATTTGCAAAAATTGGGAAGCAAATATTAATTTAATTTATAAAATTTATATTTTAAAAACGCAATTTGTTTAAAATTAAACAGAATTAGCTCTATATTTCATTATACTAATTATCATTTATATATCAAAATTTTTTTCCATAAAAATTTTTCTATTAAAAAAATTTTTGTTCACTCACGGAAGGTGGGTTTTTGGGCAAAAAATAGCGATTTTTTCTAATGGTTTTGTTCACTCTCGGAGGGGGGGAGTTAATATCTGATTTGCAGCCAGGCACAAAGCAAATTTTGCCCTCCATTATTCTGAATCTACAATAATTTGGTTTTATTTATACTTTACAAAAAAATTTTCCATCCTAGCTCGCCAAATGGTTTCTTGGCATTATTGAATCGGGAAAATTTTATAGCATAAATTACTCATCTCCAAAATTGATTGTTCACAATATGATTTAGTTTGATATTGTTGGTATTTCAATATATATCAAGTTCATGATTGACTGATTTATTAGGCTTGAAATTTTTTAAAATAATCCTATAGATCAATTGCAACTCTATTAGCCTTGCAATTGAAGGTAATTGCTCTAAGATTTTCAATTGAAAGTAAGAATATACTCTTTATTCAAATTATAGTTATAAAACCTCTTACAAGGCTATTCTGCAAAATTTTGAATTTATGTTTATTTAATGCCAACTTATTAAATATTTTTATATGATTCCACATATTCTAAATATTTATTATTTTATCATTATGATTATATTTCCCGCAGCTTATTTAATAATGAAAATTTTTCGAATATTTTTTCGTTTTTGGAAATAATTAAAATATTACCACCAATTAATCTTGTTATTGATTACACTCGATGTGTTATGACTGCTTTATAATCTGCAACGTCCAAAAAGCCAAAATAATGTTTAAATAAAGTTTTCTGTCTCCTTATTTGAAGTCCCATATCCCTCATAAAAGGATCATATGAAAAAATGCCCCCTGCAACAGTGTTTAAGTTATTGCAAGGCCTAATAAATTTTCTTACAATTTTTTTTCTTTTCGCAATATCATTTTTCATTTCCTCATTTCCCGGCAAAGCTACCTTACCTCTGAGAACTTCAGCCAGCCAGCATGCTTGTATTGAAAATCCCAGACAAGCCCCTACATTTCTAAACATCCCAATAACGGCCAGATTCTTTTTCCCAGGAATTATTGTATGCCTATACATTCAAGTTCCATCTTCTTCTTGTTCTATCCCAAAAGTACTAAACTGAAATCCAGTTGCATAAACAATTAAATCAGCTTTATAATGATTATCCCCGACAATAACCCCATCAGGGGTAATTTCATTGACAGTCCCTTTAACATGCTTTATTTCACCTGAAATATATTTTTTAATGATTTCTTCGTCTCTGATATTTATATCAACACTTCTTGAAGAGGCATAAGACAGATCTGGATGCAGAAATTCTGGGAGGTCTTCTTTGAATTTTTTTTCGACTTGTTTATAAAATCAGTTAACTAAAGGCTTGCAATAGTTATAGAGCCAAAACCCATCATCGACAGGCATTAAAAATAATTGGCCAAATCTTGTAAAAAGCAGCTTTTCTATATTAATCCCAAAAAATTTTTTCCCATAAGGCTTGGTTCAGTGGACTCTCCTTTGTATATTAATAACTTTTCCTCCATTTTTCGCTGCTATATTAGAAATATCATATGCGCTTCTCAGTCCTCCTATAACAACAACATTTTTTCCTTCACATAATTTTTTGGCATTTATAAACTTACTGCTGTGTATTATTTTCCCTTTAAAACTTTCTTCACCCTTAATTTTAGGTATATTTGGCAAATTATAAAGACCTGCGCACAATACTAAAAAGTCATAATTTATTGATTTTCCATCTGAAAGGTTAACTTGTCATGACTCATCCTCATTTTGCCTTATTGAAGTTACATTTGCATCGCAGTGAAGCAAAGGGAGTAAATTGAATTTTTTAATTATGTCTTCGTTAATTCAGTGCTGTAAATAATCAAGTTTAGGGAGCATTGGGGCGTTTTTAATTGGATCATCTGGTAGATAATATGACCGAAAAGCAAATTGAAGCCCAGCTTCATCGTAATTTTCTGATCAAACTCCACCTGGAGTTGACTGTTTTTCTAGTATTTCGATTTCATAGCCTTGAGTTTTTAGTATTTTTGCAGTCACAAGGCCTGCTAAGCCTCCTCCAATGATACCTATTTTTTTAGGAATTTTTGAGATAAAGTGAGAATTTGGGTGAGATTCGTAAGGAAGCTTAGGGAGTTCTTGATACGGAGGACCGACTGGATTGGGAATAGAAAATTCTCAATTTAAGACAGAAAAAGCAGAGCCTGCTGAAATTCCTAAAAAGAAAACAGCCTTTTTCATAATACTTATTAGTTATATAAAAAGGCTTACTCCCCCTCCGTAAGCGATCAAAACCATTGGAAAATCCCTATTTTTTGCCAAAAACCCACCCTCCGTGAACGAACAAAAATTTTTTACGAAAAAAAAATTTATAATGTAAGTGATAATTATTATAACGAAATTTCTAGCTAATTCTGCTTAATTTTAAACATTGCAATTTTAAAACATAAATTTAATTTTTTTATCTAATTATTATAAGTTACTTGTAGGACATGATCATATCTATATGATATCAAGCTGTCTCTTTTCTGTTAATTGTGTACTGATTCTTTATTTCTATTTCATGTGCATTCCATATCTTCCATCCTTTATAAATGCCACAAATTTCGATCTATTATTATTAAGAATTTTTATTAGGCTAAAAATTATAAAATCGGGCCTTTGTAGTTTCTTCTAAAAATATGTATATCTTTTTCTTCAATGATATCTTCATGTAAGTCTTTTAATTCTTCATCCATTAATGTTTTCTTCTAACTTATTGTATAGATTATTTGATTTTCTTATTTTTGTATCAAATTTATGCAAGTAAATCTTCCATAAAGCATCTATTTTTATTCCATAATTTTCGAGATCGTATATATTTTGTATCTCTTTCACATCATAAATTAGTCATTTATAAATAGTCAATTTATATGTTGATTTTTCCAAAATATTTTCCATATCATTTTTAAATTTTCTTCTAAATTTCGCTCTATTTATATAAAATTTCCTATTTGAAAATTTGAGCTAAAATCCCTGTATTACCATAGGAGCTAGAGACTATACGATATGATTGTTTCAAAACAGTATTAATAAGATTTATAGCCTATTTTTAATATATAACATACTCTGCCTCTTATAGTTAGCGCATACATGTAAAGAATTTTTATTATAAAAATTCTCAAGCTCTTTTTTTTTTACAGAATTTTCCCCCCAATCGTTGTTCGAACTATAGCGATCGATTCAATCAATAATGATGGGAGTTAAGATATTATATGAAATACGAGCGAGAGGAATGAAAATTCTCAATATAAAATTAAATAATTTTTCATAATACTTTTAATTATATAAAGAAGCTTACTCCCCCCACCATAGCGAACAAAAATTGTGCGCTAACGGAAGGGGTTGGTCAAACCTGGCTGGGTCTATTGACTCTATGCTCTATCTGGCAGTCTGATTCTATCTAGTAGTCTGGCTCTATCTTATTCTATCTGGCAGTCTGGCCCTATCTAGTAATCTTGTTCTATCTAATTCTATCTGGTAGTCTGGCAGTTCAGATCTATAGGCAGTGATCTCCCACTTAGAAAATAAGCGATTCAAATTAATTGAACCTTTTAATTAATAAATCAAACATTTAGAGAGTCTATATTGCTTTAAACACTTTATATCCATTGTTAAATTTGAAAAAATAATCAAATTTTAGTTAAAAATGCGAAATAACTTCTATTTTTTACACGTCTAAAATTTCCTTCCAAGCTTTTTATATCTTTATTTTTATATAATTTAAAAATTATTTAACAAAGTATTTCGTTTAAACATTTTAAAATGTAAAATAGCTTGATTTTATGATTGATTGCAATTATGTAACTTTTATTAATTCGATTTATTTTCAGTATTAAATTCTTTTTCACAATTTTATCAGCAATTTATCCCTCTGTAAATCACAGAATATGTTGCAGACTTGACAAAATTATGCAATATCGATATAAATCTTTTTCTACCAGATAGAGCCAGTCACATCAAGCAGATTGCTAGGTAGAGCCAGTAGAGCCAAACAGCCAGACAGGGCCAACAGAGAGAGGTAAAACCAGACTAAAAGATTGCCAGGCAGAGTCAAACTGCCAGGTAGAACCAGACCGCCGGATAGAGCCTAGATAGAGCCAGACTGCCAATTGAGCCCGGGGCTAATTATTTTAAAAAATTATATATAAAAATTTTATATAACAATTTTTTATGAAATTTAAAACATCCCTATTCGTAAAATTTAATTTAATTCATAAACTTATGTTTTTAAAATATCACTTATATATCAAAATTTGTTTTTCATAAAAAAAAATTTATATAAAAACACACTCATCTGCTTACTGACAAAAACTATGGATTTTTCAAATGGTTTTGCTCGCTCACAGAAGTGGGGAGGTAGATATATCAGATTATCAATTGAAGCTTTTCTGCCTAAGTCAATATATCGATCTTCATAATCCTTTTTTACTCTTTTCCTCTTTTTCCCATTATTTTCTTTAGATTTTTCAATTGCGCCTTCTAAGTTTTCCAGCCTTATAGTGTTTTGATGGACTGTTTCTATAACTTTACTAACATTGAATCTTTTCTCATAAACTTCTTTTGGATCTTTTGTTTGCTTATAGTAATAATAATGTCCAGAATAGTATGTGCATTCGTAATTGTTATACTTTAGTCTTTTCTTATGAAATCGCCCGTGCCTAAATCTTTTCTGTATATTGTGCTTTATTTTTCAATATGTTTCAGAACGCACCCATTTGCTTTCTTTTTTCTTATTTCTGAACTGGCTGAAAGGAGCTTTCAATTTCTTGAGCTGCTTTGAAGGACAATAAAGGTATTTAGGATGAATTTCAGGGGTTAGGCACCAGCTCATAATAAAATGATATTTAAATAGTTTATTTATTAAAATTTCCATATTTCTGTTCTGTTCTAATGTCTAATTGTTTCATTAATCTTATGAATGTGCCTCAAATCAAATCTCGCCGATATTAACTGCGATTTACTTGCGAAATAATAAATCTTATAGAATTTATTTTGTCTTGAAATAAATATGTTTTACAATTTTGCGTTAAAAATCCTTAATATGTTTAAAAATTTATTTATAAATTACATGTTAAATTTAATTATACTGCTTATTTAATGATAATTTTTGCAAAGTCTCTTTTAAAGTTCTAGCAAGTTTATATATCTGTTTGCAATTATAGATGTGTTACCACTGATAACTGCTTCCCTATTTTCATATAGTAAATAGGGAAAGAAGCAGAATTCTTTATTGCAATTGGTATTGCAGTTCAGATTATATAAAGCAGCCTAATTGTTCTAAATTATTAATTGAAAATTTCCTTATTTGATCAATATATCTCTCCTGATATTATTTTTTGCTCGCTTTCTCTTTTTCCCAATTCTCTCTTTACTCTTTTCTATAGCCTGTAAAGCTTATAAGTTTTTCGATTTGCTGATCATGCCATTTCATAAATAAAATGGCATTTGGTTCGAGCAAAATTAGCGAAGCTATTTTCTCTCCTAGAGTTTAGGATGTGCTGAGGATAAGTCTTAAAATAAAAAAAAAAATCATATAAAAAATATGCTTATTTTTAATTAAGGAGATTTGCATATTTTCTGATCTACACTGATACTTCTATTTGTTATATTTGGTATAATTCGTTCTATTTTATTAATTCTCATACGTCTACAGCTTATAGATCATGATTAGCTGCTTGTCCTTGAGAAGTAAATTCAAGCTATAGCTCATAACAGCTCTCTGAGCTCTAATCTGATACTTTTAAATCTCTTTTCATTAACCGCTTTCTCGTTATAGCAATAAAGGCTATAAGAATTACAATAAAGCTACCATGGCAATATAGATAATTTTACCCATTTCCTGAGCTTTGGTCTTATCTTTTCAACTATTGAATATAGCCCGAGCCGAAGGAGGCTCGGGCTAATCTACCTTTATAATTCTTACCAAATAGAGCAATGCATCAATGTGAAACCAACAAACATTTGATGAGCTGCAAAAAGATAAAAAATGCAATTTGTACTATAAGATGCACCAGAGATACAGCTCACAAGATTATGCAGATAGCAAGCCTTTTTTCAAAGAAAATATGAAGCCATGACCCATTTTATAAACTAGGAAACAAATTGCGAAAATCTTTTACTCCCTCCGTTAGCGAACAAAAAAATCTTTTCGCTCACGGAAGGGGGTTAGTTTTTTTTTTTTATCAATAATTTTATACCTATTTTTTTTAGGAATTTTTGAGATAAAGTGAGAATTTTGGTGAGATTCGTAAGGAAGCTTAGGAAGTTCTTGATACGGAGGACCAACTGGATTGGGAATAGAAAATTCTCAATTTAAAACAGAAAAAGCAGAGCCTGCTGAAATTCCTAAAAAGAAAACAGCCTTTTTCATAATACTTATTAGTTATATAGAAAGGCTTACTCCCCCCTACGTAAGCGAACAAAACCATTGGAAAATTGCCCAAAAACTCACCCTCCGTGAGCGAACAAAAAATTTTTATGAAAAAAATTTTATAATATAAGTGATAATTATTATAATGAAATTTCTTGCTTATTCTGTTTAATTTTAAACAACTTGCATTTTAAAACATAAAATTTTTAATGTTTTTTTCTCCTTATTATAAGCTACTTGTAGGACATGATGATATTTTATTAATATGAAAGATTGCTTTTTTCTGTTAATTGCATGCTGATTCTTTATTTCATGTACAAAGAAGCCACTCCCCCCACCATAGCGAACAAAATTTTTTGCGCTCACGGAGCGATTTGGTCAAACCTAGCTCTGTCTGGCAGTCTAGCTTTATCTGGTAGTCTGACACTATCTAATTCTATCTGGCAATCTAGTAGTCTGGCAGCCCGGCTCTGTCTGGCAGTCCGGCTCTCCTGATAGTCAGGCTCTACCTCAAGTTCTATAGGAACTTTCATGAATATTCATATTATTTTGTAACGATAGCCATCTAATATTAAATTAGAAATAAATATCTTTAGCTAAAATCCTTTATTTGTGTATTTTTAAAAAATACTCCATAATTTTATAATAAATAACATTAGTAGTTGCAAAAACAGGATAGGCATATAGAGAAATGATAAAAAATTGAAGGGGATCTACTTGTCAATTTGTATATGTTTTTTAAAATTAGAAACAAATATTTACGTACAAAAATTAAATTATATGTTGAAAAACAATATAAACGCAAAAAAAATTGATTGAGAAATTACGCAGATTATCTAACATATTCGTCATTTTTTCATTAATAAATAAATCCATTGAATTCTTATCTTAAATTTAATATAAAGTTAATTTTTTAAAGTAATTTGTTTAGTGCAGAAGGTATATATTGATCGTAAAACCTCTTAATTAATTTTTTTGACTAATAGTTTATTAAGAATCTATTTTTTAATGCAAATTCAATTGAAAATTTAATATTATTTAATAATTATAATATTAAAAATAAATTCAATTCCACTTCTCTTGTTTTCCCTTCAAATTCTACCTTTCTATTTTTAGTTGCATAAGCAATTTTGCAGTATTAAGCTAATAAGAAGTATGTTACATAATTAAAGCATTTAATAATATTAAAATATCTTATCAATATAAATAAAATTTCTCCAAAAATAAAAAAAATTAACGATATTATTTAGAAAGCAGTGACCTCTCACTTAGAAAATAAGCGATTAAAATTAATTGAATCTCGTAATTAATAGAATCAAAGCTATTTAGAGAGTTTACGAATATTTATTTTGCTTTAAAAAATTTATATCTATTTTTAAATTTTAAAGAAATAATCAAATTTTAGTTCAAAATGCGAAATAACTTATTTGTTGCACGTCTAAAATTTCCTTTCCAAGCTTTTATGTCTTTATTTTTATATAATTTAAAAATTATTTATCAAATGATGTCATTTTAAACACTTTAAAATGTAAAATAACTTGATTTTATGATTGATTGCAATTATATAGCTTTTTATAGAATTATAGGGATTTATTAAGATTTTGTTTACTAATATAATAATACTATTTTATTTTGAGTATTAAACGCTTTTTCACTATCAGGAACTTATTCCTCTGTAAATCATTGAATTTTGCAATATAGATATAAGTCTTTTTAATGTATCATTTTCTGCCAATATTTCTATCATAAGCCATTGTATTTTATCTAATATATTATAGTGCAATTAGTTAAATTAATACTTCAAAAAGATTGGAAGCTTATTTTGATAAAGCCAGACTGCCAATCTGTCAGGTAGAACCAAACTGCCAGACAGGGCTAACAGAGAGAGGTAAAGCCAGACTGCCAGGCTGTCAAGTAGAGGCAGACTGCAGACTGCCAGATTTCCAGATAGAGCCAGACTGCCAGATAGGTAGGGCTAACTGCCAGATAGAGGAGTTTACTATTTTAAAAACATTATATATAAATTTTTATATTCATTTTTTTTGAAATTTAAAAAAATCTAATCCATAAAAATTAGAAGTAAAAATTAATTTAATTTCTAAAATTTATGTTTTAAAATGCAAGTTATTTAAAATTAAACAGAATTAGCTAGAGATTTTTTTTTAATATTTATCACTTATATATCATAATATTTTTTTTTTTATAATAATTTTATATAAAAAATATTTATTCGCTTACTCAGGATGGGTTTCATAAAAAAAAAGGATTTTTCAATGGTTTTGCTTGATCACAGAAGTGGGGAGTTAGATATATTAGGTTATCAATTGAAGATTTTCTGCCTAAGTCAATATATCGATCTTCATAATCCTTTTTTACTCTTTTCCTCTTTTTCCCATTATTTTCTTTAGATTTTTCAATTGCGTCTTCCAAGTTTTTCAGCTTTATCGTTTTTTGATAGACTGTTTCTATAACTTTGCTTGCATTGAATCTTTTCTCATAAACTTCTTTTGGATCTTTTGTTTGCTTATAGTAATAATTATAATAATAATCAGAATAGTATCTGCATTCATAATTGTTATACTTTTGCCTTTTCTTATGAAATCGCCCGTACCTAAAATTTTTCCTAATATTGTGCTTTATTTCTCAATATGTTTCAGAATGTACCGATTTGCATTTATTTTTCTTATTTCTGAACTGGCTAAAAGGAGCTTTCAATTTCTTGAACTGTTTTGAAGGACAATAAAGGTATTTAGGATGAATTTCAGGATTTAGGCACCAGCTCATAATAAAATGATATTTAAATAGCTTATTTATTAAAATTTCCATATTTCTGTTCTGTTCTAACGTCTAATTGTTTAATAAATCTTATGAATGTGTCTCAAATCAAATCTCACCGATATATTCTGCGATTTACTTATGAAACAATAAAATCCCATACAATTTATTTTGTCTTGAAATAAATATGTTTTACAATTTTGTGTTAAAAATCCTTAATCAGCTTAAAAATTTATTTATAAATTACATGTAAAATTTATTATGCTGCTCATTAGCATGGATATTCTTGGAAAGTCTCTTTAAAAATTCTAACAAGTTTATATATCTATTTGCAATGATAGAGGAAACTGCTTCTCTATTTTCATATAGTAAATAGGGAAAGAAGCAGAATTCTTTATTGCAATTTAGGTATATTGTATTTAAGATTATATAAAGCAGCCTAAATGTTTTAAATTATTAATTGAAAATTTCCTTATTTGTTCAATATATCTTTCTTGATATTTTTTTTGCTCGCTTTCTCTTTTTCTCAATTCTCTGTATATTCTTTTCTATAGCCTGCAAAGCTTTTAAGTTTTTCGATTTGCTGATCATGCAATTTCAAAATTTCATAAATTCAAAATTTTCTTGATATAACTCATTTATAAAATAATCACGGCTGGCAACCCATTTGAAGATTTGATGCAAAATTTTATATTTTTGATCACTCATCTTCGAGAGGTTAGACATTAGCTATTGGCTGAGCCAATATATAGAGAAAATAAGCTTGACAATCGTTTATATTTTATACGCTTTACGCTAGAAAGATTTCAAGTACTTCACTTTCCCATTGCATTTGATAGCCTCATAAAATTATATTTCCAATTTCTTATTATGTAAGTCTATGCTAAAAAGTAAAAACCATTTCAGGGTTTTTCTGTAAATATCTTCTTATGCTCTTCGAGTGCAAGTTTTAACGCCATTTTAATTGATATTTCTTGTGGATTATTGATATGGCTCATCTTTTTCTCTTTAAAGGGGTCAAATATATATCCTTTGCAGTTAATTTTCAAATTTATAAATGGATAAATTATAGAATGAATTGGCTAAATATGGCCTCAGATAAAAATTATAGAAGAAATTGGCTAAATAATTAAAGATGGACTATATTAAGAACCATTTTAGAATAATATTTAATCTGATTGGCTAGTTTTCCATATTTAGACGTGCTAATTAGATTCATTCTATAAAAAAATGCAAATATTCATAAAAACATTGACTGGGAAGACAATCGTTGTTCTTGTTAACTCTTCAGATACAATAAATACCGTCAAAGCTAAGATCCAAGACAAGGAAGGAATTCCTTCAGACCAGCAACGCCTCATTTTCTCTGGAAAACAATTAGAAGACGAAAGAACTCTTGGAGACTATAACATCGAAAAAGATTCAACTCTTCACTTGGTTCTTAGTCTCAGAGGTGGAGTCGGTGACTATGATATTTTTGTTAAGACAATTGCTGGAAAAACGATTACTATTAATGTCAAACCTACAGATACCATTAACGACGTCAAGGTCAAGATTCAGCATAAAGATGGAATCCCTGCGAGTAAGCAAAGACTCATTTACTCAGGGAAACAATTAGAAGACGAAAAAACAATTGTTCAATACAACATAAAAAAGGATTCAACTCTTCATTTGGTGATGAGATTGTTGGGAGGTCTTTAATTTTATAAATCGTTCTTTTTTAAATACTGAGGGAGGTAATTTACTCCAAATTAATTAAAAAAATATATAAACTAACTTGTAATATAGATTTTATAAATTAATTTTCTATTAATTGATATTCCTATATGATGGAGCAGCTTAGATTTTTAGTTAATTTTTAATTTTGCTTTGAATTACGCAAATATATACTATATCTTTCTAAATATGGGATAATTTGATTATTAATTTTAAATTAACTTAATTATTCTTTTAATGAGATTGTATATATAAACTTCTTTAATGGAAGATCTTCGAGCTCTCTATCATTCGCCCTAAATATTGCAGACTTTTAGATCTCCAGATCTTTCAGAAACTTTAAAAAAGTATCTCTCCCTATTATTTTCCTTATCCCAACCTTGATCCTTTCAGTTGTTCTCATAACTTCATTTTGATAGCAAATAATCATCACAAGATTAGAGGTCCTGGCATTTTTAATTATGATAGTAGGTCTAATCATTGTTTTGCAGCGATAGACTTGTGTGCAAGAATTCTCTGCCGCTCTTTTATTTTATATTCGCCTCCAGAATAGCTAGTTCTTTAATCTTTTGGATTTTTCTCAAAATAGCGCATTCCAAGCATATCCCATGAATAAGAAATGCGACATTGTATCCCTAGAATCTCTAGCGTTCTTCCCATAGCATACATTTGGTTTAGCAAATCGCACAATTGTAATTGCTCCATTATCAATTCTATATCTACTTCTATCTCTATTTCCCATATCTTCCATTTCTTCTCTAACTCCCCCCCCCCCCCCCTCCGTGAGCGAACAAAACCATTAGAAAAATCGCCATTTTTTGACCAAAAACCCACCCCTCCGTGAGTGAACAAAAATTTTTTTAATAGAAAAAATTTTAATGGAAAAAAAATTTTGATATATAAGTGATAATTAGTATAATGAAATCTAGAGCTAATTCTGTTTAATTTTAAAACAAATTGCGTTTTAAAACATAAATTTTGCAAATTAAATTAATATTTGCTTCCCAAATTTTTGCAAATTAGGATTTTTTTAAATTTCGAAAAAAATATTTTTTTATAAAATTTATATATAAATTTTTTTTAAAAAAAAAAATTAACCCCCCTCCGTGAGCGAACAAAATTTTTTTGTTCGCTCACGGAGGGGGGGGGGGGGGAGTAAGTAATTATGTAATCCAAATTTGTTTTATCCTATAGTGACTTGGTTTAATCTCTCCCTTTGATATCACTGGCTTAAATCTCGTGTCAACTCTACTGGCCAAGAACACTGCTCGAAGTATTGTATGTTCTTCCTTCTTGTCGACATGCATGATTAGGTTCATTCCCTATTGTGCCACTTCTTGACTTTCTCTTGGTATCTTTCTTTATCCACCTTTAACGCATCCCTTTAATTTTGAGATCACATCTTGACTCATTCTGGATTCATTCTTAGCTTGTTCCTCAATAATTTACACTCAAATAGTCAAATTTTAATGTTTTCGAGTTATTGCCAATTTATTAAGTTTTTACTGAATTATCTTCTTCATAATCTCTATTTCAATAATTTAAAATTTTATTGCTAATGATATTTTGATAATTTGACTAGAAATTGACTTTAGAAAAAATAGGTTTTAGACTGACTTGAATTAAGAAGATTCTAGTACCTCAGAAACTTTCAGATTTCAATATAGAAAATTTCCCATTTTAGAATAATATTGAAATCTGATTGGCTAGTCTCCGCATAATTAAAATAAGGAAGCTCGAATTTTTCTGGTCTCCCAATAGAAAATTCATCTTTTGCATATTTTAATTACGAGGGTTTGGTTTCCCCTGGTGAATTTATCTCAATTATGCTAGAGAAGCAAGAGCCATGTGGTTTTTCTATCGACTCCTGACCTTCGGGAATGGAATTTACCAGAAGGGTGCCAATTACTCCAGGTAGTGGAGACCAAGCAATGCCTGAGTTTAAAGAAGAGTCGTCAAAGCTCAAACTTCAAGACTAGCATTCTCGTTGATGTGCAAAGTCTGCCTTTTGGCAGGCCTTGTGCGAAATTCGTCCAGAGTTTTTTCTGGTGGGGGGAGCTGTGGTCGAGCAACCTGATAGCGGGCGTTAAACGTGCTATAAAGAATTAAGATAAGATTGGCTAGTCTTCCATATTTAAAGCTTGCCTGATAGGTTCTATTATAATAAAATATGCAAATATTCGTAAAAACATTGACTGGAAAGACAATCACCCTCGACGTCGAATCATCAGACACCATCGACAACGTCAAAGCTAAAATCCAAGACAAGGAAGGGATTCCTCCAGATCAGCAAAGACTCATTTTCGCAGGCAAACAATTAGAAGATGGAAGAACCCTTGCTGACTACAACATCCAAAAAGAGTCAACCCTTCACTTGGTGCTTAGGCTCAGAGGTGGTATGCAAATCTTCGTTAAGACTTTAACTGGCAAAACAATTACCCTTGATGTTGAATCTTCAGACACCATCGACAACGTCAAAGCTAAAATCCAAGACAAGGAAGGAATTCCTCCAGATCAGCAAAGACTCATTTTCGCTGGAAAACAATTAGAAGATGGAAGAACTCTTGCTGACTACAACATCCAAAAGGAATCAACCCTTCACTTGGTTCTCAGACTCAGAGGTGGCATGCAAATCTTCGTTAAAACCTTAACTGGTAAAACAATCACCCTCGACGTTGAATCATCAGACACCATCGACAACGTCAAAGCCAAAATCCAAGATAAGGAAGGAATTCCTCCAGATCAGCAAAGACTCATTTTCGCAGGCAAACAATTAGAAGATGGAAGAACTCTTGCTGATTACAACATCCAAAAAGAGTCAACCCTTCACTTGGTGCTTAGACTCAGAGGTGGTATGCAAATCTTCGTTAAGACCTTAACTGGCAAAACAATTACCCTTGATGTTGAATCCTCAGATACCATCGATAACGTCAAAGCTAAAATCCAAGACAAGGAAGGAATTCCTCCAGATCAGCAAAGACTTATTTTCGCTGGAAAACAATTAGAAGACGGAAGAACTCTTGCTGACTACAACATCCAAAAGGAATCAACCCTTCACTTGGTTCTTAGACTCAGAGGTGGTATGCAAATCTTCGTTAAGACCTTAACTGGCAAAACAATCACCCTTGATGTTGAATCCTCAGATACCATCGATAACGTCAAAGCTAAAATCCAAGATAAGGAAGGAATTCCTCCAGATCAGCAAAGACTCATTTTCGCAGGCAAGCAATTAGAAGATGGAAGAACTCTTGCTGATTACAACATCCAAAAGGAGTCAACCCTTCATTTGGTGCTCAGATTGAGAGGAGGCTTTTAAGCTAATCAACTCATTTATCTAATTCTGTCTTTAAATATTAAATTATCTCAAACATCTTTAAAACTTTAAACTAAAATAGTCGAAAAACTAATTAATTTTCTATAATAAGCACCAGGTTTATGCTAAATATTAAATTTTCTTTAAATTTAGCACAAATATATCATATATTTTTGAATAATCAATACTTTTTAAGTAATATAATTATTAATTAATCTAGTTCTTTCTGCGATAAGCTTCTAATAACAGTTTTTTCCTCTGAGCTTTAAATATCGATCCAAGCCATTCTAATCCTTCAAAAAGTCCTTCTCCTCTAATTGCGCATGATCCTTGAGCATACCACTCTCTATTTTTAATTCCATAAAGGTTTAATCTTTCCACAATTTCTGAAACACGCATTGCTCCAGGCAAGTCTTGCTTATTAGCAAAAATCAGTAAAGGAATTTCCTTCATATCTTCACTATCGAAAATTTTATGAAGTTCATCATTTGCTTCCCCAATTCTGTCTCTATCAGTCCCATCAATGACAAAAATTAGCCCATCAGTGCCCTGATAATAATGCCTTCATAAAGGCCGAATTTTTTGGTCTCCTCCGACATCTCAGATATTGAATCTTACATTCTTATGTCTGATGGTTTCGACATTAAACCCAATTGTTGAAATTGTTGATACAGCGTCACCTAGTTTAAGCTGATATAGAATGGCGGTTTTCCCTGATGCATTAAGTCCAACCATAAGGAGACGCTTTTCTTTTCCTTCAAAAATCAATTGCCAGATTTTTTCAAAAAAGTCGCAAAATTGAGAGATTATTGAGCCCATTTTTATTAAGATGCATATAGAATATAAATATAATTATATAATTTAAATTCGCTGATATAGCAAAATTATTGTTGGTACTATAAAAAGAAAACTTATTCCGAAATTCAAGGCTAAGAAAAAAACTTCAATTGTGAAGTCTTGCAAAAATACTACTCCACAAAAGAAATATACGAAAATTCCACAATTGAATATAAAGTAAGAAAATTTTTCACAGCATGTGTAAACTCTCCATTGTTTTTTATCTAAATAAATAACTGCTAGTCCTATGCTTCCTAAAATTGCCCATATCCCTATAACCCCTGCAGTAAATAATAAAATCTTCCAAAAGATGAATCATAATAAATCTAAAATTGTATCTGATAAAATTGTAATTTTGCACAAAAATAATACTGTTAAAATAACCATAAATCCCCAGCAATAAAGCATATTTAATCCACAATACTTCCATATATGATTTTTATAATCCTGCAAACAGTCCCAACAGAATTCATGCCTGCAGTTTATGCAGGTCATATGATAGCATCCTCCGCTTTTTTCAATAGGGTAGTCACACTTGGGGCAATATTTCACCCATATCTCCTTTCAAGTGTTGCTTCAAAAGTCGCTTTCTCCACGTATAATCCTAATAGCATCATCTTTAAGCCTATAAAACGCTGGCTTTAAGCTAGGATCTTTTCACTTAGTTTTGCATTTTGGGCATAGCAGAGTATCCATACATGAATTTTTTGTATCAACCCATCCTACGTAATCACAATTCTTTGATGGGCATTGTTTGAAAGAGCTATCACGAATTAGCTCTCTTTTAAGCAAAAAATTCGCATAGACCTGATAATCATATTCAGCAAGGCAATTTCTTATATCATTTTCACTCATTGTATGGCCAAGAGTACCTAGAGGGCATGTGATTTGGAAGTCAGCTTGATAATATTTTTCTATTTGGGTAAGAACCCATTGACTAATAGAATTTTTGCAAAAGGTGCAGCCACATGAGAGTGTAATGAAAGCGCTTGGTTCTTCATAAACACAGCAGATTGCGCAATACTTTGGCATATGTACAAAAATGGTTTAGAATATAAATAAAATGTCAGTTACAAGATGCTTAAAGAGCGGTATCCTTGTGTATGCCTGATGTGGCTTTTTGTGGCCAGGGCTGCTTAGGAGTTAGTTCCAAGGTCAGAGTCATTATTTCTGCTAATTATTGATCTAGTTTTTATATTTGGGTGCCCTATCGGTATATTGCAAATTGCATATTCTGTGCTGAGCATTGAATAAAAAAGGCTTAGAATGCACCAAAGTGCGAGAGAATTTAATTAAACTTAAGCTTAAAAATTTTATGAAAAAAGATATTTGTAAATTAAAAAATTATTAAGCTTTTTCAGGTAAGGAGGAGTTAGACTCAGAGGTGGCATGCAAATCTTCTTTAAAACCTTAACTGATAAACAATTATCCTTGATATTGAATCCTCAAATATCATTGATAATGTCAAAGCCATGATTCAGGATAAAGAAGGAATTCCTCAGAATCAGCAAAGACTCATTTTCGCAGGCAAACAATTAGAAGACGGAAGAACTCTTGCTGACTACAACATCCAAAAGGAGTCAACCCTTCATTTGGTGCTCAGATTGAGAGGAGGCTTTTAAACTAATCAACTCATTCTGTCATTAAATTATCTCGAACATCTTTAAAAATTAAAATAAAGAAGCTAATTAATTTTCTATAATAATCACCTGCTTATGCTAAATATTAAATTTTCTTTAATTTCGCACAAATACCTGCTATATTTTTGAATCAATACTTTTTAAGTATATATTATAATTATTAATTAATCTAATTCTTTCTGCAATAAGCTTCTAAAAACAGTTTTTCCTCTGACTCACCCCTTTAAATAGGAACAAAAAATTTTGTCCAATTTAAAGGGATGTTAATAAAATTTTTTTCTAAAAAGTAATCAAATATAAATTTTTTAACAAAAAAAATTTTAATAATTCCATCTATCTACAATTTCATGAGGATTCATTACTGGTAGCAAGTCTTGCTTTATTTCTGAGATATTCACTGCTCAAAGTATTATAGAGTTCTCAGGAAGTTTCCCAATCGTTTCTCTGTCAGAAGAATCGATAACAAAAATAATCCATCAGAATTTAAATAATAGTGCATTCATAATGACCTCACTTTCAATAAATATCTCAGATGTTAAAGCTAATGCTATTATATCAGACATTTTTGAGATTAAATCCAATTGTTAAAATTGCTGATACAACTTCGCCTATATTGTTTTTTCAGACCCATTATAAAGTTTTTTTTTTCAAAAATTAATTGCTATTTTTTTCAAAAAACTTGAGAAACTATTGATCCCATTTTCATTATTTGATTTATAAGATACAGCAGAAATTCATTTTAATATAAAATCTTATAGTCTGACTTATTATAGTTTAGTTGAGATTTTAATTTTGTTAATAGTATCTAGGAAGCTGCAATAGTTTTAACTATAACTTTAAAGCCTTTATTATAAATTTTTTACTAATAGGTGAGCTATAATGGAGCAAGTAAAATTATTATCATATTATAAAAATTTATTTAAGGGATATATATAATTTCTTAGCCCAATGGCATAGTTTTATGATGAGTGCTCATTTTGTGAATTTCATTCAGTGAATTTTTGGATTTATTTCCAAACGTAAAAGCAAATCTAAACAGTGTACTTGTATCCCTTGATTTTTTGGTGATTAACAAACTAGGGTATTTTTTAAATTGTACATATAGTCCAAAAAATAATAAAAATAGTCACCCAATTATTCAGCAGCATAGCAATGGAATTGAAAGACCATTATCTCCAAGCCCGAGCCCAATAGCTAACAATAAGCTCAGTCACACAACTCCCACTATACTAAGTCCTTGTCAGAAGCTAAATCTTGCATAGTTATATGGCTTCATTCTAAAAATAAATATAGCATAGCCAGTCATTAATAGCACAAAAACTATTGCATGAGCCAGGTTTTGGGCTCTTTGAAGAGTCTTACTGAGGACAATAATAATGGTCTGAACTACTGTTTTTACCATTAAATATAATGGAAGAGTTTTCACATGTAAAATTGGCTGAAATTCTTGCCAAAGAGGCCGGCAGAATACAGCAAAAGGCTCATAGGCTAATAAAGCAAAAAATGAAAAAATCGCATAAATTAAATGGGTATCTTTTCAACAGAAATAATAGCAATCTGCGCTAAGAAAGCTATCAGTGAAATCGTCACCTATTGATTGGTCACACAAAAAAATATCTAAACATATCGAAACAAAAGGAATAGATTAGATTAGATTAGATTTAAGCTGTGTATTTATAGTCCCCACTTCCAAAGTCTTCGCTTTCCGCAGCGGAACCGCTGCGGGGTGGGCTCCCTAAAGGCACTTCGAGCCCGGGCCGAAACCCGGTTTCTCGGTAGTGGCAATTTCCCTCCTGATCCGGGTCATACGGATTTTGCCGGGAACCATCAATTTCCAACTCGAGGCCAAGTCTACCCAACCCTGCTTGCCTCTGGCCAGATCGCCCCTTTTGATCGGGACCCTTTTCGACTGGAGAGACTTGCGCCCTTGAGATCTGTGTCGAGCTTCGCCTCCCCTTTTTCCCGGATTATCTCCAAGAAAAAACTCAACCCCTTACGGGATTCGGGGCTAAGCCACCAAGTAGCTTAGGCAGGTAACTCACCCTGCCTCTTTCGGACACCGAGTCTGGTCTCGGCGCTACTGGCAAAAAGAAAGCGAAAAACTGCTGCCCGGGTCAAGTCCCAAAATCAGCGGAAATTGGGCTGGGCCTCTCGCCTCGAGGCTAACTCTTTCCTTGAGTAGCTCTCCGCATCCAAAAACCACGTCCGGTATACATAAGGACACCCGCCACGGAAGGACGGGTCGCTCGTCTCCGGCCATTTTATGTATAACAAAAGGAATAAAACACAAATTTCCTAAAATCGGCATAAGTATATCCCCAAGCCAGCCTAAAAATCTGAAAATCCACCAAAATCTCCACTTTTCATCAAGTCTATATAAAACGACCAAGCACAAAATAACCCATAGCACAATTCCTCCATATACCACATCAACCACAATCCAAAACACCCCATTTTTTAGCTTTATAACAGACTCTAAATTCATAGAAAGCACATCGCTGACATTATACAAAAAGGGTTCTACAATAGAAAAATCAGGCCCCATATTACAAAACTGGAATAACTCGATTGCTATTGTAGCGCCCACAACAAAATCCTGAAAGGAAATTTCTTTTTTTTCTTTAAGTTCTTCAATAGGAATATTCCATCATTTTTTCCATATAAAAAATGTTATAAGCACTGTGATAAATGCAATAGTAAAACAAATTCCGAATACTAAAATACGACCTTTAGGAAAAGTTTGGACTTCTTTGCTGGAAAATGGGCATTTGTAATTGGCATTTCTGAAATCAGTTGGCTTTATGGAAGTCCCATCAGGGTAAATCAGAGTGTCTACATATTTAATGACTTGAGTGCCAAATGGGTATAATTTTCCTACAAGGTGTATATAAGGTATCCCTTGATCATCTAAAGAAACGAATAATGGCGCTGATGGAGATTGGACTCCGAGGCGCACTCACTATGGAGCAGGTAGGACCCATCCTGATGAAGCTGAAAACAGGACCTCTGTTCATTTTGAATTAGATCTTCAGGCTTGGGGATGCTTTGCTGAGGAGGGAAGTTTGCTTCTCCCCCAAATGTTATCTTGTCCTTGCCAGATGGACTAGACAGGTTTTGCCTACCAAATGGTTTTTTGAGGCTATCAGGGCACTCTGCAGACAGTCTCTCTGCCCTAGGGAGCTAATCCCTTATAAAGGCGGTTCAGATCCGAAATTCAAGACGGCAGCCTTTATTTCCCTCTTTCGTCTCGTGGGGCGAGGAGGAGGCTATTTTGGAGCCAAACGAGGTAAAGGCTAGTAGGTTTCCCTCTTATAGCCAAATTTAACCTTTTTTTATTAATTGATCATCTATTTTTATTTTCCTCAATATAAAAAAACTCAAAATTCCTATCATTTGTTCCTTTCCCAATACTAATAAGCCCAGAGCAGCCAGTAAATTTAGTATTTCTAATAGTCGACATCAGCATATAAGGGTCTGCATAATCATACCCTCTATCTATCATAAAATCCAAGGCGTTCGCCACAAGGTACAGAGAATCATAATAATAGCACCCAAACGAATTAGGAGTAGTCATATTATATTTCTCTGAAATCCCATCCCTAGTATTTTCCCCTATACTCCCTACCCAATAAGGTACACTTAATCTTATCATAGACACCCCCAGCTCTACTCTTTTATATAAATATAGGATTTGCCCTAGGATGGCGCTATATGGCGCCATCCTAGGGCAAGCGAAAATTGGCTCCACACGGGAACCGTATCCACGTGTGGAGCCATTTTTCCACGTGTGGAATCCACATTTTCCCACGTGGAAAAATGGCTCCACACGTGGAACACAATTCCCGTGTGGGAGCCGTGTCTCCAATTGCCCGAGGATGGCGCAATATAGCGCCATCCTCGGGCAATTTCTATAGCTGTCATTTGTAGCAATGCAGGCTGAGACATCTTGGGAGCCAGCTAAAATCACTATATCTCCTCTCCTCAAACCCATATCATAAAGAAGCTCAATCACGTAATTGCACATTGGACACTGCAGCATCATTACAATAAGTCTTGCTTGGGTGTTAATTATGGTCTGGAAAATATTGGTATAATTTTTTACACCGTTTCGGTCAAGATTTCCAGGCATGTGCCTTGAGTCTTCAGGGTTGACTATTTTGATCCCAACATTTTGCATTGAGATGTTTAAGGCTTGATAGACACCTATCCCTCAGGTATTGTACTCATAAAGGGCTGCAATGTTTTTTCAGCCTAAGGCGTTTAGCAATATTGACCATTTATAACATTTTTTGGCAATTCGGTAATTGATAAAAGAAGCGTTGTATTGGTAGATTTATTACAAAAATGTATACTATAAATCAGTGATGTGTATAGTCTGACATATAAGGGGTAATTTGTAGAAGAAGCTAAGCTACCATCACCATTAGTGCTTCCTATACTGGGAACTGTCACATTTAGAGCTTTAAAAATCTTATATTGCCCAATTGCTACTGCTGATCCAAAAGTAGTGAGATGAGAATGGCCAATTTTATCGACATTGTTCTTGTAGCAAGCTGTGGCAAATGGCTCTATGCCAAATAATTGTGGATTTTTGATTCCTAGGAAATTTTTTGAAGTTTTTTTTGATACCATACAAAACCGTTAAATTTCAGCCAAATGGTTAGCATTTAAAAAATTTTTGACTAAATGTTTTTAGATGAAATGGATACTATCAAAAGTTTGCAATCATTGGAATTCACCAAAAGCAAATGTAGCATTATAGAGGGAAACTCCACAGTCAAAATTAAACATTGATATACCCGATAACTGCTTTTGAGTACTCCTTTAGCGCGATATATTCAAAACAATTATTTTTAGAGTTTTATCTATTATTTCTTGTACTCCGCAGCTTGGTATATTTGAAAATTAGGCAAAATTGAATTTCCAGCATTAATTTCATCTTGCGCCACAAAAGCACCCATTGCAGCAAGCTTAGTTGTAGTGCTAGGAAGAGCTCCTGGGTTGGTAGTCCCAGCAGTTATGCTCAGATCTATCACCTTTTTAATTGATTTTGGAACAGTGCTAATCCCGCCAAGAAATGTTAGATTTCCAAAAAAATTAATTTTTCTGTCTACAATCGACCCAACAACCACTCTTTCTCCATTCTGAATATTGACAATAGGGTTCCTTCACACGAGGTCTACTCCATAAAGACTATTTTTTTTTGGCCTAATTTTTTTTGGCCTATTTTTTTTGGCCTATTTCATGACGACTATTTTTTTTTGGCCTATTTTTTTTTAACCTATTTTTTTGACCTATTTTTTTTGACTTTTTTTTGGCCATTTTTTAGCTATTTTTTACTAATATTTGGGCCTAATTTTATACTAATGATTTTAATATAATTTTTAATGCATTTTAAATGATTTAATCAACATAAAATACACCTTTAGCCAAAAAAAAATAGGCCAAAAAAAATAGGCCAAAAAAAAATAGGTTAAAAAAAAATAGGCCAAAAAAAATTAGGCCAAAAAAAAATAGGCCAAAAAAAAATAGGCCAAAAAAAAATAGTCGTTATGGAGTAGACCTCGTGTGAAGACACGTGACAATAGAATATCTGGCTTTATTATAATGATTTTCAAGCTCTGACTCTAAAAAGTATTGCAGCTCTGAAAAAGTTTCTATTGAGTTTTGGATTATAAGTTTTAAAATACTTTTTAAAGATTTTTCATAATATTCCATAGTAGACTCGGCAAATTCCATGCCAGCTTCAGTGACGATCAAAGACCCATCAATGCTACATCCATATGCGCTTTCTTGGTTAAGTAAAATTCCGTTTCCTTTTGTCAAAAGTTTGCCTTTGGTAAGAGCATTTTGCAGTTTTATTGACTCAGAAGGCGATGTTAAAAGATAGTAAAGGGTTGCTCCCATTCTTGCTACTGTTTGGTTTACAAGATTTTCTATATCTTCCAAGGATTCAATAGTCAGAATTGACATGAATGACGAAAAATTTAAAAATCTGTCTTTTATCTCATAATTTTCTTTATTGTTAAAAGCAGCACCTTGAGTTCAATTAAAATGTTCCATTAAAGAATAAAACGCATCCATTTGGTCTGATAAAGAAGAAACTGCTGAATAAGTCAATCCATCATTATACTTAAAGTTGTGCTGATACACTATAGGTATATCCCTAAGATAGCCCGATATAGGCGAGGGATAGAAGTCAAAAAGCTCCAATTGATTCGGCCAGCCTGAGTTGGCTGGGCAAAGAGGTAACTTTTGACCTCTATATCGGGCTATCTTAATGATATGCCTATAAATGGACTAAAAAATGATAATTGCAAAATTCTAAAAGGGTATATTGAATATAAGAGTCTTCTGAAAAATCAAGTAAAATTAACGAATTCGGGTATTTTTCTGCACAATAGTTGATGCTTGAGTAATTGCAAATGTGAAAGTCGATAATAAACTGAAAACTCTCGGATAAGTCCATAAAATACGTGTCATTCCATAAATCTGAGCTTCTATAAGAATTGTCTGGAGAAACTGCTATATACTTTTTCAGAGTAAATTATAAAGGAAGGTGATATTAATAGATTTATTATAAAATAAATTAAATTCAGCATAATCAAGCCAAAGCAGAATAATTTCTATAGCATTGCTTGTAGTAGCTAATAAAAATAATAAACTGAAAATCTTGTGTACGGTTATGAACATAAAGCCCATTCAAATTAATTTGATCAATAGAAGTAATATATTACTGAAAAAAATGAGACAACTTAAAAATTCACTTTATTTTTCAGATTTAATTATGATGTTTGAAATTAGTCAATTAAAAAAATTAATACATTTTAAGCAATACCTGGGTGGAGAAGCCAAGTTGAGAAGCAGGCACAGCATCCTTAATGCACTCGGGCAGAAGTTTTCTCGTAACACAGGGTATGATACCTGGAATATGGACTTTTTTCCCCCCGTGGCATGGAGTTGAAAAGAGCACAGTCGGCCATCGTCCCCCTAGACTATGTTCATCCCTACTCGAATTAGGGACCCTGAAGATAGAAGATGCTCAGCATGAAACTGGGGGTCATACCTCAGATGCCAGGCCCTCAGCGAACAGATACCCGGCTGTTTTTAAGGAATAGATCATAATATTATAATTTAATTAAAAAACATTTTAATAAATTATATAAAAATAAGAAAATAAAAAAATTACTAATTTCGCTTACTCCCCTCTCGGTTAGCGAAAAAAACCCTTGGAAAAATCTATATTTTTGCCCAAAAACTCACCCTCCGTGAGCGAACAAAAATAATTGATATGACAATATTTATAACTTATAATTAAGTATTAATTTATAAAAGAAAATCATTATAGAGAAGAAATATTGATTTTTGAAGAGATTTTTTTATGAAGTAATTCATAAAGAAAAGTGAAAATAAATAGATTAGATTAGATTAAGCCGTTTGCCTTGCAGGGCCGGGGATTCTCACCCCTACACGCTCATCGCCCCAGAGGAGCCTCGGCGGACACCCTCCTTGTTGCCTCAAACAAGGGATTCGCACAACCAGTCTTGACTTCCATGGCTTCTGGAGTCTAGGGCCAACCACTTGGGTCGAAACTCCCAGTTTCTCGTGGGCAAATACCATCTTCTGGGGTCTGAGGGTCATATTGCCCTCAAACATTGGCCGACCTTGCCCTTCCAATGGTTGTACCGGAGGAAAAACTCCAGTCCAAGAATTAGCTCCTCGGGCTCAAAGAAAAACCCAGCCCGACTATACATAAAGGATTACCGGCCCTTTCCACCTAAATCTCCATCACTGGGCCGTTGCCTGCTGGTGTTGAAGAAATAGGGTCGAGAGGTCGGGCGGTCTGTCGTCACCATTTTTATGTATATAAAATAAATAGATAAATTTAAAAAGAAAATTAGATGAGTCTAAATAAAAACAATTATAAAATTGTCTTAAAATGTTTTAATTTTTAAATAAAAATTAAATTTAATGTTAAATTTATTTTCCAGAATATAAAATTTGATTATAGTAATTATTAATTATGTATTAACACTAAAATGAAATAATATTTATATTCAAAAACTTAGCTTTCAGCAGAAAGGCGATAACTTCTTCAGAATATAATTTTCAAATGCTTTTACCCACTCATATGGGAGAATAAGTATCAGTAATTTTAGGCGAGTGAAAGGTATATCGAACTAGAAAATATTAAAAATAATGCTATATATTAGCAGAGCTCTCAGAATAAATAATAAAAGAATCTAAAAGTGTATTTTATTTGAGTTGTTAAGTTTTTGAAAATAAATTATTGAAAATGTAATTTCTCAAACTTATAATTTTCAACCCCACAAAAAATCCAATAATTTCTTTGCTTTAAATGTTATGACCAGATTTTTTATCAATAGGCAGAGTTTTGATAAGCTGGATTTTATAAATAAAGCATTATTAAATGAGCCTTGATACCCAGATTATATTAAAAATTTTTATTATTTAATAAGATTTAAAAAATAACGAATTTACATATAATTAAATTTCTTGACTAACCTATTGGCATTGTTTTATGCTGTGAACTGCCTTTATTAATAGAGTGTAATGAACTTTTTGATTTATTTCCAAAGGTAAATGCAAATCTAAATAGTGTGCTTGTATCCCTTGTACTTTTAGTGATTAGCATGCTTGGGAATTTTTTAAATTGTATATAAAGTCCCAAAAATACTAAAATTATTCATCCCATTAATCAACTACATAGCAGAGGAATTGAAAGCCCTTGAATTCCAACCCCCAAACCAATAGCAGATAAAAAACTCAGTCAAACAACTCCTGTAATGCTCAACCCTTGCCATCAGCTAAATCTTGCATAGTTATACGGCTTCATTTTAAAAATAAAAATAGCATAGCCAGCCATCAAAATTACATATACAACTCCATGAGCCACACTTTGGGCCCTTTGCAGAGTTTTACTAACTCCCAACCAAATAATAAGTAAATTTTTGCTTACTCCTCCCCCCCCCCTCCGTGAGCGAACAAAACCATTAGAAAAATCGCCATTTTTTGACCAAAAACCCACCCTCCGTGAGTGAACAAAAATTTTTTTAATAGAAAAAATTTTAATGGAAAAAAATTTTGATATATAAGTGATAATTAGTATAATGAAATCTAGAGCTAATTCTGTTTAATTTTAAACAAATTGCGTTTTAAAATATAAATTTTGCAAATTAAATTAATATTTGCTTCCCAATTTTTGCAAATTAGGATTTTTTTAAATTTCGAAAAAAAATATTTTTTATATAAATTTTTTTTAAAAAAAAAAAAATTAACCCCCCTCCGTGAGCGAACAAAATTTTTTTGTTCGCTCACGGAGGGGGGGGGGGGGAGTTAGCTATTGAAAATTTGAAGAAATTTTGTTAAGAAAATACCGAAACTGCGTCATACTTATTAATGAAAAAGCCCACAATTTTATAGGAAATATTGTTAAAAAATAGAAGGAAATTGACCCCTGATGGTGACAACCTTAAATTAATTCTAATTCTTAATTATCAATAATAAACAAACTTCGATCTATTCATATAAAATTTACTATTTGAAATTTTGTTCTAAAACCCCTCACGAACAAGCAAGAATCCTATTACTTAGGAGTAGTAAGAACTTAATATGAATCTTAATCTTACAAAGGCTCTCGCCCTAATTTTTTACGCAGTCACTGAAGATCTCCATAAAGGAGATTCACTGCTTTGCGACCGAGTCTTCCACCAGGGACAGCAGTCTCTCGTCCTTGCCTTTCGGCTCCAGTATTTAGTTGGAAGTCTTCGGGGATTTATGCCTTGCTTGAGGCTGATGTGTGGCGTCGACTCTATATAAAAAGGGAAAACAAGTAGCCAGAAGCGCTCACTGGTGAAGTGCTTCATTGGTCCAGGCATTGCCTAGAGAAATTGCAAGGCACCCTCTTTCCAACTTTCATGCCAACCTTTCCCTTGAGATAAAATCCACCCTTGGGCTATGGCAAAACCTTTCCGGATATAATTAAATATGTGCTCAAAAGAAGTCGGTGTAGACGACTGCAAAGCGTTAAGATACCATATTTAATTATGGGTATATTAAGAACAATAATAATTATTTGAACTATAGTTTTTACCATCAAATACAACGGAAGTGTTTTTACATGTAAAATTGGCTGAAATTCTTGCCAAAGAGGCCTACAAAAAACAGCAAAAGGCTCATATGCTAATAAAGCAAAAAATGAAAAAATCGCATAAATCAAGTGTGTATCCTTCCAGCAAAAGTAATAGCAATCTACACTAAGAAAACTATCTGTAAAATTATCTCCAATAGACTGATCACATAGAAATACATCTAAACAAATTGAAACAAAAGGAATAAAGCACAGATTTCCTAAAATTGGCATAAGTATATCTCCAAGCCAGCCTAGCAACCTAAATATCCATAGAAACTTCCATTTTTCATCAAGTTCATAAAGCACTACTAAGCATAGAATAACTCATAAAGCAATTCCTCCATAAACCACATCCACAATTATCCAAAATACTCCATTTTTTAGCTTTAATACAGACTCGAGGTTCATAGAAAATAGATCACTAACACTAAACAAAAATGGTTCCACAATAGAAAAATCAGGCCCCATATTACAAAACTGGACGAATTCAATAGCTATAGTTACCCCGACAATAAAATCCTGAAATGAAATTTCTTGTTTATCCCGAAGCTCTTCAATAGGAATATTTCACCATTTTTTCCATATGAAAAATGTTATAATGACTGTAACAAGCCCAACAGTAAAGCAAATCCCAAATACTAGCATACGTCCTTTTACAAAGGTTTTTACGTCTTTACTAGGAAATGGGCATTTCTCATTAGCATTTCTGAGGTCTGTTGGCTTTATAGGAGTTTCGTCAGGATATAGAAAAGTATCTACATAAGAAATCAGCTGAGTGCCAAATGGCCATAGTTTCCCTACTAGATGTATATATGGTATTCCTTGGCCATCTACTTTGGTCTGCTCAATATAAAAATACTCAAAATTCCTATCATTTGTGCCTTTGCCAATGCTGATAAGTCCAGAGCAGCCTGTAAATTTGGTATTTCTGATAGTCAACATTAACTGATAAGGATCTGTATAATCATACCCTCTGTTTATCATAAAATCCATGGCATGCGCAATAAGGTAAAAAGAATCATAATAATAGCACCCAAATGAATTCGGAGTCGCCACGCTATATTTTACTGAAATATCATTCTTAGCCTTTTCTCCTATTGTTCCTACTCAATAAGGCACGCTAAGTCTTGTCATAGACATTGCAAGCTCCACTCTCTTATATAAATAGGTATCATTTGTGGCAATTGAAGCTAATATATCTTGAGATCCCGCTAAAATCACTATATCTCCTCTCCTCAATCCCATATCATAAAATGCCTCAATAACATAATTGCACATTGGACATTGTATCATAAGTACAATCAGCCTTACTTGGGTGTCAATAATTGTCTGTAAAACACTTGTATAATTTTTTACTCCATTTCTATCTAGATTCCCTGGGATATGTCTTGAGTTTTCAGAGTTTATTATATCGATCCCAACGCTCTGCATTGAAGAATTTAAAGCTTGATAGACACCGATTCCTCATGTATCATATTCATAGAGAGCAACGATTTTTTTCCAGCCTAAAGCATTTAGTAATATTGACCACTTGCTATAGATCAGTGAGGTATACAGTCTTACATATAATGGGTAATTAGCAGAAGACGCTAGGCTGCCATCACCATTGGTACTTCCTATACTGGGGACAGTTATACTCAAATTTTTAAAGACCTGATATTGCCCTATAGCTACATTAGAACCAAAAGCAGTCAGATGGGAAAGCCCGATTTTGCCAATATCATGTTTATAGCAAGCTGTCGCAAATTCAGAGTTAAATAGAGACACTCCGCAGTCAAAATTAAACATTGTTATTTGAAAATTAGGTAAAATAGCGTTTCCTGCATTGATTTCATCTTGAGCTATAAAAGCGCCCATTGCAGCTAGCTTTGTTGTTGTGCTTGGAACGGCGCCAGGATTGGTCGTTCCAGCAGTTATGCTCAGCTCCAGAACCTTTTTCTTTGATTCTGGCAGAGTACTAGTGCTGCCAAGAAAAGTTAAGTTTCCAAAAAAATTAATTTTTCGATCTACAATAGACCCAATAACAACCCTTTTTCCATTCTGAATATTTACAATAGAATATTTGGCTTTATTATAATGATTTGGAAACTCTGATTCCAAAAAATATAGGAGATCTGAAAAAGTTTCTATTGGGTTTTGAAGGATGAGGTTTAGAAGATTTTTTATAGACTGATAGTAATGTTCAGCAGAAGAAGATACAAATTCCATTCCGGATTCAGTTGTAATTAATGATCCATCAATGCTGCATCCATAAGCACTATCTTGGTTAAGTAGAATTCCATTATCGCTTATTATTCTTTTTTAGGATATGAGATTATCCTTTATTGCTTATGTTTTCTTATCTTTTTTGCAAATGAAGCCAAAATATTTTTTACGAAAATTAATTTATTTTGAAATAGTATAACAATTTTTGCTTTTTTAACGCATTTTGCAATTTTATCGATTCTATAGGGCTAACTAAAATATAGTAAAGAGTTGCGCCTAATTGAGTAACAGTTTGATTTACAAGGTTTTCGATATCTTCGTAGGATTCTATTGTAAGAATTGAGAACGAGGAAGAAAAATTAAAAAAAAATTCTTTTATTTGATAATTTTCCTTATTGTTAAAAACGACACCTTGAGTTCAGTTAAAGTGGTCCATTAATGATAAAAACGCCTTCATTTGGTCTGATAAGGAGGAAATTGTTGAGTAAGTAAAATTATCTGAATATTTGAAGCTGCTTTGGTAAACCAGATGAATTAACTGGTGATCATGACTTACTTACTTAATATTAATACACGCTTAACGTCCAATACCACATTCCCTGCATGAGTATCCGTCCTGCTTCTGGGTTCCCCGCTCCACCATAATGTCGTGCACCACCTGGCTTCAAGGCTGAATGATCCCATCGGCTTCGACGTTCGGATTTCGACGGCCGTCCTTCCGGCTCACGGGTAAAACCAATTTGGGTCCATCAGACACCCTAAAGGTCCCAGTCTCCACCGCCTGGGGTTGGTGGCATCCTTCCAGAAAATTCGATTTCCCTAAGGGACAGGAGTCCTGCGTCGCGCACCACAGGCACTTGAAGCCCCGTCATCGCCGGGATAAATTCGCTGGGGAAAGCCAATCCTCATAATCAAAAAATTAGGAAGAGAATTTTCGGTCGGGAGACCAGAAAATTCGAATGACGCCATTTTTTGATTATAACTGGTGACCATGACAAAATCTTGAAAGCGAGTATTGAATATAAAAGTCTGTTGAAAAATCCAACAAAATTAATGAACTTGGGTATTTTTGTGCACAAAAATCAACACTGGAGTAGTTGCAAATGTGAAAATCAACTAAAAATTGGAAACTTTCAGATAGAGTCATAAAATCAGAATCATTTCACAATTCAGTGCTGACTTCTAAATCATCAGGCGAAACTGCTATAATTTCCACCGCATTGCAAGCCACAAGCCACAAAATTCCAAAAATGAACCGTACGGTTATCAATGAAAGTCTCATGGCAATATAATTTTAATTACTTTGAAACATGTTTTACTGGAAAATATATTATATCCCAAGTTTTAGTTTATTGTTAATTATTACGCATTTTCTCCAAAATGATTATAGACAAAAGAATAAAAAATTATAAAGAATATCTAAAATGCTTCAAAACTGAAATGGCAAGCCTATTATATGCAAATAATTAGTTATTTTATTTACTTATAAGCAAGCTAAAGAATATTTGCATTATCATCAAGCTTAGCCTATCAAAATTTCTTTAGGTAAAGATGAAAAGAACAAAACCTAAAACTATTAAAATAATTATGGCTAGTTATAAAAAGTGCAAGCGAATTTTCGATTTTCGTTAATTAAAACACAAAATAATTAAACTAAATTATTTTAGTTTTGGAAATTAAGAATTATTTTGAAATTAAATCCAATAGCTCATTTTTCCATAAAATAATAAATCATATCTATTTACAGGCTTTATTAAATCAAGTTTAATTTAAAACTTTTTTAACTCCTCAAAAAACATAATAATAGTCTTACAGATTTATGAAAAATTGCTTATATTTTATTAGCAGCATGGAAATTTAAAGCAGCGTGAATTTTTTTCCCATGAAATATCAGTTTAATTTTTAACTTTTTAAATAAACTTACCAATATAATAATAGATAAAAAATAGTTGCTTAAAGCATGCGAAAACAAATATTATCAGATAATGAATACTTATGTTTACAAGCACATCCTGATTTTACAAAGCCATAAACTAAGAGCTTAGTAATAAATAATCAAATGGCATTTCATTAAGCCTAATAATCTGTAATTTGCTCCTCCTCTGATTTTCCTATTATCCTTATAGATAAATATATGAAGCTTCAGAAATTTGCCTAAAATCCTATTCCATAAGCTATAAAAAATTAGGTGAAGCTATTAAGTATTACACTGGTCAATAATTGCAAAAAAGATAGCCAATTAAATAAAAAGAATTTTATGATAAAACAAACCGACTTTTTAAGAAATTTATTATTTTATTTTAGATAAAAACTCTTTCAATTTTTAAAATAAAAAATCAATGCAAACTTTCGAAAGAATTAATTAATCAATTATTTAATTTTATAATTATTAATTTATTGAACTTGAAGTTTTATGAAACAGTAATCAAATTGAAAATATACTCAGAGCCCAAAAATTACAGTTGTAAATCCATATTATGATACAATATGAAGGCAGCAACCAAATGGCGCAGTCCAAACCTTGAGTGTAAGTTTTTTTGAATGAAGACAATACACCAATCTTAGCTCGTGGCTATCTTGAAGAGAATTTTGTAGGAGAGGATTATGATAGAGGCTTGTAGATGAAGGAGACATGTGAAGACTATTGAGCAGGAGAGCTAATGGATGAATATGAAGAAGATGATTATCAGATCGATGAATTATAGGATATTGAAAATGAAAAATGCTAAAAGCAGAGGAAAGCTTGAGAGTATAAGGGAGATTTCCAATATGCAATCTTTTCGCTGTAGCAGAGATCAAGCATCACTCTAGTAGCACTTCTAATTATCTGCCTTTAGAATATAGAAAAAAGTGGAATGAAAATTTTTAAAGGCAATTTTTGTAAAATTGATTTGCCCTTTTCCAGAGCGATAACCGCATAAATAATATTTAATTATTCTTTAAGTCTTTTTATTGTATAACTTGTCAATAAATATGAGATTTTATGACAAATATTACCCAAACGGTATTTGAAAAACAATTTTATTATAGAAAAACACAAAATTTTAGAAATGAAGGATAGCTCTTAAATAATTAGAACTGTTCTGTGCGGAGCCACTCAAAGAAATTATGTCTTGGGACAAACCCATAGAGATCCTTTATTCTCTTTGATATCAATTGGCAATCAAGTGTATGTGCTAATGCAAACCATGGATAATTCGGAACCTCCGTCACATTGTCATATCTCTCCACATCAGTAACTCCAATTGCCTCAGAAACCTTCTCAATAATTGTTTCCACCTGAATTGGCTGCTCAGACCCATAGAACAATCCTACAGCTTTATTCTCAATCAAGACTCTATACATCTCCGCAATATCATCAGTATGGATTACCGAGACGTGCTTATTCCCTGAAGCTGCAATGATTTTCCCTTTTGCCTTGGACTCTCTGACCCACTGATCTACAAAGCTGTTTCCATATACCCAGACAGGTCTGATGACGCAGCCATGGAAATTTCCAGCAGAGGCGTTGATGACCATCCTTTCCAAGGTTGGCTTAAAGGCAACCCACGGGTGAGATCTAGATGTATCATCATGGTCTTCGTCCATTGGGCCTTGAGTTTCGCCATTGCACATGCACCCTGAGGTGGTAAGGAGGACAACAGGCTTGGTTTCAGCTGTTTTTTTGGCAGCTGCTATGAGAGCTGGGACTAAAAGGTGTTCAGTCCTTACGCCTTCTTCGTTTAGAACGAGGGCTGTGTGGATTATAGCATCGTAGCCGACGCATAATTCAGACAGCTGGGAGACGGAGTCAGGGGAAAGCTCGAAAATGATGTAGTGGCCGCCTTTCTGGACGATTTCTTGGCCTTTTTGGTCACTTCTGGCTGTGCAAGTGACCTCGTGGCCTGCAGCAACTAAACTTTTGAGGACTGAGCTTCCGATTGACCCAGTAGCACCAGTTAGAAATACTCTCATATTTATTACTACAAGCTGGAGAAGCATATCTTATAAGGGCAGCAGTTAAGTGAAGAATCTGGTTAAATAATTTTTATTATTAATTTTAAAGGCTAAGGTATAAGTTCTATATATAAAAGGTATATTAGCCAGCATAAGGAATGACTAGTGACTATAAAAGATAAAAAATTAGCATATTTTCTATTAATAGTATAATATGTCACACAATAAAAATTTTTTATAAAATTTTTTGCTTTATTTTAAGTTTATTCTAATAGGCCAAAAATTCTATTAATTAAACGAAAACACCAGATAACCTTTCCACTAAAAATCTAGATTTCATAAAGATATCAAAATTTCAGTATAAATTTAAAATTTTTATAAAAATTCTTAAATTTATTAAAAATCAGCTTAATGCTTTATTGATAATAAGAAAAACACCATACGTTTATCTACTGAACATTTTAATGAAAAATTTTAAATTCATCTAATATCAAAACCTGATATAATTTGAAAATATAATTATTTAAGTATTTTGGTTTCAATTAACTACTACTTTTTATAGCATCAGGGTCATAGCTAGTTGCTTTTCTTTCTATAAAGACATTTGATTGTATTTGGCTCATATCATTAAAGTTTTCTTCAGTTGTTGACTTTAAAGCAGTTTGAATAAAGGACTCAGAAAGATTCTCGACGTCTCTCTGTAAAAAAGAACCTTTAAGCACTTCTGTTCCAGCACTAAAGGCAGCTAGGTAGAGAACAACAAATATCATAGCTTTCATGTTTTTATTATAAACGCTTAATTTAGGTTATCCGTTTCTGCCATTTGCTCTTACTATAAAGTGGGATAATACTAATTGCCGCTTGAAGATTTCATATGAAAATTGAATTATAAGGCCAAAAATTATTTGCCTTAAGATTATGCAATGCTTTAAAAAGTTCTTTTGATTTAAAGCGATTCCAAAGAGACTTGGACTGATAAATTGGTATTTGCCTAAATTTTCATTGTGTTATTGAATTTATCTGGAGAAGATAATTGAAAGATACGCAAAAGGTTTGATCCTTAAATTAACGCAGATTTTTAATTTTTTAAACAAAAATTTTAATTATTGTGGAAAACAAAAAATTAAACCGAGTTAATATTTTAATTAATTTAATTTTATTTATACATAATAAGATAAAAATTAAATTATGGCATTTGCGCTTTACAAATCAAGCATTTCATAGACCGGATTTGTGTCATAATCACGTGCTTGTCTACTTCATTAATACCAAACTGTGTAAGGGTGTCTTCAAAAAGCTGAGAATAAAGGTTGAATTCTCTTTCTGTGATCCCCATTTTCTCATGAGCTAGCCTTATTTCTCTTCTAAACTCAAAGGTAGCGCATCCATTAAACACCCTCAGCATCCCTTTGGTAATCATTTTTAGGTTTGAGCTTGAAAAATACTTACTAACTCCCATCTCTCGGTGATCGAACAAAACCATTGGAAAAATCCCAATTTCTGTGAGCCAAACAAAAAATTTTTAATATTTGAATTTTTTTTGAAAAAAAATATTTTGATATAAAAGTGATAATTATTGTAATTAAATATCTAGCAATTCTGTTTGTATTAAAAACATAATTTTTACAAATTAAATTAATATTTGCTTTAAAAGCATTTTGAATATTTTTTAAAAAAATAATTAATCCACCTAAAGGTTTTTTTGCTCGCTCACGGAGGGACGAAGTAAGCTCCTCGCTTGAGAAAATTCGCTTATATAAAGCCATGATAAATTTGTTTCAAAAATCGTCCCCTCCATAAGTTTCGACCAAATTTCGGCTTTTTACCTTAAGTAGCTCTGTATTCATATTCATTTCGTCGATTTTTCTTATTGCGTCCATAAAGCATCTTTTTATATGAACGTCATAGGTATCGTCCCATAGGGATTTTGAAGTGTTATAAAAATCATTTTTATCGTGAAAATCCTCAGTTTTAGATTTTTTTAATTGAGGGTCCTGAAGAATTATCGTACGTTTTCTGGTCGAGGACCGTTTTTCGTAAACTTTGAAGCTCTGCTGCTTAAGGTTTTTAATTCTCGCTAAATTTGAGGGTTTTAAGGTCATGGCTGGGTCGGATTTTTCTTCGATTTTTACGTGCTTTGAGTTAGAGATTGGTGGCAATTGAGGAGTATGCATTGTTTTTGATGGTCTTGGAGGAGAATTTTTCATAAAAGGGTACATAACTGCACCTTCTATAGTGATTTCGGGGCTTTGATCCATATTCAGAGCTTTTAAAAAGTCTGAATTAGTCTCTGCTTTTGTATCAGGAAAAGAGATAGCTCGTTTTACCTGTGAAACTTCTCCTAAATTGATTCCTCCTATTTAATATATATTAAATGGCATGGCGAATTGGCCTGGCCTATTAACTCGTGTAGTAGGTTAGTTTAAAGGAACTTGAGGAAGGAAGAGAGGCGCCTGATTTGTATCCAGTAAGATTTTGCTGACACAGACCGGGCTGAATGCTGAACTTATCAGCCAAAGATCTAATTCTGAGGTAGATTTGCCTTATGAGAAAAATGGGAATCGAGCTGGAAAGAGTTTACTAGAAGTTCTGGGCCAATCGAAAAATTTACCTAGCGTGATGCTGCTTCAAGTTTTCCATTTTATCAACATCTGACCAGAAATTTATATATTTTCGACTTTTCCGTGGAAAGAAAATCTGTTTATGCGCGGCATGGTGACACGGGCCTACTGACTTCAGGATAAGCCACCTTAGGTTGGTATCTTGAAGAACTTTTATTGAAAAAAATAAAAGCGGATGGAGTAGCACAGAGCAAAGCAATGAGCAGACTGGCGAGTTAGTAGTCTAGCGCAATGAAAGTAAATAAGGGGTTTCGGCTGAGCTTTTTAATAATATTAACTAATGATAAAGATTTCTCCTAGCTCTAGTTTAATTTCGCTATTTTTCAGCGAAACCTCTACACAGTCTAAAAACACTCATTTTCTATCTTTTCCATATATAAAATCAAAAGTGATTTCTCTAGCTCTTTTCTTCGTAAACTAAAAATAAAAAGTCCTAAAATTCTGTATAATTATTTTTTTAAAATAAATTAATTTAATAATTATCTTAAAACTGTATCAATAAGCCTCATAAGCTAAAATTATTTTTGATAAAAAAAATGAGTAAGCTCTTCATCTTTATAAGCCTGCTTTCTCAAAAAATTGATAATTTTTTCTAGCATACTTTCAATTTCTGGCACTTTTACAGTGTCTTCAATTACCAATATACCATCTGAAACCTTTGTGTTTATAATAGGATTCTGATTTGTCTCTATAACTTGCTCTTCCGCTGAAAATCGATCAGTTGAATTTCCTAAATTTCGAAAATTTTTGAGTGAAGGACATCGATCCACCACCAATCTTTCAGTCGCGGGCGTTAAACAGTCAATACTATTCCTATCATTTCCCTTTAAAATCGACAAACTCATGGTGCTTCTAAAATTCTTCGGGGTCATTGTGATACTCCTTGTCCTCTTATCTTCAGTTTTCCTCTTATAAACTGGCTTTGTTTTATTAGAAATCAAAAAAAATTTTGTCCTTCCCCCAATTCTCCAGTGCACCCTTGTCAATGAGGACGGTTTTGTCCTTGGCTGTATAAAAATTTGCATTTTATCTGAAGTTTCTGTAGACGAGCTTCATAGGCTCATTGCGCTTTCTTTTGTATACAAAAATTGTGTTCGTTTCCCAAGGACTTTATAGCAGCACACAGGATTGTCATTGCCATTTTTCTCAGGAACTCCAGCAAAGAAATCTTCATCTGAGCATAAACGAGTAATAATTGCCCCATATTTATTGTTTTGCACTAAATAGCAGAGATTTGTGTTGCTGATCCTCAATAATGTAGTTGGAATTTTGGCAATTATGTTATTTAAATTGGCGTGCAAGCAAAAAAGTCGGTAGATATCAAGCTGCTGACTGTTATTTAATTTTGGTAGTGAATTAAATTCTTTTTTGTTTAAGGGTGGAGCTTGGATTTTGCTGTATAAGCTAAAAGGATCTGGGTTAGAAATTGAGTTTGAGTAGCTTGGTGAAGGCTCACCGATACTTGAATAATCTTCCATATGATATTTATATGTTTAGCATTATGGTCAATATTTTATTTAATAGAGGGAAAAATCTTATTTGTCAACTCTGAGATTTTGGTTGAAATCATAAGAAAAATTAAATTTTTTTTAAATGATTGGCAATGAAGGTCAATAAATAGGCAATTAATAATATTTAATTATTTATCGGGGCAGCCATGAGTTATTATAATAATAAATTAATTTTGATTGCTGTTAAAACTAGGTTATACTTTATTATGAGTAGCGCAGTGATGATTGATGGAGAAAGAAAAAATTTTAAATGGGAGTTAATCGTTTAGATAAGAGGGAAATATAAGACTTAATAATACAGAGAGGTTAATGATGAAACTTTTGAAACGAGGGTATCACAAATTAGAAAAACCGTCGATAAAGCTTACAAAAATGGAAAATCTTCGTACTAGTGAAAGAAGTTCTATTAAAACTAATATGCCATAATTTTAATAACGATCTATTTATTTCACTTTTTAAATTAAAATAAAAATAAATGGAAATGGCAAGTCAAGCGATAATAAAAGCTCTTACTCCTCCCCCATCCGTGAGTGAACAAAGCCATTAGAAAAATCGCTATTTTTTGCCCAAAAACCCACCCTCCGTATACAAATATTTTTTTAATAGAAAAATTTTTGATATATAAATCATATAATTAGTATAATGAAATCTAGAGCTAATTCTGTTTAATTTTAAACGAATTGCTTTTTAAAACATAAATTTTGCAAATTGAATTAATATTTGCTTTCCAATTTTTGCGATTTCGGATTTTTTTAAATTTCGAAAAAAAAAAAATTTCTATATAAATTTTTTTAAAAAAGCAAAATTAACCCCCGTGAGTGAATTAAGAAAATTTATCTATAACTATTTTCGATTTTTTTATCATTCTTCGTTATTATATCTTTATTATGCTGATTTTTAATACCATTTTAAATTGTTAATTAAAGTATTTCTCAATCAATCTACTTCCAATAGTTTAACTTATTAGTAATTGTTTTCAATTTTATCAATATCACACCTTTCTCGCTAGCATTTTAATTTTATTTTAGACTTCCGCTGACTTCACTCCCCCCCCCTCGAAGTTCGACCAAGATTTTTTTGGTCGAACTTCGAGGGGGGTTAAGAAAAATTTTTTTAAAAAAAATTATATAGAATTTTTTTTATATATATAACTTACTCCCCCCCCCCCCCCTCCGTGAGCGAACAAAAAAATTTTGTTCGCTCACGGAGGGGGGGTTAATTTTTTTTTTTAAAAAAAATTTATATATAAATTTTATAAAAAAATATTTTTTTCGAAATTTAAAAAAAATCCTAATTTGCAAAAATTGGGAAGCAAATATTAATTTAATTTGCAAAATTTATGTTTTAAAACGCAATTTGTTTAAAATTAAACAGAATTAGCTCTAGATTTCATTATACTAATTATCACTTATATATCAAAATTTTTTTCCATTAAAAATTTTTTCTATTAAAAAAAATTTTTGTTCACTCACGGAGGGTGGGTTTTTGGTCAAAAAATGGCGATTTTTCTAATGGTTTTTGTTCGCTCACGGAGGGGGGGGGGGGGAGTTAGTAGTTTAAAAAAAAAAAATATTTATCATATTCTTCTGTATGGTTGAGAGGGTGTAAGGGTTAGAAAAAATAGTGCAAGATGGTTTTTTAATGCTTTTTTAGAACTTGAATGCAAAAATCGCAAGCTCACCCCCACATAGATTAAAATTTTTTGAAAAATGCTTATTTTCCTAGTAAATTTATATAGGTCTTGGTCGAATTTTGAGGGGGGTTAATTTTCCAAAAAAATAGGAATTTTCCCTATATCTTGGTCGAACTTTGAGGGGGGGGGAGTCAGGAAATTTTTCATTTTTATTAATTAAACTCATTTCCAGTAAACAAAATTATTTTAATTAGATTTGGAAAGTAACCTCTCCTCCTTGTTTCATGAAATCGATCACATTGACTCCAGTTTCATCTTCGAACATTTTGTTAGCTTGTCTTGGGTTGATTTCTCCGCTTTCTACGCTTCTCCAGATCCCATCACTAAAGGCAATAATATCTTCATAGCTCATATTGGAAATCGTTAGGATTTCTGCACCGTTTTTGGTTGATGTGACAGGATGATATTCTTGTGTTTCGGCCCAAGCTTCTTCCATAACTGGCTCAAGGACTTCTGTTTCTGCTTGTAAGAAGGCTTGAGATTCAGATAAGGCTGCAAATGAACAGACTGCAAGGCAAGCAATTAAGAAAAGCTTTGACATTTTAATTATAACGATACATTTAACGTTCTAAATTTATCTTTGTTGCATTGCGGATAAATATGGCATAAGGGAATTTTGAAAGAATCTGACTGAACTGTTATAAGGAAGTTCGAAGGTTTGTTAAGGTGATGATAAAATTTTTGGGTAAAGAAAACTTTATGCTAATGATTTATGCAGAACTGATTTTCTAGCTTCTAAAAAAATTTGCTTTGAATTTATGCTTTAAATAATTGCAAAACTTTAACTGAAAAATTGGTCAATGTTAACGAAATGTCCTTAAAATAAAAAACCAACAAATATTTTATAGGAAATTATATATACACATGAAATTAGCAATTCATCTTTAACAATCACCAAACCATTGAAATGATTTAATTATTTCTTTACAATGCAATATTTTTTGAAGACAAGATTTCTTCTGCCGCTGTAATTTGGTTAAAAAGCCGTTTTGACCTATTTCCACAATCATCTAATTTTTCCTTTATCTCATTTAAGCTGCTTTTAGTATTTTCCAAAGTCTGTGGATGAATAGCATTTGATTTTTTCAATAATGAATAATAATGAGAGTCGTGCTGAGCAATTTCAATGATTCTAATAAAGCTGTCTTGCATGTCTTCTTCGACCACTAATTCCCCTTGGCTTTCCTCACAGATGTGTTGGATCAATTTTTTCCGATTTTGTTTAATTAATTTCAAATAGTTTGAAGTTTTCGATAAAAGCTCAATTTTTATGTCAACTTGCTGCTTGTTTAAAAACTCTCCAAATTTCACTAAATCTCGCTCGCATTTCAGCTGAATTGCGTATTTTTCACACTCGTCTATTACCTCTAAGAGATGAGCCTGCTTTCCCATTAATTCATCTGAAATTTCTGGGCTTGCTTCTGTGCTTTCTAAATTATCAAGAAAATTGCAGTAGTCTCCCATCCCTCCTGTGTCGACCACTTTTAAAGTAGCTGAACCTCCTTTTACAGCCCATGGATTACTCATTTTCTTATTAACAAAAATTTCTAAAATAATTCATATCTTTTTTACTGATCTTTTGTATATTTCACTTCAAAATTTATAGCTCATCTGTTTCATTAAAAATGCCAAAATACAAAGCAGTTCGTATTCCTTATTTATTAACTCCCCCTCCTTTTAAATTGGAACAAAAAATTCCTGCTCCAATTTAAAAGGGGTTACTATGCTTTTTAAAACGAAATTTTATATTTAAATTATTCTATAAAAAAATCTTACTACCCCCCTCCGTGAGTGAACAAAAAAGTTTTGTTCACTCACGGAGGGGGGTTAATTTTTGTTTTTTAAAAAATTTATATATAAATTTTATAGAAAAATTTTTTTTTCAAAATTTAAAAAAATCCTAATTCGCAAAAATTGAAAAGCAAATATTAAATTAATTTATAAAATTTATAGTTTTAAAAAGCAATCTGTTTAAAATGAAACAGAATTAGCTCTAGATTTCTATATACTAATGATAACTTATATATCAAAATTTTTTTCCTAACTCCCCCCCCCCCCTCCGTGAGCGAACAAAAAAATTTTGTTCGCTCACGGAGGGGGGTTAATTTTTTTTTTTAAAAACAATTTATATATAAATTTTATAAAAAATATTTTTTTCGAAATTTAAAAAAATCCTAATTTGCAAAAATTGGGAAGCAAATATTAATTTAATTTGCAAAATTTTATGTTTTAAAACGCAATTTGTTTAAAATTAAACAGAATTAGCTCTAGATTTCATTATACTAATTATCACTTATATATCAAAATTTTTTTCCATTAAAATTTTTTCTATTAAAAAAATTTTTGTTTACTCACGGAGGGTGGGTTTTTGGTCAAAAAATGGCGATTTTTCTAATAGTTTTGTTCGCTCACGGAGGGGGGGGGGGGGGAGTAAAAAACTTTTCTATTAAAAAAAATTTTTGTTCACTCACGGAGGGTGGGTTTTTTAAGCAAAAAATAGGGATTTTTCTAATGATTTTGTTTACTCACGGAGGGGGGGAGTTAAAAAATATAATTGAGCACAATACTTGGTTTTTAATTTATTTTATGAAAAATTAATCGATTCAGTGTGAAAAACTGTTTAAATAATTAAATTAATCAAAACTAATTTTTATATAATAGTATTTTCATCCCTATTGGATAACAATTTTTGTTCCAATTTAAAGGGGGTTTAAGTACTCAAAAAATGGATATAGCTCATACCCCTTTATAGATTTCTTTATCGAGCAAAATGTACTGGATTATTGAACGACCAAGAGAGACTCTATTAGAGGAACGGGCTGGATATCTATATCAGGAAGTGCTAAAAAGTGACATGTCCAAAAATGGTGACAAGTCTGAAAAAAGTTGACAAGTAAACGCGCCAATTTTTAAAATGGATTTATTATTAAAATAATTTAAAACTTAAGATATTTTAATTTTAATCAATATTTAATTATGCTAAGTACACATAATATGAGTCGATAAGAACTTTGTATATATTGAGATACACAAGCCACGGACTTTGCAAATTATAGCTCTAGTCTTCATATATAAATTAGCATAAAATAAAGAAATTCTATCGAGCCGGAAAAATGCACATTGAGTTGCAAGTTTTTGATTTTCACTTGTAAGCCATATTGAATTTTTGCTAAATACTTCTCATATGAGTCGATAAGAACTTTGTATATTTGAGAATCACAAGCCACGCACTTTGCAAATTATAGCTCTAGTCTTCATAAATAAATTAGCATAAAATAAAGAAATTCTATCGAGCCGGAAAAATGCACATCGAGTTGCAAGTTTTTGATTTTCACTTGTAAGTTAAGTACTTCTCATATGAGTCGATGAGAACTTTGTATATATTGAGAATCACAAGCCACGCACTTTGCAAACTATAGCTTTAGTCTTCATAAATAAATTATCATAAATAAAGAAATTCCATCGAGCCGGAAAAATGCACATTGAATTGCAAGTTTTTGATTTTCACTTATAAGCCATATTGAATTTTTGCTAAGTACACATCATATGAGTCGATAAGAACTTTGTATATTTGAGAATCACAAGCCACGCACTTTGCAAATTATAGCTCTAGTCTTCATAAATAAATTAGCATAAAATAAAGAAATTCTATCGAGCCGGAAAAATGCACATTGAGTTGCAAGTTTTTGATTTTTACAGCTATTATTAAATTTAAATATATATAAAATCAAAATATTTAAAGCCAATATATAATGTGTAATTATATCTTCTGTCTAATTGGTATCTTAAGTTTTAAATTATTTTAATAATAAATCCATTTTAAAAAATTTGGCGCGTTTACTTGTCAACTTTTTTCAGACTTGTCACCATTTTTTGATCCAGCCCGTTCCTTTAATAGAGTCTCTCTTGGTCGTTCAATAATCCAGTACATTTTGCTCGATAAAGAAATCTATAAAGGGATATAAGCTATACTTTGCCGATGCTTTTTCTAATTTAAAGGGGGAGTAAATAAAAATATTAATTAAATTAAAAAAATTAAGGCAAATTCAAAGAAAACATAATACTCACTCTCCTTTCATGCACCGGAACAAAACAACTTCTCCATCACCCAGAGGTGTCAGTTTTTCTGTCAAAGATACTAACAACTTTTCAATCTTCATGCCTCAAAGCTGTGACTCTTCGTTTTTAGCAATTTCTCATCAAAAAGCTAAGCTTATAAATAAAATCAAAATTTGCACAGGACTCACTCCTGCAATTGACAAAAAATCAGCGAAAACTGATCCAAATACGTCAGCACTTGAAAATACGGTTGCAAAGCCAGAAACGAGTAATAAGGATAAAAGATCAAATTTTAACCTATTCTGTCTATAATTAATAAAAATTTAAAAATAAAAAATTAATTTTTCCAAATTCTATATGAAAAGAATACTAACGAATGGAATCAAAGTAAAAAGAATTCAAGAAGAAAGCAAGCTTTCAGCCCAGCCAAAACTAGCCAAACTTGAAATAACTGAAGAAAGAACGCTAAGAGCTGAACGTAGAAGCCAACCTAATAGCCTTGATAGCTGAAACGAAATTTTAAACGCAAAGCCTGACGTCGAAAAAAGCTGCCTTATTATCAAGAAAAGCAATTTGGCTTCATATGAAGAATATTTCACGCAAAAAAACAAGTTTAAAGAAATGTATGCAGCGATACGGCCTTTAAAAGTAACTTTAGATCAAAAGAAAAATGTCAAGGAAAGGATCACAATCCCACATGTTAAAAAAGTTGCAAAAAAAATCGAAAAAATTTCGGTAAAAGAAGCTATGAGAGACAAAGAATGAGTTTCCAAAGCAAAATCTCAAATAATAAAAGACATGACTTTTCAAATCAGCTGAAGCAATGGGATGAGAATAACCCCTCCATGTGAAAATTTTTTTACTTATAAATATTATTTAGGAAGAGGAAATAACGCAAGGCTGGTTCAGCAGTGCTTGAATTCCAGATGGTGATGGACAAGGGTAACCAAAGAAGAAATTGACAAGGCAAATTTTATATGGACTCAGTGAAAAGATAAAAATATCATAGAAAGCTTATCCTCGCTATCTGACATAAAACATGACCAAGAAGCCATCACAAGCCCAGTCTCAATCTCCTGCAACACAAGATTTGTCTGAATAAGCCCTACAACCAACATCTCCCAAACCAAAATTGTTGACCTAGCCCCATTAGGCTACGATTTAGTCACAAAATCCGAAAGTTTTTCTCATATCGCTTGCAATTTCCTATACAACTGCTCAGAAATGAAAATTTGTAACAAAATCGAGCATAATTACCATCTTTCTAATAAGAAAGCGCTTTTTGCGAATTTAAGGCAATATTATTTAGCTATAGGGAAAGACCCTTTTGACTATATTCCAGTCACTTTTCATATAACAAAAGGAGAAAATGATGAAGAATTCGTCAAATTTGAAGAAATTTATAATACAAAAATTTCAGCTGTTTCTGCAGAGACACTTACGAATATTTGGATAGTAAAACCAGGGGAAAATACAAATAGAGGCAATGGGATTACTGTTTGTTCCTCCCTAGAGCAGATTAAAGGGATTATCAGAAGCAGCAACCCGGATAAGACAAATAAACGCACATTTATTATACAGAAATATGTAGAAAACCCTTTCCTAGTCCACAAGCGGAAATTCGACATCAGATGCTACGCATTAATTACCTGTTTCAATGGGGTAGTCCAAGGATATTATTATAATGAAGGCTATTTAAGGACTTCCTGCAAAAGTTTCTCAATCAATAACATAGAAGATCCTTTTACCCATTTAACTAACGACGCTATCCAAAAACAATCAGAAGACTACGGTAAATTTGAAAGCGGGAACAAAATGTCTTATTCAGATTTCCAACGGTACCTAGACTCCCACCCTGCAGAAAACCAAAAAAACTTCTTACTTGACGTCCTCCCAAAAATGAAGGAAATAGTCAAAGACACCATACAGTCCGTCTGCTTAAAAATCGACCCAAAAAAACGTGCCCATACTTTTGAGATTTTTGGGTACGATTTCTTACTAGACAGTGAACTCAAGCCATGGCTGCTAGAAGTCAACACAAATCCCTGTTTAGAGCTGTCGTCTCCTCATTTAGCAAGGATTATTCCTTCTATGCTGGAGAATTCCTTTAGGATCGCCTTAGATACAATTTTCCAAGAACCGACCTCAGCGTATAGGCGGTCTACAAATAGCGTTATATTGGAGCCGCTGCCTGAAAACCGATATGAGCTGGTGTTCCACTCGTGTAATGATGGAGAAAAGCTGATAGAAGAGCTTAAACAGCGAGGGACACTTGAAGATTTTATGTACATTGACCCATCAATTCAAGAAATTTCTGAAGAAATTGATGAGGAAGCCCCTTCAGAAAAAGAAAAAAAAGGAAATTCAGAAGGTGAAAATGAGGAGTCTGAGGATGAAGGACAATAATGTGATAAATATAATTTTTTAATATGAACAGGTCTTATGATAATGATTTTTTACCAACTACAAAGGATTTTATTTCGCATTGGACGAGGAATTCTGAAGTAAAAAACAAAAAATCGAAGTCACAGTTTCCACAGAAGATGAAAAGAGCTGCGAATTCGGAAGCTCAGCTGACACAGGTGAAGCTGCCTCCGCTTTCTTGCAAAATTGGGTCGCTTAAAACCTTTTTAAATCCTGATGATTTTGCGAGAAGTGCAAATGATTTTCAAATTCAAGAAAAAACATCTAAATCGGGGTATAGCTCTTGATTCCATAAAGAGCTATTTTTATTCTTACAAAAAAATGCAATTGACTGCTTTAAGCCCATCTTATTTCTCTAAGTTTTTTTTATTAGTCAATTTTTGTATTGAAAGCAAAAAAAAAGGCTATAATGTCAATAGAAATAAGGATTATCTTATATAGGAGAAAAACTTGGAAATTGTATATAACGATGAATGAAGAACTGTCAAGTAGCTCAGTTAAGGAACAGTTAAATAATTTAACTGAAGGGCAAGATGACTCTGAAAGTGTAGACCCAAGAAAATTGCTGCTTTATGATAAGCATGCGATCAATAGAAGAAGAGCTGCTGGGAAAATTTGTGAAACAATTGTGGAAGAAGTAAAAAAGCAGTTTGGGCATATTGAGCAGAAAGTTGAAGCGCCACAGGTGATTGAGAGGTCTGGAGATCCAGTTGAAAGACTAAGAGAAAAGCTTGAAAAAATTAAAATCGAAAAAATCAGCGATTCCAAATTTTATGAAACCGGCACACCCAAAAACTCCACCCGGAAAAAAGGCGTGAACTTTCGAAGCGAATTAGATTCAAAAGACCACGAAGAAACAGTCTCCCACGAGTCCAACGTCCTTAAATCAAGCAAAAGCTTCGACAAAATCCAAAGGGACGAAATAGTCCAAAGCGGCGATTTAACAGAGCTCCTCAGCATTGACTCAGCCAGAGACAACTTAGGCGCCGAGGCCTCCGCAATCCTCGCAAAAGCTATGATTTTTCTTAACCTCCAAAACCAATTCGAAAAAACTGGTGCAAAAATCCTATTTGATGGGATAAGAGATATCATTGAAAACGCGTTTTCTTATAACATAAGGTCCTCTGTATTCAAAAAAAGATTTATTTCAATTAACAGAAACTGCTTGTCTTTTCCAAGCTGCGGGATTGACCAATTGAAAATTATTTATTTGATAAAACATTTTACGTGCTTTTTTACACTAGTAAAGGTCGATTTTTCAGGAAATCAGATAGGGGATAAAGCCGTGGCCGCGCTTACGTTAGCCTTGATGCATGCAAGCCCATGCCTTGAAGATTACGATTTATATAGAATTTAGCTGAATTTGTATTTAATTTATGCATTTTAATAAAAATAGTTATTTAAGGATATAAGTGTATCGTATACTGGGATAGGACTTCCATCAGCCCAGGCGCTACAGCAATATTTATCAGACAGCCCCTGCCAAATCCAATTTTTAAGGATCGAAGGCAACAAATTCGAAGACGCCGGAGCCTGCTGTATCGCAATGGGCCTTCTCTGCAACTCTAGCGTCAAATTCTGCAACATCAGCAAAAATGATATGGAAACTGCCTCAGGCCTGGCTTTTTCCAAAGTTATCAGAATAAATAGAACCTTAAAAGGCCTCAACCTCTCCTTCAGCACTTTTGACGAACACGTTTCTAAAGACTTATCTCGATCTCTTATAGTAAACACTGAGCTTAAAAGCTTAGTTCTCTATAAATGTGGGCTGACTGATAAAGATATGAGGGAATTCGGACACATGTTGAGCGCCAATGTAGCCTTGCAGCAGCTTATGCTGAACCAAAATGCAATTGGGTATAAAGGATTGAGCAATTTATCGTATGGATTAGAAAAAAATAAGACGCTTGCTCATTTAGGGTTAAGCGGAAATTTGGGGATTAAATTGAGGATGCTGGAAAAAATGAAGGAATTTGTACCGAGAGAGGTGGAAATTGATATAGCGAAGGAGGATGATTTTTTTAGGTCGGCTGAGGAGAAAAAGCTGAAGCTGATGGAATTGATAAGATAAATAATCATATATTAGACTGATAAAATGCTGGTTTTTAGAAATTTTAAAGTGAAATTAATTAAAGCAGAAGATTTTCTTATAAAAATGCTGTATTATAAGAAATCCTATTAAACATAATCCTATACAAAACATTATTTTGTAACGATGTTTAAAGCTATTTTAATTATAATTCTATAGTCTCACTGAGAAACTGTATAAAAGAAACTGGGATATTTTCTTCTGGAGTATGCTGCAAAACTTCTTCAATAACTTCTGTCATTATTTTACAAGAATTTTCAATAGCTTCTCTTTCTGACTTTAATTTCACCTCATTTTTAAGCCGATCCCAAATGTTATCTTCTTCATGTGTTTTCATCATTTTTTCAAGGACCGGGTCTAGTTTGAAGCTGCCAAGCTTATTAATTTTTCCGATGTTAGAAACATGTCCTCGAGAGCATTTGATGCATCGAGCCCGGCTTATCCCGTGTAAGCAAAATAAATCGTGATTATCAAGCATTCTTTCGCAGTCAGCAAGAACTTTTGAGATATTCCACAGTGTCATAAATTCCTATACACTTTCTGCTAGTTAAAATATTTTTTATTAATCATTTGTGAGCTAATTTTTTTATAAAAAAAATAGAAATTTATTAAAAAACTATTAAAGGGAGTGTATATTTAATTTAAAGCACATATTATTGGATTTCAATTATTCAAATTTCCTTTCATCTTATATTGCTCTGACTGTCTATTTTTCTTTCTTTCCACCTCGCTTTAATCATAAATTCACAATTCCTTTTTCGATTGTTTTTTATTTTATTTCTAACCTAATCTCTTATATAAACCTGAGGCAAACTTCTCACCCTTCTCTTAAACTGGCTTGGTGTCTTAATAACTTCTCTATTTTTTGTGACGCTTTCTTGGCTTTCCCTCATCCCTTCACATATAACTTCAACATCCAGTCTTCTTGCGCCGTCAAAAAACAGCTCCTCAAAGCACCTCTGGAACTCTTCTTTCGTCACTTTTCTCAGCTCAGCCTCAATATCTTCTCTTCTGCCAAATAAATAAGCCCCAGAATCCACTTCTAATATGAATCTCCTATACTGCTCAAAAATTGACATATCTTTTTTCGTCAATGATTTAATGGTCGATTCTCTATTTGTGTTGAATTTTTCGTCAGAAATTTCTTTTAATTCTTTTCTAATTTCGTTTATATTTATTTATTATAAATTAAAATTTTTTTTATTTTTTTTAAAAAAACAATTTGGTTTGGAAAAATGGATTATAAAATTAGAAATTCTGTTAGTCAAAAAGAATGGGGCGGCCACAGAAGATTGGACTATGATATTGAAATGGAGAACACCTCTCAATTTTCTTATAAAGGAAGAAACTATATAGCCAAGCTGCTCCTTGGTGCGGAGAGTGTCATAGCAAGGTTCTTTAATAAAAGTATCAAGAACCGACAAAATAGCTTGGGATTTCAAAGTTTCAGCGTCCAGCTGCCACAAACTGACAGAAATTGAGTTATTATTGGTTTGATCAAGCAGATAAACAGGGTAAACCAATGATGATACTGACGTCTCAAATGGGGTTTTAGGGATTTCTATTACTTGCAGCCTAGGATAATCATCTTTTCTTATATAGCAGCAGTTTTTAGCTTGTTCAAATACCCTTGTGCAAGATTCCACCATAGAAATTGTCCTTTCTTGGCTAAAATTTCCCATGACAAACCATTCAAACCTGACAGTTTTGAGCCACTTGGAATGAAACCATAATAAATCTTCAAAAGTGACGTTTTGTAAAGCTTTTAACTGGTCAAGCTCAGAAAAATGTCCTTTCAGCAGCATCAAATCAATGCAAAGTTTCATAGCTTGATTGGTCGGCGCTGACAAGAAATGGTTATTTAACGAGTCATTTATATGTGTCCAATGGCTTTGGAACAGTTCTTTATCATCATTATCAATAACCACAGTCGCCAGTCTCTCCAAAACAGTCTCGAAGAATTTATCATATTTTTGACTATACCCTGACAAGCTTAATTTCAGTCCATAATGCTCCAAATGCAAGCTTAATTTCAGCCCGCCCTGTTCAGCCAAATAATTTTCTTCCCTAAATTTATCCCAAAATATTTTTCTCCAGATTTTTGCTAACTCCCCCCCCATCCTTGATCCTTGAACGAACGATTGACTGTAAAAAATTCCTAAAAATTGGGAAAATTAACCCCCATCCTTGATCGAACGATTTTTCATATCATGCAAAATTTTATATATATAAAAATATATTAGTTATCAAAAGTTTGGGAAGATGTGCATAATGAAGTTGTTTTCAGAGACTTTGAGACGACAGAAAGCTTCGGAATCAACCATTCGAAGTGATTTAGTCATCAATCAGGGCTTAAAAACTCAATAATCTAATAAAATAGAGATTCTTTAAAATTTTTAAAAAACAATTTAATTTAATAAGTAACAAATTAAAATTTATACAGTTTAAAAGGGGTAACTAATAAATAAAAATAAGGACTGTCTTGGAAGCCAGCGTCGTTACAATATATCATTAATTGTGAACAGACTTTATCGACTTTAAATGTGTCGTCTTGTTTGTGCCAGACTGTATTTTTTTCGTTATCGAGGATTCGGAGAGGTAATGGTTTGTCTGAGAGTGGGAGAACGTCGAAAACGGTAGGGATAAAGTCGTTTCTTACTGGGAGGTCGAGGACGAATTTTGGGTGGGATACTTGGAAGTTGGTCATTTTGGTTTGAAGGTCACTGGAAAATTTTTCGACAGAGTATTTTGTGCCGTACCATCTTTCGGTCTGCATTTGGCTTTCATCGAATTTTTTGCTGATTAGGTAAACTTGTAAATTCTGGGGTGTTAAAAGGTCAATAAAAGATCTTATGTTGAAATAAAGCAAAAGGTATAGTAAAAATATTTATAAAGACTGATTTTTATAGAAAATAAGTATGTTTAAGCATTTTTTAATTAAATTATTAAACAGAGAATAGTAAATCAGGATTGAATTCTTCAATTAAATCAGATCCAGAAATGATTTTTTCATGAGGATACCTATGAAGTCTCCAAGACAGATATTCGCAATATGACAATGGATCACTTTTGCTTTTGAAATTAAAATCTGCCTGTGCCAGTGCTTTTATTTCTTCATAAATCCACTCTTGAACCCCTTTTTCTTTCAGCATAGCAATATACGCATGCGTAATTTCTATAACTCTCTCATAGTTTTCCAGTCCTTTATCAGTCAATTCTACATTGACCACCAAAATGCTTAAATTTGAGTACTGTTGACCTGTTCCACTAGCAGATAACTCTTGAGCTAGACCTTCAGCTTTCAGAAAAGATAGCAAGCTGTTTTTCCCTTCATGGCCTATAAGATGGGCAATATAGTTTCCAGGCTTGGATTTGTAATGGATAATGGTCGGCGGCCATGACCAGAAAAATCGTATATGTTTTACATCTTGGACTGGGACTACTTTTACAAGGATCCCTGAGACAGTTTCATCATATGGCATTCTCATGTCGACTTCTGGGACTAAATTTTTGTCAACTACTGCTGTAAAGCTTTGTCTGACCCAGTTTTCGAGTGTTTGGATGTTTTCTTTGCCATATAAAACGATACCCATGATGTTGCTGGAATATTTTGTGTTGTAAAATTCTCTGACTTGATCATATATGTCTGGCTTATTTAAAGTTTCCATATTCCCAGTCGCAAAATGATTAAAAGAATGCCACTCAAGTGCGAAATTTCTTGACAACTGCCAAAGTCTCCACATATCATTTTTCAAGTTTTTACTATGTTCTGAGTCAACAGCTTTCAGTTCTCTATCCACCGCATCTTTTGTGAACAAAGGCCCAATAAAAAATTGTGCAAAAATCTCTAAAGCTTGCTCCAATTTATCAACAGAAACCTTAAAGTGGAAATTTGTATCTTCAGTCCCTGTATAGGCATTATCAGAGCCAGCATTTTCAGATAGAAAAGAAGAGTATCCTTTTTTCCATTACCAATCGATTTTTATATAAATAATTATTTTTTATTTATTTTATATTAAAAAATATAATAATTTTCCACTGGGTATTTTTCAGTGCCAAGAAAAAGCATGTGCTCCAAAAAATGAGCCAGCCCTTGGGTACTTTTAGGGTCTGACTGACTTCCTACATTCACATCAACCGAGGCTGCTGCCATGTCAGTGTCAGGGTCACTGATAACGAGACATTTCATCTTGTTGGGGAGCTCGAAATAGTGATAGTCACGTGAGTCATTTGGGCTCTTTTCGATTGACATTTTTTATTAGTAGTCAGAAGAGGAAAGGATTTTAACAAAATTAATTGGAAACATAATGGTTATTATGCATAAGATCCTGTCGACGAGTACCCAGAATATACAGTAGAAACGTCTTCTAGCGGGTCTCCAGCGTCTTCAATTCTAAATGTAACTCTTCTTGCTTTGTGCTTGTTTGAGCTTTTATGAAAGTGAGAAAAAATCTCAGTCATCAGCCCAGGGACTGATGCAATGATTTTTTCCATGTCAGGCTGGCATTCTTTGACTTTGTTGTATTCCTTAACGAAAACTTCTTTGCATTCGCTCATCAAGTTATAATCTTTTAAAAATGAATATTTCAATAGTTCTTAAATTAATTTATTTTGTTTTTTCATTAGTCACTTTTTAATAAAATATTTATTATTTATTTTATTTTTTTATTAATAATTTATTGATATTTTCTTTATTTATATATCAATAAAAATATAATTATTTAATCAAAATTTTATTAAATATCATTTTAATTTGGCAAGATATATCTGATACTAATGGCAACTTATGGGCGATTTCCATAATTTGTACCACATTTTCTGGACAAAGCTTCGAAATTATGTCTTCCTCACACCTCATTTTTAAATCATTAAGCATATACTCATCAGCCATCACCAGCAAGCTGCACAAATCATTGATATCTTCAGGCATCAGGGTGCTTCCTGTATAAATCCACTTAAGCAGCCTATCAAATAAGCACGGGTCTGTATCTGGTAGCTTGATATAAGAATTTTCACATTCTGTCATAGAGCTATTAAACATCGCCCTAAATTTTGGCGACCTGCACATCAGTATGCACTTGTGGGCTGAAAAAATCTTGTTTTCTGATGTCTCAATTTTAATGTCTGCTTCAAGACCACTGTTAAAAAGTTCTAATAACGCTGGCTGTAAGCTGTTTTGTGCTGATTGTAATATATCACAAGAATGAAAGACTTTTACGATGCATGGAGCAATGATATATAGTAATTAAGGATAAAATGGGATTTATTTATAGATAAATTGAGAGAAAATGCTATTATTTTAACTAGGATAAGTTTCTTCATTCAAAGGTTTTGAATCCAAGACAAATCTGAGAGCTCGATATGCGACTCCTATAATCCCACAGAACTCAAAACAATAACTTTGAGCGACACGCGGCCTGGCTAAGGGAATTCGCTTTATTGCACCTTTTGTTAGGGCGAGACTTGCATTGGTGTAGAGGTCTTCGCCAGCTTCAAAAATCACATCAGGAGATGGTTCAGAGCTATTTCTTCTTGATCGCATTTATAAATAAATTTTACAGCTAATTATAAGTTATGCCATAGCAATGAGGGGTTTTTTATTTTATTTACCAAATAGCCTATTTTTTAAGTTAAAAAATAAGGATTTAGCAATTAATTAATATATAAAATACTTTTATATGGAATATATGTCTTTTTAAATAATTGGCAAAAAATATTGAAAATACTCCCTTATACCTTTTAAGTAACAAAACAGGTAATATTTATAGAAAAGACTATAAAACTATAAAAATTGTGGGTTTGGAAGATTGGGGATTAATTTAGGCTGAGACGCAGCTATCAGCCGGAAAAATCTGCCTCGGAAACTGAATGGTTTTTTTCTTTGAGAAGGCTCAGAAGGTGGCTGTGGAAGCAGTTGGATTTTTGGCTTAGATTTAGACTCAGCCGATGTGTTTAAAGGTGGAAGAATTGAGGAGTCTTCTTTATCAAAAATCTTAGGGCGGTTTAATAGCTGCCTTTTTTGGGTTTTTTTTCTTAACACCCTCTTCCTAATTATTAACGTAAAAAAAGTGTTCGTTATTAGGCCTTGTGCAAATTTTGGACGGAGTTTGGTGTGTTGAACTGCCCTTTACATATCGGAAAATTTAAAAAAAATGGAGGCTCCACAGTTGCACACTAAGCTATGTCAAAATTTATGAAGAAATTATATTAAAAGGAGGACTTAGGATTATTAGGAGATGGGATGCTGTTATCTGAAAAAAGTGAATTATTTTGCATTGAGTCATTTGAAGCATCAAGTCTTGAAGGGATTATAGCAGGGAAGAAGGGAGGCTTTGAAGAATTTATAGGGGAAAGCAGAAGGGAAAAGCTCTGAAGATTTTTAGATTCCTCGATATTTGAATTTTCAAAGGGTTTTGAGTCAACTATATACCTATTAAAATAATTAAATATAAATAATTAATTAATTAAAGTAAAGCAAACTATTCGCTATCGACAGGGCTCCTGCATGCTCATCCTTCCGAAGAACCCAATAGTCATCCTTCCTCGTTACTGAAGGCACGGCCGAATTTTGACTCTCATGACTCCTGGAGCCTATAGGTCCATCACCTGTGTTGAAACACTCAGTTTCTTGCTAGGTAGATGCTACCTCTTGGGCACTATTAGAGGAATTTATCATCCTCGGAGCTTTTGCTGGTTCTGGCCTTTCCAATGATGATCTTGGAGGCAAAAATCAAGTCCCAGGGATTAGTTCCCTAAGGCCCGAGAAAACCCCAGCTCAATATCCACAAAGGATTACCGACCCCTTTCTGCCCTTCCAATTTGCACCAGACCGTTGCCTGTAGTTGTAGAAGAATAATGGTAAAGTAAGTCGGGTGCCTTTTGTCGCAATTTTATGTATATATTAAATATAAATAAAAGTAGCACAAAAATAGCTAGCTATTTATAGTTCATATCATACAAGAAATTTCTATAGATTTAGAATCATTAATACGGCTAAATGATTTTTCTTTTAAAAATTCATCAAACGAGTTTTCTTCTTGAGAAATAAATGAATCTTTTTCTGGTTTTTTAAAAGTCAGGACATCTGAAAAATTCAGGGAGTTATTTTCTGGGTTTTTAGAATTTGCTTTTAAAAAGCTAGCAAAAGAGTTTTCACTTTGCTCAGTAGCTTCTATGACAGTTATTTCTTTACGAGATACATCATTTTGAGAAATATCCAATAAATCTTCTAAGCAGACATCATGGCTTTCCTCTGAATTTTCCCTGTCTATTAGAGTCAGCACAAGCTGCTCTTTTTCATCTAAAGTTAGCTTTTCAGAAAGTAAATTATTTATACCTAATTAAATTAAATAAAAACATTTCTGCTGATTAGCCATTCTCCTATTTAAAATATGATAACGTAATTAGTAGGAATGATAAAATTTAATAAATCAGTTATAGCTCGTTTGGCTTAAAATTTTGGTCAATTTTGGGTATTTCATTTATTTTATTTTCAATTTTTCCTCCTTTACCATAGATTTGTTCAGCTAATAAGCTACTGTCTCTTGATTTCAGTCCAGAAAGCAAATTTGTTAATTTGAGGGACTCACAGTTTGATATTGATCTCATTGAAATTGGCAAACTTTCAACAAATGCATTATCTAACTCTCCTTCAAAATCACAATTTTTACGCCAAAATAGTATCGTTAGTTGCTTGTTTTTAATTGCAATTCAGATTTTTTCATATAATTTTTATCAGGAGGATTAAAGTATTTTTCAAGCTATTTTCTTCTCTATGCCTATAATTATACAACTTTTTTTTCAAATTATGCAATTTATCATACAAAATCAGCCCACTTCCTTCAAGCTGGCTAGGTGGGCCTGAGCTCTCCTCACTATCTGCATTCATATCTCAGTTTTCTTCCCCACTTACCTCAAGCTTCTTTATTTGTATTTCTTTAGTTTTTCTCTTTTCCCCTAAAGCAATTCTTCCTTCTTCCTCCAATTCTTCTTGACTAAACAAGTCCTGCAAAATATTTCCAATTACCGGCTTCTTTTTTCACTTTTGTTTATAATGATGCATAATTTCGTCAATATCATGGTCTATATCTTTTAACTGGTCCTGGCAATCTGCATGCATTTTTAAGTACGTGTTTTCTGTTTCCTTTAATTTTTCTTCCAGTTCTATAATCCTAATTTCGTATTCTTCTCTGATTTTTCTTAATTCTTCTTCAGAATCTTCTGTATTTTTTAAAGAATTAGGTGGGATTGAGATGGCTGGGACCTGAATTTTGGCTTCATAGGCGTCTTCTCATTCTGATAGTAAATTCAAAATTCCAGTTTTTATTTCATCAATTAATTTTTGCTGCTCTGGAGAAGGTAAAGATAATTTGTCAAGAGAAGTAAAGAGAGAGTTGGCTTGGAAATTTAAGTTTTCAATTGTGTCATAAGGGGAAAATTGAGACTGCTCAAAAGCTGGGGTGGAATTTTTGCCTGGGGTTTGCTGAGAAATGGACATAAAATTATTTCTTATTTGTGGGTATTGCAGACTGTTTTTTAAATAAAAATTAAAAATAGTAAGTTATGCTTAATTAAATAACATGAAAAATATTTTTTTTATAAAAAAAAATAAAATAAATAGAGCTAATAAAGGCATATTTAAAATTGTTTATTCATGATTTGTAATAAATAAGTGCTTGTTGTTTTCGATCCCATTTTGTTTTCGGAAATCTTCTATAAGCTTCTTAAACTGTTCTGAGCTCATAGGCTGGACTTCATTTTCTTCTTTTTTAAACGTTCTTTTGGTAACTGAAGTGGATCCATTTGTGGAATGAGCTTTCATGGATTTCTTTTTTGTCAGCCGGCTTAATGAAATATCTAGTATTTTCTTCTTGCATATGCCATCGTTAATTTTCCCTTTTTGATTGATCTAATTAGTATTTACAAGGTTCTGGGCAAGCAAAAGTTTTTTTCTTCTTTCTGATGCGAAGAATCCTTCTAAGTATGGATCTTTTAAGCCATTGTATTCATTGTATCCTTTTGAGAAGCTTGATGAGTCTAAAACGAACCTTGCTTGGTGCCTTATAGGAGACGGAGTTTTATTTGAAAACTTAAACATTAAATATGACTTATAATAAAAGTCAAAAAATACCTGAATTTTCCTCTTATTAATTAAATCATAATAAAAAAGTCCTGTATTTTCTGTTTAAAATATAATCAAAGCTACCAAAAATAAAGAAAATGGTCACAAGATTCTCCACTTTAATTAAAACTCGGCAACTAGCTGACTTACTTGCCCAAAGAACTCCTTTATATATTCTAGACGCAAGCTACGACATCCCAGGCGTCCCTGGAAACTCCAAATCTGAGCATTTCCGCATCCGTCTCCCAGGGGCAAAGTTCTTCGAAATTGATGAGGTCGCTGACAAGACCATTCCTCTGCCCCACATGATGCCAAGAATAGAGACTTTTATAGACTTCATGAAAAAATTACGCATCAAAAACGACGATAATCTCCTTGTGTGCTACGACCGATATGGGGGAGGATTCACAGCTCCACGTGTATGGTATACTTTTAAATGCTTTGGCAGGAAAAATGTAGCTATTCTTGATGGTGGGCTGCCTAAATGGATTTCTGAAGGATATCCTACGGTAAGTTCTGAGTATGAAATTTATGAAAATCCTACAAGTGAAAATGATATAGATTATCAGTATAAATTTGATGAAAATAAGGTAAAAAGTTTGGAAACTGTGGCTTCGTATCTAGCTCAGCTGAAAAATCCTACAGAAAATAGCACCCAGGTACTTGATGCAAGGCCTCCTAAACGATTTTCAGGGACAGATCCAGAGCCAAGAAAAGGAATCAGGAGCGGCCACGCCAAAAATTCAAAAAATCATTTTTTTAAACTAAATTTCAATGCTGATGGTACTTTTAAAAGTCCTGAAGAGTTAAGAAAACAGTTTATAGATTCTGGGATCAATATGAGCGAAAATTCTCATACAATAAATATGTGTGGGACTGGGGTGACTGCATGTGTGAATTTATTTGCAATGGAGCTTGCTGGAAAACAGAACACTTCTTTATATGATGGCTCATGGACTGAGTATGCCACAAGATTTCCAAATGAGCAGCTGGAAAACGAATATTTTGAAAAATTAGCTTAGATTTTAGCTCAAATTTAAATAAAAGTTGTTCTTAAGCTTATTATAAATTATCCTACTATTGCTTACTCCCCCCCTCCGTGAGTGAACAAAACCATTAGAAAAATCGCCATTTTTTGCCCAAAAAAAAACCCACCCTCCGTGAGTGAACAAAAATTTTTTATGGAAAAAAAAATTTGATATATAAATGATAATTAATATAATGAAATCTAGAGCTAATTCTGTTTAATTTTAAATGAATTGCATTTTAAAACATAAATTTTATAAATTAAATTAATATTTGCTTCAAATTTTTGCAAATTAGGATTTTTTTAAATTTCAAAAAAAAAATTTTTTAGAAAATTTATATATAAATTTTTTTAAAAAAAAAAAATTAACCCCCCTCCGTGAGTGAACAAAATTTTTTTGTTCACTCACGGAGGGGGGGGGAGTTAGTTTCTTTTACTGTTTCCTTATCTCCAGGTAATTGCCAGCCACGCTGTCTAATTTCACAGCCTTCAAGTTTATTATTTATGACGGTATCATCAAGTCTTAGAGATCTGAAAATCGCCATGATGCCAAATAGTAAAGCTGCCCAAGTTAGAGACCAGCCCAACACAACTAGCACTGCAATTACTTGAGTAGAAAGGGTATCGCCTGATTTTCCATCCCAGAAGCACCCATTAGCATCAGTAATAAAGCCAGGTATACTCCTCTGGATATTTTACTATCTTTTTAGTATATTTCTATTTTCTATTTAAAACTGTCTAAAAATGCAAGAAAAATACTCATCAAGCTATAAAAGCCCTCCAATAAGCCCAGGCAAGAAGAAAGTGGCAGTCACGTTCATCACATCGTCAATCCTTGCTAATCTGCAGAAATAGAAACCAATAGCAAAAATAATCCCACTAAGGATTCCACAAAGTCCAGCTTGCCATGGAGTTGTGTCATAAGCAGAGTCTGAAATTACAATCATCCCTGCTATAAATCCTTGATAAACTGCTACATAGTGAGTATGAAGATCTTTTTTCGCCAAAGTTAAAAGCTTTAACGTCACAATGGCTGACATCCCTCCACAGATCCATGAGTTACAAGCTGCAAGTCCTCTTGCAGTCGCTGTTGGAGATAAAGAAATATTTAGCCCAAAAATCCCTAAAATCACCAAAACAGCTCCAACAATATAAGTCGTCGGCAAGGAGATTTTCCACTCGTCTGAGTCAGGGTCGTCAAATCTTCCAGGCCTTGGGCCTAATTCCCCTTTGGTTAGCAGTAAACTTTTTAATAGCTAACCATTAATTTCTCTTTTTCGTATTATATTAAAATTAAATATAATTTCTTTCCACAAATTTAAAGGGAAAATCTAATTTAATTTTTAAAAACATATTTTTGCTCTTAATCAGAGGGTAATAATAAGGATTTTTCTAATGGCTTTTTATCAAGGGAGTAAAGAAAATGGCTCCTATAAGTCCAAAAGCTCCTGCAAACATGTGAATATTAATAGCGCCACCGTTGTCAATCAAAGGCTTATTAAGCTCAATGTCAAGCCAGCCGCCTCCCCACGACCAAGCTACAATGACAGGCCAGACGAAAAGCATAAGCCACCATGAAAACCAAGGGTAGACCTGGTATTTTGCTCTTTCGCTTATGGCACCATTGATGATGAACAGGACGAAAAATCCGCAGAGTGCAAAGTAGGATGCACAAGCCCCGTGGTTCTTGGATTTTTCAGTTAGCCAGTGTTTGCCGCCGAAGTCTTCATTTCCAATATATTCGCTGTCTGCTGGGTTGCCAAAGGCGAAACCATAGCCTAACAGCCACCAAGCTACGATTCCAACTGAGAATTGAAGCCAATTCTTCATGACAAGATAATTGCTAAAGCCGCCACGAGTCACACCATGCTCCATCACTGTGAGGCCGATCTATATAAGGTTTACGAGTCCTATGAAAACTATCACGTCGCCCACTGCATTGAAAGTGAGCGGACAGTTTTGAGTCGAAGACATTAAATATTATGGCTAATATAGGGAATTATTGTGTATATTAATAGAAAAAAATAAGAAAAATAATGAGAATTAATTGGATTTTAGAGGAAAAAAGAATATTTAAATCAAATAATGAGATTTGAATAAGGATTAAGATATGCTTATGAGCCAGTAAAATAAGGAAAATAAGGAAAGAAAAGGGAAGAAAAAATTGAAGGTGGGAGAACATTGAAAGAATTAAAGGTGTGAAATGAAAAATTATTAACGGGAAAATGGAACTTTAAATTTTGGCTTTTAAATGGTATCTCTGTTTGAAAATAGTATTTGACTTATTTAAAATTTTTAGATATTAATAAAGAAATTACAAAAATAATAATTATAATTTCCTCCTTGATTTATGCATCTTCAAGGCATAAATATAGCTAGTTTTAACTTACCCCCCTCCTTTAAATTGAAACAAAAAATCCTGTTTGAATTTAAGGGAGCAATTTTTTAAAAAAAAAAAATTATATAAATAAAATTTTTGAAACTAAAAAATAAAAATTAAGCGCAATACTTTAAATTTAATTTATTCTTATAAAGAATTTATTTAAAAATCTAATCGATTCGGTATCATAGCTTTTCTATTAAATAGCTAAATCTATAAATTAGTATGTTACCAAAATTTCTTATTAAAAAAAATTAGGTTAAAGTACCCAAAAAAATCGATTTTACCTATATTTTGTTCCAACTTAAAAGGGGAGCTAAATAATTTTTAGCTTATTTTAAATCCATATGTCAAATATAGTAATTTGAAAAAATAAGCAGCTAGATCAATAATCTTAATAGTTATAATTAGATAATTTTAATCGAAAATGGATATATTTTTATTTAATATTTAAAATTAAATGATCTGATGGATTTTTATGTGTTGCTCTGATTATTTATTTTCTAAAGCATATCATTTTTCAATTAAAATAAATAAATAAATCATAAAAAAATTTGCAATCTTTTTCATATAAATGAGCAGCTATAATCTAATCTTTAATTTGATTATTTGTTTTAACAAGCTTAAAATTATAGATGAAAGGGTCCAAAAGAACAGAAGAATAAAAATAAACAACTAGGTATAAATAGGAAAAATATAGCAGCCTCAAAAAATAAGTACAGAAATCCCATTGCATTTTAAAGCTCTAAACCTCAAACCGCCCTCAGAAAATTATATCGCTTAAGCTTTAAATACAGCCTCCTTCAATACTAATCATCAGAACTATGTATTCTGAGTTAACATAACTATAATTAAAGCTGATAGTCATTATCAATTCCTTCTCAATAAATTTTCATTAAAAAGCTGATAAAAAAGCATATCTTCGCTTGAAAAATAATTATCGATATTTCTCGAATCCATCATTCCATTTATAATCAAATAATGGAAGCAAGGCACACACCAATAAAATGGGCTCAAAGAAAAGCACAAGTGTTCATTACACTCGAATTAAACAATCTAATAGAGAACTCGTGTACCATTCAAACTACTCCTGAAGGTGGAATTCACTTTAAAGGTACCAATAAGGATACAGGGAGCGAAGTCACAGTCGATTTAGAACTTTTCGAAAAGATCGTCCCAGCAGAATGCAAGTGGAAAGTCACAGGAAGGAGCGTGCAGTTAAGTTTAGCTAAAGAAAACAAAGAAGTTGAATATTGGCCAAGACTTTTGAAGCAAACAGGGAAATTACCTTGGATTGCAATTGATTGGAGTAAGTGGGTTGATGAAGAAGACGAAAACTCTAATTCGGTTTCCTAAATATTTTTAAATCCAGGGTGTTAGGGTGTTAAAATTTTTTTAAAAAATTTTTATATATAAAAATAGAGTAAGGCCAAACCTGATTTTGATTACGATTACAATAATATGCCTGATTACGATGAAGGTGAAGACTCAGATGAAGAATCAGAAGAGGAAGAAGCGCCTGCTGATTTGGGTGACTTAGATGGTGAAAAAGGAGATATCCCAACAGGAGCAATGCCTGCTGAAGAGGCTGGAGAAGAAAAGAAAACAGAATAATAGACTAATCAATATATGTTTTAAGACATAATTAAAAGCGTGTTCGGCCTTCATCGTAAATCATTTCTTTAAGAAAATTCTCAATCTCACACATATTTTATTGCATCGCAATATTTATATTAGCATTACCATTTAAATTTAGCCCTCAGATTCATCAGTTCTCGACGACTCATGAAACTTAAACACGCCATCATTATACTTTTCCTGGTCATTTATTTCTTTATCTGACACATCTTTAGACGTTGGCGTTTGGACTTCATTGCTATATCCATAACCATTTAAATCATTCACTGAAATTTCTGTGTTTTTCATCCTATTAAGCATCCTCAGCAATTTAAAATAAATCAACAAAAGCCTAACCAAATTTATCAAAACAGCCAAAATTTCTCCTGCATAGCTAATTAACCCTGCTATCCCAAAAGATATACAACAAATTAAGCAGCTGATGCTTAAACAAGTAACGTCAGCAATGTTTCACTTTTCGCTGAAGAAAGTTACGTTTCCTTCCATAAAAACCCTATAAACTACTTCAAAAATCGCAAGAATAAGCATCAATACTAATAAAATGACAGCGATTGCAAAGTATAGTTGGCTTAAGCCAAATATAATCCCTGCGAGGAGTCAGACAGTCAACATGATGAAAAACAAATACAAAATTTTGCTTATTTTCGAGTAATAAAATCGAGAAAGCATAACTTTTAAGTTTCGTCGCTGCTTTTTCAGTAAGTTTGATGCTGATATGATTTCAATAGGAGAAAAAACTCCTTTTGTGTTTGAAATGTTTTCCATTGGCTTTTTTTATAAAATGCATAAATAGGTTTTAAGAGATTAATAATTCGTAGTAAAAATATGCATTAATCAGAAAAATATACAAAGGTTTTGTAGATTTAAATAAATTCATCATAGTTTCCGACAGATGAATAACCGCCTTTACCAATAAATTAAAATTGAGTTATAGCTTATTCTGACTTTTGGACGCTTATAAGCCGATCTACTGGCTCATTGACTAGCCAGGAGGACTAACTGGAGGCTAAATTTAATATCTTCTTGCCTTTTCAAAAAATTGACATTAATGATGGAATTGCGACAACAAGAAAAAATTTCCCAAAATCTTGACCATTTGAAAAAATAAAACAGGTCGCAGGAGGCAGTTTTTCCAGGGTGGGATGCAGGCTTTGGGCTGACTGGGCCTTCTGTCGACCCATAGGCAAGAGGGCTGACGACGCAACACCAATTGGGCACTTCTGGAAGAGCATTATGTTGCCTGCAATTGGCAGAGGTAGTTCCAGAAGGAGATATTGGACGTTTCCCTAATATCCTGAGCACTAACAGAGGTGAAGATTGTCCTGTGCTAAAATTTTTGATCCAAGCAGGTTCGGGTGAGTCTCCCCACTAGACTGACGGCGTCACCATTTTTGGTAGCCCAGAAGGAAAAGAGCATTAGGTAGCTTTAGTGCTTAGCGCCACATGAGAGCGCGAAGCTGAAGCTCGACTGGATAGTGGCTGAAATAAGCCCCGTTTTAACCCTCTCTAGCCGTATCTCTGTCTTACCTTTTGCTTATTACATCCATGGAGAGGGAGAAGCAACTGGAAGACCTTGGAAAGGCAGGGATTACGGAGGAGATCGTACAGGAAATCGAGTGGTGAATTGCTGAAAAGGAAAGGAAGGAACTCCTAGTGGAGGAAGAGGCCCGGCGCACGACAGCGATGGTCATTGAGCCATCCGGCTGCTAAAGGGTCAGCTGGTTTCCCTACGTTGCGGCCAGCAGAGAGGTCGCCGCGGGAAGAGTTGCTTCCGTGGGAAGGGGTTGCTGCCCGATGAAAACTGCTAGCTGCGGCTCTATGGGGGTGGCTGATATTTTTGGGTCGATGCTCCGGAAAGTTGAGGAGGAAAGAGAAGGATCCTGATAAATGCAGAGAGACTATATTTGATTGAGTGTCGCATGTTTGGGATTAAGGTAGGGTCCAGGAAGTTGAGTAGGAAAGAGAGGGATCCTGATAAATGCAGAGAGACTATATTTGATTATGCCGTATGTTTAGGATTAGGGTAGGGTGTAAATAAATCTTTTTCTTCTTCTTATTACATCCAAAAGTGGGATTTAGCTATACAAATGGAAGGCTCTTTGAAGAAGTGGACTAATTACGTCTATGGCTGGAGAAAACGCTTTTTCAGTATCCAAAACGGTGTTTTAAAATACTACAAGAAAAAAGGAGGCAAACTTAAAGGAAATATCGTCCTAACCAACTCTCAAATCCAATCCCACACTAACCCAAAGAGATTTATAATAGCATCTGGTGTTACAGAAATCCATCTCAAAGCAGAAAATCCTATTGAAGCTCAGAAGTGGATGACCGCGCTGAGATCCCAACAAAGTTTTATTAGGTCTATGTCTCTGAGTGATGCCAGACCGACAAGGCTTCCTGATATAGAAATTCCTGCTCCATCAGGAGGGAAAACAATAGCGATAAAAGTTGGAGAACTTTGAGGAATTCATGCACAAATACAAGAAGCAGTGGATATGATACCGATGGCTGAGAGAACGAGGATATTGCAATTTCCTGTGGATGGCGCTGTTTTGGCCTTGATTTTCCCACTGGAAAAATTTTTTGGTTCGACCAGTACCATATGGCTTTGGTCAAACCAAAAAATTTTCCCAGTGGGAAAATCTAGGCCAACATAGCGCCATCCATGGGTAAACACTATACCAGGACTTCAGCGGGTAATTTTTCTGACCCAAGCTATAAAAAAGGTTTCAGCAGAAATTTTGGATGCAATTGATATGGAAGAAAGTAAAAGAAATACTGTTATAAATGGATCGAAGTCGGTAGAGATAGCACCGATTCAGGAAAAGTTACAAAGTTTTGCGAATCAAATGGATGAGTCAGCATTAGTTGTAGAACAACTAGAAAAAGAAATTGAATTTACTGAAGTAAAAGACCAAATTGCTGACTTCCAGTCTATATATTTATATAAAATTGTGTTAATATCTATTATTAATTTAGATCATTTTTTTCTAATTTTGAGCCTAGAAAAATATATTTAATTTTTAGAGAAAGGAGTGAAGAAATTGTAGTAAAAATCGAACAAGAAGAAAATGTATTGAAAATTCCACACAGAAAGTGCTTGCCTGTGCTTCGGAATCCTAATCAAAAATTCAGTATCTGAAAAGTTATCCAGGATTCTATAGGAAAAGAATTAAGCAAAATTACAGTTCCTGTTTATTTTAATGAGCCCTTAAGCTTTTTACAGAGATTTTGTCAAGACTTGACATATTCTGATGTAATAGTCAGAGCTGCTGAAGAGTCTGATCCTTTATTAAGGCTTGCATTGGTAGCTTGTTTTGCAGCAAGTGGCTACGCAGGCAGTGAAAATCGCTTAATGAAGCCTTTTAACCCTCTATTAGGCGAAACTTTTGAGCTTGAAACCAACGGCTTTAGAGTAATCTCTGAACAAGTAAGCCACCATCCTCCAGTCTCCGCAATCCATTGTGACCATCCTGTATTTGCATTTTGGGGTAATACTGAAGTAAAAACCAGTTTTAAAGGGACCTATCTGCAAGTAAACCCCACTGGAACATTCCATCTTGTAATATACCATTCAAATAAAATTATAAAAAAAATCAATAAATTTCAAAAAAATCCTTATTCTCTATATTTCCATATAAAGCCTTACAATGACCATTTTATTTACCACAAAATCAAAACCAACGTCCACAATATCATTATGGGAAAAATTTATATAGAAAACCATGGAGACTTAGAAATGTCTAATTATACCACAGGTGACCGTGCCACACTTAATTTTGTAAAAAAAAAAAGCTGGTTTGAAAAAACCACCCATGAAGTAACTGGGTCTGTTTTCGACACTGACGGAAATGCGGTATATTCAATAGAAGGGACTTGAACACAAGGACTAAAAATCAAGCATATAGCTACAGAAAGAGTTATCATTGGGTATGAAGTCTACCCAAGCCCTCCTGACTATGAACAGAGCTATTTTTTTACAGATTTTGCGTTACAGCTTAATATTCCGCCTGAATATTTCCCTGGGCTGACCCCTACAGATGCAAGATTTAGACCTGACCAGCGAGCATTGGAAAATGGAGACTTAAAATTGGGTGCTGAAGAAAAGGTCAGGCTAGAAGAAAAACAAAGAGAAGCCAGGAGAAAAAGAGAGGAAGAAGGGATTGAGTATAAGCCTGCATGATTTTATAATGAAAATGACGAGTGGATTTATAATGGGGAGTATTGGAATAGAAGAAAACTCCAACAATTTGAAGGGTTACCAGATATATTTTAATTGAATTTTTATAAGGAAACACTAAAAATCTCTTTTTAGTACTTTTGATGGGAATGCATACGATTCAGGCTCCATATCAATATTGTTTTTCTCTAAAATTTGTCTGACTTGCTGTGATAAATCCTCCACAACGCCTTCTTGTTTTAAATTTTCAATATGCATGTCTTGCATGATGAAATCTTGGTCATTTTCTTCAATGATATTCTGAATTGCTTCCAATAGTTCTGGGGATTCTCCATGCTTAGAAATCATGTTTTCTATTAAGCTCTGAGCTTGCCTTTCCAAAAATTTTTCTTCAATTTGGAGCTTAGACAATTCATTGAATACGCTGTTATAGACCTGTTTTAAGGTTTCTTCTTGATTTTCTAGCTTTTTTTGCATTTTATTTATTTTTATTATTTTAATATAGTTTTAATCAATAAGAGCTATACAAAGCTTTCTTGAGGAATTATAAATTCCTTGGTAAGTATTGACTTCTTATTGAACAGGGCTAGCCTTAAGTCTTCATTATAAAGAAACTCTAAAGGAAACTGCACAAGGAATCCTTTAAACAAATGCCTTTTAGATGAATATTGGCTTAAATCGCTTTTTTCTTGCAGTGTCCGAATTTGAGCAAAAGATTTTATATTGTCGTCAGGGTAGCAGCCAAATATTTCTCTATATAAAATTGTATTGGTTTCAGCTGTCATCTGCCAATTAGATGTAAATTCTTCTGACAGCGGGTCTCTTACCAGCCTATCTTCAGTCGCTCCCATGATCTCTTTGAAGATATTCATCCTCAGCTCATGGGCAAATCTTGACACTCTTCTAGTTTCCCCCGCTAAGACTGTCATAACTTTTTCAGTATCATTAATTACCATTGCAATTTCTGAGTCCCTGACTCCTAATTGGCTTCTATCATTAATATTGGCACTTCCCATAATGACTACATCGTCATCTACAATCATCAATTTGCTATGTACATATACAATTTCTGTTACTGGGGTATTTCCCAGCATTCCATGGTTTCTCAGACCATAAAACTGTATATGGGATTTTCCCATGGATGGCGCTATTTCGGCCTTGATTTTCCCACTGGGAAAATTTTTTGGTTTGACCAAACCATATGGTACTGGTCGAACCAAAAAAAATTTTCTATGGGAAAATCAAGGCCAAAACAGCGCCATCCACAGGAAATTGCAATATATTCTAAAGGATTTTTTATACTGTCTTCTTTTAACAGCTGCTCATATATAGAATCACTGTTTCTGCTTATTGTTTGGTATTCCCAATATAGCTGCAGTCTTAATACAGAGCTCCCTGCATCTTCTACACCTCCTTCAAATCCTGGGAGAAGTGGACAGACCACAATTACTTTGAATTTTTCTTTACGTGAAGCTGCTACTTTAATTCTGTCTACAAGAGCTTGAGCTATTTGGTTTTTTACAGGTGAGCCTGCAGTACTAGAAATAAAGAATTGGTTTTCTATATAAATAAAATGGTCAGCTTGGTTAATCAAGCTTAAATAAGCCATATGAATAGAGTGCTCAGGGTCTTCTAAGCCATATGACCATAGCCCTGCACTTCTGACTATTTGGCATTCACAGGTCCCTAAATTGTCTAAATCCACATGGCTAGGTGTCAGCATTCTTTTGAATTTCCCTGCTTCGCCTTCTCCTTGGATTTCTTTTTGCTGTGTGAATTCATCTTCAAATTCCAATTTTTCTCTTAATTCTTTGTCTTGTAAAGCTTTTCAGGCTTCTGCTGTTTTTTGTCTAAATGGTGATAATAAAGCTTCATCAATTTCTTTAGGCAAAAGATTTTCTACAAGTTTTTGAATTAAAGGGTTTTGTGAAGCTTTCGTAAGGACTTCTGCGTTATATATCATATCTTCAGGCTGCAAAGACATTTTCTTATCAAGTGCTTTTACATCGATTCTTGAAATCTGGGTCAGAGATGATGTCCTAGGGGCTACCTCTATCCCTGTAAATTCTCTTTTAAGTCATGCTTCTGATGTCACACTTCTTGGGAGCATTTTTGGTGGCTCCATACTTTTTCTCGCCTGTGGAATCTGCAAAAACTGACTTGTCTTAGTTTCTTTTGTTTCTTCTGCAGGTGTTACCATTAAAAGTGGCTTTTTTAGTTCTCTTTTTTTTGTAGCCTCCTCATGTTTAATTTCTTCGATTTTCACTTCATCTAGTTTGACTTCTTGGCTCAGTCTTATTGACTCTATGCTCAAACTTGACATTTCAGGGTCCGCTGCCTCTTCCCTTCTGGCATTTGGCTCTAAAAGCTCTTTATTTTTGGTATAAATTCCTGTAATATCAGTCATCACGTGATTTCACAAATCAATAAAATGCAAAGCTACGTCACCAGCGACAGTTCCGACCACTTTTAAGGCTACATCATGCCAAGGCATTCTGGGGATTTCTTTTCGGTCTATGGTATCCCGTTCCCAATTGGCGACGTCTGTGAAATCAGCGACCCTGACGTTAGAATAGTCAATCCCGTTCCAATAATAAGGCTCTATATTGTCAGTTAATAAATGCTTATGGTTGTCCATTCTGCCGTAACATAGGTCAAGGCCACCTATAAAAGCAATTTCTTGGTCAATACAAATGATTTTTTCATGATGAGACCATAAGAAAACACCTCCGACTACAGATCGGTGAGGGTGTCTGACAACTTTTATGTTAGGATTTCGCTGGGTTAAGGTTTGTTGGGTATGCAAAGAATTTAAGGTCAAAGCCATTGAAAATTCTTTGTAGACGTGGACAAAGACGGAAACCCCACGGTCTGCAAGAGTCCCAAGGACATCTACAAGTTTGGTCTTGGAGTGGATATTAGAAGGTCTTTTTAAGTAAAGTTCAGGAGAAAGCTGGGCTTAAAAATGTGCAAATTGATGGAATTTTTTTTACCTATTAGTTTTTTTTTATAAAAAAAATATATGTATTTTTCAGATCTACTCAGAAAGCCACCAATCAGTAATAAAAACTTCACGCTTGGCAAGCTTCAAGTTGTGGTAAACTTCGTTAAAGTAGCCTTCCCCATCTACATATCAGGCAGCCCTATTGTGGTTCCTTATAGGGAAACTAGAATCGAAGCGTTTTACACCGATATTTCAATCAGAGCTTTCTAACGCAGCCGTAATAGCTTCTACTCATTCGTCTCTTTTATGGACAGTTCCACATCTAAATATAAAATTCCTTCTTGACGTCAGAATTCTGATCCCATCGTCATAGTCCGCATCTTGCTTTCCCCATTTAATCACAAAATTGTCTTTAAACATAAGCGCCTCATGCAAATTTCTGCTGGAATGGTCCGTCAAATATGCCAAATTGTCTTTTCTCAATACAACCCACCGCTTTTGAAACCTTTTAAAGTGTTTTGCAAAATTGCAACATTTTCGCTCATTCCCATATCTCCCTCCTGTGCGTTTCTGTACATAGCCTTCTTTAAGCTTTGTATCGCCATCAAAAGAAAGCTCAGAAACCTCCAAAAAGGCTTTAAAATGAGGGTTAGAGCCATGCTCCTCAGCTAAAAACTGCAAAAAACCTTCAAGGAAAGAAAGACGGTCATCAAGAGAAAGGTCATATAATTTGGATTTTGAAGGAATTTTGTGTGGGGTGCTAGAAATTATATGATGTATGGTGGAATAAGTTATATAAAAAAATAAGGAAAATAGAGGGATTTATAATAGAGGGTTTTGGATAAGGGATAATGATTTTTGGAGCTTTATGAAGTCTTTGTACGTCTTTTGGATAGTCCACTCATAGTGGAAAGTATTGTGAAAGGAAATATCGAATGTGTAGAGAAATTGTTGACGTCACTTATCACATTCGAGAGGCTTAGCGCAATTTTTGGTTATTAATGGTTTATAAGATAAAATGGCGAACCAAACAACCTTTTAATACCTCTAGCTTGGGTAGCATAGGGACCTTGTGGGCTTGGAGTTGGAAAGAGATCTCTCAGAACACCAGTGAAGTTATCCTGGCCAATCTGGAACGATTTCCAGTGCAGTAGCAGGTGTTACACCTGGGCTATTAGTTTCCATCTTGGCAGAAAGAAGACAAGAAAGATTTTTTTGAAGTCGAGCCCCGTTGGTGTGCTGTATGGTGGTGATACAGGACCTCTAAACTCACGGATAGCGAGCACAAGCCCTAGTCTGTGAGGAGCAACACAGTGAGATGCCGTGCTCAGATTGGCAAACAAGCGGTAGAGAGTTATGAGGTGGATATGGTCCACTCGAAAGGCCTACACTGAGCATTTCTTATCATCTTAGCTATGTTTAAGGTTATTACTGGTTTAAATGGCAAAAGCGGAGTGCTTGATCTGCCTTTGGTTTCCATTTAGATTTGTCTTACTCCCCCTTTCGTAAGTGAAAAAAAATTGCAAAATTGCTATAAAAAATTTTTTATATTAAAAAATTGTTTTTAGCTCACGGAGGCTAGGTTTTTACTCAAAAAATAGGAAAAAGTTTTTTATACATAGTGATAATTATTATAATGAAACCTCTAACTCTTTCTGTTTAAACAGCTTGCATTTTAAAATATAAATTTTACAAATTAAATTAATTTTTACGAATTGGAATTTTTTAAAAATTTATTGAGAAGTTTCAATCATTTTCAGTTAGCGAACAAAATTTTTTCACTCACGGAGAGGAGTTAATATCTCGCCAAAATTATGCATAATCTTAATGTCTAAAATAATTAAATTAAAATTATATACAATAAGCATAACTTAAATTTGTTTTGAAGCTAATTATTACGATCATACATTAAATTAAAGGAAAAATTTTCTATTTTTTTGATAATTTGCATCAAAAAAATAAAAATTCATTAAATCCCTATGCTTTATCAATAATTTTCAATTTTTTGCAAAAAAATCCTTTTCTTCTCTACGAATTTTATAAAAATGGGAATTTCTGCACACACAAAAACATTGAAAATTTTAGACGCTCTCTACGCCGTTGTAATTTTAGTCTTATCAGGCATCGCCTACACTAGCATCTGCTTCCCAGAAAACCACATAAACGGTATTTTTTACACAGAAGTAATCGATAATTGGAAAATGCTCAGCATTTATGATATAGTCACAGTTAATAGTTCACAGTCTTGTCCGTTTGGATATGACGAAATTAACCGTGTAGCTCAGTGGCCTGGCACAAATGAAGGGTGCTATTGTTCTTATAATGGAGATGTTATAGATTCGCCATGCACTTCAAGCCAAACTAAGCAAGGATGTACAGCAGTATCAAGCACTGCACCTTTTAATATGAGGGTCTGGAGGGGAAGAGTGCTATGTGTATGAAGAGGAGGGACTTCAGCGTACTGGGCGCCTGTGGCTGGTAATGAGAGCTGCCCTTCGTTAACTGACATATATGATCATGAAGTTGAATTTATAAAATGCGCCACAGGAGAATTTCAGCTTTGCCAAGAATCTAGTTTAGGATGTCCTATAAACAAAGTTTTACTACAAAATTCAAGTGATCCTCGACCTGATGGCTACTCAAATTCTTTATATTTTGGTGATGATTTAGTTCTCTATTATGGAATAGGGGATGAAGATTCTACTGATTTGCCTATTATAGATATAGCAATAACACAAGGAAACCCTTGTTTTGAAAGCGAAAGCGGAGACTCTAAGTCTTATTACCCACTTCTCAAAGAAACCCCAGAAGAATGCACCATTACTGACGATAGGTTTGTTACAATTGATTCTTTATCTGAAGAAAGCTATTATCAAGACAACGACAACCAAGATATTTTAAGCTTACCTGAGTTTACCTTAGAAGAAAACTCCTTATATTATTTATCATACCGACGGTCCATTCTCTGAAAAAAGGTCTGCCAAACCCGTTATTTTACCAGAGAAAAACTGCACAGATATGATGACCCTCTACACGAAGTCTATGGTCTCCAGCTCGCGTTACTTATAGTTGATAGTATTTTTGCCTTTTATTTTATAATAGTAGGCCCATTATTATACTGGTGATGTTATAGGCGGTCTGAAGAAGACTTGACAGAATTTGACAAGCCTTTGCTTACTCTGACGATTCTGGAAGTTTTTTGTAAAATTTTAGTGATACCGTTTTTGCTATGTGCTTGTGTAGTTTGTGGGTATTATAGAAATTGGTATAGAGATTTAGACTATAGAGTATGCAGTGACCCATTGACTGCAGCTGGGCTGAAATTTGTGGATTATGTGCTTACTGATCCTTATAGGCTGAATTGGGCTCATTTTGGGGTAACATTATTTATGCTGCTGCTACAAATCATAGTGTGGATTATGCTGTTTGTGAAAAGGACAAAGGATAATTTTGGATAATAATAAATCTTCATAATTATTTTAAATAGATGGGTAAGTGTGTTTCAAAAGACAAAAGTGAAAGCAAAGCTAGCTGTTTTGGGAAGAAAAAAAAGAAAAGAGAGGACGAAATCATTTTGACGTCAATTCAGACTGAAGGACCAAGAAACCAAGTTTTTGTGTATCCCAGAACCACTTTGATGAGAAAAAACGTTGAAAATTTAGAAACTCAAGAAGACCAGTCTTCGCTGCAAAAATCTATTCTGGACCCTTTGATTACTCCACAGCTAAGCGATTCAGAATCGAAACAACAAGAAATTAGAGCCAAAAGGCATCATCACCATAGATCAATTACAAAAATTTCTCTAGATTTCGATCAAATTTCCCAATTGCAAACTGAGCAAAGTATGCTTCTAAGGATAAGCAAAAGTCTTCATGAGCTTGCCAGGGCTTATCACAGAGAAGAAAACTATTTTCCAAGCCTAGAACTTCTCCACTTATCAGGGGAAATTTATATGCATCTTGGGATGTATGATAAATATAACATAACAGTCTCCGATCTTATATTGGCTACTATAATGGAATTCAGCCCAGCGCTAAATCATCAAATCCCAGTAGTTGTTGACCCAATGGACGAGAGGACTACTATTATAGTAAATTATTGGAATTTTGCAACACATAAAGAAATGACTGTTTCACAAGAAATTTTGAAGAAATATTCTATTGGAAATATCGCGAATTTATTAGAGGCTGCTAAAAAATACGATAATTCGAGGATTGAGTATAAAAACCTGCCTGACTCACTGATAGAAATTGCCCATATGTTTAGGATATGGCTAGGGTCGCCATGTGACGCTTTAAATTTCTATGAAGAAGCTTTAATTTTAGACCCAGAAAATTCCAAAATTCATCTATATTTAGGTTTGACTTATAAAGCCTTAGGAAATATAGAAAAAACTATCAATCACTATATAAATGGTATCAACATAAACCCAGACTCCAGCGACTGCTATTTCAACCTAGGGAACATTTACTGTGAAGAGCTCCACGACTATGAAGAAGCTGAAAAATGCTACATTGAAGCATTAAATGCTTTAAAACGCACCAAAGACAGCTTGGTCACCGCTGATAAAATTAATGACATGCTAAAAAAAATACATATTTTAATATAAATTTGTAACACATAATTAAAGACTTAAAGATAGCGGAATTCCATAGTAAACTGGGGCAGCTCCTATTAGATAAGGAAGTTTGCAAGCTTTTCTTGCCTTAGATAAGGCATCTCCAAAGGGTTCTAAATTAGAAATTCTTTTAATAAATTCCAATGCAAAACGGTCAATATCTCTGTCAGTCACGTCCCATAGGTTTGCTATTATTGCTGGGCAGCCTCCTAATAAATACTGCAAAACTATCCCTTGAGGCTCAAATTGGCCACATGGTTTAAAAAGCCCACTGGAGCATCCCATAAGTAAACTGGCAGCTTTTACGTTTAGGTCTTTAATTTTGTCACCTTTTATATATTGTTCACCAGAGCTGTGTCCACAGTAGATTAGCAGGTCTTTATCTTGCAGGGCTGAGGAGAATTCTGACTCAGTCGGAGTTTTATCGATAATGCCTTGTCAGTTTTCGTGGTCTAAAAAAAATTTTTCAAAGGTTTGTTGGGTATGTTCAAGGTCACTTGAAGGGTTTAAAATATAGAAAGTATTAGAAACCGATAGGAGTTTAGGCTTTAGGCGGTTTAGAAGGAATGAAAAACAAGGGAGGCGGGTCACTATTTGTGATCGAAGGATTTTTAAAGACTCTCAAGGCAAATGTATTAGATTTCCGTCAAGGATCAAAATGGTAGGACCACGAGAAATCGGCTTGTTTTGGCAGCATTTTTTGATGCTCCGTAATTTTTTGAAAAATTCTTCTGGGAGCTTTGTGTGGTTTATTAATGATAAAGCGTATTTAATCTCTTCTATTGATAAAAACTCTGATATTCCTGCGTTTAATAAGGAATAAATATAAGCTGGCTCCCATTTTTGGCCACAATTTTCACAATTTTTGTTAAAAATTAGCTCCTTTGAAGCTTGGTCTACCAATATATGTATATCTTCATCTAGAATTTTGCCTAAAAATAGCGAGGAAAATTGTGCTAAAAATTTGTACTGCAAATCGTCAAGCCAATTTTCAAGTTTTTCATTTATACTATTTAAGCCAAAACCCACCTAGCACACTATTTTTAAAAAAATTTTCTTAAATTGTTATAAAAAACCATAATTTTTCTCTTTTTTGCCACCAGCTTGATTTGCTTCTTTTGCTTGACTGCTGAGATCCAGAAGTCGTGTTTGCACTCAATCTCATAATATTAGCGAATTCTTCAAGGATCTGAAACAGCCCTACTGTATGGCTGCATTCACAAGCCCCGCCTACCACTACACAAAATGGTTCCCATCCTTTTATATATTTCATGAGATGTATCCCATCATTATAAGTTCCTCTACCATTAGAAAGTGCTATTACATTTCAAGACTCAGGGATCAATGCTAAAGCTCGTTCTAAATCAATTTCATTATTGATAGGAAATGCAGCCCTATTAAGATTTTCTAATTGAGTATTATAAGAAACACCTATAGATTTTATGATGTGAAAAGCTTTTTTTCAGTTAGAAATCCCCATTTCTTTTGCTAAAATATAATTCCCATGTCTCTGTACAGTAGGGTTACTGGTATGAGGCAGTAAAACTACCTGTTTTGCGATATTCATAGCTATATCTTTTTCTCCTTTTCTCAGCAATGCATCTGATAGTATAAGCAAACAATTTGCGAGCTCTTCTGCTAATAATGGTGAAATATAAAAGTTTTTGCAGCATTTTTTTTGAATTGTAAAAGCTTGGATAAAATTTTCACAGCAGCCGAGTTCTATTATAGCTCTATTTAAAATTTCAATACAATCTTTTCCAGGCCTTTGTTTTGCTATCAACGCCCCTTGTTTTTTAAACGTCAATGACTTCAGAACTTTAAAGCTCGTCCCTTGATTCTGTGGCCTCAGCAGTGATCTTGCCAACTTATAATAATTTTGTTCCGCAATTGGAAATTCTATATTTTCATAATATTCTGCCACCTGCAAAATATCCCCTAATACAAGTAATCCAAAACACAACACCGACCTATTTATATATTTTGTAAGACATTCTACATCTTGAGGCGACAATGCAAACGAGTCATATCTCTGCACAGTATCAATAGAATCTGAGTCAGAAAACCCTATTAATGGCTCAAAAAGCAATGGGAATATTTTTTGTATTAATTCCACAGGATGCAGACTATGGAGTTTTTCCTCTTTAATGTTTTCTTGAGTTATCCGAGAATCGGTCAAAGAAATCCTTTGAAGATTTGTATGTTTTGACCTAAACTGCAGATAAAGGGATGGGATTCCTAAAGTAAGGCTTAATCGGATCCCCTGAAGTAAATATAGCGTTGAGTTGTGAATTTGTGATTTTACTTGAAAAAGGTCAGAAATATGGTCTAAAAGCAAACTTGAGAGATTTTGCATTGACCATGATGAATAAGGGAATACAAGAAATCTGAAGCGGGAAGAAGAGTCATTGGAATCTTTATAGTAAGTGTTCTCAGATATAGAGCTCATTAAGGATAAATTTTGGATTGAACTGCTGTGGATGTCAGATATTAGCGCTCTTGCGTCTTTACAAAGCTGCAAACTTTCGTTTTGTTGGTTATTTAAAATCTCGATTTTTGATTTTATATACAAAATATATGATTTTAATATCAATGATCTCTTGGAGTTATGGGAATAAGGGATTTTTCCTAAAATTTCTTTACAGAGGTTTTCACTATCAAAAAGCTTTCCTTGTAAAAATGAAATTTCGCTTCGGAATGCCAAGATCCATAATTCAGCATAAAAAATGTCAGTACTTTGTCGGTCGTCGAGGAGTGGGGTGTATAAAGAAAATTCTTGGGAGGATTTTATAGCGAGCTCAGTGAGGCCTTCTTTTCAGAGAGTAATGGATTTTCGTAAGGATAAGCAGGCAAGCTTAGTTTCGAGCTCAGGGCTTGGAGGTAATTTTGAGATGCAGATTTGGGCTAAGCTTAAAAATTGAATTTCCAGACGGTGAATTCTTATTAGGCTTAATATTTCAACTCCCATCATTAGTGTCCTTAAATATTCTACGATTTCTGCATCAGAAACCTGGGCTTTCCCACTGGTTTCTCAGTCAATGCCATCATAATTAATTTTATACCCCATATGTCTTGCGATAGACTCTGCTGTTTTTTCAAATTTTGTTATAGCTTCTGCATAATTTATATCCTTATCCTACTAAATTTCTCCCAAATTCTATATAAAATCCTAAAAAAATAATTTATTTATTTATGATAGAATAAGATTTTTCCTTGAAATTCACTCTTCATTTTCATTAAATTCTTTAGCTTGCTCTAATAAAAGTATAGCATTTCACATATAAGATTGAGGGGTTTTTATATTTTCTATTAATTTTATCATTCTTTCTTGCAATGTCCCTGAAATTGAGGAAATACTGGTTAATAGTCATTCATTTGTAAAACCTTTTTCACAAGTCGAAAGAATTTCTATATATTTTAATAAGGTAGAAGCATATTGAGAAGAGTTTACTGGGTATACTTCAGTTATCCCTTATATAATTAGGTTGTTTTTATGTGATTTTAAGCAAATTATTTAAAAAATTAATAAAATGGTATAATAAAATTTTGACAATGTTTTGTATCATTTCAGAAATATAGCTTGAAAGAGACTCCTGGCTTAATTTTGCAGACTCCAGCAGTCTTTTATGATAATCAGTGATCTCTCTATCTAAAATTTCTCCTTTAAAAGCTATACAGATATTCAATTTTTCGCCCAAAATATCTTCTCTATTCACTAATTGGCTAGCCTGATGCCCATTTTGTATATAAGTTTCTATATATGATAAATGCACCCTAATATACCCATCAATAATTTTCAATAAATTCCCTGATTTTATATCATGAATTCCTCTGATTTCTGCCTGCTTCATAATAAATCCAGTAATTGCTTTTTTTATATGTGTGTAATAATTATTTGCCTCAATTGCATATTTTACACAGAGCTCAAAAATCGCTATATGAGTGGTGGTTACCTCGCAGTTTGAAATCTGCATATGTTCTAATAGCATTATGAGAATTTTAAACGCCAGTTCTTTTTCACCAGTATGGATAAGGGCTAATGAGATGTTGTAGGTGCTATTAAGGTACTTAGGGTCTGGCTTTAAAAGGAGCTGGTTTATATAGGATAACGCGGAATTTGAAAAAATAATGTCTCGGCTTGCCATATAGGTGAGGAAAAAGTGAAGGGCCATGATATAGTTATAAAGCTCCCAGTCACATTTAGTGTCAATTGATATAGGAAAATAGGCTGATTTTAGCTAAAAATTATTTAATAAAAAATAAATTGTAGTATTTTAATATAATAAAGATTAATTTATTTTCAAATTGAATCAACATTGGGTAGTATTTAAGCAAGTCCAAAAGTAATTTTACAGTGCCATATGGCAATTGCATCCCTTGCTTTATATTTGATGGAGCATGCAAGTTTCCGGCTATTTTAAGCCAACATTCTAATTGTGCTTGGACTTTTGGGGTGATTTCTTTTATTTCTTGGATTTCTGACTGTGTAAGTGTAGTAGGTCCTGACAGTTTTTCATCAAATAGCAAATTTATCCAATAAACTGCATTTTCTAAGTCTCTTATCAAGCTAATTTTTCCTAAATAGCTGCATTTAGCGATTTCTAATGAATATTTCACATTATACAGCAGTGTCGGAATATTTTCTAATTGGTCGATAATTAAATTATTAAGTGAGGATTTAGCTGCATCATATAAATCTTGCTTTTGGTATAAAAAACTCTGAAGTTCTATACCATTTTACCCTATTTTTATAATAAAATAGACTAGAAAACTACCATTAGCTTATATTTACTATAATTAAATATATCATATTTCTTATATTTTTGTCCTCAAGCATGCTTAAGTTATGGGTAGTCACCACTTCTAAGCTAGAATCTATTGCATTTATGCAGGATTCATAAAGAACAGATGAGCTTGCAGAGGAAGCAACTTTATAAGTGCTTTGAATAGAGCTATATGCAAAGGCAAAATAATCAGTCGATATAAATGGTCTTGTTTTTTCTAAATAAATCAAAGCTTGAAGCCTGATTTCTAACGCCTGCTTATGAAGTTGTATATTTCCGCCTGACAAGTTGTCTAACTCCCCCCCCCCCCTCCGTGAGCGAACAAAAAAATTTTGTTCACTCACGGAGGGGGTTAATTTTTTTTTTTTAAAAAAAATTTATATATAAATTTTATAAAAAAATATTTTTTTCGAAATTTAAAAAAATCCTAATTGCAAAAATTTGGGAAGCAAATATTAATTTAATTTGCAAAATTTATGTTTTAAAACGCAATTTGTTTTAAAATTAAACAGAATTAGCTCTAGATTTCATTATACTAATTATCACTTATATATCAAAATTTTTTTCCATTAAAATTTTTTCTATTAAAAAAATTTTTGTTCGCTCACGGAGGGTGGGTTTTTGGTCAAAAAATGGTGATTTTTTCTAATGGTTTTGTTCGCTCACGGAGGGGGGGGGGAGTAAGCATTTTCCTGTTTTAAATAGAATTTTGAACGAGCTTTGGTAAATTCTATTAAGATTCTGATGGTCAGCTTGTGTGAGCCCGTTTTTCAGGCTAATTAAAATATTTTTGCATTTTTCTGCTATAATTTCATAAATTTCTTCCAGCTTATCCACAGATTTCTCAGGCAGCTGCAGCATGCTATGGCACTTTAATATCAAAATATTCACCATCAAGAAATTTGTTTCCTTTTTCTTATAATTTTCTTCCAGCTCTTTTATGACCCCTTTACTAATTTCTGAACATTTTTCATGTTTTTCATTATCACTCAGTCTCAAAATATAAGCGTATCATAGCTGATAATACTCAGAATTATCATCAAAAATATGAGAATGGATCCTAGAAATCAGCTTTAAGCCCATTTCCATGACTGCCAAAATACAGTCACAATTGTCCTTAGACTGCTTTTTCTGAAGTTCTGCATTGCATTGCCGAATTAGAGCAAGCAAGCTGACTCCATAATTTTGGGCAAATTTTCGCCCGTTTAGCCTATTTATAGGAAGAGGAGCATCTATAAGGGGTTTGTAAGTATATTCATAAGAAGAAAGGATCAGGGCTGGGGTTAAAGAGCGATCGTTCAGTTTTTGCAATAGCTCGTCTCTTGTGCACATTTGAAATTAGAAATGGTGAGTTTAGAAATTAATTTGAATTGAAATTTTGAAGGCCTTTATGAAAATAATTAAAATCAGATAGAAAATTGATAGGAAAGGAAAATAATGAGATAAATTAAAAGATATTCCATTATGATGGAAAGTTTTCCTCTAGTAGTTGATAGCTCAGAGTATTTAATTCAAGGGATTAAAGAAACTATTCATAGGTCGCGGCCGAAGTCTAGGCAATCTCAGCTGCAGAAATACTTGAAATTAAAAACTAGGTCATTGTATCTTCATCAGTCACAAGAAGTCAAGCCCACTTTTTCAGCGACAAAGCCTAAAACTTCAAAAAGAATTAAAGGGATTTCTAAAAGAGAAAATTTGCATTCGTATACCCCGTTTTTATTATACCTTTAAGATATGTGTGCTATAAATATTAAAACAATTTTTTTGGTTAAAAATTAGGGAAAAATAGTTATGGCTGTGAGGATATACAGAATTAGGGAATAGACCATGATTTCACTATATCTCCATCGTCACAGATGCTTACTCGTAAACTTACTTCATCATTATCTCCAAAGCGATACTTCACACACAGGAAAAGACGCTTACTCCTTAAATGAATACAGCAATTTTTCCTTAAGACATTATTATTGACCATCTATTTTAATTTTTAAATAGAGCATAGCCTGACTACTTAAACTATATAGCCTTTCTGCGCTTTATGACTCCTTTCGTCCCGATCACCTCAGAAGATATCGGGACAAAAAAGCGTGAAGACGCTATATAAGCCAAATGTAATGGAGAATAGTTTTTAGCCAATATTTGCTTGGCCATAGTCATCTATTGTGATGCATAAGCTAGTTGAAAATATAAGTTTTAGAAAATTAATTTTTAATATAACAATTTCTAATACATGAATCAATTTTTTTAAAAATAATAAATTAAAAATCCTTATATTAATTGAGGAGAGCTAGAATTAAAAGATATTCCATCAACTCCTGCATCATTTATAACAGAAAGTTTAGTTGATGACTCTAGGAGGATTGCTGATGTTTTATTGACTGGAAAAACTTTTGCAAAAAGTTCTAGAGGAAGTTTTATATTAACTCCTGTAGGAAACATTGAAAATACTTTAAAAAAAGAAATTTCCAACCCAAGACTTATAAGGCTTAATGAATCTTTGAAAAAAAAGAAAAATTTCCAAATTAAGCCTTTTTATCCTGAAGTTCGAAAAATTCAGGAACCAAAATTGCCAGTCAGAAAATTATCAGCTTGCATAGTTATTACATCAAACTCCTAAAAGGAGACAAATAATAAATTATGTATTTTTTAGATCCAATAGTTAAGACATTAATATCTTAATTTATAAGCAGCTTTAATTAAAGGTTGCTGGCATGGGAATGCAATTTCTAGAACTTTGGCGAATTTTATTAGAATATTTACAATCCATTTTATGAATTATTCAAACAAAAACTGCTATTAGTGTAGAAAAGGGTTTAGCGAATTTACCCCTCTGAGGTTAATTCTGCCGCCTCAAAAACTGTTCACGGGTAAAGTCCGCAGTACAAATCGCAACGATTTTTCAAAAACTGGCGGAATTTACCCTCATGAAAAAAAGGGAGGAGGCGGAACTCTACCTGGGGTAAAAACAAGCCGAAAGCACCTCTCCAATGAAAAATGTGGCGGAAAAAAAAACGATACCATGCTATAAATGATATTAAATATTTAAGAAGAAGTAAACATATATTTATCTGCATAATCACAAGACAAATAAGCAAAAATGACACGTATAATATATGCATTTATTCGTAAAAAATTCTGCAAATATAATCCCCGGGTAGAATTCCGCCTCCTCCCTTTTTTCATGAGGGTAAAATTCCACCAGTTTTTGAAAAATCGTTGCGATTTCTACGGCGAACTTTACCTGTGAACGTTTTTTGAGGCGGAATTTACTTCAGAGGGGTAAATTCTGTTTAGCCTGTAGAAAAGAAACTATTGTACATACAGAACCATTTTGAATATCTAAATGAAGAAAATAATAGTTTTTATTGATCATAAAATTCTCCGGTTGTAGTTATGATAAGCGTAATAATGTGGCTTACAATTTATATTGTTAATTATAATTAATTCATTATAAAAGTAAGCTTATTTAGCATACCTCACATACATATTTTATACCTATAACAATTTATTTAATTTTGATCTTATTGTTAAATGCATGATTCTATACAATATTTCTTTATTTATCTTACTACCCCGCTATGAGCGAGAAACCTATTAGAAAAATCCCTAATTTTGGGTAGAATCTGTCTTTCGTGAGGTAACATTGTTTTTTTAATATAATAGGCCGAATGGTGGGTTTTATCCAACTAACTAACTAACTAACTAATTAATTATAACGTTTAACGTCCACTACGGGGTAGACTATCCCAGACCCGCCACTTGCCTTTCGCCGCATCGGGCCCACGAGTTGCTGGGCCAACCCGTCTCGATCACCAGGGTGCGCCTAGGGCAAATGTCACCGGCTTCGACGGCTCATGAGTGAGCTACTGCATCTGGACATGGGTTGCCTTTCCGAAAATCCAAAAAAATGGATTTTCTGGTCGGCTCTCGGCAAAAAAGAGAAAACATGCAGCCTGGGACGTAACGCCCAGTTTCACGCTAGGGGAGTTTGCCCGATTGGCCCTTAGGACTCTGCTGGGCTTTCCCTTTCCAACTGACGTGCCTTCCTTCCCCACGAGGAAAAAACCAACCCTGAGAATAGACTAGGGCTAGGCTCTGAACACAACCAGAATTGCTTACCTAGCATTGCTGTCCCTCTCTGAGCTGGCAAAACCTTGCCGGATATAATTAAATATGAGTCGAGGCTGCATGGCCGGGAGGCCATGCCCAGACGAAGACGCCATATTTAATTATGGTGGGTTTTATCCAAAAAATAATTGTTCTATTCGCTCAACGAGAAGTGAGTTAGGAATTTAATCAGAACAAAAATTATTTCACCTATAGTAAAATTAATTATCCTGGAATTTTGGCTTTTTGCTTGGTTGAGTTATAAGAGCACCAAGTTTGCGTTTTATCACTAAGCCTTCTTCTCCTTCAATATAACTATAATTATCGCCACCAATATTTTTGATCAGATCGCCAATTCTTTCTGCACCGAGAGATCTTCTTTCTTCAATTTTTTCATTTTGAGACCCACTTTCTCCACACAATTTGGCTGATGCAGCCAATATTCCCCCGCTGACTGAACTAAATTTTGTATTTATAATGGAAGCAAGATTGAAGTCGAAAGAGTGCTCTTTGATCACCATATTTCATTTATCACCAAATTGAGCTTTGTAGAAAACTATACCACGGACTATCATCTTGTCAACATAATTATAATGCGGATCACTATTACGCAAATCTAATGCAATTTTCATATATTGCTTTGCGTAGATCTGCCAAAGGGCATCCTCCGCTTTTTCTCTAACATCAATATCATCAGCAGTATCAAGTTTCTTGTACTCATGAATGATAAAACAAGCTTTTTTATATTTAGTAGGGATGAAAATCCCATCAGCCTTCTTTCTAAATCTATTTGGTGCTTCGGAATGTAATGTATAATTTGAATCTTCTGTCATAATTGAGGCCAGCATCGCCATTCCTCCTAGTAAGATTTGAAAGTCTGCCTCTGTTTTACTAGTGTTATCTGTCATCTGATCAAGGACCATTGATTGCATTAGATTCTTGAATTCGGTTTTATCATCTAAGGTGATGTTAAATTTCTCAACTATCTTACCAATATCAACTTTTCCTAACTCCCCCCCCCCCCCTCCGTGAGCGAACAAAAAAATTTTGTTCGCTCACGGAGGGGGGTTAATTTTTTTTTTTAAAAAAAATTTATATATAAATTTTATAAAAAATATTTTTTTTCGAAATTTAAAAAAATCCTAATTTGCAAAAATTGGGAAGCAAATATTAATTTAATTTGCAAAATTTATGTTTTTAAAACGCAATTTGTTTAAAATTAAACAGAATTAGCTCTAGATTTCATTATACTAATTATCACTTATATATCAAAATTTTTTTCCATTAAATTTTTTTTCTATTAAAAAAATTTTTGTTCACTCACGGAGGGTGGGTTTTTGGTCAAAAAATGGCGATTTTTCTAATGGTTTTGTTCGCTCACGGAGGGGGGGGGGGAGTAAGCCTATTTTTCTGTTAATTCACTTTAAAAGCAGTGAGTTGTAAAAACTCTTTTTTATTTCTCTATTAGGGACTACATATATTCAAGCGCTCACAATGTTTTCCTTTTCCTTTTTAGTTATGTTATATGGTGTTAAATAGCCAAAATGTAGCAATAGCGAGAAAAATTTTTTTGTGCTGTTGAAATCTAATGGCAAATCTATATAGGAATCAATTTCTTCTCTTAATTCAAGATAGCCATTTTTCATTATTTCAAACAATTGATCATAAGATTCTAGGGAATTAAATGCTGAGACCAGTGGATTAAGGTTATTAGTAAAGATTCAATAAGGCTTGAGAGGATTTCTATCTTGAGATTTTGCTTTTTCTATGCAATTTATTATTGAATGGGGATTGTAAATTCTTTGTCCACTGATATTGTATCCGTTGCATCACAACTTAATTAATTCTTTTTGCTCTAATATTTCCTCATCTGTGTTACTCTCCAAGTTTCGTTCGATTAGAGTATTTATCTCTGATTCTGTGAAGCCAAAAAATTGGGAGTATTCTATATTATTAACAGTATATGTATTAAAGCTGTTTATTCATGAAAACTGTGTCCCTCTAATAGGTAAAATGCCTACCAAAATCACTTTAAAAACAAAATCAGGTGTTTGTGCGCATATTCGGGCCAGGATATCTTCTATTATTATTAGTAATCCATTTTGGTATGGAGTATTTATGAAACGACTAAAAGGGCTATCATAATCATCCACAATAATTATTGCATTCTTCTTGTAAAATTTATGTGTCAATAATATTTTCAAGAACTTTTATGCTTTTATTTTTATAATTTATTACTACATCTGGATTTTCTGAAAGATAATTTTTGATAACTTGGTCCAAGGATTCCCGATACTGTTGGTGATATTCCAAGTATGCGTCTTTGATTATATCTAAAACTGCACTCTGGTAATATTCCTCTACAGACTCATTTTCAAATATTTTTCTTATATTGGAAAATCTTAATAAAATTGTTGGAATTTTCCCAGCATAGTTTTTGTAATAATAACCATTTTTTTCAGTTATTATTTTTAAACATTTTGTTTTGTCCAGGTTATCAACATAAATGTTATCTTTTCCACCAGTGAACAAGTACAAATTTTTAAAATTCCCAGAAGCATCCTTTCTTGGATGGAAAAAAGTTTTTAGCATGTTTATATTTAGAGTTTTCCCCCATTTTTGCGGACGGAAGATTAATATATTGGTATGACCATTATCTAAAATTTCTTTGATGAGTAATGATTTATCAATATAGCCATCTTTATTCCTAACTGCCTTTTTAAAGCTACCGGAATCAGTAAACCATTTCCCACCAGATCTAGCCCTCATGATTGCTTGATTTGTTTGAGGTGTTAAACTTTTAATTTGCGGTAGGCGATGTGGTGTAGTAAATGTATCATCAATTTTAAATTTAAGATATCATGAAGAGCCTTTATTTTTTATTGTTCTAATCAAATTTATCGCCTCTCCTCATAAATCTGATTGCTTATACTCTCAAAGAGTGCAAAGTTGGTGGATTATTAAATTTTTTTGGATGAATTCCATTTCTTTTTCAAGCGCTTCCCAGGCTGAGATTTCATCAATCAATGCACAAATGATTTCCTTATTTACAATTTCAATCTCATTTGAGCTATAATTCGGCTGAGGAAGAGGGACATTTGGACTCTTGTCTAATTCGATGCTATGCACACCTAGAATATCTCTCAGCTTTAAACTAAAGGATGGGCAAAAACCACGAAAGGGCTCTAAAAACTCCGTGCTTCCGCTTGAGATCAGCATAATTGCGTTGAAAACAGACCATAATCCGCTTTCATGAGGATGCTCATGAAGCTTAAGACTTATTTCTTCAATATTTACATTAGGAAAGAAGCCTCCAAATTTCAAGGTAGGGCCATTCTCTCCAGAATTCCTAATCTTGATTTCTTTTTGTATCAAATATTTCATAAGTTTCGGTATTTGCAAACCTAACCCGAAAGAGTCTATTAAAAATACAGTTTCTGAAGCTCTTTCGAGAACATCTCCATGAATAAGTGTGTGATTTTTTGGAAGAATCACCATCATCTGCCATAATGAATTTGATTCTGAAACTTGGCTGAGGATTTTTGATTCTCAAAATGTAACAAGCGGCTTTAGAAGAGCAAATCTATCGCTCTCAAGTGATTGACTTATAGCTGAGATATAAAATAAGACACCTGATGTTTCATCTTCGAAGGCGGGAGATTTTCCATTTGAAATATCAGGGCCTATTATATGAATTCGATCGCCATAAATCAGTTGCAAAGCTTCTTTTATGCCATAAGCAGTTGAGCTAGGAACTGTAGAGCAAGATTCTGGCCACTCTGGGAGGTCCAAGAAGAATTTGTACAAATTGGCTTCCATATCAGTCATTATTTTATTAAAAGGGGCTATTGGGTTTTTATATTTTCCTTAATTATTTTATGTATTAATTTTAGAAATAAATATAGAGGCTCTCAAAGTTGTAAAAAAAGGCATCTTCATTGCTTACAAGGTCTGCAGAGCTGCTAATAACTTTGATTTCTAGTCTATGCTTCTTGATCAGTTTGAGTTTTCAATATATTAATGAATTTGATGAGTCCAAAATTTTTGGAAATGTGATCATTTTTGGGCGCTTTTAAAAAAGTTAATAGATCAGAAAGCTACTATTTTGATTATTACACTTATCAAAGTATGGAGACTTATTAAAAAATGATTTATTATCAACACTGCTAGATTTCGAGATTAATCATATCAATCTTGCAGTAAGGTTGTAAGCATTATGCCAAAACTCACAATCAGTCTTGCTTATAATAAGATAAGAGATGATGAAATAAACCAATGCAAGAGTAAGGTTTTCTTTTAGGTGGATTATCATGATTTAAGAAATTTTCAGGGCTGATATTTGCTAATTTGCTAGCCAAAAGAGAATATAATTTCCCATGAGAAAATTCTTCATGCGTTATGCTTGATATCGGCTTGAGGAATATCCTGACGCAAGCTTGATTCATATTTTAAGCTGATAAAATATCGAAAGAATATTCGTCCCAATCTACTAAAATCAACCTGGAGCCCCACAAGCAATGTTCCGGATCATAAGCACATTAAGCAAGCTCCTGTCTATAAGTCTCCATCTAACTAATTTTATTTTTAATTTAAACTCTAAGGAAATTTAATCAAAGCAAAAATATTTCACATGCAATTAAAAATTATTTATCGTATAATTTTGGCTTTTTGCCTAGTTCAATTTCATCATAGTCAAGCTTGCGTTTCATCACTAAGCCTTCTTCTCCTTCAATGTAACCATAACTATCGCCACCAATATTTTTGATAAGATCGCCAATTCTTTCTGCACCGAGAGATCTTCTTTCTTCAATTTTTTCATTTTGAGACCCACTTTCTCCACATAATTTGGCTGATGCAGCCAATATTCCCCCGCTGGCTGAACTAAATTTTGTATTTATAATGGAAGCAAGATTGAAGTCGAAAGAATGCTCTTTAATCAGCATACTTCATTTATAACTATATTGAGCTTTAAAGAAAACAATACCACGGACTATCATTTTGTCAAAATAATTGTAATGCTGATCACTATCACGCAAATCTAACGCAATTTTCATATACTGCTTCGCATAGATCTGCCAAAGGGCATCCTCCGCTTTTTCTTTAACATAATTAGCATCAGCAGTATCAAGTTTCTTGTATTCATGAATGATAACACTAGTTTTTTTATATTTAGTAGGTATGAAAATCCCATCAGTCTTCTTTCTAAATATATTTGGTGCTTCGGAATGTAATGTATAATTTGCATCTTCTGTCATAATTGAGGCCATCATCGCTATTCCTCCTAGTGAGATTTGAAAGTCTGCCTCTGTTTTACTAGTGTAATCGGTCATCTTATCAAGAATCATTGATTGGATAAGATTTTTGAATTCAGTTTTATCATCTAAGGTGGCGTTAAACTTCTCAACAATCCTACCAACATCAACTTTTCCTAAGCCTATTTTTCTTTTAATTCACTCTAAAAGCAGTGAGTTGTAAAAACTCTTTTTTATTTCTCTATTAGGGACTACATAGATTCAAGTGCTCGCAAGGTTTTCCTTTTCCTTTTTAGTTGCTCTATATGGTGTTAAATAGCCAGCATGCAGCAATAGTGCGAAAAAAATATTTGTACTGTTTAAATCTAATGCCAAATTTATATAGTTATAAATTTCTTCTGATAATTCAAGATAACCAGTTTTCATTAATTCAAACAATTTATCATAAGATTGCAGGGCATTAAATGCTGAGGCCAGTTGATTAAGGTCATTAGTAAAGATTCAATAAGACTGGAGAGGATTGCTATCTTGAGATTTTGCTTTTTTTAAACAACTCATTATTGAGAATGGATTGTAAATTTTTTCTCCACTAATATTGTATCCGTTGTATCACAGCTTAATTAATTCTCTTTGCTCTAACATTTCCTCCTCTGTATTACTCTGGAAGTTTCGCTCTATTAGAGTATTTACCTCTGATTCTGTGAAGCCAAAAAATTGGGAGTATTCTATATTTTTGATTGTAAACGTATTATATTTGTTCATATATGAAAATTCTATCCCTTTAATAGGTAAAATGCCTACCATAATTACTTTCAAAACAAAACTAGGTAAATCTGTTCATATTGAGTTCAGAATATTTTCTATTATTTCTAATGCTTCATTATGGTGAGGAGCATTTATTGCACGACTAAAAGGGGCATCATAATCATCCACAATAATAATTACGTTCTGCTTGTAAAATTTATGAGCAAATTTAGCAAGATTAGGCACAGCTTCTGATAGCATTTCTAATGAACTATTATTATCTTTGCAATCTCTAAACTCTTGAATATGCAATGGTAAAGTTATTTTATATGCATCGATTATACTTTCAAGCTCTAATATGTTTGTATTATCATAATCTATCACAATATTTGGATGCTTTGAAACATAATTTTTGATAACCTCATCCAATAATGTGCAATACTCTGGGTAATATTTCGAGTATGCTTTTTTGATTATTTTTGAAAATTCAGTGAGGTAAAATTCATTCACAGGGTTATTGCCTAATTTTTTTATTTTGGAGAATTTTAGAAAAATTGTTGGAATTTTCCCAGCAAAATTTTTGTAATAATCGCCATTATCTTCTGTTATTATTTTTAAACATTTTGTTTTATCCAAGTTGTTAACATCAATGTTATCTTTTCCACCAGTGAACAAGTACAAATTTTTAAAATTCCCAAAAGCATCCTTTTTTGGGTGGAAAAAAGCTTTTAGCATGTTCATATTTAGAGTTTTACCCCATTTTTGCGGACGTAAGATGAGTATATTGGTGTCATCATTAATTAAAATTTCTTTGATGAGTAATGATTTATCAATATAACAATCTTTATTCATAACTACCTTTTTAAAGCTTTCGGAATTAGATAACCATTTACCATGAGATTTAGCCCTCATGATTGATTGATGTGTTGGAGGTGTTAAACTTTTAATTTCTGGTATGCGATATGGTGTGCTAAATATATCATCAGATTGAAATTTTTTATGTAATTCTTCCAGAGGAGCTTTTATTCTTCTCATAAAATTTTGCGCCTCTACTCATGAGCCTGATTGCTTATATTCCCAAAGAGTGCAAAGTTTATTGATATTTAAATATCTTTGGATGTATACCATTTCTTGTTCAAACACTCCCCAGTGTAAGATTTCATCAATCAATGCATTCCTGATTCCCTCATTCACAAAATCAAGATCACTTGAGCTATAATACAGCTGAGGAAGATCATTTGGACTCTTGCCTAATTCGATATTATGCTCATCTAGAATAGCACTCAGCTTTAAACTAAAGCATGGGTCAAATTTACTAAAGGGCTCTAAAAACTCCGTGCTTCCGCTTGATATCAGCATAATTGCATTGAAAATAGACCACACTCCACTTTCATGAGGATACACATGAAGCTTAAGACTTTTTTCTTCAATATTTACATTAGGAAAGAAGCCTCCACATTTCAAGGTAGGGCCTTTCTCTCTAATCACGATTTGTGTTTGTATCAAATATTTCATAAGTTTCGGTAGTTGCAAACCTAGCCCGAACGAGTCTATTAAAAAGACAGTTTCTGAAGCTCTTTGGAGAGCTTTTCCATCAATAAGTGTGTGATTTTTGGGAAGAATCACCATCATCTGCCATAATGAATTTGATTCTGAAATTTTTGATTCTCAAAATGCAACAAGTGGCTTTAAAAGAGCAAATCTATCACTCATAAGTGACTGATTTATAGCTAAGATGTAAAATAAGACACCTGATGTTTCATCTTCGAAGGCGGGAGATTTTCCATTTGAAATATCAGGGCCTATTATATGAATTCGATCGCCATAAATCAGTTTCAAAGCTTCTTTTATGCCATAAGCAGTTGAGCTAGGAACTGTAGAGCGAGATTCTGGCCACATTGGGAGGTCCAAGAAGTATTGGTACAAACTGGCTTCCATATCAGTCATTATTTTATTAAAAGGGGCTATTGGGATTTTATATTTTCCTTATTAAGATTTAAGAAATTATCAGGGCTGCTTTTTACAAATTTTGCAAGGCTGAAAGAGATTATTAGAACAGAATCAATAAATTTCATGTAATAAAAAGAATTATGAAATATATCGGCTTCTAATCTAGATATACACTCTAATATTTATAATTCCCATAAGAAAGCTTCGTCATGCGTTGTGCTTGATATCGGCTTGAGGAATATCCTGACACAAGCTTAATTCCTATTTTAGAGTTATCTAGAGTCATAACAAGACCTTCTAAAAGAAGCTTAAGCTGATAAAATATCTTAAGAATTTTCGTTCCAATCTACTAAAATCACCACAAATAACGTTCGGGATCATAAGCACATTTAGCAAGCTCCTGTCTATAAGTCTCCATCTAAATAATTTTATTTTTAATTTTTAACTCTAAGGAATTCTTCCAATGAATTATAAATTTAACGCAAACTCTTACCTAGACATATGAAAGTATTTGCGAACTCTCATTTATCCTCAATATGAAGACGCTTAGAAAAATTGTTGGAATTCGCCCAGCAAAATTTTCTAATAATAACCATTATCTTCAGTTATTATTTTTAAGCATTTTGTTTTGTCCAATTTGAACTTAACATTATCTTTTCCACCAGTGAACAAGTACAAATTTTTAAAATACCCAGCATCATCATTTCTTGGGTTGAAAAAAGTTTTTATCATATCCATATTAAGTGTTTTCCCCCATTTTTGTGGACATGAGATGACTATATTGGTGGAACTAGTTTTTAAAATTTCTTTGATGAGTAATGATTTATCAATATAGCTATCTTTATGCAGAACTGCCGTTTTAAAGTTTTGGGTATTCATTATCCAATTGCCTCCAGATTTACCCTTTATGATTGATTGATCTGTTGGAGGTGTTAAACTTCTAAATTTTGGTAGGCGATTTGGTGTGCTTGATATATCATCAAATTTAAATTTAAGACATCATGAAGAGTCTTTATCTACCTACCAGAGGAGTTTTTATTCTTCTAATAAAATTTATCGCCTCTCCTGATGAGTCTGATTGCTTATACTCTAAAACAGTGCAAAGTTGGTGGATATTTAAACAGTTTTGGATGAATTCTATTTCTTTTTCAAGCACTCCCCAGTGTGAGATATATACATTAAAATGGTGACATGTGTCAAATTGCCCTCTTGGAGAAGTAGTCCAGACCTTATGGCTACGACAATTGGGATGGACTCCGAGCTGAGAATCAAGCGTAGGCTCAAGAGGTGTGTATCCGAGTAGGTTTAGGCTGTTTTTCCTGTGGTTGGAAATGGAGGTGCTCAACAAGGTTCTTTGGATCCGAGGACCCATGGGTATCCTCTGCCGAGAAACTCGGGGTTTCGGCCTAGGCCACAGGAAAACATCTTTTAATTGCAGCTGTCGAATAAAGGCACTTCAACACCCGATAGACTCTAAGGAGCTGATCCATGGAACCAAACTACTCTAATCACCCGTAGCAGGGCGGCAGAATTCCATAAGCACTCAAGACTGAAGCCTCAAGACAAGGAGGAAACAGAAGGTACCAGAAGGGCACTCGTAAGAGGGATAGATCCTCTGGGCTGGAGTCGAAAAGCGGTAGAATCTCCCGTATGGGAGGTCTTTGGTGACTGCGTCACCAATATGGCTAGCGCCTGACTTTTAATAATTCTAAATCCCCAGTGTGAGATTTCATAAATCATTGCACTACTGATTTCCTTATTCATAAATTCAATTTCATTTGAGCTATAATTCGGCTGAGGAAGAGGCCATTTTGACTTATGTCTAATTTGATATTGTGCTCATCTAGAATAGCACTCGGGTCAAACTTACCAAAGGGCTCTAAAAAGTCACCGTTTCCACTTGAAATCAGCATAATTGCATTGAAAACAGTCCACAGCCCACTTTCATGAGGATGCTCATGAAGCTTAAGACTTTTTTCTTCAATATTTACATTAGTAAAGAAGCCCCCAAATTTCAAAGGAGCGCTATTCTCTCCAGAAATCCTAACCTCGATTTCTCTTTGTATCAAATATTTCATAAGTTTCGGTATTTGCAAACCTAACCCGAACGAGTCTATAAAAAATGCAGTTTCTGAAGCTCTTTCGAGAGCATTTCCATGAATAAGTCTGTGGCTTTTTGGAAGAATCACCATCATCTGCCATAATGAATTTGATTCTGAAGATTGGCTGAGGATTTTTGATTCCCAAAATGCAACAAGTGGCTTTTTAAGAGCATATCTATCACTCTTAAGTGATTGATTTATAGCTGAGATGTAAAATAAGACACCTGATGTTTCATCTTCGATGGCGGGAGATTTTCCATTTGAAATATCGGGGCCTATTATATGAACTCGATCGCCATAAATCAGTTTCAAAGCTTCTTTGATGCCATAAGCAGTTGAGCTAGGCACTGTAGAGCAAGTTTCTCTCCAAGTTAGGAGGCTTGAGAAGCATTGGTACAAACTGGTTTCCATATCAATCATTTTTTATAAAAGGGACTACTCTACTTTAATATTTTCCTTACTCTCTTTTATTCTTTTTCGGAGTTTTGCTTGGGAGTTCTGGAATGGTGGTGGAAGTACTGTTGGAATAATTTTAGGAATAAAATAATTCTTTCTTGGAATAAGAGATTAAAAAGCTAAAAATTAATTATTACGCTTATCAAAGTATGGAGAACTTATTAAAAAATGATTTATTATCATTATACTGTTAGATTTCGAGATCAATCATATCAATCTTGCAGTAAAGTTGTAAGCATTATACCAAAACTCACACTAAGTCTTGTTTATAATACGATAAGAGATGATGAAATAAACTAATGCAAGAGTAAATTGAGTTAAGTTAAATTAAATTAAGTGTGATAATTCCATGATCGGATTAGCTACTAAATTCAAAATTGTAATAAATTGATGAATTTGGTCAACTGTGAGGTGAGGCTTGTCCTTGATAAATTCCACAATTTTTTAAAACCATCAGGTTTGCCTGTTAGCAAAAAGTAAAAAGTTTGTAAAAGCTTCTTCGTTTCCTTCATTTTCTTTTTCTCAGAGTTCTTTTACAGCTTTATCTAAATCATATGTATTGTAAGTGTATCGATTATCATAGAAAGGCTTGTCCTCGTCGAGGATTTTTTTAATCATCTTAATTTTTGATAAAAAGGATTAGGATTTTTTTGAGAAGTTCATTAACTTGGAATGTAGTAGACAATGAAAGGTGAGAACATTTTTTATCGAGAAGAGCACGAACTACCTGAGGCAGATGAGAATTGATAAATGTATGAGATTGGTCTGAAGACATGAGATTTTGATCAAATTCAGAAATTTGTGACTCAACTTCGATTAATGATAATTGCAAATCAAGATCGTCACGATTCAGATTAGCGCGGAGGTCTGCGTAGGAGATTCTATAATCTTGTTTGGCTTCTGACATTTTATATAAAGGAATGAATATTCTGTCTTTATTAGATGGTATTTAAGTGGTAAAATGTTTTATATAAATATGATAGAATTTTTAAATAGTTATTCTTGTGGATCTAAGGCAGAATATTATTATATTTTCAATATTTCAATAAAAACATAGATAAATACATAATCCTATTAAGAAAATTTATAGAAATATGCAGCATTCTTCCAAACTCGGCTCACCGGGTACTCAAAATTCTAAAAATCGATCCAAGAAGCACCTGAGCAACGATTTGCAAAACTCATGCACTAGAAAAATATATTCACCAAGTAGAGATAAATTCAATGATAATGCAAGGATAGCCAGTTATGGTCATTCAGGTGATGAAGATCAATTATTCGGGCAAAACCTCACTCCAAGGTCTGATCAAACTTTGAAAAATGTAGAAACTATGTGATTTGAAAGCGAGCTTACAAAAATTATAAATGAATTGAATGGATTTGCGCCAAATAAAACTAGACTGGAAAGCATGCCCTCAGTAATTTTGGAAAAAATTAGAGCAATGAAGAGTAATGAAAGAATTTTACAGCAAAAATTGGATGAGATGATGAATAATGCAAATTATAAGGTGATATTTATGTAGAATCCTAACTATAGAGGCAATGAAGAAGTTTTTAAAAATAAAATCATTGAAAAGTATCAAAAAAAGATCAATGAACTGAAGCAGAGCCTACAGAAAAAGTATCAGGAAGAAATTAATGAGTTAAAGCAGATACTAGAGCAAAAAGAAGCAATTTTAAACTCACAAGAGTCCACCATGAAAGATTATTGAGATCGTGCAGTAGAACTTAAGAATAGATGCGCAGAATTACAAAAAGAAAATGATATCATAAAATCTCGAAATGAGCAGCACTTGTCTAGAAGTCCAAATAGAAATAATGTTGAATCAAAAACGGAAACAATTGAAAAAATATATAGAGACTTGGAAACCTCAAACTTGGCCTTAGAAAGAGAAAATAATAGATTAAAAGAAAAAATTCAAAATTTGAGCAATCAATCAGTTGAAAAGTCAAACATTTGGCGTAAATCTGAATTAGAAAATAAAAGAAGTAATAACGATATGCTAAAAAAAGAAATAAAAGATTTGAAGCAAGAGTTAACTGCTTTAACCGAAGACAAAAGGCAACTTATTAATAGTGAGAATAATTATAAAAGAAAAATCGAAAAATTGCAAAAAGAAATAAAAGAAAACAGCCAAATACCAAATATTGGGATTCTTGAAAACAACTTATCTAAGGCATCATCAGTAATAAATGAATTGCAAGAGAAAAGTCATAATCTTGAAGAGTGCAATAGCCAGCTATCAAAGCAAAATGAAGATTTACGATCAGAAATAATTGATTTAAAACTAAAATTAGCAGGATCAGAAAGCAATTCCAATTTATATCTTACCTCAAAGATAAATTATGATAGACTCTTATCTGAGTCAAAGTCAGAGAAAAACAGATATGAAAGGCTGATTAAGGAATTAAGAGAAGAAATCGAAAAATTAAATAGAGAGCTTCACTCTTCAAATCAAAGTAAAAAAGAATTGCAAAAGAAAAATGATGATTATTGGCAAAATTTCAATCAAGCTTTAAATGATATTGCAGCAAATGAAGCTGACATTAAGAGACTTAAAGATGACTTAGTTCCCCCTCCATGAGCGAACAAAAACATTAGAAAAATCCCTATTTTTTTCCCCAAAAACCCATCCTCCGTGAGCCAACAAAAATTTTTTTAATAGAAAAATTTTTATATGAAAAAAAATATAATTATTATCATTAAATCTCTAGCTAATTCTGTTTAATTTTAAACAAATTGTGTTTTTAAACATAAATTTTGCAAATTAAATTAATATTTGCTTCCAATTTTTGCGAAGTTGGGATTTTTTAAATTTCGAAAAAAAATATTCTATAAATTTATATATAGATTTTAAAAAAAAAAAATAACCCTTCCCGTGTGAGCTAACAAGATTTTTTGTTCGCTCACGGAGGAGTTAGAATCCAAAGATCTAATAATAAGACGCTATATAAAAGAAGTTCAAAGTCTTGAAAATGATAAAATTAAACTTATAGAGCAGATAAATAGCTATGAAAATATAAGGCTGCGTGCTGAAACTGAGCTTTATCCATTGAATCAAAAAATTAAAACACTCGAAATTGAAAATAGGCGTTTTGCTCAAGAAAATTCAAATTTGAGAGAAAATGCTAAAGAATTAGAAACTGATATTAAGCAGGCTAAGAATCTTTTAAATGAAAACCAATCCATAAAACAGAAAATTAAAGATCAAAACAGTGAACTTGAAGCAAAAATAATAGCAAACGAGGGATTAAGAAAAGAATTGAGCGAATTAAATAATAAACTAGCAGAAGAAACATCTAAAAACCAAATTCTCTCAACACAATTAAAAAAACTTCAATATGATAGCAAAGCAAGCGCCAATACCATAGGAGACCTGACTAAAAGAAATGAATCATTGCAATCTCAGCTTAAAAAGCAATCAGAAGAAAATAGTAATTTGAAAGAGGCTATTGACGACTTGAGGAATGAATTCTTAACAGAATGTGAAAGATCAAAAAAAGTCGAAAATAAAATAGAAATGATTGTAGAGAAAATATCGAATTATGAAGAAATTGAAATTGGCCACACTATAGACGGAGGTTTAGATGATTTAGCATTGGCTGTCAATAAAATAATAAAAAAAATCATAAGCCTGAATAATGAAATTGACAAAGATGGTATGGAAATTAAAGAATTATCTTATAAAAATGACTCTCTTTTAAATGAAATTAACAGATTGAAAATTTAAGCTCAGTCCTTAAAAAATAAATTTATAATCGAAGATGATAAAGAAAAGATAAAAAGTTTAGAAAGATTATATAAAGATTCATTAGAAAAATTAGAAGCGGCTAAAGAAGAACTTGAAAATAGAGCAAAATTGAATCAGGAGTTTGAAGATAAACTAGGAGGACTTATCAATCTAAACGAAGAGCTCCAAGATGCTTTCAAAGAAATGAACTCAATCCCTATACCAAGAAGTGTTTAAAAAGTGGCATGTCAAAAAATGATGATAAGTGTGAGAAAGTTGACAATAACGCGCTAATTTTTAAAATGCTTTATTATTAAATTAATTTAAAATTTAAGATACCTAATTAGACTGGATTGATTAATACCTTGCTTAGATTATTAAATACTACTAGTTAACAAATTTAAATTGACTTAGCAAATAAAAACTAGTCAATCGAGTGCTTTATTGCGAGAGGATAGAATTTGTTTATGATCAACTGCTCTATAAAAGCCAAAGTTTGTATCTCTGCGCTTGTTGTTCTTTTAGAAATTCTTAATGACTCATTATATGGTCTTTAGCAAATTTAAATGGAATTGAAAATTAGCAACTATCAATCAAGTTGCTTTTTTGCGAAAGGATAGAATTCTAAATAAACAATGCTAATTTAATTATGATAATTGTTCATAAAATCTAAAGTTTTGTATTGAATGCTGATAGTTCTTTTCGGAGTTCTTAACTAATCATTATATTTTCATTAAAAATGGAATTGAAAAATAAAAAACTTTTTGTTCAAGTTGCTTTTGTGCGAAAGGATAAACAATGCCAATTTGTTTATTGTCAATTGCTCTGTATAACCCAAAGTTTGTATTGAATGCTAATTGCTCTTTATGAAGTTCTTATGGCTCATATTAATGCTCTCTAACAAATTTAAATGGATTTAAAATTTAAAAAATTATGGATCGAGCTACTTTTTTCTGACAGTATAAATCTTTAAATAAAAAATAATTTTTTATATATATTATCTTCAGTATAGAGATTAAGCTCATCTCTTTGAGAGAATCTGTATTGATCGTTCAATAGTCCATTATATTTTGTTCGATATAGAAATCTATATAGCGGTATGAGCTATATAAATCAAATGAAGAAAAATTAGCAACAAAACTCAAAAAATATAAAGACATGGTTAAAGATCTAGAAAAACAAAACTCAGATCTTTTATATGAAAATTTAAATTGGAAAAATAAAGAAAGCAACTATATTCAGGCAAAAGAAGATATTGAAAAGCTAAAAGTCACTGTTAAAAAATTATCGAATAACTTTTTGAAAGAAATACAAAGTAAGGATGCAATAATATCAGACTTAAATAAACAAATTGAGATTAACCGGAATAATTTTCAAGCAGAAATTAAAGCCAAAGAGGACAAAATTTTTGAGCTAGAGAATGATATTGAAGCTTTAATTGAGGACCAAAAGGACCAAGAACATGATTTGATGCCATATGGAATTATTGAAGAAAAGTTGAGTAAGGAGAGAGAGGAGGATAAAAGTAGAATTAATAGAGAATTGCAAGAAACAAAGGAAAAATTGGAAGAGTCTGTTAAAAAATACAATGAAAGTCTGAAAATTATTGAGCTGATGGAAGACCTAAAATTGAAAATGAATGATAAAATTTCAAATTTAACTGAAGAATGTGAGACTAAAGATCAGGATCTTAAAACATATACTTTGGAACGTTTATAGCCTTGAGCTGTAAGCCCAGCTTATAGATAGGATTCATCTCCAAAATTGTTTAGAGACTACACAAGTCAAAATAAGAATGCATTTGCCACCATCAGTCTTAATCTGGCAGCTTCGTAAAAAACCCTATTTTCAAGTTTAAGGTGAGCTATGAGACGCTCTCTATGCTATATATTGACAAATATAATCAAAGTCAATCTACTATTGATGAAATAGCAAATAAAAATTGTATACTAAATGATAAGCTTTCTCAGCTTAAATTAGAGCTAGAAAAATATAAGGGCGAAGCAGATATCACTGATCAAATAAGACTTGATTTAGAAAAAAAGCATGAACTCTATAAAGCATCAACAAATAAGCTTATAGACACTCAAAAGCAAAATATTTCTTCCTTAATGCTGATTAGCAAATTAATTATTTTTTTTAGAAAATTGATTTTTTTTATGATATAAACTAGTCTTAAAAATAGGACTCAAAAAAATATTATATAAGAAGGAGAGCTAGAAAATGAAATTTCTGAATTGAAAGAAAATCTCAAGCGTATTATTACTGAATCGGAAATGAAAGATAACGAGTATGATACAAATATATCAGAACTGCAAAATAAATTCAACGAAAATCTTCGGTACTTGCAAATTTTGCAGGACAATTATAATTCTCTACTGCTTAAAGAAGAAAATAGCCAAAAATTAATGTCAAAGCTTGAAAAGAAAAAGAAAAAGATTGAAAATCTAAAAGCAAACATTTTAGATTTAAGCAAGTCAAAGGAAGAAATGGAGATTAAGATCCAGGATCTCACAAAAGATTTAATTACTCCCCCCATCCTCCATGAGCGAAAAAAATTAGAAAAATGCCTATTTTTGGCCCTAAAGTTAAAGTGAACAAAAATTTTTAAATATGAAAATTTTTTATAAAAAAATATTGATATATAAGTGACAATTATTATAATGAAATCTCTAGCTAATTCTGCTTAAAATTTAAACAGCTTGAATTTTAAAATAAAAATTTCCAATTTAAATTAATTTTTGCTTCTCAATTTTTACAAATTGGAATTTTTTTAAATTTTGAAGAAAAAAAATTAACCCCCTCCGTTAGCGAACAACATTTTTTTGTTCGCTTTTGGGGGAGTTAGTTATTAATATTGTTTAACGTCCAATGCCGCATCATCTATACTGGTGTCTGCTCCTACTTCTGGATACCTCGCCGCATTGCATCGTACACCGTCTGGCTTTGTTTGAATGATCTCTCAGCTTCTGACATTTAGATTTTAACGGCTGCCCTTCAAGTTCTCGAATTGGCGCACTAAGCGCCCTATCTTCATTCCCAGGGGTTGATAGTATACTTTAGAAAAATCCATTCCCCTGGGATGGAGTCCGAATTTGCACATCCTCTTGCTAAATATTCTATCTTTGCCGAAATAATTCACTGGGTAAAGCCAAACCTCATTATCCTCATTATCAAAATTTCCAAAGAATATATTCTATTCGGAGAACAGGTAAATCAGATTTTGATTATCACAAAAGATTTACAAAATCAAGATTATCTGTCAGATCTTAAAAACAGCAAAGAAAAATTGGAAAGAGAGTATCTTACTTACTTAATTATCTGGTATTTAAGGTGTCTAGTGCCGCAGCCCAAAAGGGCCTATGGCAAAACTAGTGACGTAGGTGAGCCATCTTGGAACAGGTCAGCCCTGGCCAAGCCTTCTATCAACTCCTGCTTCACCAGCCTTGCTGCACGTCTCACCCGGCGCGATGCCGTCGCCCTTGTCGCTCGACTCAGCTCCTGCGCGTGTTCCGCCTAAGGGTCATCCTCCCGTGGGGATGTGCTGAGAGGTAAAAGCCCGAAATCTTGAGAGGACTGAGGAGCAGTTCCTCTGGTTATCCCCAGAGTTAAACCGCTATTGCTGTCCAGAAGTTCTCGAGTGAAAACCTAACCCTATAAATAAAATTCCATGAGGGAGAGAAAATTAGCGAAGCTAATTTCTCTCGAGCCGAATGCCATTTTATTTATGGAAAGAGAGTATCAATCTTTAGAAGAGTGTCACAATGCTTCAGTTAAAAATAATGAAGAATTGAATGAGAAACTCAATGACTTAATTAATGAAAAGCAGTCTCTTCAAGCGTTAATTGACTCTAAGCAAGTAGAAATAGCTGAAAAAGAAAATGAAATAAATATACAAAAATCAATATGGCAGGAAAAGCATGAAATGCTGATAGACCAATTAAATAAAAAAGAAAGCGAAATCAAAAAAATGAAGATACTATCGGAAATAATAAATTATTATTTGAAGAAATTTCATCATTAAAAGAAGAAATTGAATTATTAAAGAATGAAAATACACTTAAAGATGAGAAATTAAAAGATCTAGAAGAATTACGCGAAATCAATGATAATTTGAATTCAAAAATAGAAGAATTAACTCTCTCAGTTGAGGATTTAAGAGAAGAACAATTATGACTCGAAAAAAAAAATAAAGAACTGGAAATACAAAATGTTTTATTAAAAAGAGAAAAAGAAAAATTGGCCTTTGAAGCAAAAGCCCAAAAGGAAAATGATGGAATAAGTGAAAAGCTAAAAGAAGATTATGAATATCTGAAAAATAAAAAATTAGAGTTAACTAGAGAGCTTGACGAACTTAAATTAACATACAGTAGAGAACAATTGAAAAACTCTGAAAAGGAGAAATTATTGGCTAAAGATATTTCTGATTTGGAAAATAATAATAAAAATTTATTGAAAGATATTGCTGCTAAAAATAAAGAATTAGAAAATTTTGAAAATATCACATCAACTTTTGAAGAATATAAGAGAAAAAATGAAATTTTATCGCAAAAAATAGAAGAAGATAAAGAAGTCATAGAGCTCTTAAATAGAGAAAAATCGGATTCAAATCTAAAGTATCAATCATTTCAAATTGAAAAAATAGAGCTTATTAAGCAAAACGACGAGGAAAAATCAGATCTCAACTCAAAAATCAATGATTTACGCCAGCAAATCCTTCAAGCTAGACAAGAAAATGAATCAGTTATTGAGAACTATTTAAAGCTAAAGGAAACAACAAATAAGCTAAATTCCCAAATTAATAGACATGGAAGTCTATTATTAGAAAACAAAAATTTAGAAAGCAAGCTATTAATTATTGAAAAGGAAAATCAAGGATTAAATGAAGAAATAGTGAAAAAGGATAATGAAATTAACTATATAAAAGAAACATACAATGACAAAATTAAATCCTTAAACAATCTCATTGAAGATTCAAAAATTGTATTAAATTCAAAGGAAGTAGAAATAGAGAAAAAAAATGAAATAATTCAAGATTTGAATTATCAGCTTCAAGCCAGGATTCAAGAACTAAATGCAAATGGTGATTTAATAGCTCAATACGTTGAAGAAATCCAAAGAAAAGATATGGAAATTCTTGAGTATGAAGAAATTATTAAAACTATTGATGAAAAATATGAAACGAAAATAAAAGAAATTTCTGATAAGTATTCAGCAGAAATAAAGGGTAGAGATTATAAAATTATAAGGCTTGAAGAAGAGAGTCAAAGAATTGAATTAGAGCATCATAATTTATTAGAAGAGTACGACAAATTGCTAAATACTAACATGGATTTAGAAGAAAATATTAAAAAATTAAATGAAAAAATCCAAAATCTTGAAGATGAAATAAATAATTCTCTCAATCAAGCAAGCCCAGGAGAAATAGATAATGATAAAGAAAAAATCGAAGTAATTATAAAGTAGACTGAATATGAAATACTTTTAGAAGAATTTAATGAAATAAAAAGTTCTTTAGATGTTTTACCAGGAAATGAAGAAGAAATATCAAAGCTTAAAGAAGAAATCTCTAGGAAAACCATAGATCTAGATAGCGCTCATACAGAATTAAATGTATTGGTTATTTAGAATATAAACGAAAGATTAAAAGAGAGTTTAAGTGATAATATTGACCTAAGAAGTAAAATTAGAGAGATTGAGATTAATAATCAAGAAAATCAAACACTTTTAAATAGGACTTCTGTCTTAGAAAAAGAATTATCGGATTATCAAAATCAAATTGGAAGCAATGAGAAGCTAAAAAGTGAGTTAAATGATGCAAATACGCAAAATGAGATGATGAGAAAAAAGGTTGCCGAATATACAAGTTTGATTGAAGATCCCAAGTTTCAGCTAAAAGCACAAGGGCCGAATACGAACAACTATATTCATTTTTTAGAAGAGCTTAGAAAAATGTATAGTGAGGCTTCAAGAAATGAATAACCAATAAGCCTGGCTCTTCATTTAATTTATACATTTATTAAATTTTTATATATTGTGAAATCTTTGTTTCTTGTATGTTTACATTTTTTAATCAATAAAAAATTTAATAAATAGTGAAAGGACGAAATAGAAATTATTTTAGATATTTTTTATATAAAAGTCAATTTCAATATATTTATTTTAAATATAAACATTTTTATCATGAAGTATATAGCGCATCAATATATTAAATAATTTTGGACAATTTTTAACTAATTCACCCCAACTCCGTAAGCGAATAAGATTTTTTGTTCGCTCACAGAGGGGATTAATCTTTTTTTAAAATATTTTATAGAATTTTTTTTTCAAGCAAACATTAATTTAATTTGTAAAATTTATGTTTTAAAACGCAATTTGTTTAAAATTAAACAGAACTGCTCGAGATTTTATTATACTAATTATCGCTTATAAACCTTTACACTCACCAAAAACACTCTTTTTAGGGGTCTTGGTAAGCTGACAAAAGAGACTTATATTTATACTAAATAAGATCTTAGCTACTTATGGATCCATGATTTCTTCATTAAGGATTCATTCTTGATGGCTTTGAACTGTGAGCAGTTTGAGCGGACGGCTCCTGCAATTTGGGCAGAGTGAAATTGAGTCATTGACGCACTCAGGGTGGAAAGGCTGGGGGCAGCAGGCACTGCACATAAGTGCAGGCTGGAAAGGCAAATTCCGCATGGGCAGATTGAGCCATTTGCTTGCACCGAAGCATTTCATTTCTTCTAATGTTGGTACTTAATCTAAAATAATGTTTAAATATTAAAAAATAAATATTTTATATAAATTTTAAAAAAATAATTAACCCCACTCTGAAACGAATAAATTTTTTCGCTTACGGAGGGAGAGCTAAGAGATAAAAAAATTTTAATATTTTCTTTACAATTTAATTCCCTTTAATAAGTATTTCAGATTATTGATAATATAATGTTTCCTATCAATTTAAGTTGATATTTTATTTGAAATTTTATCTATTCTTAATAATTTTAAAGCATCATTATCTCCCTTACTGATTCAATAATTTCATAAATATTGAACACATTTAAACTAGTATAAATAAATTATTAAATTTATTAAAGAAAAACAATTACTGATTATAAAAATTAATCAAATGGCAAATCCGTTCAATGGGCCTCCATTCTTTCCAAATTCCATGGGCTGCCAGTTTCCTGGAACTCTAAATGCAGGGCAATCTAATGGAAACTCCAACGCATTTCAAGGCCAAAAAATTATGAACGCTATTATGCTTCAGGGGAAACTAATGCAGCAAATTGCTGTCTCTCCGCTTCGTGCGAATAAAACAATTGGAAAATCCCTTTACCCTTAGAGTATCAAAATATTTTAATATATAAGTGATAATTAGTATTAAAAATTTAAACAATTTACATTTGAAAACATAAATTGTTTACAAAAATTTAATTAATTTTTCTCCAATTGGGGATTTTTTATTTTACTCTAAAATTTATATATAAATTTTTTTAAAAAAAATTAAACCCTCTGAGCAAATAAATTTTTTTTTTTTAACAGATGGGGGAGTGAACAGAATGAAAATTTGCACAACAAGCTAGCAGATATTAGAAGAGAAATTGAAAATTTGCAAGTTCCAGGGCTTCCTTCAGACCCACAAAGTGGCATTGTCCCTTCAAAACAGAACCTTCTGGACCTTCTAACCGGAGAAGACACAAAATTTGATTTTTCTCTTGAACTGTCAGGTTCAGTACCCAACCCAGTCTGTAAAGGAAAATATTTTTCAATAAAAGTTTTCCTCGAGCCAGTTGGGGAGGAGAGAATTCCTATTGAAGAAAGAATCCAATTAGGGGTCTCCTTATATACAGCAGAAAATCCACCAAAACTCATTAACCATAATATGTCTGGTGGAGGTATGATAAAAGGTCATAGTACCAGTTGGCTGACTTATGACGAAAACGAGCGAAAACACGCTACATCGTTTAAAATTCAGCTTAATGAGGTTACGTCACATTTTCGAAATGGATGGGTTTTCCTTGTTGTGCAGCCTCAGACACCTTGTGAGTATTTAGAGCAGTCGGGGTATAAGCTGAAGCCTTTAATTGTAAAGCATTTAGTTATCAAGGCAAAAGAAACGACTTGCAAGAGGTGGAGGGAAAAACTGAAACTTAAAGGTTTTTAGTCTCCAGGTTTGATGCCTCTGCATGCTTCTGATTAGAGCTACCTGATTGGGATGAGGAAATTAAACTTCTATTTGGAGCAATAGTCTTTTTCCGATGCCTCCTGCCAGCCATCCACGAGGGGTGGAGAAAGGAACTGCACCTCTACAGTTCGAAGTAAAGACCGCCACCCAAAAACCATCTCGATGATAATACTTGATGGAGTCACCTTACCCACTGCGATTGCTAAAAACAAGCTAAGTTTTAGAGTTAAAAGGTCTGAGACCTAGATCTATGATATAAACTGAATTTTGTTACCATGGTTGCGTCATCGATAAGGACATAATTATCGCAGCCAACATGTTAATTATGGAGGGAAAAGGAAAAGTTAGCAATATTTTGCCTGAAGCAACTGAAGATGCGTCTCAGGGCTCTCATGAATCGTCTGAAGAGTCAGAAGAAAATTAAATTTTATTACCAATAAATATAAATGACGATTTTTCTTAAATTTGTGATTCAGGAATTACTCATATTTTTGCATACTCCTAAATATAGCACCAATTTTATTAAAATCTGGCAATTTTTGTCTATGACAGCAAATAATTTCTATTATAATTCTTAACAATTATTTTCTGACTTAAAGACAAAATAAAATTAATATTCAAATTCATTTATTGACGCTGTTGATTTTATTTTAAGCCTTCCATGAAATTATGAATTTCAGTATAGTGGTTATATAAATATGAGTAGATCAAATCAGATTGAGCTGATGGGCAAGAGCATTATTTTGCAAGATTCGCTGTCACTTCATGAATTTAGTCTACTCAGCCAACTTAGGAAAACACCAACTGTCAAAACTCTTCTAATTCGTAAAAATGACACTCGAGAACTCCTTATAATGAGAATGATTAAGAAACGATCAAAAATTTCTGTGCCTCTATTAACTTTTTTTATTTTTTTAAAAAATGTTTAAAATATATATTTATAGCTAAAAATATTTTAAAAATTTATTTTTGAATGGAGTAAGAATCCAACAAGAAATTCAGCATCCTTTTATCTGTCCTGTAAAATACACCTTTGAAAACTCAAAGAGAAAGTATTATGTATTTGATTGCTTTCAAACATGTGGCGAATTGATAAACTGGTCTAATAATAGGCTTTTTGATGAAGAAACAGTAAAGTTTTATTCTGCGTGCATTTTATTAGCAGTTTTACATTATCATCAAAATAGCATTGCTTATCTCAAGTAAAAATTATTTAGTCTAAATCTTGAAAATGTATTGGTTGATTCCCAAGGGTATGCAAAATTAATAAGCCGTGAAGCTTGTGGAGAAATTGACAATGGAGAAATTTCTGAGTTTTTAGCACCTGAAGTGATATTTAAAGAAAAATTTGGATTTTCCGCTGACGTGTGATCACTGGGAGCTTTTATATATAAAATGCTAGTTGGGTCACGAATTTATTCTAAAAATCAATTATTAGAAAAAGTAGATCTAGAGCAATTAAAATTCCCATCAAATATTTCATATGATTAGAGTAAAATTATAGTGGATTTTCAGGGATTATTTCAGCTCTTGCCATCCCATGGATAGATTAGTGCTCGCACTAAGCGCTAACCTCACACTTGCCCTTTTTTCTCCTCACGTAGCCAAAAAATGGCGACGTAGGAGGTCTTTCGGGGAGATTGCCCTACCCTTCTTATGGATCCCAACAAACGAAAAAACTCCCTCAGCTTTCAACAGACCCAGAGCATAGGTAGACCGCTTTGCCTTATCAATGCCCTCTGAGCTGTCTTATAGGATCGGTAATTCTCAATGGAGTGCTGAAGGACATTGAACAGTAGGAGCTAATACAAGCTAGGAAAAAAGTCGAAGGTCAAGCCCTGGACCCAAAATCCCACCCCAAGAACTATCACCTTTGGGCTTTTCTTCTCTAGATCCAGATCAACTGACGAATCACCAGAGGCACATCTAATCACGCCATTTAATAATTCTTTATTTCATATGAAGCTAAAAATTTAGTAGAAGCATTACTTATTAAAAATCCAAGCCAAAGATTAAGCGAACAAGAAATTAAAAATCATCCATGGTTTGCGAATATTGATTGGGAAATATTTATAAAATAAAATGGTTTCTGCTGAAACGATAATACTATTCTGTAAATTTCCTTTACCTTACCTACTTTTATTAATATAGGGCTAGGTTTTTATGCATTGATTTCTGCAAAAGTGAAGGACCATTCTACTCTCGCATTCTTTTTATGATGTGTTTTATCTCTTTCCACTGATGATATAGAAGGCATGACGATGAAGCCGGGCAGGTACTTGAGGAAAGCCGAATAGAGCAAGTCAACACGCCAATCTGCTAGTATTTTCGTATTTCTGAATTTCCGAATGGCTTTATGAATTAGGAGGAGCCAGTCGTACTATAGTGCCCGATATACATACTAAAGTAGCAATAAGACTTAAAAAACATCCCAGTGGCATTCTGTATCTAGAGGTTAAGTTAAATCAAGCAATATGATGATTGGGAAAGATTAGAGTCTAAAGAAATAGAGTCCCCAACGTTGATAAGGGGAGAAATCTCACAGAGAATTCCGCTGGAATCTAATTATCAGACACAATCAGCAAGAATATTTCAAGCCCAAGATCCGATTATAAATACAATTTAATTTCTTTAAATATCATCCCTAACTATGAAGATTCTATTTAGTTTTAAATATATTTAACCCTTCTTATAGAGATGCTTTTCCTGCATTAAGTCTCTCAAATAGCCTAAAATTTCAGACAATTTCTTTCTTGCTTATTTAACTCAAATTTTAAACTAAAATATTATCCTGTATAAATCTCATAAAATTATTTATTTAAAATCCTTAATCTAAGCCTTCTTATCATGGCATCAATTTTACCCCAAGTTTCTTCCATAAGAATTAGTAATGCTGAAATTAATCCAATATTCGATAAAGACATTTGAAATATTCATTCTTCAGAAGCGTAAAATGGGTTATAGATTGACCAAGTTGATAATGAAAGCAGGAATAATAAAATACAGCTGACTTCTTCGAATTTTAATAGGAGCAAAATTGTTGATAAGAGGATAGACCCACCGTATAGTCTTACTGCCGTTGTTGCGTCTGGATAAAAAGAAGTGTGGGAAAAGTAATGATTTAGACCGGCCTTTCATTCAGTAGTATAGTGTTCAGGGTTTGTAAGCATTCTTGAACCTAAAACTAAGAGGATTGCTGCTAGGAGCAATTTTCCCGCTAATTTTCTAGTTCCCATTTATTATTTGTAAATAAATCTGTCAAAATAAATATTAAATCGCGTAAAGTTATTTAAAATTAAGCTTAATAAATGATTTGCTACATTATAGATAATATTCCTTTTATTTTTCAAGTTAAAAAGTGTATTATTATTTTTTAATAGAAAATAAGGAATCTTCTTTAAATATTGAATAGTCATGCTCCTTTTTGTGCTGATTTTTAACAAAAAATTGATTTGGAAGAGCAATAAACTCAAAAAATACATTCAAAAAAATCAATAAGAAAAAAGGATTTAAAAGGAAATTTGCAGATTCAGCTCATGGAATAATATTGCTAGCTCTGCCCTTGATTATCATAAAAAAATATCCTGATCGCTCTTGGCATTGCCTAAAGAGGCAAAGTAACGATCTGAAAAGTCAGACTGAAAATGAAAAATGATATTTTTATAGCAAATTTATATATACATAAAAATGGTGACGACAGACCACCCGACCTCTCGACCCTATTTCCTCAACAGCAGCAGGCAACGGCCCAGTGTTGGGGATTTAGGTGGAAAGGGGCCGTTAATCCTTTATGTATATTCGGGCTGGGTTTTCCTCAGGCCCAGGGTGCTAAACTCTGGACTTAGAGTTTTTCCTCCAGGACAACCATTGGAAAGGGCAAGGTCGGGCCATTTCTGATGGGCAATATGAACCTCAGACCCTGAAGACGGTATTTGCCTAACGAGAAACTGGAGTTTCGACCCATGTGGTTGCCCCTTAGACTCCAGAAGCCATGGAAGTCAAGACTGGTGGTGCGAATCCCTTGTTTGCGGAAACAAGGAAGGGTGTCTTGCCGAGGTCCCTTTATGGATGATGAGCGTGTAGGGGTGCAAATTCCCGGCCCTGCAAGTGCGAACGGCTTAACTTAATCTTAATCTTATGGCAAATTTATGTTGTTTTAACAAGTAGAGCCTATTGATAATATTTATCAAATTTAATCTGTGTTTATTAGAAAAATGTTAGTTCTCATTTCCATTTTGGCTTGTCAGATTGCAATTTACCTCTTTAGGTGCTGCTCCAGAGAGATCTAAATGGGTTCTCAAGCTGTATGCTTTTTGTTTTAATTTTATATTAAAATTGTGCATAAACCATTTTTCGGATTAAAAAATCCATATTTATAATTTAATTTTATAATATTAATATTTGAAAATGAGAGAGTTTAATAGGATTACATGGAGATAATATTATTATAATAGCAGATTTTATATATCAAATTATTATTTGAATAATTTTTTTTCTCGCTAACAAGAAATCTTAATAGCTAATTCTTTTTAATTTTAAACAGCTTGCATTTTAAAATATAGATTTTGCAAATTGAATTAATATTTGCTTTGAATATGGAGTCTTTTAAATTTCAAAAAAAAATTTCCTATAAAAATTTATATAAAATTTTAAAAAAAAAGATTCCTTAATGAGCAAAATTTTTTAACTCCCCCCCCCCCCCCTCCGTGAGCGAACAAAACCATTAGAAAAATCGCCATTTTTTGACCAAAAACCCACCCTCCGTGAGTGAACAAAAATTTTTTTAATAGAAAAAATTTTAATGGAAAAAAATTTTGATATATAAGTGATAATTAGTATAATGAAATCTAGAGCTAATTCTGTTTAATTTTAAACAAATTGCGTTTTAAAACATAAATTTTGCAAATTAAATTAATATTTGCTTCCCAATTTTTGCAAATTAGGATTTTTTTAAATTTCGAAAAAAATATTTTTTATAAAATTTATATATAAATTTTTTTTAAAAAAAAAAATTAACCCCCCTCCGTGAGCGAACAAAATTTTTTTGTTCGCTCACGGGGGGGGGGGGGGGGAGTAAGGTAGGAAGTAAGCATTAATATTGCCATTTACAAATTAATCTCAGTTATTGTATTACTGCATGAAATTGATCAAATCTCGAACACACTTAATCAATTAAAAATTTGATTTAAATATAAATATAGCAATTTTTACTTTTGAACTTGACCTTTATATTCAAGCTCCTCGAAAATTTTAAGTCTTCTTTTAGCACTATCATCATTCCCTTTCTTAAAAACAAGCTTCTGGGTATTTAGATTTATTTTTAAGTTTGAAGGGGAAAACTCTCGGTGTTTGAACTGGCATCGAGTTCCATAAAGGCAATACCCTAGCTCATAAAATTGCTTACATTTTTTCGTTCTGTAATTGTTCGGAAGAGTGGTTTTCTGTATTATAAAATTTTTTTTTTTATTTTTTTTAATTTTTAAATAAAAAATTAAAAATAAATATTATTTTTCTCTCGAAGCTCATGAATCCCATGAGCAAATGCGCATGAATCCCCAAATTCGCACTTACCATTCTCCCAATTTCGGCACATTTCGGTTTTATATTTAATTGTAAAATCTACTTCTTTCGTGTTTTCTACTATATCTGTTGGCATCTGAATAAGTGTATTTTTACTGTTTTGGCCTAGCCAAGGATTGCATGTTATCCCGATGTGAAACTCCTGCATTCTGATTGACAAATTAAAATACATCGTGAACTGATCTGATTCTTAACTCTGTTACCATTATCTGAAAGGAGCTGAGACTTTGAGGAAGAAAGGGTCCAATGAATGCAGTCGGCAAGGTTTTGCTGGTATATTTCTGAGGCAGGTTTTTCCTCAAGAGGAAATGAGACTCGAAATTGTTAAGGGTTCTTACATTGGTACCTGGGAATGTTTTTAGCCGATCAGGAAACTACTTGCACGATACCAGGCATTGTGTCCTGGGCTTCCAGTTTTCCATTTTTACCGATTTTTATAATGCATTGCACTAATATTGGGAGGATCCCCACGCATGGAATAATTTTATACATGTGAAACCAAATTCAGCATAGAGTCTCCCAACGTGAACAGCTTCAGAAGTGGAAAATGGTTCTAAACAGGAATATATTCCACTTGTGGAGAATCTCCCAATATTAGCGCAACGCACCTTATCAGAAAATTCAATTTGCAAAGACGCAAACCTTCTGAACTTGGGAGTGAGTGTAAGCCCTTATCCAAAGTAGTAAAACACTGCAAAGCTGCATGTAGATTGAGCAACTGATAGAGCCTTAGGAAAAAAATAAGTGGCTTTGGCTACTTGACAGTGGGCTTTTTTCAATAATCTTAAATAAATATAATGATTGACAAATTTTTATTATATAAAAATTGTTTTATATCAGAAAGAAATTTGACAATGAAAATACAGGAATATGTATAAGAAATCAAATAGAAAAGAAAATTATTTTACTATTAGTGATATATATATTTTAGCTTAAGATTATGGGGGTGCCAATTGAGATTTATTTTTTTAAAAATAAAATAGTTCACAAATATGATTGATAAGATTTATGTGATTGGGATTTCAAAGTAGTCTATGGTTATTTGTGTTTTAGCAAGTTTCTTGGAAAAAGGAAAACGGATATAATTTGTTGTATAAAAATGCACTTTTTGTATATAGATTAATTAAAATAAAGCTTTTGCTTAATTAGTTAACTAGTCATCTTTAGACTATTTAGCAGGCTCTAACTGTATTTCATTTAGTTAAAACTGCCCAAGAATTATTTAATATATTGATGCGCTATACACTTCATGATAAAAGCCTTTAAAAATATTTAAATTTAAAATAAATATATTGAAAATGACTTTTATACAAAAAATATCTAAAATAATTCTATGTCGTCCTTTCACTATTTATTGGATTTTTGTTGATTTAAAATGCTAGTATGCAAGAAACAGTGATTGTACAATATATAGAAATTATGAATGGCACAAGTATTTAATAAATATATAAATTAAATAATGAGCTTGATTTATTGGTTATTCATTTCTTGAAGCCTCACTATACATTTTTCTAAGTTCATCTAGTTCATTTTGAAGCTCATAGTTAGTTTCTTCTAAAAAATTAATTTGGTTTTCATAATAATTTTTGGTATTCGGCCCTTGTGCTTTTAGCTGATACTTGAGATCTTCAATCAAACTTGTATATTCAACAGTCTTTTTTCTCATCATCTCATTTTGCGTATTTGCATCATTTAACTCACTTTTTAGCTTCTCAAAGCTTCCAATTTGATTTTGATAATCCGATAATTCTTTTTCTAAGCCAGAAATCCTATCTAAAAGTGCTTGATTTTCTTGATTATTAATCTCAATCTCTCTAATTTTACTTTTTAGGTCAATATTATCAATTAAACTCTCTTTTAATCTTTCTTTTATATTCTAAATAACCAATACATTTAATTCTGCATGAGTGCTATCTAAGTCTATGGTTTTCCTAGAGACTTCTTCTTTAAGCTTTGATATTTCTTCTTCATTTCCTGGTAAAACATCTGAAGAATTTTTTATTGCATTAAATTCTTCCAATAGTATTTCATATTCAGCCTACATTATAATTACTTCGATTTTTTCATAATTTTGAATAATATAAGAATTTTCATTTTTCAATGAATCATATGAATCCCTTGTCTTTTCTAGTTCTGAACTCAGATTGTTTATGATGTCATTCTTTTCATCTATATCTAGTTTTGCTTTATCAAGCTGTGTTGCTAAGTCTTCGATTTTAGCATTTAAGATGGAAAATTCTTTATCTATTTCTCCTAGGCTTGCTTGATTGAGAGAATTATTTATTTCATCTTCAAGATTTTGGATTTTTTCATTTAATTTTTCAATATTTTCTTCTAAATCCATATTAGTATTTAGCAATTTGTCGTACTCTTCTAATAAATTATGATGCTCTAATTCAATTCTTTGACTCTCTTCTTCAAGCCTTATAATTTTCAAATCTCTACCCTTTATTTCTGCTGAATACTTATCAGAAATTTCTTTTATTTTCGTTTCGTATTTTTCATCAATAGTTTTAATAATTTCTTCATACTCAAGAATTTCCATATCTTTTCTTTGGATTTCTTCAACGTATTGAGCTATTAAATCACCATTTGCATTTAGTTCTTGAATCCTGGCTTGAAGCTGATAATTCAAATCTTGAATTATTTCATTTTTTTTCTCTATTTCTACTTCCTTTGAATTTAATACATTTTTTGAATCCTCAATGAGATTGTTTAAGGATTTAATTTTGTCATTGTATGTTTCTTTTATATAGTTAATTTCATTATCCTTTTTCACTATTTCTTCATTTAATCCTTGATTTTCCTTTTCAATAATTAATAGCTTGCTTTCTAAATTTTTGTTGTCTAATAATAGGCTTCCATGTCTATTAATTTGAGAATTTAGCTCATTTGCTGTTTCCTTTAGTTTTAAATAGTCCTCAATAACTGATTCATTTTCTTGTCTAGCTTGAAGGAGTTGCTGGCCTAAATCATTGATTTTTGAGTTGAGATCTGATTTTTCCTCGTCGTTCTGCTTAATAAGTTCTAATTTTTCATTTTGCAATGATTGATACTTTTATTCGTCATATATTACTTAATTTAACTTAACCTCGAGCTAGCCTTCTCGATACTTAGCCTCACCAGATTCCCTCTTTCTATTTTTCCGCTGCAATCACTCTATGTGTAGGCATCGCAGTGCCGCTCATCTCCCCTAATGCCAATCAACTATAAATACAGAAAAAATACTAGCGCTTTATGTGTCTGTTTGGTTTAAGGTCCTGTCATGTATATCGACAAATGGAAAGAGGTAATATCTTAGACAAAATAAATCTTAGCCATTTTCTTCTCATGAAATCTATGCTAAAATTTAAACCTATAATAAAAACAAGGGACTCAAAAGAATAACGGGAGAATTACCTTTTCAACTGAAGCCATTTTATTATTATGATGATACTTTAGATCTGAATCCAATTTTTCTCTATTTAAGAGCTCTATGGCTTCTTTATCTTCTTCTATTTTTTGCGATAAAATTTCATTTTTTCTCTTATATTCTTCAAAAGTTGATGTGATATTTTTACCTCCCTCTGTGGGGGTAGGTTAAACGTTTTTTTTCCTTCTAGATGAGCTTTTTCCCCTGTCACAGCACTTGGCCACAGATGTCCTGCAGAGGGTCAAGAAAACGATTGGCGATGAATCAGTTTATGCTGAGAAGGAATAAGCAGCGAGCTAGTCCCAAACTTACGGACTCTAACAGCATGGGCCGTTCACGTGTCATCGGCAACAACTGGAGAAAAGGACTCTGAAATCTGGAGGATGAGATCCATACAGTAACTCCAACAATAGCTCAGCCATCTTGCGACGACATTGGGTGATCTCGGTAAATTCAGATACCTGAATTCTGATCAGAAATTAAGTAGTTAACTATAACTATAATGATGTGATATTTTCCAAAATTTTCTAATTCTTTATTTTTAGCAGCAATATCTTTCAATAAATTTTTATTATTATTTTCCAAATCAGAAATATCTTTAGCCAATAATTTCTCCTTTTCAGAGTTTTTTAATTGTTCTCTACTGTATGTTAATTTAAGTTCGTCAAGCTCTCTAGTTAACTCTAATTTTTTATTTTTCAGATATTCATAATCTTCTTTTAGCTTTTCACTTATTCCATCGTTTTCCTTTTGGTTTTTTGCTTCAAAGGCCAATTTTTCTTTTTCTCTTTTTAATAAAACATTTTGTATTTCCAGTTCTTTATTTTTTTTTTCGAGTCATAATTGTTCTTCTCTTAAATCCTCAACTGAGAGAGTTAATTCTTCTATTTTTGAATTCAAATTATCATTGATTTCGCGTAATTCTTCTAGATCTTTTAATTTCTCATCTTTAAGTGTATTTTCATTCTTTAATAATTCAATTTCTTCTTTTAATAATGAATTTTGCCATCATTGCATGCCTAGTAGAGACAGGATGAACTCAAAAATTTTTGCCAGAAAAATAAGAAAGGCCACGGGGTCACAGGTGGTAGAATTCCGGGTGCGTTCTGGACTAGCTAGACTTCCCTTCGACCCACAGACAAGAAGACCGGCGGTGCAACATCAATCTAGCAGCATTATGCTAATTGCAGAAGCAGTTTCAGAAGGAGGGATCAGACGCTTTCCTCATACCTTGAGCACTATCAAGAGTTAAGAGAGTCCATTGCTAGACATTTTTGGTCCAGGCAGGTTCGGATGAATCTCCTCGAAAGATGTCGACGTCACCATTTTATCGATATCAACAGAAAATGGCGTTAGGTAGCTTTAGTGATTAACGCCACACGAGAGTGAAGCTGAAGTTCGATTGGATCAGGGGCTGAAATAAACCCGTTTTAACCCTCTCTAACTTAATCTCTCTCTTAATGATGAAATTTCTTCAAATAATAATTTATTATTTCCAATAGCATCTTCATTTTTTTTGATTTCGCTTTCTTTTTTATTTAATTGGTCTATCAGCATTTCATGCTTTTCTTGCCATATTGATTTTTGTATATTTATTTCATTTTCTTTTTCAGTTATTTCTACTTGCTTAGAGTCAATTAACGCTTGAAGAGACTGCTTTTCATTAATTAAGTCATTGAGTTTCTCATTCAAGTCTTCATTATTTTTAACTGAAGCATTGTAACACTCTTCTAAAGATTGATACTCTCTTTCCAATTTTTCTTTGCTGTTTTTAAGATCTGACAGATAATCTTGATTTTGTAAATCTTTTGTGATAATCAAAATCTGACTTTTCTGTTCTCCGAATAGAATATATTCTTTGGAAATTTTGATAATGAGGATGATGAGGTTTGGCTTTACCCAGTGAATTATTTCGGCAAAGATAGAATATTTAGCAAGAGGATGTGAAAATTCGGATGCCATCCCAGGGTGAATGATTTTTCGAAAGTGTGTCATTAACCCCAAGGAGTCGAGATGGGGCGCTTAGTGTGCCTATTCGAGAAATTGAAAAACAGCTGTCAAAATCTAAATGGACGAAGCTGAGAGACCATTCATACAAAGGCCAGACGGTGTAGGATGCAAGGCGGTGGGGTATCCCAGAGTAAGAGCGTAAATCCAGTACAGGTGATGCGATATTGGACGTTAAACGATATTAATAGCTAATTCCCCCCTCCGTGAGCGAACAAAAGAATTGTTCGCTAACGGAGTTTTTTTTTTATAAATTTAGAAAAATTCCAATTTTTATAAATTGAGAACCAAAAATTAATTTAATTTGTGAAATTTATGTTTTAAAATTTAAGTTGTTTAAATTTAAACAGAATTAGCTAGAGATTTCATTATAATAATTATCATTTATATATCAAAATTTTTTTTTATAAAAAAATTTTTATATTAAAAAAATTTTTGTTCACTCATGAGGGTCGGTTTTTGGGTCACAAATAGGGATTTTTCTAATTTTTTTGGCTCATGGAGGAGGGGGGGAGTAATAGATCTTTTGTGAGATCCTGGATCTTAATCTCCATTTCTTCCTTTGACTTGCTTAAATCTAAAATGTTTGCTTTTAGATTTTCAATCTTTTTCTTTTTCTTTTCAAGCTTTGACATTAATTTTTGGCTATTTTCTTCTTTAAGCAGTAGAGAATTATAATTGTCTTGCAGAATTTGCAAGTACCGAAGGTTTTCGTTGAATTTATTTTGAAGTTCTGATATATTTGTATCATACTCGTTATCTTTCATTTCCGATTCAGTAATAATACGCTTGAGATTTTCCTTCAATTCAGAAATTTCATTTTCTAGCTCTCCTTCTTAATAATATTTTTTGAGTCCTATTTTTAAGACTAGTTTTATATCATAAAAAAATCAATTTTCTAAAAAAAATAATTAATTTGCTAATCAGCATTAAGGAAGAAATATTTTGCTTTTGAGTGTCTATAAGCTTATTTGTTGATGCTTTATAGAGTTCATGCTTTTTTTCTAAATCAAGTCTTATCTGATCAGTGATATCTGCTTCGCCCTTATATTTTTCTAGCTCTAATTTAAGCTGAGAAAGCTTATCATTTAGTATACAATTTTTATTTGCTATTTCATCAATAGTAGATTGACTTTGATTATATTTGTCAATATATAGCATAGAGCGTCTCATAGCTCACCTTAAACTTGAAAATAGGGTTTTTTACGAAGCTGCCAGATTAAGACTGATGGTGGCAAATGCATTCTTATTTTGACTTGTGTAGTCTCTAAACAATTTTGGAGATGAATCCTATCTATAAGCTGGGCTTACAGCTCAAGGCTATAAACGTTCCAAAGTATATGTTTTAAGATCCTGATCTTTAGTCTCACATTCTTCAGTTAAATTTGAAATTTTATCATTCATTTTCAATTTTAGGTCTTCCATCAGCTCAATAATTTTCAGACTTTCATTGTATTTTTTAACAGACTCCTCCAATTTTTCCTTTGTTTCTTGCAATTCTCTATTAATTCTACTTTTATCCTCCTCTCTCTCCTTACTCAACTTTTCTTCAATAATTCCATATGGCATCAAATCATGTTCTTGGTCCTTTTGGTCCTCAATTAAAGCTTCAATATCATTCTCTAGCTCAAAAATTTTGTCCTCTTTGGCTTTAATTTCTGCTTGAAAATTATTCCGGTTAATCTCAATTTGTTTATTTAAGTCTGATATTATTGCATCCTTACTTTGTATTTCTTTCAAAAAGTTATTCGATAATTTTTCAACAGTGACTTTTAGCTTTTCAATATCTTCTTTTGCCTGAATATAGTTGCTTTCTTTATTTTTCCAATTTAAATTTTCATATAAAAGATCTGAGTTTTGTTTTTCTAGATCTTTAACCATGTCTTTATATTTTTTGAGTTTTGTTGCTAATTTTTCTTCATTTGATTTATATAGCTCATACCGCTATATATAGATTTTTATATCGAACAAAATATAATGGACTATTGAACGATCAATACAGATTCTCTCAAAGAGATGAGCTTAATCTCTATACTGAAGATAATATATATAAAACATTATTTTTTATTTAAAGATTTATACTGTCAGAAAAAAGTAGCTCGATCCATAAATTTTTTAAATTTTAAATCCATTTAACTTTGTTAGAGAGCATAAATATGAACCATAAGAACTTCATAAAGAGCTATTAGTATTCAATACAAACTTTGGGTTATACAGAGCAATTGACAATAAACAAATTGGCATTGTTTATCCTTTCGCACAAAAGCAACTTGAACAAAAAGTTTTTTATTTTTCAATCCCATTTTTAATGAAAATATAATAATTCGTTAAGAACTCCGAAAAGAACTATCAGCATTCAATATAAACTTTAGATTTTATGAACAATTAATCATAATTAAATTAGCATTGCTTATTTAGAATTCTATCCTTCCGCAAAAAAGCAACTTGATTGATATTTGTTAATTTTCAATTCCATTTAAATTTGCTAAAACCATAAAATGAGTCGTTAAGAATTTCTAAAAGAACAACAAGCGCAAGATATTTATAGAGCAGTTGATCATAAACAAATTCTATCCTCTCGCAATAAAGCAACTCAATTGACAAGTTTTTTATTTTTTAAGTCAATTTAAATTTGTTAACTAGTATTTAATAATCCAAGCAAGGTATTAATCAATCCAGTCTAATTAGGCATCTTAAATTTTAAATTAATTTAATAATAAAGCCATTTTTAAAAATTGGCGCGTTTATTGTCAACTTTTCTCACACTTATCACCATTTTTTGACATGTCACTTTTTAGCACTTCTTGGTATAGAGATTGAGTTCATCTCTTTGAGAGAATCTGTATTGCTCGTTCAATAGTCCATTATATTTTGGTAGATATAGAAATCTATATAGGGTATGGGCTATATCTTGATAAAGAATCTTGGAGCTCTTCGTTTAGATTGATAAGTCCTCCTAGTTTAACTTCAAGCTCCTTATTCAATTTTGCTCGATTTTCAAGTTCTTCTTTAGCCGCTTCTAATTTTTCTAATGAATTTTTATATAATTTTTCTAAACTTTTTATCTTTTCTTTATCATCTTGGATTTCAAATTTAATTTTTAAGGACTGAGCTTCTTCCAGGGAAATTTTCAATCTGCTTATTTCATTTAAAAGAGAGTCATTTTTATAAGATAATTCCTTAATTTCCATATCATCTTTGTCAATTTCATTATTCAGGCTTATGATTTTTTTTATCATTTTATTCACAGCCAATGCTAAATCATCTAAACCTCCGTCTATAGTGTGACCAATTTCAATTTCTTCATAATTCAATATTTTTTCTATAATCATTTCTATTTTATTTTCGACTGTTTTTGATTTTTCACATTCTGTTAACTCCCCCCTCCGTGAGTGAGCAAAAAAATTTTGTTCACTCACGGAGGGGGTTAATTTTTTTTTTTAAAAAGATTTATACATAAATTTTATAAAAAAATATTTTTTTTTCGAAATTTAAAAAAATCCTAATACGCAAAAATTGGAACGCAAATATTAATTTAATTTATAAAATTTATGTTTTAAAAAGCAATTTGTTAAAAATTAAACAGAATCAACACTATATTTCATTATGCTAATTATCACTTATATATCAAAATTTTTTTCCATAAAAAATTTTTCTTTTAAAAATTTTTGTTCACTCACGGAGGGTGGGTTTTTGGGTAAAAATAGCGATTTTTCTAATGGTTTTGTTCACTCACGGAGGGGGGGGAGTAAGAATTCATTCCTCAAGTCGTCAATAGCCTCTTTCAAATTACTATTTTCTTCTGATTGCTTTTTAAGCTGAGATTGTAATGATTCATTTTTTTTAGTCAGGTCTCCTATGCTATTGATGCTTGCTTTGCTATCATATTGAATATTTTTTAATTGTGTTGTGAGGTTTTTGTTTTTAGATGTTTCTTCTGCTAGTTTATTATTTAATTCGCTCAATTCTTTTCTTAATCCCTCGTTTGCAATTATTTTTGATTCAAGTTCACTGTTTTGATCTTTAATTTTCTGTTTTATGGATTGGTTTTCATTTAAAAGATTCCTAGCCTGCTTAATATCAGCTTCTAATTCTTTTATATTTTCTCTCAAATTTGAATTTTCTTGAGCAAAACGCTTATTTTCTATTTCGAGTGTTTTAAGTTTTTGATTCAATGGATAAAGCTCAGTTTCAGTACGCAGCCTTATATTTTCATAGCTATTTATCTGCTCTATAAGTTTAATTTTATAATTTTCAAGACTTTGAACTTCTTTTATATAGCGTCTTATTATTAGATCTTTGGATTCTAACTCCTCTGTGAGCGAACAAAAAATCTTTGTTCGCTCACACGGAAGGGGTATTTTTTTTTTTTTAAAAAATTTATATATAAATTTATAGAATATTTTTTTTCGAAATTTAAAAAAATCCCAACTTCGCAAAAATTGGAAGCAAATATTAATTTAATTTGTAAAATTTATGTTTTAAAAACACAATTTTTGTTTAAAATTAAACAGAATTAGCTAGAGATTTAATGATAATAATTATATTTATTTTCATATAAAAATTTTTCTATTAAAAAAATTTTTGTTCGCTCACGGAGGGTGGGTTTTTGGGCAAAAAATAGGGATTTTTCTAATGTTTTTGTTCGCTCATGGAGGGGGGAGTAAGTCATCTTTAAGTCTCTTAATATCAGCTTCATTTGCTGCAATATCACTTAGAGCTTGATTGAAATTTTGCCAATAATCATCATTTTTCTTTTGCAATTCTTTTTTACTTTGATTTGAAGAGTGAAGATCTCTATTTAATTTTTCGATTTCTTCTCTTAATTCCTTAATCAGCCTTTCATATCTGTTTTTCTCTGACTTTGACTCATTTAAGAGTCTATCATAATTTATCTTGGAGGTAAGATATAAATTGGAATTGCTTTCTGATCCTGCTAATTTTAGTTTTAAATCAATTATTTCTGATCGTAAGTCTTCATTTTTCTTTGATAGCTGGCTATTGCACTCTTCAAGATTATGACTTTTCTCTTGCAATTCATTTATTACTGATGATGCCTTAGATAAGTTATTTTCAAGAGTCCCAATATTTGGTATTTGGCTGTTTTCTTTTATTTCTTTTTGCAATTTTTCAATTTTTCTTTTATAATTATTCTCACTATTAATAAGTTGCCTTTTGCCTTCGGTTAAAGCAGCTAACTCTTGCTTCAAATCTTTTATTTCTTTTTTTAGCATATCGTTATTACTTCTTTCATTTTCTAATTCAGATTTACGCCAAATGTTTGACTTTTCAACTGATTGATTGCTCAAATTTTGAATTTTTTCTTTTAATCTATTATTTTCTCTTTCTAAGGCCAAGTTTGAGGTTTCCAAGTCTCTATATATTTTTTCAATTGTTTCCGTTTTTGATTCAACATTATTTCTATTTGGACTTCTAGACAAGCGCTGCTCATTTCGAGATTTTATGATATCATTTTCTTTTTGTAATTCTGCGCATCTATTCTTAAGTTCTACTGCACGATCTCAATAATCTTTCATGGTGGACTCTTGTGAGTTTAAAATTGCCTCTTTTTGCTCTAGTATCTGCTTTAACTCATTAATTTCTTCCTGATACTTGTTCTCTAGGCTGTGCTTCAGTTCATTGATCTTTTTTTGATACTTTTCAATGATTTTATTCTCAAAAGCTTCTTCATTGCCCCTATTGTTAGGATTCTACATAAATATCACCTTATAATTTGCATTATTCATCATCTCATTCAATTTTTGCTGTAAAATTCTTTCATTACTCTTCATTGCTCTAATTTTTTCCAAAATTATTGAGGGCATGCTTTCCAATTTAGTTTTATTTGGCGCAAATCCATTCAATTCATTTATAATTTTTGTAAGCTCGCTTTCAAATCACATAGTTTCTACATTTTTCAAAGTTTGATCGGACCTTGGAGTGAGATTTTGCCCTAATAATTGATCTTCATCACCTGAATGGCCATAACTGGCTATCCTTGCATTATCATTGAATTTATCTCTACTTGGTGAATATGTTTTGTAAGTACATAAGTTTTGCAAATCGTTGCTCAGGTGCTTCTTGGATCGATTTTTAGAATTTTGAGTGCCCGGTGAGCTGAGTTTGGAAGAATGCTGCATATTTTTATAAATTTTCTAAATATGATTATGCATTTATCTATATTTTATTGAAATACTGAAAATATAATAATATTCTGCCTTAAATACACAAGAATAACTATTTTAAAAATTCTATCATATTTATATAAAACATTTTACCACTTAAATACCATCTAATAAAGACAGAATATTCATTCCTTTATATAAAATGTCAGAAGCCAAACAAGATTATAGAATCTCCTACGCAGACCTCCGTGCTAATCTGAATCGTGACGATCTTGATTTGCAATTATCATTAATCGAAGTTGAGTCACAAATTTCTGAATTTGATCAAAATCTCATGTCTTCAGACCAATCTCATACATTTATCAATTCTCATCTGCCTCAGGTAGTTCGTGCTCTTCTCGATAAAAAATGTTCTCACCTTTCATTGTCTACTACATTCCAAGTTAATGAACTTCTCAAAAAAATCCTAATCCTTTCTATCCAAACATTAAAAGCTGAGCAATTCGGCACTATCGAGATGATTAAAAAAATCCTTGACGAGGACAAGCCATTCTATGATAATCGATACACTTATAATACATATGATTTAGATAAAACTGTAAAAGAACTCTGAGAAAAAGAAAATGAAGGAAACGAAGAAGCTTTTAAAAACTTTTTACTTTTTGCTAACAGGCAAACCCATACAACACACAATATTCTTTTTAAATACAATTTAAGTGTATTTATAAGATATGAAGGGTTTAAAAAAGTTGTGGAATTTATCAAGGACAAGCCTCACCCCACAGTTGACCAAATTCATCAATTTATTACAATTTTGAATTCTTTGCAGTATTTTATGGAATTTGATATGTGAAGAAAAATTGCCAAGGAGTTTAGGGATGGGATTATAGAGACTATGCTAAATTTAAGTGGAGATGAGCTTAGACTAGCTCAGAAGCAAGATTTGCAGCATTTAATAAATGGGTTAGAAACTTTGTTAGAAAAAATCTATAGTCATCATGTCCGTGATCAGCAGAAAATAGGAAAAATGTTGGAAAATTTTGAATTGGAACTAGGAATAAGGTGCTTAAGGAGCCCATATTTAGAAAAAAAATTACATGGGATTAATGAAATTGATAATAAAATCACCCAAGCCAGACATAGAGATGAAGAAGACGCCAGGCTAAAACGAGGCGGGTTTCCATATAGATCTGACTATCGAGATACCGCAAGATGGCTTACAACTGAAAAACTGCTTGAGTGGCTTGACTCTCAAAATATTTTAGAATTAATTTTCGGACCAAGCAGCCATCCAGAAATCGTCAAAAGAAGTGTTGATTTAATCAGACTTTTATATACAAATAACAGATTTACACGAGAACAGATTGATTTGGTTTGAAGCTCCGCTTCAAACAAGCACGAAGCTGACAAAGACGCTATAATGAGCCTTATCCAAGACGTAACCCCTTGTTTTTCAGTCCAAGATCTCCAATATTTCTTCCATAAAGTAGGGACATTACCATATCCACAAATAGATGGAAAAATATTATCATTGATTCGGTCTATTACAAAACATATGTCAAACCTAAAATCAAGCTTACCAAAACATGGGAAATCTAATAGCTATCATGGCCCAAATTCACAAACTGAAGAATTTGATGTATGGGCTGATAATAATGAAACAAAAGCTCATGAACACCCTGGAGAATTCACTGATATTGATATTGACGAGCCAAAAAATAAATCAAATAATAGCGTTACTGATCCTTGGAAAGAAATAGCTGATAATGACCCAAATTTAGTAGGGATTCAATTAGAGCCAGATAAAGAAGATACAAATATGCAGCCAAAAGAAGCAGAAAATATAGAAGATCCTGTAGATAATGTAGGGGCTGACGATGCATTGGATTTCTTATGAAGCATATGTCAAGAAAACGCATTAGATAATGATATACCTAAAGGTATCCCAGCCCAAGCCCTTCAAATCCTTCAAGAGCTCTTATCATATTACTACCTTTCTGAGAGGCAAAAATTCATGATCAGATGTGTAGAAAATATCCGTAAAAATTCCGTGGTTTTATCTTCTATTCAGCTACTAGAACACTTGCTAAATTCATATTCTCCAAGCAGAATGGGTTATAGAAGTGCAGAATCCCGTGATAGCAAAATTCAATGACTTGCTAAAGAGCATAATTTGATTGAAAGAATTTATATAAATTTAATTATGATTAAGAAAGAAATCCTTGATAAGGGACAAATATTGCTTAATGCGGATGAAAAGCCTGAAGAGCAAGACACAAATTCTACATGCTCAAGTGGCGATGAAGAGCCTGATACACGTAAAAAACGATACGAAATTATTTTCAAACAAATAAAAATTTCTAGCTCCCTTTAAGATTTTTTTTAAAATGGGAATTATTTTTCAAAAAAATGATTTTCTGAATTTTTCCTGGTCTTAAAAGGGGTAAAGATATTGATTTAAACTATATAGAAGAAATCAAAAAAAGGCTAGAATTTTTAAGATACTTGTATTTAAATTCTCCTGAAAAAATGCAGCCTAGACATATAGAGTTATTGTGAAGTGGTTTGATTTTAAACGCTGCAACGGAATCTGAGCATGAAGAATGTTTTGCTTGAATTGCTGGAATATTGCCACATTGGCATGGAGAAAATAGTATAATTGATGATGAGATCATACATTTGATATACACTGATATGATTTTAAAGCTGGATCCAAAGTATTTTTCTCCAGCTGCGTTTAATTGCTTTGAAAGATATTTTACCAATGTTAATAAGCAGCATGGACTTCTCGATAAGTCAGAATGAAGCGACTATGACGTAAAAGATATAAAATTGTTAGGAATTCAAGCATTATGGGAGCTTATTTTACAAGTAAAAAATGAGAGCGTATACAAAGAAGCCCAAAGTTTGCTTAAAAAGCTATATAAAGGGCTAAGAAGATGTGGATTTGAGACACAAGAGGATTTTTTGAAAAATTGTATGGAGCATATAAAGACTGGGGCAGAAATTTTAAAAAATCATTATGATGCTGATGCGACTAATAGGGTTTCTCGGTCTTTATCATTGCTATATGAATGCCTTGAAGATTTCGAAGGAAGGGAAGCCAAAATAAGCCATAGTTTGTCAATTGAAGTCCAAATTGACAACCAAACAAGCACCGCTAAACATCCTAAGCTGTTCCACATGACTTTATATAAAGAAATGACCATCCAAGAAGCCAAAAAGGCCATCGCAAACATATTAAACCCTCCTATGCACCCAGACAACCTCCAAATTGTATCACAAGGACGAGAATTTGATTCAAGAGTCGAAAATTTGACATTATCTGTAATGGGAATTGAAGAAAAATCAAAAATAATAATTTTGGATAGAAAAGAATATGTTTCCTCCCATCAAGATATAGAAAATATTCAAATAGACCCTGAATCTTTAGACAGCTTAAAAGATATGTTCCCTGAAGAAAACGTAAAAATATTAAAACTGGCTTTACAAAAATCACGAGGAAATGTAGACGAAGCTGTAGGTCTTTTATTTGATGAAGATGAAAAGCAGAAATTAACTGAGATGGCGTCTAGTCCACAAATAAAGCCTAAGCCTCAGCTGAATTATAATATAAGCAACACTATAAGCAATACTCATGAATATTTTAATTTGCTTTTTGAGCTTTTTGAGCTAGGAAACCCTTATATTAATGCACAAAGCTGGGCACTTTTAACGAGAATCCCGATAAATTTAGAGATGTATGAAGGGATAAAGAATTTAGATATTAAGTCAGAAACCAGCTGAAATGATTTATTTGATAATAAATATATGAATAAACTGCTATATTCGCTACAAATAGTAAATACTATTATAATGCCTTTAAGCCAAGCTTCTCATAATGAACTAATAGAATGTATTCAATGGAGAGCTAAATTTGTAGAACTGGGCGGGTTCTGACACATTTATAAGATTTTAATAAACTCAGACCATATGAGCTCAATGCCAGAACAATACCAAACTAATGCAAAATGTATTGAATTTCTTTTAATTATTGTAAAATCCTTTGTCGAATCAGCTTTGGCGACTATAAATTCAGAGAGTTTTGCAGAAATAAAAAATGAGGAAAAAAATATGATGGATCTTGATGAAAATAGTAGCTTAGAAAGAGCTAATAAAAATATATCGACCACAATTATAAATTTAATTGACTTTCCATCCCTAATTGTAAAGCTTCTCTCTATTATTGAGGTGAATATGCAAAGATCTCAAGAAAGTGAAGCTGTCATTGTAATTGGGAAAGCTCTTGAGCTATTGCTGTCTCTTATAGTTTATAAGCCTGTTTTGCTTTCAAATTTATATTCCTGCGAAAATCTCAAAAAATATATATTGTGGGTGATTAATTTACAAAAAATTTTAAGCTTTATATGATTTAATAGGTTATTTAATTAAAAATGTTATAGTTATTTCTGGATTATTAGAATGTCAAAATGAGAGTATAAGAGAAGCCATTAAAAACATGTTTTCAGCGATTGTAGAAGCTGTCACTCAGCCTATAGAAAACATTGAATTACCCAGAAATTATCTATTGGGTATTCTCATCAGCAATTTGCCAAGCAATTATAATTTCACTTGTGATGAATATTTTGAATTATTGAACAGACTCATCTATATTTGCCATTATTCTGATATAAATTTGCTTGGCGTCAAAACTTCAAGACTGGCGTCCTCTTTTGGTGGTTAGAGATGGCCACACCATAGGTGGGTCAGAGGAAAATGGCCCAGAGCGGTGTTGGAGGTAGCTGTGGCCATAGTGGACGTTAAACTTATAGATTAATTATGATATAAATTTGCTTAATTTCAGCTTACAATTGATATATAATCGAGAAATAATTGAAGATCGAACTCTTGGGATTCAAGATAAAGTCCTTACTGGGCATTTAAAAACAGCTGCATTATTAGTAGATTTTAATCCCGAGATTAAAATAAGCTTATCATGGTGTTTAGACTACTTATATTTATGGCTTTTTGAAATCCCCAAGCATGACGCTGTAAAAATTCAGAACGGCCCTCCAAAATTCAAGCACCAAACTACCCGTAAAGCAGCGTTTTCTCTAATCCTCTCTTTATGCTCTAATTGTCCAGAAAATACTAATATTATTTTGATGCGGCTATGCCAAAATCACCCTGACAATAGAAATTGTGGATCTTTTGACTCGGAAATTTCTGTCAGGTCTCAAACTGGATATGTAGGCCTTAAAAATTACGGTAGCACCTGCTATATGAATTCTTTAATGCAGCAATTTTTCATGATCCCTCAGCTGAAGCAAGGCATTTTAGAGTCAAAAATATCTATGCAGGAGCCTCTAGAAGACAATTTATTATACCAATTTCAATTATTAATTGCAAATTTAAGCGAAAGCGAAAAACAATATTATGAGCCCAGAAGCTTTTGTAGAGCTTTTAAAGGCTATGATGGCCTTAAACTTAAATTAGAGCGTTTAAGACATCGTTTGCATTTGTAGGATGGTTAAAAAAGCTACATGGACTCAACTCAAATAGTAGCAAAACTAATGACATCTCTGGGCATTTCTATCAAACTTTTATCGGGTCGAAGGACTATCCTAAGCAAGTGGTTGCAAGCTAGCCTCCTGGCCTCACGAGCAACGTTGTCCTCGTCTTTTTCCCCACCTTTGACTGCAGTATGTGTTCCACCTAAGGTCTCTTTCCTTCAGAGTGTCAAGCAGCAAAAACCTATGCCTCCTAATTATCCTGGACAGAGCTCTCACCTTATCCTATGACTCACCATGATATTGCAGATAAAAGATTTACAGTAATACTGAACCCCATGAGGAAAAGAAATTTAACAGAACGAATTTCTTCCTCACCGATTACCATTTTATTTATAAATCTATGATGGCCAATCTATGAATGTCAGTGTCCAACAAGACGTCGATGAATTTTTCAATCTATTGCTTGACAAGCTTGAAGACCTAATGAAGCCAACCAGACAAGCAAAATTATTTAGATCTACAATTGGCGGCACTTTGGTGCATGAAATTGTGTCTTGTGAAGAGAGTTTTCCTTATAAAGGCGAGCGCGAAGAACAGTTTTTAAGAATTTCTTTAGAAATCAAAAATAAAAAAAATATTGCTGAAGCTCTAGATTTGTTTATCAAAGAAGATTTATTGGAAGGCGACAATAAGTACTTTTGTGACCAATATAATCAAAAAATTACAGCTAAAAAGCGCTGCTTAATAAACAGCATGTCAAACACTGTAATAATCCACTTGAAAAGATTCGAATTTGACTTTACAAGAATGGTGCGCTGCAAGATCAATGATTCCTGTGAGTTTCCAATAGAATTAAACCTAAAACCATGAACTAAAGATGGAATAGAAAACTCCAACGCTAAGCCAGACTCCTATTACCAATATGAGCTTAAAGGAGTTTTAGTACACTCAGGAAGTGCAGACTCTGGGCATTATTATTCATTTATCAAAGACAGAAACTCCGGAAATTGGTTTAAATTTGATGACAGAAACGTTGAAAATTTCAGCATAAATAATCTTAAAGACGAATGCTTTGGAGGGGAGTCCAATTATGTCTGGGCATCAAATAACCAAATGTACCACGCCACAAAAAGTGCTTATATGCTGATTTATGAAAGAGTAAATCCATTAGTTGGGGATACTGAAGAAGATATGGAAAATAATGATGAAAATTATCAATGCAAAACCCCTGAAATTTTAAATAAAATTTGGCTTGAAAATATGGAGTTCCAAAGAGACCTGCTATATTTTGATGAGACTTATTTCGATTTTGTGAAAAAGTTTGTAGAAATGTATAGGTTTGGGATGTATGATTATTCAGAGATCTATAAAATGCTGGAGACTGATCCAGGCTATATAGATGTGCTAGAAACTCAGGATCCAGGGCTGCAGCTGATAAAACTTATAACGCTATTTGCATATGAAATTCTTATAAGATCAAGGAATTTCCAAGCATTTTGTTCATGGATTGAAATTTTGTCAGGGTTATATCGTCAGCATAATATAGCTTGCTTATGACTATTGAAATATTTGTCTCAAAACACTCAAGTTTTGAATGAAATTCTCTTTGAGTGCCGTGAAAGCCAAGTCCGCCATGAATTTTCTGAGCTTTTATCAGTAGTCTTGATTATAGCTTCAAAATTAGAAAAAAATATTTTATTAGAGACAGAAAATATCCTTACTCCCCCCCCCCCCTCTGTGAGCGAACAAAAAAAATTTTGTTCGCTCACGGAGGGGGGTTAATTTTTTTTTTTAAAAAAAATTTATATATAAATTTTATAAAAAATATTTTTTTCGAAATTTAAAAAAATCCTAATTTGCAAAAATTGGAAGCAAATATTAATTTAATTTGCAAAATTTATGTTTTTAAAACGCAATTTGTTTAAAATTAAACAGAATTAGCTCTAGATTTCATTATACTAATTATCACTTATATATCAAAATTTTTTTCCATTAAAATTTTTTCTATTAAAAAAATTTTTGTTCACTCACGGAGGGTGGGTTTTTGGTCAAAAAATGGCGATTTTTCTAATGGTTTTGTTCGCTCACGGAGGGGGGGGGGGGGGAGAGTTATAGAAAATCCTGCACAAAATGAAGCTTATAAGTGGAATCCTAATGAAAAATTGAGTATAAAAAACTCAAAATCAATTACTGGTAGATTTGTTGAGCTATATTTGAATTATTTTTTGCAAGAAGCAAGAAAAAATTGGAGAAGATTCAATGAATTTTTCAATATTATGAAAAAGTTTGCGAGTGAAGGCCCAGAGCAGGTGAGGCTAGTTGTAGAGAAAGACGGGGTTATTAAGCTGCTAAGCTTTTATATGAATGGCAATATGCCGTTCCCTGATAGTATCACTATGGGTGATCAGGCAACAGAGCCTAACCTTGATGAAGCATTAGAAATCATTAAAGTTCTCATATGTGGGTCCAAAACTCAAACCATGGCTAACTCAGGGACATATCCACCTTCTTTTATTTTTACTCCTTCACATTCTGAAGTCATTCTTGACTCCAAAACTGAAGGCTATTTCCAAGACCATCGGATTTTCAAAAATCTTATATCCCGTTTTATGATGTCAAAATTTCTATTAAAATAAATAATAATTTATGTAAATTTATTATAAAAATATATAATATGATAAATTGACTATGTTTATAGAAGTGAGATAAATATATAATTATTATAAAATAGTATAAATAGCATTAGAAATGAGGCTGCAAAAGCAATCCTCACACATTTTTCCTGGGAAAACATCAGCATGAGTACAACTTATATTGAAGAAATTGTGAATAAAATCGTCGAGTTAAAGACTACTAGCCAAGAGGTCAATCCATACTTAAAAATGCTGACAAGCTTGTTCACGCTTCAAGACTCCTTCAAAAAAGAAAGAGTCTCAAGATTTCTAAATGCCAGAGTATCTCTAGGGTTGATTGGGTATAACCCAACTAACTTTTTCGAATGGCTATCCCGGGTTAAAGAATCCTATGTCATTCTCATTATAATTATCTGCTTATGGTGGGGAGATATGCTAACAATTCCTCATATAATTGAAATTGCTCAGGACCATGCTGCTAAATTTAGATGGATTGTACCTTTTATTAACACTTTAACGTTCCGCTATATGCCAAACAGCTACGTTGTTGATTATAAAGATAAGACAAGAAGCACGACTGAAGATCTTAAAAAAATGATCCAAAGATTCGATATTCCTATGTTTCTTGTATAAATTATTTAAATTTTTTATAAAATTTTATGTAAATTTATAGGTAAAAATTCCTATAAGCTCAGACTCGGAAAGTTCATATGAGATAGAATTTGCGCCTGAAGATTTATTGAGCACGGATGCTGATGCAGGTAACGCAGCTGAGCCAGAGCCTGCCCCGACTGAGCAGAAAGAAGAGGAAGATTCAACTGGAAGTGATGAGATAAATAATAATTAGTTTAATAAATTGGGGGTGATAAATAATTAATGCAAGCTTTAGATAGAGAAAATCCGTTGGAAAGAGAAATTTTATGATCTTTGGAATGAATAAGAATTCATATAGTGATTAGCTTTTATTTAAGATAAAAAATATGATAATTATATAAGGTTTTTATTTATAATAGTGAGTATAGAGTTTTCAGAAGAAGATATAGACACCCAAGAGCTTAAAAAACACAAAGACTATATTAAATCTTTCCCTTGCAGAAGGCAGAAGACTGTGAAGATGGAACTAACTCACCTAAATTTGAATTCCAATTTAAAGGCTTTTTTACGAAAGAAAAATTATTTTAAATTTTTATCAAAAAAATCATATATTTCATGAAAAATTAAGTATTAAAAATTTATCAATTTTAAATGGAGCCAGTTTTTAAATATCATTTTGCTTGATTTCCCTTTAAAATAGAGAAATTTAATTTTTGCACCATTACATTGTGTATCCACATAGAAATTATTAGTTTTACCTATAAAAAATTTAATTTAAAGGAGAAATTTAGAAACTTTACTGGTATTTATTCTATTTTAAAGGGGTAGTAAGAGAAAAGTATATTAAAAGTGTTATGGAAAAGCAAAAAAAATTCGAAGACAATCTTCAGGAACTTAGCCAGGAAACTGTAGTAGCTTCTACTGATCCTTTAGGATGCCTTGATGCATATTCAGAGTGCAATAATGATAGCATCGATTGAGTGTTAAAAAAGATACAGCAAAGTTGGAATATTTTTAGATACAATTTTTATTAAAAAAATAAAAAAAATAGAAAAATATTGAAGATTTAGCGTACCTCACCCAGTTAACAAATATGTGTTGGGAATAATTTGGAACGAGTTTCCAAACTTTCGAAGAAATAATAATCTACTTCAAAAACCTCTCCCAACCGAAATAATTTCTTTAGAAAACCCAGAAGCCATGCAGATTTTTATTCACAAGGACCAAAATAATACAAGACATGGAGTTATTCTTTATAAAGATGGAAATTTAATAAGACCATTCTAAATTTGTAATTTCTTTATTAAAAATAGCTAAAACCGGGATAATTATATTACTTATAGAAAAGTTTACTGTAATTCCTGAAGGACTATCTACACCCATAACGCCCCGTTAGCCTACTTACCAACTCTTAAAAGAACTTAAAAAGGATAATATGCTGGACAAGGGCATGCGCTTGCTAAAACATAGTTGGATAAGTTATACCACCGTCTTGCGCGTCATCAATGTTTACCAACCATGGAAAATTAAAAATGGTTGAATCTAGGCCAAAATGGAAATCTGAAGCCCAGGGCGTAAATCCTGGTATCACGCTACGAAATAGTTCCAATTGTCAAGGAAAATAGCTATTGGCTCTGAGAAGAGATTCCTTTCCAACTCTCGGCCCATCTCTCTCTGAACAAAAACCTGGATCTGGAAGAAGCTTACTGTTAGCTAGTTCGATTTTGCGCTTCACCAAGCCAGATAAAATCTGGCTTGATGAATATTCCTAAACGCCAACTCCTTTTCTCGAGGTCCCTTCCCACCTTGTGGGAGGTCAGCTACAGGAATTAAGAGGATGGGTTGGTTCTCATGCCATTTTAACATACAGGAAATAGATAAAACCATCCCTTTGATTTTTGCTGCTGCATCTATTACATATTCTTTAAGAATTATTAGGATTAGCATAAAGACTTTTCAGAAGATCTGCTAATCGATACCCGCCAAGTGCGAGCTGCCTTTGAGCAATAGGCTTTCCTCTCAACATGTAAGAAACAGTTGGAGACTTACCTTCTACCATATCATTGTATGCATAATCCACAGCTGAGTGATAGCTTACTCCCTCTCCGTTAGAGAGAACCCATTTTTGTGAGCTAAAGGATATAAAATTTAAATAATAATTATTTTTTAACAAAAATTCTATTAAATTTTACACAAATTGCATACTAAAACACAATTTTCTAAATAAATATAAATATATTTTTAAAAAAAAATTGCATCCCTTGCTTTTTCATGCCCATCGAAGGAGTTAGTAAAGCCCAATCATCATAACTTGTAGACATCAAATAGCTCGCCAGCTTCCCTCTTGAATTTTCTTTCATAATGCCGCTTGCATAGCTTGTAATATTGTTCCAGCATTCATTGCTTAGAGGTCTTGGACAATCATCTCCAATAGTTCCTAAAGCCCAATCCCAAAGCTTATGCAAATTATTAACTTGGCTATTCCCATCATAATAAATCTTGAAAAGGTTTCCTCCAGCATCACCATTTGGCTGAGCTACTGTGAATCTTGAAATAGCGTGTAATGGCTCATGGAGGTCTCCTAGCCAATGTATTAAATATCTAAGCTGCAATGAGGCTTCTAGTGGAGCATTATTTGGATTTACGTTTCTAAGAGTACTCATAGCTTGGCTTATAGCCCAAATAATATTGTTAGTAGAGCCTGCTGTTGCATTAAGAAGTCCATCCAGATCATATGGCTTATTTGTATAGTGCCAGTCATTACTTATTTCGAAACTATATGTTTTCAAGTCATCGGCCCAGCAGGCAGTTTCGACAAACGAATTGCTCAAACCATGAGTTAAAAGTCCATTTAAAGGTGCAAGAATTTGTTCTGCGATAGCGTAGACATCAGGATTGTTAGCTTGGAGGTCAAGTTGTGCGATCATGGCAGTAACCATATGACCATTGCATCACCATGCAGCTGATAAGCTGATAATGCAAATCAAGAGTTCTATCTTCATGTTTGTTGACTTATAAGAAGGAGAAATTAATCATTAAGCTATTTAAATGGAAAAGATGAAAGTGGAGTTGTGGAAATAGATAGCTACTAGAAGCCAAAGCTTATGGGTTTAGACAAAATTTTATTTAGAGTTAAAATTAAAAATAAAATTATTTAGATGGAGACTTATAGACAGGAGCTTGCTAAATGGGCTTATGATTCCGAACATTATTAGTGATGATTTTTAGTAGATTGGAACGAAAATTCTTTTGATATTTTATCAGCTTAAGCTTCTTTTTTAGAAGCTCTTGCTATGACTCTAGATAACTCTAAAATAGAAATTTAGCTTGCGTCAGGATATTCCTCAAGCCAATATCAAGCACAACACATGACGAAGCTTTCTTATGGGAATTATAAATATTAGAGTGTATATAAGTATCACACTAGATTAGACCGATATATTTCATAATTCTTTTTATTACATGAAATTTATTGATTCTGCTCTAATAATCTCTTTTGGCCTTGCAAAATTTGTAAAAAGCAGCCCTGATAATATCTTAAATCTTAATAAGGAAAATATAAAATCCCAATAGCCCCTTTTAATAAAATACTGACTGGTATGGAAGCCAGTTTGCACCAATACTTCTTGGACTTCCGAGCGTGGCCAGAATCTCGCTCTACAGTTCCTAGCTCAACTGCTTATGGCATAAAAGAAGCTTTGAAACTGATTTATGGCGATCGAATTCATATAATAGGCCCTGATATTTCAAATGGAAAATCTCCCGCCTTTGAAGATGAAACATCAGGTGTCTTATTTTACATCTTAGCTATAAATCGGTCACTTATGAGTGATAGATTTGCTCTTTTAAAGCCACTTGTTGCATTTTGGGAATCAAAAATCCTCAGCCAAGCTTCAGAATCAAATTCATTATGGCAGATGATGGTGATTCTTCCCAAAAATCACACACTTATTGATGGGAAAGCTCTCCAAAGAGCTTCAGAAACTGTCTTTTTAATAGACTCGTTCGGGCTAGGTTTGCAACTACCGAAACTTATGAAATATTTGATACAAACACAAATCGTGATTAGAGAGAAAGGCCCTACCTTGAAATGTGGAGGTTTCTTTCCTAATGTAAATATTGAAGAAAAAAGTCTTAAGCTTCATGAGCATCCTCATGAAAGTGGAGTGTGGTCTGTTTTCAATGCAATTATGCTGATTTCAAGCGGAAGCACTGAGTTTTTAGAGCCCTTTAGTAAATTTGACTCATGCTTTAGTTTAAAGCTGAGTGCTATTCTAGATGAGCATAATATCGAATTAGGCAAGAGTCCAAATGATCTTCCTCAGCTGTATTATAGCTCAAGTGATCTTGAGTTTGTGAATGAGGGAATTAGGAATGCATTGATTGATGAAATCTCACACTGGGGAGTGCTTGAAAAAGAAATGGTATACATCCAAAGATATTTAAGTATCAATAAACTTTGCACTCTTTGAGAGTATAAGCAATCAGGCTCATGAGTAGAGGGCAGGAAAATGACAGTGCCTTTTTGATAGTGTGAATTCACCAAAGTTTTTGGTCGAGAATTTTTAATTAGCGGATCTATTTGGCCAAAATTTAATGGTTTTTTCGGTCAAATGTCTCACTATCAAAAATGATTTTAACAAAATTTCCCCTAGGAGATGTAGCACTATCAAACTTCCACAATCATTTGGTATGGAGCCTGAGGAGAGGCGCAAAATTTCATGAGAAGAATAAAAGCTCCTCTGGAAGAATTACATAAAACATTTCAATCTGATGATATATTTACCACACCAGATCGCCTACCACAAATTAAAAGTTTAACACCTCCAACACATCAAACAATCATGAGGGGTAAATCTGATTGCATTTGGTTTACTGATGCCGAAAATTTTAAAATGGCAGTTAGGAATAAAGATGGTTATATTGATAAATCATTACTCATCAAAGCAATTTTAAATAAAGGTGCCATTAAAATACTCATCTTACGTCCGCAACAATGGGGTAAAACTCTAAATATGAGCATGTTAAAAACCTTTTTCCACCCAAAAAAGGATGCTTTTGGGAATTTTAAAAATTTGTACTTGTTCACTGGTGGAAAAGATAACATTGATGTTAACAACTTGGACAAAACAAAATGCTTAAAAATAATAACTGAAAATAATGGTTATTATTACAAAAACTTTGCTGGGAAAATTCCAACGATTTTTCTAACTCCCCTATGAGTGAACAAAAAATCGGAAAAAATTTTTGCCAAAAGCCCACCCTTGCTGAGCAAACCAAAATTTTTTTAAAAAAATATTTTGATATATAATTAATATAATAATTGCCCGAGGATGGCGCTATCTTTGCGCCATCCTCGGGCAATTCCTATAATTAATATATAGCGAAATCTCTAGTTAATTCTGTTTAATTTTAATATTTTCTTTTCAATTTTTTGTGATTGGGATTTTTTGTTAAATTTCGAGTAAATAGTTTAAAAAAAAATAATTAACTCCTTCCCGTGAGCGAACAAAATTTTTTGTTCACTCACGGTGGGGGAGTAAAATTTTCCCTAATAGAAACATTGGGCAATGAGCCTGTGAAGGAATTTTACCGCAGTGAATTTTCAAAAATAATCAAATTAGCATACTCGAAATATTACCCAGAGTATTGCACATCCTTGGACCAAGCTATCAAAAATTATGTTTCAAAGCATCCAGATATTGTAATAGATTATAATAATAAATGCATACCAGAGCTTGAAAATATTATTGACACATATAAAATAACTTTATTACCGCACGTTCAATTGTTTAGAGATTTCAAAGATGATAATTCATTAGAAATGCTTTCAAAAGCTGTTCCTAATCTTGCTAGATTTGCTCATAAATTTTACGAGCAGAATGTAATTGTTATTGTGGATGATTACGATACCCCTTTTAGTCGTGCACTAAATGCTCCTTACCAAAATGAAGCATTAGCAATTATAGAAAAAATTCTGAACTCAATATGAAAAAATATTCCTAGTTGTGTTTTGAAAGTAATTATGGTAGGTGTTTTACCTATTAAAGGGATAAAATTTTCAGAAATAAACACCTTTAATACACATACAGTTAAAAATGTGGAATACTCCCAATTTTTTGGCTTCACAGAATCAGAGGTAAGTACTCTTATTGAGCAAAATTTGGAGAGTAACACAGCTGAGGAAATGTTAGAGCAAAAAGAATTAATTAAGCTGTGATATAATGGATACAATATTAATGGACAAAAAATTTACAATCCATTCTCAATAATAAGCTGTATAGCACAAGCAATGTCTCATGAAAGCAATCCTCTCCAGCCTTATTGAATCTTTAATAATAACCTTAGTCAACTGGTCTCAGCATTTAATGCCCTGCGATCTTATGATAAATTGTTTGAAATAATGAAAACTGGCTATCTTGAATTATTAGAAGAAATTGATAACTATATAAATTTGTCATTAGATTTAAAAAGTCCAAAAATTTTTTTCGCACTATTGCTGCATGCTGGCTATTTAACACCATATAGCACAACTGAAAAGGAAAAAAAAAACCTTGTGAAAAAATGAATATATGTCGTTCCTAATAGAGAAATAAAAAAGAGTTTTTACAACTCACTGCTTTTAGAGTGAATTGACAGAAAAATAGGCTCAGGAAAAGTTGATATAGTTGAGATAATTGAAAAGTTTAACACCACCTTAGATGATAAAACTGAATTCAAAAATTTTATCCAAACAATGATTCTTGATAAGATGACTGATTGCACTAGTAAAACAGAGGCCGACTTTCAAATCTTATTAGGAGGAATGGCGATGTTGGCTTCAATTATGACAGAAGATGCAAATTATGCATTACATTCCGAAGCACCAAATAGATTTAGAAAGAAGGCTGATGGGATTTTCATCCCTACTAAATATAAAAAGGCTAGTGTTATTATTCATGAATACAAGAAACTTGATACTGCTGATGCAATTGATGTTAGAGAAAAAGCGGAAGATGCCCTTTGGCAGATCTATGCAAAGCAGTATATGAAAATTGCGTTAGATTTGTGTGATAGTGATCAGCATTATAATTATTTTGACAAAATGATAATCCGTGGTATTGTTTTCTACAAAGCTAAATTTGGTTATCAATGAAATATGGTGATTAAAGAGCACTCTTTCGACTTCAATTTTGCTTCCATTGTAAATACAAAATTTAGTTCAGCTACCGGGGGAATATTAGCTGTATCAGCCAAATTGTGTGGAGAAAGTGGGTCTCAAAATGAAAAAATTGAAGAAAGAAGATCTCTCGGTGCAGAAAAAATTGGTGATCTGATCAAAAATATTGGTGGCGATCATTATGGTTACATTGAAGGAGATGAAGGCTTAGAGATGAAACGCAAACTTGACTATGATGAAATTGAATTAGGCAAAAGGCCAAAACTATAGGATAAGTAATTTTTAATTACATGTGAAATATTTTTGTTTTGATTAAATCTCCTTAAGTAAATACTTCAGCAGCGCGCTATGTATCTTTAATAAATACAGATTTTAATTACCATATCTTTTCATACTCATTTTCATTATAAGCAGAAATCATAATTGATAGGTGCTCCCGAAGATTTGTGCAAGTTGATAATACTTTCATAAGCATTTTCCTGCTCTATTGCTCTATCAAGCCCGCTAGGAAAATTTTCCAATGTATTATAAAATACATGTAAGCGATCAAAAAAATAATTTTCTAACACAAGAGGTTAATAAGCGAGCTTTAAGGAGATCCTTTCCTATAGCAAAGCATTCAGCAAAACATAAAGAAGCAATGCTTTTAAAGGCTTAATAAAAATCATATTGAAAAACAGAGACATTTTCTGACGCGAGTATACTCTTAAAAAGCCACTTGTTGCGTTTTGGGAATCAAAAATCCTCAGCCAAGCTTCAGAATCAAATTCATTATGGCAGATGATGGTGATTCTTCCAAAAAATCACACACTTATTGATGGAAAAGCTCTCGAAAGAGCAGCAGAAACTGTATTTTTAATAGACTCTTTTGGGTTAGATTTGCAAATACCGAAACTTATGAAATATTTGATACAAAGAGAAATCGAGATTAGGATTTCTGGAGAGAATAGCGCTCGTTTGAAATTTGGAGGCTTCTTTCCTAATGTAAATATTGATGAAAGAAGTCTTAAGCTTCATGAGTATCCTTATGAAAGTGGGCTGTGGACTGTTTTCAATACAATTATGTTGATTTCAAGCGGAAACAATGAGTTTTTAGTGCCCTTTAGTAAGTTTAACCCATGCTTTAGTTTAAAGCTGGGAGCTATTCTAGACGTACATAATATCAAATTAGACAAGAGTCCAAATGGCCCTCTTCCTCATCTGAATTATAAGTCAAATGAGATTGAATTTGTGAATAAGGGAATCAGTAGTTCATTGATTCATGAACTGTCAGACTGGGAAGTGCTTGAAAAAGAAATGGAATTCATCCAAAATCATTTAAATATCCAACAACTTTGCACTGTTTGAGATTATAAGCAATCAAACTTATGAGGAGAGGCCAAAAATTTTGTTAGAAGAATAAAAGCTCTTCTGGAAAATATAGACTCTTCATGATGTCTTAGATTTAAATTTGATGATATATTTATCACACCACATCGCCTACCACAAATTAAAAGTTTAACACCTCCAACGCATCAATCAATCATGAAGGGTAATTCTGGTGGTAATTGCATAATTAATACTGATCACTTTAAAGAGGCAGTTATGAATAAAGATTGCTATATTGATAAATCATTACTCATCAAAGAAATTTTAACTAGTAGCGCCCCAAATATACTCATCTTACGTCCGCAAAAATGGGGGAAAACACTAAATATGAGCATGCTAAAAGCTTTTTTCCACCCAAGAAATACTTTTGGGAATTTTAAAAATTTGTACTTGTTCACTGGTGGAAAAGATAACATTGATGTAAACAACTTGGACAAAACAAAATGCTTAAAAATAATAACTGAAAATGATGGTTATTATTACAAAAAGTTTGCTGGGAAAATTCCAACGATTTTTCTAAAATTCTCCAAAATAAAAGAAAAATTGGACAATGAGCCCGTAGAGGAATATTACCGCAGAGCAATTTCATATATAATCAAAGACGCATACTTAGAATATTACCCAGAGTATTGCACATCCTTGGACGAAGCTATCAAAAATTATAGCGCTTTCCCGAGGATGGCGCGGAATGGCGCCATCCTCGGGAAAGCGCTATATGTTTCAAAGCAGCCAGATATTGTGATAAATTATAATAATACATCCATATTAGAGCTTGAAAATATTATTGACGCATATAAAATACCTTTGCCGTTGCATGTTCAATTGTTTAGAGATTACAAAGAAGATAAGCCATCAGTTATACTATCAGATGCTGTGCCGAATCTGGCTAGATTTGCTCATATATTTTACAAGCAGAAGGTAATTATTATTGTGGACGATTATGATACCCCTTTTAGTCTTATATTAAATGCTCCTTACCAAAATGATGCATTAAGAATAATAGATAATATTATGACATCAATATGCACAGATAGACCTCCTTATGTTTTGAAAGTGATTTTGACAGGCATTTTACCTATTAAAGGGATAAGACTTTCATGAATAAGAAGCTTTGAATTATATACAGTTAAAAAGGCAAAATACTCCCAGTTTTTTGGCTTTACAGAATCAGAGATAAATACTCTTATTGAGAAAAACTTGGAGAGTAACACAGAGGAGGAAATGTTAGAGCAAAAAGAATTAATAAAGCTGTGATACAACGGATACAATATTAGTGGGCAAAAAATTTACAATCCACACTCAATAATGCATTTTTTAGATGAAGTAAAATCCCGAGATAGTAATCCTCTCCAGCCTTATTGAGCCGATAATGACCTTGATTCATTGATCCCAGCATTTAATGCCCTACAATCTTATGATAAATTGTTTGAATTAATGAGAACTGGCTATCTTGAATTATCAGAAGAAATTGATAGCTATATAAATTTGCCATTAGATTTCAGCAACACAAAATTTTTTTTCGCACTATTGCTTCATGCTGGCTATTTAACACCATATGGAACAACTAAAAATGAAAAGAAAAACCTTGTGAGCACTTGAATATATGTAGTTCCTAATAGAGAAATAAAAAAGAGTTTTTACAACTCACTGCTTTTAGAGTGAATTAACAGAAAAATAGGCTCAGGAAAAGTTGATATTGGCAAGATAGTAGAGAATTTTAACACCACCTTACTCCCCCACCTCCATGAGTGTACAAAAAAATTTTAAGGGGTTAAGTTTTTGTTTACAAACATTTATATATAAAAATTTTTTCTCGAAATTTTAAAAAAATCCCACTTCTTTAAAATTTGGAAGGCAAATATGAATTAATTTGTAAAATTTATGTTTTAAAAATTCATTTTGTTTAAAATTAAACAGAATTAGATTGAAATTTCATGATAATATTTATCACTTATATTTCAAAATTTTTTCCCATAAAAATCATAATATTAAAAAAATTTTTGTTCACTGACGGAGGTGTGTTTTTGGGCAAAAAATAGGAATTTTCTAATGATTTTGCTCACTCACTGACGGGGGAGTTAGATAATAAAACTGAATTCAAAAATCTTATCCAATCAATGATTCTTGATAAGATGATCGATTGCACTAGTAAAACAGAGGCAGACTTTCAAATCTTACTAGGAGGAATAGCAATGCTTGCCTCAATTATGAGAGAAGATGCAAATTATACATTGCATTCCGAAGCACCAAATATATTTAGAAAGAAGGCTGATGGGATTTTCATCCCTACTAAAGATAAAAAAACTAGTGTTATAATTCATGAATACAAGAAAATTGATACTGCTAATATTAAGAATATTAGAGATAAAGAAGAGGATGCCCTTTGGCAGATCTATGCAAAGCAGTATATGAAAATTGCGCTAGATTTGCGTGATAGTGATCCGCATTATAATTATTTTGATAAAATGATAATCCGTGGTATTATTTTCTACAAATCTCATTTTGGTTATAAATGAAATATGGTTATTAAAGAGCACTCTTTCGACTTCAATATTGCTTTAAGGATAAATAGTGTTTTTACTTCAGATGAGGGGGGAATTTTGGCTGTATCAGCCAAATTATGTGGAGAAAGTGGGTCTCAAAATGAAAAAATTGAAGAAAGAAGATCTTTTGGTGCAGAAAGAATTGATGATCTGATCAAAAATATTAGTGGCGATGATTATAGTTACATTGGAGAAGAAGGATTAGAGATGAAAATCAAACTTGACCCTCCAAGCAAAAAGCCAAAATTGCAGGATAATTAAGTTTTCTTATAGGTGAAATAATTTTTGTTCTGATTAAATTCCTAAGTAAATACTTCAGCAGCGCGCTGTGTATCTTTAATAAATATAGATTTAATTACCATATCTGTTTATACTCATTTTCATTATAAGTAGAAATCATAATTGATAGGTTCCTGAAGATTTGGTAAGTTGATAATGCTTTCATAAGCATTTTTCTGCTCAAGCCTGCTAGGAAAATTTTCCAACGTATTATAAAATACATGTAAAATAATTTTAGAGCACAAGAGGTTAATAGGCGAACTTTAAGTAGATCCTTTCCTATAGCAAAACATTTGGCAAAGCATAAAAAAACACAAAGTTTTTTAAAGCTTACATGATTGCTAGGATTTCTGAATTACTAAAGCTAGTAAGCAAATTATTGATGGAGTTGCTGCTGGATTTATTGCTGATATTGTTGATAAAATTAGTGATGGATATTTGCTTGAAAATTTGTTGTTGTGTCTGGAATTTAGAATTAAAAGCAACTAAACGCGGATTTATCGCTTTAAAAGATATAGTAATTGCCCGAGGATGGCGCAAGATAGCGCCATCCTCGGGCAATTACTATATAATATATCAGATATTCCGTTTCAATCCTTTATCATCCAGGCAGGAAGATTTATAGGCTGGTTTGCTAAGGTAGAACTAATATGACTGTTTGGCCGAGTGGTCTAAGGCGGTAGCTTAAGGCGCTATTCCGAAAGGGCGTGGGTTCAAATCCCACAGCAGTCATTTCTTTTATTTAAATTTCTTTAACGATTTAAATTAAACTAAATCAATTTAAATAATTTTTCAAGCAGATTTTTATTTAAAAACTCTTTTCTTTTTTTCCTTTATTACTTAAAAATAATTATATAATCTGTTGGAAAATTTTTTTTATCCACATTTATATAAAAATGGGCGACGTTGCCAAATTCAAATATTTTCATTAATTAAAATATAAGGTTCACTTAAATTTCTATAAAGAGTATTTTTATGTCTTTTACACTCTTATGAGTCATGATAATTTAATTATTTAATTCTTCAATTATTAACTATCTAAATTTTATTAACTAAGTGTATTCAGATTGATGGATAAATTCACTTATGTCTGGTCAAATCAAGCCTGCTAAGAAATTCTTCCTACGCATTATACTAAATATCAGAAACTCCTAAATCAAAACTCTGAATTGAGCATTAAGTGTATTAACGGCTATTTATTAATCATTCTATAGCCCCTTCGACATTTCCTCCGGTTACTTGTAGTGCTTGAATTATTAAATTTTCGTCATTAAAGCCCATTTCTTTTATTTGCGTAATTTGTGAAGCATATACTTCACTTAATCCATCAATTTAATAACCAGAAAATCAACAGGCTTTTTAATAATCTATAATATTTTTTAAATATTTTAAATTGCAATGTTTTAAAATATATATGGCTTTATGATTAAAATATTTGATATTGTTATTTGTCTTCTTCTTAAAATCCTTTTAAATCCAAAGCATTTCTATAAATAAAAAAGATTTTGATATAAAACGTTTATCAAAGGTTGCTCATAATGGCCAAAATAGTTAATTTATTAAAAGAGGGAATTAGATTTTGCTGTGGGGCAGGTTGATTATAACCTCCATACCCAGGCATTCCGTATCCTCCTCCATATCCTCCCATTCCTCCATAAGGATATCCATATCCAGGCATCATTCCAGGCAAGCTTTGTCCTGGCTGAGAAAAGTTTGATTGATTCGGCTGATATGCTGGCTGATTTTGTGAAGCCTGACTAGCCTGTGGCTGTGATACTCCCATTCCTCCCATCCCAGGCATTCCCATGCCTCCCATTCCAGGCATCATTCCTCCTCTCATCATTGAAAAAATGCTTTGCATCATTGCTGGGTTTCTCAACATTTCTCTTATCTGTGGATTTGAATCTACCATCTGTTTCAACATTGGATTTTGGCTGATAACTGACTCCAAAAACTGAGGGTTTGACAGCATTGTCATCATCATTTGTTGGCTTTGTGGGTCATTCATCATTTGTTGCATCATCTGAGGATCCATGCCTCCCATACCTCCCATGCCTCCCATGCCTCCTAGACCTCCCATACCTCCTAGGCCTCCCATATTAAAATTGTTTGGCATCTGAGGAGGTTGGCTTGGTTGAGGATTCACGTTTGGATGTGGAAGACCTTGAGATACTGGAGCAGATTGCACAGGCTGTGAAGGCTGAGAAGGCTGCGGCTGATTTTGAGAACTTTTTGAAGGACTTTTAACTAAATGTACAGAGTGGCCATCAGCAATTCCAAGAGTCTGCAATACTGTATCATCTTTCAAAATTTTTCCTATATAACTTTTACCTCTATAGACAAGTCTTATTTCTTCTATAGGAATATCCATTGTATTAGAGCATTCAGATTTCAGCTGCCCAACTGTTCATAAAAGCTGTGCGTGCACCTTATTTTCTTGTGAGCTTGAGCTTGATTTTATATTTAAGGTGATAGTCTGATCCTCCATTTTATTTTCTACTCGGATTACTTATATTACAGTTTATCTATATTTTTTTAATTAAATAAAAAAATTAAATAAATATATTTAAAATAGTAAAAATCGCAGGAAAAGGCATATTACTCTATTGCAACTATAAAATCTGCATAGACAGAACAATGTTCACTTGCGTACATATGGGAATTTTCAGCATACCCTGCTACTTCACAAATAGGAGGATCTTCGATATTTCGATAATAAATTCTGTCATAACGATGAAGTGGGTGCCATGATGGAAATGTGTAGCCTTCACTTTTAACGTGGGAAAATTTCCATGCATCTTTTAAGTTGCCAATAGCAGAATTCACTGGGAATTTTCCTTCCAAAAAATCAGCTGGGAGTGAAAAATTATCTTTTATATTGGTGTCAGCTAAAAGAACTTGCATAAGGAAAGGGCTCTCTTCAGAGTTCATAAAGCTATAAATTTCATAAGCTTGATGGGCTTGATATTTGCTATCACTTGCAAGCTGGGCGTTATAAATAGAAAGCTTTCTTTTAGGATGGTCAATAATTACTTTTAAGCAAGAATCGTTATGGACGCTTTTAGGATATTTCGCAAGCTTTATTGATTTTGTTTCTATGATCGGGAATCTTGAAATAATTGCAATTCCTTCAGTGTCCCCATTATGCCTTCTATGTGAAATATGCCAATATGAATAAGAATACTCAGGCAGCAGCTCCATCAAGTCTTTCAGGGTATCACAAGTTTTCACCGTTTTTTTCTTATTTTTTCCTGTTTTCTCTATATTTTTTGCAGACCGAGAATGGCTTTTAGAACTTACGTCTTGTAAAGCAATAATGTCAGCTGAAATTTCTTTTATTTGCTGAGCTATCATATGGACCCTCATTCTCCATTTTGACTGTTTGGTATTTGTTGACAGATTATATGTCTGTACTCGAATTAAACATGGAGTGTCTGTATAAAAATTACGAGGATAAACGATATAGATGATTGGGGATACAGAGTATTGGATATAAGACGCAAAGCCATCATTATCTGAAATCAGAATTCATTTGGTAGGGTTAGGGATCATAATATCAAATGTAGGCTCAGAGTCACAAAGAAGATCAGCTATTGATCTGATTAGGGTTTACGAGTATAATTCAGAGTAAGTGAAGGACCTGAAGTTGTAGATTAGATATGTCCGTGATTCTAGTATCACTTTAAGTGGTAACTGAGTATCCATTTTATAATTAGCTTATAATTTAATGCGAATAATATCAGCAGAATGAACAATTCTATTATCCGTTGGAGGGAAAAGGAAATACTGGATTTATTCCACATAAAATAGGGAAATATTTTGAGTTGAAAATAATTTTATGAGAAATTATTTTTATGATAAAGCATTTAAGTTTTGCTTTATTTATCGTACAAATCCATATTTTTGTTTATATTTGAGAGTGGTAATTATACTAGCTCCCCCTCGCGAACGAACAAAAAATTTTGTTTGCTCAGGAGGGGTTTAATTTTTTTGAAAATTTAAAAACCTAATTTGAAATAATTTTAAGGTAAATATTTATTTAATTTGTATTTTTATTTTTCCAAACAGAAGATAATTAAAATTGACAGAATTAACTAGAGACTTCATTTTACAATTATCACTTATATAACTTATAGAATATTATATTAAATAAATTTTTTGTTGCTCACGGAGTAGGGAGGAGTAAAAAATTAATAAAGCATAAAAATGAATTTGTTAGATGAACTTTTACAAGAAAACTCTATAAGAAAATATCTCACTCTCTCCACCTTAAATTGAAATAAAAACATAGCCCTCCTTTAAATTGGAACAAATTTTTAGAAAAATTTTAACAAAAATTCATATATTGTGATCAATTTATATTTTTTTAAAGAAAAAAAATTAAAAGATGATAATTCTAATTTTTATAAATTAACTTTGACCTAATTTAATGCAGTGAGTTATAAAAACAAATCATTATATTTAAAATTTTTATAAACATAAATTTTTTAAACTCCCTTAAAATTAGAGGATTTTTGTTCCAATTTAAAATATAGAAATTGCCCCACACGGGAATTGAACCCACATGTGGAGCCATTTTTGGTATGTGGAGAATCTTGACTTCCACGTACCAAAAATGGCTCCACACGTGGGTTCAATTCCCGTGTGGGGCAATTTCTATAGGGCGAGTCAGAGATTTCCCAAAAACAGACTGGCCAGAAGTCATTAAAAAGACTTTGCTATATGGGATACACTCACTAACAGCACTTCAGTCTGTAGGCTTGACATCTCCTAGAATGGGGAATTTAACAGGATTGAAAATTCAGTTAGGTAACATTTCGTCATCGAACCACTGCGAAAGCACCACTCATACTTCTAATTCAAATCAAAATCGCTCGAATTCTCAGCCGAGCACTAAGAAATTTTCTAACCTCAAATTGGACCATTCCCCTGAAGATTTAGGTCCTCGAGATCATCACCACAGATGCCGCAAATCAAGTCGGCATAAGCCAAAAAGCCAAAAACCTGCAGAAAAATCCACAACAAAAGAAAGAAAAGAACTAATCCAGCCACCATTTAAATTAACAGGTAGAGATAAAACAGAAACTAAACGAACAATCCCCAAGCATTTGCAAAACGTCGACTCCAAAATCAAAGATGATATCCAAAAATATAAACAAGTCGCAAAATATACAGAAAGATATCTAGTTGAGGAACCAGATTTAAAAGAAAATTCGAATAAATACAAATGTTGAAGCTATCTCAAAGACTTAGAAAAACAAACAGAAAACATTGAGCGAAGACATGCAGAAAAACCATCAACTGATAGATCTTTTATAAAAGATGAGGAGGATTATGAGAAAAATAGACATAAAAGGGAGAATGAAAGAGGAAAAGAGCTGCTAATAAAAACCCATGAAATTGAAAATGATTTTGAAAAAGTTATTCCACATACAGTGAAAAATAGAAAATTGTCAGATGATAAGCTGCAGTGGGAGGATTGGGGATCACAATATCAGACAGCTGATTTTTCGAGAGATATAGGAACTTATGGTACAAGTAATGAAGTCCAAAATCCTGCCCCTCTGAAGCCTGAAGTTCAGCCTAAATCTCCAGCTTCCTCAACAAGTTCGTTCTCCACTTATCAAGCACCTGAAGAAATCAAACAATTTTATCAGAAGGAATTCAAAAATCTCATGCCTGAAGAAGTTCCAAAGAGATTAAAACCAGTTGAATTGCCGCTAAAGCAAGATGTTTTTAGGATTTCGAGCTATTCAGTTCAACCTATTTACTGCTCATCAGAAGATGATGATAAAAGTATAAGATAATTGTATTTAAAAACATTAAAAATGTGCTTTATTATGATAAATTTTTGAGATTAAATTTTTACCGATAGGAGCATTTATTATCCATTTTTTGTTTGAATTTGGCTTAAAATCAATTATTCCTATATTTTAACTCATTTGGCTATTTTAGCCTTCTTTTTAGGAATCCTTAAGAAATAAAAATTTAAACTTAATTTATGGCTAAAAATCATGATTAATTCTGCAAATCAGTTACTCCCCCCCCCCCTCCGTGAGCGAACAAAACCATTAGAAAAATCGCCATTTTTTGACCAAAAACCCACCCTCCGTGAGTGAACAAAAATTTTTTTAATAGAAAAAATTTTAATGGAAAAAAATTTTGATATATAAGTGATAATTAGTATAATGAAATCTAGAGCTAATTCTGTTTAATTTTAAACAAATTGCGTTTTAAAACATAATTTTTTGCAAATTAAATTAATATTTGCTTCCCAATTTTTGCAAATTAGGATTTTTTTAAATTTCGAAAAAAATATTTTTTTATAAAATTTATATATAAATTTTTTTTAAAAAAAAAAAAATTAACCCCCCTCCGTGAGCGAACAAAATTTTTTTGTTCGCTCACGGAGGGGGGGGGGGGGAGTTAGGAAAACTTAATTAACAGAAAATTTAATAGAAGTTGAATTTAAAAAGATTTGTTACAATTAAGCTTTAGATACCTGAATCTCTTTCTGAGTCATTCTGAATTCTGCAAATTCTTTGAAACTTAAATTCTTTTCGGTTTGAATTTTGTTTATTTTTCCATGAGAAGGCTGAAACTTGTCTCCAACAGCCATTGGAGGGCTTAAATCTCTCAAATCGAATTTAATTCTTTGGACTAATGGATGCTCTGGCCTATCGAAATTAAGTATGAGTTCATTTGTTCCTGCTTGTAAGCTCATCCCTGCTGAAAATTAAATTAATATTATTTTCGATGTAGGTTATGTCAGAATGTTAAAAAATGAAGATTCTTAATTGTAAGAATTGACCAATTTTCTATAAAAAAAGCAAAATTGCATAGGTCATTGAAATGATATTGAGGATTTTAGCTTCGAAAATAATTATTAGTCGCTTATTTTTATTATATGAATTATTTTTTTTTGGTTTGCACTTTTTATGAAGAAAAGGAACTATTATTGGATTTATGTTAAGATTGTTGAAAAAGTATCATCTATTAACTATAGAAATCGTATTTTCTCTTTTCTTTTATTTATTTTGTACTTCTTATGAGCTAGGCCTTAAAAAGCGCTTTAAGCCTAAAAGATATTAGATATTTTAAAATATGAGAGCTTGACAGATTAAATTGACCTTAGCTTGCTAGGATGCTAATAAGTAACCACTGAGGTTATCGCGTGATTTTTAACTTATCGTGCCATTTTCGAGCTGACCTATTTTTTGTCAAATTTTAAAGAGTTTCTCATTTAAAACTTTTCTGAAATTCTGATTCCAAAATTGCAAGTTAACTCGACCCAATAAAACGATTCATGCAAAAACTATAAAAATTGTTAATCTCTTAAGATAAAATTAAACTCAAGGCCAATTGTTTCTTTATAATATCACATTTTAAAAGCGGCAAATTCTGGCATTTTCCATCTTAATCTTATCGTTATACTTAATTTTTTATTAAATTTTATTTCAATTCCAAGATGATAGATGAAGAAACTGACTCTGGCTCTCAACGAGATCTATTTCATATTGACATCCCTATAGATGACCTTCTTATCAAAGACTTTCCATTTGAAATTTCACCTAGAAAAACCCAATCACCTACAGCTTCCTCACGAAATGCCCACAAATCATCAGAGCCAGCACTGGCTGATTTTTTCTGTACATGTTCTCTATGTAATTTACAAAGCAAAGGCAAAGCTAATTTTAAATTAACCCACGACCAAGAAAAAGATGATATCGCCACATATGAAGGCAAAGAAAAAAGCTTCAGCTGGCTACTTGAACAATTAGGAGAAGCAAGCTCACAAGCCCTTATAAAAATTAATATACCTGAAACCATTGTATATAGAAAAGCTAAGCCAAAATTTATGATCCAGCAAGGCAGAGACCGAGCTTTAAAATTTATCACATCAGCTGCCAAGCTAAAAAATCCAGAAATAAGGAAAAATTTTACCTTCCTTGTAAGGCAGAGAAAACGAGATGATTCGCCAACTTCTCCTGTGAAATTTTACAAAGGCCCTTCATCACCTTTTATAATAGATCACAGGTATGGCCATGAAATAGTGCTAGTCAGATATATGCTAAAAGATAAAGAAAACGATATTTCTCATATTGCAGCTTCAGATGAAGATGGACCATTACGGGTTATGTTTGAAAATGAATTTGTTGATTTAATGTATGAAAGGCCAGGAAGCCCAATATGAAAAACAATTTCTTATATACAGACAGTAATAAAATGCAAAGCAGGGATATCAGAACCTTTTATAGTAACATATTATTCACATGAGGCTAATGACAGAGAAGCCATTCTTGCTTTACAAAAAGCAGGCCAAGATGATGATGAAATTGCTGAAGAAAAACTTTCTGATAACAACATAAATGATTATTGTTTATTTATATGCCGAAGAATTGCGTATTTTCTTGCAACTTATTCACAAAAAGAAGTCCTTAGAATTAAAGCGGAATTTATGAAAGATGATAATGGAAAAGTATGGTTTACATATGCAACTAAAATATCAGTAAGAGATATCGCTATGAATAACAGAGACAAAGAGCTTCTTTTTAAAAGGGTTGGCTTGACTAATGTGCAGAGCAAAGAAAAATTAAATGAAGAACTACAAAAATTCCAAAACGAGCCTCCAAAGCTGATACACCAGACGCGCATGTCAAAAGTAATGACATGCCATTATGAAGAAATCAAAAAAGAAATGGGAATTGACAAGCTTTTTGAGCCTGAGCCACAAGATAAAGTATCAAATGACGCTTTTGCGAAGTTAAGACCTATGACGCCATATTCATTGCAGCAGCTATAAGGGTTTGAGTGAAAAAATTTAACGTAATTTTTTCCTTCAATTTTTTTTTAATCAAAGTGACTGTAAAAATAATTTCTAAAAATCTGCAAAAATTTTTTCCAATTCCATTTTTGCTTTTCACTGATATAAAAAACATGAAAAATTATTTTTACAGTCACTTTTAACTGAAAGGAAAAAACTCCATGAAGTTTTTTCTACCAAACCCAGCTATTAGACCCTAGAGCTTCAAGATCAATCACCAAAAAATACCTCTACAGTGATAGCCGCATCCAGACAAAGAAAAAAAACTCTTCGTTGACGTCTACAACGAAGCCTACAAAATCATTACACAGGCAAACCGCTTCATTATCCTCACTTCCAACTAAGCAAGTTTCATGAGTTTATAACCCAAAAGTCTTACAAGTCAACCCTCCACCTCTGATCAGGCATAGATCTCGCCTTTCTTTAAATTTTCAATCATGATTATAATAACTTTAATTACTAATTAACGGGGTTGTTACGACATGGTCTAGGAGTGTATAAGCATACACATCATTAAATGGCATTTGATGGCGGTCTCCACCAAAAATAATCATTATATTGTTTACCATTACCGCTGAATGGCCATCGCGGGCGTGTGGAGCGTTCCCTTTTATACGACCTGCAATAGGAGTAGCCGGGCCATCATAAAGGGTTTTTCGTCTTATAGGAGAATGGTCTCCTTGTGGGGAAATATTTATAGTTTGTCGTCGGGCTGGACTTCTAGTAGGACTGCTGCAGTCTTTTTTATATTTTGGAAGTGTCGGACTTCTTGTAGGGCTATTGCAGTCATTTTTAGATTTCGGATAAGTAGGGCTTGCTTTTGATTTTTTGTATTCTTCAAGCTGCTCTGATGTGACTGGATCTTTGACTTGTTGTTCTCCTTGGAAACAAATCCAATTATTTCCTTCAAAATTGTATGAATACATATCGTTGGTTTCTCGAGTTATATCTTTCACGCCTCCAAAAATGATCATGAACTCTTTAAAAACCACTGCCGAATGTCCAGATCTTCCTGTTGGGGCTTCTCCTTGAGCATTTACCTGCTGCCAAATATTGCTTTTTAAGTCTAATTTTCAAAAATCGTTAAGTTTTTCTCCTTCCTCATTAGACCCTCCAAAAATATAAAAATAATCTCCATATATAGCACAAGCGTGATTTGCCCTTGGCTCAGGAGCTGGGCTAGATAACGGGATATGGCTTCATTTATCGGTTTTTAAGTTTAGTGTATAAGTTTCATTCGACCTGTCTCCAGATAGATAGCCACCAAAAATGACCATATAAGAGTTTTCACCGTCTTCGTAGAGTGCGGCTGAGTGTGAATCTAACGGTGGAGGGCAGCTTTGGTGTTCTGGGGCGATTGTTGACCAGGTTTGGTCCACAAAATTGAAAATTAATGTGGTGTTATATTCATTGATCCCATCAGTCCCACCAAAAATGTACATATCGTTATCTTTTACTATAGAAGTGTGCCTGCATAAGGGTCCGTGGTTTTCGGTGGGTATTTCGACTCATTTGTCTTCTTCCCATCGAGTTGGGGCTAATTGGAGTTCCCATAAGCCTCTTTGAGGGCCTTCTCTTAAATCTTGCCCACCATAGATGTACATTCGGTTTTGCCACACAGAGGCTGAATGGTAGCTTCTTCTGGATGGATGCTTGCCAGATGGACGGATTTCTTCTCATAGATCATCAGTGGTTTCTAAATATTTTTTACTCCTTTTTTAAAATAAATAAACAATATAAATTTATTTTTATATATCTTACCAATATTTTATTAAAATTTAAATTGGGGAGTTAGTATCAACTTTTAGGGCTGTGAAGTTATCTCTTCCACGGACTTTAGAAGCTTCCATTAAACAAGAGATAATGCTAAAATTAAAATTAAATTAAAAACAAGTGGCTATTTTTGTCCAAATTATTAATTTATAATTTCACCAAATTTAATTAAAGTCCAGATTATTAAGGTTATTTGTAAATATTATTAAATACTGTATAAAGAATCCATCAATTTCTATAGAAATTTAATTTTATTTGAGCGAAAATGATTTCTTAATACAATTTATTTATACAAAACTAGCAGAAATGAATTTAAAACATTTTAAAATTTGAAATACTAATAAATTCTCTTTTTGCTCTCTAAAAAATTTGGGATATCGCCATCAGCTAAAATTGCTTTAAAATTAATTCCTTTGACTACTTTTGTAAAATCACTTCGTTTTGGTATAGAAATCTCATCAGGCTCTGCTTCTTCACTTGAGAGGAAATTTTGTGCAATTGGGCTGATTTCATCTTCTTCAGTGAATTGTTTTATCATATTATAAGCCTCTTCTAAGTTTTGTTTCACTTGTTCTTTATTCATTGGAGTGTCGCCAGTTGTATTTTTATCATAAAAAAGTACTTCATTTGATACCTCAGAATCGTGGGATTGAAACACGTTTGAATTTGGATTTTCTACAGAACGAGAAGGCTCAGAGTTAGGCTCTTTGCTTTCTGGTGGTTTTGGAGATGGAGATTGATATAGTCAACTTAGATTTTATCTGCATAATTTTGTATATAAAAATATATTTACAATTTTCAGGCTTAAAAATTTGATTTTATATTATCAAAAATAATTCTGATGCGAAAATTACTGTAAATAAGCCTCCTGGGCATATGATAAAGGTGGTGCAGCTGAATATAAAGGATTTCGTGAATTTCCAGTTATTATGTTAGACTTGTAAGAAACACTATTTCTTACAACGATACTCTGCTCAGGAGAGCTATCAATCACAGGGAGATTTTTATCTAAGCTTTCATTTATGTCTTTTACGCTTAATTGGCCCATTGATAACTCAAATGTGCTTTTTTCAAGTTTAGGATTGATACTTGACATATTCACCTCTTGAGCCACTGCAGTTTTTCTGATTGATTCTTACTTGGATCCTTTACAAAGATTGCCAAAAAACACTTTCAAGCAATGACAGCAGCCACTTTCTTCACTTTTCATATATTTCTTACATTAATTAAAATTAGCATGGCATCAAGCATTTGAAAATTTCATGATAAAAATAAAAATAAGAAATTTATTTAAAAAACTGATTTTCTTGAATTTTATTCTATAAAATTCCTTATATAAAATAGGCATTTTTATCATGTTTTTAATACTGAATTAAGTCATTAAAATATTATACAATGGCACGCATCACCACTTGTAGACATTTTATCTGTCTCTGACATAGCTTTAAAGCTTGCTTTTGCCGCTAAAACTGACTCTATCATACTGTCAGTTCCTTCTGTCCTTAACCCATACAGCAGCTGATCTCTAAACCTTCTTTTAATTTTCACACAGCATTTTGGACAAACAGCTTGCTTTAGCCTCCCATAAGGCACAGTATCCCTCATATCTTTATTAAGTTCATCATATCTCGTAAGCAATTTATTTTTCTCTTCCCTCATAAAATTTGTGTATTTTTCAACTTCTTCAATTTCTCCTTCAATCGACTCCAGCCTCATTTTATTTTCTTTTTCGCTTGATTTTGAAGACTCTAGCACCCTTTCTAGTGTTTCTATTTCTTTTGTTAGTGCGTTTGTCATTAAGCTTTCCTGCTCAATTTTTCTTTGAGTGATTTCAAGGTTATTTATGGAATTTTTGTTATTAATTTGAATTTCCAGTTTTTCTATCTGGGTTTTTTTATGATTTATGTCTTTTCGGAGCTGATTTTTGCGGGAATTGCTTTCTTGGATGCAGTTTTTAAGATCGTTGATTTGGAGAGTTGCTTGGTGAGTTAGTTCTTGATGAATGTTGGCTTTGAAGCAATTAAGGCAGATTAGGAATCTTTCATCGGCGTTTTTTCGTGCATGGTCTTTGCAGAATCATTGGTTGCATTGACGACACTTAAGAGTTTTCCGAGAATTTTGGGGTTTTTTTGTGCAAATGTAGCATTTTTCGTTTTTGGAAGGTTTATTTGAGTCATCATTAAATTCTAGAGAGGTATCGAGCATTTTCGGTAAAGTTTGCACGAGAGTGTATGCGTGCTTTCTCATATTTTTGTTTGCAATCAGATATAGAAATATAAATATGAAAAATAAATGCGAATTTAAGCAAAGTTAGAATTAGATCAAAAATAGCGATTGAATAAATATTTATATTATGATTAGCGTTCTAATTTATAAACATTCACTTTGGGTTTATGGCGTTATTGTATTTAAAAAATCACTTATAAAGCGCTATATTATTTTAAATTTCCAGCGCTTCTGCAATTATAGTTTATTTTTATTGTTTTACCTGCGGCTTTTCTTTTGCATTGATTACGCACTGATCTTGTTAAGAGGCATGATGAGCAGCCAAAACCATTTAGCATAATAAAAAATGAAAGTAAAATCTATTTTCCCTATTTGCAATGTGTATAATTAATATTTCTATATGTCTTCAATCTAAAATTTTTTTTTATTAAACATCAATTTCTGTTATGAATGGGAAATATACATATTTTTTATTATTGAATATTTTGGTTTTTCAAGAGCCCTGTGCTGTCCTTAAGTTTAAAAAAATAGAAAATTCTCAATTTTGTTGAGGTGCAATAAAGTGTTTTTCTTTTTAAATCAACATTCATTGCTTGCTTATAAAGGGACAGCATACTTTTACAAAAATGATTAGGAATTAATTTGAATTAATTTATAGCAATCAAGATTGAATTGGCATCTCAATCAGGCTGCTATGAGATATTAATTTCAAACATTTATAAACTACTAATCATATAAATAATGCTAATCTAAGCTTAATCAAGCACAGTATAATTATTAAATATAAATGATCTATGCATATGCTCTTAATGTAGAAGATACTGAAACCGCAGAATCCATGGGAGACGTCGTAAAATTCGCTATTCCCAGCCTATTTTTAGTATTAATTATTTTATCAATTTTTACTTTTAATAGAGGAGGTACACTCTACAGCGTATGATACTTCATGACTTGATACCAATTTATCCGCTGAATTCCTCTTATTAACTCAGATGTTCCAGAAGTCTATGACAAATTTTTTCAACGACTTGCAGAGGCAGCTAATGATCATCAATTTATAACATACGGAACTAGCAAAAGTGTCGACAATAAAAGGTTAGAGATTGTAAGTAAGATATATTTAGAAATAAAAAGCACACTCTTTATAAATAACGCTGAAGAACAAATTGTGTATTGATTGGTATGTGCTTTAGCTGTCATTATCATAGGAGTTATAGGAGTATCCCAGAGCAAAACCCCATGAGGAATATTAAAACGCAAAATGAAGTACAATTGTATAATTCGAGCGACATTGGTTTTATATTTTGATTTTTTGCTATTTGCAATTTTGCAGTTGGAGTATTTTGATACCTCAGGATGATATGAAAGTTTGAATTCTGTTATCGCGATAGTGGTGGTTTTTGTATCAGTTTTAATCTTTTTTATTTTGCCTGTGATTATCAAGATAAAAACTGAAAATTCGATTGAAAATGAAAATTCTATTAAAGAAATTGACACACTTATAACAGAATTTTCAGCAGAGAGGGTTTATGCTAAATATAACTATTGGGCTTTGTTTTTTATTGTTAGGATTGTTACAGCTTCAATGTTTATTATATTGTCTTCTTGATCAAGCATTCAAGCATTGGTTATTGGAATCTGTGTGTTTGTAAACAGTAATTTTTACTTATTCTATCATTGTATGTTAACAAAAACATTGAAAAATGCTTTTTAGGAAATTGCCCCTCTTTCAGAACAACCAAAAATAAATATTTTTTATATAATTAATGATTTTAAATGAGATCCCAGATAATTCTATTAACTTGCATCCGTAAATACATATTTTAGTCCTTTATTTACAAATTTTTAAAAAAAAAAAAATTAAACCTTTCAGAGTGATCAAAATAATCTTATTGCAGAAGTTAGTTTTGTTTATATTTTTCTGATTTCCATTTAAAACAACTGTAGAAAATATAATATCAGGGCTTGCCGAAATATGGGTGAGGTTAATTAAAGTACACTGTACTTTTTTCAACCCCCTCCGAAAACCTACAAAAATGACTGTGTACTTTAAAAATGGTCATTTAGTGTGAAAAAAGTACAAACGGTACTTTTCGATTTTTTAAAAACAGAGGGGTGAAAAAAGTAAACGGTGAAAAAAAAACCAGCCAAAGCAGAGTAAAAAAGTACATATAAAAATCAATATTCTATCAAGACTAAGCAAATTTAAGCAAAGAAAGGCCAAGGTTGAATTGCATAATAAACAGCTTGTATTGCATTATAATAAATACTAAACAATATTGCTGTAAAGAATGCAAGAACTGCATGATAAACAATAAAAAATATTTGGCTCTCAAAATAAGAGGAAAAAAGTACGCTGCAAAATATAAAATGATTAAAGTGACGTAGAATAATCTAATATAAAAGACTAATAATAAACACAGGAAATTCCCTTAGAAAGTTCAACTTAATTTGTTAAATAAAAGACCAAAAGTTACAAAGAAATATAAGAAAAGTGATTATGGAGAAAATTATTAAAAATGGATGAAAAAAGTACATTTTTTTTCATATGTGAAAAAAGAGTGAAAAAAGTACTCATAAAATTTTTAACAGTGCAAATTTTGAATGAAAAAAGTACAAAGGGAAAAAAAAAACAGAGGGAAAAAGTACATTGACTTTTTTATATGAAAATACTAATTTTTTAAATATGTTTACCTTAAAATGAGAAGAACGCATCAATTTAATTTTGCTACATATATTAATTCTCACTCCACCCCCTTTAAATTGGAACAAATATAGGTAAAATTTCCACTTTTTTGGTAAATTAACTCCTTCAATTGGAATTTTATAATAAAAAATTATATATAATTTTTATCTAAAAAGTTTTGATATAAGTTAAATGCTTCTTCTCAACTAAAATTCAAAATTTAGTAATATCTTGCTCTTGTTTAAAGAAGTGAGTATAAAGAGCATCTTATTTAAATAAATTTATTATCCTTAATTGCTAAATTTTAAAAAAAAAAAAATTATGTTTTTTGATGAAAATGATATTTTTTATTTAAATAGTTTTGATATAAAATCAATAGGAATTCTTTATAAAATTTAAAAATTTACTTATTTCTTGCTTTATTTTAAAAGAATAGAGTATAAATAGCATCTTATTTAAAAAAAAATTAGCATTTTGATCGATAAATTTTCTAAAATTTGTTTTTTTTAATTTTCTTTTATTAATAAAAATACTAATTTTTATGTAAATAATTTTGATACCAATTAATAGTGGCGTATTAACTAATAATGTAAATTTAGTTATATATTGCTTTGTTTTAAAGGATAAAGAGTAAATAGCATTTTATTAAACAAATTTATTAATCTATTCGATAAATTTTTGAAATTTGTTTTTTTTTTAATAAATTTTGAAAATTTTATATTGATTTTTTTTCTAGATAATTAAAATATGGCGTCTTTGTCTAGGTATGGCCTCACGGCCATACAGCCTCCGACTCATATTTTAATTATATCCGGCAAGGTTTTTCTAGCCTTGAAATGGACAGCAATACTAGGCAACTAATTCTGCAGGAGCGCAGAACCTAGCCCAAGTCCAAATTCGAGACTGGTTTTTACCTCGAAGGTAAGGAGGGTTCAGATTTGGAAATGGTAAGCCCAGCAGAGTCTACAGGTAATACCTAGACCAATCGGGCAACTGCCTAGAGTTAAACTGGGCGTTACGTCCCAGGATTTGGTCTTTATCCTTTTGCCGACAGGCTACCAGAAATTCCATTTTTTGGAATTTCGGAATGCCAACTTCGTATTCCCTCAGCCTCCAAACCCGTAGTCTGCCCACTCAACACTGGAGTCTTTTACAATAGACAAGGAGGAGGCATCAGTACCCCCGCTTTATGTGGGAGTGATGTCGCAAAGCGGATGAATCCCATAAGGGATCCTCGCTGATTGCGTTAAAATTAGGGGCACGAGCCCGTCTATTTAAGTTAAGTTAAGTGATATTTTTTTCTAAAAAAAATAACCCCCCTTTAAATTGGAACAAAATTTTTGGTTCCAATTTAAAGGGGTTGGAGTGAGAATTAATATATGTAGCAAAATTAAATTGATGCGTTCTTCTCATTTTAAGGTAAACATATTTAAAAAATTAGTATTTTCATATAAAAAGTCAATGTACTTTTTCCCTCTGTTTTTTTTTCCCTTTAACTTTTTTCATCCATTTTTAATAATTTTCTCCATAATCACTTTTCTTATATTTCTTTGTAACTTTTGGTCTTTTATTTAACAAATTAAGTTGAACTTTCTAAGGGAATTTCCTGTGTTTATTATTAGTCTTTTATATTAGATTATTCTACGTCACTTTAATCATTTTATATTTTGCAGCGTACTTTTTTCCTCTTATTTTGAGAGCCAAATATTTTTTATTGTTTATCATGCAGCTCTTGCATTCTTTACAGCAATATTGTTTAGTATTTATTATAATGCAATACAAGCTGTTTATTATGCAATTCAACCTTGGCCTTTCTTTGCTTAAATTTGCTTAGTCTTGATAGAATATTGATTTTTATATGTACTTTTTTACTCTGCTTTGGCTGGTTTTTTTTTTCACCGTTTACTTTTTTTTCACCCCTCTGTTTTTAAAAAATCGAAAAGTACCGTTTGTACTTTTTTTCACACTAAATGACCATTTTTAAAGTACACAGTCATTTTTGTAGGTTTTCGGAGGGGGTTGAAAAAAGTACAGTGTACTTTAATTAAACCTCACCCCCGAAATATGTACATTATTATTAATAATCCAAACTGGATTATTTAATTTAAACGGCTGAACAAGCAGCTCAATGAACTATATGGCCTGAGGCTGCATATCAGTAGTCTATATTGGCATAGTTTTATGTCTAATACGATATTTCAGTATTTTAGCATTATCAAAGCATGCTGTTTTCGATGAAAGAAGTATTGATAAAAAAAATGATGAGACTGTAGATCGATCTAGCGATATCAAAGCTCCTACTAAAATAGAGCCAGAATTCCAAATCGAAGATCTTGAAGAACAAGAAGTTATACAATCCACCTTGCCATTCGCAAATAAATCAGTGTTTACTCCACCAACAATAAATTCTGAGCACGTGATTAATACAAATGCACCAATTATTATGGAAAATATCAATCAAAAAGTTTATGAAGAACCTACAGAAGAGCAAAAATTAGAAAATAAAGAAATTTTCAATGAAAAGAATATAGAAAACAGAAATAGAAGATACGGGGAAGGTCTGTCTTTTTATCCTAGGCTTGAAGACTTAGTCTTAGTCTTAATTAAATTTATAGAGTAGCTCCCGGCCAGGACCGAAGGTCCTTTTCTTCCGCCTTTTGGACGCCTCGCTTGCTTTCCTTGCCCTGCTCCCAGTGTGCACCTAAGTGCCACAGGCTACCACTCAGCTCCTTCCGGTCATGGGGCTTGTTCATGCTATCCCGGAAGTAGGCGGACTGGGTCACCGTGCTTCACGTCGCCAGACAAGGGTTAGAGCTAAAGGATTAACTCCTTAGCTCTTGTCGGCTCCTGCCATGCCCTCCAAATTGGCACTAGCGGTCCCTAGAGGAAAAACCCTTTTTGCCCCGTGTCCTATCGGGACGAACCCAGGATCGTCGTTGTTGGACTGGGAGGGAAACCTAGCCGGACACAAACTACCAGTACCCATTCCAGACCTTTCCCTGGGCGGATTGGCTTCAGGCCGCAGCAAGGTCCCCAATCTCGCCTCAGTTCCGGGAGAGGGTGGGTCGGTGTCGTCGCCATTTTATTTGTGTCCTAGGCTTGAAGACAAGTACAAAAGAATTTCTTTAAAATAATTTTAATTTAGCTCATATTTTTCTTCGCTGCGTACCAATTAGGTAAATATACTTGCTGAGTACAATTATCAGACCCTTCAATAAGTGGCCAAAAATATGCGTTTAATGTATAATAATTATAAGCGCTATAATCTTTTGCATCCCACCAGTCACTTATGCATTCTGTATTAAACCTCCTCATTGTATTGCAGCTATTTATATTGGTCGACTGTATCCATTTCTTTAAATAAGTAATTGCTTGCACATAAGGCTTATCTCCAAAATAAAGAGAGCAATAACTTGTAGCTGTAGGGTTATATCCACAATAGCAGGTTCCCCACAAAACTCCACTGGGGAAAAAATCGTCTCTGGTTGAGTAGCAATCTCCATCTACTTGACAAATATTTGGGAAGGTCTTAGAAGACAAAGTATTCATACATTCATAAACTCCATTATTATTCATACAGTACCCTGAATTGCATAAATAAGAAATATTGTCAGATGTGCAGTCACCTACAGGCAGATGAGAAGCAATAGAGAAATAAGGGTAGCATACACTGTTTATAGGAGTATTTGCTACATTGCAGCCAGCTCCATTTACACAATCATAATCACTTGTACATTGGGATTGGCCGATTGGGATTTGTGGCTGGCAAATTTCGTTAAAACAGCGGAGACCAGGGTTACAGTCATCATTTGTATAACAAATTTCGTTTAGTGCAGATCCTACACATGTGCCTCCTACGCAGCCTCCTCTTGCATGTAATGAGTTGCAGTCTGAGTTTTTGGTGCATTTTTCGCCTGGCCATGCATTTAGAGGAGGAGTTGATGGGGTTGGCTCACAGGTGGAGTTTGCCATGACTGACGGTGTGCAGTAAGGAGCTTTTAGTGATGTGCATGGGTTGACATAATAAGTAGAAGTAGTTGCTGATTTTGTATAGTAAACACAAGTGATATTTGTAAAGGTTTGGTTTACACTTTTGCAGGTATAGACAGGGCAATTAGGATTGCTAGGCAATGCTCCGGAAACTGCGAGAACTAGTGATATATAAATCAAAACAGCGCACAATTTTTCGCCCATTTTCTATTATAAAAATGGTCACATGACTTTTTGAAGCTTCTTCTAATTAGATTTAGGCTTTTTAAGATATTTTATATTAAATCTTTATGCAATTAATTATAAATTAGCAAGGATAAACACATTTAGTTATCTAATATTCTTATATGAGTGTATCCATGTGAATAAAGCCACTCAGCATAATGTTTTACTAGCTTTTCTAAATCCTCCTCATTAAACTCACATTTAATAACTTCTAAATATTTCATAAACTGCGCCAAATAGCACGGGACTTCTTCACAGTTATATTTAAGCAAAAAATTTTCCTCAATTTCTTCATCTAGAAATTTGTATAAAAGTACGATAAAAAGAACAATCGCTTTATAAAATTCTTTTTGGCAGATTTTAGCATGCTCCCACAGAAACTTCGCCATAATCCGATCGCCTTTATTTTCTTTTTCCTGCACAAATTCCCCGTTTTTGGCTTTCTCATGAAGAATGCTTTCTTCTTTTAGAGTCGCCAAAATAGGATGCTCAGTTTCTTGATTATTCTTAAAAACCCTTGGGAAGTTTTCTGTTGGGTCAGTGCCTTCTTGTGAGTAATGCCCGATTTCTCTGAGATAGGAAATTTCGTCAGCGAAATTAGGATTTTTTCTAATGTTGTCTGATGGATGAGTTATTTGGACCCTCACAGGCTCTGTAGTGTCCTTAATCTTACGAGGACGGCCTCTCCCTCGTCCGTTTTTGAACTGAGGAGCGTTGGTGCCTTCTGGGGTAATTCCATCATGCTTTGTCTTAATGTGTGTGTAGAGAGCGGGATAGCTCAAATACATTTTTCCACAGCCACACTTGTAGGTTCGTCCTTCTTGGTCACTTTTGCTTCTGCGCTTGTTTTTCATGTCATTTCGGGACTCGTTTGGAGCTGAAATTTCGATTTTTGGCTGTTGCTGAGCTATTTGGAAAGGGGCAGTTGGAAAAGATCTAAACATTATAAATGGAAAATAAAGCAAAGAAGAATATATAGTAAATAAAGATAGAAATTACGAAGAAAAATCAAACAAATCATCGGAATTTACGAGTATAAAATTTACTTCAATAAATTATAATTTAATGACGATATTTGCAATAATAATTATAAATGAAAGAGCCAAACAAAACAGAAATTTACGGCTTTATAGGCTGGATCGCGACCTTTATTGCATTTAGTAACCAATATTCAGTTCTCTTTTTAATCTGGAGCTTTTTGCCAGACTCTACTTTGAAGTCTATTGGAATTAATTATTATCCCAGCAAATATTGGGCATTAGCTGTGCCTTCATATATAATTATGCTAGTTATCTTTGTCCAGATCATTTATCAAGGAGTAAACATGATCTGTGCAGAACCTCATGACTCATTTAATACATTAGAAGACTCTTGCACTCGAAGAATTGTTAATGAGAATAAAGAATTTCAAGGAATTCCAGATATTTCGGATATCCCTGTTAGTGTAGTTAATCGAGTTTTATATGGAAAACCTAAGGAACTACCAAAATTAACAAACCAAAGATCATATAAAGGAATAGCAAGAACACTGGATAATTAATTATTTTTTATTCATAAAGATAAATATATTATTTAATCTCCGTCAATAAAATGGACTCCGATAGCGAAGAATATTTGGCAGAAGCTGGGCGAAAAGCAAAACAAAAATTCCTAACTCCCCCCCCTCCGTGAGTGAACAAAAAATTTGTATAAAAATTAATTTTTTTTAAAATTTAAAAAAATCCTAATTCGAAAAAATTGGAAAACAAATATTAATTTAATTTATAAATTTATGTTTTTAAAAAGCAATTCGTTTTTAAAATTAAACAGAATGAGCTCTAGATTTCATTATACTAATTATCATTTATATATCAAATTTTTTTCCATAAATATTTTTTCTATTAATAAAAATTTTGTTCACTCATGGAGGGTGGGTTTTTGGGCAAAAAATAGCGATTTTTCTAATGGTTTCGTTCACTCACGGGGGGGGGGAGTAAGAGAAGAAATCATAGAACTTAACTATGACCCGAAATTGTTTACACACTTTTGTGAAAGCAAAAAAGGCGCTGATATTGACTTATACACAACTGAAGAATTAGAAGAATGTGTCAAAGAGTTTAAAATAAGGTTCAGGTCAAACGATACATATGAACAATATCAAGAAAAAGTGAGAAAAGATAAGGAGCTTGAAAAACGATTATACGAAATCCCTATAAGAAAAGTAAATAAAGCAGTAGAGAGAGAGAGATTAGTTAGAGAGGTTAAGCGGGGATTCTTTCAGCTCCTAGCCAGTCGGACTTCAGCTTCGTGCTTCATGTGGCACTAACTCCCCCCCCCCTCCGTGAGCGAACAAAACCATTAGAAAAATCGCCATTTTTTGACCAAAAACCCACCCTCCGTGAGTGAACAAAAATTTTTTTAATAGAAAAAATTTTTAATGAAAAAAAATTTTGATATATAAGTGATAATTAGTATAATGAAATCTAGAGCTAATTCTGTTTAATTTTAAACAAATTGCGTTTTTTAAAACATAAAATTTTGCAAATTAAATTAATATTTGCTTCCCAATTTTTGCAAATTAGGATTTTTTTTAAATTTCGAAAAAAAAAATATTTTTTATAAAATTTATATATAAATTTTTTTAAAAAAAAAAATTAACCCCCCTCCGTGAGTGAAACAAAATTTTTTTGTTCGCTCACGGAGGGGGGGGGGGGGAGTAAGCACTAAAGCCACCTAACGCCCTTTTTCTTCGGAGCCATCAAAAATGGTGACGTCCTCAGTCTGTCGGGGAGACTCACCCGACCCTGCTGGATCAAAAATTTCGGCAAGGACTCTCTTAAACCCCTGGTGGTGCTCAGGGTATGAGAGGATCGTCCATTGTCTTCTTCTGGAACCACCTGTGCCATTCGCAGGCACCATAATGCTCCTCCAGAAGTGCTTGATTGATGTTGCGCCGTCGGTATCTTGTCTGTGGGTCGAGGGAAGCCCAGTCAGCCCAAGTCTGCACCCCACCCCGGAGAATTGCCATCTGCGACCCCTTGGCCTTTCGGCCGTTTTATTTTTTTTTACACGGCCGAATTCTGGGATTTTTTTTTGCTGTCGCCGAGCCAAAATGGATTTCCATCTTGCAAGATGGAAATTCCTAAAGCAGTAGAAGAATATAAGAAACAAGAAGAATCGAAAAATTATATAGAAACTAGAACAGTATCGTTGGCTAGCTTAGAATCGCAAGGTGAAATATTTTCAGTTCAAGCTGAAATGGCGACTCCAACTGACTTGTTGAATTGCAAGAATTTAAAATTGACAGTCTCTGAACCTAAAGTTGTCCAAGGAGGACTTTTTGGGTCTAATTATGTAATTTACAATATTGTTACTTCGCCACTCGGCTGGGATGTAAGGCGACGATATAAGCAGTTTAAATGGCTTCGAGAAGTCCTTTCCCACGAATTCCCTGGCTATTACATACCTCCACTCCCTGACAAAAAAGCTCACGGTAACACAGAAGACATGACCATCCTAAAGCGTCAACGTTTCCTTCAGCGTTACATGAACTCTCTTATATCCAACCCAATTTTCCGATCTTCCCCCTCTTTTGAGTTATTTCTAAAAGAAAACTCTGACAAAGAATTTAAATCCAGTAAAGATTGCAATAAAAAAACAAAACGTGCTGCCCTTAACCAGTTTATAAGCCTAACTGGGGATTTATATTGCGATTCACGAGACCATGCTACAAAATTCAACGCTATCAGCCAATATTTAAATAATGGAGAAACCATAAAAAAAAAACTCAAGCGGCAATCAGAAGAAATAATGGAAGATTTATTAAAATTATCCAAAACAATAGCGAGCTATGCAGAAACTATAAGGCAAGCTGCAGATTTGCAAGACTTGCCTGACTTTAATGATGGACATAAAGAGCTATATAAAAGTCTCAATGATGCTCTATTAGATTGATCTGATTGAGAAATAGAAAATTCAAATTTTATTTCTGATTATTTTAACATGTTTTTTAAATTTGGGTATATGGAATTAGGAGCGTTAAAAGAGCTGATAAAAGAAAGAGAAAATCATTATGGGAACTTTAAGAGGGCTGAAGGAAAAGAAAGCGAAAAAAGGAGAAAAGCAAAGGAGTGGTATGGGTTTTATAATTATCAGTGCTTGACTGAGACAGAAAGAGTGATTTTGGCTTGTAGAAATGGCACTTGTGAGCATTTTTCTGATATGGCTAACTACCAAATTAAAAGTGCTATCAAATTTAGGGGGATTTGGGAAAATTTAAATACAAAAGTAGTGGAAATAAGTGATAGATTTAGTTTCTTTCGGTAATTTAATGTATAAAATGGTAAATAAAGCAAGTAAAATAGCACATTTAATACTGTTTTCTAATAGAACTCCAAAATTAATAATTATACTTTATACACGCTACATTATTTCGCATTTTTTCGAGCACCCAATACGTTTTTCCTCCGTTTCGACTATTAGCTCTTTATTTCCATTCAATTTAAGTTCAATCATTTTCAGCACCTCTTTCAGTTGGCTATTTTCCTGTCCTTTATTATGCAATGCTATTTCGCTTTCCGTTAGTCTAATTTGCATCAGCTGTATATCCTTCTGCAAATTTCTTACTTGTTCCTGTATAAATGACTCCGGTGAACAATTAAAAGCAAAAGAGCTTCTTAAATATTGGTTAGACGCTGGAGAATTCGATTTTCCATCAGATTGGCATGACAAGACGCTTTCTTTCATTCTTTTATTAGCAGAAGAAAGCTCTTTCAGCACTCGATGGCTGCTGTCCATATAAAGGTTTGCCTCTTTTCTTAAATCTTGGAGGCTCGTTTTAATTTTTCTGCTTAAGTCCTCTGTTTGGATTTTCAGAGGACTTGAGTGGGTTTCTTTAATGTTCTGTAAGTGGGTGCTTAAAAAACTGATTGAGATATCACTGTCACTGTCTGATAAGGAAATTGGGGAGTGCGTTTTTGAATCTTCTTTAAGCTCTTTGGCAATTTTTGCAAGCTCACTTCGTTCAGAGAGAGTTGTGGCGTTAGAAGAAGGGAGAGGCAAAATGTGATTTGAGCTGGGCTGGAGGTCGGAGGAGTCAGAATTGCTGGAAATTGAAAGGATTGTGCTCGGGGATTTTTTCCGATTTCGCTTAAGGCTTTTTGTGGAATATGGATTTTCCATAGAAAATTTTATGCATTTAATAAGAAAATCATTAAAAATTTGGAATGATTATCATGGATATTATTTTTATTATAGTATTAAGGAGTAGCTGCTATTTTAATTAGATAATAATTAGCTATAAGTTTTGGTCTCTGAAATGCAAGTGGTTATTATTCCTCATTCCCTGCTGCAATAAATTCCTTTGCACTTCTTGCATCCTTTGAATTCTTTCATCAGTCCCTCTCCATGGGTTATAAACTGCCAAAGTCTTATACATTTCAGCCATAACAGCTTGGATCCATAGCATTTTGCTTTGTTCAGGTCTATAATGTTGCCTATAGTACCTCGACCACATCTTATTCCCAAGTATTTTCCCATTTTCAAGCCTTAGTTCTCCATTGCTTGTTATTTCTCCTGGTAGCCTCATACCATTTGATATAATAGAGCTCTGATAAGATGTATCAGATGTCACAGACCCTAAATCGACATAATGTTCAGGTCTTAGTTCATCCTCTGAACTAATGACCTCATACGAGTTTTCTTCACCCCAATCATAATATTTTCTAAGCTCTCTTTCTTTTGTTTCTGTATTTAAAAAACAATGCTGCTTATCTATCATATGCTGCTGTGCAGCTTGAGCTGTTTTAAACCCGCTTGGACCATCATAGCTGCAATAAAGACACATAAATCCAATCCTCACAGTATCTTGTAAATATTTTAGTAGCCCTTCTAGATCTTTCACAAATTCAATATCAGGGATGAAAAACCCGTGGGAGGTCATCATGTGTTTTAAGTTGCCATCTATAGATTCACTGCTAAAATTACAAAAAATGCAGGTTTGTTGATTATATGCATTAAAAATGGTGTGGCGAACCAATTTTCTTGGCTACGGCACGGTGACCGAAACTTTCAGACTACCAATAGCATATGCAGGCCCATGTCTGGTCGAAGCAAAAAATTTAAGGTCGTGCGACTATTGTCGGCAAAGCAGACGAGTGAGCGTTATTGAAGGGAATAAGGATCTTAGGATCATAACACTCAGCTTTTCTATAATCTAACTAAGTGTAGGTTTGCTGATCATTGATAGTGGATTGAGGCTGAAATACACGTGAATCGTGGGATTTTTTTTTAATTTCTAGGTGTTTATTGTAAGACTTTTTTGAGGTAAAAGTTTTATCACAACAGTTGCAGTGGACGTTGAAATTGAGTTCTGCCGCAATTTCATCAGATTCTCTCTTTTTCTCTTCAAAAACTTCTTTAGAGACTGGGTCTAATGAGACTAATTTACGCTTGAGGTTGTAGGTATGAAAATCTGAGCGATAATGCTCACGGCAGTCTTCTTGGGTGTTTAAAGTAGTTCGGCAGGCTGTACAAGTCACTCCGTCCATATCAGAAAAATTAATATGAAAAATAAATAAGCGAACCAAATAGATTTTTGTGCAATAATTGAATATTGCCACAATATATAGCATTTTAAAGAAAACAAAGCTTAATTTATATTAAATTAAAATTAATTTCTTGGATTCTATGATAGCTATATGAGCCTTTTAAGCAAATAATTAGTGCAGCGAGGTGTAGTAGCGCTAAGTCTATTTGATATTGAATTAATTTTACCATTTTACTTTAATTTAATTCAGGAGAAGGAACTTTGTTAAGATGTGATGTCTTAATATATAATCCTGAATGTTGTGAGGATCCTTGATCTGATATGCTTAATCCTCTTGATTTTTAATATAAATTTAAATAATTTATTATAGGAAAATTTAAAGACTATTTAGAAAGACTGCATAATTTTATATTTCTATGACATTTTTAAGAATTATTTTTTTAATTTTGATAATTATTTTTTGAGATTTCCTTTACAAGGTCTGGAAGGCAGTCCTGGAAATTCATAAATCGTATAAAACTCATTATATGAATCTGACATTTGCATTTGCTCATGAATTTCTCCTTCCTCCATATCAACACTTTGCTGCTGTTGCAGTATAGGCGGCTCTTTAGCTTCAGGTCTTGGTGTTGGTGCCACTCTTTCTTTAATTAAATTTGCTAACGGATTAACATTCAGCTCCTTCCCTGTCCCTGCCAACAATCCTTTCAAAATCTGCGTCACATCTACCGGGTTCGTTTTTTTCGGCTTATTTACTTGCTGTTTCGGAGTCGCCGCATTATTGCAAAAAATCCAGTTCATAGATTTTTCCGACCTATTCCACATTTTTGAGTCAGGATGTAGATGTGCCTTGATGATTTCAGTCAAAATTCTTTTATTATTCAAATGCTTGCATACACTTTCTGCTTTCTCAATATTTTTCATCACAATCAGTGTACAAAAAACACCATTTATCGCCCTTGGCTGCTCAATTCTAATAGCTTGGTATTTCAGCATATTTTTGACATCTTCTACTGTAGCATTTTTCTTGAGTCCACGTAATATAACTCCAACCCACCCTGATTCAGGGTCAAGTGCTTTATAAATAAACCATCTCACCCTCATAGGCTTCTGAATCCCTTGTATCCTATGAATAAAAGCTGCCAGCTGCCCTCGATTTTCTTCTTGGCGCAAAAATTGATAAGCTGTTTGTGCTGCATATAATTTACCGTCATTCAAACTGTTGAACCAAACAATCCCTGTGTGAGTGAATTTGGGCGCCTTATAAAAGTCCACAAACTGCACCTTTTTTACTTTTAAATTTAAGGACTCGACGGCTCTTTTCAATTCATATGACTTCATCTTCTCATCAAGGGGGGTGAGAATCAGTGCAAAAACTGGGGAATTCGACACGAAGTCTTCCTAAATAAAAAGTACAGCGAAGCCTACACACTCAGAATCAACAATGCAGTCAGCCACTTTTTGTACGGAAGGATAGGACTGCTCGTCATCTGAACCTTCATCACTTGTGGGAGGGTCTAAAATCATGCGGGTTTGAGGGCCAAATGAAAGGAGGTGGTTGAGGGATGGGGAGTATAAGGATGGCCGGGTTTGTTCTGATTCTAAACGAGCTATGGAATCTCTGGGGTCAACTTGGAGGAAGTCTTGTCTGGCTTTTTCTAGTGTTGTGTTAAAGTCGTCCATCATGATTTTGATTTTATAAAATAAATAGCTGGGGACTTCAATTAGAATTGATAATTATAGCAGAGCTGGGAGGTAAGTGCCAGGGAATGATATAGTTAAAGTTTTGGTAATAATTCATCTCAGCAATTTTGAATTCATTTGAAGGATATAAATGAATGGAGTTAATAAAATGTGAAATATATGCTGAAATACACAAATCCGATGCAATTATAAATCTAACTTAAAAATTGTAAATGTCAATAGAAGTCACTAGTATTGAATAGCAATAAAAATATTAAATTAATAATAAAAATCGCACTAGGCAATTATTTTTATATATTTTTTCACTTAACTATCAATAGATTTCATAAACTCAGCCTCTGCTTTAAAAATGTCAGACAAGCTTCTTCAAGAATTTCTAGTCCGCCTAACTCGTACAAGAACTGCAGTTTCCGACACCAAAAAGCAATGCGATTTTTTAAAAAAAGAAGCCAAAAGGCTTGAGCAAGAGCTAGAATCCTTAGAAAAAAACAAATCCGAGCTACTACAAATAGAAGAAAACCTAAAAGTTCACTATATTTCTACCAAAGTCCAGAATGAAGAAGAATTCGAAAAAAACAGTTACGAGCATGAAGAGCTGCTTAAGCTGAGGAAAATCAAAAGATTAAAACAAAGGGAAAAAGAAAAAGTCCTTAAAGATGTATAGGTATATCCCGTAAATAGTCCTATATGGCCTCTATCCCTAGCCCATATCAGGCTATTTACAGGATATGCCTATAGAAAGGCTTACTAATGAACTTAATCAATTAGTTAGACAAAGAGAGCAGCTTGAAGGGGTCGCGAAGAGCTTGAATAGTAAACTAGACCAAGCTTCTGCAGAAAGAATTGCTGCTGAACAAGAGGCGAAGAGAAATGCTGAAATATTAAGATCGTTGACTGCTGAATTGGCAGTTTTGAATGCGGAAAAAGATAGCTTAAATAAGGCTGTAGCTAATACGTTTGAAGAAGAGCTGAGATCTGCAAAGCGACATAGATAGAGATAAAGATTAGAGTTAATAGAAGTGAATATATTTTATTAATGATTTTTTACTTTTAGAAACTGATTATAGAGAAAAGAGAGTTGCCGTAGATTTGGATAATGATGAGAAAGTTTATCAGGCAAAATAGCAAAAATGAATACTGCATAAAGCTAAATCATATGAATATTATGAATTTATTAATAATAATTTATATTAATGTTGGATAAGAAAATTAAAATAATAAGCATTTGCACCTAAGAAATATTCAGAGTGTTTAATATTATTTAGATGCCAGCTATTTTTTATTTAATAATAAAATAATATTTTAATAATTCTTTATATCTCTCCAGCATCAAGATCATTTATGCTGCTTTCAGGCATATTGCATAAGCTATTATATTCGGTTTCGATAGTTTTCATATCCTCGAATGCCTCATTAAACTCATGTTCTTCCATCCCTTCAGAAATATATCAGTAAACATATGCCCTTTTACAATAAAGCAGCTCAAACTTATGGCCAATTCTGTCGAAAACTTCAGTTATAGATGTATTATTATTGATCATGCTTATTGTTCTTGGAGATTGTCCAAGATGTTTATCAGTAATTGCTGCTATTTTCTTATCATTAATGGCAAATTTAGCTCCTGCTGGGCATTGTTGGTTATTTAAGATTATCAGGTAGCTGAATCACCTTATCCCTTTCCATAAAGCTCCAAGCTTGCTAGCTAGTCGATACACGACTTTATGCTGTGTTTACTCTTCCAATAAGGATTAAAGTTTCTGTTCATCTGTCAGGAAGAATGAAAGCTCAGGGCACAGCATATGGTATTGATCTGGGTAAGTGCTCTGAATGGTAAGAAACATTTATGACACTGCTGAGACAATCCTTTCATACTTTCTCATTTCCCACGGGAAAAGCAACCCTATGACTGAACTTTACCTAATCAGCTTAGCATCTCCGCTCCATCAGTGGATCTAGCATGATACACACGTTTCATAGAGGTCCTCAGTCCTAATAAAGCCCAAGCTACAAGAATACAGAATTCAAGCCGATTCATCAACCCATATTAATGTATCCCCATCTGGGTATCAATCAGCGAATTCTACAGTTTTTATTGGTTCTAGATTTGCAATAGCAAAGCTAGCGTCTTCATATGAAGCATCCCCTCGGTAGTTTAAACTATATGCCAAATATTTCCCGTTTTTTGGGTCACATTTTGCCCATGCATTTTCTACTTGAAAAACTTCTCTAGTCATTTCCATAACAGAAATATTTGGACCACATTGGTGATCGGTTGAGATAACTGGTGCATAAGAAGGAAAAAGAAAATGAAAATTTGGGGATGGGACTAAACTTGACGTAAATTCACTCAAATTTGCATTAACAGTTCCATTATATCTCATTGATGTAGTCATTGATGAAATTCCAAGAGCTATCAGCCTATTTAGAACTGTATAATTTGGCCTTACAACGTTTAATTGTTTTTTGCAAATTTCATAAATAGCTTCATTATCAAGAATAATGGCAGCATCTGAGTCATTTTTTAATGCATGCATAGAGAGGGTAGCATTATAAGGCTCAACAACAGCAACAGAGTTTTTTCCTGATGGCCAAATAGAAAAATTAATTTTTGTTTTTTGGCTATATTCTTGTGAAAGCCTTTCAAGTATCAGAGATCCAAGCCCTGACCCAGTCCCACCTCCTAGAGAATGGTAAATTAAAAATCCTTGTAGCTCTTCACAATCTTCAGCAATTTTTCTTATAACTTCAAGACTTGGGTCAATTATATTTCTGCCAATGCTAGAATGTCCTCTGCCAAAATTATTCGAAGCATCCTCTTTGCCATAAATGAACCGGTTAGGCTGAAATAGCTTGCGATTTGGCCCATACATAGTCTCATAAATGATTAAAGGTTCTAAATCCACAAAAGCTGCTCTTGCAAGTCAATTGCCTTCTTTAGTTTCTGAATAAAAGGCATTGAGGCATTCATCGTTAGAAATTGATTTATCGGGCGAAATTTGTCCATCAGGTTGAATTTCGTGCTCAAGGCAGAATAATTCTCAGCAGGTGGTACCAAGCTGGATACCGGCTTGTCCGACGTGAATAGATATTACTTCTCTCATTATAAAATCATATTGGTATATTGTGATCCTTATATTAAGATAGTCAGTTATCCTTAATTATAAATATGGGCACTTGCTGCTGCAGAAGAGAGAAAGGGTTCAAAATACCTGACTCCCCCCGAGAGCTGACAAAAAAATTTTGGTCGCTCACGGAGGGGGCTAATTATTTTTTATAAAAATTTATATATAATTTTTAAAAATTTAAAAAATCCAAATTCCAAAAAATTGGAAACAAATATTAATTTATTTGTAAGATATTTATGTTTTTAAAACGCAATTTGTTTAAAATATACAGAATTAGCTAGAGATTTCTTATATTAGTTATCACTTATATATCAAATTTTTTTTTCATAAAACATTTTTGTTCGCACACGGAGGGTCAGTTTTTTGGGCAAAATAGAGATTTTTCTAATGATTTTGTTCGCTTACGAAGGAGGGGAGTGAGGAGAATCAAATGAAAATAGATAAAGCAGTCGTGAAAGAAAACGAACTACAGAAGCCTATTTATTCAGCCAAAACAACTCCTTTTACCTCAGCAAATGAGGAGATATTTCAAGATAATTCTTAATAAAATTGTCACCTCAAGATCTCCTTCTATCATAATTTTACTATTTCTTAAAATTCAAAACGCCTTTATATTATTATTTATTTAATATTTCCATAAAATTTTTTATTTACCATATTACACACTTCTTTTTCTCCTTTTTCTCTTTTTTCTCTTTCTTTTGTTGAAGTCCTACCCTATTCTTGCTCTGCAGTCCTTCTCTTCTATTTGATCGCTCATTTGCTTTGTGCTTCCTTTCTTCTTTTTCCTTCATATAAAGTTCTTTTTCTTGTAAAGACAGGGCAAGAGCTAAGCTTGCATCCTCCTCTTCAATTTTTGCTTTCTTTTTGCTTTCTTCATCTTCATCAATTTTATTTTGATGATCGATGAAATCTGTGATTGCTTGTTTTTCATCGACATTGATAACCTTATCAGGAGAATTTGAGGCCGAGTTTATGATTTTTTGGAAATAGGAATTGCAGTATTTGTTGTCTCCTGCGATTTTGCTTAATCCTTTAAAGATGTTAATTTTTTTTTAAAAAATATATTTTTATATTTTAATTATACACAATGTTTTCTGTCCTAATTTACAAATATTTGAAGAAATTTATAGCATTTGTGTATAAATAAGTCAAGCTGTGTTAAATTTAATAAATTAGCTGGAGATCTCATAAATATTTTATAAAAAAAAAATATTATATTGGAAAATATTTTTGCTCATTTCATATTTCCAGTAGTTTTGCTCCTCATTAATGGGGGGATTTAATCTTTCCCAAGTGATCTGATCAGCATCTCTAAACCCTAAATCAGTAGCAAGTATATACACTTTTTTGTTATGCTTGACTAGAGTCGAAAAATGGTTGTTTCTAAACAAAACGCAGATTCTGCCATCAGGAATCTCAGTGTTTAGCCTCCTTAGCCCTTCTTCTGTCATCTGGCTTGCAGAATTTTCTAAAAATTCCGCTATAACTCTTCCTTTCCTGACAAACTCCGTTTCTTCAGCATCCAGATTTTCCTTATTTTTCAGCTCTTCACATCTTACCAGAACCTCTTGTATTTGATTATACGACATTTTCCCAATTGCTTTCTCAATTTCGCTATCCTTTTCAACAACCCAGGCATGCACAAGTTGGATTTTCATTAAATCAAACACCTCGATTTCTGTCGTAAACTCAAAGCTATTTATGCTAAATATTTCTTACTCGTCAAACTTTACATTGACATCGATCCCCTCTTGAAGCTTCGGAATAATTGCAATCGCATCAGACAGATTCGCTTGCAAATTCGAATAGTTGGGGTCGTTTTCGTCCTGTCATAATTTTTACAATTCTGTTTAACTCCAGCAATTTGTCGGCTACCAATGTAACGAGGTGCTCATGGGATAAATTTGAAAAATCCTGATGAATTTTTAATTGGCCGCGCAAGATCAAGACATTTGCGATTGCGAGGAGAGGGCAAGGCCCGTTATTGCTTTGCATGAGGATTTGTAAGTGTTTTCCTAAAAATTCGATTTCTTTGAGTCAATAGAATTCTTCTTCCATTTTATTAACTTAATAAGCTATATTTATACCATCCAGGCGTCGTCCTGTGAGTTTGTTTTTGGGATGCCATAAGTGCTCCCTCGTCGGATTGGGTTGTATTTGTTGACTAATGACTGGTAGTCAGAATCAGGCTCCACTGCACAATGGGATAGAATTCTGTGTTTGTTGGCCATGAATTCCCAAGTAATTTGGTTTGATTTTAGCTGCTCTATGCAGTTTTCGTCAATTGAAGAAGAGATGAGATAGCTGTTTAGAGCTTCGTATAGAGGTAAAGCGATATTTTTGATAAAGCCAGCTTGGGATTTTGCAATATCAGTGGTATCTCGATCACAAAACATTGAAATTGGCTGTTTTAGTGCTTTTTCTATGTCGCCTTGGTTAAAAAACTCATTGACAACGAGAACAGTCCACCTTTCATGCAGCTCTCTCACTTTAGCAGCGTGGCCAATATCAGCTGCTTTTATTGCCATTCTGAGCACTTCAAGTCTGTTTTCTGCAGTTTCTAGAGGTCTTGAGCTATTATTCATAAGTTTCGCTCTGAACTGTCCAAGTAAATCAAAATGCCGCCCCATATCAGTCGCTAATATCATTTCTACAATAAATTTCCTTGCAGTTGCCCACTGGTCCTTATCCAAAGTTCCTAATATATTATACTCAAGGTTTTGCATAATTTGAAAAGTCGTTGAACAATGCATGCTTTCCAGTACTGAAACGTCATTATATCTGATCGCCAGCTCATCTTTTGTATTTATCAAAAATCTATTATTAAAGCCTGGATGAGCTACATCATGACCTAAATTGGCAATTATTGAAGCAAGGACTTCAATATCTAATAATGCATCTGCTAAGCATGATTTGTTAGTTAAATACAAAAAGGACGCTAACACGTCAGCAGCGTGGGTCGAGTTATGATATGGGTTATCTTTGTATAGTGATTCTAATTTTTCAAAAAAATCGAAATAAATTTTTTCTTGGATATTAAATACTTCATCTAGTCTATATTTTTTAATACAATATTTTCCCGTTATTAGTAGAGGATATTTTTCAGTACATTCTTTCAAGAAAAATGTATCAAAATTTCAGTTTTTCCCAATTTGGCGTAACACTCCGGTTAGCTCGTCAACATCATAAGGCTTAATTTTAAGGAGTTCAGATGTCTTGCGGACTCGAATTTTGCTGGAAGTTTTTGAAATAATGTGGTTTTGGTCGCTTCAAGATTGTTTAATGTATTCTCTGTCGTCTTCGTCCATATTTTTAGTAATCATTTCTATATCGGTGGAATATATGTTTCTTTTTGACCTAATCATTCTCGAAATTTTATTTAATAGTTCTAGAACTCTCTTCAACCTGATTTTGTTATTTGCAGATGCTTTATTTATCAAATTCTCTACTAATTTCATTGACTCAATCAGTCAGCTTGTGACTTCTTCGATTTCTGTCTTTGGAGCTTCATTTTCGTTGTTATTTTTTTCAATTATGGTATCGCTTTGAATCATTTGGAACTGATACCTTCAGGTTATCTCTGTGTGGTAAAATTTTGACGTTTCATAAATTATCTGAAATAAATAAATCGCAAGCTCTAATAGTGTCGTAATAAGTGACTGCTTGGAAAGCAAATGCGAAATTAAATAGATTATAGCTAAACAAATGTTTGTAATACCAAATTCAAAATAATTCGTATATAATACAAATTTTGATATCGCTAATATCACTAATAGTCCGGGTAAGCTTGAAATATATACGTCTCCGCCACTTCCAAAAATTGCTTCCTGCACAGGAGGGTTATTAATTATTAGGAATACTCCAAAGGAGAAGTAGTTAAATTGTAAAATATCAACACGAAATTTCCGGAAAATGTTAGTGTAAAAGGACAAACAAAAAATATTGACACTCAAAATCAGGATCAAACCCATAGAGATCACCTGGAACTCAAAAATTTTTTTATCTAACCATCTCTTTGTTAGCGAGCAAAACCATTAGAAAAGTCTATAAAAATTAACCATTTTTTTAAATTTTAGACAATTTTTTATAAATTAAATAAAATTTTTCCCAACAAATGTCCACATATTTTTTTAAGCCAAAAAACAATTATTAAATACATAAATTTAATTTAAAATAAAAATTAATCCCAACTATTCGAGAGCAAAAATTCTTGTCAGCTTATCAAGGGAGGAATAAGCTTTTGTTGGTGTACACGAGGATGTACATCAAAATATAAGCCAGCATTGTCCCAAAATAGCTTAAAAAGAAGTTTTTGCTTCGTGAGTAGCTATTGCTGTGAAATTTCTTATAGTGAAATAAAATTGATTCTTTGTAGTCTCTTTCAACACTTTTGTTCTTAAATTTTAACGTAATTCTGTAGAAGTCTTTTAAGCCGCTCTCTATGTTTAGAGATGAGGATAAAGGGTCTGCGGTTAAAATTTGTGTAGGATGAGTGTGATCTTTGGACATTTATTTATTAAAGAAAGTATGATTTCACTAACAATTGTTATCCAGAGAAATTTTAAAGTTGAAATTAAAATATTGAATAGATGATTATTTATAAGGAGAATAAAGGAAATGGGGAAATTTTTTTGGTATAGATAATTGGGTTAAATTAGTTTTAGCCTTTTTTAAGAGTCTCTTTTAATTCAACCATAGTGGTTCATTTAATCAGTGATCATAGATTTAATACCAAAATTTGTTGAAATAATGAAAGTTGAATTAGAAGCAAAACTTTAGGAGCCAATATGAAAGTAAATGAAAGAGATTTTGATTAAATTTTTTTAATTATTGCTAAGTGCTAACATCCGATGATTTTTATGATGAATTATATGTGGAGAAAAGATGCCAACATGGAAAAGTCTAATTAACTGATAATTTAAATAGACCCATTGATTAACCCCTATTGACTTTCGATATCATTTCTTCGTTTATCTCGTTTTCAAAATCTAAGCATTGATAATGCTTTCCAGCTCAAGCGTAACTTTCTTTTTCACACACATTTAGTCTCTAATCCAGACAATTTCACTCTTTTTGATGATTTATATTTTTTGTCAAAATAATAACTTCAAAATATGGAGCATCTATTTTGAAAATTTTGATTGATAGTTTTTAGAAAGTCAAATTTATTATAAAAATTCATATTTTACTTTTTGAAGTTTGGTGTATATAAATTTGACTTAAATTTAAGATCCGAAATAGTCAGCAGCTTTATCAGAATAAGCATCTTGATAGCTATTTTTATAAATCTGCACATTATTTGAAGCTTTCTGATAAAAATGGCTAGCCTGAACTGAAACAACTTGAGCTCTTCCACCTTTATCCCAATTATTCTTCGAAGAAGCTCTTTTTGAAGCATCTTCAAGATCGTGTATCAAAGCTTGAACAATTACATGATCTTTTATTCACAAAGCCCTAAACTCTTCTGCCGCTTCGAGTGCAACGCTGCTGGCTTGTTTATAATAACCCTTATCAGCAAGGCTTATAACATCGCGAAGGATTTCTGCACCTTTGCATCTATAATAATTCGCCAAAACATCTCCATTAGCTTCATTCTTTTTATTTCCATTGCCTTCGCTTGCTACTAAAATGTTTAAATCTATTTCAGTAGTTTTATTTTCACCTGATTTATTTATACTTACCTTGACGGGGGTTATAATTTCATTACTTTTCCTTTCCCCAGTATATGGTGGGAAATTTAGCACAAAAACCAAGTCTTTGTTGTCATCACCTAAAAGAAGGGGTACTGTATAGTGACTTTCTCCATTTTCTGAATATACCTTAGAAATGCTAAAAGGTATGCTGCAGGGTTGAGGAATTAATTCAACTTCAAGATTGTCAGAAGTTGATGTAGCCAAATCACCTAAGCAAGTTGCAAATGCTTCTGCTATATCTTTAGGATTTTCTATATAATAGAAATTGCCATTGTTGAGACGAGAAATTTCTTTCATCATTTTTGAGTCATGATCTGCACCATAGCCAAATGTATGAATGAAGTATGGCCCTTTTATCATTGATTTAACATTATAAGAAAATTGTATTACTTTCTCTGGGTTTAGAGAATTATCTTGACCATCACTCAGCAATAAAATGGTTGTAGCTCTGTTAAACATTTCACGTGCGCTTACAATTGATAAACTTTTTTCAAGCCCAGAAGAAATATTTGTCCCACTGCCACTAGTAGCCATTTGTTTTATCTTATTTGCTATACTAATTTTTCCTTTTTCATTGGTTTCAGTTAAATCAATCACTATGTCCGCTTTGGATTCAAAAGCAACAATGCTAAGCCTATCAGAGTCATTCAAAAGAGTAAGCAAAAAATCTAATGTTTTTTTGACTGAAACAAATTTCCCCTGCTCATTCATACTTGGACTTTTATCTACAATACAAATAATGTCAAGTTTTTTCCTATCATTTTTGACATCTACAACTTTTGGGTTCATGCCTTTTAATAAAATCATGCATGGGATTTCTTGCTCTACATCCTTTAATTCCAAATAGTTATATAAAAAGTCAGTTGATATTTCAACTGAAGTTAAATTTTGACCCTCAGTCTCAGTTACTGTGAAGCTCTCACTTCAGTTATTTTGTTTTTAAAGCATGATGTAGATGGAATAAGAAATATTTTGCAGCTTACCCATTGGGATGCTTGAAAATAATGACTCATAATGAAATCGTTTCTTTTGAAAATTGCATTAAAAATTCCAAAAGTGCATAGATATAGACTTTTACATTCATTTGAAAATTCATCACTGTAAATCCAAGAGCTGATGTTTGTAACTGAATGAATTATGACCACACAAGCAATAGCCTTAACAAGCCAAACATTTACTAATCTAATGATTATGGTTGCCGCACTTTGAAAAGAGCAGGTATAAAGACCGACTAAGACAAATAGATTGAAACATACTGGGTGCACGTTTATACCAAGCATTATAATTGTTAGGCAGCCTGCAGATTGCCACATATCAAAAATTCTGAAAATTGATGTACTCTTAACAATGCATCTTCATATTCTTTGAAAAATTGAATGCTCCGGGTTCCGTTCGCGCCATTTTCTAAGAATAATTGCACAGCCATGTTTGATAGAGATAAATACCACTATAACAGTACATAGCTCGAAAAGGATAATGAGAGATCCTCTAGCTAAAATACTAATAAAAATACAAAAACCCTGAAAATCGAACTTATAGCTTGAAATCACAAAAATCTCAAATAGTTGTATAAAAACAAAAGAAAATGTAAATAAGAAAGTCAAGAACTTTCTGAAAGCAAAAATAATTTTTATTGCATTTTGATGCACAAAGCATATATCTAAAATCAAAATGCAATAGAAAAATTTATTGACAGAAAACCCGAGCCATAATATTGTTAAATAGACAATGCAATGCCAAAATTCGGTTATCCTGACAATATGCTTGATGGTGATACATAATTGCTGTAAAAAACTTATGCGTATCACTGAGCCTGAAGTGTCTTGTTGGGAAGATTGAGCTCTTTGCCAAAATGTAATGATTACGGAAGGACACCTTAGAATCAAAAACATTAAAAGAATTGAAATGCAGCACCAAATGTTAATTTTTCCAATTCAATAAATGAAATAAGCGATTTGCTCCTTTTGAAAATCTCAATTTTGATAAATAGAAGTGGACAAAAAGCTTATATTGGGAAAAATCTCAAAGTCTAAACAAACTGATAAAATGACCATGAAATTCACTACAAGTGCAAAGCACAATGATAGGGATCTTCACATTTTTATGTCAGCTGGAAGTATTTCATTGCGTAATGGTTCCCTCTCATTGGGCATATCAAGTTGCTCTTGACTTGACATTTTAATTTTATAAATCTATAAAATAAATTGGCCTAATAAAATAGAAAATTTGATTAAATTCAGATTATGTAGAATTATTTCGATTTAAAATATTGAGATTAAGGCTTTTTAGGTGTATTAAAATAATTAGTAGCCAAAGATGAATAAGCAGTTTGGCATACATTTGATAAGCAAGGGAGTTATTTGAAGCTTTTTGGTAAAAATGATTTGTTTGTAATGAAGAAATAAGCAGTTTGGCATACATTTTGATAAGCAAGGGAGCTATTTGAAGCTTTTTGGTAAAAATGATTTGTTTGTAATGAAGAAACTTGAGCTCTTCCTCATTGTTCCCATGACGCATTTGAAGAAGCTCTATTAGCGGCATCTTCAAGATCATGTATCAATGCTTTTATTATTGTATGCTAATTCACAATACAATTTTTCAGCTCATTTGCGCCATTAAGCGCAGCTACTTTAGCTTCATTAAATTTCCTCGCATCGGCAAGGCTTGCTACTTCTTTTAATATTTCTGCTCCTTTACACCGATAAAAGCTAACCATTACCTCTTCATTAACTTCAATATTATCTCTTCCTTCATTGACAACCAAAATACCCAATTCAGCCTCAATTATTTTATTTTCTCCAGATTTTGATACATAGGAAATTCTTGCTTTGACAGGTTTAATAATTTCGTTTTTAGGGACTCGATCAGTTGTTGGCGGAAATTTCAAGAGAAAAGCTAGCTTGCTTTATACAAAAAAATATTATATTATATTAATTGGATTGTCATTTATTAATATTGTAAAGAAAATAACTTTTTAAGAATGTTGAATTAAATGGAGGATGAGTCTTTTATGTTACCTGCAAAGACTTGAGGCATTGAGAATGAATCGCCATTTTCTGAATACACTTTATGCAAGTGAAAAGGAATACTGCATCTTCTATATGTGTAATTATTATTTAATTTGCTGTGCGATTACATTTTTTAAAAATAATTTCTTCATTTATCAAAAAATCCACTATATGCAATTTGATTATATAGTAAACCAGAGAGCCAAGGCCCTGCTTTTCGACTGTCTAAAGCTGTATATATAAATTTGTCTTAATTAAGATCCGAAATAGTCAGCAGCTTTATCAGAATAAGCATCTTGATAGCTATTTTTATAAATCTGCACATTATTTGAAGCTTTCTGATAAAAATGGCTAGCCTGAACTGAAACAACTTGAGCTCTTCCACCTTTATCCCAATTATTCTTCGAAGAAGCTCTTTTTGAAGCATCTTCAAGATCGTGTATCAAAGCTTGAACAATTACATGATCTTTTATTCACAAAGCCCTAAACTCTTCTGCAGCTTTGCGCGCAACTCTGCTAGCTTCTTTATAATAACGATTATCAGCAAGGTTTATAACATTGCGAAGGATTTCTGCACCTTTGCATCTATAATAATTCGCCAAAACATCTCCATTAGCTTCATTCTTTTTATTTCCATTGCCTTCGCTTGTTACTAAAATGTTTAAATCAATTTCAGTAGTTTTATTTTCACCTGATTTATTTATACTTACCTTGATGGGTCTTATAATTTCATTACTTTTCCTTTCCCCAGTATATGGTGGGAAATTTAGCACAAAAACCAAGTCTTTGCTGTCATCAGTTAAAAGAAGAGGCACTTTATACTGGTTTTTTCCATTTTCTGAGTATACCTTTGAAATGCTAAAAGGTACGCTGCATGGTTGAGGAATTAATTCAACTTCAAGTGCTTCAAAAGTTGATGTAGCCAAATCACCTAAGCAAGTTGCAAATGCTTCTGCTATATCTTCAGGCTTTTCTATATAATAGAAATTGCCATTATTGAGGCTAGAAATTTCTTGCATCATTTTTGAGTCATGATCTGTCCCATAGCCAAATGTATGAATGAAGTATGGCCCTTTTATCATTGATTTAAATTTATAAGAAAATTGCTTTACATTCTCTAATGTTAGAGACGGATCTTTTCCATCACTCAGTATTAAAATGGCTGTAGTCCTGCTAACTATTTCTTGTTCACTTGCGATTGATAAACCTTTTTCAAGCCCAGAATGCATAATTGTATCGCCGTGAGCAGTCATTTGCTTTATCTTATTTGCGATTTTAATCTTTCCTTCCTCATTAGCTTCAGTTAACCCAATCACTATACGTGCTGTTGAATTAAAAGCAACGATGCTAAGCCTATCAGAGTCATTCAAAAGAGTAAGCAAAAAATTTAATGTTTTTTTTGTTAAATCAAATTTCCCCCGACTATGCATACTTCCACTATTATCAACAATACAAATGATGTCAAGTTTTTGTCTATCAATTTTGACATCTACAACTTTTTGATTCATGCCTTTTAATGAAATCATGCATGGAATTTCTTGTTCTATATCCTTTAATTCCAAATAGTCATATAAAAAATTAGTTGATATTTCGACTGAAGTTAAATTTTGACCCTCAGTCTTATTTACTGTGAAGTTCTCAGTTATTTTGTTTTTAAAGCATGATGCAGATGGAATAAAAAATATTTTGCTGCTTACCCATTGGGATGCTTGAAAATAATGATTTATAATGAAATCATTTCTTTTGAAAATTGCATTAAAAATTCCAAAAGTGCATAGATATAGGCTTTTACATTCATTTGAAAATTCATCACTGTAAATCCAAGAGCTGATGTTTGTAACTGAATAAATTATGACTAAACAAACTATAGCCTTAGCAAGCCAGACATTTACTAATCTAATGATTATGGTTTCAACATTTTGAAAAAAGTAAGTGTAAAGAGCAAGTAAGACAAATAAATTGAAATATACTGGATGCGCGTTTATACCAAGCATTATAACTGTTAGGCAGCCTGCAGATTGCCACATATCAAAAATTCTGAAAATTGATGTGCTCTTAACAATGCATCTTCATATTCTTTGAAAAATTGAATGCTCCGGGTTCCGTTCGCACCATTTTCTAAGAATAGTTGCACAGCCATGTTTGATAGAGATAAATACCACTATAACAGTACATAGCTCGAAAAGGATAATGAGAGATCCTCTAGTCAAAATACTAAAATAAATACAAAATCCCTGAAAATCGAACTTATTGCTTGAAATCACAAATATCTCAAATAGTTGTATAAAAATAAACGAGAATGTAAATAAGAAAGTCAAGAACTTTCTGAGAGCGATAATAATTTTTATTGTTTTTTGATGCACAAAGCATATATCTAAAACTAAAATGGGATAGAAAAAATGATTGAAAGTAAACCCAAGCCATCATATTGTTAAATAGCCAATGCAATGCCAAAATTCGGTTATCCTGACAATATACATTATAGTGATACATAATTGATGTAAAAAACTTATACATATCACTGAGCCTGAAGTGCCTCTTTGGGAAGATTGAGCTCTTTGCCAAAATGTAATGATCATGGAAGGACACCTTAGAATCAAAAACATTAAAAGAATTGAAATGCAGCACCAAATATTTATTTTCCCAATCCAATAAATGAAATAAGCGATTTGCTCCTTTTGAAAATCTCAATTTTGATAAATAGAAGTGGACAAAAAGCTTATATTGGGAAAAATCTCAAAGTCTAAACAAATTGATAAAATGACCATGAAGTTCACTACAAGTGCAAAGCACAATGATAGGGACCTTAACATCTTTATGTCAGCTGACAGCATTTCATTGCGCAATATTTCCCTCTCATTATGCATATAAAGCTGTTCTTGACTTGGCATTTTAATTTTATAAATCTATAAAATAATAAGACCTAATAAAATAGAAAATTTGATTAAATTCAGATTATGTAGAATTATTTCGATTTAAAATAATGAGATTAATGCGTTTTAGGTGTATTAAAATAATTAGTAGCCAAAGATGAATAAGCAGTTTGGCATACATTTTGATAAGCAAGGGAGTTATTTGAAGCTTTTTGGCAAAAATGATTTGCTTGTAATGAAGAAACTTGAGCTCTTCCTCCTTGCTCCCATGACGCATTTGAAGAAGCTCTATTAGCAGCATCTTCAAGATCATGTATCAATGCCTTTACTATTGTATGCTCATTCACAATACAATTTTTCAGCTCATTTGCGCCATTAAGCGCAGCTACTTTAGCTTCATTAAATTTCCTCGCTTCGGCAAGACTTGCTACTTCTTTTAATATTTCTGCTCCTTTACATCTATAAAAGTTAACCATTACGTCTTCATTAACTTCAATATCATCTCTTCCTTCATTGACAACCAAAATACTCAATTCAGCCTCAATTATTTTATTTTCTCCTGATTTTGATACATAGGAAATTCTTGCTTTGACAGGTTTAATAATTTCGTTTTCAGGGACTCGATCAGTTGTTGGTGGAAATTTCAATAGAAAAACTAACTTGCCTTATATAAAATCAATATAATATTAATGAGATTGTTAATTTATAATATTGTAAAAAAAATAATTGTTTTAGAATTTTGAAATTAATGGAGAAGTGAGTCTTTTTTGTTACCTGCAAAGACTTGAGGCATTGTGAAATGAGTGTCGCCATTTTCTGAATACACTTTATGCAAGTGAAAAGGAATATTGCACTCTTGAGTGCTTAATGCTACTTCGACTTTATCTGCAACTAAAGAAACAAGCTCTCCAAGACAGTTTGCAAAAGCTTCAGCTATATCTTTTGGGTTTTCCACATAATAAAAATTCCCATTATAGCCTATGATTTATTTTAGATCGCCCTGGGCCACAAGATGCTTACCCAATCCTTTGAGTTGGCTTAAGAAACATCAGTTACTAGGCCAGACCATCATTTGTCAAGTGAAATTTATATACCAATTGCTAACTGGCAAAGTTAACTTGCCAACTATTATTGCCCAATCAACTCGGCCAGTTGGGTGGACCATCTTTAACCTCTGGAAATCCAAAAAGAGCCTTATGCTATATTTGCTTTTGCAATTTCTTGCATAGCTCTTGCATTATGATCCCTGCCATATCCAAAAGTATGAACTGTAAATGCACCTTTAATTGAGGCTGTTGACTGATTAGAGCATAATATTGCTCTTTCTTCAACTGTATTATTTTCATTATACAATATTTCTCTTTCTACAACTGCATTATTTTCATTATACAATATTTCTCTTTCTACAACTGCATTATTTTCATTATACAATATTTCTTTTTCTACAACTGCATTATAGTCATTATCACATCCATCTGTTAATAACAATACTGATGTGACTTGGTTTACAATTCTTCGATTGATTGCAACATCAAAGCCTTTTTGAAGCCCTGAGACAATATTTGTGCCTCCAATGACTTGCATCGACCTAATAGCTTTTTCTACCTCTATTTTCCCTGTTTCATTTATAGCTGTCAGTTTAATGATTTTACTTGAACTATCAGAAAAAATAACAATGCTAACTCTGTCATTGCCATTTAATAGCGTAAGCATAAACTCCAAAGTTTTCTTTACCAAATCAAGCTTATCACCTCCCATACTTCCACTCACGTCTACTACACAGATTAAGTCAAGCCCTGCCCTGTTTCTTTGGAGTTCTGTCATTTCCATGTTTGAGCCTGTCAGTGAAAGTGTGCAAGGGATTTCTTGTTCTGTGTCTTTTAATTCTAGATAATTGAATAGAAAATTCATAGAAGCGGTGACTGAGCCTTCTGAAGTTTTTGTTTCTTCTGTTATTGGCTTTATTTGGATGTCGTCATCATCAAGTATCAATGGTAAGTCTTCAGGGATATATCTGCTTGAACTAAACACACTATTCATTGGATAAGAAGGGATCTGAACTGATTGACTGAGTGGCATAAGACTTTGGGGCTGGTATTGCATTGGAGGTTGAGGCTGCTGATATAACATAGGCATTGTTTGAGAATTGCTAATTGGGTTGTGACTATATTGTTGCGGCTTATATTCCATAGTTGGCTGAACATTGCTAATTGGGATGCTACTATATTGAGGCTGCTGATATGGCACAGGTCCTTGCTGAGGGAAGATGCCATATTGAGGTTGTCCTGGTGGAATCTGATATTGAGGTTGAGGCTGCTGATATGGCACAGGTCTTAGCTGAGAATTGCTAATAGGTAAGCTACTATATTGAGGCTGTACTGGTGGCATCTGATATTGAGGCTGAGGCTGCTGATATGGCACAGGTCTTGGCTGAGCATTGCTAATAGGGTAGCTACTATATTGAGGCTGTCCTGGTGACATCTGATATTGAGATTGATAGTTTGGAATTGGAAAACTTTGAAGTTGCGGTTGCTGAACTTGAGAAATAGGAGATAATTTACTATTTTGAGGCTGTCCTGGTGTTTGGAACTGCACTTGTTGGGCTTTCATTTGTTGGATTTGTTGGATTTGATGCATTTGATGCGGTTGAGCTTGCTGAAAATATTGCATTTGTATAGGAGCATTCTGGGGCTGGTAATTTTGTATATGATTTTGTTGAAACTGAGGAGTTTGCACTTGGCCTTGGTTGGATACCACAGGATTAAAAGATTGTGAGTAATTATTTGAGCTCTGTGAAATCGGAATTGAAGGTGAATTAGTGTCATCAAGAATCATGCGATCACTATCTTGATTTTGGAATAAATTCTGAGTAGGCTGAGTAGGGTGAGTAGGCCAATTAGGGGGAGTAGGCTGAGTAGGCCAAGTAGGGGGAGTAGGCTGAGTAGGTTGAGTAGGCTGATAAGTCTTTTTTAGGCTGTTGGAGGAGTTATATGACATCAGTTACTATATTAAATTTATAAATGTGTAGATCATAATTAAAAATTTTATTGGTTTAATTAATAATTACTTGTCAAAAAATCTCAATGCCATATCACATAAGTATTTTTGAGCTTTATTCAAATATCTTCTGATTTTTCGATTAATAAATAATTTGAAATAATCTTAAACTAATTGCATATTGTCTTCGGCCTATTGGTAATGCAGCCACCAAGGATCCCTTTGAGGTTAATCAGCTTTGTAGGGCTGAGCCTGGTTGAAGAACTCCCGCAAGGAGAAAAGGCTCCTCACTATCTTGTTCCTCCTTCGGTGCCTGACGCCATGGGACACTCTTCCTCTTGCGTCTCCTCCTTTCCCTGAGGCTCCAGTGCTGATTAAATAGACTATAGACTTCTGCGACTGCTCTTTGGATTGAATAAAGGTTGTCTACTCAGAAACCAAAAAATGGAATTTCTGGTCGATTTCAGCAATTTAGAAAAGTTCGAAGCCCAAGGCGTAAACTCTCTTTCACGGTAGAGATTTTCCAAATTAATCTAGTCATTACTTTTAGACTTTGCTGGGCTTCAAATTTCCAAATTCAGCCCCTCTCTTTTCTTCGAGGTAAAATACAGCCATGGATGAGGACTGAGGCTATGATCCACTCACTGCTGGAATTTCATATCTACATTACAGTCCATTTCTGAGTAGCAAAACCTTGCCGATTATAATTAAATATGTCATCTCAACCCAGGCTGAGACGCCATATTTATTCATAGCTTGAAATAACCATAATAAAAAATATAGAAGCTTCCTGCCAACATAATCTATATTTCACAATTTACTAAATCCCATGTGATAAAAACTCAAAAGATTTTGTGTTATATTTTTATATTAATAATCGAATTATTTGGGTAAGTTTTGAGCTGCTTCTGGGCCTTTCTTTTTCTTTTTCTTCTTTTTCTTCTTCGCAGCCTCAGGTGCTTGCCCAGGAACCAGCTCTTCTACCACCGGCTGCGGCTTTTGATGAACAAAAGCAGGCTGAGATTGAGACTTCCCAATATTTACAGGTGCAGTGTGCCCAAGTGAGTCTTTCACAGCTTTAAATCTCTCCGCAAAGTTCGACGACGATCCAGGAGGCTTATATACTTTTTTCTCAGGTGCTGCTTCTCTTTTCCTCGGTGTCAAAGGTCTATCTTGAAAAGCCCCAGGACAATTTCTCCATTGTACATCATACAAATCATTCTGTGCATTGACTGTGATCAATTGTTCTCCGGTGTACTTATAGATCGAGTATCCATTATCCACCCTCATTCTTGGGCATAAAGTCGCTGCCACAAACATTCTTCCGCATGGGGCCCATTCACAATACACAGTTGTAGCTGCTCTGCAAGTTCCTACAACTGTCAAAGTGTTTCTCTCATAAACTTCAATGTCTCCTTGCAAATTCCCAAACCCAGCGATTAAAAACAAGCTTCCAAACGAGTTCCATCTGATGGTGTTCCTGTGGTGCTTGGCGAGTTCTTTTACTTTGCCTCCTGAGCCTTTGAAAAGTGTGGAGGTCGCTGGCATAAAACCACTGATTACTATAAATTCATCAGTGGCTGGTGACCATTTTACGTCATGAATTGGACCTTCAGTAGTGCTGACACTTCTGGCTTCTTTGTCAGGGTATATAATGAATAGAGAATGCTCGCCATAATAGCTTCGTCCAGTGGAATCTACGTCTGTTTGGCACCATGCTATAGCTTTATTCCCAAATTTGTTCCAATGGAAAGTGGTGTCTTGTACCTTTGTGATAGGTGTCTGGTTAAGCTTTCTAAATACTGATCCAGAAAGGGTAAATAAGGAGACTGATGCTGTTTCGCCTCGCTGCTCATTGGTATAGACAACTACTCTGGTAGGATTCACAGGACTGACTGAGAAATGAGCAGCTCGAGTTTCTGATAAAACAGCTATAGGCTGAGGCTCAGGGATCTGGTAAAGCTGGAGCTCTTGGTTGTTTCTCCTCAAAAAATAGTCACAGTTTGGAGTAAAAACCACTGTCGGCCAAAGCTCTTTAAGAGATTTCTTTTGCGAGAAAGAATAGATCGCTTGCCCGGTAGCCAAATTCCACACAAAAAGGTTGGGATTGTTTTCAACCTGTTTTTCCCAAGTGACAAGGTATCTTTCACATTGGGAAAAGTGCAGAAGCTGGATTCCTGTGTTGGGAGTCGTCATAATCACTGTATGAGTCTGAGCATTGAGCACTGAAAGACCTTGATCCTCAGTCGCACATGCAAGTTTGGATCCAGATGGCGAGTAGAGGGCCATAGTGCAGGGTGAAGCATAAGCAATCTGTTCTTGGCGAGGAAGACCACGAACAGCAAGGAGAGAAGTTCCTGAACGGCAGAGCAGTTCATGGCTCTCTTGCTTGGTCTCTTCTGTTGGCTCCATTTAAGTCTAGTAATAGATGGGTTCTTAAATTGTCGTAGTGAAATGGGGATTAAATAAAAATTGATAGGAATAAGAAAAGTGTGAAGGATTTGGGGAGTTGGGATTTGGAAAAATTTTTTAAAAAAATGTGAATTTTTGAAAGAAATTAAATGTGAATTTTATGAATTATTAATAGATATAGGCTTAAATCAAAAATTTTGCATTTCTTTGGCTATATTTAAGTCTTATTTTTATTTGATTTTAGCAAAAAAATAGCTGTGTATCTGAATGCGACTTTATAAGTGAGTGTTCATTTGGCTATACAGCTTAGATTATCTTTAATAGATAAATATCAGTTTATTGTCAAAGATGTAATAAAATCATAACTGCTTATAACAAATATATGAATATTGGAATATTTAGCATTTATTATATATATTTACACTCATTTTTGCATTCTCTATTTTAAGTTGCCTCTACAGTCAAAGATTTTCTTATGTGAAGCTTATTCATATGATTTAAATTTTAAAAGATGGCTAGTTGAGTATAGGCTCAGGGTGATCAGTGGACTGTCTCGGCCACAGGCAAGTGGATCCTATCATTTTACCCGGATGGGTTTTTGTCTAGCCAAGACTTTATGACAAGCTTTTTACCGAGCCCACAGACGAGAAACCGAAGGCGCGTATCAGCTAATGCTTCTGGGGAGGCAATATTTGCCTGCATGAGGTGTGCAAGTCCCAGAATGAGGCTTTTGGCAATAAACTCATACACTGAGCACTGCCAGAGGTTTAGAGAATCCTTGGGTGCGAAGCAAGGTTGAGTGAGTCTCCCTTGGAGGCTGGTTAAATCACTATTTTTTGGTGACCTCGACAGGAAAAGAGCGTTATGGCAATCTTAATCTAATTTAATCATATAATTTAAAATTAAAATGTAATAAATTTACTTTACATGCCATGAGCTATCAAATACGTCTTTTGAATTCATAACTATTCTCCTTTAAACATCCAATAAATTGAAACCTCTTCATCTAAAAATCCCAAGTCAAGACCTAAATTTATAATTCATTTCTCTCCACTTAATATTTTATAAAATTTCGAATCCTTTTTTATAATACTCCATTTATTTCTTCAATAAATTCCTCCATCTACTCAAATTATCTTCCCCAATTAATAATTACAATTTACTGTCTCAACCTCTAAACTTTTTTTCAATGCTTAAAATAATCCTTTACAATATTTTAATACTAAAAGATCTTATAATTCGAGCCTCCTTTTGGCTTGAGCTATCTCAACGTCTCCCGACGTTGGAAGAGGAGTTGGTTCTACCAACATTTTTTGTTAAAAACCTCCCCAGATGACAAATCTCCAATATAGAGTGAACTTTTCATCTGGGAGTTGGTTTTACCAACTCCCTTACCTCATCGGGAGACTTGGTATAGCTCGAGCCAAAAAGAGGCTTGTACTATACTAGTAAAACAGAAACCATGGCCAATACTAAATATGTTTGAGATTCCAAGACATAAACGCTCTGAAACACACCCAATTAGCCCTTCATCTTCAAAGGGCTTATCACTTTCCCCCACAAATGTAATGCCTAGAAGTCGAATTATGCGTGACATTCAAACAATGAGAAAAGTCTCGTCAAGAGGCACTTTAACAAACCCAAAAGTGGCTTGGGTTGAAGAAAAACCTAAAGTAATAAGGATTACAAAATCCCGCAGTAACCGTCCAAGCCCAGAATCTAATGTCAGAAGTCGCAAACTTCCACGGCTTTTAATACCTGATCAGCTATTATTAGAAGAGCAAAAAAAATTGCCATTCACTCCTTCAGGTACCCTTATAGGAGATTCTAAGTCAAAACCATCCAGTGCCAAAAAAAGGACGGCAAGTATGATTTCTCCTCCTATATCGCCTATATATGCAAGCGTAACAAATATAGTCACTCGCTGTGCTTATAAAACCAGGGCTGGAAGCATGATGGGGAGGCCAAAAAAATATAACCAGGATGCCTTTGTTATTCAACCTCTTTTGCAAGGTATCAAAGGGCAATATCTTTTTGCTGTATGTGACGGACATGGGGTTTTTGGACATGAAGTCTCAGGATTTCTAAAAGAAAAACTCCCAATTGCAGTAGAACAAGGACTTCCTGAGAATGACTCACAAATAAATCTATATGCTCAGGCTTTAGTAAATGGAATATTAACTGTAGAGAGACTTGTCCAGGAAAGTATGATTAATGCAGAGTTCTCTGGAAGCACACTTGTATCACTTTTTATCAGAGGATCTTCAATAATATGCGGAAATGTAGGAGATTCCAGAGCAGTTTTAGCACAAAAGTATGAAAATGCATGAAATACTGTAGATTTATCAAGAGATCATAAGCCTGATCTACCTGATGAAAGTGCGAGAATAATAAGGGCTAATGGAAGAATTGAGCCTTATTATGATGATAATGGACAGCCTTTAGGCCCATACAGAGTATGACTTCATGACCAACAAATTCCTGGCTTGGCTATGTCTAGATCTATTGGTGATCTAGTCGCAAAATCAGTTGGGGTTTCAGCTGAGCCAGAAATCGTCATAAGAAAGCTAGAACCACAAGATAAATTCATTATACTGGCTTCTGATGGAGTATGGGAATTCATAAGTAGTCAAGAAGCTGTAGATATCGTAAAAGAATCCTGAGAATCAGGCAAAACAGAAGCCTGCTGTGATAGACTGGTCAAAGAAGCAGTCATCAGATGGCAAAAAGAAGACGAGTCAATTGACGACATCACAGTCATTGTGATTTTTTTAAATGTTTTAAATTAATGTGCCATTAACCCTTAATTTCTAAAAAAAGAATAAATAGTGCGGTTTCTTAACTTGAAGATTTCTTTCAAATCCATTTTTACTTTATTTCAAGATTATTATATTCATTTAAATTAGATGTTGAAAATTGCTAATGATTCCAAAGCCAAAAATCTCCCCAAACCTATCGTCTCTAGTAGACTTCCCAAGGCTTTTTCACAGCCTATCAAGAAAATGAAGAAAAAAGACTTCGAAGAAATTTCTGAGGCTGAAGAATACAAAAAAATGAAAAACCTTCTGTCACCTATAAAGGTGATGCCGACCGAGCACGCAAAACTTACAAAAGCTTTAAAGCAGCTTGAAAAACTTCCTGGCAAGCAAGAAAACAGCGATCTGTATGAGCCGTTTTCTAAGGCAAGAAACCAGGGACAAATAATCCTTCCACAGTGCCAAGTGCAGCTTGAAGAAATGATAACGCTTTCAAGCCTAAATTCTCAGTCACTCAATGGAAACATCCGCAAGGTGCTTCATGCCCAAACCTTAGAACTTTTTGCAATTAAGCAAATCCCAATCAGCACCCGTGATGAAAGAGCTCATCTCAGGGATTGAATCGGAAAATGGCAAAATGCCCAACAAAGGCATAAAAAACTGCTAAAAGTAAGCGCAACTTTTTGGAACTCCCCTGAAGGAGTTGTTAGTGTTGTTATGGAATATATGCCAGGGGGAAGCTTGAAAAATTTAATAGACACATGTGGAAGCTTACCAGAACGGCAGGTTTCATTTATTGCTAAAAAAGTGCTGGAGTGCCTTAAGTATTTCCATGGAAAAGGAGAAACATATGGAGGAATTTCTACTTCTCAAGTGCTCTTTACGAAATCTGGATCTATTAAGTTTGGATTAGGATTGTCGCAGAGGCTACGGACCAAAGTTCCTTCTGTTGCAGCTGATATTTATTCTATTGGACTTTTAGTTTTGAATTCTGTTATAGAGGGTTTCTGTTTTTTCCATGTAAAAATTTTCTTGATATAAAAAAGACTAGGTTTTATTAATTTTTATATGCAAAACCACATTTTATATGAGGAAATGGTCATAAATTATCTATTTATGGATATTTGGGGACTCTGACTTGATACCTTCTACTCCAAGCGAATGCTGCGCTTTTCATTCTATTGATCCAAATCCAATGATAAATAGACTCACACCTATTATTAAAGATTTTCTGTGCTTGTGCTTAAATGAAAATAGCAGCAAAAGGCCAACTGCACAGGAGCTATTGAAGCATGAATGGCTAAACTTAGAAAATTACCCAGGGCCATCTGTGGAATTAAAAGAGGTGATTGCAATTAATTATTATTTTGGGTCTGGAGAATATTTAGAAGCGGCTGATAAATTATTGGAAAGAGTCTGCGAAGCTCTGAAAGTAGTTATATTAGGCCAGCATCTTTCTAAGCCTGGGGATATAGCAATCCAGCAATTTGCAACTGATCTTGGCTTGCCATACACAACAGTAAATGAAAAAATTAGCAAAGTTTATACCGAAAACTTTTAAGTTTTGATATATGAATCGTAAATATTTCTATAGAATAATTTTAAATAAGTATAATTGCCAACAAATCTCCAATAAGGCAAGAATCCAATGAAATTTATTATCTAGTATTTATTAAAGGTGGAATCAACTGCTTGATATCATCTAATTTCTTTGTCAATATTGTAAATGCCTTACTTACAATGCTTTCCGGCTTCAACGCTCCTGAGCTTTCCACTTTGAATATAAACCTATCCTTCAGCTGTGAAACCCTCACAACATTATCATGCACATTCAGCAGCGCAGAAGCACTTCTGGTAATAATCATTTCTCCTTTTCTCATGCATTCCTCACAAAACATGCACTTATTCAGCTTCACAACCTCAATATTGCTTTCCTCATTCAGTTTATAAACCCCTACAGGACAGCTGTTAACTATTTCTTTTCTTTCTTCTGCAGTGAACTGGCTTTCAAGTCTCTGCTGATTTAAGTATATATCTGGGGTGTATTTAAAAACAGCTGTAGCAACTGGTGACCATTTGGCATGCTCTTTGCCGATCCCTTTTCTTGCATTACAAGTAATGTCAATTTCTTGGTTTTTTCTGAGTTTTAGGATGAGGATTGGGCCGTCTGAGTCAGCAGGACGGACGTCGTTACCTTGTTGTGATAGGTGACGAAGATCGCGGGACGTCACATCCAACACACCACCTTCTTGATTTTTTACTTTGAGTCGGAACTGGACTGCACAATGTTCACAGTGGCCTGTACACTTGCAGTCACGAGGAAAATCGTAGTTGTCTTGGTTTTCACTGATGAGAGGGATCAAGCCAAGTCTGTGAGCGATGAATTCGTCGTGAAGGGAGCTTGTGTTAGTGTGGATATGAACGACATCAATGGCCATTGTAGGGACTTCTGCGATCATAACGCGACGCAAAGAGTTAGCGACACTTGAGTCGACACCTGAAAGAGTGAACTTTATTTTTTCGCGAGTGATTTTGTTGATTTCGATGTTTGGAGCTCTCCCTCTGTAAACTTCACTCATAAAATGGATTATAGATTAAGATATTTTTGAGTCAAGTGAGGAGATTATTTTAATGGAATTATTTTAAAGAGAAATATATGAATAAATGAAGTAAAATTATAGTTTAAGCTGTTATGAAAATTATTATACTTTTTTCAATCATCTCCGATACTCTAAAATATAGCGATTATAGGATTGATTTTAGAGGCTAGATGCAAAAATAGAGCATCATATATAAATTTAAACAGAATAGCACAGATAAATAATCATAGACAATTGTAAATAATAAAATGGTCAATCTGGGCGAGTATGTTATTCAATACTCTGGAAATGGCTCTGTTCTTCGCTGCCTTGCAGTTGCTGATCGCAATTCTTCAGGCTCTCCGGGGCAATTAGAAGCTTTAAGACTAGCTTTGGAGCTTGCTCACACTCAGGGGAAAGTTCATCTCTATGATAGGATTCGCCAAATAGTCACAAACCATTTATAACTATTAGCATCAATCAGGAACTTCTTTTCTTGCATAAATTATCATATTTTTTATATTAAAATAATAAAGCTGATGTAATTAAAATTCCTATTACTACTAATAGTATAGGAGATCTCAGCTTCCTAAATTCAGACCACTATATGTCCAACGACTCTTTCAAAGACTGGGAACTCCAATTCAAAGAGCAAATCGAAAGAAAAGAGCTTGCAGTTAACCAGGCCAAAAATGCAGGGCTCAAAGACTCAATGAAAATAAGTATTATCGAAGAAGGCGACATGTTTCTAGATGCAGGAGAGCCTGGGCTTGCTTTAAAGACCTATATGAGGCTTAAAGACATTCAGAGCACCAAAGATCAACAATATGAGTTATATACCAAAATTGCCAGAGCAGCCCTGCAAAAATCGAACTTTTCTTATGCCCAGAATATCTGTCAAAAAGCGATATCAGTAGGAACCGCTTCATTGCCTCTGAAATCTGTGGTTCAAGCTATTGTTGGAGTTTGCCATCTGGAAAGCAAAAACTATAAGCAAGCAGCTCGTGCACTTTTGGAGGTAAGACAAGGACAGCTTTACCATGAATTTCTTACTGACTCTGATATAGCGATATATACTTCTTTGTGTGCTTTGATATCATTTGACAGATCTGAAGTGAAAAATGAAATATTGAAGTCTAAGACTTTTGGGACATTTCTGGAAGAAGAACCAAGATGCATTGAAATTCTAGATGCTTTCTTATCGTGCAGATATTTCGATTTGATACAGAAATTGAATTTGATTAGAGATAGCTTGAAATATGACTTGTTTATAGGCACTAAATTGTCAGATATTTACTTACTCGATATATTGAGCTTAAAAAAAAAATTTATTTTTTAGATTTTTTTGATAATTTATTTATTTTTTTATTAAATAGCTCGAGAAGCCATTTTAAATCGCTGAGAAACAATACCTTAAGAGGTGAAGTAGCAAAAATGGAAATGACAACAACATTTTTCTGATAAGTACAGATAAAATTTGATAAATTTTATCTATAGGTTCTATTTGTCAAGCCAAGCATGAACTTGCCATTAAAATATCATCAGCCTGGCTTTTCAGATCGCTACTTTACCTCTTTAGATGTTGGTCCAGAGTATCCAAAAAAATAATGCGATATATAACCTTTTATATTTTTTAAAAAAATGCTTTAAATAGATATGGGAGTTAGAGATCAAGAACAGAGCTATTGCTGACTTTTTGAAGCCTTTCAAAAGGGTGAAACTAGATGTTTTGGCTCATGCATTTAATAGCAGTGTAGAAGATATCGAGAAGCAAGTTGCAAGACTTATTATGGACGGGACTGTGGAAGCAAGAATAGATAGTCTTATTATCTTCTTATTAGATAGACGGGCTCGTGCCCTTTAATTTTTAACGAAATCACCGAGGATCCCCTGGGGGATTCACCCGCTTTGCGACCTTCCTTCCGTCCGGTCTCCTCCTTGCTTCTTGTAAAAAGCTCCAGTGTTGAGTGGGGCAGGCTACGGGTTTGTGCGGCCTCCTGAGGTTGTGGAATACGAGGTTGGCATTCCGAAATCCCAAAAAATGGAATTTCTGGTAGCCTGTCGGCAAAAAGGGTTAAGTTCAGATCCTGGGACGTAACGCCCAGTTTCACGCTAGGCAATTGCCCGATTTATCTAGGTATTCCCTGTAGACCAGACCTTGCTGGGCTTGCCTTTCCAAATAAGACCCTCCTTTTCCTGGAGGTAAAAACTAGTCTCGAAGTTGGGCTTGGGCTAGGCTCTGCTTCCTGCAGAATTGGTTACCATAGCATTGCTGCCCACTTCAAGGCTAGAAAAACCTTGCTGGATATAATTAAATATGTGTCGAGGCTGTATGGCCGAGAGGCCATACCGAGACGAAGACGACATATTTCATTATAAGAATAGATAGTCACAATAAAATCATTCAGAGTAGATTTGCTAACGAAAAAATAGTCACTTATAGAGAAGCCCTGAATATGGGAAAGCGGTTTCTGAGAAATAACGAATCAATGCTTTTAAGAATGAACATGGTCCAGCAAAAGCTCATTGTCAAAGAAGCGAAAAAAGGGCAGAGATAATAATTAAGAACATTTAATTTTAAAATCAATTAACCTTAATGCCAAAACAAATGCAAAATTCCTTATTATTTTTTATTTTCCTGCAATTAGGATTCTATCTCTAAATTATAGATATATTAGTTATCGAGAATTCAATATAAATATATAAAATCCATTACACCTAAAACAAATATTTATGCAGAATCAACAACAAAGGAAACCAAACTCTATTGTAATGCACATGGAAGAGCATAAATCTGACCTTCTGAATATTCATAAAAGGTATCAAGCTTCTAACGATCAAACTGATCTTGTAGAAAACGCAGAATCAATTCTGCAAGAAGTCGTCGATTCCTTACAATTAGCAGTTGAAGAGCTGCCAAGCTTAATCCCTTCATTTATAAATTTAGTAAGAGCAAGGCATCGAGACTCCCAATTTCAAACTTTTCCCGAATTTTTTGAATTGCTTGCAGGATGAGCAGTTTCCCATAAGCTTCAGTCCAATAAAACAGCTCAGCTTCAAAGACTATTCCTCCAGCACTTAGACAAATCAATAAAACAGTACAAAGTTCTTCTAAAGCAAGCAAAAGATCCTGAAGAAACTGCTTCAATTAGGCAACTCCTAGAATTACTTATCAGCAAAAGAAAAATTGTGTCTCAAGCTAATAAAGCAGACAGTGTATCTTTTAGCTTCAGACGAGAAGTATACGCACAAGAAGAAAAAGGAATCCAGGACCTTTTTAATTTCTATTCTAAACAACATATGATGACAGGCAAAAACCCTACATTTGAGAATATTGGAGAAGCCATCGATACAATAGACTCAGGGAGTTTTTTATTTTTTTGCAAATCCTTTCAAATTTATAATGAGAAAAAAGTTGAAGGAAAACGATTTTTGACTAAACAGGAGTTGTTGGACATTTTCAAAAGGACATCAGTTTTGCAGAGAAATATGAATTTTCAAGGATTTAAGCAAGCTTTAGATGAGATTGCTTTGGCACTTTTTAACGCAGAATATGATAAGCTATTGCCGATTCCTTGCTCTAATTTAGGACTAGAAGAGAAAAGAGTCATGCTTTGTGAACTTTTAAGATGTGGAGACCCTAAATATGTAAGTGCTACTTGTAAGCCAATTGGAAAACCTTTTGGCTCAATTGATAAAGCTACGAGAAGTCCTGGAGAAGACCCAAATAAAAAATTCAGGTATAGGCTTAACGAAGAAATGAAGGATCAGCTTAATGTTTATAAAAGAGAAAAAGAAATGAAACAAAAATTCGAAAAGGAAGAAAAAGAAAGAGAAAATTATGAAAGGGCCAAAGTAGCACAAAGGAAACTAAAGGAGAAGAAAGAACAAGAAGACTTGAAAAAGCGAAAAGATGCACTTAGGATCCAAGATTTAGATAAAGCAAGACCTCAAGACTTCGAGCTCGGAGAAAATCTTGAAGACTTAATTGAAGAGAGTTAATGATAAATAATTCACTTAATATTAGCCTTATATCTACTCTTCCTTAGGTTCTGCATTTTTCTGCTTATTTTCTATTACTTGCCTTATCATTTTTAAATTAATTCATCAATAATTTCATCTCGATCTAAATTATTTCAAAAATGGTAGATCGAGACCAGAAAATCCAAGTGATAGTCCGCAAACGGCCTCTAAACTCTAAAGAAAAGGCACGTGGAGAAATAGATATTCTTTCTCAGCGGTCACCTCAAACAATTGTAGTCACTGAGGAAAAAGTAAAAGTAGATTTAACCAAATATATAGAGGAGCATCATTTCACATTTGACGGTGTATTCAGTGAAGACATCACAAACGAACAACTTTACCGAGCCACAGTCCAGCCAATAGTCCAAGCTGCATTTCAAGGCGCAAAAGTTACATGTTTCGCATACGGACAAACAGGGAGCGGAAAAACATACACAATGATGGGAGAAGCTCAAACTCCAGGCTTATATCTGCTAGCGGCTAATGACCTTTTTTATTACCGAGAGCAGCTTTATCCAAATATAAAACTCTGGGTATCTTTTTATGAAATTTATTGTGGGAAACTTCATGATCTTTTAAATGAAAGACAAATACTGCATGTCAGAGAAGATGCCAAGCAAAATGTGAATATCGTCGGACTACAATATAAACCAGTGGAAGATGTACAAACTTTAATGCAAATTCTCAGCTTTGGCCTAGCTGCAAGGACAACAGGGACGACAGGAGCAAATGAAGATTCGTCAAGATCACATGGGGTTTTGGAAATTTCGCTTAGAGAAAAGCGAAAAGCAGTCGGAAAGGTTACATTTATTGATCTGGCTGGAAGTGAGAGAGGAGCTGATACCCAGAATTCTGATGGAAAAACAAGAATGGACGGAGCAGAGATCAATAAGTCACTGCTAGCCTTAAAAGAATGTATAAGGGCTTTGGATCAAGATAAAAAACATACCCCATTCAGAGGAAGTAAGCTTACTTTGGTGCTTAAAGACTCTTTTGTAGGAAACTGCAGGACTGTTATGATTGCTAATGTTTCACCTGGGATTACAAGCTGTGAGCATACATTGAATTCATTGAGATATGCAGATCGAGTAAAAGAGCTGAAAAAAGGAGGCGGAGGAAGTGCAGCAGCTACAAGAGGTGCTGATCAGCTTGCAAATATTCTTATGCTTCCAAGACAAAATGCTAATGTAGTGAGATATGTAAAAAGTGGCGAAGAAGAGGAAGAGGACGAAGATATCTCGCCGAGAGTTGCAAATAATGCGCCAAAAATCACAGTCAAAGAAGACTCTGATCGGCCTACATCTAAAGGAAATGGCACTAAGCCTGCAGCTCCTCATGAAAAGCCAAGAAGCAGAATTGGAGGTGGCTTCACATCTCCAAAAACTCAGCGAAACTTGGCCCCTCCTCAGCCCCAGCCTCAGCCTCCAGCTCCTACTGCAAACCATATATTTGAAGAAGCCCAAAATATGGACCTTGAAGAGCTTACTGCAACCCATGAGAATCTTATCGGGATTATTTTGACTGAAGAAGAACAACTTATTAATGCACATAGGAAAACCATTGATGACATGGTAGATGCAATTAAAGTGCAAATGGCGCTCCTTAGCGAAGTCGATAAGCCAGGAAGTGATGTAGACCAATATGTATGTGAGCTAGACAAAGTGCTGGCTATGAAAGAAGAGATGATAAGAGGCCTTCGAAAGCAACTGAAAAACTTTAATGATCATTTGAGACAGGAAGAAGCAATGGCTGCTGCTTTCAATGCTCGAAAGTCAGCTATGGACGTATTTGATTTGGAGGCTCCTGATGGAGATTTACTGCAAGATATGTGATAGATAGTTAATATTCATTTATAGCAATTAATTAGGGATTCGTAAATCAGCCTATTTATTGAAAAAATCTTTATTATATTTTCAAAGTAAATGGGTGCTTGCTGCGGCAGCGGAAAGAAAATTTACATTAATCACAAAGGTGCTACTAGACAACTAAAAGAGTCCACTGATATGAGCACTATCCTCTCAGAAGTAAAATCCTTTTATCCTGAACTCAATGATTCCAATTTTTATCTTACAATAAATGGAGTTAAATTGGCTTCAGAAAATCAACTAGCACAAGCTCTACGCAAAAAAAGCACGCTCACACTTGCAGTGGTAGTCAAAGAAGAAGTAAAGATTTCATCAACAATGTCAATTTACCCTCTTTCTCAAACTACATGCAGCTTTTCATTAGACAGCAATAAATTCACAGCATTGCTTCTGACTCCTAAGTATGTTTTAGTTCCTAAAATCGCAATTTCAAATAATAATGATCTTGAGAAAGTAAAGATTCAGCTCTATGATTACAAGAAAACTTTGTCTTTAAAAGAAGGCACATACATTGATTTGAAAAAAATTCCATTTGTCATCCTCGAGCTAAATATTACAAGAGATATCAAAAGTGAGTTGAAGAAAAGGAGTTTTTGTGCTTTAGACATAAGTGATCAAAACTATCCAGGTGATAAATGTATTGCTTTATTTTTTTCACAACAAAAGCCCACACTAAGCGAAGAAAGAATAGAAATTTTAGCAGTCAATAAAAATGTTTTCTCCATTTCTAAGACTTTGCCATTTAGCTCACTTGGTGGAGGAGTTTGTGGGACATCAGGAAAACTAAAAGGAATTATCGCTGGAGCAGAGTCAGGAAAATGCCTCGCCATTTCAATCACTTCTATAATTGATGCTCTTCAGGCTATTTCCCAAGATGAATCAACTGTTGAATATAAGCTATGAAAATCAGTCATGAAAATTTATGAGCTTACATTCCCACCTCCAATCACTCCAAATGAGCAAATATATGTGAAGAAAGATAGCATTGAAGAGATTGAGGCTGATGAAATCATTTTTGAAGTGAAGAGAGAAGGAATATATAATAAACAGATGAAAGAAGGTAGTGAAGAACAAGCTTCAAATCTAGAAGTTGAGGTAAATATCCCAATGCATCCAGCGATTCAGGTAGAAGAAGAGGAAGAGGAAGAAGAGCCAGCTTTACAGATTCCTTATAAAGAAATTACAGCTTATATCAACCCCTTAACAAGTCAAATGATAACTTATCATCCAAATGAATATTCAGTCACATACCATGACCTCAAAGCTGACCTTTATAACGATTTCACTATTGTGCCATCAGAACAAGGACTTTATATCATTTCAGAAGACAAAGCTTGGCTTTGGGAAACCAACAAACTTACCCCTCTAAATGAGCTTCAGGTCGTCCACAAAAAGCATGCAGCTGCTATATACAAAAATATGCTTATCGTTATTAGTGGCAAAAACACTTCAAAAGTAGAAGGATTTAATTTAATCAGCAAAACTAACTGGATGTTTTTAGAAGACTTAAATAAGCCAAGAGAATCAGCTGTTGCTTTATCAATGGAAGATGGATTATACTTATATGGAGGAATAAAACATGAAAAAACATGCAATTCAGTGCTGAGATATAATTTCAGATGGGAAAAAATAGGCTGGAAGCTTCCTGAAAGGCTTTCCCAGTTTGGAGTATTAAAAGCTGATAGTGGAATTATTGTATTTGGAGGCTATACAGCTGATGGAGCTGAAAACACTATGGCATGGGAAGTAGAAAATGGAGAAAGCCGTGAGATAGGAGAGCCACCTGTAAGAGGATCTTTCTATGGCCACCACGCAGGCCGATTTGGAGCCCTTTATGTGACATCTACAATTAACGGCCGCTTACTGTCCTTCAATGCTAAAAACAAGAAATTCTACTTGCTTTCAATCGGCAACAATGAAGGTTTTGCAATTTAGCTTATTAAATATTTTAATTTAACTCTCCACAAGTTTTTCTATAACTGTTGTTTTTCTCAGTACAGGCTGAATATACTGTTTATCAATTTCTTCAATTCTTTCCAGTATAGTGACTGCTTTATCACTATCTCTAGGACTATTTGCGTCATACAAATCCTTATGAATAGAGTCTCCATGTCTTGTAATAACCACGTCTTCGACTCTCAGCTTCAAGCACCTTAATACAGGATATGTCATTAGGCCTAAAATCACAATTGTAAATAAAATCAAATACTGGGTGGTTGAAATTATGACGTCTGGGTTCTTTGTAGGGAGACTTAATGCAAGAGAAAAGGCTACAGCCCCTCTCATTCCTGAAAGTCATATCAAGATTTGGTGCTTTATATTGATTTTATGAATTCTGAAATAGTTGCAAATAGGAGAAAGCAAGAAAACTACAACCCCACGGCTTGAAAGCAAAAGCAAAATACTTACTGAGATGACTGACCATAGGATACTTCTGGTATTCAGAGGGATTGAAAGCCCTAAATACACAAAGCAAAAGTTTTCAGCTATAAAGGCAAACGTCCTAAAAGTTTGATGGGTTGTGATTTTGCTTTCTTCTGATAGCGAAAAATGGGTATAGTGAGCCATTATCATACCTAAAAACAACAATCCTAAGATTCCAGACATCTCTAATGCTTCACACAGCACAAATGGGATATAAGACCACAAGAAAAACATTGCAGTTTCTAAAGTTGGGTGGTCTGAAAGCTTAAAAACCTTAAATACCAAAGCTGACAAAATCCCAATTATTACTCCAACTGAAATAGACCCTACAAAAAGATAAGTAAATTGTATCACAATATTCCCCAGTTCCAGCTCTTTTTCATTTTCAGCAAACTGAGCAAAAGTTTTAAACAGCGCAATAGAAATCGCATCATTTAGCACGCTTTCTCCAAATACGATCATATGCAAAGTTGTATCTACTTTTGCAGCTTCAAAAATTGCTATAGTTGCGACAGGATCTACAGCAGAAATTAAAGAGCCAAACAGCAAGGATTCAGTGAGTGACAGCTCATAGAGATTAAAAAAATTGCAGCATGCGTATATTGCAAAGCCAAAGATGAGGGCTGATATGATGGTTCCTACGACTGCAAACATCAAAATTGTGCCGATATTTGTGAAGAATTTTTCTTTGTTAGAAGAATAACCTGCATCAAACATAATTGGTGGGATAATCAGTAAGAAAAAAGTTTGAGGGTCAAAAAACAGGCCATTTGATAAGTTTGTGTCGGTAAAGTAAACCAAATATATAAGTCCAATGAATAAGCCGAGAGAAATTGAGCCAACACTATCAGGAAGACAGTGAAAAGGCAGCTTTATAAGGCTAAACACCATTAAGACGCAAAGGACAGATGAGCTAAGCAGTAAAGTAATGCTCTGGGCTTTGTGAGGCCATGTGGACATAAAGTTGGACTCTTCTGAGCAGTTGCTTTCATTAGTATACCCATCTTCACATAAACATTTTCCTGATCCTTTTATACCCGCTTCACAAACTCCGTGGCCTCCACATACTTTATGAGCTGATTCAGGACAGCTGACACATTTAGAGCCATAACGGTTTTCTGCACATTCTTCGCAGCCTTGCCCGCGGAAAGAATCGTAGCATTGGCATTCATATCACATGGATAAAGTAGAATTCAAATTTCCTTCTTGTTCATATATTTCGTGGCATTCTCCATTGTGGCTACATGATAAAGGACAATGAGATAAGTCAACTTGTACTGCAGATGCAAATAAGGCTAAAGTGAGTATAAAAAACTTCATAATTTTCTTTATAGATATAATCTTTTAACATGAATTGATAGAGAAAATGTATACTAGAGAAAATCGATTGAATATAAATGCTGATATAGAATTACGAATATATTATATATTTATAGTCACTATATTTTATATATTTTTTAGCATGAACATGCTTATAATTTGAGAAATAATTAACACCTCAAGAAAAAAAAAGTATTTAGGTTTTTATATATTAACATTTTTATTAAAATGTCCAAGTTAACAAAAATACAGAAGTAAAAAATAATTTAATTATTGCAAGCTGTTTAAAATAAAAATAGTATTAGCTAAGTGATTTATTATAATAATTATCACTTATATATCTTATAAAAAAATTTTGCAGTTTTTCTAAAAAGAAGAGGAATTGCTCGCTTGCAGAGCGGGGGAGGAAGCTAATATTTGCTTATACATTATATTCAAACACTTAGATAAGAAGAGATAGCATTTGTGTTGATTTATATTCAAAAATTTAAAGTAAAGCATGAAAATACATCAGAAAGTTTTAATTAAAATAAATATACCTATTTGCATTGAACATTTTCTGACTTGTTAGCTATTTTCCTTTTTACTATGTGAATATATATAACGGAAATAATTAGAAATGCTTATATTCTCTATATGTAGTATAACTATTCAGTGTTGCAAATAGAATTACACAAACAGGTTGAATAATTAAAAAAAAATTATCTTTATTGTCAAGGAATTAATATAATAGATTAAAAGGGGCTGAAAATAATAAAAAATGAGTGATATAGCTTATAGCTTGCTCTTTGCCTCACTAGAAACTCTGGTTTACCAAAACTTATACAATCATAAATTGTGTCTTTGTGCAGAGTGTCCTATTATTTTGGATAAGCCAAATAAATTAAACCTTTGGTATGTAGGAAGAATGATTTCGAGCATCGTGCCCAAATTCGCATTAGGAAAACTTGTCCAAGCATTTAACTTTGGCTAATCAGCTCAGTAGCGCACCCTCCTCTTACGTATAGAGCTTAACAGGCCACACACATGGGATGCCTCCTTTCTTTGTAATGTTCTCGTTCCGGGTAAAACCCTGGCTAAAGGAATTAAGAGGACGAAAAGATTAGTCTCGACATTTTAATGAATACTGATTAAATTAAACCAATTGAAAGACTCTGGTATCAACCCAACAAATCAGCAAAGAATTTCTGAAAATAAGCAATTAGCTAAAAGTCAATCTGGAATTTTAAATGAAAATTTATCTAAAAATAGTGCTTTTTCTAACTTCCTCGCATAAACATCGAAATTAAGGGGATATGGGCTATTAATTTTAGAATTATTTAGTAATTAATTAATTGGCTTATTAAATATAAAGACAATTTTTGTATTTTCACATAATAAAAAAAATTATCAATTAAAAGTTCTTTTTACTGCTAAGCAAAGTAAGACTTCTGATACTAAAGCAAGTCTCCCTTTAAAAGTAAAAGGAAAAATTAAATATGAATTTGAAGACAAAGATCAAAAAGCAAGTGAGCCCATAAAGCCATCAAAAGCAGTTAGCTCAATTTCAGTCCCAGTAAAAAGGTCAAGGTCTGCAAATGAAGATAAAAATGCTGATGAATCTCCTACAAAGAGAAAAGTAAAATCGTCAAATTCTTCTCTTCCTAGTCAAGAAACCTCTGCTACTAATGTAAAGGACATCTATAGCAAAATTTCAGACATAAGTATGCAGTTTAAACAGGAAAAAAGCAATGAAAATAGCTCTGAAATTGCTCAAGAAAAAAATACTAAGCCCGCCCAATTAACAAATGTGAGAGAGTTAAGACAATATGTTAATTACATTATAAGGAAAGTTAAGGGTTTGGTTTCTTTGAGAAAGGGATTTAAAATAAATAGTATGGAAAAGAATTCACTAGCTCACATATCTTCTAAAATATTAAATCATATAATATTATCAAAAATACAAAAATTTCATTTTGAGAAATTATTTAAAAATAAAATAATTTTTAACTGAAAATGGATGAATTCTAGGATAAGGCCTCCTTACATGGATATTGGGACGTTTCAAGAATTTAAAGAATTGAATCCAATATATAATGATAGTGTGCAAGATTCTCAAATGCGCTAATTGCGAATGAATATATGCTACTTTAGATAAGCAAGATGGAATTTTCTCATAATATTTTTTAAAATAAAATATAAAATTCACTAATATATTGAATTGAAATTCAAAATCCAATAAAAATGTATATAAGTGTCAAACATTTGATTATTAATTTAATATAATGGTACCAATTATGAATATATTTAAAATAAGTTCTTATGGCTTTAGTTGTTAGGAATCATTGCTCAGGTTAGCTATTTTCTTATTTTATTATATCAGTCTGCTTCCATTTAATTAATCAGCCCTGAATCCTAAAAACCCTCTGTATCATTAATATATTTAAAATATCCTCACGCAAAATCTAATACAACAATAATTCTCCAAAAATTCAATAGCTCGAATTTATAAAAAAATCATGAGCGTTCTTGGCCCTGACCAAAGTATTATTTCTTCTCACATCTCTTCACGAAGAAATTCATTACGGCCTCTTGACGAAAATATTTCAGATAATGAAGATATCGTTGGACAAATGCAGCAAGGCGCTTCCAATATCCTTGTCGCAGTCAGATGTAGGCCACTTACCAAAAAAGAACGAGAAATCGATAGCACAAATTTGATTCAAATAATTGAAGAAAGAGTAGTCATACTAATGGACCCACAATTCAAATACGGTGACAAAGGCAGCCGAGCAAAAGAAAAACAATATGCGTTTGATTTTGCATTTGATGAAAATTCATTGCAAAAAGAAATTTTTGACAAAACCACCAAGTTCTTAATCGATGGGATCCTTAATGGTTTCAATGCAACAGTTTTTGCATATGGAGCCACAGGTGCAGGAAAAACCTATACAATGCTTGGTGAAGCTGACAGCCCTGGAATGATGTTGATGACTTTTGTTGAACTTTTCACAAAGGTGGAAGAATTGACGCTAGAAAGAGCTTATAAGGTAAAACTGAGCTATTTGGAAATTTATAATGAAGTCGTCAAAGATTTGATACATCCCACAAGCAGTGTACTAGATATTCGAGAAGACCCAGTCAAGGGAATTGTGGTAGCTGGACTTGCTGAAATGATTGCGACCACTCCAGATGAGGTTATCGAATGCATTCAGTTAGGAAATATGAGGAGAACTTGTGAACCGACTGAGGCAAATCAGACTTCCAGCAGATCTCATGCAGTGCTACAAATCACTGTGGAGTATAAAGATAAAGCTGCTGGGACTCAATCTGAAATTATTGTTGGTAAACTGTCACTTATTGACTTAGCTGGATCTGAAAGAGCTTCTCATACAAAAAACAGAGGAATTCGGCTTATTGAGGGTGCAAATATCAATAAATCTTTGCTAGCTTTAGGTAATTGCATAAATGCATTATGTGAAGCTACAGAAAGAGGTGGAAAAGTTTATATCCCATATAGGGATTCAAAATTGACTCGTTTGCTCAAAGACTCCTTAGGCGGAAACTGCAGGACTGTTATGATTGCTTGCATTTCTCCATACTCAGGAAGTTTTTTTGACACATCCAACACTCTCAAATATGCAAATCGTGCAAAAAATATTAAAACCAATCTACACAGAAACGTTGTAAACGTGTCATACCACATCGCAAAATATACAGCCATTATTGCACAGCTCAGACAAGAAGTTTCTGAATTAAGGAAACAATTAAAATCTAGAACCCCTAACCCTACGGTATTTAATAATGAAAAATTCCAAATTGAGCTTAATACACATTTCCAAGAGGAAGCAAAAATAAGGAAAAAAATATATGAATGCCAACAGACAAAAGAAGAATTAGGATTTATGCTTTTTGAGAAGCAGGCAGAAATGAATCAAGCCAAATCGAAAAATGGAGAAGAAAATGCTGGCTTTAAAGCACTGAATAGAGAGGTAGAAAGACTAAAAAAAGCAATTGAGGAGCAAAACCAAATAAATGGAAATTATGAAGAAATGCTTAAAGGGCTTGAACATAAAAGAGATGATATCAAGCAAGAATGAATAAGAAAAGGAGTCCCTGAGCCTTATTTATCAAGCTTACAGCTTATGATGCAGCAGCAGATCTTAGCTATGAATTCTATTGATGCACAAAGAGATAAAAACCATGAGCAAGTAATTTTAAAACAAAAAGACCTATATATAGAACTGCTAAAGAGCCAGCTAAGATTGAGAGACAATGTGATCGAAATCCAAAACGAAGTTTTCAAAGAATCAAAAGTAGAAGTCAAGCCTGGCCTTAAAAAGATTTACAGTCAAATTCAAAGCTTAGAAGAAATAAACTCTTCATCAATTGTATCATTTCCAGAACTTCATGGAAATTCTCGTTCAACAAACCACAGATCTAAAGCAAAAACCTATAAAACTGACCATTTTTTGCCACCTATAATCCATATCCCTGCAAATAAAACTCCGGCCTCTGTAACTCCGTCAAGAATCCCCAGGATAAACTCAAAACGGTATTTATCAACTGAACAGAAATCAGAGCCTCCAAAATCTTCAAATGTAAATTTATTACACCCTAAGGCTAAAAGGCTTATTCAAAATGATGCAAAATTTAAAGAAAGGTCTCGGACAAACTCAGGGTATTTTGATGAGTCTGATTCTGAAAAATCGACAGCCAAGCAGATGCCATCAATGGTAAAAGTCTCAGATCGTAGCCAAAAAGGCCATTATGCTGGACAAAAAGTAAAAGATGAAAAGCATTTGGTCAAGAAGAGAATCAAGCCAACTGAAATTAAGTACGGAATCAGCATTAGAGGGATCGAAACATTTGTGTAATATAAATAATTGTACTCTAATAATTTTGATATCTCTATTATGGATTAAAAAAATCTATCCATTTTGAAGAATTAAGTTATTTTTATAAGCCAAATTTGAATTTATATTAAAATCTCTATTAACTTTTCCTCAAAAATGTCCCGTGTCTTCTAAACAATTTCTTTACCTTAGTTTTGATAAATGGAAAGTGACCTAAAAATAGGCTCCCGCGTTCTCTGCAAATGGACTGATGGGAAATACTGTAAGACTTATTTAGATCCTGCTGAAATTATCCATGAGCGCCCAATCCCCAGTCATGAATTTTACATCCATTATCTTACTTTCAATAAGCGTCTAGACACTTGGGTAGCTCCTGATCAAATTGCTCCTATGCCTCCAGAAAGTGAAAAGACTCCAGAATCCATCGTCACCCGCTACAATAAAAGAAAGCGCGAAGAGCTCGACCCAGCCGAGCACAATGAAGATTGCACTAACCCAGAACTTACCCAGTTTGAGAAAGACCACGAAGAGAACACCAAAGTCAGAAACGTTGATCGGATCGTCCTTGGCCGATATGAAATTAGTCCATGATACTATTCACCATATTTGTCGAGATATCCCCAGATACCCACACTTTATATATGTGAATTTTGCCTCAAATATATGAGGCATGGCTCTACTTATAAGGAACATATAAAAAAGTGCACATATAAACGACCGATGGGGAAAATGATATATAGGGATAATGTTAATATTGGGAAAATCAAATCAGTAAGTGTGTATGAGGTTATGGGAAATGAGCATAAATTGTATTGCCAAAACTTTTGTCTGCTGGCGAAATTGTTTTTGGATCATAAAACACTTTATTATTATGTGTCGCCATTTAAGTTTTATGTGCTGACTGAAGATTCGGGAAAATGCTCTAGAGTTGTAGGGTATTTTTCTAGCTTCTTGACATTTTTTTTTTTAATTTATGGTAGTTTTAGCAGATATTATATTTATGTTATCAATATCGGGATAAAAATAAGAAGCAGGTTATAGATGATGCTATAGGAAGACCCTATATGAGTTATTTTTAAGATTGATTATTATAATGGAGTAAAGAAATTGGAAATCACGAATATAACTTAGCATGTATTTTGGTATTGCCACCATACCGTTATATTAATTACTTATCGAGGAGCCACGTAGTGGTCCTAGAACTACTATTTCCCTCCATAACACATAATCGCTTGCTCGCCAGTCCATATATAGCCTTGCACTCTGCTGCTCTTTCAGATGACTTGAGCCACCATGCTGTGTGTCAGCATAGGTTTTTTCTTCCAGAAAAATCGATTTTTTTATCATTTATCGACTAAGATGAAATCTTGAAGTCCAGGGCACAATGTCTTACACTGTATTAGGGAATTGCCTGTATAGCCTAGTGGTGTGTGCTCTAGCCATTGCTTGACTTCCTCTTTCCAACAAAAGTTCCATCTTCCCACGAGGAAAAAGTTCATTGGATTTAAGCTATGGTAGGCCAGTTAGCATTGCTGCCCATCTATTGGCAAAAATTCACTGGACACAATTTATGGAATACCTCCTTCCCCCAAAGTCCCAGGTGTTGTTCACCTTCCGACAACATTGTTGAGAAAAGAGCATTCTCCGCCATTTTAAAATATATTGCCACCATATCAGCAAAGAGGTTATGGGCGATTCTTAATTTCTCTGAGCTACGAATTAAGTAAGAGAGAAGGAAAAATAGGAACTCCAGAAAGGCCATTATCAGATATGGGTAGAGTTTCTTATAAGTCTTACTGAACTGATACAATTTTAGAAGTAATAAGAGACAGAGGAAACCTCAGTATCAAAGAAATCACAGATATTACAGGAATTTCTAATCATGATGCAATGGAAACACTCACTTCGTTGAATTTAGTCAAGTATTGGAAAGGACAATATATAATGAACATTGCAAACCCTAAAATGATTGAAGAGCACTTCAAGAAGAAGGAACAGAAGAAAAAGAAACTCAAAGTCTGCCAGATTAAATTTGATCCTAGAAAGCTAAACTATACTCCTCCTAAATCTTAACTGAATTTTATTAGTAATGATTTCCTTATTCAATTTATTTATATATTAATATATAAATATTAAATAATGTCTAAATATATGCAATTTTGAGACGGGAAATGATATAGCAGTTTTGGCAGGAAAATTAAGACCCTATTTCTATCAAAATAGAAGGTTTGAATATATCGTAAAATATTTTTGTTTACAGAATTGGTATTTCATTTATATTAAGGAATGCTGTTATTTAATATTGAGTTTTTAAGTTGATTTTAATGAGCGACCTGAGCTCTCTTCATTTTCATAAAGTTTCTGAAGTTTTGGATCAGAGTTTTATGTAAACGATTCACATCTTCATTATCTTCATCTTCATAGTTTTCATTTGATATTTCACCTTCTGCATTATACCAAATTCCTTTTATTCCTAACTTTTATATCAAAAAAAATTTTTTTAATTAAAATAATAATTTATAAATTAATTACAATTAGGGCCAATTATTTCACTTGATTGGTAGGGTAAGTACCTTCCCCACCCATGATCATATTTCTGATAACTGTACCTGTCCAAGTAAATTTTCTTTCCACCTCTCCCCACTCTCCCTCTCAGCTTGAGTTTCCTTTCAAGATTTGTGTGCAGCTGAGGTGGCATTTGCTTGCTCTCTGAAGAAGTTACTGATTTATTGCTTATCAAAGGCCACAGATTCAGCTTTTCCCCTTCAGTAATCAACAAGCAGCAAGCACGAGCCACATCGAACGACAAATGGCTCTTCTTCTGAGGTTCAGGTCTAGCTCTTTTAATTGGCTCCACAACTGGCTGAGGAATTGGCTTTGGCGGGGCAATTGGCGGGGGCGCGCTAATTGTTGTCTCTACAGACTTATAAGATGACCTTAGCTCTTTAGCAGTTTCAAGGACTTTTGCATCCAGCACGATATTAGGGATTTCTGAGGGCTTTCCTAGCTTATCAGCTCTTTCATGCTCAAATGCCAGAATTCTTGCATCAATAATGTACTTTTTCAGAACTTCTCTTGCGTTTATTGCTTTGAAAATCAGCTTTAGCGTTTCCAGCTGCTTTTGGAGGTTTTTCATCTGCATTACCCTTACTTTTTCATAGCACTCTGAATCATTTTTCTTGGAATTCCTGAGACGCATTTTCTCTCGGTTTTCATTGCGAGATTTGAAGACAGTCTTTAGGTTCGCATCAGTCACCCCCTCACTGTTCCAAAACCTTCTTAATAAAGATCTTCCGAGGCTTGTTCTTCTGTTTTTTCAATAATTGTACAGGTTTTCTATAGCGTTTGAGGCTATCGACGCATTTTCAGGCCTTTCCCAGTGGTCGTTGACTTTTTTATCTTTGAGGAGATAAACAGCTCGCTCCAATGGGATGATTTCTCCGTCTCCGACGTCTTTTTCCCAGATATCTATGCTGGTTTCCAGCAAATGGACATTCATGATGTTTGAGCTTACCCTGAGGTCATTGGCGACATGGCAAAGGTAGTCTAAATCCTCGTCAACTGCTTCGTATTCGACTATAGACTCTAGCTGCAGCTCGCTTGGCGCCAGATACCTGTGGAAATAGCCTGGCCTGTGATAGCTTTTTGTAGGCATGCTATAGGCACTTAGTGTCTCAATGATGGGAACAGAGATGTTTGGGATGCGTGGAACCTTGAGATCTGCTTCAATATCATCTCTTTCAGTGCTGAGTAAAAGTTTGCGGTTGTGATCAACCGTACGCGGCCGGGTAATATGGCGGCTCTTGGTTATACCTATATGTGTAAGCACATCTTATCAGAAAAATAGGGCTCTGGCGCAGAGACTTGGAAAGTTGTATGTAGGTTAAATAAACTTCCTGAAGCTTTCTGACCAGATTTCCCATGAAAAATGTTGAACTTACCTTTATCTAGCTTCATGTTCTTTTTCTGGGTTGTCTTCTAAAATTGATTTTGCCCTGGGGCTATAATACAATTTAAATGGATAAAATTAAATGGGGGCTTTTGAATTTTAATAAATAAGTTAATACGATTGCTTGGGACTTATTTAGTCGGCTTTAAGCCAATTATTAAATTATGATGATTTCTGATTCAAAAATTAATTATAAAAAATAAATTTAAGCTGGCTAGGAAGAAATTATAATAATTAAAATATTTAAATGGATTTACACTTTTTGGACCTCTTTGGGTTTTATAAAAAAATACAAAATTTTAATTCATATATTATTTTATTATTTATTAAAAAAAAATTATTGTATAAAAATTTAAATTTTTAATATGAATAGCCTCTTCTCGGTCAGAAAATAATTAAAAGGATGTAGATATTTAATTAGCTTACTTTCATTAATTTGTTTAAGTGTAGAGCAAAGAAGCACTTGATTACACCTTTTTCAGAATTTTATCAAGATTTCTGGGAGATCTCTAGATGCTGTTTGAATTACTCAATGAAGCATTAAGACAAAAATTGATTCAAAATTGATAAACTGTTTGAAATTTAGAATAATTCTGGCTTAGTCTTTATTCTTTTTTGTAAGGATTTATAGTTGATTAATTTTAACTTTCTATCAAGATTTAATTGGGAATAATTTTCTAGAGACATTGAAGCTTTATTGCTATAATATCCCAATATCAGTTTTTAAATTTTAAAAAATCGAGTGTTTTAATTCAATTTTTTTTCCTTTTTAAACAATAAAAATTTATTTTTTGCAGGCTTTTATGCATCAGAATTGCCAAATTTAAATATTTTCTTTAATAAAGCTGAAATCATTCATTGGCTTAGTTTATCACCTCTAAAATTGCTTACTCCTCCCCCCCCCCCTCCGTGAGCGAACAAAACCATTAGAAAAATCGCCATTTTTTGACCAAAAAACCCACCCTCCGTGAGTGAACAAAAATTTTTTTAATAGAAAAAATTTTAATGGAAAAAAATTTTGATATATAAGTGATAATTAGTATAATGAAATCTAGAGCTAATTCTGTTTAATTTTAAACAAATTGCGTTTTAAAACATAAATTTTGCAAATTAAATTAATATTTGCTTCCCAATTTTTGCAAATTAGGATTTTTTTAAATTTCGAAAAAAAATATTTTTTATAAAATTTATATATAAATTTTTTTTTAAAAAAAAAAAAATTAACCCCCCTCCGTGAGCGAACAAAATTTTTTTGTTCGCTCACGGAGGGGGGGGGGGAGTTATAGAAATTTTTATTTTAATAGGGTTTTACCTTGGAAATATATTTTATAAATTATCTACCTCCCCCATCCTTTATCGAACAGCACCATTAAAGATTCCTAAAAACTCGAAAAAATTAACCCTTAATATTAATAGAATGATTTTATATGAAATTTAACTCCCTAATTTATAATAATGATTATTTGGCATTATACCATATAATCGCTCCTAAGCAATTCTAATGTGATTTCTAACATACTGCTTTGATAATGCATATTCCATCTCTTATTGCTAGCACATAAAAAAATTTATATGGAAAAATTTCAATATAAAATTTTCAAATTTATATATAATTTTTTTCAGATTTTTTTAGATTCCATCCTTGAGTCAGTTTGATCAAGGATGGAGGGGAGCAAGATATCTTTGGATTTAGTAATTTATAAATCAAAATACTAATAGCAAAATTTTATTCAATGAATATGAGAATTCTAAAGAATAAATATGATTTAAGAGAATTAATATAAAAGTATATCAGAGAGGCTACCAGTTTAAGCGGCTTTAATTAAATTATTAATTCAAAAATCAATTAATACTTAACTTAAAACAATAATCTATTTCATATGCCATCTGATGAAGCTAAAAATACTTGAGAATAATTTGATATATTTTAGAATTAAAGTGAAGGTTATATTTATAAGAAAAATGTTTAAAAAATTACAAATTGCTAATATATAATTATATTCACTATTGAAAGCAACAATAATTTATACTACGAATTCTTCATAAAAATTTATTCCAAACCTATTCTAACACAAATGATTTTTAATATAGATACAAAATTTCTGCTAGCTTCAGTGAAGCATTTAAAGTTCCCTAAAAACAATTTTTAAATTATTTATTCACAATTTTTACATTATTTTCTCACTCAATTCCATGAAATATTTATTAAATCATAATTATAATTCAAAGGGTTATTTCTTACTTCTTGCCAGTTAGGGTTCTTGAAAGCCAGTCTAATCCTTCATAAAGTCCATCTCCACTTGTTGCACAAGTGCTTTGAATGAACCAATTTCTTCCTCTAATTGAATGTAGCCCTAATTTGTCTGTGATTTCTGCTGCAGTCATTGCATTTGGCAAGTCTTGTTTGTTAGCGAATACCAATACGACGACGTCTCTGAGTTGGTCTTCATTGAGCATTCTATGAAGTTCTTCTCTGGCATCTTCGACTCTGTCTCTATCATTAGAATCCACGACGAAAATGACTCCTTGGATGTTCTCATAGTAGTACCTCCACAAAGGTCTGATTTTGTCTTGCCCACCAACATCCCATACAGTGAAAGAAATGTTGCGGTATTCGACGCGCTCAACATTGAAGCCAATGGTTGGAATTGTTGTCACGACCTCGCCAAGCTTGAGTTTATACAGAATTGTGGTTTTTCCAGCTGCGTCGAGACCGACCATGAGGATACGCATTTCTTTGCTGCCGAAAAGACGTTGCCAAATTCTTGAGAATGCTAAGCCCATATTTTATTTAGAAAATTGAATGAATTTTGCTATTTATAGTCAATATGGGACCCCTGATTTTCAAAAACAAATAAAAAATAGGGGCAAAAATGGCCCATAGGGAAAGTACATGTTTTCCTTCATTTTCCTACGTCAGAAAAAATGGAGATTTAGAAAGATTTTGCAGTAAGGATGAAAGAAGATTAGAAGTTTATAGACTTTTTGATATTATTAGGCCATTTTTTTATATTTTTTTTGGGGTATTTTAAGTCAATTTGATCATTTTTATGACAAGAAGAGCACCAAATTCCAAATTTATTGAATTGAAAATTATGAAACTCCTAATATTAGGAAAGATTGACGGAAAATATATGTGATTATTAATCTATTTTTGAGTTATTTATGTTTGACAGTTAATGCTCTTAAAAGCCAATCCAATCTTTTGTAGTAATAGCACAAGTATACTGAGTTAACCATTTTTTCTCTCTGATTGAATTGAGAGCAAGTTTTTCTGAAGTTCTGAAGCTCTCATCGAATGAGGGATATCTTGCTTATTTGCCAACACTAAAATGTAAGTATTTCTAAGTTGATCTTTATTTACAAGTGTAAAGGACTCTTCATAATAATAAAATGGCTTCGGCGGATAGGGTAATTCACTCCGTGAATTCCCTCTCCTTCTCACCCGCTTTTATTATTATAGGGTTAGGTTTTTACACGTGGACTTCTGTACAAGGTGGTGTAAAATGGCGAGGATCTTTTATCTCGCCAGCCTTATACAGCGTGTTTTACCTCTTTCCCCTGCTGATATGAAAGGCAGGACCCTTAGGCCGAACAGGCGCTGGAGGAAAGTCGGACAGAGCGAGGCAACGCGCCAAGCCGTTAGTGTTTCCCGTACTTCTGGATTCCCAAATGGCTTCACGGGGATTAGAAGGAGCGAGCCGTACAGCGAGGCCCGACTCGAGTACGCGAGTAGCGACAGGACGGAGAAAAAATATGCCCTCGTGGCATTGTGCATCTAGGGGCCCAACTAGAGGTCGAGTTAAATTAAGTAATTAAGTAAAGGACTCTTCTTTAGCGCATTTATCCATTTAGAATTATTAGAAATACAGCGAAAATAATAATTGAATATTTTCAATGGCATATCCACAACAGTCTTATTTTGTCCTATCCACTAATGAATATTGAGATGCTCAACTCTTTCTACATTAAAGAAATTGCAGTAGCAACTTCGCCCAATGTAATCTAAAGGGAAATGTCTTGTCTGTTGTATAAGTTATTTTTCTTTTATTTTTGTTTTTATATTGAATTTAGACCCTTATAATATAGTGACAAATAAAATGCTATAGCACAAATTCCTAAATTTAAATCATAATTTTTCATGCATATTCCTAATCATATAAACAAAGATTACCCGCAATAAACAAATCTTATTTCTATAACTCTCCCCCCCCCCCTCCGTGAGCGAACAAAAAAATTTTGTTCGCTCACGGAGGGGGGTTAATTTTTTTTTTTTAAAACAAAATTTATATATAAATTTTATAAAAAATTTTTTTTTTCGAAATTTAAAAAAATCCTAATTTGCAAAAATTGGGAAGCAAAATATTAATTTAATTTGCAAAATTTATGTTTTAAAACGCAATTTGTTTAAAATTAAACAGAATTAGCTCTAGATTTCATTATACTAATTATCACTTATATATATCAAAATTTTTTTTCCATTAAAATTTTTTCTATTAAAAAAATTTTTGTTCGCTCACGGAGGGTGGGTTTTTGGTCAAAAAATGGTGATTTTTCTAATGGTTTTGTTCGCTCACGGAGGGGGGGGGGGGGGGGAGTAAGGGAATTTAGCAAAAGCTAGGCAATTATTTAAAAATTTGAGATGATATTTCTAAAACCCATGAACTTAATTCAATTCAAGTAGATTTTATTTTAGTAACTTATCAAAATTAAATGAATTTAATTTCATGCCATTTATTTTTTAATTCATATATTGTTTTTAATCAAGGTATTCATGGATAAGCTAGCAAAAATAATAGTGTTTTCCACATCAATAGCTATCTTCGAAACTATGAGGATGGTCTAAACTTTCTACATTCCGGCTAGAAAATTTTCAAGCTAATTCAATTTTTTGAAAATAACTTGCACTATATACCAATTATTTTACATAAAGTTAAAAATATCCAAAAAATTTGATGCTGTTGAGTCTTAAAATAAATTTATTTGCTTTACTCTCCGTGAGGAAAAAAAATTATATATAATTGATATTATTATAATGAAATCTCTAGCTAATTCTATTTAATTTTAAACAAATTGCATTTTAGGCATAAATTACAAATTAAATTAATTTTTACTTCTCTCAATTTTTTAATTTTGAAAAAAAAATTTACTATAAAATTTATATATAAAAAAAAAACTCCTCTATGAAGAACAGAATTTGTTTGTTCACTCACGGTGGGGGAGTTAGGAGTTTACATAATTTCAATAAAACAAGAGAATAGCTAAATTAATTTTTTCAACAAAATGGCTAATTATATGCCAGCCATGCATTAAAGCCGACATAATTAAGTGCAACAATACAATTTTATTAACTCGATTTATATTGTGTAAACTAATTACAATAAATTATTTGTCTTGGTCAAACGTTTTCACTGTTCTTGATAAAATTTCTTCTTCTTTGTCTCCGTTCGGCCCTAAATATTTGTCAAAAATATTTGTGCCTTTGGACTCAAAGCTTTCATAGCTTTGCAGCTTATCCAGCTCGAGTTCATTGATTACTTTGTTTATATATTTTTCGATGCAGTTCTCTTTGTGTTCTCTGAAGGAACAATGCCTTTTGCCTGATCTCATGTGTATTGGTGGAGAGAGTTCTTTTGCTTTTTCCTTTTTCACGCTTTGGAGTAGGATCTTATTGGCACAAAATTTTAATTTATTTCATCCACTTAAATTCTTTGGAGATTTTTCGGGTTTGACGGTATCAGGACTGACGGCTTGGACGAATCTGTCCAATTTATGATTTTTTTGTAGGTATCCGAGCATTGATCTCGAATTAAGTGAGGATTTTCGCCTCTTAAATTCCATTTTATATATTATGGCTTCTTAGGAAGTGAAACTGAATTAAAAGAGTTAATTTGTTTATATTTATTGCTAGCTTAAGATTGTTTTTAATTTTTAATAAAATTAGACCTATTGTGCATGCAAATTGGTGTGCTATTAAAAACAAAATGATATTTGGCGATTTCTCAGAAACTCCATATCATCGAAAACACCAATTGAAAGCTTATTTCTATTTATATTTAAGCTAAGTTTTAAGATGTGAGCTTAAACTCTAGATTACCTTAATGAAAATAATTATCATATACAAAAAGCAGCCCATGATCACAGATTCATTATCTGCATCCGGATATGTTTTTTAAATCCAGTTATGGCCCAGCGGCATTTAGCAGCCTAAAGCAAGAGATGTGAATTTAAATCAGCTGACTTGAGTTCTGAATCTTTAGGCAATTAATTCACTACTTTTTGCAAGAAGTAGAGTCCTGTAGGAACTTGGGAGTAAGGATTTAAGCCACCATCAAATTAATTTAATCTAATCCATAAAACTTCGGATAAACTGATCAGAAATTTATTTAATTGGTGAAGAAAGAAATAAGTCTTGTTTCCGAAAAAAGCATCCTTATATTGGCTTCAATAGAAATATATACTTTTACAAATTTATTATTAAATGACAAATTCTTTAAATAAAATATAAATTTCTATATGATTAATAAAATTTTCAAAAATTGAATTTAATGCTAAACTATCCAAAACTCAGTTTAAAATTTAAAGCTTGCTCAAAATTGCATTATCTTAATTAAAATTATGTGATAATTATTTATGCCACAGACGCAACGATAACCGTAACATCATCTGGCTTACCCCCGATCCAACCTTTTCCGTAAGTTTTTTTGACTCTTTCTTCGAATGGAGAGTTGAGCTTTGATTTAGATTTATAGTACCCTTCCTTTTGGCATACGACCAAAATTTTTTTGTTAATCATAAGGTTAATTTTTTAAAAATTTTATTCAAATTCTATATTAAATCTTCTTTTTCGTTTTTAAAACTTGAAATGAAACTCCAAACTGGTTAAATTTAACATAATTTGTTTGAGGCCTCCTTATACTCATTATCTATTTATTAAAATATAAATTATAAGAAAACTTACATTAAAACAATATTTTGCTAGCTATGGGGTTTAATGGTCTTGCCCCTAACAAGAGGAGAGTAAGCATATCTTCCAAGAAGATTTGCTAATTCAATAGGATTATAACTGCTCCCTTTATCTTTTGACAGCAGAGTCAATATTTCCTTTGAAAAAACATTGTCTCATAGACCATCTGAAGCCATAATTATTAAATCCTTTGCCCTGATCTTCAGGCAATAGTCATCTGCATCACTACAGCTATCTTTTATTACGTTTTTCATCTGTTCCATAACTTCAGCAAATTTTTCAGGGCTGACTCTTTCTCTGAGTTCATTAATCTGTGAATTTGAAAGTTGCTGAGAAAGCTGATAAGGCGTATTATACTATTCACCTCTAAATCTTTAACTATTTATATATACCCTTGCTTATACACATTCATTAATTTTTGGAATAAAAGAATGCTCCTGTGGTGATGATCGAAAAATAATTTTTGGATTTTCATTTACAGTCCGAACTACCATAATTCCACAATCCCCAAGATTCGAAATTTTAAGCTTATCTCTTTCTAGCTTCGCTACAATCCACGCAGCGCCTCCTCCATTTTTGACCTTGCTAAAAGCTTCTTCTACACATTTTTTTATCGGTAGTGCTTTTGAAGACTTTTCGATATTTTCTTTACAATTTTGCATTAATTCATTTGCAAAGTTTTTACTGGAGACTCCATACTGGTTCCAACCTCCAACTCCATCGGCGACGCCTATGCAGTGATTCGTTGTGAAATAGGAGTCTTCATTTTTTAAATGATTCTTGCCTTCAGAAAATACTCCAGGCTTTAATTTTAAATTTTCACTGGATCGGCAATATAAGGGTCTTCTAAGAGAAGGTTTTCGGTATAGGAAAATATTGGAAGTGCTACCTTTTTCCATTGCAGTCACATTTTCTGTAATTTGTGGAAAGCTCGATATAACAAATGTAGTTTCTTTTCTCAGCAATCTGAACTGATTGCCAATGCTCAGTCATATCTCAATAAAGTATTCTTTATGAGATAGCGAATAAGTGAGTGGTAATTTCACAGCCCAAGGTGGGTTGGTAAAGTTCCCGATCAGATAAGTAGGCTCTAGATTGTCCGACTTGCTTGTTGATATCCTTACTAGTTGTTTGCCTTTTGATCGATTTTGTCTAGCTTGGTAGATTTTGAATGCTCTCTTAATCTTGATTTGGCAGTTGTTCAGATAATCTGCTATCCTGTTATGAGAATATTCCATATATTATTATAACCATTGAAACGAAAGTTTTTATATAACTTTGAGAATTTTAAGATTTAAATAATTTTAAAGATCCGATGTAAAACTATGAATTGAATAGTAATGAAAAATGAGAAACGAATAATTAGCTGGGTTAGATAGGAAATATTATTATTTATTGACGTCAAAACTAGATTATAAATGGTATAAATAATAAAGATGGTTATCTGCAGGAAAGTATAAAATACTCAATTGCCTTGAAAAGATTGATTTTTTCTAATAAACACTGTGAATTGATTATTAATTTATTTTTCCATTTATATAATGCGATTTGAAAGGTGGAATGAGCAAAAACAACAGAATTTGGTATTTAGATGGTATTATGTGCTTAAAAATTGCCTAAACTTTAAAAGTTAAGGCATAATCATCAAAATATTAATTTGGCTGAAGAAAACCATTAGAAATGATTTTAATTAAACATTATTGAAATTTTCGCAAATAGCCTAACATTGTTTTTCTTATTATCCCTACTCCCCCCATCGAGGTTAATTTTTTGTTTAAAAAATTTATATAGAATTTTTTTTTCAAAATTTAAAAACTTCCAATTTGTAAAAATTGAGAAGCAAAAATTAATTTAATTTGCAAAATTTATATTTTAAATGATAGCTGCTTAAAATTAATAGAATTTGGTAGAGATTCATTATAATAATTATCATTCAAATATCAAATTTTTATTTTTCTTAAAATTTTTGTTTGCTCACAGGAGGGTGCGTTTTTGGGCAAAAAATAAGGATTTTTCCAATGGTTTTGTTCGCTCACGGAGGTGGGGATTTAGAAATTTTGTTTTTCACTCGTGATATTACAAATTTTATTTGGAGCACAGATAATTTATTTTGTAGGATTTTAATGCATTAAATTAAGTTGGATTTCAATTTATCAATTAGAAATACCAAAAAATATATAAAAGTTTTGATCTCTTTATAAAAAAAAATAATTGGAAATTTAGGCATGGTTTATATTGAACTATTTTTAGCTAACCCCACCCCTCCATGTCTCATCATGGGCGAACAAGACCATTAAAAATATCTATTTTTGGCCTAAATCCACCTTCCTTGAGCGAAGAAAAATTTTTTATAAAAACCTATTTTGATATATAATTTATAATTGCTATAATAAAATTTCTAGCTAATTTTGTTTAATTTAATTAGCTTGCATTTTTAAAACATAAATTTTACAAGATAAATTAAATATTTGCTTAAAATTATTTCGAATATGAATTTTTTAAATATCGAAATTTTCATTTAAAATTTTTATTTAAACTTTTTTAAGAATACTCAGCGAGTGAAAAAATTTTTTGTTAGCCCTCGGAGGGGAATGGGATAAGGAAATCTTAATAACTTTATTTAGGTTTTATTTCAAGTATTTTGCGTTAGTCTTAATCATATAATCGATGATGTATTTAAAAAATCCTTAATCAGCAACAGTCTTAAATGACTATCATTCTGCCGAGTTTGGAGATGTCGAATAAAGGAACCAAAAATAGCATACCTAGTAAACATACTAAATTACATGGAAACAGATATATCACCTTCTCTTCAACTAATTTATCATAATTTTACAGCAGTTTCAGCTAATAATTAATTTAATTATAAGTGATTTATATTATATATAGCTAATCTAAATGCAATTGCATTCTGCTTAATTTATCTTCGAAGTGTCTATCTATTGTTTTCAACTTTTTTGATTATTTAACCATTTCTCACCATATTTTCTTTTTAAAAAGGAATTCATTACTCCCCCCCCCCCCCCTCCGTGAGCGAACAAAACCATTAGAAAAATCGCCATTTTTTGACCAAAAACCCACCCTCCGTGAGTGAACAAAAATTTTTTTAATAGAAAAATTTTAATGGAAAAAAATTTTGATATATAAGTGATAATTAGTATAATGAAATCTAGAGCTAATTCTGTTTAATTTTAAACAAATTGCGTTTTAAAACATAAATTTTGCAAATTAAATTAATATTTGCTTCCCAATTTTTGCAAATTAGGATTTTTTTTAAATTAGGATTTTTTTAAATTTCGAAAAAAATATTTTTTATAAAAATTTATATATAAAATTTTTTTAAAAAAAAAAAATTAACCCCCCTCCGTGAGCGAACAAAATTTTTTTGTTCGCTCACGGAGGGGGGGGGGGGGAGTTAGATCTTTTTAATAAATATTTCTGCCAATTGAATATTTATCTATTTATTTTCCCCTAACTTTATCATTATTTCTAATAAAATAGCTATTTAGCAATACTCCCATTTATAAAATAATTTAAAATCTACTTATAATCGGAAAGATGATCCTATTTAAGTCTTAAAATGGTCTTAAATTAAGCATTTAGCGCTATTAGTGTCAATTGTATCAATATCTAAGCGCCATGCCGGACCTTGAGTCGATTTAATGAAAGCTTTTTTCAATAGTTTTCCTCTTACAGCTGCAGGTCTCAAACTATTTACAGCTGCTATAAAAGCTCTAAGATTTACTTTTAGCTCCTCTTCTGTAAAGCTTGACCTTCCTATAGTTGTGTGGATGATTCCTTCTTTCTGGCATCTAAACTGCAAGCTTCCCATTTTCATAACTTTAATAGTTTCCTCCAGTTTGTCCACAGGAACTACATTCCCAGACTTTAAAGTAGGCATCAGGCCTCTTGGACCCAAAATTTTTCCGAATGGCTTTAGCACATCCATCATTTCTTGTGTTGCTATTGTTTTATCGAATTCAATTTTCCCTTCCTTAATATCTTTTAATAAAGAATCTCCAACAAATTCAGCTCCTGCATCTGCAGCTAGCTTATAATTGACTGCTGATGTAAACACTGCTATTTTTATTTTTTTGCCAAGCCCTGAAGGCATTGCACAGGTGCCTCTTACAGTCTGGTCTGTTTTTTTGGCATCAATATTGAGAGTTAAAGCAATATCAACTGATTCATCATATGGGGAAATTGCGTATGCTTTTGTCAATGCGAATGCTTCGTTAGGAAGATATGCTATTTTCGAAGCTCTTGCAAAATGCCTTGCGATTATCGATATTGCCATTTAGAAATTTATACTAATTATGCCTATAATAAGAAAGAGACTCCAACCACGTTTGCTTTTCAGGGAGCTGGCCGTCTAAAGGTGGCAATGTTTCTATTTGATTTATGATTTTTTGGACTGTAGATTTGGTTAGTTTTTGTGAAGCAAGCAGAGGTCTTGGGTTCATCACTTTTAAAACTGCATATAAGTCTTTGGGGTTTTTGATAACTTTTAATACAGCTTCTTCAAATTCGCCTTTGGCAAGGAGAACGTTGACTTCTTCTTGGATCCTTACTGTCTTCTTTTCTCCGCCCAAAGCAATTACTCTTTGATTCATCGTTTCTTCACACTCTTTTAGCTGATTCATATGCTTGTTGCAGCTTTCTGTAAAAATCTTAATAATGTCGTCAAAAAGTGTGAGCTTGCCTTCGTATTCTCTATTAATTATTTCTAATTCGTGTAATAAATTTGAGTCTTTTTCATTGAAATCTTTTATTCCAGCATCGAAATTTTGGGTGACTTGAAGCAAAATTTCATTGACTGAGCTTTGGAAAGCTGGGGTTACTGTTGAGTCTGAAGCTTCTTTGGTTTTAGTTTTTACAACTTTTGTGGTGTTTTTGAGGTTTTCTTCGAAAATGCTGTTGCTTCAGTCTTGAATAGGAGTTTTTACCCAAAGCAGTTTGCTTAAATTGTTTATTTTGTCTGAAACTTTATTCATTTTCAGCTGGACAATGTCACACATTTTGTCAATCATTGAGTTTTCGTCTGGTTCTTTTTCAATTGGCTGTTCTGGCTGAGGGACTATTATAGCTTTTGATTCCTCTTCTTCTCCTAATAATGAATAGACAGAAATGCCCGTTCTATTTATTACTGAAAACCGATTTGAGCCTGATAAAGCAGCTATTGCTATATTTGAGCTAAGTTTATAGTCAATGATAGACGAGAACATCAAGCAGTCATTGATTTCTGAAATATTTACAAGACTTATGAACGGATCATTAATTCCTGCTATTAAAATCGATTTCCCTATCACAGATATTTTTTTGTGTGTCATTGATTGTATTGCCAAAGTATGCAATTTCGTCTGATTCTCAATGCTGAATATACAAAATTCATTTTGTGATCTGCCTGATGTTAACAAATAAGTATTAGTCAAAAAATTAACGGTGATATTAGGAGAATACATCATTGTGTTATAAGTGTGAGGATTTGTATTGAAAATAGTGTTTTCGTCACTTATAGTGACAACCAGGACTTTTCCTTGGCCTAAAGCTACAGCTAATAAATCTGGATTATTAGGAGCTAGAGCAATACTGAGAATTTTAGCTCCAAAAGAAAGGACTTTAAACCAATCAGGAGCATTAAGGGAAAATGAATTTTTCCAAATCATGACTGTAACTTCAGACGCAGAGTGACTTGCAAACATATTTTGCTCAGTAGGATGCCACACAATTCCTTCTACTGTCCCATCCACAACATTATAAGAAAATAATATTGTGAAGTTAGCGAGGTCTACAATTATAATCTCTTTTTTCTCAACAGCGTATATTAAAATATTGGAATCTTGTCTTATATCAATAGTTGTAATATTTTTAATACTCTGAGTATAAGATGCTTTTAGACTTGGCAGCTCAAATTTGTATAATATGCTTTCTTTATAATAGCAAAGTGTTGATAAATTGCTGGCAATTTGGATTTGTTCACCTTTATAGGGATGTGGAAGTGAATTTAAAGGCTCAAAAATACTGACATCTGTAGATGGCTTGTATGATAAAATAGTTTGGCTCGTATCTAAATGATAGAAGCTTGACTGAAGTCCTTGAGGTTCAGGGAGTGGAGCAATTCTTTTAACATTAGATTTATCTGAGGGCAAGCTTAGAAGGTATTAAGCGTTTATAGTGTTAAAAAGCCACTCAAAAAAGATGGACTTGACTGGCAATAAGTGATGTCCAGGACCATCTTATTACTTAAAAATGGTGCATCATATGGATAGGCTTCCAAAGCAAGACCCCATCTGTCTGGGTTGCATGTATAGCTCGGAGCGTTAACATCACATGCGACTCAGCTTGTGCGCGTGCTCAGCCTAAGGGTCACCTTCCTATGTGAGAGGATAAATCCTAAGACTTCCAAAACTCTTTGGATCAGACCAAAAAGCTATGAACTTCTCTTTGCTGCTTGCCTGATATCGCTTTTATTATAGATATATCTGCGGAGAGTTCAAGAGTTTTAGAGTCTTTAAGGGCAAGAGCTAAGGTAGACACTGACGTTGTCATATTTTTAATATTTTTGTGACTCAAAAAATAAAGCAATGACACAAACCCTTGTGGATTTTTGTTGATCATAGATAAAAGTTTCCCATTATTCTTCAAATTATTATCAATGAAATAAGACTCCAGCACTTTTTGTAAATTTTTTAAATGAGCTTCTAAAACTTGGCAGGAAGTTTGGCTAAACTGCTCAAGAGAAATATTTTCACTTTTGAGTCCATTGACAATTTGCACTGAAATTTCACCTGGAACTTCCATTTCTCTACAGACCTCTTTGGCTAGATTTTGTATGTCGTTTTCACTTAAGAATGGTATAGAGTATAAGCCTCTTGAGTAGCATTTCAGTATAATTTCTTTTAAATCTCTTCCCATTCCTTGGATTTCCATTTAATAATTAATTTGATATTTTAAGAGTCATTATATTTAGATTATTATGTTTTTTTAAAGCAAATGCAATAATTAGAGAGAGCTGAATAAGCTAGAGAAGTATTAGTGCAAGCTATAATAAATTGGAAAAGAGAAATACCAATGAAAAGAACTCATTTTCCTAATATTAAATTAAATTGCTAACTCCCCCCCCTCCGTGAGTGAACAAAACATTTTGTTCACTCACGGAGGGGGGTTAATTTGTTTTTTAAAAAAAATTTATATATAAATTTTTATAAAAAATATTTTTTTTCGAATTTAAAAAAATCCTAATTCGCAAAAAATTGGAAAGCAAATATTAATTTAATTTATAAAATTTATGTTTTAAAAGGCAATTCGTTTTTAAAATTAAGCAGAATTAGCTCGAGATTTCATTATTATAATAATTATCATTTATATATCAAAATTATTTTCCATAAAAAAATTTTTCTATTAAAAAAAATTTTTGTTCACTCACGGAGGGTGGGTTTTTGGGCAAAAAATAGGGATTTTTCTAATGGTTTTGTTCACCACGGGGGGGAGTAAAGAATTTGATACTTTAAATAGATCACGAATTATAATAATTAATAAATCAGTAAAAATTAGCATAACTTTGAGTACTCTGATACAATATAATTATCCCAATAAGCCGGTGGAATATTTTCAGCTTTACATTTCTTGAAAAGCTGCGAAATACTGACAGTATTCACAGGGTGATTTGTCGGAAATTCCATTTTTTTCGATAGAGCCACTGTGAAAAAATATTTTTCTAGCTCTTCATTTGAGTATTCTTCTAAGGTATGAGAATTATTTTCTGAGAAGCTTGGATTAGCGTCTTGATTATTAGAGATATATGAATCTCCACTTGGTCTTTCAAAATGTGAGCCAACTCCGCTTGAAACTTTACTTAGGCCAGTCGGACGTGCTATGTGGTGGAGCATATCAGGCTTGAATTTTCATTTAGCAAGATCCTTATTACTTTCTGGAGAATTATCTTCAATTGATGCAAGTGTGGACTTTTTAAATTTTTCGTTACGCTTAATTCGGATTCTGCTTTCCATCAGATGGATAAGCCTTTTTGCAAACACAATACACGAAGCACCTATCTTAGGGATATTATCCAGATTTGAAATTGATGAGAGCTGTTCTAAAATCTTCACAGGTTTCTATATACAATATACCATTGATTGTGTCAATATTGCATTTCCTAAATCTTGCAAATGTTTTAGCACTGTAAGCCGCTCTCCAGAAGCTTCAATAACTCTTGAAAATATTGCATTTACTATTTTCCTAACCCTTGCATCTATATAAATACATTCATTTTCCTCCACCTTTGGAACAGTACATACATGTGAATGCTTATTAACTTCATTTATCGGAATACACTCATAACAATTAACACACAATAAATCAACTTCTGTAACAAATGATTGATAATAATCTTCATTCCGGGAATTAGGAATTATATTTATATCGCTATTTCTCCTTCCTTTCCACCTATCTATATTGCTATAATTTAAAATGCTACCATTTTTCTGATCTTTATCAAAAGATGGCATAATACTAGTCGTAAACTGTTTATAAATATTTAAAGCGTCCTTTCTGTGGTGTAAAATAGACTCTGCTGATATAAGAACCCCAGTTTCTTTGAGCGTGCTTGCGTTAAGAAAACTTTCCAGCTGGTAAATTTGTGAATAAGATGAGGATATGTTTTTCTGACGCTCCAATAAATCATTTCAGTCTTCAGTTTGGACGGATAATTCATTTTTGCTAATAACTTCATGGTCGGGAAGCTCATTTGAAGGATTTGTTGTCGCAGATTTTGAATTTGTGTTAAAAGATCTATCGTCTGCTCTTCCAGGGGCATAAGAATTCTTTGGAGAATTTTTTCTGATCCTTTTTTCATATAGATCGACAAGATTTGATACTGATCCTCGAGGTAAATCTGGACACACTGATGCAGATGGCAGACCATAGCTTGTACGAGTTTTGGGGTTTTTATTGAAAGTATCCTTTGGAGTTTTCGAGTCAATTTCCATTTTCAGGCGTTTAAATTACTTTAAAATTATCTTATAAGCTCTTTCTTATTTCAGAATAATTTAATAATAGGAAAATATGCATCAACAAAAATTATCTTACTATAAGCCCTTTCATGGACCGAAGTTGTGACATGATACTTTTTTGGTCTTCTTCATCAATATTGAACTCTTTTAATGTGCTTTCATATATATCAACGTAAAACCAGAATTCTTTTTCTGTTATTCCTCTTCCTTGATGGTTTTTTCTAACAGCTCTTCGAAACTCTAGGCTTATTCTTCCGTTGAAAATTTTGAACATCCCAGAGACGATCATTTCAAAATCTCCCATTCTTGTATTTTTGAAATACCTATTTAATGTATCATTAGAAAGGATTTTATTGTATAATGACACTATAAGCTGGTTTCAAAATGTGACTCCACCGTACTTCTCGACTAAATTTTGCTTTTTTATTTTAGATATTTGCATGTTCATAGCCATTTCATCGAAGTTGTCAATTGCGTCACGAAGAGCCCTTTGTGCACAGGCTATGCTTTTTTCGTCAAGTCCTGATAGAATCATACTTTTGGTAGGTTTTCTTGTATAACTATTGAAGACTGGGCATTGTGGACTTATCATAGAATCACTACGAGGGTTGCGTTTTTGATAATATTTGATTGAGTCTTGCTTAAAATCTTTTAGGCAAGCTGGAGGTTTCTGAGTGTTTATTTGGCCAAGTCTTTCGTTGACCTTTGAAACCCTCTCCACAAAATCGTTATCATCACTTGGATGCTGCTTTTCTTTCTTGCTTTGTTGCTGTGGTTTGAATTTAAAAGGCAAAGGGGTATTAATTGGCTTATCTTCTTCAATATTTGCCTTTTTAGTCTCTTGCCGAGAAATTCTGTGCTCAGTTTCAACATCAGTGAATCTTGAAGTTGAGCCTACAGAATGAGACCTTCTTGAAAAGTCAAGCTTTTTTTGAGGTCGTATCGCTTTCTCAATACCCAGCGAAAATTTAAAATCAATGAGCTGCTCTCTGCAGCCTAAAAACACTCATCCCCCTGTGAGCGAACCTAAAATTTTGTTCGGAGGAGGGTTAATTTTTTTTTTTTTCGATTTAAAAAAATCCCATTCACAAAAATTGGAAAGCAAAAATTTATTTATTTTATAAAAATTTAAGTTTTAAAACACAAATTGTTTAAAATCAAACAGAATTAGCAATAGATTTCATTATACTAATTATCACTTACTTATAATTTATTTTTTTTCATAAAAATTTTTGTTCGATCGGTGGGGTTTTGCGCAAAAAATAGGGATTTTTCTAATGGTTTTGTTCGCTCACGGAAGGGGAGTCAGCCATTTTTTTTGCTTTGAATAAAGTCACAAACAATTCCTTTTAAAGTCTGGTGCGGAAAAATATCAGTTGTAAGAAAAGTAATAATTTGGTTTATCATAGCATCCACTTCAGGGATTTTCATAAATGTTTCAACTGCATAGCAGCTTTCTGAGTCATTTGTGTTTATTATCAGATCTTTGTTAGACTCTTCTTGAAAGATATGCACCCTTGTAATACTTTCTGGGTTTCGGTTAGAATCAGTGTCTTTTTCATCTTTAGGAATTTCAGAAAAAGATTGGGACAGTGAAAATCCTTTCGGCTCAGCGTCACATTCATGCTTTGGGATGCTTAAGAAAGATTTTGATAATCTGGGGAGTTTTGAACAACTTCCTGACTTCTTTTTGAGCTTGAAAGGATTATTAATTGACTGGGTAGTTGGGAGAAGCATATTTGTGTACTTAAAATCCGATAAATTGCTGAATGACTTATTTCTGTTATTTATTCCTTTTTTATATCTTGTTCGATTTTGTACTCAACTGTTGCTATATTTGTTTTTATTAACAATTGAAAAATAACGATTTTTTAAATCTTTTTTCCATAATACTCTTATTATTGATACAGGATTCGACCTGCACTGAATATACCTTTGCATAATAGCTTGTCCATCAAAAGAATTCCAAATCTCTTCTGCACTCTCCCCTGAAAATGCTAAAATTGTATCTTTGTTGTGGACCCGATAAACAAATGATGGGTACTCTCCATCTTCTTTATTTTTTATGCAATTAAAAAATTCGCTCTTATTTATCAGTGGTTTTGACTGTACTGAGCCATCTGGAAGGGTTTGGACTAAATATGAGCTAGATGACTCATCATTTCTAATAAGAGTCAAAGGAATATTTATATTTATTTTTTGTCCTGAATTCATCTTTGCCAGCAAAGAAAAAATATTAAATCGGATAATTTGAGACTGCTTGGGTAAAAGACTGTTTATTTTGGTCACATAATTATTTTGTGTAAAATCTGAGACAGAAATATTATGCTTACCGACACCTCGAAGGTAACCTTTTTTGTATGAGTCGTGGATTAAGGATAATAAATCCTCTCTGAAGTTTGTGATCTCATCTCTTTCCATAGCATTTTTGTGGTAATCCTTTAAGTCCTCTAATATACCTGAAACTTGCATTTTATTTTATTTTTTATAAGATTTTTAAGGTTTTTTTAATTGAGTTAGTGTTCAGTAGTCCAGCAAATTAAGATAAGTTGAATTATTAATTAAGAATTTTTGCGAATCCTTAATAAATAGGAGTGATAATCAATATGAAGTTATATTGTTTTAAATTATTGGTGAATAAGCTTATTTGTAACCTAGAATAACTTTAAATTAAGCAAAAAAAGATTTAGAATAGTTAAAGATTTCGCATAGTTTATATGTGAAATATATATTCATAATATTTGATCTTTGCATTTCCTAATTAAAGTATAATAAAGTTTAAAACTAAAAGATTAAGCGATGGATTTGACATATTAATATACTAATTTCTCTTCTCTTGAGAGAGCAGACCTTTTGACAATTTTTTTTGAAGAAAAATAACCCAGCTTCGTGAGTGATCAAACAATTTTTAATTTTTTATATGAAATGATAATTATTAATAATAAAATCAATAGCTAATTCTGTTGATATTAAATAGCTTTATAAATCAAATTAATTTTACTTTCCAATTTCAAGAATTGAGTTTCAAAACAAATAAAATAATTTTTTTAAAAATATGATTCCCGTGATCAAGCAAAAATCTTTGCACGCTCACGAAGGGAAGAGCAAAATGAAAATTTTTATCGATGCAATATATAAATCTGCGCCTGCTTATTGGATAATAAAGTCTAACTAGAAGATCAAAAATATTATATTCCCCTCGCTTTATTATAAGTTATTCTTATTAAATCAAATTCAATTGCTAAAAATGCTTGTATTATTGCTTCAAATATTTTAAGAATGCTTTAAGGGCCAATTACTCCACATATATCATATAAATGCATGATTATTTCAAATGAAATATAAATATATCTTAAGATGATTGGTGTAATGAAATCACAATCAATTGATCAGTCATTAAGCAAGCTACAGAAAAGCGGCGAAAGTGAAAGTCCAAGGCTGCAACATCCCCAGCTAAAACGAACAAACACAGACCAAAATATTGACACTTCATTTAATAATCATCAAGCTGAACAAATTCGAATTCTGCCTCCTGCATATCAGTATTCAAATTATGCCACTACAAATTGAGAAGAGGAGGATGATATTGATCCTTATGAAGAAATTAATAAATCATGACAATGCTCTCTATTATAATGCAGCAATTAAATATAACCCTTTTCTATTTTAATTTCAATCTAATATTGCAGCATTACTATGCAATTTTGAATATGAGAGAAATAGTGCAGTTTTATCATTAATCTAATGAAATAAAATATATTTTTAAATAAATAGCTAAAAATTTGATACATTATCTGCATATTAAATATACATAAAAATGGCGACAATGTGTCACCTGACCTCTCGACCCTATTTCATCAACACGAGCAGGCAACATCCCAGTGGTGGGGGTTTAGGTGGAAATGGGCCGGAATCCCTTTGTGTATATCGGGCTAGGTTTTACTTGGGCTCAGGGAGCTAATCCATGGGACTTGGGCTTTCTCCTCTAGCAACCATTGGAAATGACAAGATCGGCTACAGCCCCCAGTGAAAGTTGATTCCCTCGAACAGGACTCAAGAGATGGTATTAGCCCAACAAGAAACTGGGAGTTTCGATCCAGGTGTTTGGTCCTTAGGCTACAGAAGCTATTAAAGTCAAGACTGGTTGCGCGAATCCTTGTTCGAGGCAACAAGTAGAATGTCCGCCGGGTTTCTCAGTTCGCAATGAGCGTGTAGGGGTGCAAATCTCAGTCCTACTAGGCAACGACTTAATCTAATCTGCATATTAAGCACTTCATTGATTTAATCTGCTTCATTATCAGATACCTATCGTCTTCATCTACTTCAAACTCCATCAGCGTCTTCTCAAAGAGCTCAGAATATGAGTTATACTGTATTTCATTTATTCCTCTATTAAGATGTGACCCCCTAACTTTTCTTCTAAACTCCAAGCTCACATTGCAATTGAAAATCTTAAACATCCCTGTGACGATCATTTCAAAATTGTCTAGTTTACAGCCTTTAAAATGAGTCTACAAAACTTCACTTGCTAAAACTTTGTTGTAAAATGACAAAATAAAGCTATTCCAAAACTCATCCCCTCCATATTTCTCTACTAAATTTTGTTTCCTCATCTTCGCTATTTGTGTGTTAAGCGTCATCTCGTCAAAATTGTCAACAATATCTGAATAATGCTTTTTTGTCATATAGTGGCATTTGTCATCCCATAAAGATTCTTTTATATTAGTTTGGGTTCTTTTTTTATAAAGGGGAGAAATCGGACTTGAATTTTGTGTATCGCTGAGCTGAGAAAACGAAGTATTAATAGGGAATGGATGTGGGCTTTCACTTTGCATTAAATTTGAGGTAGCTGCTCTTATCATTTTTTTATTTATAATTTGGTCCACTTTTTCATTAACTTCAGCACATCTTTTTACCAATTCTTTTTCATTATTTATATGAGGCTTCTCATTTATAATCATTTTTGGTTTTATTTTGAATTTTGGGAGTGTTTTTTCTTCTTTTTTCTCTTCTTCAAATAAAATCTCTTTAGGAGACGAGTCTTCTATTTTGATTTCTTCATCTTCCTCAAACGAGGTATTTTTTTTGCGCATTACAAGTGATCTACTTCTTTTGGACTTATGTAGGCTTGGGATATTGATTTTTTTCTTCTCAATTCCTGTGTTAGTGTCTGCTAAATATTCTTTGCAGTCAAGCAGAAATCAGTTATTATTTCTGTCTTGAAGAAAATCAAGGACGATAGCTTGAAGAGTATTTTTAAATACTTCGGTGTTTAAAAACTGTACAACTTGATTAACCATGTTTTCAATTTCTGGGATTTTTACGAGTGTTTCGATAGCATAACAGCTATCTGAGTCTTTGGTGGTGACTATGAACTCTTTATAACTTCCTTCTCCTATAATTCTTGAAAGCTCTTCAGTTAAGTTTCGTCTCTGATACAAGCTGTCGTCATCTTTTACTGTCATTAGTGGAGACACATTTCCACTAGGGCAGCTTCTTATTCTCTCATAGCTAAGCGAGCAAAACTTTTGGAAAAAAATTTAGTTTTTGGGTAATTATATAGTGTTTTCCCTATATAAAATTATATGATATATATAATAGTAATTCTTATAGCGAAATCTCTAGCTAATTCTATTAAATTTTAAATAGTTGGCATTTTAAACCATAAATTTTCACTTTGATTTTTGCAATTTTAAAAACAAATTTAATATTAATTTATATATAAATTTTCTTTTCACAAAAATCACCCCTTCTGTGAAAAGCAAAAAATTTTTATCGCTCAAGGAAGGATGAGGAGGAGTAGCTCTTGTTTTGGGAGCTCTGAAAATGAATTATTTCCAGAAGTCTTCCGCTTTAAAGGAGTTCTGCATTTCCTAATCTTATATGGATTATTTAATGACTGAGTAGTAGGCAGCATCATATTTCTATATTGGAAATCTGAAATATTTATTGTTGAGCTTGATTTCTTATGGGTTGGTTTTTTTGCTTTCACTGAGCTAATTTGAGATTTAATTTCTTGTTTTGTTCTATTGACAATATTATAATACTTGTTCTTAGAGCCTTGTTTTCACAAAACTCTCGTAATACACACAGTATTGGATCGACCTAAAATATACTGCTGCATGAAGGCATTGTCTTCTGAGTTATTTCATAGCTTTTCTGCGCTTTCAATGGTAAAAACAGCAATTGTGTCCTGCCCAGGAACTTTATAGCAAAATAATGGACAGTTGGAGTCGTTTTTCTTCTGTGTTAGATATAAAAAATCTTCACTTGTACAGGCCTTTGATTGTATACTTCCTTCTTTTTTGGTATGAATTATATATGGAACTTCTTCGACCTTTATTAGAGTTGTAGGAACATTAACATTAATTTTCAGTTTACTAGAAAATTTCGCAAATAAGGAAAACAGCTTTAACCTTGGGCTGAACTCGGATTTTGGAAGCAAGTTGTTGATCTTTGAAATATAGCAATTTGAATTGCTATCAGGACAAAGCCGATTACCAAGATAAGCACCTCTTAGTCCTACTTTCTTGGAAAAATCGTGGATAAAGGTGATTATGTCTTCCCTTATATGAGTAATTTCATCTCTTTCAATTGTACTTTGGTGGTAGTCTTTAAGGTGCTGCAGGATTATTGGTACTTCCATTATTTTACTTTACTTTATAAGTCTAATAAATGCAAAGAGCCAGTAAATCTGTGTTTTAAAGATATGTAAAGGGTTCTATTGGCTTAATTTAATTTATCCTTAATACTTATCTAAAATTTCAAGCAAGAGGCCAATTAAATCTCTCCATCATTTAATTTAAAATTTGACAATATTTTCCTCAAATAATATCTTTCCGAATCAAAATTTAAAAATAAAATTATTAAATAAAATAGCAATCGTTTACAAAATTTATTTGCATATCAAACATTTCATAGATCTAATTTGCGTCATAATTATTTGACGGTCTTCTTCCTCAATCTCAAATTCTTTCAAAGTGCTATAAAAAGTATTCGCATAGCAGTCAAAATCCTTTTCTGGGATTTTAAGATTTTGATGGACAGATCTTACAGATCTTCTGAATTCTAATGTAGTATTTCCATTAAAAACTTTAAACATGCCTTGTATGATCATGTTCATGCTTGTGCACATAAAATACTTGCTCAGTGAGCTGTTTCCGATCAGCTTTTTATAAAGCGATATTATAAATTTATTTCAAAATTCATCCCCTCCATATCTTTGTATAAGTTCTTTCTTTTTGACTTTCATCAGATCGCATTGTATTTTCATTTCATCAAGAGAATCGCTGGTCTCCGCCAAATGTCTTTTAGCATGATCATTGACTTTATTTACAACCAAAGCGTTTTTAGGATTTCTGCCACTTTTTTGATTAAATACTGGGCATAGTGTCTGTAAAGACTCATGATAGTTGGAAGCTTTAGCAGTTTGATCAAAAGTAGCATAAGCATTAAGGTTATATCTCATTTGATATGCTTTTATGCTTTCCTCTTTGAAATCAACACTTTTTAGCTGTTTTACTGGCTTAAGATTCACTAAATAGTCAATTTTTTGGTTCACTTTGGTGCATCTCTCCAGCAAATCTTTATCGCTTGCAATCATCATTGTGCGGTTCTGTTTTGGGTTGCACTTAATTTTAAAAGGCAAATTAACCTCAATGCTTGGTGTTATACATCTCATTGACTCTAATGGACGGTCAATACTTTCATTAGAGTCTTCTTTCATTATTTCTTGGCTGTTTTCAGAGTATGATCTTATTCTGCTAGGAGTATATCCCTTGAAATATTTTAGATCATTATTAGCCATCCATTTTAATTTCAAAAATTAATTTGTACTTGTCAGCTTTTTTGAAAAGTAAAAACGAAAATGATAGTCTCCGTTTATGGTTTTAAGGTACCTAATCAGACTTGTACTGTATAAGGCAGGTGCCCTGTTCTGGTCGGTATTCTGCTGGGGTATAGAGATCTATTAAGGTGCATGAGCTATAACAGTTTTTGATTGCCTGATCCTTGGATTGCAGTATTCTATTGGAGAGCTATTACTTGTTGTATATTCTTTGCAAGATAGGAAAACCCATTTTCTATCTTTACTCTGAATAAAATCTAAGATCAAGCCTTTTAGTTTTTCCTCTTTGCAAAAATAATGATTCAAAAATGATACAATTTGATCGACCATGTCATCAATTTCTTGAATTTTTGGCTTATTTTCGATTACAAAAAAATCTTCGCTTGTATTTGTATTTACAAAGTAAGTTTTGACAGATTTTTCACTTTGAATAAAAGTTTCAGATCTTGTCCCCATTAAATTCCCAGTTATTTTAGTGCTAAAAGAAAGGCTGCTTTTCTTGATTGGCTTTTGTACAGCTTTAATGCGGTATGGGTTGTTTAACTCTCCCCATTTAATAGCGAACAAAACCGTCATTTTTTTTTCCTAAAATTTTTCCTTACTCCCCCCTCCGCGAGTGAACAAAAAAATTTTGTTCACTCACGGAGGGGGTTAATTTTTTTTTTTTTAACAAAAATTTATATATAAATTTTATAAAAATATTTTTTTCGAAATTTAAAAAAATCCTAATTCGCAAAAATTGGAAAGCAAATATTAATTCAATTTGCAAAATTTATGTTTTAAAAAGCAATTCGTTTAAAATTAAACAGAGTTAGCTCTATTTCCATAAAAATATTTTCTATTAAAAAAACAATTTTTGTTCACTCACGGAGGGTGGGTTTTTGGGCAAAAAATAGCGATTTTTTTAATGGTTTTGTTCACTCAGGGAGGGGGGAGTTAGGCCCCATTTAATAACGAACAAGATTTACTATAAAATTTATATAAGCTAATTTAGTCTTTATAATTTACTAATTTTAAGTAAGTGAGTAAGATAAGGACAAGCATAATTGAACAAAGAATGATAAATAAGAGCTAATAAGTTGCTAGTGGCTTAATCTTAAGCTGGTGCTTTGAAAATCTTGCATGATTATGTCCATAGCCACCAAACCCTTTGATTGAAATTTTTATAAAAACCTTTCCCAAAAATGTTATAAGTTAGATCCCATTTAATAACGAAAAAAAAAAAAAGTTCGTTATTAAATGGGGGAGTAAGAGACTTCGTAGTTTTCAGCATCATATCGGTGTACCTGAAGTTAGAAAGGTAAAATGAATTACTTTTGTCAGGGCTTTGGCTTAATGTCTGAGTATTTCTCTTTTTGCTTCTTTTAACTAGAGATTGCTTTAACCTACTTATGATCGAAAAATATTTATTTTTTCTCCCAAATTTCCAAAGAACCCTTGTTATAGATGCTGGGTTGGAATGAGGGCATATAAAGTTTTGCATCATTGTTGCTTCATTATGAGAAAATCTTCAAATTTTTTCAGCAGTTTCTGCTGAATATATGAATTCTGTTTCTTTTTGAAATACTTTACAGCAGAAAATTGGAATATTCTCGTCAATTTTATTTTGGCTGAGGGCGAAAAATTCAGAATCTAGGCATGGTTTTGAGCAAACTTGGCTTACTTATTAATTAGTTTTAAGCCTGTCGTCTCGAATATAATTGCAACCTGCCCTTATAAATCCGAACTCATGGTATCACCCTTTTTTATGCGCTACCCCTAACTCCCACACCACCAAGCCTCACAGAACATGCTACTCACTCTGTCATTGGCTCTTGGATATGTCTGACCTAAGAGTTTCCCTCCTTAGGTGCCTAGACAGTCAGAACCCTCCTAAAATCCAAGGATAAGTCATATGAGCCTATCCCTAGTTTATGCCTTGTATAGCTGGATAAGAGCTACTGCGAAAACTGCAACTCATAATTATTAATTTCAAAGCGCATGCCATTTATTATTATGAACAAACTTGACCATTTTTCTTAGTCCATAGCATATGATTAAGCTGGGTTTTTCCATCCCTAATCATACTTTCAGGGATGAGAATATTTAAACCGCTAATATTTGAGTAGACTGTTAGTAAACTATAAAAATCAAGCTGACTGCCGTTAAAAAGTTTCGGTAATGAGTTGGCAAAAGAAGAACTTTTAGATGCTTGGACTGAGTCTCTGAATAAGGATTTAATGGGGCTAACGCTTGAAGTACTTTCTGAACACAGAGAAATTTGGTCCTCATTCTCGAATTTTTCAATTCTTTCTTTGGCTCTATGAATAGAAACGACTGGCTCCATTGTTTACAAAATCTTGTTAAATATAAGGTAATTGATTTCCATTTTAAGGTTAAATAATCCCCTTTAAAAGCAAGAAATCTAAGTTAGCGGCGGGAATTTTTCTACTCACTTATCAAAGGTCTTATTTTTAAAAAATTGTTTTTTTTTTTGAACATTCGAATGAAAACTGTTTAAAATTAATTTTTAAGTGCAACTGTTAAAAAATTAATATAATCAGCTGAAGATCTCATTTATATAATTATTAATTATATAATAAATTATGATTTGTGTGCTAATTTTCCCAAGATAGGATTTTTCTAATAGTTTTGCTCGCTAACCAAATAAGGAGCAAGTTTATATAATAACTTGCGAAATTTTCATAGTCCATATATGCTGCTCTCTAACCTTTCAAGCCTAATTGCTTTAAATTCAATTAGAATCTCAAAGAAATTTGATAAAAAATCGAGCTTGCTATACTCTCAAATAATAATAAGATTCATAAAAATATTTATAATTTCACCATTACTGCAATATGGAAATGTGTGGAATTTTCTAATAAATGGATTTTCAATAAAAATGTTCAGCAAATATCCTTATTGTTTGCAAAAATTCTTATTCCTTGAAATGTAGAAATAAAAATATTTTTGAGTCATATTAAACTTAAAAAATCTTTGTTATTTTTCTATAAATTTGTATAGGTATTTTTGGTGCTGTTAAAGATGATATGAAGATGATTCATATCAGTTGTACAGCAAAAATAATTAAAAAATGGATTTCTGATTGAAAATTGAAAGATTTCAGATTTTTATATCATTTCTTAGGTATGGTTATTGATCAAAAGTAAGGATTTTAACGTTATAAATGTTAAAAAGAGGGATGAATAGCGATAAAGATAATAAAGACTTTTATTAAAAAGATTACTAATAATTTTAAATTTAATTAATATCCAATTTTTATCTAGCAACTAGTCTCTTCATAGATTTTACTTGAATCATAATTAGATTCCTGTCTTCTTCTGATACACTGAAATCATTCAAAGTGTTGACAAAAATATCAGCATTAGCTTTAGTTGCTTATAAGAAGCCCTCAGTAGGTTCTAGGACAATATCATTCCCCTTCTAAACGCTTCACAGCTAGCGCAATGCCTTTTGCTTGGTTTTTCTACCCGGCAAGGACTTGCATTTGCTTACTGGTAGCTAGAATCGGGTGACTGTGTGAGTTGCCTTCTAGAAGTGTCTAAACTCGATTTTTTCTGGTCATTTGGCGACCAAGATGCAGCGCTGATATTGCTCTAGGGAATTCCCTGAATAACCTCGTGAGTATCCTAATGATTGATTGACTTCCATTTTTCCAAGCTTCTTTCCTCGCTAGCTTGAAAAAGTTAGGCTAGTTATTCTATCGTTACCGCTCCACCAAGTTGGCTAAAATCTGATTGGATGCACTCTCTTGAATATCTGATACTCATCCCAAAGCTTCAAGTGCTGATGAGTCTCCGACTAAAGAAGTCTAGCTCGTCAATCAATTTTAAATTATATAGCAAAAATATCAGCAAAGCAATCGAATTCACTCTCAGTAATCCCAATCTTCATATTCGCATGAACTGCACGTATCTTTCGTCGAAATTCTAGGTTCACGCTTCCTGAAAGAATTCTAAACATCCCAGAAACGATTTTTCCAAAATTTTCTAAATTCGTATTTTTAAAGTGTTTTTTAAGCATCTCAGTTGACAACACTTTTCTATAGAAAGACAGTATAAACTGATTCCAAAACTCTGTCCCTCCATATTTCTCCACTAAATTTTCTTGTTTCTTTTTCGCAACTTTAACACTTGTCACCATTTCGTCAAAATTACTTACAATATTTACATAGTGTTTTCTAATATGGGTATAATTATTATCTTTCCATAAGGATTTACTTATGAAGAGATGCTGAAGCAGAGACTTGGAGAGAAGAACAGACCGGATTGGGACCATTGCGTCAGTCAAGGCTAGACCGCGACTTTGGGCAAGTCCAGAGGAAGACTTAGGCTAGACTCTGCCATTTTAATAAAACTCGCCCATAAAGGTGAGTCGGAGGGATCGAGTTCTGACCCCACTTAAATAAACCCTCCTCGTCCATAAGGATTTACTTTGAGACTGGCATTGTGGTGGGGAATCATTTTTTTGCTTGAAGATTGGCGAAAAGAACTGTGCTCCATATAAAATAATATTATTTTGGATATTATCATGAGGACTTGTTGTGCATTCTGTATTTTTCCTACTCGGGGTTTCATCTGTATCTACTTGAGATCCATTGGTTTCTTCATTATCGGCTATTTTTGTATGGCTTAAATCTATTAGATCAATTTTACAAGCTTCATTCCTTAACGTATTTTTTTTTGAAATTCCTTTATTTAAATTTGAATTTCTAAAAATTACATCATGCTTGAAAATGTTGTTAACAGTTAAATTCGCTTCAGCTGTGATTAGCAAATTCTGTGTTGACCTTGATCTTTTTGTTGGTTCTAGTTTTTGCATTTTTGTTGTATTTATATTTAAATCTGCTTCAGTTATATAATCTTTACAATCTAGCAATACCCACTTGTTTTCTGAGTCCTGTATAAAATCAGCTATTATCCCTTTAAGTTGATTATGACTTGTAAAAAAGCAGGAATTCAAGAAAGCAACAATTTGATTTATCATGGCTTCAATTTCTGGTGCTTTTTTATAGCTTTCTATCGCATAACAACTTTCAATATCTTTGGTAATAACAAAATATTTTTTATTTTCTTCTTCTTTTATTACATTTGAAGCTACATTTATATGAGGCAAAACTTCTTTTTTTGGGGAAATTCTTTCATTTGAATCTGCTCTTTTGCAGTCTTTTTTTATTTTTGGAGGAGAAAAATAGGATTGGGAGTGCTGGACGTTCATCAATTTGATGCCTGGATATGGTATATAGCTTAATCTTCTTTTTTTGATTTTGAGGGTTTTGAAATCAGATGCATCTGAATGGGATCGATTTCTACTATGGGAAGGTATATGGAAATTGTTATCAATTTTAAGCATTACATTACATTACATTAGAATTTATATCGCTTAACGTCCACTACGGGGTTACAACTCCAGGTTTATCACTCGCCTTTCGTCGCATCGGGCCCACCAGTCTGCTGGAGACAAACTCGCTTTGATCACCATGGTGCTTCCAGGGCAAATGTCCACGTCTTCGACGGCTCATGGATGAGCTACTTGCTTGTACATGGGTTGCTTTTCCGAAAAACCCAAAAAATGGATTTTTCTGGTCGGCTATCGGCAAAAAGGAAAAATGCAAAAGCCTGGGACGTAACGCCCCCAGTTTCACGCTAGGGAGTTGCCCGAATGGTCCAGAGGACTTTGCTGGGCTTCCCCTTTCCAACCTTGCACCCTCCTTCCCCACGAGGAAAAATCCACCCCTGAGAATAGACTTGGGCTAGGCTCTGAAAGCTACCAGAATTGCTTACCTAGCATTGCTGTCCATCTCTGAAATGGTAAAACCTTGCCGGATATAATTAAAATATGAGTCGAGGCTGCATGGCCGGGAGGCCATGCCCAGACGAAGACGCCATATTTTAATTATTATCAATTTTAAGCAGTTTTTCATCACATTCAGTTATATCGGTATTTGATCTGCTTCTCCCACGAAAGGGATGAGATTGGCTACTTGAGGTATTTTGACGTTGTACAGGGTACTTATTTTTATTTATTATTATGAAATATTTGTTTTTCATATTTTTCCTCCATAGGACCCTTATTATTGTGGTGGGATTGGATTTTAGATCTATGAAGTGTTGCATTATTGATTTCTCTGAAGCCTTTTTTCATTCTGAAATTGCAATATCTTTAGAAAATATTGATGTTATATCTTCATTTTCATGCTTTAAGCAGCACAATGGAAAAGCTTTATTGGATTTTTCTTTTTTAAGATCGAAAAATTCTGTTTCGTTACATTTTTTTACAGAGACCTGTCCGCTGCCATTTGTAAAGATTAAATATGACTGAATATCCATTTTTCCTAATTTTAGAAGGGTTGTTGGGATATTTATTTGACATTTAAAATCATTTGCATGCATTGCCAACAGTTTGTGGAAGCTAATTTTAGCATTAGCGTTTGGGAGCAAGCTATTTATTCTCTTAATATAATAATTTTGGCTTGATATAGGATTGCTAACCCCATCTATTTTTACTCCTTTCAAGAGACCTTTCTTCACAGAATCAAGTATAAAATTATCTATATCTTCTTGGAAGATGGAAATTTCCTTAACTCCCCCGAACGATTGACTGTAAAAATTCCTAAAAATTTGGGAAAATTAACCCCCATCCTTGATCGAACGATTTTCATATCATGCAAATTTTATATATATATAAAAATATATTAGTTATCAAAAGCTTGGGAAGATGTGCATAATAAAGTTGTTGTCAGAGGCTTTGAGACAACAGAAAGCTACGGAATCAACCATCAGAAGTGCTTTAGTCATCAGCCTAGGCTTAAAAACTCAATAATCTAAAAATAGAGATCCTTTAAAATTTAAAATTTTAATTCAATAAGGAACAAATTAAAATTTATACAGTTTAAAGGGGTAGCCAAAAAATCAAATATTAAAAATTGGTATTTTTATGAAATTAATTGTAAAAATAATTATTAAATACTCTTAACCCTCTTATTTAAAAATATATAAAAAAAATATTTTTTTTATTTTATATATAAAAATTTTTTAACCCCATCCTTGATCGAACAATGGCGAGCCGTTCGATCAAGGATGGGGGAGTAAGAAAACTTTCATTTTTCAAGTCTTTCAAAATCACTGGCAATTCCATCGTTTCCATTTGGATTTTATAAAGCTTAGAAATAGAAAATGAGCAAATTTTTTACGGTTTAAAATTGAGAAAATTAAACATAAAGAGGAAAGTATTATGAATTTTGACTTAAAGAGGCAATTGCTTGAAATAACTCCTTTTGGAAAATCCCTTAAGTGCATATATAAACTATTTAAATCTTATTTGGAGCAAAAATATCCTTTCTTTCCTTTTTATTTAAGTATTGTAAGACCTATTTCCCATTCTATCAATATAAACACATCTCAATATATCATTATATATCATATAACGACGCTGAGTTTTAATAATAAGAAGAGCCATTGGACCAATTTCTTCAATTTTCTTAAAACTCAATTATATATTTTGCATGAGAATTCGTCCTACCCATGGATAATTTTAGCTTAATAATATTTGAGACCAAATTTCCTTAATTTTGCAAGCAATACTGATGCTTCATGAACCCCTTTTTGCGTCTTGATTCCAATTAAAATCAAGAGGATTGATCAGTATGGCGTTAAAATTATGGGTTTAATCCTGATTAAAGAAAACTCAAAGAAATTAACAGCATTGTGATCCAAATTCTGTATTATTGAAATTAAGTTAGATTCATTGAAATAACTTATTATAGTGAGCATTAATTAATGCCTTTTTAGTAAATAAATATTTTGATAAATAGTGTTATTAAACATTAAAAAAAAATCATTTTTGTAAAAATATTCATCTTATTTCCCCATGAGAAAACAAAAACTATTGGAAAAACGCTAGTTTTTGATTAGAAAATGCCTTACGTGAGCAAAAAAAAAAATTATATATAAGTGATAATTAATATAATGAAATCTCTAGCTAATTCTTTTAAATTTTAAGCAGCTAAATTTTAAAAATATAAATTTTATAATCCTACTTTCCATTTTTTTACGAATTAAAATTTTTTCAATTTTCGAAAAAAAAATTTACTATATATATTTTTTTTAAAAACGAACCCCTCCTGAGCGACCAAACATTTTTTTATGCGCTCACTGAGAGGGGAGCTAGCAATAGTTAATGCTATTTAAAAGAATAAAATACATTCTAAAGAGTTTAAGCTATAGTTTATTTTAAATAAAAAATCCATATTAATTTTATTCAAAAAAATCATTTACTGACTTTTTTATTTATTGAAAGAAAAATAAAAATAATCATAGAAATATTTATTTAATGTGATTTGCATACCAAACATATCATTGATCTGATTTGTGACATAATAAAAACTTTATCATTTTCTTCTATTCGAAATTCATCAAGTGCTTCTTCCATTTTATCAAGAAACAAATTAAACTCTTCTTCTAAAATTCCTAAATTTTGATGAATCGTTCTAATAGACCTTCTAAACTCAAGTGACACATTTCCACTGAAAACATTTCGTAGCCCTGATAAAATCATTTTTTGATTCGAATCTTCAAAACGTTTATTTAATTTGTTTTCTGAAATAATTTTTTGAAAGAGTTTTACAACGAATTTATTTCAAAATTCATCTCCTCCATATTTAGAAACGAAATTTTGGTTCAAAGAAGTATTCTTGGAATTTAATTTCATTTCATCATACAATTCTACAATGTCTGAATAGTGTTTTTTGGTGAATGCATGACTTTCATCATTTCATAGCGGTTTATTTCGTTGAGCTTTGTGTCTTGATAATAAATTGTGTTGCAGGCAGGGAAATGAAGGTTTTAAATAGTCTGACTCGTTAGGAGATGGAGTCTGTGATTTTGATTTTTGTGATATTGAATTTATACGATCATTGTAAATGTTGATACATTGATCTTTAATTGAACAGTTTGAGATTGGAGGAAGGTGATTTTTTTCAATAATTTTATCGATCTTTTCTGATACTTGAGAGTATCTTTTAAATAAATCTTTTTCAATGGGCTCTGATATTTCGATAGCTGGGCAAATTTTTGACTTTTTCAGAGATAGCTGCCTTGGTTTGATACTTCTAAAAACATCATTTGGCATATTTTCTGTTTTTTGAATAAAATTGCTTTCTTTTGGTTCGTTTTCTTCTAAAATATTAATTTTTAGTTCAGGATTACTCTGTGTTCTTTGATGATGGATAACTTTAGAGTTTTTTCTTTTTAATCCTTCTGTGTCTTTGCTTTCAATTGAGCATTCTTTGCAATCAAGTAGAAATCATTTTTTGTCTTTGCTTTGTATAAAGTCAAGCACAATTCCAGAAATTTCTTTATTCGCCAACACCTTACTATTTAAAAACTCAACTAACTGAGAAATCATTCCTTCAATTTCTGTAGTTTTAGCTTTATAGTCAAATGTAAAGCAATCTTCAGGCTTTTCAGTTGTCAAAATTAGCTTGGTTTCATTTTCTATTTCATTATTAATTTCTTCTAGGGTATTATCGTCATTTAAAAATTGCGATTCTTCTTTTTGCTCTTTTTTTTCCTTTCTTGACTTCCCAACAACTAACTCTTCCCCTCCGTGAGTGAACAAAACCATTAGAAAAATACATTTTTTACCAAAAAAACCCACAAAAATTTTTTATGGTAAAAAAAATTGATATATAAATGATAATTAGTATAATGAAATCTCGAGCTAATTCTGTTTAATTTTTAACAAATTGCGTTTGAAAACGTAATTTTACAAATTAAATTAATATTTGCTTTCCAATTTTTTGCAAATAAGGATTTTTTTTAAATTTCGAAAAAAAATTTTATAAAAAATTTATTTATATATAAACTTTTTTAAAAATTAACACCTCTCCGTGAGTGAATAAATTTTTTTTTTCATGGGGGGACTAAGGATTTGCTCCTTTCTTTTCCTCTTTGCTGGACTCTAAAAGGATTATTAATTGATTGCGATGTTTTTTGCAGAAAATCTGTGTATTTGAAATTTGCATATTCTGATGAGGTGTTTTTCCTATGGAATTTATTATTTGCTGAATTTATTTTTGGGTTAATTCTTGGACGGCTTTTTATTTTATTTCTTTTTATTATAGTAAAATACTTTGTTGGCTGCCCAAGTCTTCATAGAACTCGAGTGATTGATATTTGATTAGTCCTGCACTTAATAAACTCTTGCATTATATCGCATTCCTCTATCGATAATTTTCAAGCTGACTCAGTTTCATCTTTATTATATATTGATACAAAGCCTTTATATGGAATTTTATAGCAAAAGAGCGCTTCTTCTGTGCTAGATTTTAAATTAAAAATGCTAAAAAATTCATGATCGTTGCTTTCTTTGAAATAAACCTTCCCTGAAGGATTTGTTTGTATTAAATATGGTTTTAAGCAGTTTTCAAGTCTTACAAGAGTAGTTGGTAAATTTAGGGCAAGACTGCCTGATTTTAAGTTTCTTATTATTGATTCAAAAATATTTAGTTTGAAGCTATCTGATCCTTTTGGAAGTAAGCTATTTAGCTTTCCTACTGTTTTTTCAAGGTAAGGATTGCTATAAGAAAAACTTTTATTGCTTGGATTTAATAGTCCCTTTTTGGTTGAGCTATGAATTAATGCTAGTAAATCTACCTTAAACTCAGCATTGTCAATATCCTCTAAAGCATTTTGATGAGAACTTTTCAGGCGCTCTATAAAGACTGTGTTTTCCATGTTTATTAATTTTAATAGAAGTTCGTAAGTAAGAAACAAAAAAAAATCAAATCGCTCCACAGTTTAAAAAAGTTTAATGAATTTTATTTTAATATGATTTATATGTCTTATCCCTTCTATAATACTCCATCAATAATCTATTTCTTTCTTCCAAATTCACTCATATTTCCTAATTAAAATTTTAGTATACCCATATACCTTTTAAATTGTGGATTTCCAATTTTCTGAACAATATCATCAGTATGAAATAAGACTCCTATTCAAAAATTGCATTTCAATGTTTAGACATAATAGTGACGATTTTATAACAAAGAATTTTATTAAAATAAATTTGGTGTTTAAATTTTTACTTTAAGTTCCAATTGAAATTTCATTTAAATCGAAAACAAATTTAAATACATAAGATCACAGAGAGGTTTATTTAAACATAAATTATGATATTAAATTAAAAAATCCATATGATACGTAAGCTATAAACTGCTGTCAAAATGTTGCATTCTTTCGAATTTAGCTCTAATTAAAGGATTGGCAATTATAGATGCCTATAATTCTCATATAAGTGATCAATAACTATAGACCTTTTATGAAATTTCGATTTTATGTTTGATCATTAATTTTTATTTTAATTGAATTTTAGAAATATTTGCTTAAAAATCATTAAGCTTCAATTCATTAAAAAATCGAATAATTAATTTAAATTATTTAATATTTGCAAATCAAGCATTTCATTGAGGTCATTTGCTTCATCATAATTTGTTTATCTTCTTCCTCAATTTCAAACTCATTTAAGGTGTTCTGAAACAGCTCAGAGTATATATCAAATTCCCATCCATAAATATTCCTGTTTTCATGAGATTTTTTTACACTTCTTCTAAATTCAAAAGTTGCATTGCCATTAAAGATTTGGCACATTCCACATATTATCATCCTCAAATCAGAGTTTGAGAAATGCTTGCACAAATCATTATTCCCCATTATTTTCCGATACAGTGATTTTATGAATTCTGTCCAAAATTCATCTCCACCATACTTTTTGACCAAATTTTGGCTCTTCACCTTTGCAAGCTCAGTATTCATCTTCATTTCATCTATTTTAGTAACAGCATCTAGAATAAGCTTTCGACTCACATCAGAAGTAGTACAGCTGTTTGCTAAATTAATTGAGTCGCTGCTTGCCCTATGCCTCAAATAAGAGCATTGAATGCTTTTACTCCTCCCTTCCATGAGTGAACAAAAATTGTGTTCACTCACGAAAGGGGTTTATTTTTTTTTAAAAATTTTAAATATAAATTTTAAAAAATTCCTAATTTGCAAAAATTGAGAAGCAAATATTAATTTAATTTATAAAATTTATGTTTTAAAACGCAATTTGTTTAAAATTAAACAGAATTAGTTCGAGATTTCATTATAATAATTATCACTTATATATAAAAAATTTTTTTTCTTTTAAAAAAATTTTTGTTCACTCGGAGGGTGGGCTTTTAGGCAAAAAAGATGATTTTACAAATGGTTTTGTTCACTCACAGAGGGGGGAGTTAGAAGAATCACTAGCCTCGTGATTTAAATGAGGAAGATGAAATTTTGAAAGATGGGAAGACAATTGATAGCTGCGGATATCTGGGCCACTTAAACAAATATTCTTAGGACTTCCAATAGAAGGCGAATTCAAATTCATAACACGCTCAAGTTTCGCATTAATTTTTGTTCATTTTTCAAGGAAAGCTTCTTCTGTATTTAATGTGTAATCTCTTTGATGTTTTTGGGTATTTCGAATTTTAAATGGCAGCTCATGAATCATTTCTAATTCTTTTTTCTCTTCAGGCTCTTTTTCTATCCTAATTTCTATGTTCGCTTTTTCTCTTTGCATGCTAATTTCCTTATTGGATGGAAATGAGCTTTTACTCAAACTAGATGAACTTCTTCTTGAATTTTTTATGGCTCTTATTGATGCATTAGGTGTTTGGTAATTTGTGGTCACTTCTTTGCAACCAATCAAAACCCACTTTTTTTCAGAATCTCGCATGAAATCAGCTCTGATTCCTTTGACTCTTTCATCTTTATAAATAGTTTTATTTAAAAACGATGCAATTTCAATCATCATTGCTTCAATTGTGGGATGCCTTATGAAATTTTGGACAATTAGGACATCATCAGAGCTTTCAGTATTTAAAACATAATCTTGATTATTTTCTTCACAACTACGAATAGGGGTATTATCACCGACTGGAACTTTTAGAAGTTTGGAGGTTGATAATGAATCAGAGAGTTTAGATGTCATTCTTTCAGGAGAGGATACAGGAGAAACCTTGCAAGGATTATTAATTGATTTTGAAGTTTGCATAATCATGCTTGCATACCGAAAATTGTTTGCAGGGAGTCCGTACTTGGCTTTAATGTTGAAACTACTATTCTGAGGCGATTTAGAAGCTTCTCTTGATTTTTTGCAAATTTTTTTCCTGTTGACTATGGTAAAATATTTGCATTTTCTATTAAATTTTCATAAAACTCTTATTACAGATATTTGGCTTGAATTACATTTTATGTAATTTTGTAAACACGAATTCTCTTGATTTGAATCGAAAGAAGATTCTGCACCTTCTTTTGAGTAAATAGGAACTGTCTTTTTTTCAGGACCTTTATAAATGTATAATGGCCCTTCTTCCAAATTTTTTTTTGCGAATAAATTTAAATATTCGCTGAGTTGGCAGGGCCTGGATATAACTTGTCCATTTTTCTTGGTCTGAACTAAGAATGGAGTATCAATATTGGCGATTTTAACAAGTGATGCTGGGATATTTACATTGATATTGGTTGAGTTTGAATATTGTGCTAATAAGCTAAAAATATCTGTTTTTATACCGTCTTTCAACTTTGGCAAAGAATTTTGTTTTTTTCTAATTTTTGAGAAGTTCAGATCATTGTCTTTCTTTAGATTTTCAAAATCTCCATAAGATAAAATGTCTTGCGTAGGTGAATTATTATTATTTAATTTTTCTTCTTCTTGTTGCTTATCATTAATATTAAGGCTTTCTCTCAAAGCTGCTTGCATTAGATTGATATCCATTTTATTAGAATACTGATGCAGTTACAGAAAAAAAAATAAAAGAATTTACTAGCAAAAATTGATGAACAAACAGACTACTATTTAGTCTTAAAATATTTGCGTTCTCTATGAATTAAGATTATGATAAGAAATAAAGATTTGGCTATGATAAAAGTTGATTTCTGATGGCCATGCTATTTTTATTTATCAATTTTTCGCTAGAAGCTGAAAATTCAAATTTATTTAAATTTGACAAATGATTAATTATTTGCTATAATATAAAGAATTTTTTATATTTTAGCCAGTTTAGACAATATTTATTTGATTGATATGAAATACCCATTATGCAAATATGTTAAACTCATATGTAAGCTAATCTTAGCTAGTTTCATAAGACTAAGCATTTCTATTGTGCCTGCTTACAAATAAGACCTTTCATCGATTTAATTTGAGATGCAATTAATTGCTTGTCTTCTTCTTGTACTCGATACTCATCAAGGGTTTTAAGAAAAATCTCATTAAAATATAAATTATGATATTAAATTAAAAAATCCATAAGGTACGTAAGCTAATAAAACTGCACTAAAAATGATACATTCTTTCGATTTAGCTTCTCATTAAAGGATTGGCAATTATAGATGCCTGTAATTCTCATATAAAATTATCAATAACTATAGATATCTACATACCTTTTATGAAATTTCGATTTATGTTTGATCATTAATTTTTATTTTAATTGAATTTTAGATATGTTGGCTTAAAAATCATTAAGCTTCAATTCATTAAAAAATCTAATAATTACTTTATATTATTTAATATTTGCAAATCAGGCATTTCATTGAGGTTATTTGCTTCATTATAATTTGTTTATCTTCTTCCTCAATTTCAAACTCATTTAAGGTGTTCTGAAACAGCTCAGAGTATATATCAAATTCCCATCCATAAATATTCCTGTTTTCATGAGATTTTTTTACACTTCTTCTAAATTCAAAAGTTGCATTGCCATTAAAGATTTGGCACATTCCACATATTATCATCCTCAAATCAGAGTTTGAGAAATGCTTGCACAAATCACTATTCCCCATTATTTTCCGATACAGTGATTTTATGAATTCAGTCCAAAATTCATTTCCGCCATACTTTTTGACCAAATTTTGGCTCTTCACCTTTGCAAGCTCAGTATTCATCTTCATTTCATCTATTTTAGTAACAGCATCTAGAATAAGCTTCCGACTCACATCAGAAGTAGTACAGCTGTTTGCTAAATTTATTGAGTCGCTGCTTGCTCTATGTCTCAAATAAGGGCATTGAAGGCTGTTAGAAGAATCACTAGCCTCATGATTTAAATGAGGAAGCTGTAATTTTGGAAGATGGGAGGACGATTGATAGCTGCGGATATCGGGGTCACTTAAATAAGTATTCTTAGGACTTCCAATAGAAGGCGAATTCAAATTCATAACACGCTCAAGTTTCGCATTAATTTTTGTTCATTTTTCAAGGAAAGCTTCTTCTGTATTTATTGTGTAATCTCTTTGCTGTTTTTGGGTATTTCGAATTTTAAATGGCAATTCATGAATCATTTCTAATTCTTTTTTCTCTCCAGGCTCTTTTTCTATCTTAATTTCTATGTTCACTTTTTCTCTTTGTATGCTACTTTCCTTATTGGATTGTAATGGGGTTTTATTTGAATTTGATGAACCTCTTCTTGAATTTTTTATGGCTCTTGTTGATGTATTAGGTGTTTGGTAATTCGTAGCCACTTCTTTGCAGCCAATCAAAACCCACTTTTTTTCAGAATCTCGCATGAAATCAGCTATGATTCCTTTGACTCCTTCATCTTTATAAATAGTTTTATTTAAAAACGATGCAATTTCAATCATCATTGCTTCAATTGTGGGATGCCTTATGAAATTTTGGACAATAAGGACATCATCAGAACTTTCAGTATTTAAAACATAATCTTGATTATTTTCTTCAAACCTACGAATAGGGGTATTATCACCGACTGGAACTTTTAGTAGTTTGGAGGTTGATAATGAATCAGAGAGTTTAGATGTCATTCTTTCAGGAGAGGATACAGGAGAAACCTTGTAAGGATTATTGATTGATTTTGAAGTTTGCATGATCATGCTTACATACCGAAAATTGTTTACAGGGAGTCCGTACTTGGCTTTAATGTTGAAACTATTATTCTGAGGTGATTTAGAAGCTTCTCTTGATTTTTTGCAAATTTTTTTCCTATTGACTATGGTAAAATATTTGCATTTTCTATTTAATTTTCATAAAACTCTTATTACAGATACTTGACTTGAAATACATTTTATGTAATTTTGTAAACACGAATTCTCTTGATTTGAATCGAAAGAAGATTCTGCACCTTCTTTTGAGTAAATAGGAACTGTCTTTTTTTCAAGACCTTTATAAATGTATAATGGCCCTTCTGCCAAAATTTTTTTTGCGAATAAATTTAAATATTCGCTGAGTTGGCAGGGCCTGGATATAACTTGTCCATTTTTCTTGGTCTGAACTAAGTACGGAGTATCAATATTGGCGATTTTGACAAGTGATGCTGGGATATTTACATTGATATTGGTTGAGTTTGAATATTGTGCTAATAAGCTAAAAATATCTGCTTTTATACCGTCTTTCAACTTTGGCAAAGAATTTTGTTTTTTTCTAATTTGTGAGAAGTTCAGGTCATTGTCTTTCTTTAGATTTTCAAAATCTCCATAAGATAAAATGTCTTGCGTAGATGAATTGTCATTTAATTTTTCTTCTTCTTCTTGCTTATCATTAATATTAAGGCTTTCTCTTAAAGCTGCTTGCATTAGCTTGATATCCATTTTATTAGAATACTGATGCAGTTACAGAAAATAAAATAAAAGAATTTAGCAAAAATTGATGAACAAATAGACTACTATTTAATCTTAAAATATCTACGCACTCTATGAATTAAGATTATGATAGGAAATAAAGTTTTGGCTATGATAAAGGTTGGTTTCTGATGGCCATGCTATTTTTATTTATGAAATTCATCAATTTTTCGCTAGAAGCTGAAAATTCAAATTTATAATAATTTAACAAATGATTAATAGTTTGCTATAATATAAAGAATTTTTTTTTATTTTTTGTCATTTAGACAATATTTATTTGATTGATATGAAATACCTATTATGCAAATATGTTAAACTCATATGTAAGCTAATCTTAGCTAGTTTCATAAGACCAAAACGTTTCTATTGTGCCTGCTTACAAATAAGACCTTTCATCGATTTAATTTGAGATGCAATTAATTGCTTGTCTTCTTCTTGTACTCGGTACTCATCAAGAGTTTTAAAAAAAATCTCAGTATAGCAGTCAAAATCTCTTTCGCTTATACCTAAATGATGGTGAACAGATCTAATTTTTCTCCGGAGTTCTAAACCGACACTACCACTGAATATTTGAAAAATTCCTGAATGGATTCTTGCAAAATCTTTAAGTTGTGAATTTTTAAAATGTCTGCTTAGGGTTTCAGATGATAAAATTTGATTATAGAGAGAAACAATAAAGCTATCCCAAAATTCAGATCCTCCATATTTTTCGACTAGATTTTTAAAGCCTGTCTTTGCCATTTTGATCTTAGATATAATTTCATCAAAGTGATCAACAGTATCAGAAAAACATTTTTTTGTATAAGCATGCTGCTTATCGTTTCACAAAGAATCTATTTGTTTATTTAACAATTTCTTTTTGCTTGCTTGAAATTGATAAATCTGGCTGCTTTTCTTATCGTTATACGGTGATGAAAAGTTGCTGTTTATAGGATAATTATTACTTGGTTCATCTAAGCAATTTTTCGAAAATACCAGCTTTTTGCTTGATATTATTTTGTTTAGTTTTTCATTTATAGTGTTGTATCTTACAAGCAATTCTTTTTCGCTATCTATGCTTGCCTTATTAACTTTGCTTGCCTTTTTCCTTATTTTAAATGGAAGCATATTTTCATTTTTTACTTCTTCACGAACTCGTTGCAAGCTATTTTCTTTTGCTCTTCCTTCTGACTTCTTTTTAACTGTTTCATCAAAAGATCTGGCTCTTCTTGTCTTCAGAATTTTCATTTGTTTATTTTTCATCCTCCCTATTTCGATTGGGAGTTTACTATCAATAAAGTATTCATTACATTCTAAAAAAAATCAATTTTGATTTTTATCTTGTATAAAGTCCAATACAATCCCACCAACGCCTTGCTGATAAAATACCTGCGTACTTAAAAAATTCACAATTTCTTCAAGCATCTTTTCTATTTGTGGAATTTTCGTATTAACTTCTATCCCATAGCAGCTTTCAATTTCTTTGGTATTCACAACAAAGCCTCTATCTCGTGCATCATTAAATATAATTTCGTCAAGCGAAAATGATTTTTCTTGAACACTCAGGTCATCTTCTTCTAAAATGCATTCTGAGCTCAACGATGCTTCAAGTGGAAAATTATTTGTTTTATTTGATTTATGAGGAATTTCAGTTCGAGAACGGACCAATCCAGATCTAATAAACTCTTGAGGCTTTGATTTAAGCTTGAAAGGGTTATTAACTGACTGTGAAAGAGGCTGAATCATGTTCCTATATTTAAAATCGCATAAATTTGAATACGATTTATTTAGCGTCATGGCTCTTTTTTTATTTCTCTGTGGATTTTTGAAAGATCTATAAATAGTTTTTGAACGGTTGATAATAGTGTAGTATTTAGATGTTGTACATTTTCTTCAAACAACTCTTATAATTGATTGCGGATTGCTCTTGCAATTAATGAAGTATTGCAATAAAGCATTGCTTTCTGCAGATTTCCATGTTTTTTTAGCATCATCAGCTGAAAATAAAAGTGAAACTCCTTTACTCTTTAGTTTATAGCAAAATAATGGAATAAAAGAAGATCTTTTATTTGTAAAAGGCTCAAAAAAGTCATCTTCTACAATTTCACTTGATTGAACTTCAATAGACCCATTTTGGCTTGTGAATAATGCAAAGGGAACTGAAATATTGTCCATTTTCAAAAGAGTGGTAGGGATACTGATTTTTGGTTTGATTTTCGTATTATATTTTGCAAATTGTTGAAATATATTGAGGTTCTGTGATTCTGTAGACTTAGGAAGCAAATTATTTAATTTGTGTACATAGGAATTTTTGGCAAATTCAGGAAATGCAATTGCTTTCGACTGAATGGATCGAAGAAGCCCTTTCTGCAATGAGGTGTTAATTAGTGATCTAATATCTTCTCTGAAGTTGATAATTTCATCTCTGACGATTGCATTTTGATGAAAATCCTTCAAGCATTCCAAGATTTTAGGGATATCCATTTTTTTGTCCTCAAGATAGTTAGGATTAATTTTTAACTTTTATTTCGCCAATATCCAAAAAAAAATAAAGAATAAATAACATTTTATCTAATAATATACCTTTAAGCTACTTATGAAATTGACATTAAAATTGCTTATAATAATTATATAAGCTTGCTATTATTTTTCCCTCTGCAAATAAGCCACTTCATAGACCTAATTTGAATCATTATAATATGTATGTCTTCGTCTTTTACATCATGCTCACGAAGCACACTATCAAAAATATCAACGTACAAGTTAAATTCTTTTTCAGTAATTCCCATCCCTTCATGCACAGCTTTAATTCTTCTTCTAAAATCAAGCGTAGCGCACCCATTGAACACTTTAAACATGCCATTAAAAATTGTTTGCAAATTATAATGCTCATAAAATTTGGTCAAAGCATCACAAGCCGTAATCTTCTTATATAGTGAAGAAATAAAGCGGCTTCAAAACTCGTCTCCTCCATAAGCTTCAACTAAATTTCTACTCTTTATTTTTAAAAGTTCTGTATTCATATTCATCTCATCTATTTTATCAATGACATCTGTAAAGCATTTATTAATATGGTCGTTATATTTATTATCCCACAGAGAATTCGAAGTATTATGAATATTCGATGCAGGAGACTCGTGGATGTCTTTTTTCCCTTCTTCAGGAGAATTAGTAATTGTTAAATCAGTCATTGAATCACTTTTAATATGCCTTGCTTGATAAGCTCTAATGCTTTGTTCTTCAGCGTCAACTAGCCTAGCCATCATAGATGGCTTCAAACTTACTGCATGGTCTATTTTTTTGGAAGCTTTGTGCCATTTTTCCATAAAATCAGATTCGTTAATTCCTGATTTTTGACTATCATTTAAAGGGGAATTTAAAATAAATGGGCAACTTTGCATAACTCCTGGAGTCAAACTCATTTTTCGGAGAGGCTTGCTTTCATCAAGCTGTGGAGAAGATGGGAGATAAGGGCATTTAGGGGTAGAGTCTGCAATTTGGTTGATTTTAATGTTAAAGTTGAAATTTTTTATGTTTGGCTTCGGCATATTTACATATGATAAAGTTCTTCTTTTCATTTTTGGTGGTAAATCAGCTCTTTTTACATATCTTATTTCCGGAAGCATTTTTTGCTGCAAAACAATTTCTTTTGAGTCTAAAAACACCCACTTTTTGTCCTTATCACAAGTGAAATCAAGTAGCATTTCTCCAAGTTCTCCATTTCTATATGCATTATCGCATAAAAATTTTGTAATTCTGTTGACCATGTTTTCTATATCAGCTACTTTTACTGTGTCTTCAATTACAGTTATAGTGTCAAGTTCGCGTGGATTCACAATATTGCTATTTGTATTATTTGGCAAACTCATCACAGTTGAGATTTCACATAAGTTCTTATCATAAAAAGCAGGATTCAGTATGCTATTCTGAGACATCAGCGACTCTGTGCGCTTATGTTTTAATTTGTCCTGAGCTAAGGTGACTTTAAAAGGGTTATTTATGGATTTTGAAGTTTTGGAAATCATATCAGTGTACCTAAAATCTCCACCCATCATGGTATTGCTTCTCTTTTTCTTGCTTACCATTGTAATTGTGTTGAGTTTTTTTATTGTTGTTTCTTTTTGCGTAAAATTGTACTTTACTCGGTTGGAAATCAAGAAATATTTACTTTTCATCCCAACTCTTCAATGGACTCTTATTATTGATGAAGGCTTAGACCTACAATGAACAAAATGCTGAATCCTCGCTGCAGTGTTGCTGGTGGAATTCCATAAGGATTCAGCGCTTTCTCGGGTATAGAGAAAGATAGTTTCGTGGCCTACAGTTTTATAACAGTAGATTGGGGATTCATGGTCACTTTTCCCGTTATATAAATTGAAAAATTCGCCTTCTGAACACTGTTTTGAGGTCACCGCTCCATATTTATTGCTTTGAACCAAGTAAGGCTGTCCTACAGTGCATAGGCGAACTAGTGTGATGGGGATATTAATACATAAGTTATTTTGTTTGGCAAAGGTTGAAAAAAGTCGAAAGGGGTCAAACTGTTGCCCATTGTACAGCTTCGGTAAGGAATTGAATTCCCTGTGATTGGTGACGTAGTCGTCTATTTTTTGCCTTTGGCTTTGCTGGCCGTTTGATGGGGTTCCTGTTGAGATATTGCCAAAATCGTCAATTGCTATTTCACTTTCTTCCATTCAGTTTATGGCTTGATTAATATTATCATCTTATATGTGAGGGATTTTTTTATAGTCTTAATTTAAATAATTTGGCAAGTTTTGGATTATAAAATATAATGAATGATTCGATTTTAGTGAGGGGAATGTTATAACTTGTAAATTTTAGTCAGTATTAGGTATTTATGATACATATTGATTTTGAGCTATTTCACTTCATAATTATAGAGATCTCTTTAAAACTTTTTGGCTTAATAGATTTGAGATATATAAATGGCTAGAATTGTTTATATTTATGTCTTACTTTTCCTTTTTATTAATAAAAAGCAAAATCTGAAGACATTTCTTAAGTGCTATAATGCTTTAATATATGAACTCATTTTTTTTTTAATTTTAAGTATTTTTTATAAAAAATAATCTGATTTTACTTTTATTTAATAGAAAAAAAAAATAGAGTTTTTATTAATTGAATGAGCTAGAAAATATAAATTATATGATTAATAATTATTTTGAATATCTTTTATCAATTTAATTTTATGCACCTTATTATCAATAGCATTATTGAATTTAAAAAATCTCAAAAATCTACCGAAAAGACTGCCTACAAATTAAGCATTTCATTGATTTGATTTGGGTCATAATTGACTGCCTATCTTCAGCGTCAATTTTAAATGACCTCAAAGTGTCCTCGAACAAAGTTGTGTACAGGAAAAAGTCTTTTTCCGAAATCCCTAAAAACTCATGGGCTGCTTTTATTTTTCTTCGAAACTCCAACGTGGCACATCCATTAAACAGCTTAAGCATCCCACCAATGATCATCACTAAATTTGAAGACTTGAAATATCTTCTGAGACACTCATAAGCCATAACTTTATCATATAATTCATTTATAAACTGATACCAAAACTCTTCCCCTCCGTATTTTCTTACAAGGTTTTGCCTTTTTATTCTCAAAAGCTCAGTGTTCATGTTCATTTCGTCAATCCTTCCTATGATTTCTAAGAAACATTTATTAATATACTCATTTGATTTATCATTCCACAAGGAAGTCGCTCCAGCGGATTTATAAGGACATTGGGTTGCAGGCCTTTCTGATAGCTGTCCTTCAGTGTCGCTTGCTTCACCATTTACATTGCTGATAGAAAATCTATTTTGGTAAGCTTTTATGCTTTGCTCTTTCAAGTTCATCGTTCTTACATTTTGCGGCTTTAATTTTATAATTTGGTCTAATTTTTGGTTAACTTTGTTAAATTTTTGAAAAAATTCATTTTCAATTGGGTTTTGAGAAGTGTGGACAATCTTGGGGCTTGAATTTAAAGATGAAAAAGTTGCTTTAGGCTGGTCTTCATCTGCGGTTTCCCTTTGATCGTCAGTTGGCATATTATTTAAACCTTGCTCCTGGTTATTAAGTTTTTGAGTTTCCCCGTTTGACATTGTCCTTCTTTTAGTGAGTGGTTCGAGCTCCGCTCTTCTTTTTACTAGAGAATCAGACGGAGACTTAGTGAATAATGAATATTCTTGGCAACCCAAAAATACTCATCTTTTTTTCCTATCTTGAATAAAGTCAAGAATGATTTCTTTTAATTCTACACCCTTAAAAATGCTACCATTAAGAAATGAAACTATTTGTTGAACCATGCTCTCAATTTCGATAACTCGAATATTATTTTCTATTACAAAATAACTATCAGCAATCTTTGTGTTGACTATTGGGGTAACTCCAGACTCACTTGAAGGAAAAGTTTCATAATTCTGTGGACTTTCAACGATTCCTAATAATTTATTATCGTTTCCGTCGATTGGTATCATACTTGAATACCTTTGTCTTGCTTTTTTAAAAGGTTTGGAAAGTGTGTTTACGGTGAATGGATTATTAATGGATTTTGATGTTTTTGACATGAGATCTGACCATTTAAAATCTCCGACCAAAGTCATACTTCGCTTCTTCTTACTAAGCAGCACTGCTAAGTCTGAAGACCTTTGCTGAGTGCTACCATTTCTAAATCAGTCCCTTAGCTCTTATTACGATATCTCCTTCATCAAACCCATGGTTAGATCGCTCTATTTAAGGGCCTTTTGCTAGAGGGACCGTCTTGTCTTCGTCTAATTTATCTCTCCTTTATTTAGTTCATCTCTAGAAAAATACTAATCGCTTCAAAAATTTGTAACAAGTCACAGCAAGCAGTTTGAGCAAGTAATCCTCTGCTCCATCTTAGACACCCACTAGTTTAGCTGCTGCGAAAAAAGAATCTCAAGTAATTGCCCATTGGACCAGGCTGCAAAAACTAGAATTGTTCTTAAGTTCCTCACTTCCGGGTTGCCAGATGTTGATGGTCCAACTCGCAGCTCCAAAAATCATGCCCTAGTATACACGTGCTACAGTCACTGAGAGGGTAGGCTGGACATAATGGCCATTTTATTTATATGTAAAATTTTATCAATTCATGCTTAATAATGCAAGCTATTTAACTTCAATACAGTTTTGTTATAATAATTATCATTTATATATCAAAATATTTTTATAATATTTTTTGACTCATAATGGAAGGGGATTAAGCAGGGTGTCTGAGTTTTTTTCAACTTAATGCTTGAGTTGCATTTCGGATTTTCTCTATTAATCATAACAAAATGTTGGCTCTTCATTCCAACCTTCCAATAAACACGAGTTATTGAAGCATTTTTGGTTTGACAAGCCACAAACTGCTGCATCATCCCTAATGAGTCTGACGGCAACCTTCATAGTCCTTCAGCATTTTCTTTCGAATACAGAAAAACAGTGTTGGCATTTGACAGTTTATAACAATAAATCGGAATATCCTGGGCAGATTTCTCTGGTGTAAGCAAAAAGAAGTCTTGATCAAGGCATAACCTTGATATAACTGTACCAGTTTTACTCGTTTGGACTATATAAGGATAATTAGAGTTTTCTACTCGAATTAATGTGGCTGGAATGTTGATATTAATGTTGCTATAATTTGCGTGAAGTGCAAACAAATTAAAAATATTTAGTTCTTCACCATTTGAAATTTTTGGTATTGTGACATGAGCTCTTTTCATCGGACTATATTCTAGATTTCTTAACTCCCTCCCTCCGTGAGCGAACAAAAAAATCTTGTTCGCTAATTTTTTTTTTAAAAAAAATTATATATAAATTTTAAAGAAAAAAAAATTTTTCGGAATTTAATAAAATCCCACTTCTCGAAAATTGGAAGGCAAATATTAATTTAATTTGTAAAATTTTGTTTTAAAACGCAATTTGTTTAAAATTAAACAGAATTAGCTCGAGATTTCATGATACTAGTTATCACTTATATATCAAAAATTTTCCCCCATAAATATTAAAAAAATTTTTGTTCGCTCACGGAGGGTGGGTTTTTGGGCAAAGAATAAGGATTTTTCTAAATGTTTTATTCACTCACGGAGGGGGAGTAAGTGATTATTCACTGAGATTTGTGAGGCTTTTTTGGTAAATGAGGATTCACTCATAGCTGGAGCAAGTTTCTTATCTTCCATATCGATTTTATTTTAAGGATTTGATAGCTTTGAATAGCCATTTATTGGTGGATTAGCTTATATTTAATTGATGAATAGAAAGAGAAATTTAGATGATTATATCATATTCTTATATATTAAATATCATTAAAAGGATAAAGAAAGACTGCACTAATTTTGTGTCCATTACCATTTTATCGCTGATTATTCCTTGATTTTATTCAACTTCATTGAAAATTTAAATTTACTAATACATACTTTACAAGAAGTATATGAATTTTAATAAGAGATATAGCAGGAATATGATAAAATAATTAATTCAACTTTAAATTCACTATTTTTGAAATTAATCTGCATAACTGAAACAGCCTAGAAAAAAGTCTCCAATATTATATCATAAGCTAAAGAGATATAATTTAATGCCTTTTATCTATATAATGAATAATAATTTCAATAAATTAATAATCTAAAATTATTTATACAGGCTTCGAAACACATTTTAAAGATTATTATTTCCACAATTTATCTGCATACTAACCCTTTCATGGAATTTATCTGAGCCATTATTATTCGCTGATCTTCGCTATCAATATCAAACTCCAAAAGAGTAGCGTTGAATAAATTTACATAGGAATTAAACTCAAATGTCGTAATGCTCATATTTTGATGAATTGACCTTACTTTTCTTCTAAACTCTAACGAAATATCTCCATCAAATATTTTAAACATCCCTGTCACAATCATATCAAAATTCTCAACACGCGTAAACTTAAATCTAGCTTTTAAAGCTGCATTTTGAAGAATTTTACTATAAAGTGATATAATAAATTGGTTTCAAAAATCATCTCCGCCGTATTTCTTAACCAAATTTTGTTTTTTAGTTCTAGATATTTGTACATTCATAGCCATTTCATCAATATTATCGACAGCATCCATAATGCATTTTCGAGTAAAAATGTGTTTTTTATCATCCCAAAAAGTTTCTTTTGGCTGAGTTTCTTTTTCATACTCGCTTTGAATGGAATTTCAACTTTTAATTTTTGGGTCCATTTGAGGTGTCTTACAGAAATTATACATGGGTTTGTAGTTTTTGATGCTTTCTTCTTTAGGGTTAAATGTTCTTAATCATTCTGATTGGCCTTGAGTCAGAATTTTATCTAATTTTTCGTTTACTTTATTGCATCTTTCCAGAAGCTCTTTTTCACTCATCATTAAAGTTTTCTCTGCCATAGCAGGCCTTTTTAATTTAATTTTAAATGGTAGATTCTTTTTGCTTTCTTGAGTATCATCATAATGTGCTTTGAATTTTCCTTTGGCTGGCTTTCTCTTTTCAGCCTCTTCTTCTATATTTGAAAACTCAAGAGATTGTGATCTGTTTGATTTTTGGGATTTTCTGCGTAGATTGAGATTATTGACTTCAAGATTGATTCTTGAGCCGCTTGTATATTCTTTGCAGTTTAATAGTACCCAAGAATTAGTTTTGTCTTGCATAAAATCTAGGACGATTCCTTTGATATTATATTGCCGAAACACCAATGTGTTTAAAAAATTAATAATCTGATCAACCATGGCTTCTATATCGTCGATTTTGATGAAGGTTTCTATTGCACAGCAACTCTCAGTATTTTTGGTTGATACAATGAATTCTTTATTAAGCTCATCTTTTAATAGGCTTATGGTTTGAGGAGAAATCCAGTGATCAGTATAGTCAATGTCGCTTGAACTCTTTTCTCCATCTACGTTCGTATGAAAACTACTATCAAGTGTAGAGCTTTTTTCTATGTCTAAAGTGAATGAATGTGATTTATCTCTTTCAACTCTTTTGCTTAGTTTGAAAGGATTATTGATAGACTTTGAAGTAGGGAAAATTAAATTTGTATATTGTAATTTCCTGTGGATGGCGCTGTTTTGGCCTTGATTTTCCCACTAGAAAATTTTTTGGTTCGACCAGTACCATATGGTTTGGTCAAACCAAAAAATTTTCCCAGTGGGAAAATCAAGGCCAAAATAGCGCTATCCATGGGAAATTAGAATATTTAAATTCAGCCATGCTTGTAAATGAGCTATTCCTCTTATGTGCGTTGATTTTTTTATTTGGGCTTTTTTTCTCTTTTTCATTAATCATCCTACGATTTATGATGGTAAAATATCTATTTTTCATACCTTCTCTCCATAATACTCGGGTTATAGATGCAGGGTTTGACTTTCCTAGGATAAAATTTTGTAAGCAGCGTTCTTCTTTATTCGAATTTCAAAATTTTTCTGATTGCTCTTTTGTGAAAAATAAAAGTAATTCTCTGCCTTGGATTTTACCACAATTTAATGGAAAATTGTCATTATTCATTTTACATTTGTGGACAAAAAATTCATCTTCATGGCAGGGTTTTACTTGCAAAAATCCATCCCTTCTTGTTTGAAGCAAATATGGTTTTTCTCTCCCTTCGAGTCTTAAAAGTGTGGTGGGGATGCTAAGCTTGATTGTCGTTTGGTTTTTTGCAAGCAAAGAATATAAGTTCAGTCTTTTACTTAGAGAAGCTTTTGGTAGTAAATTATTCAGTTTGCTGATAAAACAGTTTTGGCCATGCTCAGGTACCTGCGAAACAACTCTATATACAGATCTCATAAAACCTGGCTTTGATGATTGATTATAAATTGATCTTAATTCCTCTCCTATAACTCGATATTTGCTTTCTTCCTCCTCATTTTGATGAATATCATTTAGGTTCTCTAAGATCTTAGGGACTTCCATTAAGGCTTTATAAAAAAATACTTAATAAATTTTTTTTGAAATGATTAAATGCATTGATAAAAACGAAAAATAATTATAGCATATCGCAATACAAGCTACTTTGCCACCATTTTCTTTTAGAGTTAAAATGCTTTCATATACATGAAATAAGAAAATTGCTTTTTATTTAATCGAAAGTATTTAGATCGGTAAATTAATTATCATCTTAAAAAAAATAAAAATATAAATTAACAAAAGAATACATCATGCATATTATATTAAGATGCAGAAGATAAGATATATTCCGATTAAATTTATGATTATTTAATATGCAAATTATAAGACTTAAGTTGTAACAGCTAGTTATTTTATTATGAACCTATCTGAGGATATCTACAGATGAGGCACCTCATAGATCTAATTTGTGTCATGATGACTCTTTTGTCTTCCTCTTCAATTTCGAACTCATTCAATGTACTTTCGAAGAAATCGGAATAAAGATTGAAATCTTTATCACTAATTCCCATAAATTCATGGGCTGCTTTTATTTTTCTCCTAAATTCTAAAGTGGCGCACCCATTAAATACCTTAAACATCCCTCCAATAATCATGTCCAAGTGAGACCCAACAAAATACTTATGCAGACTAGATTCATCTGACATAATTTTCTTATATAAAGACCTGATAAATTTATTCCAAAAATCATCTCCACCATACTTTCCTACTAGATTTTGATGTTTAACCTTTAAAAGTTCTGTATTCATGTTCATTTCATCAATTCTCCCAATAATGTCTGCAAAGCATCTATGAATATGCTGGTTTTCGTTATCCCACAGTGGGTTTGACGTAGGCTGTGTATTGGAAGTCAATGGACTTGAATCTGTTTCTAAAGAAGGTGTTGTTGGCTCTATGACTGTCCCGTGCCTTGCATTGTATCTTGTCTGATAAGCTTTTATGCTTTGTTCTTTTGCATCTTTTACATATGATGGCTTCAAGCTCACAATTTTTCCAAGTCTTTCATTGACTTGATTTCACCTGTCGAACAAATCTTTTTCGCTTGCAGAAGTTGGGATGAGCTTTGGGGTTGATTTAATTGTAAAAGGGCAGCCAAGACTTGAATGAGTTGATGGAGTTTTATTGATTTTGATATCAGGTTTTGGGGTGCTTCTTTGGCTCTCAAGTATTAAAACTTCACCATATGAGCTGGTCCGCCGTTTACTTAAAGGCTTTAATTCTACTTTTTTGCCGTTTTCAAAAGGAGTTTTGCATCTTCCTACAGAAATTTCTTTGCAGTCTAATAATACTCATTTCTGCATTTTGCAAAGAACAAAATCTAAAACAATTCCATTAATTTCTTCTTCTTTATATACATTGGAATTTAAAAATGCCACAATTTGGTCAACTATAGGGTCTAGCTCAGCTCCTTTAATCGAGTCTTCTAAAACTAAGATATTATCAGTTTTCTTTGGATCCACAATCATATTGTTTTGGTCTTGCAGCTGAAAATCCCTTACTTCTATGTGCTTTTCATCTTTATTTTTAGCTGTTATCATTTTATCAGACCTAGTTTTTTCTCTCCTCATAGTCCTCGAAAACCTACTTACTTTATATGGATTATTGATAGATCTCGATGTTTTGAGAATCATATCTGTGTATTTAAAATCTCCTAAAATGCTTAAACTCTTTTTCCTCTGGTACAAGCTTGGAGTTGCCGAAACTTTTCTTTGGGTTTCACACAAATTATTTATGACGTGAATCCTGTTAATTATTGTAAAATATTTTGATTTCATGCCAGACCTTCATAAAACTCTAAGAATTGACTTAGGGTTTGATGGGGATTCTATATAAGTTTGAATCATTGCGGAGGAATCTGTGGAAGAATTTCAAAGCGACTCAGCAGCCTCTTTAGAATTGAGAATAATACTTTCTTTATCAAAGCGCTTATATAAATAAGTATGCCCTTCACAGTTTTTATTTTTGTGGGAAAATATAAAAAACTCATTGTCTTTGCAAAATCTCGAGCAGAGTATTCCATTACTTTTTGCTCATAGTAAGCATGGGATCGGCAAATCTTCGGATTTTATTAAAGTTGTTGGCAAGTTTATATTGAGCTCTCGGGAATTTGAAAATAGCGCAAATAAAGTAAAAATATTGATTTTCTTTCCATTCGTCAGTTTAGGCAGGATGTCAAGGTTTTTCTTAGTATTATTGCCTGGATTTTTGCAAATATTTGTGGAGCTTCTAATAGAGCATCTGGAGATTGGCATCATAAATGTTTCTGTGCTTTTTTTGAGCTCGTCCATCTAAGTCGTAATGAAAAATTATCTTATCCACGAAACATGGTTTAACATAAACCAAGAATCATGAATTAACTCATTTAAAAGATGTTGATTTTCTTATTTTCCAATGAAAGCTTTATATTCTGCTCATTATGATTCTATGGAATGACAAATTATCCTTAAGATTTAAGCTATCATTTTTTGCCTTCATTAAATATTTATTCAGACCTTTATTGATGAAAATTATTGATTATTATATGATTAATAACTAGTCTGATAAATGAGTCTAATTGAATATTTATTATTCTTATTTTATTGAATGGAAAAAGTACTTAGGATATAGACACCAGATAATTGCTTCTAAACATATAAATATTCTCACTGCTAAAACTAAGCCAAATGCATAGATCTATAATAAATTTTACTTCAACCTCATTATTCTCCAATTAAATTTCGATCTCAAAAATTATAAATGAGCTATTAATTCATATATATTATTATTTAAAGCACTGTTTGTCTGCAAATTAAACATTTCATTGACTTGATTTGCGACATTATCATCTGCTTATCTTCTTCCTCTACATTAAACTCAATCAGAGTATCCTCAAACAATTTAATATACAGTGAAAAATTGCTCTCACTTATTCCTAAAGAATTGTGAGCAGATCTCACATTTCTCCGAAATTCAAGTGTGGCACATCCATTAAAAATCTTAAACATCCCATCTGCTATCATTTTCACGCACGAAGTTTTAAAATAAGCTTTCAATGACTCAAAGCTCAAGATTTTTTGATAAAGAGAATCTATAAACATGCTTCAGAATTCATCTCCTCCATATTTTCCAACAATATTATGCCTCTTTATTTTTAAAAGCTCTGTATTCATCCTCATCTCATCTAAGTGGTTGATCCCTTCTGATATGAATTTTCGAGTATGGTCAAGCATTTTATCAGTAAAAACTGCATTTGTAATAGGCTCTGTTTTAGCAGGTGACCAATTTTCTATTTTTGAAGGAGATGAAGCTTCTGTTGTTCGCACGCTTCCTTCTTCTTTATTTTGAGATGCAAAAAACGAGTAGCTTTCAAGCTGGAATCGAGCTTGATAAGCCTTTATGCTTTGCTCTTTAAAGTCTACATCTCTTAAGTAATTTAGTGGGTTTAAATTTACTATTTGGTCGATTTTCTCGTTGACTTTATTGCATCTTTCTAATAATTCTTTTTCAGACCGATGCCCTTGAGCATGATGATGCTTTGGGCTTGTTCTAATTCTAAAAGGACATTTAACTTGCTCTTCAGTAGTTATAGCAGCTTGTTTAGAGTCTGCATCAGAACACATTGGCGAATCTGTCTTATTTTCATAACTTTTCAGCATCACAAATGACTTACTCCTTCGCTTCTGTGTATTAGCTTCATATCGTTTAAGATTATCTACTTCAGGTGGCAGCTTGCTGTTTAAGCTGATTTCTTTGCAATTAACTCCCCCCCCCCTCTGTGAGTGAACAAAACCATTAGAAAAATCACCATTTTTTGCCCAAAAGCCCACCCTCCGTGAGTGAACAAAATTTTTTTAATAGAAAAAATTTTTTATGGAAAAAAATTTAATATATAAGTGATAATTAGTATAATGAAATCTCGAGCTAATTCTGTTTAATTTTAAACAAATTGCGTTTTAAAACATAAAATTTTATAAATTAAATTAATATTTTGCTTCCCAATTTTTGCAAATTAGGATTTTTTTAAATTTCGAAAAAATTTTTTTTCTATAAAATTTATATATAAATTTTTTAAAAAAAAAAAAATTAACCCCTCTCCGTGAGTGAACAAAATTTTTTTTGTTCACTCACGGAGGGCGGGGGAGTAAGAAAAACTCATTTACTATCTCGATCATAAACAAATTCAAAAATCGCGCCTTTCAAGTCTTCTTCTTTAAAAATATAAGCATTCAAAAAATCAATGATTTCGCTTATCATTGCTTCTATTTCAGGTATCTTGTTTTTATTCTCTACCACAATAAAACTTTCTGGGTTATTTTTATTAAGAATGTACTTTTGGTTTTGCTTTGCCTTAAAAGCGAAAATTGATGGGTCGTCTGATCTGGTTTTTCTAATCATAAAGCTTGGGTCATCCATATTTGCTTCTGAAAACGAATTTGTTAATTTTGGCCTTTCTTTGAGGCTGGATTTTGACGCTGCGTTGATTTTGTATGGGTTGTTAATAGACATTGAAGTTTTGAGAATTAAATTAGTGTATCGAAAATCAATCGATTGTGTTTTTTTCCTTTTGAAGGAAGAAGAAGGACACGTAGTTCTCTTTTGAAAATCTTGAGATCTAATTATAGGTTTTTCACAGCTGATAATATTAAAATATTTTGTTTTTCCTGACCTCCACAAGACTCTTGTAAGAGATACTTGTGAAGACATGCATTTTACATAATACTGGACGATTGCTGAAGAATCTTTGGAAGATTTCCAAAATGCCTCAGCACTTTCTTTTGAATGGAAAACAATGCTTTCTCTATACAGTGATTTGTACAAATAAATTTGTGCTTCATGCTTTTTATTTTTTTGACTCAAAGCAAAAAAATCATTTATCCCGCATGGCCTACAATGAAGAATGCCATTGGTTTTAGTCCTAAGCATGACAGTATGCTCTAAATCCTCAGTCTTAATAATTGTTGTCGGTATATTTACATTAAAGCTCCTTGAGGCAGAGTATAAGGCAAAAAGACTATAAATATCAATTGGTTTGCTATTAAATAGTTTCGGAAGATTGCTGAGCCCTTTACTGAACATGTCATTGGCTTTTTGAGGTGAATTTATAAGCGAGGCTCTACCGTTTGCCAATGAGAAAGGGTCTGTGCAAAATTTGAGCTCTTCCATCTATTATTCCAAGATTTTCTTAAACCAATAAAGATGCTTATTAATAACCTGCAATTAATATAAATCAGAGCATGTTAAGAAAGCTGATAGAGATAAATTTTAATATAAATTGATGCTAACTGATAATTATTTAAATGTTAAATTGATAAGACGAATACTATATCAATCCAATATTTTTATAATAACCTTAAAAAAATGTCAGAATTGATTTTAAGGTAAGATAAAAATTCTAGTAGTAATCTTTTAAAATTCCATTAAAGCGTTTTATATCTTGTAGTTCATATTTTGTTAAAGTTATTAACATAAGTTGATATTTATTATATAATTAATATTTAATAAAAAGAAAAAGGGCAAAACTTTACAGCGAATCTTATGAACTTTGTCTACATATCAAACATTTCATAGACCGAATTTGTGTCATCACAATATTTTTATCAATATCAGTTACCTGAAATTCATTTAATGTGTCTTCAAAAATATCTACGTAGAAATTAAACTCTTTTTCCACCAATCCCATAAATTGATGAGAAGCTCTTACTTTTCTTCTAAACGCGAGAGTTACATTTCCATTAAAAAGTTCAAACATTCCATCCACTATCATTGCAAAATTTTCAAGCTTAGAGCTCTTGAAATATTTACTAAGAAGCTCATTTGCAAGAATTTTATTATAAAGCGAGAGTATAAATTTATTCCAAAATGCGTCTCCTCCATATTTTTCTACTAGTTTTTCATTTTTTACTTTCGCAATTTGTGCATTCAAATTCAGTTCATCTAAGCTATCAATCATATTGTTAATATGGTTTCTTGTGTAGGCATCAACTTTTTCATTAAATGAACCTTCTGAGTTATTTGACGAGTTGCTGCTCTCAATTGTCGCTTTCTTATAAAATGGACATTTAAATTTAGATATTGATGGGTTCCAAATTGAGCATGACTGAGGGCTTATTCTTGCTTCATAAGCTGGATTGCTTTGAGGCTCGGTGAAGTGTGAGCTTAGGTTGATCTCACTTTGGTGGCTTACAATTTTATCAATTCTTTCGTTTACTTTAGAGCATCTCTCAAAAATATCTTTTTCCGACAAATCTATAGGTGTAAGTCTATGCCTCGGCTTAGCTTTATAGCTTTCAGCTAGAGTGCTTTGAGTTTCTTCATTTTTTATACTCGGCTCTACCTCTGATGTTTCTAATTTTAAGGTTTTTAGTTTTAAATCTCGGCTAAAATCATTTGATTGGCTTCTTTCTTTTCTTATATATCTTTTTTTCTCCCATCCATTGTTTAAAGCACAGCTTGTTTGCAAACTTTTATTATAGCTATTTGAAAATTCTTTGCACTTAAGCAAGACCCACTTCCTCTCATTATTTAGTATAAAATCAAGTACAATTCCTTTCACATTATCTTCTTTAAACACTTGTTTATTCAAAAAATCAATAATTTGAGATACCATTGAACAAATTTCTTCATATTTTCCTCTGCTTTCAACAACACAGCATTTTTCAATTTTTTTAGAGTCGACTAAAAAATCGGCATAGGAGTCTTCTCGAAGCCTTTTAGATGCTTCACTCTTGGGTTCCTGAGCAGGGAAAATTGTATCATCAGTAGGAATTTGGCAAAAAGATTGGGATAGAGAAGGGATTCGGTTTTTTCCTTTTTTCTCAATTGTTTTGATTTTAAAAGGATTGTTTATGGATTGAGAAGTCTGCTTAAGCATTTTTCTGTACTCAAAATTAGAGAGTGTGCGCTTTCTAACACCTTGCTGCCTATTAGGCCCAAGTTTGCTATCATTTTTTATATCCCACTTGAGCTTCTTATTGTTTATAATTGAAAAATATTTATTTTTTGACCCTTCAACCCATAGCACTCTTGTGATTGATGGCGGGTTTGATAGACTTTTAACAAATTTCTGTAGTCTTGCAGGCTCTTTTGAAGATCTCCATATATTTTGAGCATGCTCTATTGAGCATATAACACTAACTTCTTTATTCGGGGTTTTATACGCATACAAAGGCGTACCTGCATTCGTTTCTTTACATCCTTCATTTTCCATCTCAAAAAACTCATTCTCATAACACGGCCTAGAAGCCACCTTTCCATTTTTTATTGTGCGAATTAGAAAACAGACAGGTAGATTCTCCGTCCTCATAAGAGTAGTAGGAATATTTACGTCAAGGTTATTGAGATCGAAGTGTTTTACGAACGTTTCGAAAATATCCAGCTTTCTTTTGAATAAATTGTTTGGCAGCAAGCTGTTAATTTTTTTTGTGTTTAGACTCTGCAGATATTCAGATTCACTTCGAAGCCCTTTGAAATGGCCTTTTTGTTTTGAGTCCTTTATCATTGAAGCCAAATCTTCCTGAAAACTTTGAATTTCATCTTCCTCCATCGCTTTTTGGTGGAAAACATTTAGGCTCTCCAGTGTCACAGGCAAATCCATATTAATTTATCGGGTAAATAAAAAATTACCAGTTTTATGCGTGTTTCTTTTATAGTAAAGAGAAAAATAATTAAAATCTTCCTTCTTATAATTATACAGTAATCAGTTTTCATCAAATATGGAACCAAAAATGAATTATTTTCTTTCATTTTGAATTCTTTACTCACCTCCTCTCCATGATCGAGCAATAAAATTTTGTTCGCTCACAGAGGCAGGTTAATTTTTTTTCAAAAAATACAAGCTATTTAAAATTAAACAAAATTAGTTAGAGAATCCGTTATATAATAATCATCACTTATATATCAAATATTTTTTTCATAAAAAATTTTTATTCGCTCACGGAGGAGAGGTTTTCACCCAAAAATAGGGATTTTTCCTTTCACAGAGGGTAGAGTTATTTAACGAAAGAAATAAAATAGTATGTTGACGGAAATTGGACTCCGAGACACACTCATGTGGAGTGGGAGGATTCATCCTGATGAAGGTGAAAGCAGGCCCCTGTCCTTTTTGAAGTAAGCCTTCAGCCTAGGAATGTCTTGCCAAAGAGGGAAGTTTTATTTCTCCCCCGAGGGTTTTTCTGTCCCTGCCAGATGGACTATCAGATTTTGCCTACCACATGATTCTTCCTTGTCAGGACTAGTGTGGCACTCTTCAGATGACGGCTCTGTCAGGGGAGCTAATCCCCTGGACAGGTGGTTCAGGTCGGAAATTCAAGATGGTTGCTTTCTATTTCCTCATTTGAACTCAGAAAATCCATGGAAGCTGCTCTTTTGGAGCCGAGACGAGGAAAACCCGTTTATGGCCAGTTTAATTTAATTAACGAATTCGCTGGCAAAATCATATATAAATTAAGTTTTTATCCATTTAGTTGATACTATCAAAATTTCAGCTGTTTATTTCAATAATATGGCTGTTTTTCATATTCTTAACTTTAATTAAATATTTTTAGTTATTAGACATTTCATTGATTTAATTTGAGACATTATCAGCTGCCTGTCAACATCTTCAACCTGAAATTCGATTAAAGTCCCTTCAAAAATATCTGCATAATACTCGAACTCACGGTCAGTTATTCCCATTTTTTGATGAGAAGACCGAATGGCTCTTCTGAACTCTAGATTTACCATTCCGTTGAAAATCATGAGCATTCCATTCATGATCATTGCAAACGTGTCTAGCTTTGTTTGCTTGAAATATTTAGTTAAGGCTTCATTTGCTAATATCTTATTGTAAAGGGATAGGATAAACTGGTTCCAAAATTGTTCTCCTCCGTACTTCTCTAAAAGATTTTTGTTGACTTTTGATAGCTTTGTATTGAATTTTGCTTCATCGAGGGTATCTATTACACTTTTATAGTGCTTTCTTATGCAGAGATGATTTTTGTCACTGTTTAAAGAATCTCTTATAAAGGAAAAAAAAAATTAAAATGGAGCAAGAAGAAATGATTAGTGGAGACTCACTAATGCTAGGAATTAATAATGAGGCCTTGTGCTATATTTTCTGTTCCAGAAGATATCAAATTATGAGTCTCCTTACATGTCTAACACTGAAAAAGTTTATCTTTATAAATTTCTGAGGAAGGCTGAACAGAAAATTAAGGATTGTTTGCATGTTGGTTTTATGAGAGTTTCAAGCAATATAAAACCCACAGACTGTCATAAATAGTAAAAACTATTGTCTGGAGAGATGTTGTGGTCACATTTTGCTCGGTAATAATTAAAAAGAGTTTGTTTGGATTTGACGACTTTCTAAGATATTCAGACAAAAATTGCAGGCATAAGGACTTGAAAAAGACTTCCTAGCTGAAATTCGCAGTAAGATTGGTGAAAAATTCATTTGCAATATTTAGTATTTATTCGAAAAGGTCAGACTTTAAGGTCTAATGGCTATAATTTATTAGCTATTAGTTTATTAGTTATAAAGGAAGCATTCTCAATTTTTTGGTTGGTTTTTGGGGGACATAGAAATGGGTTATTAGAAGGAATTGGGGAAAGCAAAGATCGAGAATTATATCTTATACCTCCTAAGGAAGCTTATATACATTGATAATAGCTGCTTATACAAGATTTTAAAAAAAAAGACAACATTTCTTTTTAGAATTAATACTGGTAAATTTCTAAAGAAAGTATATCTTATACGCTTGTATGCTTTGCTCTTTTAAGTCCATTGACGATAAACTTACAGAAGGCTTATGGCTAACAATACGGTCAATTCTTGCATTAACTTTACTTATCCTTTCCATGAGATCTTTTTCCTGCACTTCAGGCTTTAAATACTCTTTTGGCTTAGCCCTAATTTTAAATGGCAGCTCATTTGTTTTTTCTCTGTGTTCTTTATATATAATAAAGCTTGTATCCAGATCTTTTTTGTCAATTTCAATTTTGGTACTAGATTTTTTTAAGTCACATGACCTACTTCTAGTAGAAATCGATGGAGTTGATTTTCGCTCTTCAATTATGTTTGCATCTAATGTCAGCTTATATATCAGCGAATACTCTTTGCAGTCTATAAGCACCCAATTCTTATTTTTATCTTGTATAAAATCAAGCACGATTCCTTTAATTCCATCATCCCTAAATACTTTGGTATTTAAAAATGAAATGACTTCAGATACCATGGCTTCGATTTCTGGGATTCTCCCTTTATTCTCCACCCCAAAGCAGCTATCAGGAATTTTAGAATTTACAATGAATTCTTTTGATAATGATAAATCAGGGCTGCTTTTTTCGTTTTCCTCGCCTAAATTTAATGAGCTGTCATTTCCTAATATTTCAGTTTTTTCCTCATGAATATCATTGAGATCTGGAAACTCAGCAGGATTTTTTCTGACTATTGACTGAGTTAGCTTAGACAGCATTTTAGAGGGTGTCATGCTTGGAGTGATTGATGATGCTCGATTCATTCGTCTAACCATCCTTTTAGGTGTGCTATTTGTGGATTCTGCTTTAGTTTTGTTTTTTACTTTGGAGCGGTTGATAATTGTATAGAATTTGAGCTTACATCCAATTTTTCAGAGCACTCTTGTAATAGAAGCAGGGTTTGAATAACTTTGAATGTAATATTGCAGCATTGCAGGGGCTTTGGTTGATTTTCAAATTGCTTGAGCACTTTCAACAGCATTTAGTATTAGAGTTTCTTTGTTTTTGGCTTTATAGCAAACAATTGGACCATTTTCGTCACTTTTTCTCTGATTTAGCTTGAAAAAATCATTATCAAGACACGGCCTTGATACAACTGCCCCATTTTTTAAAGTTTGGATCAAAAATGGAACAGAAATATTTTCAATTCTTAAAAGAGTCGTCGGAATGTTTACAATTACTCTTATAGAGTCCAAATGCTTAGCAAGTAAGCCAAACAGATCTAATTTTTGGTTTCTTGCTAATGGAAGTAATGTATTTAACTTTTTAGTGTAAATGTTCTGTATATAATCTTCTTTGTTTTTAGTGCAATTAAAAAGACCTTTTTCTGCTGATTCATTTATGAGGGATATTACATCTTCTCTAAAGTTTTGAATTTCATCTCTTTCCATAGCTCTGTGATGGTAATCTTTGAGATTCTGATTAGATTAGATTAGGATGGGCATTTATAGTCCACCGTTCCTGAAGCACCGTGCGTTCCCTCAAGGCAGCTTGGGCCTGGGCTGAAACACCTGATTTCTTGGTAAAGGCATTTCCCTCCAGATCTGGAAAACAGATTTTACCTGGAACCTCCATTTCCAACCCAAGTGCAGAATTGCCCAAGCCTTGCGTAGCTTTAGCAATATCGTCCTATTGAAGGACCCTCTAAACTGAAAAGACTAACCCTGAAAGCTTCGTCTAGCCTGTCTTCGTTTTTCTCCGGATCATTCGAAGAAAAAACTCAATGTGGTTACGCAGGCTCGGGACAGGCCAGAAAAGTAGCTTAGGCAGTTAATTTATCAGATACCCGTTCTGGGCCTGGTGCTGCTGGCAAAAAAGATGCAAAAAACTGCCGCTCGAGCGAGACCACTAATTTGCTGAAATGGTGCTGAGCCTCTCACTTCGAGGCTAGCCAACCCTTGAGCAGTTAATTGTACCAAAAATCGCATCCGGATATGCATAAGGACACCCGCCAGGAGGAGGAGGACAGGTCGCTCGTCACCGGCCGTTTTATGTATATGAGATTCTGCAAAATAACTGGAATATCCATGAAATTTTTTTAATCGATTTTGTTTATTAACGTGTTTTTGATTTATTAGATAAATATATTATAGCTCTAAAATGCTTATTAAAAGAATAATTAAATAATAATTATTTAGCTAAGTTTTGAGGAAATTATATAGAAGTTTTATTATCATAAATTTATAAGAAATAGTTAAAACTTGAAAGAAATTTCACATAGTGGTAATGAGAATCGCATTTAAATTATTTAAACTGCGAAAAAATTTAACAAACTAATTCTGGGCTTATGTTTTACCTTTTTGAATTGCCGAACCATCTAAAAAAAAATAATGTCAAGAAAAAAATATATGAAATTTAAATATTAATTTTTATGATATCATTGCCAATTTATTATTAAAAATGCTTAAAATTTGATAAAAATAAAAATACATATATAAATCAAGTAAATAGAATGAAATAGTCTTTATTTTATGAAAATATATATTATTAATCTTAACTTATACAGATTGAATCCTATGAGGAATTGCATCAAGAGTTTTTCCAATAAACTCAATTTCCTTACGCACATCATCCATTTGAGAAGACTTTTTCTTGCTAGACTCAGTTACTTTAGGCTGTATGCTGAGCTTATAAGTGTTTCTTGAAGCTGTAAACTGAGAATATCTCGGACCAGCATTTTTGCTTTGGTAAGTGGTAGGATGTCTTATCATATGTTTAAGCTGTCTATAAGCAGCTTCTAAATCAAGCGATTTTTCATATTCTTTTTCATCTCCAAGTAGACTTCTTGCAGCGTTTCTGAACTCTTCAAGTCTGGTCCTTTTGGCTTTTTCTCTCATCTTTTTCTCTCCTCCTTCAGTTTCTGTTAAGAAAAATTGATTTCCAGCACTTTCTTTTATAGGCCTAGATGAGCCTCTATCATTACTCGGTGTATAAATATCTTTATAAGCTGGAGGAGGCTCAATTGCAGGCGGGAAAATATCTTCTTCGATTTCTTGTGTTGAATTTATTTCAGAAATCGGCAGCACGCCCATATCTTTGCTAAGCTCAACCCCAAACAATTGATTTTTTAAAGCAGCTGTATAATCTTGAGTTATATAAGCAATTGGTCTTGCATAAGGTGCTTTGTTTCTTTTTTTGTTATTTTGCGATTCGCTTATAATTGTTCCGCCTAGCTCAGTTGCGATTACCTCTTGTAATTTATCAACATCTTTGGTTTGTGCAAAAGGATTGCCTGTTATTATAAGTATTTGGAGACTTGGCATATTGCTTGCATACATAAGGTTATCTTGATTATCTACCCAGTTATAAGAAAAATCCAGCTCTCTTAGATGTACGAATGCTTCTTGTTCAAGAGCATCGCTATGGATTCCTCTCAATTTATTTCTAGAAATATCAAGCTTTTGCAAGCCAGGAATTGTAGACAAAGACCTGAATAATAAAGAAGCAGAAAATAAAACACTGTCAGTAGAAAACCCATTTGAGCTTAAATACAATTCTTTCAAAGCCTTAAAGTCACTTAAATCTTCAGGTAAGGTGCATAAATCATTTGAAGATAAATCCAGCGATTCCAATCTTCCAAGTGAAGAAAGATTTGAAATACTTGATGCGTGGATTTTATTATAGCTTAAATTCAAAGTTTCCAAACATCTGAATGAAGGAAATGGGAGGGTTGGAATGTTCGTTATTTTGTTGCACATCAAATTCAGCTCAGTCAGACTTTCTAAATTTTTCAGCTTTTCCATAGCAACTGCGTTATCTGAGAGATCTAATGTACTTAAGCTTGTAAAGTACTTTAAATCGTCCTCTACTACATCAGATATGCCTTCACCGCTGAGTCTTGCACAAATTGCTTCATTTGGCATTTCTACTTTGCATATACATTAAAATGGCGACGACGAAGCAGCCCTTTTTCTCAACACCTGTAGCCGCGAGCACGAAAGGCAGCAGGAACCTTGTGGAAGGGAAATTGGCACTCGATGAGCATCCTCGTCCAGTAAGGGCGGCTCTTTGAAAGGTTGTGTTATGATTGATAGTGAGCAAGCGAGAGAAGCGTTAAGGGTGGAGGTAGTCTTTCGGGAATTACGGCGGAGTTTTCTATATTAATTAAGTGTAAGTATAAGGCATTCCACTTTGCATATTTCTAAAAGTAAAAAGCCGTCTAGGATTTTATTGTAGTTTTTTGGTTTAAATGACTCTGGGGTTTCTTTGTAAAATGCGTTGAAAGGGTTTTTTCGGAGATGCCGAGGGCGTTTTACTCTTGCTGGTTGAATTTCAGCGTTGAGGTCGTGGACTTTGACGGGGAAACTTTGAAATTTATCGTTACTCTTGGTACCTTTGGAGCTGCTTATAATTGTGCTTATTGAGTAGGACATTTATATGAAAGAAATAATTGAATAAAGATAGCTAAAAATGAGTCAAGCAATAAAATGCTTCTAGGTAGTATTTGTTTACTGATGATTGGGGTGCTCGGGTTTTGGAGTGATTCAGACACAATAAATATAGACTTAGCATCACATATGCCGTATATCATTAAAAATATATTTGAGGATCAAGGTAATCCAGAAATTGAAGCTAAACTGATAGCGCAATCCTATTTAGCTAAAAGAGAAGTATTTAACTTAAAAAAATTGAAAAATGTAATATTTACAGGAGATTTATTTAAGTATGCTGAAGAGTGAAAAAGAGAATTATTTTATGAAATCTTCCAAACAGAATCAAAAGATATCCTAAGAGACATCCATTATATTCCTTTTTCATATGAATATTATCAGGCTATTAAAACATCATTTCATACCTGAATGTCTCAGCAGCCTACAGAAGAAGAATATCAAAATATAGAAACATCCCATGCTGAGTCAATCGAATGCCCAATATTACTGAACTTTCCTTACACATTTTAAGTAAAATTCTTCCTATTTAATTAATAATTTATATATTATTCAATCGTTGTACTTGAACTAGTCTCATTGCACCAGTAAGGCTTCCAAACAAGTAGCTTGATATCATTTTCTGTTTTATATATATTTTGCTTTAATCCGCCTCTTATTTTCAGCAATCCAATATTTTTCACTGCCTCAAAAATTTCACCTACAACTTCTCCTTTATCGTTAACAATTCTTTTTCCTGATAAATTTAAGTCACAAGCTTCGTCAACAAATTCAACTGGAGGATGAACAGCATCAGTTAAGCCTTCAAGCTTATCTGTAATCAAAAATGGATAAGTTCTTGTTCTTACGACGCCTTGAGTGTGGACTCTTGCCATCAGTTCTTGGCCAACATAGCAGCCTTTATTGTAGCTTATCGTATTTAAAAGATCAAAATTTAGCATCTGCGGAATTTCATTGCAAATTGGCGGACCTTCAGGAATGCCTAATAAGATCCTTAAATACCTATAATGCTCAGACCCTTTCTCCACGATTCCACTATCTTCTTCAATTTCTAGGCAATCCTGCTCAGTAATCGTTCTAGTTCCTAATAGCTTGCATCTTGGATCAACAAAGCATGTATAACCATAAAGCATTCTCCCTAAGTCTTCGTCAATTTTAGGAGGCTCTCCTATTTCATCAAAAAATTGCCTTGCCCCTTCAGGCTCTTCTGGGATTGACACAGGTGATGCAGTTGCATATACACTCATGAGTTCATCAAGATTGTCTACTTTCACGTCTTTTCTAAATGCATGTTGCTTGATATAAGCCATAAGAATTGACGATTGATTTATATGTGTATCTATAAAAAACGCAGGATCGTAATCTACAAATGAAGGAGCTTTTACTATAATTGCGTGGCACTGAATCCTTCCTTTTGGGTCTAAAAATAAAGAGTTCATTCCCCATTGAGGACTGCTCACGAATTTATCGATGTCATTTGTGCAGAGACCTTGGAGAAGCCTGAGTAAAAGTTACTTTATGCAGTCTTTGCCATGAATTACATTTATTGACCTATCTGCGAGTTTGAATAAATATCCAACATTGGCCAGCATTTTTATTCGCAAAAATGAGAGATAGAAATTAAAGTTATTTATTTTTAACAATTTTCTTGGTAGGATCTAAAGGAAAAACTTTGATATTCTCATAAATCAGAATTTCGTCAATTAATTGTAAATCTCCACTTACAAGTAGCTCTCTTGGCTTGCTCTGAACAAAATTTAAATTTCCAGAAGGACTGCCATCTAATCCCCCTTTGTTTCTTGCAATTAGAAAACTCTCTAGCAAATTTTTTATTTTTTTTCTTCCTCCTGTGAATTGGATTGCATTTTCACTTACTCCCCCATCGTGTGAGCGAATAAAACCATTGGATAGTCCCTATTTTTTTGGTAAAAAGCACCCTCTGTGAATGAACAAAAAATTTGTTGAATATAAAAAATTTTTTTATGAAAAAATATTTTGAAAAGTGATTCAAATTATTTCGATTTGGGATTTTTAAATTTGATATAAAAATTTATTACAAAAATTTGCATATCAATTTTTCAAAAAAAAAATTAATCCATTCTGTGATCGAACTTATTTTTTTTTTTTAATAATGGAGGGTGGAGAGCTAGAAATCAAGCTTTAATATCGCTGGAATTGATTTCTTCTTTGTCATTTTTTAAAACAGCAAGCTTTTTATTCTGTAAAATATTTTGGTTTAAATGGGCACCAATATTATTTGTGAAGTGCTTTCTTGGTTTTATCGAATTTATAGAGACTCTTCCAGAAAAGCTGCTTATTTCTGAGCATCTTGGGGATGGAGTTTTTAAAGAATTTGCTAAAGCTTCTTTGCATGTTTTCATATTTGTATTAATCTCACTGTCAAGCTTGGATATTCTGTGTTCATATTCATCAAGCTCTACTGAAAACACTGGCTTAATATTTTCAATAAGCTCAGAGCTCATTGGCCTATCCGATTGTTTAGTTGAAAAAGTTGATGCAATTGCATTATTTTCTGCTTTATGAAGCAGCTGTGGTGATAAAGATAATTTTGGAACATTTTTTGGTCTTTGCTTCTTAATTTTATTGCCTTTTTTATCTGAGCAGCTCATTAAAAGTCCAACAAATAATAAGAGCTTCAAAATGACCTCTTCATACTTATATTGATCAATTAAATCTTTAAAATGCTCAGGATTAGAAACATCTTTGCAAAATAACTCAAAGTTTTGTTTATTTTGCATCAGCATTTCAATCATTTTTTGGGCATTCTCCATTACCTCTTTATTTTGCCTTTTTTGAAACTTGCTGAGTGTATCTGGAAATGATTCATCGCTCATATCAGTTCATGATTCATCTATAATGTGCCCACTTCATCGGTCTTCAGCTTCTTTCAATCTTTTCATTAAATTTTTGTTTTCAATATCTTTATCAAATAATTCCTTTTTATATTGTTCAGCTTTTTTTAATTTATTCTCTTTTTCTTTCAGACTTTCAAAGAGGAAATCGCTTTTCTCTTTTTCCTTAGTTAAATCTTTAGTACATTCTGTAACAGACTGAATCAATGCTTCTTTTTCCTCTTTTGATTTTAAAAGCTCTTTCTCACAGTTCTCTAACTCTTTGAGGAATATAATCAAAAATTAAATTAATCGCCTTTCGGGGAAATTGAAATACCTTTTTAGAATAATTATTTTTTAAACAAAGCATTTCTCTAAAATATATAGATATAATAAATAAATAAATAAATAAATAAATAAATAAATAATGGTTTCCATTCAAATTATTGTAATTAAATTTTCTGTATTTTGTCTTGTATATGACTTTCACTCTTCATCAGTTAGCAAAAATAAGAATTTTGCTCACTTTCAGAGAGAGGAATTAAGTTATTTTTTAAGCTATTAATTTTTTCTTTTGATGTTTGGAGATCTTCTTTCATTTTCCTAAATAGCTCTGAATCTTCGTAGTGAGGAATCTCATAAATGTTTCTGAGGCTGTAAAATTTTTCATTAGGCTTTATGGGGTTTTTGTTAGAGTCAACTCTTTTCTTCTGATTTCCCCTATCAATTATAAACAAAATCGGTTAAATTTGCATTTTTTAAATTAATCTCCTCTTTTTATTTGGAACAAAATTTATTGTTTATTCTAAAGATTATAATGTATATCGAAATACCTTTGATACCTAATTTCTGTTTCAAACATCAAAAACTTATCTATGCATATATATTTTAAATGGATAAATATAAATAGAATGCTATTAAAACAAAGTTAGGATCTTTAGTGATAAATTTTATAAATTTTTTTCAAAAAAATTTGAACTTCTAATAATCTGGAATTGAATCCAAATAAAAGAAAAGGAGTGAGAACTCGATTTTCGAGAATGCCTCATTATACAATGTTTAAATTATCAACAGCATTTTAAAGATTCATCATAATAGTCTATGAGTAAATTAATGGCGCAATTGCTTTTTAATTAAACTCGAAAGATTATAATAAAAGGATTTATCTAAAATAAATTGAATAATAAGAAGAAATATGCAGCATTATAATATAAACGATAGTAAAGCCTCTCAGGAGCTCTAAGATTATTTTTATGGTATAGAGCTCATTCTGAAATTCTATCCTAACAATTATTAAATCTTTTAGTCAGAGAAGTAAGTTTTGGATTCCTTCTATTAAATGTTTTATTGCAGCCAGTCTTTCCAATCTTAATTAGAATTAAATATCGGTTAAATGTTGTCTTCAAATCTTTGTCTCATAAAAGGACTCCTTCTGCTGTCTCTTATAGACCCGTAATCCCCTGAAGCTCTATTTTCTTTGATATATGCTCCTAGTTTATCTTCTTTTTGTGCCAATTCAAATCTTAGCGAGTGTATTCTCTCACTCAAATCCTGCACATCATTTTTCCTCAATCTTGCAACCTGCTCTTTTTGTTCTCTTTCCTGCTCTAAGTACCCTTCTAACTCCAATATTCTATTTTCTAAATTTTTAACTTCTGTAAAGTACCTTTCTTTTGGAATATAATCCTGCAAATTCAATGCTTGCCTTTCATAATTAAGTGATTTTAATTTTTCCCAAGTTGAAGCCAAACATTGGCTTTGACATCTTTCCAGTGGTTCCTTTTGAGGACTCCCTTAAAGGTTTTCTTGGGGAGAAAATGGAAATCACTGATTAACAGTAGCGATAGTAGGTTGCTAGGCAACTCTGTAGGAGACATTAAACGATATAGAATAACTAAGATAACTAAGATTTTAATCTTTCATTTTCTAATTCTTCTTTTATAGCAGTATATCGCTTTTCATATTGCGATTTTACCTTTTCGATTTCTTCTTGGTGGGAGCTTCTCAGCTTAAATTCACTTTCACTCCTTTCTGTTATAGCTTTCCTCAAGTCTTCTTTGGTTTTTTCTAAGTCTTTTTCATATTTAGCTTGAAGCTCACTAGTTGATTTCCTTAATACATTTTGACTGCTTGTTTTTATTTTTAGAGCTCCTTCAGTGACTTCTTTTTGCAGATTATCAAAAGCTTCTGTATTGGCTTGCAGTCTGATGTGGAGTTTTTGATTTTGCCTATTTGCATCTTCTAAGTCCAATTTAAATTTTGCAACTGACTCTTTAGCTTTTTCAGCCATAAGTTCACTTGATTTCTTTTTATCAATTAAGAGCTTGACAGCTTTTCTTACATTTTCCATATCAGGATCATCCCATCATATGATTTCTTCTCTAATTAAACTTTCTTCAAGCTTATGAAGTTTATTTCTCCACTCTCTTTTAATTTCTTCTGAAAACCCTGTCACTTTGCTTTCAAGAGTTTTTCTTTGATTTACATCTTTTTCTATGAATTTAATAGATAGGTCTTTTACTATTGATTTAAGCATAGCGTTAAATGAACTAATCTCAAAGTCCAAGGTTTGTTTTATCATAGATAAATCAGATTTCAACGACTGTATGCAGAATTTTGTGTTTCTCCATATTTTCTCAGTAGTGAGATTGAACTTCCTCCCTTTTTCTAACAATTGAGCTTTGTGGGCCAACAGCTCTTCTTTTGTATACTCAAGTTCTTCTTTCATAGATATCATCATTGATTTTAGTTCGAAATTTTCCTGCTCAGCCGATATCAATCGTTCTCTATTAAGCTTATCCTTATTTTCCAGCTCAGAAGTCAAAGATTTCGTAAATGTTTGCGATTCTTTCAGCAAGTTCCTGGCTTCAGAGTGATGACATGTAATTTCGTCAATTTCATCTTCTAAAACCCTTATTTGGTTTTCTAGCTTTGATATAAATTTATGAGATTGTTCAAGGTCATCTTCAAGCCTTTGGCTTTTTTCTTTTTCTAAGCCTAAAAATCTTTTTTCAATGAACTCATTGTTCATAATTTCTTGTTTTTCTTGGTACTTAATTGTTTGCTGCTTATAGTAATTTAATTGGTCTTCTAATTCTTTTCGCTTTATTTCAGATTTCATTAATTCATTTTCTACCTTGAACCTGAATTCTGATTCTTCTCCTTTGCATGACTTCAATAAGTCTAAAGTGTCACTAGCTTTTTCTAGCTGTGATAAAATATCAAGTTTTTCGTCGTTTAATTCTTTTATTTCGTTACTTTTCTGCTTGATTTCAGCCTGCAAAGCTGCCTTGCATGATTTTAAGTCACTTTTTAAGTTTTCTTCTCTGTCAATAGAATCCTTCAATAAATCCTTTTGGTACTTTAAGTCTCTTTTAAGTTTATTTATTTCTTGGTTTAAATTTTCAATGTTATCTTCATGTGTCCGGCTCAGCCTATCTATTTTTAGTTGGTGCTCTTTTACTAACTTCTTTTCATGGGCATCAATAGATTCTTGATGGGATACTTTTGGAATAAAGTCTCTTTCAATTTCTGATGATTTACTTTGTAGAAGGGATCTGATTTCTTTTTCTTTATCACTTCGTATTTTCATTTCAGTCGTGACGATTTCTTCTGCTTTCCTTTCTAGTTGTGTTTGCAGATTTATTATTTGAAGATCGTATTGAGATTTCAGCTCATCAATTTTCATTTTTTGGCTTTTTTCTGTTTCTTTTATCTTTTCTTCTGATTCTTTTAATAGATTTTTCAGATTTTCTTCATTTTCATACGATATTTTGAGCTGGACTTTGGCTTCTTCCAGCTTATCAGAACAATTTTTATAATCTTTTTGACTTTCCAAAATTTTCGATCTTTGTTCTTTTACTTTTTGCTTCAGCTTCCCATTTTTGGATTTTGAATTTTTTATGACACCTTGCAAATCTTGCTGAGACTTAGTAAGTTCTTCATATTGGCTCTGATAAGCTTGGAAACTAGATATAAGTTTGGCTTGGTCTTTTTCCACAGCTTTTTTCTTCTGTTTAAGCTCATTGTTTTCATCAATTAGCTCTTCTAATCTCATTTTGAAGTTGTTTTTATTATCTTCAAGAGACCTAACAGAAATTTTCCACTGCTCTTCTCTATTCAATGCATCTTCTAGCTTACTCCCCCCCATCCTTGATCGAACGATTGACTGTAAAAATTCCTAAAAATGGGGAAAATTAACCCCCATCCTTGATCGAACGATTTTCATATCATGCAAACTTTTATATATATAAAAATATATTAGTTATCAAAAGCTTGGGAATGTGCCTAATGAAGTTTGTTTTCAGAGGCTTTGAGACGACAAAAAGCTACGAAATCAACCATTCGAAGTGATTTAGTCATCAATCTAGGCTTAAAAACCCAATAATCTAATAAAATATAGATTCTTTAAAATTTTAAAAAAAAAAATCAAAAATTCAATAAAGAACAAATCAAAATTTATAAAGTTTTAAGGGTAACCCAAAAATTCAAAATATTAAAATTGGTATTCTTATGAAATTAATTCAATTTTTTGCTGTAAAAATAATTATTAAATACTCTTAGCCCTCTTAATTAAAAGTATAAAAAAAAAAAAACATATTTTTTTTTATTTTATATATATATAAATTTTTTTACCCAAAAAATTTTTTTTTTAACCCCCCATCCTTGATCGAACGATGGCGAGTCGTTCGATCAAGGATGGGGGGAGTTAGATTTCAATCCATCAAGTTCAAAGCACAGATCATTGATATGTGCCAAATCCTTTTGGCGCTGAGAATTTAAAACTTCATTATCGATTTGAAGCCTCTTAATTTTTTCTTCAGACTCTATCATCTGGTTTCCAATTATTTTATTTTGGCTTCTTGCCATATCTTCTACTTTATGCGACCATTCTAAATCTTTTATTTTAAGCTTTTCATCGATAATGGAATCTGTGTGCTCTACTTTCATTCTCATTTCATGGTAAACCCTTCCAATTCTGTCTTTTTCTAGCGATTCCCTTCTCACTTTGTCCTCTAAATCTCTAATAATTGATAATTGTTTCTGTTTTTCATACTCGAGCTTGAGGACTTCACCTTTTTCTTGGATCAATGAGTCTTGAAGTTTTGAAATTGTCAGTTCTTTTTCGTTGCTCATAATGCTTTCAAGCAATTCTTTGGCTCGCTGAGAAGCAAAACCTTGGCTTAATGAACTTTCTTTCATCGCGTGAAATATATCGTCGTTATTTACATCTTCAAAATATCTTTGGACTTGGTAATTTAAATTTGAAATTCTTTGCTCATATAAGTCTCTAGCGTATTCTAGTTTCTCTTGATATTCTTTATCCTTTGCTAACTTCGAGTCGTATATTTTGTCTGCCAAATCACTTTGGCGCAAGTTTATAGGCTCATCTGAAAAGTTCATTCAAGTAATAATTTATTTAAAAATGACTAATTAATGATTAGGAGCCAATTTTTATATATAAAGACTTATAATTATAATATTTCAAATATTTAAAAATTAAAAATCTCAATATATTTTAATATTTTCTTGATGTCAATTAATTGGATTTCAATTTTTAATAAATAATTAAAATGTGACTAAAATTAAAGTGATGAATAATTAATAGAGCTTCAGCTATTAAGCCTAATGTCTGATATAGAAATCCCACTACTAGAAGCTCATAAAACAGAAACAGAAATAGAAGCAAATAAAAAAGGAATTACCAAAGCAGCTACCCGTGATAATGAAAGTCTTTCAAAGTTTAGTGACGAAGAAAGAGTAAATAGTTATTTTATCAAGCAAGCAATCCCAAAAATAAAGCGTTACTTATCAAACAATCTTCCGAATCTCATCGGGAAGACCAGAAGATCTGCTATTTCTATCGACATCTCATCAAGTTTAAAAGAAATCCTAATTCCGTGCTATGATGGAATCTTAGTCTATAATAATTTAGAAGACCCCAGTAAAACTAAAGAAATAAAAATTTCTGAAAAAGTCCTAACTAATGCCATTTTCAGCAAAAATGATACAGCAGCTATTGTAGGGTGCAGGGATAAGAAATTGTATATTATAGAATTGAATAATCTGAATATGACAATTCTTTCAGGGCACGATTCTTCGATAACTATGATTGCAACAACACCAGATAAAACATTTTTGTTTTCAATTAGCAGCAGAAATGAAGTTTTTAAATGGAATATTAACAAAAAATCATTTTCTGAGATATACTTATTTAACAAGAATAGCCCACTAGGAAGCATTTTTTTGGTTGGCCGGACAATAGCTGGCTTGCCAAATTCATTGGCATGCCATATTGTCTAGCTAACCAAATTTAAAAATGGCGAACCAAAAAATGCTCCTTAATGGGCTATTCTTGGCAAACAGGTATATCAAGTTTTGGAATTTTCAGTCAGAGTCATTATGATAAACTTGATGTTTCTCAAAAAATGGTTGCATTTCTTAGCAATAAAGGAATGGCCTGCTTATTTTCATTAGACGGTGACAGATTTGGAGAAATGCAGTATAAAAAACGCTTGGAGTTCATAAAAATATCTCCTATGGAAGATTATGTTATTCTATCCACAGATGATGCAGTAATAATATTAGATATCCATATGACTATTTTGCATGAAATCACAACTCAGCAGGTCCCTGCATCTTTGTCAATAACAGACAAATCCATCTTAATAGGAAACAGATTTGGAAAGCTTACGTTTTTCGATGTAATTGAGCTTACCTCAATGAGCACTCCTACATCAAATTGCTCAATTGAATGCATTTCTTATCAAATTAAAAATGATTCTATATATATGTGTGATATTGAAGGAAACTTGTTTTGCATGAAAAACCCAGGCGCTGATTTTTCTTATAAGCTTCAAGATATTCCTTATCAGTTGGTTGATTTTTCACATAATAGCAAGAAATTGGTGTATAAAGATTTAATGCCATTTATACAAGAATTAGACTTGAATAGTTATAAAAGCAAACATTTAATAGAAAATGAAGACTGGGCAGATAACTTGTTAGTTATGAAAGATAAACTGGTTTTATCGAACTCTCAGTTTATTAGTGTTGTTAATTTGGATACTAAAGAAGAGGAAAGCAGAATTAGTCTTGATATGAATGAAGAAACTATAAATTTTGTGATAGAAAGCCAAGATTGCTCTTTATTAGCATTTGGTGGAAAGCTGGGATCGCTGATTGTAATGAATTTGAATGAAAGAGCAATTAGGATTAAAATGAAAGAGCACTTGAATTCGTTGAAATGTGCGGTATTTAGTATGGATAACTCAATGGTTATGTCTGGAAGCTCAGATAAAACGATTATTGTTTGAAATTTAATTGAAAATAGGGTAATGAATACTCTTGTTGGCCATACAAGAGCAGTGCGTTCATTAGAATGTTTAAGAGATAGCAAAACACTTATATCAGGAGGGAAAGATTCAACAATTAGATTTTGGGATATAAATGCTGGGTATCAAACATACCTGATAAGCACTCAGCAGCATAAAATAGTTGGGCTGTATGCTATGAAAGATTACCCTTATTTACTCTCTTGTGGCAATGAAGGATCAATTACTTTCTGAGATTTAAATACATATGAGCAAATTTTTTCAAGCCTTATAAGCCCGAAAACATCTAGAATGAAGCTATCTCCTAATGAAGATTATATTTTGTATACATCTAGAAGGGATTCATATATAATAAACAATCCAGTTAAAGCACACACAATAGAAATATCAGGCCCAGGCTCCCAAAAGTATGATTTTATGAAATATCTTGACTCATTGATGACTGTAACTCCTCTTCAGCACGATAAAGAGATGGATAATGTTTAATTGATCCTGGGAATTTAATTGTCCCTTCTCACAGTAATGCTCCATAAAGATAACTCCAAATGATGTCACGGCTTATAGATGGCCTCCACCTAACCTAGGCAGAAACCTCGATTTCTTGGTAGAGATTTCCCTAATCCACCAGTTCACTGCGGATTTTGCATAATCCCCTATTTTCAGCTCGAGGCCATGCCCATGTTGCACAAACCTTGCAACCGCTGGCGATATCGCCTTTGTCTTCAAGCCCATTTACAAAAAAGAGACTTGTGCCCTTGAAAGCCATCTAGTCTGCCTTTCCCTCTTCCCTTAGTTAGTCTAAAAGTAAAACTTAGCAGCTTGACAAAGAATTACAAAACTCTACTTCTCGAATCACCAAAATCAGCGAAAATAATATTTGTCTCTCAATGATAAATCAATTCTTGGGTGGCCCTTTTAAAATAATATCTTATACACATAAAGACCTCCGGTATTGAGAGAGCAGGTTTCTTGTAATCATAATTTTATGTATAATAAAGAGATGGATAAATGAGCAGTAATGCCATACTGCTTTACCTCAAAACACTTTTACAGCTTCTACAATCACTATGATCATCTTCAAAAATCACTAAATCACAAAATTTCTTTTACAAGTGCTCTTAGTTGTGAAAATCCTTTATCAATCAGTCTTAAAAGAAAAAACTACGAATGCACCGAAGTGATTGTTGAGAAGTTCGCTGAAATTGCTAATACTCAGCCAAAGTTTTTATCATTGATTAATAATGATATTTTGGTAAAGCTTAACTTTGAGAATTTCCAAAGCCTTAGCAAGCTATATGATAACACTTTTATTAAGTGGCAAGAAATCAAAGCCTCGAAAACAGCTCCTTGCCCAGCATATGATTTAGTTGACACACTTGATAAGCATGACCATCTGGACCAACAAATTAAAAATAAATATTTCGGGAAGAAAAAAAATATGAGCCTGTGAAAGAGCTGCTTGAAATTAAATCTAGAAACAGGATCGAATGACTCATCAAAGCTTCTCATTAGTATTAAGGAGGCAAAAAATCCACAGATTATTTCTACTTTGTTTATTCAATCTCTTATACATTTCAAATGAAATCAGGCATACTTAGTTCATTTAATTCATCTTGCAGTATTTATTTGTTATATAGCTACTCTTATGCTTGGAGATGGCATAGACAGCACTGCAGCAATAATTATTTCGTTTGCTTTTAATATTTTGTTAGCAATATATGACATATACCAGACTGTAATAGACTTTTTACAGATGCAGAAGCATAAGTTTTTTAAGCACTCAATTGAGATTAGCAGATCCCTTTTATTTTTTGCTTATATTATATTCTGGTCTCAAGATATTTTACTATATTTAGTAACAATATCTTGAATTAATGGATTGTTTTTCTTTCGATTATATAGGCCAACTATGAGAGCATTGAGGTATATCTCTCATATTATCTGCAAATTAGTCCCAGAAATTATACTAATCATCTACATTATTTTAGCTCTAGGTTTTATTATCTTTTTACAAAGCGCAGAAAGCAGTTTGCTTCACTCATTACATATTTCAACTTATTTAGCTTTGAAAAGCTCTGATTTTAGTTCAATCCCAGAAAATGAATTAATTATCACAATTGGGATAATCATCTCTGTCTTTATTTTATGCTCACTTATCCCGATATGTGAAGAGGTGCACAATAAAGTATTAATGGACCTTGAATGAGATGATAGCATTGAAGATATTGAAATGATTATTGAGTATGAAAATTTGTTGATTTGGAAACGAAAAAAAGGAAAGTCTAAATATTTAGTGGCTTGCTTGGAAAAAGAAGTTAAGAAAATTGACAAGCTGAATGGAAAAATAAATAAAATCAGCCATAGAGTGAGGTCTGAATTGCAAATTCAACTGGCAGAAATTTCAAAGAACATTAAAGAAAGTTTTTTACTCTTGGAATAAAAAATCTCCAAATTGAGCATAATTTTTTTTAATATAAAAATTTTTTAGAAAATGTATTTTAATATAATGCTAATTATTATAGAATTTTAAACAGCTTCCATTTTTAAAACATAAATTTTTTCCAAACTAAATTACATATTTCTTTCAATTTTTACGAATTGGGTTGCTTTATATTTCTGAAAAAAAAATTCAGCACCTTTCCGCGAGTCAGTGAAATTTTTTTGGAGATGGTGAGTTAGAGGAAGCTAAAAATGTTCGAGAAAATATTGATAATAAGTATCAAAGATTAGAAGATCACATTAAGAAAATGGAAAATAAATATGCGGAAAAGCCCACCTTAACAAATATACCTGTTTACCAAGAATCGCCCACTAAGGAGCATTTTTTGGTTCGCCATTCTTAATTTGGTTAGCCAGAAAATATGGCATGCCAACGAATTTGGCAAGCCAGTTATTGTTCGGCCAACCAAAAAATGCTCTTTAGTGGGCTATTCTTGGTAAATAAGTATAGCTCTCATTCTCCTTAAGATCTAATCATTAAATTAATGGCTTTGTTCATTAAGTAGTTTCCTACATAAGTCCGCAAGTTCATCATAAGCTCCTAAGTCCACTTCTGGTCAAACACATGGCAATTAATCCTCATCTACTTTAATCACACCCATTCCCAGCCCACTTAAAATATGTGGAATGCTGTTTCGATATTTTATTATTTATTATAACGCTGCAAATAAATAAATTGTTTTTATATTTACTATATGTAGGGGATAAGAATTATACTAAATGAGTGGTGGCCTCATCTAATAGGGGAGGCCATCTAAAGAGGGCTTTGGGGGTGGGCTGCTAGGCTGCAATCTATGCTCGACCACACCTCTTCATTATTAGTTATTTGTTCAACTCTTTTAGTAAGTTCTTCATACTTTGGATCGTTAAATTCTTTTAAAGTACCCAAGGATTGGTAAACAATTTCCATCATTTCTTTTTTTGAATTGGAATCATATGCCTGAATAATCATATTCATGCAATAGCATGTTAAATAATCAGAATTTCCTTCTATTTCTATAATCTCTTCTCCTGTACCTTCTACCACTTCTTCTTTTTCTACATATTCTATAACTTCGGAACGAGTTTCTTGCTTTCTAATAATTCTCGTTTCGCTGCTTTCTATCTCATATGTGGTTTTAGATTCACTCATAGTTTGGGATCTATCTAAAACTTTGCTACTGCTTGTTTGTGAATTACTAAATTGTTTACTAAAATTGCTTATCTGGAGCTTTAAGCTTTCATTTTCTTTTTTTAGACTTTTGATTTCTACCTGAACTGTTTCGAATTGTTTTATCTGGCGACTCAACCTTTCATTTTCTTCTTTTAATCTTTGCATATCTATCTGAACTTCTGTGCTTCCCTTGTTCTTTGCAGCTTCACGCTTTAGTTTTTCATTCTCATCCATAAGGCCACTTATTCTATATTGTAGATCAGTGGTTTCTTTATCCTTTTTGCCAATAATTTCTTGTGATTTGAATTTTTCAGAAGTAAGTGTTTTTATTATTCCATTAAGACTGCTAATTTCTTTGTTTTTTTCTTCAGCCTGCTTCTTTAATTCACTTTCAAGTGTTTCAATTTTTAGAGAGTATGATGATCTATAAGAACTCAGATCGTTTTGCAGCTCGACTATTGTATTTTTTAGCTCGTTTTCAACTTTTTGTAGCTGCATTCTATGAGTTTCTTCCATTCTATTTGTAATATCAAGCATCTTCTTATCAAACTCAGCTTTTATTTCTTCTTTCTCTTTATCAAATATTTCAATCCTCTTGTCTCTTATACTGATATTTTTCCTCAATTCTTCTAACTCTTGTCTGTATTGTTGTATTTTCCTATTATTTTCTTCGATTTCTATTTTATTTTGATCGAGAGTTATCACATATCAATTGATTTGGTCTTCTTTTATTTTCAAAAGATTCTTATCATTCTCATGATCTTTCAGGCATTTTGAAAATAACTCTCTTTGGTACTCATATTCTTCTCTGAGATGCTTCATGCTTGCTTTTTCTCTTTCATAGCTTTCGATCCTTTTGTGGACTTGTAAAAAGCAAGAGTAGGTGAAATTTCATAACTCAACGGCCTCTTTATTCCAGGACTCCTCAATTTGTTTGAGATAGAACCTTAGTTCGCCAGATTTGGCTAATAGAAGGGATGATTTTGAGATGATTTTTTCTCGATACGCTTTAGTAAACTCTTTTTGACGTCTAAGCTCTTCAAGATACTCGTTTTGCTTGAGGTATTTTTCTTGCCTTTTTCTACGATTGAAATCCTCCACAAGTTTTTTGCTGTTTAAGCTTTCTTCTTCCATTTGAATCATTAGATTGTAATTTCTTTGGCTTTCCTTTATAAAACTGGAAATAGGCTCATCTGCATATTCAGCGGAGCATTTCCAGCACTTTCTATACATATTGGAATATAGATTATTAAAGTTATTTTTAATTAAAATAAGGCTGAAATCATTAAAAGCAAGGATTTTTTGTAACGCCTAGTGATTTATTACATTAAAGAATTTTCATTTATTTAAACATTTTTCTAGGGATTGACACTATATATAATTATATCTTGTTGGGCTGTGCATTAATTTAACTATAATTTAATAGCACTAACAACCATTTTAAAATAAAATGAGTGAAGAAAAAGTCAACATCGGCAACTATAAAGGGGTTATGCTATGCAATCGTCCTAATCAATCATCAGAAAACTCCAAAAGAAATAGAGCCTTCATTTCAAGAGTTGATCCCAAAGAACCAATAGGTTGGAATCCTGTTAAAAAGCAAATCTACAATGTCTCTAACTCCTTCCTTGACTAGCGATCAATATTTTTTGCTTTCTAAAAACGTTATTTTTTATATAAAAAATGCATATAATCCTTTTAGATTAAAATTTGAGATCTTATCTTTTAATTTGCATAATGTCTGAAATTTAATATAATGTGCAATAAGTTTAATTATATATATTGAATATATTTACATAAAAAAAGTTGCTCGCTTAACAAGGGAGGCAATTCTCACAAAAATCAATTTTTCTCTTTAACCAAGAGAAAAAGAGAGTTAAGCCAAAACCTAAAGAAATCTTAACACGGCATAGAAAATGACTTGCAAGAATCCAGGAAAACCGTATGAAAGCTCTAAAAGAAAACGAAGAAATAGAACGCCAAAAAGCATCCAAAAAAGAGAATTTCCAAACATCCATGAGCAAACAACGCAAAAGGCTGTTAGGAACAGTAGATCCAGAAGAGAAAAAACAAATCCTATCAGGTCAATACGAAGAAGAAGATTTAAATAGCAGCAAACCTCGAGCTCAGACAGCAGAACCAAGCACAAAGAAACCGAAATGGGCACTAACTGAAGAAGAAGCAGAAAAACAAGAAGAAACCGAAGTAGACGACCTACTTAGGTTTGTAGAAGACTTGGATTACGACGAAATCGTCAATGATCTAGAAGTAAAGATGGCACTTGAAGTCGTCAAAGAAAAAGTCACGAAATTGATTGAGAGCAAGCCAGATTTGAAAGAAAAATTCATCGCAAGACAAGAAGAGAAGAAAAAAGCAAGACTAGAAGGCAGAACAATTAAAACAGAAGCTTCAAAAGAAGACACTGACTGGGGCTCTGTCAAAAGTGAGTCAGTTGTACATGACCAAGACTGGGATCCAACTAGCAAAGACGGCGACCCTAAGAAAAAATATCAAAAACTGGTGAAAAAGATTGCTGATAAGATTTTGAAAGAAAACCCATTCCTTAAAGCGATTCACTCGAATTCGTCGATTAGGAAACTAATGGAAAATGAAATTCTGACTAGCATTGGGGCACAGCCTCCTGTGGTTTCAGTTGTCAAAGAAACTGCTACAAGAAAAGACGTGATTGATGCCAGTAATTTGCCTTATCTTCATAGAAATCCAGCAGTTTAACTATAATCTTTATTTATTTATATTTATTAGGAAATTTATCTCAAAATTATAAATTTGACGTTACTGATAATTAAAAAAAATGGAAAAAGTCGCCCATAAAGGCGCTACCTTAAGCAATGTTGACAGACTGATATTTGATACATTAAATTCGAGAACATCTCCACCTTCTAGTCCTATATTTAGCTCAAAATCGCAATCTTATTTCAGAATTTATACATCAAACTCAAGGATAATAAGAAAAGATTTAAATGGCTTCGAAAGGACTACCCAAGCCACTTTTTGGAACTATCGAATGAAAAAACCTTCAATTGATTATAAAGATTTGCAAAAGCAAACAAGCGGCCAAGATACTTATCTTCTTCTTGAAAATAGATTTTTTGATACCAGAAGAAACCTATTGCAAGCAAAAAGTGATTTTCTAGATATTAAACGAGATATTGCTACATATGAATATGAATTTGCTAAAAATGCATCGATAAGTTTGATACTAATGAAAGTAAGCAATGCTTCAGCAAATCTGCCGATTCCTATTGAAGATTTTCAAAATTCTAATTTAAGCACTTCAAGCCATCTTCACCTATTAAAAGAAAAATTTTCCCAAATTCATCAGTCAGCTCAGACACATATTTTGAAAAAGAATAAAGAATATGTAAAAGAAAATATGGATGTTAGGGCAAAAACAAGCTATAATAAACTTTTTTTAATCTATCAATGTCTCGCAGATTTATCATGTATATGCTGTTCTATTCAAATTTTGACAAATTCTTTATATAAAACTATAGTCGCTGTTGCTCTTCTTCCATCTGGCCAATCATTAAAGACTAATATTGATAGAAAAATTATTACTTCAAAAGAAACTGATTTATCTAAAACAATAAAAAATGACTTAGTACCAAAGCTATTCCTCACAAATAGCAATGACGATTTATTTTTGAATTGGCACGATGACTATGGATCATTATTTTTTACCATTATTACTCAAGTTAAAGGATACAAAAAGCCTGTAACACTACTTTTAAAAGAAAAAAGCTCAAAAGGGCTAGTTCTGATATATGGAGAGACTGAACTAGAAATTGCTTATTCACGATTGCAGATAAAAAAACTGGAAAAGAGTTCTTTACGCCATATAAAAAAGAAGCTAATAAAGCACCTTTATTATGATTCGAAAATTGGCCATTTGCAGTGAATTGAAAATGCAAATTCTATGTTTGATAAAAAAGAAAAAAATTCATTATTTTTGGATTTAAATTATATATATGAAGTTCTTGGTATTAAGCTATTTCATTTTAACTCTTATTTTATGTATGAGCTTGGAGAAGACACATATAAAATCGAAATATGAGTATATAAAGAGCATGCCATGATTAAAGTATTCAAAAATTTGAAATTAATTGATCAAACTGAATCAGGAGCGCATAATTTTAAATTCGTTACAGATTTGCAAATTCTTGATATTATTTCCAGTCCATTAACTTTATCTCGATCACTTGAATTCAAATTCTATCTCAAAAGTCTTGAATTTGAATGTTTGAATAGCAGCTTATCAATGTAATGATGCTTATAATAATATTTTTTGCCTAAATCTAAAAAGAATAAAAGTTTAATAATTCTTTATCAATATTATTTGCTTTTAAAAATGAAAATTCATTTTTATTAATTACTTCTTAGTATTTTTCTAGCATAAAAATAATTTTACTATTTTCTTTAAATTTGAGGATCTTTTATTTTACTAAAATAATTTCCAAAATCTTTAAAATTATTCTTAGAATCATTATCAGCTAATTAATTTCACTTATTTAAATATGTCCGATTATCTCTGGATATCCTTAAATGGGACTTTGCTTTCTTTTATGAGTAGCCTCAAGTATATGAATTTAATAAATGTACCAAAAAACCTCTTTTAATGATAAATTAAAATGCAAATTCATATAAAATTTTATAACTTTTTTTGAATGCTTCCAGATGTCAATCCTTCGCTCAGTTCATCGTATCCTCCTACATGAATTCCTCCAATAAATATGCAGGTTGCCCAATGATGAAGCCCTTTGTGGCGCGTGGAAGTGAGATTTTCCACGTGTCAAAAAGGGCTCCACATGCGGAGCCCATCTCCCGTATGGAGCCCTTTTCTGGTTTTTGCCCGATGATGGCACATTGAGCGTCATCATAAGGCATTTATTATATATTCGGAACAGTCGGCTGATTTGTAATTTCTTTAAGCGCGCTTTTTATTGAGTCTCCTTCTTTTTCAGTGTCCACTTCAATTATTTTAGGCTGAATCTCCATTTTCTTAAACACAGATTTTGTTTGCATGCAATACGGGCAAGTTGTCCTAGAAAACATAATCACAGGATTAGATTCAATAAGACTAAGAGCCATTTGTTTCTGTTCGAATGAATGTGTAAAATTCCTTAAAAACAATTTAATCATAATACTTACTCTATCTCAAGCAAGTAAAATTAAACGAAAAATCCGAATTAGACAAGAAAAGAACACGCTTTATGGCATAAAAAATTTTTATACTCAGCCCAAGCCTCTTTATGACTCAGACTATAAAAATTTAGCGATCCTATAATTTAAAAATTAAATTATTAGATTGTATTCAAAATATTGCAATTAAAATTTTCAATATAAAACTAAACAATTTTAATTAGGATCTATATATAAATTAGCCCTCAATTAATAAACTGTCTTTTCTTAGACAGGGAGCTAATATATTTGAATTCCATATCCTAATTTAAATCCTGGCCATAATATTTAATGTCCTCATCTGGCATTAACTGCCCTCTAACTTGGCAAGGAGTAGGAGATATTACAATTTTCCTAGGACTTGTAAGGATCATTTAGGTTGGTCTTACATTAATGGAACATGGCTTAGTCCGAGAAGGTTTTAGCAGTCACCTTCTTCTTAAAAATTGGCTCCAATTCTCAGTTGGTATCGTCGCATGGTGGCTGTTAGGCTATGGCTTTGCATTTGGAAACGTTGAAGAGAGCGAGTTTATTGGAAAAAAGAACTTTGGAGGTGAAGATTGGCTACAAGAAAGAGATCATAACCATGGTGCTTGTGCTTCCTTTTTTGCGCTGTGCGGATTTTTTGTGTTATTTGTGATCAACGGCGCTATAAGTGAAAGAACTAAATACCATGTTTATCAATGGTATGCTTGGTGGGTCATGCTTTTTGCTTGGCCTGTTGTTGTAACGATGACCCCCCCCTCAATCTTCATGTCTATTGCAACAAAATTTTTTGAAAAAATTTTCATGTCTACTGCAACACAACATTTTTATAAAAAAAATTAATGCATTTTTCTCTAGGTGAGTTTCTCAAAAACCCATAAAACAGCGCTGCTTTAGGCGTGTCAATGACCTTCTTACCGAGATTTGGACGGCTATTGTCATTGCTCGCTATTTTATTTAACTTATCTAGCTAAAAACTACGGAAAAATTTAAGATGCGCATCGAAAATTGTTGCAAGAGGATTAGGATTATTACAGACAAGCGCTAGCCATATTGACGACGCAGTCACCAAAGACCTCCCGAACGGAAAGGTTCTACCGCTTTTCGGCTCCAGCCCAGAGAATCTATCCCTCTTACGAGTGTCCTTCCGGTACCTTCTGTCTCCTCCTTGCCTTGCGGCTTCAGTCTTGAGTGGGCGGCTTATGGATCTCTGCGGCCCTGCTACGGGCGATTGGAGTAGCTTGATTCCAAGGATCCTTGGAGTCTATCGTGTGTCAAAGTGCCTTCCTTGACAGCTACAGGAAAAAAGACTGTTCCCCTGTGGCCTGGCGAAACCCCCAGTTTCTCGATAGAGGAATACCCATGGGTCCTCGGATTCAAAGGACATTGTTGAGCATCTCCATTCCAACCACAGGAAAGCAGTCAAAACCTACTCGGATACATATCTATTGAGCCTGCATTTGATTCTCGGCTCGGAGTCCGTCCCAGTTCACCGTAGCCATAAGGTCTGAACTGCTGCGCCAAGAGGGCAGGTTGGCACGTGTCGCCATTTTAATGTATATAATTTGTTGCAAGAGACATGAAAATTATTAATTTTTTTGTATAAAATTTTATATTAAAAAATTGCATTTTTTGTTGCAATAGACATGAAGATTGAAGGGGGGGGGGTCATCGTTAGCATGGTCCTGGGGTGGCGGCTGGCTTGATATGGAGCTCGACAAGCCTTTAATTGACAATGGCGGAGCCATCAACGTCCATCTTTTCGCTGGCGCTTTTGGTCTTATTGGAGCAATTTTCTTAGGACCAAGGATTGGAAGATACTCTTCATCACCTAGCGTTTTCCACATGAAATTCCACGTTGCTTACATACTTGGGGCTACTTTGGTCATTTTAGGTATATTTGGACTTAACCAGTCCTTAAGTCCTGATGGTGTTTCAAGAGGCCTATCCGCAGTTAACACTTGGATTTGTGCAGGAGTTTCCTCAATAGTCTCGCTTAAGCTACTTACAATATTTTCAACAGACATTCACACCCACTTAATCGCAATTTACCAAGGATTCATTGCAGGGATGATCTGTGTATCAAACTCAGCTTACAATACTACACCATGGCAAGCTGGGCTCTTAGGGCTTATCAGTGGAATCGTTTTTGCAGCTGGCTTTTACTTTTGCAGGTTCAACAAAATTGATGATGTTTTGAACGTCACGGCAACGTTCTTTTTCCCAGGCATAATTGGAGGAATTCTCCCTGGGTTTATCACTGACGATAATGGATGTTTCTGGCAAGGAATCTCAGGCCACACCTTAGCGACACAAGTTGTAGGAGTCATTGTGGTCACTGGATGGTCTATGACCTGGGCTGTGATTCTTTTTGGAAGTATGGCCGTATTTAAAGCTTTTAGACTGGATAAAGATTTAGAACTATCAAAACTTAATACTTGTGAAATCAAACAAACAGGATGGAAATTGCCTGAAGGAGCTGAAAATACTGCTAGGGAAAGTAATCAATCATAAGTTAAATAATATCTTAAAAAATATATCAGTTAATTCTAAAAAGGCTTGCAGTTGTCTTTATAAGGCATTTGGAACATTTTGTTGTGCTCACCTGTAAGCAGCCGAGGCCTTGAAAAGTCAGGCTTGCTACCTGCTTCAGTGTCTGCGTCAGAGCTTCGGTTTTTTCCTATTGGAATTGTTGCTTTTCCGCCTTTTATTGATTTTCGAATGCGAGTGCTTCCAGAACCAACTTCAATTGTAGATCCAAATGGAACTCTATTAATTATATTTTGTTCTTCATACTTCGCATAAAGGTCTTTTATGAACTTTTCAGCTTCAGCAAGCTTTTCTTTATCCTTCTTGGACTCTGCTTCTAGTTTTAGACATTTTTCATTGACATTGGCAAGTTTTCTATCAACAACTTGCTTTTGGATTTTGCTTTCGGCAAGCTGGCTGAAGAGATTGTGACTGTTTAAGGTTGACTGTTCAAATGATTTTTCCAGGCTTTCATTTTTTGATCTTATATTATTTATGCTAGAAAAGGTTGTCTATATTTAATATAAAATAAATCCTTATTTATTATAAAATACCATAATTTCTTTACTTCTTCAGATAGTGCTTGCTCCATTGTCGAGTAGTTTTCTTTGGTTTCATTAAGCTCTATTTGGAGTTCAGCTGATTTTTCAAGGATAGCTTGAAAATCGTTCATCAAGGTCTGTTTTTCCTCATTTCACAATGTTTGCTCTTCACGAACAGCTTCCTCTCGCAGATATTCCTTAATTTTATCTAGATTTGGAATAGCATTACTTGCCTGTTCATTTCATCGTCTTTCTAGGTGCTCACATCTTGCAATAAGTTCTTTGCTCTTCTTTTGCTCTTCTTGAAGCTGTGCTCTTAAGACTTGTATCTGATGTTCTAAATCTTTTATATTTACTGTTGAAGGAGCTTCCCTTGGCTGGGTTTTCCATTTCAAAATTTCTTCATCTTTTTTAATTATAGTCTGTTCTAGCTCATTTTTCTTCTCATTGAGAGAGCTTATATCATTTCTTAAGTACTCCTGCGCCATTATCAGCTGCTCAATATGTTCTTCTTTTTCAGCTAGTGTGCTTTCAGTAGTTGTCAGCTTTTCTTGAAGCGACCCTATATGTTTGTTTAAGAAATCATAGTCTCCTTTAATTTCTTCATTTTCCTTTGTTTTTATTTCGATTTCTTGTCGAAGTTTTGAGTTCATGTCGACTTCTTCAGAAAGCCTGGCTCTGGTGTCTTCTAATTCTTGTATCATATCATCGTAAACAGAAACTTTTGAAATTTCAAGTTCGCTTTCATCTTTGGTTGAGCTTTCTTCGTCGCCTCCAATTAAAATTCCTGATTTATTAACAGCTTGCTCTAATACTGAAATTCTTTTGTCTTTGAGCATGATTTCTTCTTTAGCTTTGGTCAGCATTAATTTAAGCTCAGCAACGGTGTATTCTTTGTTAACTTTGGCTTTATTTTTAATTGATTTTGCCCTGATTCCGAATCGTAAGGTGCTTACTCCCCCCTCCTCCTTGAGCAAAGAAAAAAATTTTGTATGCTACAGTGGGATTAATTTTTTTAAAATCTATATATATGGTCAAGCATAAAAACCCCACCCCACCCCACCCCTCCAATAGCAAAATAGCAAATTATCTAGTCTATATACTAGGAAATATAAGAGACATTACAGTATTTTCACTTCTAAGCTATTAAAACGCGATTTATAACATGCTTACACATATATTTAATAACAAGACTAGGTAATTTGCTATTAAGAGGGGTGGGTTTATACTTGACAATATATCAATTTTATAGTAATTTATTTGTTCAAAATTGATTTAATTTGTAAAATTTATGTTTTAAAATGCAATCTGTTTAAATTAAGCAGAATTAGCTAGATATCTCATTATCATAACTATAATTTATAAATTAAAATATTTTTTTACAGGAAATTTTTTGTTTGGTCACGGAAGGTGGGTTTTGCCTAAAAATAGCGATTTTTCCAATGGTTTTTTATTGTTCATGGATAGGGAGTTAGCGTTTCTGCTTCATTATAAGGATGTGGGGAGCAGGCTATAATTAGAGTAGTTTTTGAATTCCCTCCTAGAGAATCCTGCAAAACTCTTGTTAACTTTGAGTCTCTATAAGGCACGTGCGATGATTTTCCATCAGTCAGTGCATTAATGACTTGTCCTAGCGCAGTTAACGATTTATTGATATTTTTTGCTTCTTCCAATCTTTTTCCTTCTGCCCCAGTTTTCCCTACTTTTTCTGATCCAGCTAAATCCACCAAATAAAATTTCCCAGACTTAGTTGACATATCTAATTTATTAGTCTGAGTAATCGTAACACAGAACAGCGAATGCGACCTAGAAGACCCAGCGTTCATATGTGTATATGCTACTTCTCTATTATTTGTCCCAATCCTCATAAGTTCATATACTTCTCTATCATTTGTGACATAACTTTCAGTCAAGTCTTCAATATAAACTCCTCTTGCTTTGTCTTCATGGATTTTCAAATTATTTTTCCTTGGGTCTAGCAAGTCTTTAATCTTTTCCATATAGATTTCACAGTACCCAACTTTTACAGTGAACTCTATATGCTCGTCAGCATTATTTATTTTTGCAAAAACGTCGCCTACCATTCTTGGAATAATTCCCATGAGCTCTGGATCAGTAATGACCCCTGTCATTGTAAAAGTTTTCCCTGAAGAAGTTTGACCATAAGCGAATATAGTCCCATTATATCCCTGCATTACCGCATCCACAATAGGGCTTGCTGCTACTTTATAGATTTTTGATTGGACTGTCGAGGGATCGAATACATAATCAAACACAAATCGCAATGGTTCAGAATTTTCAGTTTCAGCTCGCATCATAACTGTCTTGCTGTCAGGTCCGAAATCCACGCATATGTTTTCTGCCATTGCCTTTTCTTTTTCGTTCAAAGGTCTAAATCTGCAGAGGACCCGGATATTTCCAGATGAATCATCAGATGTTTCCATTTTACAACAATGTTAACTTTGAAGTTTAAACATGAAATCCTTTATTCTACAATAAAGCAGCCTTAATTTATTCTTAATCTTATTTTTCAATTCCTTTAAAAAGTAAAATACTTTGTAAATAAGATTTAGACAGACTGCCATTTAATTTGAATTATTTTAAGGTTTTTTGAATATTTTCTGGTATTTAGAAATTAATTTCTTTTTATTGCTAGTAATATTTGAAGAAAATGAAGCCTGTGCACAATGCTCATGAATCTTTTGATATAATTGGAGATGAACTGAGACAAGGAGTAAACAATTCAAGTGATCTAACGCCGATTGAAATTGCAGATATACAATTAGAGACTGGAATCAGCCAAGAATCAACAGCAATCCCGAAAAAAACTCTGGTTGCGTCGATTCTGCTTTTTATAATTGGAAGCATCTTGATTGTGGTAGGGTGCGTTGAAGAATATGTGCTCTATGATAAAAGTCAAGGCTTGGCTATGCTTGTGGTTGGGTCAATCACTTTTATCCCAGGAATGTATTATTCTTATCTGTTTTACAAAGTATATAAAGCAAAAACATTGGTAGAAAGGATGAGAATCCTTAGAGAAATTCCAGATATGAGTTAAATATTAAGTTTATCTGAATCACTATGAATAGCCGAAATAATAAAAATGGTTTGGTTTATAATAGTATTATAGGAAAAAATATAATATATTATAGCCTAAAAGGGCACTTTCTTTCCACACTTGATGCCTGTGCACGGGTGCTTCTCTCTCTCGGTACTCTTTTAATGAACTTATTTTGACTGCTTAATGTAGAGTTTAAAAATCTCTTACTCCCCCCCCTCCGTGAGTGAACAAAACCATTAGAAAAATCGCTATTTTTTGCCCAAAAAACCCACCCTCCGTGAGTGAGCAAAAATTTTTATTGAAAAAATATTTAGATATATAAATGATAATTAGTATAATAAAATCTAGAGCTAATTCTGTTTAATTTTAAACGAATTGCTTTTTAAAACATAAATTTTATAAATTAAATTAATATTTGCTTTCCAATTTTTGCGAATTAGGATTTTTTTTAAATTTCGAAAAAAAATATTTTTTATAAAATTTATATATAAATTTTTTTAAAAAAAAAAAAAATTAACCCTCCTCCGTGAGTGAACAAAATTTTTTTTGTTCACTCACGGACGGGGGGGAGGTTAGAAGGCGATTCTCCTACCTTCCTTTCTATATTGCTCGTATTAAGCGACATATCGAACTCAAAAGTGGAGTCTGTTTGGCAAGAATCATTTGATTCGTATTCAAACTTATGGTCATATCTTGGCTTTACTTCAGACGTATTATATCTTTTATGCTGAGGAGGAATTTGGCCACTTGGGGTCAGGACATTTTTGCAGTTTTTATTGGTCACTTCAACTGAAAATGAAAGCCTGATGTACTCTTCAATATCAATCAGCCCAGTTCCAAGCTTGACCATGATTTTATCTTCATGATATGTAAGAGCAACTTCTGCTCCATTGTAAAGATAAAGGCCATTACTTTGCTTTATGAAATCCCGCTCTAAGCTTAAATCCACCAAAGCTTGCTGAACCAATGATTCAACGCTTGGGGCTGCTTGTTTTTGAAGTTTTTCAATCATCTGTGCCTTCTCAATCAAACTTTCTTGGCTTTCAAACAGCTTGGTTGACAAGGTTTCTTTTTCTTGTCTTTCTTCATACACTTTGTGGTTAAGATTTCTGACTTGTTCTTCAAGCTGGACTATTTGAGCTTTATAATCGTTGATCTGCTGAGAATGGTCAATGCTTCGTTTTTTGCTTTCCCGTTCATGGGCTTCTTTTAGTTGTTCAATTTCTTCTTTTATGTCGTCAATTTCTCTTTTATACTCAAAAACTTTTTCATTTGCCTTTTCAAGTTGATCAGCAAGCTCATTCCTTTCTTCTTCTAAATTTTCTATTTCTGTTCTGTTATCACATGCGTTAATCCACTCTTTTCCTACCTCAGAAAGGGCTTCTTGCAAGTTTTGTCTTTGTTTTTCTGACTCTTCTAACCTTTCAAGGGCATCTTGAAGCTCTTCGCTTTTATTCATGAATCTTGCAGTTGAGATTTCAATTTCTAGCTTTTCCACGACTTCTCCTAGCTGGACTTTTTCCCCTTCTAGAGTTCTGAGAGTGCTTTGTAGCTTTTTAAGCTCTCCTTGAAATTCTTTAAGCTCAGAATCTTTTATTTCTAGCAATTTCAGAAGGGATTTTTCTCTTGATTGTGATTTAGCAAGAGTTGTTTCATGTTTTTGTTTAACTTCGTTAAGGGATGATTCCAGAAGTTCTTTTTGTTTTCTTTCTGTGATTAATTGGTTTTGGCAAGAAACCAAACATTTAGTAAGATCTTCTTGTAAAGCTACCTGCTTTTTGTATTGAATTCTGAATTTTTCAATATCAGCATTTGGCTCATCATGCCATCTGAAGTCAGTAAACCTTGATTTTTCGTCCTCTGAACGATTTTCAAATCGGCTTCCTTTAGTTTGTATAAACGATTTTCTTGTCGATTCAAATGATTCTTGGCACTCACAAACTTCTTCTTTTACTTCTTGAACAATTTCATTAGTTTCTGGGATATCAATTTGAGAAACTTCTATACATTTAGTTGCTTTATTCAATGAAATTAAAATTCTTGCGCTTTCTGTTTCTTCAGGTAAAATAGTAAGCAAGTCTGATTCTGAATCTTGAAGGAGAGGAAGCCAAAGATACCCTTTGGAAGGTAGGAGGTCGACTGGCAGGCATACGCTTCCAATGTATTCATGTTCTGCACACATGCTTTTTACGATGAATTTCAACATTCCTTTAGCTGGGACGCATATTTTGTTTTCGTCGTGCTGAGAATTGATAGGGGTTATCACGTCGACCACTTGATCATCAAGTGAAACATAGTAGCCTATAATAAAATGGCTACGCACAGAATTAGTTCTATCCGAGAACTATTCCTCCCAGGTTAACCTTTATCCAAAATACCAAATATGGCTTATTGCTTAGGGTGAGCTATTTGGCTTAAGGAGAAAGAAAGTATGATTTTTATTGCTTGTCACATCCAAGAAGGGTGACCCGTATGTTGAGCACATACTGGAGTCGAGCTATACGCAAGGTCAACGCGACCAGTGAAGGCTTTCTATCTTTGGCTTGTCTTCTTCGAGCAAGATGGCTGTCAGCGCCACAAAATGAGATTTTAAAAGGGAAATTTATGCGATCCTGCGAAAGAGAGTATCACTTTAATCACCTAATTAATCGCAATCATAAACGAAACATAGCAGCCTAGACTAGAAATTTCTAAATCGATGCCATCTACTCTAACGATTTGGAGATCGAGCACACTTTCTTGAGACATTTTAAACTTTAACGAATTTATATATCGAAACTATTGTTGGGGCAAAAATGGAGAAGAAGAATTGATATTGATTAGTTGGTAGAAAATTAAATAATAAGGGATTTTATAAAAGAATGAACTATTGAATTCCTTTAAGCTTATAGGCAGCTATAAATACATTTCTTGGTTAAACTAGTGTCAATTTTTGATCAATGAAATCCTCAAAATGGGTGTTGAATTTAAATTTTGCAAGTCTTTTAAGGAAATACGAAGAGAAAATTAATGATACAATAACTCAAATTTTAATTGAATATATAGAATTAATCTGGGTTATGAGGAAATGATTATTGTTTTAATAAAAATCAATTATTCTATTAAACGAGAGCTATTTTAACTATAAAAGAGAGAAAACCAATTTTAATTACATTTATAAGAGAATTCATTTAAATTAAATTTTATTCTAATGCATGATATTATAGAGTTAGAAATTCTTATGTTGTAGAGTATCTAGCTCCCACTCCATGAGCGAACAAAAAAATTTTGTTTGCTAACTTGTTTTTAAAATTTATGATAATTATTTTTTTGAAACTTAAAAAAAAAAACAATTCGCAAAAATTTTAAAGCAAAAATATTAATTTCATTTGTAAAATTATGTCTTAAAATGCAAGCTGCTTAAATTAAACAGATTTAGCTATATATTTCATTATACTGGTTGTCGCTAATTTCTCAAAATATTTTTTAATAAAATTTTTTTTGATTGCTCATGAAAGAGGTTTTTAACCAAAAAATAACGTTTTTTTTCCCTCATAGAGGGGAGAATAAACTATCACTTCTTTGAACAAAATATGATACCTCTCATCATTAAATTTAAAGATTGAGTATATTATAAATTTAATATGTTTATTAACTTCTAAAGCCATATTCTATAAAATCCCAACATCTCCGAATGCTGATCATTTTCAATAAAACTAGATATCAAAAGATTACAGTCAGCTATTTTTTCTAGATAAATATTAACTATGCTTTTCATGATCCAGCCTTATTCAAAATCGATGTATCTAAAATTTTTGCAATCTGAATTTTCATTGGCTGATTTGTATCCATATCTAAAATAAAGGGAATATAAAAGGCGCTATGAGACTAAAAATTATAAAGTAATAAATGTCAACAGTCGGAAAAGGAAAAGGAAGCAGAGGAAAGGCAGCAAGCGCAACTAAGACTTCAAGATCCCAAAAAGCAGGACTTCAATTCCCAGTTGGTCGTATTTCAAGATTCATGAAACACGGAAAATACGCTGAGAGAGTTGGAGCAGGAGCACCAGTTTATCTTGCAGCTGTTCTTGAATACTTATCCCAGCCATCATCTTATTAAAAAAATAGGAAATTATTAAAGAAAATTTATCTCAATTTGCTTAGACCTATTTTCTGTATTTTTATTAACTCCTCTCCAAGATTGGACAAAATTTTTTTGTCCACTTATGGATAGGGATTGATTTCTTTTATAATTTTTTATAGTAAAAATTGCTTTTTCGAAATTTAAAACAAAATTTTAAAGTGAAACATTAATTTAAGTAAAATAAATATTCTGAAATGCAAGTTGTTTAAATTTAACAGAATTAGCTAGCCTCCCTCCGTGAGCGAACAAAAAAAATTTTGTTCGCGCACGGAGAGTTGCTTATTTATTTTTTTTTAAAATTTATGTCTTAAAATGGAGTTGTTTAAAATTAAACAGAATTAGCTAGAGATTTTGTTATAATAATTATCATTTGTATATCAAAAATTTTTTTTCATAAAATTTTTTTATATAAAAAAATTTTTGCTCGCTCAAGGGGGGTAAGAGATTTCGTTATAATAATTATAACTTATATATCAAGTATGTTTTATAACAAATTTTTATATCAAAACAATTTTTGTTCATTCACACACGGAGGATAGGCTTTTAGTAAAAGAATAGAGATTTTTCCAACAGCTTTGTTCCCTCACATGGAGTAAGAAAAATTATTTTTATTAGGCTGGTTAGCTGCAGAAGTCTTAGAACTTGCAGGAAATGCCGCAAAAGACTAAGATGCGGTATGATGTCAATTTACTTTTTTATTTTTTTTAATTAAAATTTTATTCTTTGAATATGACGAATATTTTTAAATTATTTCAAAATTTAAGCCATTGACTATAACTGCCACCTTACAAGAAGACTAGAATTGTCCCAAGACACATTCAATTAGCAATCAGAAACGACGAAGAACTTAACAGACTTATGTCTAACGCAATCATAGCTAGCGGTGGGGCAGTACCATTCATTCACCAAGCCTTACTACCTGCACCAGACAAAAACGATAAAGAAGGAGGAGCAACCCAAGAATTATAATGATAACTTAATTATTTCAATTCCCCAAATCCTTCTGACGTTATTAATATTGTCTCTTAACACATGAGGCTCTAAATCAAATTTGCCCATTGTCTTTTAAATAAATAGTTAGATTGCATACAATAGTCTTATAAAAGTTGCTCTTTCCTGTAGTAATAAAGTTCCAGCAGATTCTACTAATCTATTAAAGATAGCAGAACTATTTCCATATTCTCTGTAATTTTATATGAAATATGGATCCGTTCGTCTACGTTTTTTCGCTCGGTTCTTGGTTTTTGCCTCTTCTTCATGATGCAATAAAACTGAATCATTTTTTTGAGATTTTATGTTACATCTTTATCATTATTAACAGCAAAATTCACTACTTTAATCATTTGAGTTCTGTTTAAAACCTCCAGAGCATATGTTCTTTAAGTCGTGCAGCAGCTCTGTACTTTAAAATTAACTTATATTTTTTATAATAAGATAAAAATAGGTTAGATTATTAATTCTTTTCTATATAATTCAGCGAAAATTAGCTAATACATATATAAAATTAGGTAAAAATATCAGCATAAATCAAATTTTAGGCTATCTCTATTGATTATATAACTATTAAAATGGCACAGCCTGTCCACACCCACCTTCCAAGAGTAGAAAGTGTTCAAACTTATGGAAAGAAGAAGCACGCTCAAGCAGTTGCCCTCATCACAAAAGGAAAAGGAATGATTAGAGTCAATGGCGTTCCTCTCCACCTTGTCGAGCCTCAAACCCTTCGTGTTAAAGTTTTGGAACCAATCCTTCTATTAGGAGAATCTCGCTTTTCAAAAGTGGACTTCAAAATAAGAGTACACGGAGGAGGTTATGTAAGCCAAATCTATGCAGTGAGACAAGCCATTGCTAAAGGAATTATTGCTTTCTACCAAAAATACGTAGACGAAGCTTCAAAAAGACAAATAAAAGAAATGATCCTTGCTTATGACAGATCTCTGCTTGTAGCTGATCCTAGAAGGAAGGAGCCTAAGAAGTATGGAGGTCCTGGTGCAAGAGCAAGAAGACAAAAGAGTTACAGATAAGTCTAAACAAATATTTAATATATCTTTTAAGTTAGCTTATTAGCTTCATTCTATCATAATCATAATTTAGTATATTTATTTATGCAAGGTATAATAAGAATGGATCATAATTAATACCTACTGCTTCTATAGTTATTGTATTTTTGCTGAGTATTGTTTAGGCTTGGCTGGCCTAGTTCTAGACTATCAAGATTCATTAACTTTGCTTCTAAATCGACAGGCCTTGAAGGCTGTACAGGAGCTGACTGGAAGCTAGTGAAGTCCATTTGTCTTGGATTTGCTTTGAGCTGAGACATAGTAAGTCCTTGACTATCTTGCATATTAAGATTTAATTTCAAACTTTGAGTTCCGCTTTGTCCTTGCCCTCCCTGAGGGATACTCTCTGCTTGATTTCCCCAAACATCTGCAGGTATAGAAGAGCCTGTATATGAAGAATTTTGGGTTGACCATGCAGAATTCGTTTTAGGAGTTTGGCTTGATGGAATTGAGATCCCATTTCATGCCGAGTCATTATAAGTTGATGGAACTTTTGAATTTCCCCATAAGTTATCAAGTGGATTTTGGGGCTTGGTTTCAGCTGGCTTGGAATAAGCAGGAGGATTATTGGGAAATGATGGAAGTTGGCTCGAATAAGATGAAGAAATTGATTGAGGAATATTGGAATGAGATGGAGGGTTTGATGGAAGTGTACTAGAAAATGGCAGAGGCTGAGAAGGAGTCTTCGTATGTGATGGCAATCCCCATGGGTCTGAAGTAGCTTGAGGATTCTGTGGAGTGAACAATTCTTGGCGTGGCTGATTTCATGAAGGCTGAGAACTCGTTGGCTGAGTCCAAGTATTTGATGGCGCACTGTTTGAAGTCTCTCCCCAAATAGCTTCTAACACATTTTCCTGCTTCTGAGGAGCTTGTGAAAATGCATTAAAAGCTTCAGGAGCTTTTTGTACTGCAGGCTGGCCCCAAATATCTGCTGGTTTTTGTACTGGCTGATTCCAGGCAGGCTCTGGAAAATTTGAATTTGTGTTTTTTACTGTAACATTATTGAATAGATTCCCTCCACTTGGAGGTGGAACAATCCTTGCAGGCTGAGAAGCTATCCGATTGTGAGCTGCAGGTTTCACTGCAGGTGCTGAAAAAATGTCAACGTTAGATTGCTCGTTCCTTGTTGGAGCTATATCTTGGCCTTGCTCTCTGTAATCAGGCTCAGTATAATTCGATTGTCCATACGGCTGATATTCTTGGTCTTGTTGCTGGCCATTTTCTGTTTGTCTTCTCCTTTCTGGGTAAGGATCATAAGACCCTCTGTTATATTCATCATTATACCCTTGGCTTCTTTCTGTATGGTACCCTCTACCACCATCAGATGAAGACCCTGAAAATTTATTCCACAGCTTTTTCGCTTTTTCTCTTTCTTCATCAAGAAATCTGTGGTCAGCTATTAATTGGTTGATATATTTGCATTTATCTCTGATGCCAGTTCCGCGCTCTTCACTGTTCTCTCGGTATGAAAAATCTTGAAGCAGGCGAATTTTAAATCCTTCATCCCTTATTTCATTAATGCAGGAGGCCGAGCCGAACTTCAATAAATACTCTGCAAGATTCAGCGCTTTGTATATTCTTCGCCATTCTTTTGGGCTGGATTTCAGGTATTCCCATGTGCACCGCATGATGACTGCTCTTTCCTCAGGATTATAGGTTTTCTCAGCGATATCGTGGAGAAGTGTATTAGATGTGCCATAGTTCTCATCACTGCAGACTTCTGCGACCATGCGCTCAAGAGGGGTTTTGGTGATGCGATCACGAAGGTTCAGAGCAGCCTTTTTCAGCGAATCCATTTTTATTATTGCATTAACTGTCAACAGTTTTCATGACAGAAAATTAATGAATTTTTCACAAAAAGTGATATAATGCCAAAGCATTATATGAAAACTAATAAAAAATCGAAAAAAAATAATAATTTCTGCAGAAATGTTTATTTATTCTTTTTTAGGCTTTTTTTTCTTCTCAGCTGGCTTAGCCTCTTGTGATTCTGCCAATTCACTCCTAACAACATTATTCAAAATTGAAATAACAAAGAAAGCAATCATCAAAATTATAAATACCTCCCATGCAGCTGCAAACCACGGCTTTTCTTGAATACCTTGATTAGGCGATCTCAATAGTTTTTGCTGTGCTTCTAACCAAGAACTTAATCTTCCTTTCATAGATGGAACTAACTCTTCAATAAAGTGCAAAATTACTTCCACATGATGTTGGCTAAATAAGAAAACTGTAAAAATCATCTGTATGTGTACCTTAAAAATCGCCTTCCCAATCATAGTCGACCCTAAAAAGATCCAGATCGAAATCCCAAAGTGCCCACACATTAATCCAGCTAAATCAAACAATGGATTTGGTATTGACGCCATCAGCATTACTGTAATAAATCCGTGGCTTTTCAAGTGTTTTGCTATAAACAGCTTCGCTTTGTCCGCAAGTGTGTTTTTTTCTGGTTTTTCAAGGTCTTCTAGCTCTTCAGGCTTCCTATTCGCCATTCTAGCAGCTCTGGCAATGAAATAAGGAGGAAGCTCTCCTAAGGCAGTGCCAAATCCCCATAAAAAGCTTTCTAATTGCACGCTCCAAATAATTGCCCATATTGATATTGGATCTTGAGTAGGGACAGGACAATCTTCGAAATTATGATAAGTCCATCGATTTGGCAGCATATTAGGAATATAATTGCAAGCATATGCAACTAATGTAACACCAGCTATATGTGGGCCAAGATAGAGAACAAAGGTATGTAGCCCAGTCCCAAGGCCTATTGATGATGCAACTCCAAGCATTATCCACCATGCTGCAAAGAAAAATATTTCTTCAGCTGTTGACACATACTAAATAAAATATACTGGCTGATGAGGTCCTGGAGTCATGTAAATAGTTATGCCGAGAACTAGAACTGATAGAATTAGGAAAAGATGCGAATAACAAAACTGGAGGGCTGCTCCAAGGTATCTTATACCAACTCTAGCTAAGACTTTGAGCGAGAGAATGGGATGAGTAAAGATACTTACGTTCTCAATGTCCATTTTCTTATGTATAAAGTTAGAAAGGGATTAAAATGGGTCTTATTTATATTAATCCATTAGATTTGTAAAATAAAATAAGGGGTTTGGAACTCCTCATCAGTAGATATTTGGTTTTGAGCTAATTTTATTTTCTTATAGAAAAAATTGCAAATGATGCAAAATAAAAATACAAATATGATTGAGAATGGTAATATTGAATAAAAATAAGCTTCAGTCATTATTTTTTGTCCTGACAAGCTTAGATCGTTAGCTAAGATCTGACTGTCTTTTGTGATTAATACAGGTTGAAGCAGAGGGTCGCATTCATCTTTGATGCATTTTTCGATATGATATTCAGTTTCTGCGTATGGAAGCATTGACCATGTCACTTTACAGTTTACTACGCAATTGTTATATTTGTCTTGGTTTGAATCTGATACTGCAAACCTTGGAAATAGAAGTAAAGAAAAAACTATTGAAATAAAAGGCTTCATATCCTGATAATTTTCAAATTATTAAAAGTTTTATGTCAGCCATTTAATCAATTAGCAGATATTTCCTCAAATAATCGCCGATATTACTGATTTCATCATTTCTGCACTAAATAAGGCTTTCTCATATGTTTAAAGAATTTAAGAATCAGTGCTCGTCATAAGCAATCATTTTTTACAAATAGTAATGCTTTTAAAATTAAATTTAAAATTTAGCATTAAATCTTAGACAAAAAATAATAAAAAATAAACAATAAAAGTTATAAGCTTCTTAAAATTAAAAAAATAAATCTAAAAGCCTTATCAATTTTAAAATAAATAATTTTAATAATCTTCCATTTTCTACTAGACTAAACAATGTGTATCCATAGAGCAACCATCAAGTTAGAGCTACATTAACTAAGCTAAAAGCTTTCATTTATTATTTTTAAAGAAAAATTTAATTAGATCGTTCAATATGCTTCCATGGAAATATTTTAATTTAAATAAATTGAAACGATAATTTTCCATTATTTCGCCATCAAATTGAAACTAAGGTATTTTTGTTTTCCTTTTATTCTATATCTATAGGCAATTCAAGTATTTAAATTTTGAGCATTAACAATGAATGATCATTATTAGACATTAAATATTAATAGAAATGCAAAGAAATGACTTATTAATGCAAATTTCTCTGCTTCCCACAAAGCAAGATGACAGTGTTAGTACAAATAGAGAAGATTTTCGTCTTCCTTCTTTGCGCTGCCCTCAAGCTGATCCTTTTCTTAATATGAAAATCACTGATAAAAACACTTTTGTGCTTAAACCTATATGCTTAACCAAGCATAAATCAAGTAAATCTTTATTTAATCCACAGGAGCAACTATCAAGCAAGTATTCAAAAAAAGGTACAGAAATATTAATGAATTCAAACCGAAATTCTAAATTAACTGATAGAAATACCAAGAAAGTATTACACCCATTTTCTTTTCAAAACATAGATGGAAGCCAGCCTCTAAAAATACAAAAAAAACAGTTCTCAAGAATTCTCAGCCAACCTAATTTATATGATATAAATTCAAAAGCAGACCTGAATATCAAAAATTTCCCAAACAATGCAGCATATCAGCATCCTTCATCAACCAAACATAAAGCAGCTTCAAAGATACCTCAATCTTTTAGCTGTAGCCCCCATAAGGTCTCCAATCCTAATGAACCCCTTGCAGACATTTCATTTGGCGATATCAATCATATCTCATCTGCCTTCTTTTAAGATAATAAATTAATTTGCAAGAATAAAGCATTTAAACACCTAATGGTTATAAATGGCAAATCCTCTGCAACAATTCGCAAATCAGTATTTCAAAAGGCCAGATTCTTGGAAAGGTCTTGCACTTTTGGCTGGAATTATCTTCGTAGACAGTTACTTTATAGATCGCGGTGTTAGAAACTACATTTTCGGGAAGGATGGAAAAGGAGGAGAAATGTTGCTTTGCAAAACCAGAATTGACCATCATGAAGAAGAGTACCGAGAAGCTCGCAAGAAGTGGTATTGGCATCAGAGAAAGGCTAAATTCTACATGCCTCAGGATGTTTCTTTCAACGATAAGCTGGATTACAAGACTCTCAGCTACAACTACGCACACTTTAATAAGTTCTTAGACCCTGCAGACGTCCCTAGACATCATGACGCAGATGCGTTCTATTTCAACGAACTGGAGCCTGAAGATTATTATAAGTAACCTAATAAACTTTAGGTAATATGAAATTAAAACATATAGAAAGCGCTATACAACAAATTTGTCCTGTACAGGATTTTGATGGGCGGCCTACAATAGATCTGGAGCAATATACGACACCTCCAAGGTTAGCTGCTGAAATGATTTCGACGATTCAATATAGCCTGAGCTCTCATATGGCTTTGGATCTAGCCACACTTAAGCAATTTGGCTTAGTTCTTATCATAAAACTCCCGAAAAATTAAAGATCAAATACTTTCCAGTTAAGGAATTATGCAACCCCCCTAGCCATACGAGAACTCGGGATATATGACTTTGATGATATTGAAGGTAAAATTGTGGCTGATTTTGGATGTGGATGTGGAATTTTGTCAGCTGGGTGCCTATTGATGGAGCCAGATACGTTATACGCAGTTGATGTTGACATGAAATGCATTGAAATAACACAAATGCATTTAGAGGAAGTAGATGGTATTGTGGAATATTTGCATTGCAATATCAATGAGCAGATGGATTTGAAGGGAAGAGTTATAGATACTGTTATTACAAACCCGCCGTTTGGGACAAGGGTGCAAGGTGCTGATTTAGGATTTGTGGTGGCAGGGTTAAAAGCAGCCAATGTCGTCTATTCGTTGCATAAAACTTCAACGAGAGAGAATTTAAGAAAAAAAGCAAGAGAAATGGGTGCAAATGGAGAAGTTGTTAGCTCTGTAAGTTTCGCGTTGCCAAAGATGTATAAAATGCATAAGAAAAAGAGCGTTGACATTGAAGTTGATTTTTGGAGGTTTACAAAAGTAGAATAGATATTTTTAATATAATTCAACTTACTTTGAGTAAATGTGAATAATATGGGTTTTATATTTCAAATATAAAAGATAGTGAGCTTCAATTGGTGTTGAATCTTCAGTAGGCTATAGTTAATTTCTCTTATCAGCCTTTTTGTGACCACTTTGCTATTTTTTGTTCATTACATTGAAACTGATCACCTATGCATCTTTATAATTTATCACCAGAAAGAATTAAAGGCTAATTGTTATTTAAAAAACAAAATTTAAGGTATTTAAGATAAATAATTCTTTGGGAAATTAGAGGGTAAAGCAATTAAACTTATTAATAGTATTAAATTGTTAATAATTCTCAAATTGAAAAATCTGCTTAAATAAAATATAAAGATCCTTCTTATTATCATAAGGTTTACGCTCGCTGAATTTTCTTATAATTTATTCGGCTTTATTAACATTAATAATTTTAGCAAACTTAACCGTTCTTTCTTTGTGGATTTTGGACACAAAGCCTTGATCATTTAAATTATTAAATATGGGGGATCTAAATTTAATAAAAAGGTTTTATAGCAAATCTAATAATTATTATAATTAATATGTGCAAAGCCTGCAAAATAGAAGCTTGGACAGTTCTTTTTAAAGCAAAGTACCTAAAAAAGAAGAATAAGCTCATAAAAAAATTAAGGAAAAGAAGAAAGCGCAAAAACGCAAATAATACCCAAAAAATCGATTCTTGCAAAGCACCACTCTTGAGCTTGATAAAAGAAAACGACAATCAATGCTTGCAGAATAATGGATATCTTTTCTATTTTTCTGGCTACAACATCGTCAAAATAAATCTAAGTCTAAGTCCGATAGAAACAGAATATAAAACTTTCAGTAAAAATTCAGACATCGAAAGAGAAGTTATTATATGTGCAATCCCAAATCAGCTATTTTTATGCATAGACTGTGGGAAAGGCCTAGTATTCATCATTAATCAAAACCTCGAAATTTCCGGAACGAAAAAAACAGCTCCAAGAGATTACTGCATGCTATTATATTTAGAAGAATTAATTTATGCTTTTACACGAAAAGGTAATTATTATACAATGATAGAGACATATGATTATAAAAAGAATAAATGAAGGCGGATGTCTGATGTGGATTATGATATTTGGGCCTGTGTTGTTTTTGAAAGGAAAATTATAGTTGCACCTTTTAGAAATGAATACTTGAAAATTTTTGATCCTTTTGCGAATAGCTTCACATATATATTTCGAGTACAATCGTGAGGTGCGATAAGTCTTTTAGTTGCAAATGATAGATGCTATTGCATTATTTCTAACTCTTTTGTTTTTGAAAGCTTGCATAGAGATTATTGGCAATGGACTTGCATTGGCAAAAACTGAATAAACGACGACATATTTGGACTGCATTTATTTTCTTTTTATAATGATTCAATATATTTTATCGGAATTCCACATGCTCCCTCTTTGTATGAATTTAATTTAAAAGCTCTAGAAATCACATTGATTGATCATTTATATACATGGTCTGACGATGAAAGTGAATAGGCTAGTAATAATAAAATTTTAATCTTAAATTATATTTAGAAATCAGACATTTAATATATCAAATAACTAAAAATCATAACTTATTTTATCAAAAATTAGATTAATTAATAAACGTCATAAAAACTCCTCACTTATATTATTTTCAACAAGGTCCTTCAATTCAGTTTCAAAAATTTGTCCAATTAAAAAATTCTTTAATCTAAATTTATAACCTTGCAATCTGATAATAGCCAAATAACATTTAAAATTTAAAACCTAAATTAAAAGCATAAACTATATAATTATGTAATATAAAAAGACAATGGCAAGCTCATTTCCCTCTACTCCATCTCAACTCTATAACGCTTTACACATCAGCGCCCAGCATATTCGCAAATGCTTACCCAAAGCTGAGGTCTCAATTATAGTTGGGAGCAGTTTTGCCTATTTTTCAAATATTCTTGAGGATTGCGTAATGCTTGATTATTGTGATATTCCGTTTTTGCAAATCACGACTGTAGCTGAGCATACTGGAATTCTATTTCACGGAAAAATAAACGGATGCCCAATCTATTGCTGGGGAGGCCGATTGCATGCCATGGAAGGGTTTTCCAATGACCAAATTACATATATAGCTCATTTAAGCGCATTTTTAGGTTGCCATACCCTTATAACAACGAATTCATCAGGCACAACAAACCCAGACGTAAATATAGGCGATATTATGCTAATTACAGACTTTATAAATAATTCAGGCACAAATCCTCTCGACACTCGCCTCCATTGGACTTTTACAGATCTGCATAGAAATTTGAATATAAATAAAGAATTCAGTCGATGGGTTTTGGAAATGGCAAAGAAAGCTGAGATAAAATGTGTAGAAGGAGTTTATTGCTGAGTTAAAGGGCCGAATTTTGAAATGCCATTTGGGATTGAGTGCTTTAGCAAGCTAGGGGCAGATATTTTTGGAATGAGCGCAGTACCTGAAATCATCGCAGGCTTAGTGCATGGCATGAGGGTGATCCCAATAGCAATTATTACTAATAAAAATGAGGTTTTACCAGAGGATTCTGCCATGGATGGAATATCGATGGCTTTAGGGGAAATTCGAGATTTCTTTAAATTCATTATAAAAGAGCTACCAAAATTTGAAGGAAATATAAATCTTGAATGAATAAATGACATAGAGCCTGTGCTCTTTCGGAAACCAAAAGAAGTTGCGGGCAAAGAGCATATATTAGAAAGTATTAAGTGGGTAAGAGGATTGATTGATGAAGAAAATAGTCCAAAAATTGCTGTGGTTATAAATGGCAAACACCTTCCATCTTTTAAATCTTTTAAATTTGTGTTTTACAATGAATTGCCTAACTTCCCACAGACTTCACTTGCTTCAAGATATGGCAAATTCATAATTGGGGAATTGGGGAATAAGCATATTTTTTGCTTGCTTAATTGTGATTTTGAAGGTCTCGAAATCTATGAGTCTTATTTTATTGTGCAGCTGCTGATTGGGCTTGACGTGAATTTTCTTCACTATATAATCCCAGTTGTAAATGAAGGTCATAATCTGACTGGTATTAAAGATTATTTTTGTATGAAACTACAAAATGCAACGGTAACCCCAGTTATTGATGCAGTAAATATAACTGGGATAGGAGATCAGCTTCTTTTAGCATTTCCAGGTCCTACTTTGCCGACTGAAGCTGAAAAGAATTTAGCTCAGCTGCTTGGATCTAGCTTAGTTACTATATCAAATATGTCTATTTTAAATGAAGCAAGCAATAGAGGCCTCCCTCATTCAGCAAGCTGCTATTCGACTGACTTCTCAGCTGGGACATTTAATTCCAATAATTTATCACAACTTATTGATTCTATCACTGATTCTAGCATGCAAATTCCTTTAAAGTTTCCAATTGCTTCATTACTGACAGATACAAATTTAATAGAGCCACCTCTTACTCAAAATGATATAGAAACCCTTGCATCTGACATTAAAATAGGTCTTTATCCTCATTTAACTGTTATTGTTACTGAAGAAATCGGGAATTTGTTGCTCCGCCATTTCTGCGTCATCCAAATTTTCTGTTCTACCAACCGAAAATCCGCTTTTGGCCCATTTTGATTATGAGGTTTGGCTTCACCTAGGGAATTTATCCCGGCGATGATGGAGTATTATGCCTGAGAGTGCGTAACATCAGCACCCATCCAAAACTATTGGAAAAATTTTGGGTAAAAAGTCATCATCATCCGTGAAACAAAAAAATATTTAATATAAAATTTTTTTGATTAAAAATATAAAGATAGCTAATATAATGAAATAATAGCTGATTCGGTTTAATTTAAGGAGCTTGCATTTTAAAACATAAATTTTACGAATTTGGGAATTTTTTAATTTCAAAAAAATACTATAAAATTTATATACTCTGAGCCACTTTATAGCTTGGGCTATTAAAATTTTTTTTACCCAACAAATTTTTATATTCAGTGAATTCGGAATTCAAATTTTTCTAGAATTATCCACCAAACTCAGGCACGGATACTGGGACCTTTTGCGTGCCCGATGGATGCAAGTTGCTCGTCTAAGAGCTGGAAGTACAACATCGAATTCGAACACCTGAGGCCGAGGGATCATCAGATCAAAACCAGATGATGTATGATGCAAGGCTAAGGGTTTCCCAACGAAGGAGCGGAACCCGTAGAGGTGAAGTGACAGTAGACATTAAGCGATTCATGATATGAATAATTGAGTTAAGTTAAAGTGCTCCGCCATTTCAAAATAAGAACATCATACTCTTTTCGTTCAACCATCACCCAAACTCTTCATTTCACCATTGACGGAATTATGATAATCAAAGGCTCGCCTCTTTTAAAAGATCAAGACAATTTTTTCCAGTCCTTTTCTCCAGTTTTCCTTTCAAATCAAATAGGTATTGAAAGCTTGATTATTATTGAAGAAGTTTCTACATGCACACCAGAAATTTCACTAGGCACTATTGTAAAAATAACTGACCAATGCGGGCTATCTTGCTTTAATCCCTTAATAGGTCCTAATATAGCGACTTGAGGGGAGAGGTTTCCATATATTTCAGATGCTTTTGATAGCAAAATACAATGAAAAAAGGTTTTCGAAGAGCATAGGATCAAAACTTGTGAGGCAAAATTGCTATTTACAAGCAAGGAACGTGGAATGACTGGATTTTCATTCGCAAAAATTGCAAGGACTTTAGGAGCTGGAGTAGTCGGAAACTCAGGGCCATATTCAGTCATAATTTCTCAGCATAAGTTAGCACATCAACCCAAGCGAAAACTGTTGTATTTAGGCTATGTCAATCACGACCCTATAGAAAATATCACAATAAACGCTCCTCCTGTAGAGTACCAGCTTGCAATGAAACAAATAATTTTAAAAGAACTAAAAACCTTAATTTAACCACATCAATTAATAAAAAATGGCAGAAGCAGGCTATGTAGAAATTGTTTCAGCCCTTGAAGCAAGAATTGCTGAGCAAGATCTGCAAATAAATGAGCTAAAAAAAGAATTGGAAGAAACAAAGCTTCAGCTTCTTGAGCAAGCTTTCACACATGAAGTGCATTCACCTCAGCCTCCCCAGATTCCAGAAGGATCTAAGCCAGAAATCGAAATTCCAAAAGCAGGGCATGGAAGAGCGTTCATGACCAAGTCTGTGAAATTCTTTGCAAAAATTGTTGGAGGAGTTGCAACCATTGAGTTTCCTAAAGGAGCACAAAAACAAGAGTAATTCTTATATAGTTCTGAAGCAGAAGCTCCTTCATTGCTACGTGAAATGACGAAAAATAGCTTTTTGACACATCAGTTTAAGGAGCTTGACCAAGCAAAACAGCAGAAACAAGATTTAGAGAATGAGATTCAAAATCATGCAGAAAAAATTAGACAGCAATCTGAAGTGCAAGTCAAGGCTTTGCAAGACTCTTATGCTCCTTTATTAGAAAAAGAACAAGCCACAATTTCAGATCTGATAAAATCAATTGGAAAAGAGCTTGATGGAGCAATAATTTGTGAAAACGACTCAGAAAGAGCATATATTGTCGACCACTTTGATCAAAACACTTTACAAATCAGCCTTCAGCAAGTCCTTGATTAAGATTAAGATTAAGATTACGCTGGGTATTTAAGGTCCCTACTACGTCCGAGGTCGCATGCCACGGTTTCCCGTGTGGGTGGCAGAGCGTTCACCAAGCCCGGGCCGAAACCCCGGTTTCTCGGTAGAGGTATTGTCAAGGGCCGTCTCATACCGGCTTTGCTGACCACCTCCATTTCCAACTTGGATCGTCGCCTAAGTTTACGCCAACTCCGCTTCGTCGTCCGCCAGATCTACCCATTGAAGGGCACCTTTTCAACTGGAGAGACCCCCGTTTTGTGTCTAACTCGCCTCCCCTCTTTTCCGGTCATCCCGAGAAAGAACTCAACAGCTTTCGCCATTCGGGGCGAGCCACTAAAGCAGCTTAGGCAGGTAAATTCACCCTGCCTCATTTCGGGCACTCACTGGGCTGAGCGCTGCTGGCAAAAAGAAGTCACGAATAACTGCCCATGGGTCTGGTCGCAAAAACAGCGGCTCTCGCGCTTAGTCCTCTCGCTTCGAGGTCCCAGACGTTGTTGGGCTAATTCCTGGCTCCAAAAACCATGCCCGGATATACATGGGTAACCACCACTGAGAGGGTGGGTCGGTCGCCATACGCCATTTTATGTATATAGCAAGTCCTTGATAAAAACGGAATTGCTCTCAAGGAGCCCAAGGCAATCCAAAGAGAATTCCAAAGTCTTGGCCCAGTCCACGCAATGCACAGAAGTGAGATTGACCAATTTATGCAGACCCTCCAAGATAAAATGATCACAGTTCAATACCAAATAGTAGAAATTGACGGAGAAGAAAAAATGTGCTGTCCAATTTACATTACCCCAAATTTTATTTCCCTGCAAGATTATGAAATTAGGTTTAACAAAAATGAGGAAAAAATAACTGACATCGTTAACAAAGAAGACGGAAATGTTAAGTTTGAAGCAATCCATGTCAGTGAAGAATGTGGGCTTGTCAGAGATACAATTGTGGAGGTATTTACTGCAGAAATGAATCCACACATACTTAATATCATCCATTTGCACATTGATGACATGAAAGAAGAGATCCCTGTTGAAGCTGTTTATATTATGGATTCACAGTCTGCTGATGATTATGGAGATTGGATTAGGGATGCAAGAGGAATTGATTTGAGATATAAAATACTTGTTAGGTCTGGAAAAATTGAAGCTGTTTTATATAATACGGGACAGACAACTGAAAAGCTGCACTTTATTGAAAGAAGGCTGAAGGTAGGAGACTATGTCCAAATACATGAGAATGCAGTAGCGCAAGTTACTTTAATACCTTATGGACTGCTTGCTAGAGATTGGACCGCTAAAAATGCAGAACTGCCAGATATTTTTAACCATTTGAGCCCAAGTTCTTATTGCATGAAAAGACATGTTGAGGACACTCCAGGCTATATCAATGTCAAGCTGATTTTAGAGAATGGGGATACTGTGGAAAATCAAAGAGAAATGTCATATCCATAATATATTTAAAATCGAGTCTCAAATAGATATACGCTCCTAACTCCTGTAGTTGGTGATTGATAAGGGGCGGAAAAGCTTGAAGATGGGATTATATACGTGATTTTGTTTTCCTCAATATAGGAGTGTTAGCAACGCTGGGCTGATAAGCAAAAAATCTAAAACTGAGATTGTCTTTTCCTCATGGATATGCGGCACACGAAGAAGAAAAGGGATATCTTGCAATAATAGGACATATATTAGGCCAATCTGACTTTTAAAAGAAAAAAATTGATTTAAAATTCTAAGGAAATATAAAAAGTCAACATTAAATTTAAAAAATTTATCTTAATCTCCTATTTGTCAGTTTTAAATTTGGCTTTTAGTATTTTCTTCAGAAATCAATAAGGAGTCAGACGCTATACTTACTGAGCTCGATGCCATGCTTTGCATCTTGAGCTTTGAATTTCATTTTTAGGGAAGGAAGCACAAGCCCTTATTCAGAAGAAGCAGCACATATAAGGCCGTGCATAGACTGATAAGCAATTAGCAGATCAAAGCGAAAGGGAATATGAGTTTAAAGATTCTAACATTAAGGTTCTCTGATCATCTAACTTAATGCTAATGTTGATATCATATCCGATATGCCAATGTGGAGAACTCGGAGATTTTGAAAAAATTCAGCTTATGTCTCTGTTTGAATTCATTGAATCTAAGAAAAAAGGCAATATAGAAGAAACATTAAGAACTTTACAAGGGATGACTGAAGACTACAGACACTCAAGATATACAGACAAAAGAGAATTTTTAGACCAAATCAGCAAGCTAACTCAAAAAGCAAGAGAAGGACTTGCAAATGATGAAGGACTAAGACCGCTATGGGGAGAATTAATTCAAAACGCAGATAGGATAGTTAGAACTTTAGCAACAGAAATAAGATTTGGAGCCTTCTAATTAATTCATTTTATTCAAATTTGCAAGCCAAAAAACTTCTATTAATACTAATAATATTCATCTATTGCAAAATAAAGATTTATGAAATCATTATTAAGCTGAATTTTTATCTAGATTAAATGAATGATCAGTGTAATAGACAAAAGAAGTAGCCTAAACCAAAGAAAATGGAATAAAAGATTTACAAAATATTTAACAAAATGGGAAATCCAATGTCTGGATATTGTTCATACAGTGACAAACCCAAAAAAATAATTGCCCGACGGACGTTTTTTAACTCATTTACTGATGGAACTGTCAAAATTATTGATTACACTGGCGTAATGGGATATTCACAAACTCTTACTCCCCCCATCCTTGATCGAACGACTCGCCATTGTTCGATCAAGATGATGGGGTTAAAAAAATTTTTTTGGGAAAAATTTATATATATAAAATATATATATATATATATTTTTTTTATTTACTTTTAAATAAGAGGGTTAAGAGTATTTAATAATTATTTTTACAGCAAAAAATTAAATTAATTTCAGAAAATACCAATTTTTAATATTTTGATTTATTTAGTTACCCTTTTAAACTGTATAAATTTTAATTTGTTCCTTATATTTAATTAATTTTTTTTTAAATTTTTAAGAATCTCTATTTTTTAGATTATTGAGTTTTTAAGCCTAGGCTGATGACTAAATCACTTCGGATGGTTGATTCCGTAGCTTTCTGTCGTCTCAAAGCTCTGAAAACAACTTCATTAGGTACATCTTCCCAAGCTTTTGATAACTAATATATTTTTATATATATAAAATTTGCATGATATGAAAATCGTTCGATCAAGGATGGGGGTTAATTTCCTCCAATTTTTAGGAATTTTTACAGTCAATCGTTCGATCAAGGACGTGGGAAGTTAGTGATATGAAACACAAAATGAGATCAATCATCCCTTATGAAATAAGAAGAATCAAAGATAATTCCATAGACGAGCGGCATTCCATTGTGAAGGTTGCAGGGATAAAGCAAGACGGAGACATGTTTATTGAATTCACCTTTGATATCATTTTCAGCTCTTTAGGAAAATTCAATATCAGCATAGCTCAAAGTAAAAGTCCTTTATTAAACGACGCAAAATGTAATGGAGTGCTAGAGTTATATTATACTTTTCCGAAAGATACCGTAATTTTTATTCAGATTTTCAAAAGGGATTTTAAAGATTTTTTTGAGTGGCTTGAGAAGAATAAAAATAATCCATATAGTATTTTGAAGGGTGAAGGAGATAATATGGGAAGGGTTATTTATGCGTATTTTCGATCAATGGGAATAAAGGATGAAAAAAATAACTTAAATTAATATGTGATAATTACATGTATCTAGCTCTATTATTTGTATAAATATTTATATTAAATTATAAATAGTATACGAATTCTTATGAAACTTGTATGTATTATTACTGAATTCATATAAAAATTAAGTAGTAGCCATTTTAATTAATATTAAAAAATCCTTTTAGCACTTAAAAATGCATTATAAATGGCATCATTCATGCAAATTAAAGGACTAAGCAAGTCTACTCCTAACATTCTTCGGCAGGCTAAGAAGGGAAACTTTGATGAAGTTTTTCAAAATTCTGAGCAACTTCTCGCATCTCAAAATGCCAAAGAAGAAGACATTCCCAGCCCAGACCTCACTGTAAATTTGAAATCTCTGTCAAGTATTTATTTAGATTCAAATCCTAAGTTTATTGAGCTCAAAAAGAAGCTGGAATTATATTATTTAGATATAAGAAGAGAAAACCCTAGACTCCATCCCCAGAGATCAGCACATTGAAAGAAACTGCTGTATTCGTCGCTTCACAAACTTTTAAACGAATGCATGTTTACCCAAACAAGAAGCTTACAAATCCAGTATCTAAACAAAGTTTATGAGTGGTACATGGAAAAAATTGGTGTAGAAAACAGAATCAAAGAAACGCCTACAGAAAACTTGATAACTATAACTACAGAACAAGGAGAATTCAACGCAGAATCTGCAGTTCCTGAAATCACTAGTCCTACTTATGACAAGCTTTCTCAGTATAGCCGCAGACACATTAGTTCAGCTCAAAGCTTAAGACCGCAAACTGCTCCTATAGAAACCCCTAAATGACTGGAAAGCAGGCCTACAAGTGCTTTTAAACCTCCAATTTTAGCTTATACAGGATTAAGTGAACCTATAGCTGCAAAGCCATTGCCAGATTTCAAAACAACATTTGTGAATTATAGAATTTCCCCATAGATGGCGCTGTTTGCCCTTGATTTGCCCACTAGGAAAATTTTTTGGTTTGACCAAACCATATGGTACTGATCGAACCAAAAAATTTTCCCAGTGGGCAAATCAAGGGCAAACAGCGCCATCTATGGGGAAATTCTATACCAGCCTTTAGGAGAAGAAGCTGAAATTCAAATGGAAAAGAGATATCAAGTGTTCAGGCAAAAAGATTTGGAAGAAAAAAGGCTTAGAGATGAAATGAGTCAAAAAGTTTTAGAATGGACGATATCGAAGTCGAAAAGGGCTGAAGAACAGATGAGGAGAAACGAAAGCTTTAAATTTGCTTCAAAATTCGAGCAGCGAGCTTTTATGCCCAGCAGGCCACAGACTGCAAATTCTGATTTATTTTCAAAAGTTTCTGTTGTCGATTTATCAAGACATGATATAGCAAATGATGTAATAAACGAAGCATCCCAGCACCAAGAAAATGGTTTACCTCAAATTGAAGAATCTTTACCTTTTCATAAATTGTCCAAAGTCACTTCTTTCAGAAAATTGCATGGAAAACTTATAGACACTGAAGAATCTGCTGAAGGTCTATTAATTCAAGACCCCAATGCAGTAGTTTTAAGTGCGTACTCCCATATCAAAACAATCCCAGAAACTACAAAAAATGAATCAATAAGACCAAAAACAGCAGGATCATTAGTATTCACTAGAAGTGCTTCAGTTACAAATATAGCCCCATATTCACGCCCAGTAACAGCTTCAATGGCGAAACAAGTTGAAGAGGTCTACGAAGTCAAACAAAGACTTGCAACTAAAAGCATTTTCTGCTCAATGGACGACATGCGATATGCCTTGCTTTCTCCTGAAGATCTTCCTCCAGAGCAGCTTAATTTCAGATGCTTCCCTAAGCCAGGCGCAGGGCTTCTTATAAACCCCTTCATAAAAATTGGTGGCAAAAAGAAGAAAAAGAAAGGTAAAAAAGGCAAAAAAGGGAAAGCTAAGAAGTAATTAATTAAATGATAAATAGTAATATGCAAATCAACGCTTTAAATGAAGGAATCATGACTTATTTGATTGAAACAAGGTTTGGAGACCCAGTTTTTAGCATGGATATATATGGCAATCAGCTAGTTTATGGGACAGCTTTGGGGCAGATCGGCAGTTTTAATATTGAGAGCTTTGACTTGATTATGCTGACAGAAATGACTGAAGAATGTGTACGAGGGATTTTTATATCAGATGACCATGTAATTTATGCAGCGGTAGGAGATTTATATGTCCTAGTTTTGTTTAAAAATGAAAACGATGAATGAGGAATGGATGAAATCAAGTATGAAGGAAGAGAACATTCAAGTTTACTATGCACATATAGCCAGATAATACAGCATAAAGGCAAAATTTGTATTTTTGTGATTGATTAGATGAGATTAGATTTAAGATGGGTATTTATAGTCCCTGCTTCGTGGATTGCATGCCGCGAGTGCGAACTCACTCGCAGGGTGGCAGAGCGTACCCACAGCAAGCCCGGGCCGAAACCCCGGTTTCTCGGTAGAGGTAAAGGTCAAGGGACAGGGTCATACTGACCGCCTCCATTTCTAACTTGCCGTGTTGCCCAAGTTGACGCCAACACTGCCCTCTCCTACGCCAGATCGCCCCTTTTGATCGGGACCCTTTTAACTGGAGAGACTTGCGCCCTTGAGGTCTCTAAGTCGAGCTTCGCCTCCCCTCTTTCCCGGATCATCTCCAAGAAAGAACTCAACCCCATCGGGATTCGGAGCTAAGCCACCATGTAGCTTAGGCAAGTAAGTCACCCTGCCTCTTTCGGACACCGAGTCTGGGCCTCGGCGCTACTGGCAAAAAGAATGCGAAAAACTGCTGCCCGGGTCAAGTCCCAAAATCAGCGGAAATTGGGCTGGGCCTCTTGCCTCGAGGCTAACTCTCCCCTTGAGTAGCTCTCCGCATCTAAAAACCACGTCCGGTATACATAAGGACACCCGCCACGGGAGGACGGGTCGCTCGTCTCCGGCCATTTTATGTATATGTATTTTTGTGATTGATAATGATAAAGAAATACTGTCATCAATAAGAAGTGATGGGAAATCTAAAGTTTTAATTATCAACGCAATTTCAAATGAGCATGAAGAATACCAAGGAATCTGCTTCCCAAAATCGTCTATTCCGCTTGATTTCGATGGACAAAGGCTTTTATGAATAGAAGAGTTTCCTAGGCACCGAGAATTAAAACTAACAACTTTTAACCCTCTAAGCCACTACAAATGTAAACACCTCGACAAGCATTTTGGCCATCTATCACAGCCGTTTTTATTGCAGGACTCAATGATTTTTGTACACAACTATAAAGAGATAAAATCAATGGATCTTTTATCAGGCGAATTCACAGCGATAATAGGTATCCACTCTGAAGATATTGTATGCATTTTTCCTATACTCTTTCCATCGCAGGTAAATCCTAACGGCAATGAAGAAAACGAGGGGCATCTGCTAACAAGCCGAGGAATAGTGATAGCTGCTGACAAAAAAGGGATCATTTGTCTTTGGCAAGATGGGAATTTACTAGAAAAAATAGATTTGTGCTGTCTAGAAGGATTTGAAGTAGAAGCAAGAGATAGGCTCTTTGGGATGGGGTATCCTTATGTGATTAGAGCTGGGGGCATTTGAATAGCTGTTTCAACTGATATTGGAATTATTATTTTAAAAAGCAATTATTTAAAACAGAATGGAGGAATTGAAAGCACTGCCCCTAGTCTTGGCAGTAAGTCGTGAGCATAATAAGTATAATGTTGAATTAATAAAATGTCCTCTATTCGAGCTTGGCAAAAATTATCAAACAGGACAGAGCCATTTCAATACACAGTATGGACTGAGTTCACACCTCTTGCAATCAAAAATCAAGCTGTCAACTTAGGCCAAGGGTTTCCTGGCTTTAAATGTCCAGATTTTGTAAAACAGGCTTTAGCTGATGCTACAAATGCTGATGAAAATCAATATGCAAGGTCGCAAGGTTTCCTGCCTCTTGTTCAAGAAATTGCAAGGGTATATGGGAGAAAGCACAACCGTGAAATTAACCCTCTCACAGAAGTAGTTGTCACAGTAGGAGCTACTGAAGGAATTATGAGCTCGTTTTTAGGGATGATTGATGAAGGAGACGAGGTTGTCATTATTGAGCCTTCTTTTGACTGCTATATTCCAGCAATTATTATGAATGGAGGAAAACCAGTAGGAGTGCCACTTATTCCACCTCAGCCTGGAGAAACTCTTTGGAATATTGATTTTGAAAGGCTAGAATCTGCATTTAATGAGAGGACAAGGGTTTTTATGATAAACACCCCGCATAATCCTATTGGAAAAGTTTTTAGCAGACAAGAACTTGAAAGAATTGCTGCTATTCTTAATAAGTGGCCAAATGTAGCTATTATATCGGATGAAGTGTATGAATATGTCATTTTTGACGATAGAGAACATTTAAGTATTGCTGATTTTTCTAATTTGTGGGAGAGAACGGTTACATTAAGCAGCGCAGGGAAAATATTTTCTATTACGGGATGGAAAACTGGATGGGCTGTTGGTGGGCCTTATGTGATTAAAAAAATTGCAACTTCCCATCTTTGGAATCCTTATTGTTCTAACACTCCTTGCCAAGGCGCAGTGGCAAGATGTTTGAGAATTGCTGATGAGCCTTATAATGGATTTCCAAATTATTATCTGTGGCTCAGAAATGAATATTCAAGAAAACGAGAAATTTTGTATAATTTATTAAAAAATGCAAAAACACTTAATTTAGACCCAATCATGCCGGAAGGAGGGTTCTTTTTGTGCGCAAGAGTTGATCCAAGTGTTATTGATAGAAGTTATCTAGAAACAGCGACTCCAGATTTTGCATTTAGTAGATGGCTCACAGAACAAATAAAAATTTGCACTATTCCATGCTCGGCATTTTATTTACCAGAGCACAAACAAGATGGGGAAAATTTAGTAAGATTTGCATTATGCAAAGATTATTCAGATTACGAGGCAGCAGCTAAAATATTAATTAATGATAATTCCTCCTAAATTATTTAAGAAAGAAAAATAATTTTATATTATTTGCTAAATACATTAGAAATAATTTAAATTAAATTTTTTGGTGCTAAAATACGAGCAAACTTTATATTTCTTTACTCAAATCCGCCAAAATAAAAAATGTTTTATTATTCTCCACTCCGGTAAAGAAAGTTAAATGTTTAAATAACTTAAATATGGAAATAAGGCTTAAATAAAGTCATCGATTTAAATTTAAAAAGAATTTAAAAAACTCAAATAAGCCAACCTACAAAAGCCTTAATAAAATAGCCAAAATAATCTCGTTACAAATTGAGGCCAAAAAAATTCTTACTCCCCCCCCTCCGTGAGTGAATAAAACCATTAGAAAAATCGCTATTTTTTGCCCAAAAACCCACCCTCCGTGAGCGAACAAACATTTTTTTAATAGAAAAATTTTTTATGGAAAAAAATTTTGATAATAAGTGATAATTAGTATAATGAAATCTAGTGCTAATTCTTTTAATTTTAAACAAATTGCTTTTTAAAACATAAATTTTATAAATTAAATTAATATTTGAATTCCAATTTTCGCGAATTAGGAGGATTTTTTAAATTCCAAAAACAATATTTTTTATAAAATTTATATATAAATTTTTTTAAAAAACAAAAATTAACCCCCCTCCGTGAGTGAACAAAATTTTTTTGTTCACTCACGGAGGGGGGGAGTTAAAAAATTCGTTTAACAGTTGTTAAGAAATGAGCTACTGCAATGATGCCATGGTGATTTTTCATATTTATAAATGACAAAATATTATCTTCTATGCATTTACCTAATCGCAAGCTCTGTCTATAGCTGTAATAGTATTTGCTTCTCATGCTCAACAATAATTGGAACTTGAATAGTCAATAATTGCACAAATGCATACTGCCGAGCAAAAGATACTGACTGCAATAATAGCTGTTCAATATGCACTGATGAAAATCTCCCTATCCCATGCGGGATTATTTCAGCCTCTCATACGAAATGTAAGAATCTTCCAGTAATTTTTATTTAGAGTATATGTGGTGGTGACGTGAGCATATTTACGACCCAATCAGGCATAGTAGAAATTTCTCCAAAAATAAACCAATTTCAAGTTTGTGAATGGTATATAGACAGCAGAAACTCATTTTCTTCTAAAGAGAATCATTATATTGATGTTAAAATTGTATTTCAAGATGTGAATCCAAATGATATGGTATATTTTATGTAGAATATAGGCAATTTGACAATATGAGCCTATGATGTTGATTCTTCTGATGCATCTCCAAACCTAAGCTCTTTGTCCCCTTTGAAATTCCAATTGCAGCCAGATAACGTAGCGTCCATGACTTCTGAAAGGCTAATTAAATCAAATTATTTAATAATTGATTATATCACTGGGAACTCGTACGATTCATATGCTGGGATTCATATATCATGAGTTGCACAAATAAATTCATCAGGTGGGAGTAATAATAATCAACTATTAACTATAGTTGCTTTAACTCTTTCTATTTTTTTTACACTCGCTTGCAGTATAGCAGTCGCATGAAGAATCATTCGAACAATTAGAAGGAGAGATAGAGTAATAGATGGGGCAAGAGTAGTATATCCTCAAACCATGGGGAGAGCTAGAGAATATGAGGCAATTCCTGACGATTCAGCTATAATTTTATCAGAAGAAAATATTGAGAGATATATGCCAAAAACAAAATATGTGGAAGGTTTAGTAGAGATTGGTGAATGCACTTGTTGTGTTTGCTTTGAAGAGTAAGAGGTATTTAGATTCAAAGCTAATAGTGAAGCTAGAAAACTTCTGTGTAGGCACGTTTATCACGCATCGTGCATAGAGGATTGGTTAGTGTCACAAGGAGGGATCCCAAAATGCCCATTGTGTAAATGCAATCCATTTCAGCCTCTATTTGATAACTCATCTGATATTAATGAAGGGGTAAGGTCAGAAAACCCAGATTAATAAGCTTTGGTTCAATAATTCTTCCTTTCAAAATAAAACTGGGAGTGCAAGTTTAAATTATCTTCTATGATAAATTTCATTTATAGACATTTTAAAGAATTAATCATTTAATATTTAAAAAAAGAAAATCATTAATAAAAATTTAATTTCTTGAAATATAATATTAATTACATAGAAAAAGTGCTATACTTTTTCTCTGGGGCATATTTAAGGCTTATTAAAAAGAGATTATTAAAAGAATTGAAAATAAAAAAAAATTTTAGGTTTTGAAGAATAAGGCTATTTTTACGATTTTTTAAGCATTTGATAATAGCATCTCATGCTTCCTTTATTTTCAGGGTAGTTTAGTAAATTTGCAAGCCGCTTGCACCATATATGCAAACTATTTTGAAAGAAATGATTAAATTTGGAAACTACTATAAATATGAGTGGAAGTGCAGATAAATTTAAGCCAAGCAGTAATCGCTATTCAAATCCGAAGTCTAATCCATACTTCCAAGAATCAAGCCAAAATCCATGGGAATCTCCTAAACCACTTCCAGCATACACTCCTAAATACCAATTTTCAACTTTAAATTCTTTGCCGGTTCGCCATACACAATCCAATTCTGCTCTAAATGAACCCCAGCACTCATGAACTGTCAATAGGCGGAGCCAACTTTCGTTAACTTCTCCTCAGAATAAAATGAGATCTCAAGAAATCAAAAATCAACTGGAAAATGAGCTAAAACGACTAGACGAAGATTTCACGTTTGATTATGATGAAGAGGTTTCTTTGATTCAATCGGCGAAATATATTAAGCAGGCCGTCGATAAAATTATTTTTGAAAAACAGCAGGTCATTGAGCAGGGAAATAGATTATCGCAGAGACCACTTAGCATGGTAAGTGAAATAGGGAGTAATCCTTCAGCAATAGAAGAATTAAAATCAAGCTTAGAAAATCAAAATTTTCAAGCTTCTCAAGAATTGGAAAAAATTAGATTTGATAATGATGAATAGGAAATTACAATTTTGTATAAGAATAAAGAATTTATGATATTTATATTAACAAAATCATTTTTTAAATAGCATAAAAAAACTCAAAATCAGCTTAAGAGATATGAATCAATACTGAGGCAAAAAGAGAAAAACTTAAAAGACCAAGAAACTCATGTAAACTATGAAAAAGCTCAGGTTGAAAAAGAAAAAACAGAAATTCACCAAGAAAGAGACAAATTAGCATTTGAAAAAGATTGATTAGACATAATTATAGCGGGTCACAGTGCTATTACAATCCCTATACTCTCAGGATTTTCAGACTCAGGTGGCCTTAAGTTACTAGTGTTCACACGTAATGCCATTTTCGTGTCTATCTCTCACACAAAAATTATGCTATCATCAATCTAGCGGAGAGACCCGCCCGATCATGCTTGGGCCCATCTCTACGATAAAGAACTCTCTTCAAGGTAAGAGCTAATCGTCTAATTCCTCCTTTCTGTAACTATTCTGCCTTTTTACAAACTATTATTGCTTATTTGAAAAAAAGAAGAAAACCAAAAGACTTTGACAATAATAAACGAAGAAAAGCAAAAACTCAATGCTCAAATGAACAGTTTAGATAATAAGTTTTTAGAAATCAAAGAAGCCTTAGGAGAGCTTGAAAGAGATCCAAAAAACCAGGCCAAAGGCTCTCTTGATGAATTTGAGCAACAAAGACTTGACTTTTTAATGGAATGTGAAGAAAAAGCTGAATGGATAGCAAAAGCTGAAGAAAGCTTAAATACAAAAGAAAGGATTTTAGCCGAACAACAAGAAGAATTAGGCCAGCTCTCTCAATCTTTACAGCAGCTTAAAGATGAAATGGAAAGTCAGCAGGAAGCCATATCCTCAAATCTCGAGTTACAGTCAAAGTCAATTCAAAATGAGTCAAAGTTGCTAGAAGATAAAAAAAAAGAAATCGAGTCAACCTTAAAGATCCTCAATGAAAAGCTAAAAACAGTCGAAGCCCTTGAAAAAGGCTTAGAAGAACAAAAAAGAATCAGAGAAAACGAAGAGCAAAAGCTTAAAGAGCATTATATCGTTAAGCTAGACGAAGCAATAAAAATGAATGAAGAAGCTCAAGAAAACATGAAACTTTTGGCTGAAAAAGAAGCATTTATTGATGAAATTATTCAAAAAATCAAGGAGGAAGAAATTGAGCTGGAAAATAGATGAAAATATTTAGAAGATGTAGAGAAGATGAAAGAAGAATTAGAAAAAGTAAGAATGATGTATGAAGAAGCCAATAATGAGCTAAAGAAAAGAGATGAAAAGCAGCAGGAGCTGATCAAAGAAATCCAAGAAAGAGAAGATAAAGTTCTTCTCAGAGAGAATCAAGGGAATAATGGAGCTACACAGTCAAACGAGAGAATAGAAGAACTTTATAACAGCTTACTTCCCTATTCCAAAGCGAATATAAATTTTGCTTGCTTATGGAGGGATAAATTTTTTAGAAAAATTTATATATTAATTTTATGTGAATTTTTTTTTGAATTCGAACGCAAAAATTAATTTAATTTGTAAAATTTATTTTTAAAGTGCAAACTGTTTAAAACTTAAATGAATTAGTAAGATTTTCATTATACTAATTATTTCATAAAAATTTTATTCACTCCAAAATTTCGGAATGATTTTATTCGCTCACTAAACGGAAGCGTTAGAAGAGAAACTCCAATTTATTTTGCAAAAAGAATCTGAGCTGCAAAAAATGCAAGAATATATTGAAAAAGACCGAGAAGATATCGACAAAACTGCTGATTTGCTACAAAAAATCCATAGTGAGCTCAGTGAGCAGCGTGAGCTCCAAACCTTAGAACAAGAAAAAATAAAGTTAGACAAGAAAAAGATCTTAGACATGCTTGAAAGATTGAATGAAGAAAGCCTAAATATCAAGGCCAAAGAAGAAGAGCTGCTTGAAAAAGAAGAATTTTTGAACTCAAAAGAAGTCGAGCTCCTAGAAAAAGAAAGCGACATTGTCAAGAAAAGCCATGGCTCTATTGAAAAAGAGAGTGAAAGCGAAGAAAAGCCAGAAGATAACGTAAAAGATGGGTCTCAGCCTGAAGAAAGTTAAGTTAATTAACCATTATTTAATCACTACAAGAATTTTAAGTTCTGCATTATCGATCTAGAAAACTCGAAGTGCTCACTAGCTGTCATTTCAGCTTGAAGCTGAGGAGTTATGTCAGAAAGAGTGACAGGGTTTCCAAGGACGTTGAATTTTTGTAAATTTTCATTGTTTTCGGTAACTTTTTTCCTCTTTTTGTTTCTCCTTTCAAATCTGTGATAATATCTCATTAAGTCTCTGTCAACGTCTTTGAGCTCTTCAGTGTCATCTCTTTTTTCTTCATCTGCTTCAGGAAGATTGACTGCAATTGTATAGTTTCTAGAGGATCCATCTACAATAGGAGCAGCCCTATATGATTGTGCACGATTTGCAGGTCTTGGCTCATCGATTACGTCAGGCATGATCCCAAAAAATGAAGGCGGCAAGTCAATATTTAGGCAGTTCCTCATTTGACTTTCCAATAGCCTAATTTGCTGTATCCCTCTGTCTCTCTGATCGAGTGCTTCTGTGACATTTAAAAGTTTTTGGACTAAAGGTGATCCCTGACAGAAATTACATGTAAATCGAGATATAGCCGCATCTTCGACAGAATAATCCCTATGACATTTTTCACATTTATATAGAATTTGCCTTGCATCATCAACCAATTTCTCGAGGGATTCCTTAAGATCCACAATTCTGCAGCATATCACATTTTTGATATCAGGATTAAACCCCCAATAAACCATTTTCCCAATGTCTGGTCCTCTCGTAAACATATTTCCGCTTCTTTCCTCATGTCTCCTATCTCTTCTTCCTTCTCTACATATCAAAATGCTGTTTTCCCCCATTTCAATTAAAGCTTGTCTTACTCTTTTGAAAGGAAGATTTAAAGCTTCCGACATTTGATGTTCCTCAACATTTTTGTAATAAAGAATATAGTCAAGAACTACAATGGCTGCTTCATCATAAAATGTGCGAATAACTATCTTGAGAAGGTCTTCAAAAAGCTTTAAAGACATTTATTATAAGATTTTATTTATTAAATAAACATGTCAAGTTATATTTTGTTTGAAGAAAATAACGATGAAACACCAAGTAGGCTGAAATTTAACCCTATGGTCGAAGTCACAGAGTTTGAGCAAGAAGAAAGGGAAAGGGGGGGGATTAGTGAGATAGATGGAAAAGTTCTAAGAAGCAGCAAACATTATAAGAAGTCTGGAGATTGGCTTAAAGAAAGAGAAAAAGCAATAAGTTTGAATAGGAAAACGAAAAATTCAGTTAAGGAGAGGGTCAATTCAAAGCTTAAATCGCTGTCTCCTTTAAGAGTTTCAAGCAATTCATGCTATAGGAGAAAAGATAATGTGTCATCTCGGAGAAGCACAAATTATTCTATTAGGATAAATAGCAAAGGAAAATCAATGGTTCAATCACCAATGCTCAGGACAAGAAAAGGGAGGATGAGGGATTCAATAAGGAATAGCATTGCTGCCTTGACTCAAATATATGGGTCTAGAAATTCAAAATGTTCAGAAACTTTTCAAAAATACTAATGAAAAACTACCTAGAATATTTGTAACTATTATATAACAGTTTTCAGCATATATTAAATAAACATTTAAGCATATATTTATTAGAAAGTTTATTTTTCAAGCATCTTTACCAAAAAATACAATTATTATGTTTTGCATTTTATCATGAAAAGATTTAATTTAATTATCTAAAATTTCACTAAGAACACGAATAAAAATATGTATAAAAATGTGGAAGATGCAATTAAAATAGAATCTAATCCTGATTTAGAATTATATTTTCAGTGAGCAAGGGCACATGAAATTAGATGAGATAAAATTGAATATCCTGTCCTTTTCCCTCCCGGATATATAGGATCTAGAGCCATTGCTTCTATAGAGCCTGAAGAATCGATCATCACAGTTCCTAACAATATGCTGATTACTACCAAAATTGCGTTTTTAAGCGAAATAAAACACATTTACGAAGAAAATCCAGATTTATTCAGTAAAATCAATCCTCGATACGAAGAGCTTATTTTGATCACTTTTCTAATATGAGAGAAATGCAAGGGATCTAATTCTGTTTGGTATGAATTCATTATATCTCAGCCTGTGCAAGTTGAAATCTTACAAGATTGGTCTATTGAAGAAATTCAGCAACTTCAAGATGAAGATTTAGAATATGAAGTAAAATAAATTTAGTCACAATCACAACTTTCAGCTGAAATAAAGCTGTATTCAGATTGGAAACAAGCAATTGAAAAATACCCTCAATATTTCCAACCAAACATGCTAGATTATGCAGAATTTAACTGGGCGTATAAGCTCATAGGCACAAGAGCATTCGTAAAATTCGTCCCGCATTGAACTTTGGCACCAATAGCAGAGCTTCTTAACCATCATAATACAAGTACTTTTTATTGCTACAATTTTCCTAATGAGATCTCACTCCCCTCCCCCCTTTAAATTGGAACTAAAAATTTTGTTCCAATTTAAAGGGGGTTAATTGTTTTTTTTAAAAAAAATATCAATATAAAATGTTTTATAAAAAAATATAAAAATTTAAAAAAAAAAAATTTCAAAAACTTATCGAATTAGATCTATAAATTTATTTAATAAAGCGCTATTTACTCTTTATCCTTTAAAACAAAGCAAGATATAACTAAATTTTCATTATTAGTTAATACGCCACTATTAATTGGTATCAAAATTATTTACACAAAAATTATTATTTTTATTGATAAAAAAAAATTAAAAACAAAAAAATTTTTGGGAAATTTATCGATCAAAGTGCTAATTTTGTTTAAATAAGATGTTATTTATACTCTATCCTTTAAAATAAAGCAAGAAATAAGTAAATTTTGAAATTTTATAAAGAATTCCTATTGAAATTTATATCAAAACTATCCAAATAAAAAATATCATTTTTATCAAAAAAAAAAAAATTTTTTTAATAATTTTTAAAAAAAAAAAAAATTAATTTTTTTTAAAATTTACCAATTAAGGATAATAAATTTATTTAAATAAGATGCTCTTTATACTTTTTTCTTTAAAAAAGAGCAAGATATTAATAAATTTTTAATTTTAGTTAAGAAGAAACATTTAACTTATATCAAAACTTTTTAGATAAAAATTATATATAATTTTTTATTATAAAATTAAATTTTGTTCCAATTTAAAGGGGGGTTAATTTACCAAAAAAGTGGAAATTTTACCGATATTTTTGTTCCAATTTAAAGGGGGGGGAGTCAGAATCATTATCAAGATATAATTACTTTGAAGAAGATGAAGACAATGATGAAGATTTTGCAGAGAAAATTCCTATTACAACAATAAACTGCAAGCAATTATTGTCTATTAATAAAGATGGAAATGAAAATATTGATGAATCATTGAGAATAAAATATGAAAAGCTTATAAAAGAAGCTGAAAAAATTGATGATAATGAAAATGATGGAAGTAAAAAATATATAGAGATGAGAAAAGAAAGATATCAGCAGCCAAATATATACAACTTTCCTGATGATGGCGCGCAATGCGCCATCATCAGGCCATGTCGGGAGAGGTTCCTCATGGAGGAATGGTTCCACGTGTGGGAACCCTCCTTTTGGTTCGTGAAAAAAGAGGGTTCCACACGTGGAACCATTCCTCCATGAGGAACCTCTCCCGACATGGCCTGGTGATGGCGCATTGCGCGCCATCACCAGGAAAGTTGTATACTTTTAATAGAAAATGATGAAAAACAGCTGAAAATTGTTGCAGGGCTTAATGACAGATATGAAGCTGGCTCAGAGGTATATATGAGTTACGGAAGAGATTCAAACAAAAGGCTTTTATCTGTCTATGGATTTTCTTTGAAAGATAATAAGTATAATTATGCAAGAATCAAAGTCAATTTAACTGATCTATCAAGTAATCTGAATCAGATTCAATACATGATAAACTCTAGTCTTGATGGGATTTATGCATTTAAAATCAGGGAACGTCACTTATGTTTAGGTATTTCATATGCAGATCTTTTAAGAGTTATAAGAGCCCTTAAGTGGAGTAACAAATTCCCAGAAGCGGCTTTTTTCCTTCCAGCAAGCATTGACTTAGAAATTCAGACATTTGAGTATGCAAAAAATATTCTAAATAGATGAATCTCTCGTTATCCCACAACATATGAGCGTGATTTGGAGCTTCTTCAAGAAAACCCACCATTAAAACTGTATTTTGCTGTAAAGGATAATTAGTTAGTATATAGAAGTGAAGTCAAAAAAATATTGCTGAAGCAGATGCAGTTAATAGACATTATAATGAGACTCCTAATGAAATTAAAAATAGGAGCTGAAATAGAGCAAGCGTTAAATGAAGAACTCGAGAACTCTGAAGATGGATTAGGAAACAAAAGAGTTATTGAGGTATATTTAGATATGCTGAAATAATTAGACAAAAACATAGGCATAATAGATCTTTTAACTATATTAATAACTCTCCTTTATTATCGAACAAGACTTTTTGGCTCGAGGGAGTAATATGTTTTTCGCTGAAGTTTAAATTCATATAGCATTTAATCCTTATTTGTAAAGGAAAATTAATTTATAAAATTTAGGCTAAGATGAAGTTGTATAGTACCTAATTTAATTAGCTGAACCTCAAAATACTTCATTCCAAGAACTCTATTTAAAAACACTTTACTTGCTAATAAAGAAATTTAAAGTCTTAAAAAAAGGTTTTTGAATCATTTTGCTCTAATTAATTTAATTAAGGATAAGAAAATTTTTTTAGGCATCCCATAAAAGAAGCTTTAAAACTTATTATACAAATTTGCTTTACTCCTCTATTTATAAATGGAACCCAAAAAATCCAAAAAGAAAAGCAAAAAGTGGAAGCCATCAGTCGGGAAGAAGTTTGTTTACAAAGAAAGTGTAAAAGAAGCTCTTCCTCCTGAAGTTTTAAGAAAAATCATCAAAGACCATGGCGATATGTCTAGTAAACGATTCAGAAATGATAAACGTGCCTATCTCGGAGCTTTGAAATACGTCCCTCACGCAATTTATAAGCTTTTAGAAACCATGCCAATGCCTTGGGAACAAGTACGAAACGTGAAGGTTCTTTATCACGTTTCAGGCGCAATCACTTTTGTGACAGAAGTCCCTAGAGTCATTGAGCCAGTCTATACAGCACAATGGGGTACGATGTGGATAATGATGAGAAAAGAAAAGCGAGACCGTCGCCATTTCAAGCGTATGAGATTTCCTCCATTTGACGACGAAGAGCCTCCTCTTGATTATGGAGACAACATTATGCATGTGGAGCCATCCCCGCCTATACAAATGCAGCTGGACGAGGAAGAAGATAACACAGTTTTTGACTGGTTTTATGATGATAAACCACTGATTTATACCAACATGGTCAATGGGTCAAGCTATAGGAAGTGGAATTTGCCTTTATCAGTGATGAGCAATCTTTACAGACTTGCAAACCAGCTGTTGAGTGACTTATATGACCCGAATTATTATTATTTGTTTGACCAGAAGTCATTTTATACTGCGAAAGCACTCAATATTGCAATACCTGGTGGCCCCAAATTTGAGCCTCTGTTTAGGGATTTGGAAGAAGACGAAGATTGGACGGAATTTAATGATATTAATAAAGTCATTATAAGGAACCAAATAAGGACTGAATATAGGATTGCTTTTCCATATCTGTATAACAGCAGGCCAAGAAAAGTGACTCTTTCTAGCTACCATAAGCCTGCAGTTGTGTATTTTAGGCAGGAAAATCCATCAGTCCCGACTTTTTATTTTGACCCTGTGATTAATCCACTCCCAGCTTATAAATTGGAAAAGTCTGAAGAGTTATATTTATTTATTCTGATAACTAGCATTAAGCCATTAAAGCAAAGATGGGTATAAAAATAAAAGCTATTGCTGATTATGTGAATTAATGAGATTTAGTTAGAATATCTGATGATGAATTAGAAGAATTTATGCTCCCAGAAAACATTGAGCCTTTATTCGGAGATTTTTCATTAGACACAAGCAACACAAACAATGGCATTGCTTTACTCTGGGCACCACATCCGTTCAACAAAAGAACTGGGAGAACTCGCAGAACCTGTGATGTACCATTAGTTAGTGGATGGTTCAGAGAGCATTGCCCTACCCACTACCCTGTAAAAGTCAGAGTTTCTTACCAAAAGCTCCTCAAATGTTGGGTACTAAACCAGCTTCACCACAGAAAACCCAAAGCTTTAAAGAAGAGAAACATTTTCAGAGCTTTTGAAAGGACAAAATACTTCCAAAAAACCGAAATCGACTGGGTTGAAGCAGGTCTTCAGGTTTGTCGTCAAGGCTACAACATGCTTAACTTGCTGATCCACAGAAAAAATTTAAACTACCTGCATCTTGATTACAACTTTAACTTAAAGCCTATAAAAACCCTTACCACAAAGGAAAGGAAAAAATCAAGATTCGGCAATGCATTCCATCTGTGCAGAGAAGTAATGAGACTCATAAAAATTGTGGTAGATACCCATGTGCAGTATAGGCTTGGGAATGTTGATGCTTTTCAGCTTGCTGACGGCTTGCAGTACATTTTTGCACATGTAGGACAGCTGACAGGAATGTATAGATACAAATACAGGCTGATGAGACAGGTTAGGATGTGCAAGGATCTTAAACATCTTTTATATTACAGATTTAACAATGGACCTGTAGGAAAAGGCCCTGGGTGTGGAATGTGGGTCTCTGGATGGAGAGTTTGGCTATTTTTCTTAAGAGGGATGGTGCCGCTGTTGGAAAGATGGCTAGGAAATCTATTGGCAAGGCAATTTGAAGGGAGGCATAGCAAAGGAGTAGCGAAAACAGTCACTAAACAAAGGGTTGAGAGTCATTTTGATCTTGAAATGAGGGCTTCTGTTATGCTTGACATTCAAGATATGATGCCTGAAGGAGTAAGAGATAATAAAATCAAAACTATTCTGCAGCATTTATCAGAGGCCTGGAGATGCTGAAAAGCAAACATTCCTTGGAAAGTCCCTGGGCTTCCTCAGCCTATTGAAAACCTTATTTTACGATACATCAAGGCTAAAGCTGACTGGTGGACAAATGCTGCTTATTATAACAGAGAAAGAATCAAAAGAGGTGCAACCGTAGATAAAACTGTCTGCAAGAAAAACCTAGGAAGACTAACCAGACTTTGGCTAAAGGCTGAACAAGAAAGGCAACATAATTATTTAAAAGATGGCCCATACCTAACTTCTGACGAAACTGTAACAATTTACACATCAATGGTCCATTGGCTTGAAAGCAGAAGATTCCTCCCTATTGTTTTTCCACCTTTAAACTACAAACACGACACAAAATTATTTGTCCTTTGCTTAGAACGGCTAAAAGAATCTTACTCTGTGAAATCAAGACTAAACCAATCACAAAGAGAAGAGCTTGGACTAATAGAGCAAGCTTACGATAACCCTCATGAAGCACTATCAAGGGTAAAGCGACACTTGCTTACAATGAGAAGTTTTAAAGAAGTAAATATTGAGTTTATGGACTTATATTCTCATTTAATTCCTGTCTATGAAATTGAGCCCTTAGAAAAAATCACTGATGCATATCTTGACCAATATCTGTGGTATGAAGCTGATAAAAGGAAATTATTCCCTAATTGGATGAAGCCTTCAGATTCTGAGCCTCCTCCACTATTAGTCTATAAATGATGTCAAGGAATTAATAATCTGACTGATATTTGGGATGTTTCTGAAGGGCAATGTGTAGTGCTATTACAGACAAAGCTAGAAAAAATATACGAAAAGATTGATTTAACGCTATTTAACAGGCTACTGAGACTGATTGTGGATCATAACTTGGCTGATTATATGACAAGCAAAAATAACGTGATTATTACTTATAAAGATATGAGCCACACCAATTCTTATGGGTTTATCAGAGGGCTTCAGTTTGGGTCTTTTGCGTTTGGATACTATGCTCTTGCTGTTGATATCATGATTTTAGGACTTCAGAGGGCTTCAGAAATAGCAGGACCTCCTTCAGATCCAAATGAATTTTTAACCTATAAAGACGTGAAAACTGAAACAAGGCACCCAATTCGGCTTTACTGCAGATATATTGACAAGCTTTTTATGGTCTTTAGGTTTTCTGCAGAAGAAGCCAGGGATTTGATCCAAAGGTTTTTAATCGAAAACCCTGACCCAAATAACGAAAACCTAATAGGTTACAACAATAAAAAATGCTGGCCTAGAGACTGCAGAATGAGACTGATAAAGCATGATGTCAACCTAGGAAGAGCGGTTTTTTGGGAAATAAAAAACAGGCTGCCGAGATCAGTGACTACAATAGACTGGGAAAACAGTTTTGTTAGTGTTTATAGCAAGGACAATCCGAATTTCTTATTCAACATGAGCGGGTTTGAAGTAAGGATCCTTCCCAGATGCAGAATGCTTTCTGAAGATTTTACTTATAGAGATGGAGTATGGAGACTTCATAATGAAAACACAAAAGAAATCACAGCACAAGCATTTTTAAGAGTAGACAATGAAGGACTGAGAAGATTTGAAAACAGAGTCAGGCAAATCCTAATGGCTTCAGGCTCCACAACTTTCACGAAAATTGCAAATAAATGGAACACTTCACTAATTGGGCTGATGACTTATTATAGAGAAGCTGCAGTTCACACTGAAGAACTTCTTGACCTTCTAGTTAAATGTGAGAATAAGCTGCAAACCAGAATAAAAATTGGGCTGAATTCAAAAATGCCTTCAAGATTTCCACCAGTTGTTTTTTATACTCCAAAAGAACTAGGAGGTCTAGGCATGCTATCAATGGGACATATCTTGATCCCTCAAAGCGATTTAAGATATTCAAAACAGACAGAAACTGGGATCACCCATTTCAGAGCTGGGATGTCTCATGAAGAAGATCAGTTTATTCCGAATCTTTATAGATATATACAGACCTGAGAGTCAGAGTTTATTGATTCGCAAAGAGTGTGGGCAGAATATGCACTTAAAAGACAAGAAGCCCAAGCTCAAAATAGAAGACTAACTTTAGAAGACTTAGAAGACTCTTGGGATCGTGGCATTCCTAGAATCAATACACTATTCCAAAAAGATAGGCTGACTCTGGCTTATGACAAAGGCTGGAGAATGAGGCAGGATTTCAAACAGTACCAGGTTTTAAAACAAAACCCATTTTGGTGGACTCATCAGAGGCATGATGGAAAGCTGTGAAATTTAAATAACTACAGGACTGACATGATACAAGCACTTGGAGGAGTAGAATGCATATTAGAGCATACATTATTTAGAGGGACTTATTTTCCATCTTGGGAAGGATTGTTCTGGGAAAAAGCCAGTGGGTTTGAAGAATCTATGAAATATAAGAAACTAACACATGCACAGAGGTCTGGGCTTAACCAAATCCCCAACAGAAGGTTTACACTGTGGTGAAGCCCTACAATTAACAGAGCCAATGTATATGTCGGGTTCCAAGTGCAGCTAGATTTAACTGGAATTTTCATGCATGGGAAAATCCCAACCTTAAAAATTTCTCTTATTCAAATCTTCAGAGCCCATCTATGGCAGAAAATCCACGAAAGTATCGTAATGGATCTCTGCCAAGTTTTTGATTTAGAAATGAACTCATTAGAAATCGACACAGTGCAAAAAGAAACCATCCATCCTAGAAAGTCATATAAAATGAACTCTTCTTGTGCTGATATCTTGCTTTTCGCTACTTATAAATGGCCGATTTCTAAGCCAAGTCTATTATCAGATAACAGAGATGTATACGATGATGTGACCTCAAATAAATATTGGGTAGATGTACAGCTAAGATGGGGAGATTATGACAGCCATGACATTGAAAGATATGCGAGAGCAAAATTTTTGGACTATACGACTGACCATACTTTGACGCTTTATCCGTCGCCGACAGGATGCTTACTTGCAATTGATTTAGCTTATAATTTGCATAGTGGGTACGGGAACTGGTTTCCTGGTTCAAAAACATTGTTGCAGCAGTCGATGAGTAAAATCATGAGAGCAAGCCCTGCGCTATATGTACTTAGAGAAAGAATAAGAAAAGGGTTGCAGCTTTATTCATCTGAACCAACTGAGCCTTATTTAAATTCTCAAAACTATGGAGAGCTGTTTTCTAACCAGACTATATGGTTTGTGGACGATACTAACGTGTATAGAGTCACAATCCATAAAACATTCGAAGGAAATTTGACAACAAAGCCTATAAATGGTGCAATTTTTGTTTTTAATCCAAGAACTGGACAGCTGTTCTTGAAAATTATCCATACATCAGTGTGGGCTGGACAGAAGAGACTTGGCCAGCTTGCGAAGTGGAAAACAGCTGAAGAAGTTGTCTTTTTAATCAGATCACTTCCAGTTGAAGAGCAGCCTAAACAGATTATAGTCACACGCAAAGGAATGCTAGATCCTCTCGAAGTCCATCTATTAGATTTCCCCAATATTGTCATAAAAGGCTCAGAACTTCAGCTCCCATTCCAAGCTATTTTAAGAATCGAAAAATTCGGAGACTTGATCCTCAGGGCAAGCAAGCCAGAACTTGCCATATTTAATCTTTATGACGACTGGCTGCAATCAATTTCTTCATTTACTGCATTCAGCAGACTTATCCTTATACTGAGAGCTGTTCACGTAAATAACGAAAAAGCCAAAATGATCTTAAAGCCTGACAAAACAACAGTGACTAAACCAAACCATGTTTGGCCTACCCTTACTGATGATGAGTGGGTTAAGGTCGAAGTTGAGCTGAAAAATCTGATTTTAAATGACTATGGCAAGAAAAATAATGTAAACATTGCATCTCTGACACAAAGTGAAATCAGAGATATCATTTTGGGCATGGAAATCACTCCTCCCTCTTTGGCAAGACAACAAATGGCAGAGCTGGAAAAACAGAGAGATCAGACTACTGCAGTTACTTCGAAGACTACAAATGCTATGGATGAAGAATTTGTGGTGATAACCCAGACTCCATATGAACAAATGGTTTATACTTCGAGAACTGACTGAAGAGTTCGAGCAGTTTCTGCAACTAATTTATATTTAAGAACTGGGCATATTTTTATTAAGAAAGATGAAGAAGATTCTTCAGCAGTCTATGTCCTACCAAAGAATGTGTTGAAAAAGTTTATTGCAATTGCTGACTTGAGAACTCAAATTGCAGCTTATTTATATGGTATCACCCCACAGGAGCATCCAGATGTAAGAGAAATTCGATGCATCGTTTTGGTCCCTCAAGTTGGGACTTATCAAAGTGTGACTTTGCCGAACTCTGTACCTGAGCATCCGTATTTAAAGGATTTAGAGCCAATTGGATGGATACACACACAGCCGGGAGATACATCACAGCTTTCTCCGCAGGATATTATGTTCACAGCTAAGCTTGTATGCCCGCTTAAGCTGAATAGCAGAATTAAGTGGAATAACATATTAATGGCTATGACTTTATAATAGATTAATCTTAAAAGATATATCAGAAAATTCAAATTGGAATCCAGAAGCCAATGCTGTTATAACTGTAAGCTTTACCCCTGGTTCATGCACTCTGTCTACATTTAGAGTCACCCAAGCAGGCGTTGAGTGGGGGAAAATATCAAATGACGCATCAGGATATCTGCCTGGATTTTTCAAAAAAACACAAATGCTTCTGACAGAGAAATTCTTTGGATCCTTTATGGTTCCTGACACAGGGGTCTGGAACTGTAATTTCATGGGAATCGGGCATTCTCCTCATATGAAATACAACTTGCATTTGGCCAATCCAAAAGAATTTTATCACGAAATTCATAGACCATCACACTTTTTATCCTTTGCAAAAGCTCATGAAGAGGAAGAAATAGCAGAAATGGCACCAGAAATTGATAATCCTTATGATTAAATAATTTAGGTAAATAATTTATTTCAGGAATTTTAATTTTATAATAAGAAAAATGCTAATATTTATTAAACATCCTTTTTTTGCCCATTTTCCGTAAGTCTTCGATACTCTTCTTTGAGAGCAGCAATCGTCTGCTCATTTTTATAAGTATTAAATGCAATTTCAGAAATCTGCCTCTTGATATTATCCAAATCTCTTTTGAATTGGAATCTGAGAGAAAAGCTTGGGTCAGTTTCATCAGCAGTCTGAACTCCTTGAGAAATCATGTCAGCTGAAAACTGAGTCCCAGAATCCAGCTCTATATTCATCCCTTTTTCTTGTCCACTGTCTTCACATGTCGTCTCTGAGCTTATCTCTTTCCTTTTCTTATATTTTTTCTTAGGAATGGTTTGATCTTGAAACGAACCAACAACCAAGCCTGTAATGAAATCATTCTCTTCTGATGTCAAGTCACATGTTTTTATTTGAAGCCACATCCAAGAATGAAGCTTAATTTCATCTAAATTTGTATACCCAGTGCAAAGGTCAACTGGGAACTCAACATACTGCCCATCGGTGGTATTCCCTTTAAAAGCCCATTTACACGACAAAAACCCTACATTGAACACTGAAACTGGTGCTCTACACTCTCTACAGACACAACTTTGAGCTTCGTTTAGGTATTCAAATGTCCCTCCATTGCCTAAATACACAAACTCTTTGGCTTTCAAAAGGGAGCAGGAAGGGTTTGTGCATTTTATCTCAAAATAGCAGCCAGCACTGATTGGCTGTTTTTGAGTAATTTTTAAGGAGGAATTAGATTTTACCTCATCAAAGGTTAGGTTAGGCCATTAAAATATCGTTAACCATATTGGTTACGCAGTTACCAAAGACCTCCCCGTACAGGAGGTTTAGCCATTTTTTGACTCCAGTCCAGAGAGTCTTTGCAAAGGTTGATGCCACTTCCTGGAACCTTCTGTCTCCTCCTTGCGGCTTCAGTCTTGATTGGAGTTGCTTGACTACATGAATCAACTCCTAGAAGGTATAGGGTGTCAAAGTGTCTTTCTTCAACAGCTATAGGAAAAAGGCTATTCCCTATTGCCTGAGCCGACACCCCAGTTTTTCACTAGAGTAATGCCAATGAGTACTCGGTTCCAAAGGATGCTATTAAGCACCTCCATTTCAATCACAGGAAAGCAGCCAAAACCGATCAGATATGCACATCTCTTGATCCTGCACTTGATTCTTGACTCGGGGTCGATCTCAGTTCGCTGTGCCCATAAGGTAGACCTCTGCGCCAAGAGGGCAGGCTAGCAAGTACCGCCATTTTAATATGCATACTTCATCAAAGGTAATTTCTATATTGTGGTCCGCAATAAAATTCTCCTTTTTGGAATTCACAGTATCTTTAATGCTGATACAACTTCTGATGAAGGAGATAAAATGTCGGGTTTTTTGGTCCTCATCACCAGCCTCAAGAGAAGGCTCATAAATGCTAAGTCAATGGCTCATAGTTTCTCGGAAGATGGATTTAGACAGAAGTCTATCAAGAAACTCATAAGACATCGATTTAAAGCGCTCATCGGAATAGACATTGTCTGGGTTCAAGGTCTTAATCCAGTTCCAGAATTTAATTTCCTTCGGATCTGTTCGCATTTGCTTGGCATTCCATGCGAAAAAGTTCCTGAGGATCTTTTTCCTTTGGTGTTCTTTCTCCTTTGGCCCTACTTTTGAGAGCAGAGTTTTCTCCATAAGTCTTTTCTCCTGCCTATATGAAAATTACGCTTGGATTTTATTTCGAGGACACGAACGATAGTAATGCCCCAAGTTCGAGAGCTCCGCCTCGGTCTTAATTTGGAATTCTGACGAAATTTCTTTGGTTTTTTCGTCCTTAACCACAGTCATGGCTGCTTGAGAATTTGCTCCAATCATATTTATATGTCGTAATTTTCGCCAGTCACTGGCTATTAACTTAAGGGATTTAAATTGGATTTTAATTGTTTGCAATTCTTTGAAGAAAAATTAAGAAAATAAGTGCTTGGAAATAAAATAAAAAATACATTAGGCTTAAATTATTATATGTAAAAAATCTAATTATGGAACAAAAAAAGAATAAAGCGGTTACGGTATTTTTGAAGTGATTATAGATCAAAAAGCTAAGTATTTAGAATAAATAAATATTTGTTCCATAAGGTTTTATATATAATTATTCAGAATTTCAAAAATTTTTGATTTGATAGTTCTGCTTTATCTACTATCTACGTAATTAAAAGCCTTATAAGATCTACATTAGTCTAATCTATCAAAAGCTCTTTAAGAGCATTATTCAATAGTTTAAAAGAAGCATCTATTTAAATGCTAGAGATTGCAATAGCCATAACTAATCCATATTGTTTTGCTATGCTCTTCATATATTTTTGAAACTCTCATAAGACAATACAGAATTTTAATTTAAATTTTATATGAATTGAAGTATAATGGAGATATAGTCATCAATTTGAAGCCAATTATTCTAATTTAAAGAAATAGCTTAAGTATCGGTTAATTTTCCTAAATTTATACTAATAAGCTCCATCCCTTTTTAAAATTAATTGAAAAGAATTTTTAAATATAAAAACCTCTTCAAGTTAAACTTACTAATAAAATTATGTTTAATAAAGAATAGTTTTTATTTAAGATGAGTTATTAATATTCTCCGTCTATTTCAACTTTTCAGAAAGTATATAATTAATAAAAATTTATGATAATTAAAATACCAATTCGAATTAAATGCAACTATTATGATATTAAGAATAAATATAAAGTATATGCAATTTAATTAATTATTATGAATTTTAAAAAGGATTAAAATCTTATAATGCCAAAAATTTAAGATTACTTTATCAACAAATTTATAAGGTTAAAGTGAAGGCATTCAGATACTAATCTCTGGTATTTGCACATTATTAAATTTATAAAATTTCAATGGTTTAATCATTTTGATCTTTTCATCATGATCCACATTTTTCAAAATATTATAATATTTTTGATTTAATATACTAATAGATAGATAGCAATGAGTCTTAAAGTCTTTTTCTATATTATTTTGTTAATCTTATACCAATAATTCGCAAATATATTAAAAAGTAATCTTGTCTGATATTTTAATAAAAGCTAAATATCTATTTGATTAATAGTTTATAAATGTTAGATAATAATTGTGAAGTCATTTTAGGATTATTTAAGAAAATCATCATCTCTTGTGCCTCAAATTTTTATACTATTTTCTCAAATCTTTTAATATTAAGAATAATGACGTATAAATGCCTATAATAGATATCAGATATTAATTTTTCTTTTAAAAATAAACTTTAATCCTATCATTTATCATCAATTTTTTACCTATTCACTATCTATTTGATCTTATTAGCATCCACCTTTCTTGCCAAATTATTTTTTAATCATCCAAAATCCTCTTTATTTAGATTATATGGCGTCTTTTCTCAGACATCAAACAGCATTATCTCCAAGTGCCCGTGGCAGTATCCGCTCAGGAGCTTCAGGCAGACACCATTCAAAGACTCTCCAATCTGCCCCTCACGGTAGTTCTGCTTTTTCTCGTATTTTTAGTGCAAAAAATATAACAAGCAACATTTTACCAAATTTCATGGTTTCAGATCAAACAAAGAAAGGCCTGACTGAAGAAGAGCTTCAGAAGTTTAACCTAATGAACGCTATGTATTCAAACCCTCAAGAATCATTATCAAGGACGCAAGTAATTTTCGAATCTCGGGAATCTCTAGGCAGATGTGCAACTGAAGGCGATCTTACTTCCCAATAATAAGGAAATTCTCGCTTATGTGGGTTTAGTATATAAATTTCCAAATAGTAAATTTTATATGATATAATTTTTTAACTAAATTTCTTATGGCCGTTATACGCGCCATTTTCATAGAAATTTCAAATTATGAATTTGACGCACTAAAATCTGCGTTTTGAAACGTATATTAGGTTTCCGCATACCAAATTCAAAATTCAAAATGACACGCATATGCATGATAAGAAATAAATGCAACGCATTATAACTTTTATAGGGAGTAAATGTCCAATATTTTCATTTTCAACCTCCATTAATAAGATAATATAAAATTTACAATTTGAAAATTTCACTCAAAAAGCACCTATGATAAACAAGAATTTGCTTATTACTCGGGAGAGTTAAAGCAGATCTCCTAGCTCCAGAACCAGCCCAACGACAAAGTTTACCTATTAATAATCGATTAAAGATAAGCACAGAAAAAATTGAAGAAATCAAAAAAATTGAAAAGGTTACTAGGGATATTTTTAACCCTACCCTTAAGCCCAGCGAAACTATATTGTCGATAAGGAAAAGAGAGCTAAAGAGAGAGGACCTTGTTAAACTTAAAGAAGGCGTTGATTTACCTGAATGCATTGTGGATTGCTATTTATCTATTCTTAAACACACAAATAGCTTGAGAATTAGATATACTCCAGGCGCTTTAAGGGTGCTAATTGCGAGCGCTAGTTTTAGCTCGATGGTATTTTTGAAAGGAAGAGAAATAGCACAGCCTAAATCAATGGAGAAATAAATTGGTGACGTTACATAAATTCGAATCCGAGGCACACTCTTTATGGAACTTTTAAAGACCCATTCTGATTAAGCTTAAAGAAGGGTCTCTACTCCGTTTGGAATTAGGCCTTGGAAAGGCCATTCAGGTTGGAAATCAAAAAGTTCACCTTTGGAGTCAGGGTAGTCTACTGATAGAGGGTGCTATCATAACAATTAAACTTAACTTAAATCAAACGTGTTTAAATACGATTTTTTATTGTTTCCAATCTTTGTAGGGTACTGAACACTTTTGATAGTGGATATGAAAAGAATGACAGTAAAGTATTATGAATATTAGCCTTAATCAACTTAATCTTTGCGTCTAGACTTTTAAAATTATATATAATTACAGGGTTTTCCCCTATATAGCCCTTACAGGGCTATAAAAAGCAAAGGCCTATATTCTTTTTTTATATAATAAAAAGTATTATGATCCAGTTAAGGAGCATAAAACAGTTTCCATTGTAATGACAAGGCTAACAAAATTCATTCAAAAAGCAGCGCCACGAGAGGACCAAAGAGTAAACACTAATTTTCAATTTATCCCAACACCAGTGCCAAATATCCATTTTACAGACAGCGGAGTATTTGTTTGCACCGAAGCAGAAAATATTGCATGCGGGAAAAATAATAAGGTTACTAACTCCCCCCTCCGTGAGTGAACAAAACCATTGGAAAAATCGTTATTTTTTGCCCAAAAAAACCACCCTCAGTGAACAAAAATTTTTTATGGAAAAAATATTTGATATATAAGTGATAATTAGTATAGCCCGATCTATAGCCGGGAACGGGCTATATATGAATTCTCGAGCTAATTCTGTTTATTTTTTAAACAAATTGCGCTTTAAAACATAAATTTTAAATATTTGATTTCCAATTTTTATAGAAGTGAGTTTTTTTATAAAAAAAGAAAATTAACCCCCTCCTTGAGTGAACAAAATTTTTTTGTTCACTCACGGAGGGGGGGAGTAAAGAATCAACAGATAATTATAGGAAAGATATGCTAGCAGCGCTAGTAAAAGCATCAAGCATATAATGAATGAAAGTATGTTATTTAATCAAACTATGCAAATAATAATTTTTAAAAGTAAAAATGAACTATTTGGGTTAGGAAACAAATTAAAAGTAAAACTCTTAAAAGTTACAGCAAAATATAAAAATTTGATAATTCGTATAAAAAATCCTATTTTGATTGTTAACTATGTAGATATATCCATTAAAAAATGATGGAGAATCATTTAAGATATCAATAAACATATATTTCATGGAAAGAAAATTTCATGAAGGGCAGTTAGTCTGGGCAAAAGTTGAAAGCCATCCTTGGTGGCCTGCAATCGTAAATTTTATTAAAGATTGATAGCATAGAAGAAAATAATCCTTCTGAGTTCGATGAAGTGCAAGAATTGAAAGGTACTATCACCGTCAATTTAATAGGCGAAAACAAATAGTAATTTATATGCAGCGCACACCTGTCTCCTGCAGAAATTGCTGATTATGAAGAAGCATATCGATTGCATTCCAATGCAAATGATGAGGTAAGGATTACCTAGAAACTTAAAAATTGTATCATAATTGCTAATAAATTTTTGGCAAAAGAAATTGACATCGCAAACCTTGAAGAAGTCAATACAAATTTGATTGCATTTTTACAGAAAAAGAAAGGGACACAAGAAGCGAGAGATCACGCGATTTCAGACGATGAAATCAAAAGAGTTGTAAAAGAAATAAATAAACATTTAGACTCAAAAATAGCACTTAATGAACGGACAACAGATCTCAGTGGGCTATGTAGTAATTCTGATGCAATTAGACATAAACTTGAAGAATTCATGAAGCTTCTCACAATTTTTATTGACCATGCAGAGTCCACTTCACACTTTTTACCGGCCCTTGAGCTTTGCAACTGTCTATCATTTATTGTCCAAATAATCCCTGACTCTTCACTATTAGAGGCTTCAAAAATCTTAAAATGCATTAAAACCTTTAAGAACAAACTCAAAGAAAGCTCAAATAGTCTTCTTAAATTTGTTTCACATATATGCCACAAACTTTATTTATTTTGGAAAAAAAGCTTAATTAATGCAAGTATTAAAAGCCTAGTTACTTCAGATAGGCAACAAATAAATAGACCAGATGAACAAGAAGCTTCATGGTCTTCTAGAAATTCAGCTTTTTCATCAAATTCCCATCAGGGACAAACGAAGAAAGTGCTTACTGGAGAGGACGTGAGAAAGTTTAATATGATGAACTCACTTAATGCAAATTCTCAAGAGCTTTTGAGAAGATATAAGTCTGGCACAAGCCCTTTGGCTGCTGCTTCACGTTTCCCTATGAGTCCAAGAGGGGAAAGAAAACCAAAAACAATGCCATTTACAGAGTCTCCTAGAAATAGTCTGGGTGATGCAAGATTTCTCAATTCCAGTTATTCTGATAAGCAGCTATTGCGACCCTCCAGTCCGAAAAGCTACACACGACAAAATGATCCCAGCTCTCCAAATGACATGATTTTAGTAATAGAATCAGACTCCCCAGAAGAAAACAAAAGGATTGAAGGAGTTGATAGAACCCACGATACCTCACAAATCCAAGAAGCACTATTAGCAATTCGCAAAAGGGAGTTAAAACGAGATGATCTCTCAAGATTGAGGGAGGGACAAGAATTGCCTGAAAGTTTAGTAGACTGCTACTTATCAATACTTAAGCATACCAACAGCTTAAGAGTCAGATATACTCCAGGTGCACCAAAAATTATGATTGCAAGTTCGAGCATAAGTAAAATGATTTTTATGAAAGGAAAAGAAATTTCTCAGCCAGAGCCAAAAATATTTAAGCATGATTTTTTAATATTTCCAATTAACACAGGCTATTGGACACTACTGATTGTTGATTTGAAAAATGTGGTCGTTAAATACTGTGATCCTGCTAAAGAGCATAGATCGATCTCAGTGCTAATAGGGAAATTGGCGAGATTTATACAGAAAGCGACTCCAAAAGATTTGCCTAAGGTAAATACTAATTATCAGTTTGTGGCCACACCAGTGCCTGATATCAATAGAGATGACACTGGAATTTATATTTGCAATGAAGTCGAAAATCTAGCTTGTGGAAAGCAAAATATAATAAATAGAGAAACGGGTGATAATTATAGAAAAAGCATGCTTCTTTCGCTTGTTAAAGCTTCAGGAGCAGGCGTATAAGCAGAAAAGTGGCTATTAAGTATTTTTATTTATTTTTAAGATAATAGTGTCCCAGGTTAAAAATGATGAGTTAATATAGATTCTTAAAATGGAACGAAAGTTCTATAATGGGCAGTTGGTTTGGGCAAAAATAAAAACTTATCCATGGTGGCCAGCCATTGTATTATTAAATTAGGTTGGTAAAGTTGAACAAATAAATTTAGCAGAAACAGATGAAGAGCCCGAATATCAAGATGAAATTACTGTTAATTTTATAGGTGAGAACACACAGTAATATCTATGCAGCGCTGCATTAGACACAAAAGAGGTTATGGATTATGAAGAAAACTACAAGCAATACAGCAACGTGAAGCAAAAAGTATTTATTATTTAGAAACTTAAAAATTGCATTTTGATTGCTGATAAATTTTTATCAAAAGAACTCGATATTTCAGACTTAGTGGAAATAAATAGCCATTTATCGGATTATGTAGAAAAGTTCATTCCAAAATCAGATGAATCTGAACCTTCCTCTTCTCAGTCTGAGTCTGAATCTGAAGATGAGCCAGAGCCGAAAAAAATCCAAAAAATTGATGAACCAGAAAACAATGGTAAAAATAGATTAAAAGAAGTTAGCAAACAGCTAGAGTCAAAAATTTCTCTGAGTGGAAAAGCAGCTGAGAATAGCCGTAAAAGAGAATTTGACAATATTAGTGCAAAAATCAACGATCTACGAAAAGGGCTATGCACCTATTTAAATGATGATGAGGAAACTAAAGAGCCACTTTGTCCAATAAATGATATTTGTGATTATTTATCTTATTTAATTCAAAATACTCCTGATAGCTCGTTATTGGAATCTTCAAAAATTTTAAAAGCTTTTAAGCTTTTTAAATCAGATCATATTAGCAGTCCAAATCAAAATTTAAGGTCTTTATCTGATATTTGTTACAAGCTGTATTTATTTTGAAAAAGACATATTATTAACGAAAGCATTAAAAGCTTAATTGCTTCTCCAGTAAAAGCATCTTCAGCTAAAGCTTCTCCAGCTAAGTCTTCTCCTACTAAAGCTTCTTCAAAACCTAAGTCACAAGAAAAAAAATATACGCCAAAAAAGGCACCTGCAAAAAAAAACTCTAAAAAATCTCCTAAAAAAGTGGAAAAAGAAGAAGCAAAGCAAACCCATAAACCTTCATCCATTGGTACTACAGATTTTGAATTAAGAAAAAAAGTATGCAGAAAAATCGCCAAAATAATTGAAGATAGAGGGATCCCCAAAAATCAGTCTCAAGATCATGCACTTGAATTAGAAAAAATTATAAGGGCAAAGGATCCACATATGAAAGAGAAATATGTTGAAGCTTTTAAAGAGCTAAGAAAAAAGCTAACGAATGAAGGAAGAGATATTAGTGATATTATAAAAGAGTGTGAGAGGGATTTATAATAATTAAGTATTTTATTGCGGGGTAATTTTGCATTATATAAGGAGGTAAGCATCAATAGTTAATCCAATTTTTATTTTTCTTTTGTCTATGATCAGAATAGAATTCCAGCTAAAATAAGATTAAATAATAATTTGCTTCCTTTATTAATTGAATTTACTGGATTGTTTGACATTAATTATAGTGAGTAAAACAATGGATCTCGCATTAAATGATCTCCTTAATGATCACCAAATCAAAGATATTTTTCATAAAGAATCCCAAAAACAAAACATTACAGTTGATGGCATGCTTCCAACAATTCTTGACAGAATTTCATCATTATATGGGCTTGATTTAGAAGGAGCTCAAGATTATTTCAGGAATCGCATTAATTTTGATGACGAAGAAGATATTATAGACCCATTGTAAGTTCTATTCAGAATGATAACTTGGGAACAATTCCAATTAAGACTTGCTAATTTTTTAGCATATATTACAGGGACTGGTGAAACAGTTATAAAAAATATAAAGAAGAGATCATCAAAACTCATAAAAAATACCCCAGCTACTGTAATTGAAAAAACCAATGAAAGCCGCTTTATAAGAAAAGGGACTCCAAGGATTATAAAGAGATCAATAAAAGCTAGAAATTCAGAGTCACCTCCTAAAGTTTATTATGAAAAGCCGCAAGAACAACGGTCTTGAATATCCCCTTATTTAAACGAATATTTTGAAGACCTAGTCGCAATTTTCCAGCAGCTTGACACAAAAAACCAGGGCATGATTGATGCAGGTGAGCTTAAAGAAGGCTTGAGAATGCTATTAAAAATCATGAAAGTAAAGAAAGATGGAGATTTGTTTTTGTTTGATAGAATGATAGAAAACAGATTTAAATTAATTCAACCAAACTCAAAAACGAGCTATAGCAAGGTGTCTTTGTATAGTATGATTGAAATTATTGAAGAGTGGGCATTAAAAGAGTCTTATAATAAAAATTCATTGAGGGAAGAACTAAAGAGCTCTATTGATGAGTATCAAGAGCTACTACAACAATTTCCTGCAGAAGAGGCAAAAGAAATTAGAGAATTAGTGAATTCTCTTAAAGAAATTGAAAAGAATTTATATGAATCTAAACCAGCCCAAGACTCTATGAGAGAAAAGCAAATAAAAGGATTGAAATTTATTTTCAATTTTTATGCAAGGCAGACCCAAATGTTTGGAAAATCGCCAACTTTTGATGAGCTAACAAAGATTAATAATATTTGAAACATCGGAAAATTTTTCAAATTCTGCACCGATTTCGGAATTATGGGCAAGCAAAATCAGTCAAGAAAGCTCTCCAAATCTGATTTAACACAAATTTTTCAAGTCTCTGCTGAAAATTCTTTAGCGATGAATGAAACCTCATTTATGGTAAAAGTCATTTAGAAAGCCCTTGACCAAATAGCAGATCTGTATTATAATAATCAATTTGATGCCCTTATGGGTGAGCACACAAGTAGTCTCAGTCTTGATTCCAAAAAATCCCTTCTTTATCAATTTCTTGATTGCGGCGATTCTTCAATCTATATGCAAAAAGTTAAAGGCTTTGGTCTACCATTCAGTAGCCAAAAAGAAGGCTTTCGAATTGATCCCAATGATTTAAGCAAAAATTATAAGCCAAAAATATCTGAAAAGCGAAAACAGCTGCTTCGACAATGAAAACAAAAAAAATTGACCCCAGATTTAAGGATTGAAAAATCACTTAAATTTCAAGAAAAAGGAGAAAAATCAATTATCGAGCCTAGAGAAAGAATACGATTAAACCGATCCGAAGAAATCCCTGAGCAAGAAAGCATTACTTGGAATCAGTTGAACTATATGGACTTAAATAAATATTTAAAAGAAGAAGAATTCCAAATGCTTTTGCAAGAAGACGAAGAATTTTTGTAATAAATTTTATAATAAATATAGAAAGATGGGAGAAAAGACAAGTTGGTGGAGCAAAGTCACCGATGCGACGTGAAATGGCTTAAAGAAGGGGGTAGGCCAAGCTGGTAAGGCTATAAGCTATGTAGGAGACAGCGTTATGAATGCTGGAAAATGCTACATGTGCCTGAAACCTGCGGAATGTGATATTAATTGTGGACATATTTTATGTAGGGCTTGCCTGGCATTTTATGTTGAGAGCCAAGGAAACACAAAAGCAGATCAAATTGCTTGTTTTATTTGTGGAAAACAGATACCATTTGAATTTACTCAAGAATTTCTCAAAGATAATCAAGGTGCTTTAAAGGATTTGGAAGAAGAAAAAGTGCCTGCTAGAAAAATCCCAAAAGCACCTCCAAAGTTAGATTTATTCAAAAAAGATTCATCAGAAAAAAGTAGCAGTATCCCTCAGCAAGCTGGCCCAAGCAGCAAGATCCAGCCACCATTGGGTCCAATTAATTCTCAAGAAATAAAAGAGCCCAATGGTCTTCCTCAACAAAGCGAGCAACTCAATTCTCAAATTCCTTCTCTTCAAGATTTATCTGCTAAAGATTTGACCGAGAAAAAAAGCGATTCCCCTAAATCAAGCTACCCGAAAAGCACAATTCCACCACCATTTCGTCAAAATATACCTCAAATAGGCAAAAAAGCCAGTGACTCTCTTCCAATATTTGAGCCAGCGAATAAAATTCAACCTTCAACATCAACATTTAATAGTTTTCCACCAATCAGAAACTTTAATGAAGGGCAAAGGCCATTAGAAGAGAGGCTTAAAGATTCGCTGCCTTCATTGGCAGATTTGTCAAGCTCAGAGTCAGAATCAAGTGAAGAGTTCAATATTTAATCTGAGTTGAAGCATTAATTAAACATTTATGTGTTATTATGTAGAAGTTCATTTTATTTTTTGAGGATTCTCTTAATTTGAGAGCTCTATCTTAAAGAATCATACGTTATGCGAATTAATAGTTTAGGTAAATATTAAAAAACTTTCAAAGTCGAATATCCACTTTGAAATGCTATCCATATTTAAAGTATCTTTTATTTATGGATAGTTTTACATATATCAACTTTTATTAATTGGCTATATGCTTGAAGTGTGCAGACAGTTGGAATTTTTCATAGTCGAATTCAAAGGTTAAATCGATTTCTGGTTTTGAGAACAATAAAAATAATAACTAAAGCCAAATGTATTGCAATGTCCTACTTCAGAAGACAGTTTAGCAATAAATAATAGCAAGCTTGAGTCCAAACGGATATATTTCGATAGGAAACTATAATAAATATGACTGAAAGCGAAGAAGTCCATGAATCATCTGAAAGTAGTGAAAGCCACGAAAGCAGACTAACAGAAAACATCATTTTATTCGTCTTTTTAGGCTTAATTCTCTCTTTTTTCTGCTACCAAATCAAGAAAAGATTCAAAGTCCCAGTCGCTCCAATTTTGATTGCAGTAGGCGTTTTATACAAAGTTGGAGGCAATTATTTATACTTAGTCTCAGACGCAGTCGGTCTAATTGATCAGCTTTCCCCTGAAGTCCTAAATTTAGTTATTTTACCTCCTTTAGTATTTGAAGCATCCTTGGCAACCGATTGGTATACATTTAAAAAGGAGCTCGGGCAAATTATCCCAATGGCGACTACAATGGTTGCTTTATCATCATCTCTAGCAGCCTTTGTCATAAAAACCTTACTTGGCTATGATTTTTCTTGGTCAGAAGCATTGCTTTTGGGCATCATTTTAATGGCTACTGATCATGTTGCAGTCGTTGCTCAACTTAAAGAAATCTATGCCAGTGAGCGATTGGAAACTTTAATATCAGGCGAAACTTTATTGAATGAAGCAGTAGTCATTATGCTTTATAAAACAGTGCTAGCTAGCTGCCTTGGTGATGCTGAAGGGGAGCAAGCAGTTGTTACTTTATTTGCTAGGCTGACTTTTGGAGGAATAATTTTAGGGCTAGTTTTTTCAGTGCTGATGGCATGGACAATCAAGAAATTAGTTAATGATGAGGTTCATGAAACAAATTTAACACTTATAGCAACTTATATGATTTTTTATTTGGCGGATGGGACTGAACTAGAAACGTCAGGAGCTATTGGGGTAGTTACGTTTGGGCTTTTTATGTCAGCTTATGGGAAAACACTGGTCAGCCCAGCTGTTGAAGAAACCTTGCATGCTTTTTGGAAAATTTTGGCCCAAAATATTGAATCTATTGTATTCATTATTGGTGGGATGGTTTTAGGAGCATTTGCTGTAGGCTACAGCGATCTAGAAGTTGCTGACTTTTTAGAATTTTTACTATTATTTGTACTCCTTTATGTAATTCGAGCCATAGCTGTGCTTGCTCATTATAGCTCATACCCCTTTATAGATTTCTTTATCGAGCAAAATGTACTGGATTGTTGAACGACCAAGAGAGACTCTATTAAAGGAACGGGCTGGATATCTATATCAGGAAGTGCTAAAAAGTGGCATGTCAAAAATGGTGACAAGTCTGAAAAAAGTTGACAAGTAAACGCGCCAATTTTAAAAATGGATTTATTATTAAAATAATTTAAAACTTAAGATATTTTAAATTTTAATCAATATTTAATTATGCTAAGTACTTCTCATATGAGTCGATAAGAACTTCTTATATATTTTAAAATCACAAACCACGCACTTTGCAAATTATAGCTTTAGTCTTCATAAAAAAATTCGCATTAAAATAAAGAAATTCTATCGAGCCGGGAAAAATGCACATTGAGCTGCAAGTTTTAGATTTTTACAGCTATTATTAATTTTAAATATTAAATTTAAATATATATAAATCGAAATGTTTAAAGCCAATATATAATGTGTAATTATATCTTCTGTCTAATTGGGTATCTTAAGTTTTAAATTATTTTAATAATAAATCCGGCTCGTTTGGCTTTTGAGAGATACGGGATGTCCATAAAATGAAGAACCAATATTTAATTAAAAGAAAAGAGTTAGTATCTCTTATAAATAAGAAAACATCATGTCCTTCAGGTAACTCATAATAAGGAGCAAAAAAACCATTAAATTTGACTGTAAAAATTTTTTTTATATCACAAAAATAGAAAATTCTAGATCTCCACAAAAATGGAAACAGTTGAGTCCTTAATAAAAAAGACCTAGTAACTAACTCCCCCCCCCCCCCTCCGTGAGCGAACAAAACCCATAGAAAAATCGCCATTTTTTGACTAAAAACCCACCCTCCGTGAGTGAACAAAAATTTTTTTAATAGAAAAAATTTTAATGGAAAAAAAATTTTGATATATAAGTGATAATTAGTATAATGAAATCTAGAGCTAATTCTTTTTAATTTTAAACAAATTGCGTTTTAAAACATAAATTTTGCAAATTAAATTAATATTTGCTTCCCAATTTTTGCAAATTAGGATTTTTTTAAATTTCGAAAAAAATATTTTTTTATAAAATTTATATATAAATTTATTTTAAAAAAAAAAATTAACCCCCCTCCGTGAGCGAAACAAAATTTTTTTGTTCGCTCACGGAGGGGGGGGGGGAGTAAGCAAAATAGACGATACCAGCAATTCATCAATGCAACCTAATGGTCTAGATAATTTGCGAGAGTCTAATGAAAATAAAAAATTTCGATAAACGCTTGCTTCAATAAAAAACGGAATTGTTATGTTTATAAGTCAAAGTTCAGCCATTTAAATAAAAAAACGAAATTCATCTCTTTTTCTCAAGAGATAACGGTTTATTAGGTGCTGCAAAAACCCGCTTAAAAAGACCGTTATATTTGTGCAAAAATTAATATAATTTCTGCACCGATTTGCGTTGCAACACATATTAATATAGTGAAACGATGCTTTATTTTGAGCCTTATTTATATTAGATTTTATGTCTTATATAAGAGAATTTAATATGATCTAATATTTCGAAACTATCTGCTCATGAAAATGTGAAATCGTTTGCTCAGTGAAAAAAAAATTAAACAGAGCTTATTAAAAAAAAAATTTTTTTTTTAAGAAAAATAAATTAAAATTTTTTGTTATTAAATACTTTTAGAGCAAGCTTTGCTTATTTATTGCGTTTTTTTGTACAAATAGTAACAATATTTAAGGTAAATCATACTTATTTCAGTTTAAATTTGCCTCTTTCAGTGGCTATTAAATATATTAAATTATTAAAAAAATATATAAAATCGTTTTTCAAGACATATTCTTTCAAAATATATCAAAACGATGACCAAAATTTGCAATATTTTTTGGGTTAATTTCCTTAAAAAAGGGTTTTTATAGTTTTTTAATAATTTAATATATTTAATAGCCACTGAAAGAGGCAAATTTAAAACTGAAATAAGTATGATTTACCTTAAATATTGTTACTATTTGTACAAAAAAACGCAATAAATAAGCAAAGCTTGCTCTAAAAGTATTTAATAACAAAATTTTAATTTATTTTTCTTAAAAAAATAAATTTCTTTTTTAATAAGCTCTGTTTGATTTTTTTTTCACTGACTCCCCCCCCCCCTCCGTGAGCGAACAAAAAAATTTTGTTCGCTCACGGAGGGGGGTTAATTTTTTTTTTAAAAAAAATTTATATATAAATTTTTAAAAAAATATTTTTTTCGAAATTTAAAAAAATCCTAATTTGCAAAAATTGGGAAGCAAATATTAATTTAATTTGCAAAATTTATGTTTTAAAACGCAATTTGTTTAAAATTAAAAAGAATTAGCTCTAGATTTCATTATACTAATTATCACTTATATATCAAAATTTTTTTCCATTAAAATTTTTTCTATTAAAAAAAATTTTTGTTCACTCACGGAGGGTGGGTTTTTAGTCAAAAAATGGCGATTTTTCTAATGGTTTTGTTCGCTCACGGAGGGGGGGGGGGGGGAGTGAGCAAACGATTTCACATTTTCATGAGCAGATAGTTTCGAAATATTAGATCATATTAAATTCTCTTATATAAGACATAAAATCTAATATAAATAAGGCTCAAAATAAAGCATCGTTTCACTATATTAATATGTGTTGCAACGCAAATCGGTGCAGAAATTATATTAATTTTTGCACAAATATAACGGTCTTTTTAAGCGGGTTTTTGCAGCACCTAATAAACCGTTATCTCTTGAGAAAAAGAGATGAAATTCGTTTTTTACTGAGATGACTTAAACCCAATTTAGTGACATAATGATTTATTTTTTTATTAAGAGAAGCGTTTATTGATTTTTTAATATATTCAGAATGGAATTGCAAACAAGGTATAACGTCAGTTTGCTACTATATGAAACTGTCAGATCTTATTTCTAGTACATATAAGTTGCTTATTTAATAGACTTAACAGTATCATAGTTTATATAGCCAACAAGCTTTTTTCATTAAGACAAAAAAAAAAAAAATTTTTTACCGTCAAATTTAATGGTTTTTTTGCTCCTTATTATGAGTTACCTGAAGGACATGATGTTTTTCTTATTTATAAGAGATACTAACTCTTTTCTTTTAATTAAATATTGGTTCTTCATTTTATGGACATCCCGTATCTCTCAAAAGCCAAACGAGCCAATAAATCCATTTTTAAAATTGGCGCGTTTACTTGTCAACTTTTTTCAGACTTGTCACCATTTTTTGACAGGTCACTTTTTAGCACTTCCTGATATAGATATCCAGCCCGTTCCTTTAATAGAGTCTCTCTTGGTCGTTCAACAATCCAGTACATTTTGCTCGATAAAGAAATCTATAAAGGGATATAAACTATATCCCATTTTCAAATATGTTGGCTATGGAATTACTTTTAAAGAGCTTATAGTGGTTATCCTTGGTGGTATTAAAGGAGTCATTTCAATCACTTTGGCACTTATGGTCTTCAATAATGAGCATTTAGACGAGCATTATCGTAATATCGTTCTATTTTTCGCTTCTGCAACAGCTTGCTTTTCTATAATATTTGGCAGCGTAATAGTAAAGGAAGCAGTAAAAAGACTTGGATTAGAAGAATTGACAGCCGTCCAAGAAAATATGCTGGTAGGTGTAACTACAGCTGTGCTGCAAAATACTTCAAAACAAATTGATAAATTTAAAGGAGATAAAAACTATAGCCTTGTCAAATGGAATGAAGTACTAAATCTTACTGGATCCAGCGTTTTGACAACTCAGATGATTAAATCTACGAAGGCTGGTGCAAAATTACTTAAAAAATATCCAAAAGATTCCCCTGAAGAGCTATTGAGAAAGTATATGGAAGGATTCCAAATAGACTCAGGAGAGCTAGTTACAGAAACTAGAAGAAGATATTTGACTACACTTAAAAGGCTATATTGGCATGAATTTGAAAATGGGCACTGCATGGGGTATACCGCACTTATTCTTATTGATTCTGCAAATCAAGCTTTAGATCAAGAAGATCACCACATGGAAGATTGGGAAAAATTCGAAAATAGTGTGTACAACCACAGTTTAATGAAATTTTATTTAAAATTCTCAAAAATCCCTATAATTGGAAAATTCTTTGTTAAACTGATGTATGAGATGATTATCGTCGCTTATGACGCTGCAAGGGTGTTCATAAGAGTCCATCATGAAGCTGAAGAACTTTTAGACCAAATGGAAGTTGATATAGACAAAGAGCTTTTTGAAAGAGTCATGGAAGAAGCTCATTCTCAGATCTTCCACTGTAAAGAGTTCGCAAAAGCTCATATAATTGACAGCTATCCAGAAATTATCGCAGAAGTCCAAACATATGAAGTCTGTAACGCTCTTTTGTTATCTCAAAGAAAACTAATAAAAACCATTTATCATCAAGGCTTAATTCAAGAGCTTGAATACGAAAATCTTTCTGAAACCATTGATTTGAATATAAAAAAACTGTCCCAAAGAGAAATTCCTAAGATGCCGACATTCAAAACTACCCTGAAAAACAGATTTTTGCGGGCTTCTGATGGAGAAATTGAAGAATTATTGCCACTTATAAGGCAAAAAACTTTCAAAGCTGACGAAATTCTTTTCACTGAAGGAAGCAAGTCAAATGGCGCATATTTAATTTTAAATGGAAGAGTTAGAGAACAAAGCTCTTGGATTGACCAAGAATTGATTACTGGAAATATTGTTGGCGTACAGCATTTATTCCCAGAGTTTAATGTCAATACAACAACAGCAACCGCACTTACAACAGTAGAAACAGCTATTTTACCAATAGAAATCATAAATAATGAAGCATTGATGCTTGATTTATATAAAGAAGCTGTCGAAGAATTGTTGCTTCTTAATAAAACAAATCTCGGGCTAAGTGAAGTAAAAGATGAGCATTTATTGAAAGTCGCGGGACACTCACAGATTTTATTAGTAAAAGCGAAAGAAGTTGCTGATGTAAAGCATGGAGGCATTTTATTGCATGGGAAACTGACTCCCCCCCCCCTCCGTGAGCGAACAAAACCATTAGAAAAATCGCCATTTTTTGACCAAAAACCCACCCTCCGTGAGTGAACAAAAATTTTTTTTAATAGAAAAAATTTTAATGGAAAAAAAATTTGATATATAAGTGATAATTAGTATATAATGAAATCTAGAGCTAATTCTGTTTAATTTTAAACAAATTGCGTTTTTTAAAAAACATAAATTTTGCAAATTAAATTAATATTTGCTTCCCAATTTTTGCAAATTAGGATTTTTTTTTAAATTTCAAAAAATATATTTTTTATAAAAATTTTATATATAAATTTTTTTTAAAAAAAAAAAATTTAACCCCCTCCGTGAGCGAACAAAATTTTTTTGTTCGCTCACGGAGGGGGGGGGAGTGAATAAAAAGAGAGGCATAAAACTGATGAGACCTGATAATGAAGGACTGAGAGCAAGCGAAGACTCAATTTTTATGTCTTTTCCAAAGGAGCTTGGGGAAAATCTATCTCATATGGAAAATATCCCTGAAGCTTTCTTAGATTATTATGGGAAGTCATTTAAGGATACTGATACCTTAAAATTGGAGACAGGGAAGAAGATGATTGAAGCTTACCGTTTGAGCTCAAAGCTAGTCCCAGTTTCTTCTAATAGTTAAGCTAAAATCAATCTAATTTAATTTTTTATATTTTTCAATTTAATCCAGTGCGCTTTTTATAAAGCTGAATATTAAAAGCTTATTTATTCTTAACTTTATAAATTTCTGAGCAATTCCCTTACTAATTCCTCGACAATTTAAAAGCTTTGATTTTTCATTGGCTATAATAAAATGGAAGGTGTAGTCAAAGTTTGCGTGACAGGAGCAGCAGGACAAATCGGATACTCGATCATCCCAATGATTTGCTCAGGAAATCTGCTTGGTCCTAACACCCAGATTGATCTCGGACTTCTTGATATTCCTCAATGTGAAGAAGCACTTAGAGGAGTTGTCATGGAAATTCAAGACTGCTCATATCCACTTATTACCTCCATTAGACATGGATCAGACCCTCGCGATATCTTACGTGACGCTGATATCATCATCTTCTTAGGAGGGTTCCCAAGGAAGGCAGGAATGGAAAGAAAAGAACTCCTTCAAAGAAACTGCAATATCTTCAAAGAACAAGGAGCAGCTCTAAATGAAGTCGGCAAGCCAACAACCCTCTGCTTAGTTGTAGCAAATCCAGCAAATATTCTTTGCTAATATGAATAGTTTATCTTATTTTTATAGGAAATAATGATAAATTAATTATAGAGATTTTATTTAAAAGGTATACCAATTGTTTAATCTTAGCTCACTATGCTCCAAATATTCCTCGCAAGAATTTCTCAGCCATGACAAGATTAGATCATAACAGATCAATGCACCAAATTGCAGCTAAAGCTAGAACTCACAGTAGCGCAGTAAAGAATGTGACTATTTGGGGAAACCACAGCTCAACTCAATATCCTGATGTAAACCATGGCACTGTCAATGGACATCCAATTAAACAAGCTGTTAACGACGATGCTTGGCTCCATGGAGAATTTATTACTACAGTCCAAAGAAGAGGAGCTGCCATTATTGAAGCCAGAAAATTATCAAGTGCGATGAGCGCTGCCAAAGCTGCAGTAGATCACATCAGGACTTGGGTCCACGGCACACCAGAAGGAGAGCATGTATCAATGGCTGTTCTCAGTGATGGATCTTATGATATTGATCAAGGACTTTGCTACTCATTCCCTGTCACTTGTGCTAATAAAGAATGGCATGTTGTGCAAGGACTTCACATTGACGAATTTTCTAGAGAAAAGATGGAAATTACCAAGAGAGAACTCATTGAAGAAAGAGACGAAGCACTCAGTTAAACGTAATTAAGGCAATTTCATTAGTATTTATATGTTTTTGAAATACTATCCAAAAATTAATATTTTGTATATCAATAATTATTCCTCAATTTTTTGATTATGAGGTTTGGCTTTCCCAGAGAATTTATCCCGGTTATCACAGGGCTTTAAGTTCCTGTGGTGCGCGACGCAGGACTCCTGCCCCTCAGGGGATTCGAACTTTCTGGAAGGATGCCACCAACCCCAGACGGTAGAGACTGGGACCTTTAAAATGCCTGACGGACCCAAGTTGGCTTGCCCGAGAGCCGGAAGGACGTACGTCAAAATCCGAACTCCCAAGCTGATGGGACCATTCAGCCCTGAAGCTAGGTGGAAGCACGACATTTTGGTGGAGCGGGGAAACCCAGAAGCGGGACGGAAGTCCGTGTGGGTGATGTGGTAGTGGAGGTTAAATGTGTATAACTAATTGAGTATATCAATAATTAATTTTATGAGCAGAACAACGTTGAAGCTGAGAAATAACTTAACAACTATATTAGAGAAAGAATATGAAACTGGAAACTCATCGATGATCAATATGCTAAAAACCTATACAAGTGTTGAGAAAACTGAATTAAATACAACATTGGTGAACTCGCAGCTTCCTGAAAGTGGCAGCATGAGATCTTCTTATCCAATTTTAACACCTTTGAGAAAAATGCTTCCTCAAACCTCAGCTAAATTGATGAAAATGAATCAAAGAAGATTAAAAGCTCTTAAAGAAAGCCCTATAATCAGCAAAAAGCTCTCTTTGGCAAATAAAAATCAAGATAACCAACAACAGCAAATTAGTTCGCAAGCTCCTATTGACATTAGCAATAAACTTTTAATCTTATTTAAATAGTACTCTAGCATTATATCCAATATTATGTTTATTTAATATTAATAAGCAAGAACTTATACCAGCATCGTAAACAATTATACAGGGTATAAATAAACTCGAATCAAATTTGGAGGCACTAATAAATGAAATAAAAGAAAAATTTCCCCAAATTGAGGTAATTTTTGATTGCTATGATAATCCAAGTGCAGACAAGAAATACAAATACATCTACAATATCGCTACAAATCAGCAGCTCAAGTCTTAAACTTAAACTTATTACAGTCGTGACTTCTGCCTATCGGTAATGCAGCCACCAAAGATCCCCTAGGGGATTAACCCTCTTTTCAACGTCAACAATGAGAACTTCTTCGAGGTAGACAACTCACCAAGTGAGACACAGCTCTTGCACCACCTTTCCTCTTCTTTACCACCTTACGGCATGACACCTGTAAAGTAGGGTTCTGTATCTCTATCTCCTCCTTGCCTTGTCGGCTCTAGTGTTGAGTGGGAGTGGGAAGGTCCATGGACTTCTGCGACATGCTGCGTAGGTTGAACGAAGGTTTACCGCACAGAAATCACAAAAATTGGAATTTCTGGTGGACTATCGAAAAGAGGAAAATTCAAAGCCTGGGGCGTAACTCCTATTTTCGCGCTAGGAAGTTGCCTGAATGGTCTATGCATTGCTTTGCAGACGCTGTTGGACTTTCACTTTCCACTCTTATTCCACTTTTTAGCTCGAGGTAAAGTACAATCCTGAAAGCGGACTAGGCCTAAGCTCTGTGCATTACCAGAATTGCTTACCTTGCATTACTGTCCATTTCTGGGTTGGCAAAACCTTGCCAGATATAATTAAATATATGCTCGAATGAGTCGGTGTAACCGACCGCATCACGCAGGGATTCCATATTTTAATTATCCCAGCAGCACAAGTCAATTGAAGAACTCTCTGAAAATACAACCATGATTTTATTGACAAACAGAAAAAATGTAGTTTTTGATGCAAATATCACAGGCTTTGATCCAGAAACAAATTCTATTGTAAATCTGCGAAATATTCCAACCGAAGACCATCAGAAATATCAGCCTCTCCCTAATTCCAACATGACATCTCCACATTCTATTGAGACAAAAAAGCAATCTAATTTCTATGAAATTCTTCCAATAATTATTAAAAAAAGAACTGATTATATAGAGCAGCCGCAAGTTGTTCCAAGGAAAAATTATTTTTCCCCTCCAAGATATTATCATGGAAGAGCTCGCTCTTGTAAAAAGGTGCAAGAAGAAAAGCCTTTATTAAAGTTCCAGCATTCTGAAGTTTCAATATCAAGGCCTCAAATAAAAATTATCAGAGGAAATGCAGGCTTTAGACTGCATTATCGATATTATTCAGCCCCAAAGCTTAAAGAAGCAAACTTTACCACAGCTCCAATGCAAAAAATCAGCCTCCAAAATGAAACGAAACCTGTAACTTCGACAGTGAATTTCAATTTTAATGGAACAAAACTGAAAAATGATATGGTCAATATATGCATTAAATATAATTTAACTCCCGAAGAATTCTCCACGATGGTTCATGATTTCGTTGGACTTGAAACCATCAGAGAAGAACAATAAAATGGCAGTGTCTGAATAAGTTCTCTCTGTATTTTTCCTCCTTAGGCAATTTTATTATTATGGAGTTAAGTCCTCTGGCAGCCTGATCCTTAGGTTTTAGGAGTTATAGACTTTGGGTTGGTCGAATTCGTAGAAAGTTTCGAAGAATCTCTATCGAATAAAAATGATGGCATGCATTGCCCTCAAGGCACTAGTTGGGGGTTAAAAGAATCATGCATTCCTAAATTACCTGCTAACGTTACAAACCAAGTAATTAAGTGCAGTGTCTTGCAAAAATTATGGATTGGTAATGCATGTGGAAGGATCCACATGTGAAATCTTCCATGCATGGAATATTCACATGTGATTTTAGTTAGTATGTTGAGAATTACTCCACATACCGCGCACAATCTACAATTTATGCAAGAGATAATAATTAAGTAAGTGAAATCATCGGAGACACAGCCGGGATAGTCTCTAAACAAGAAGTGATAGATTACTACAAAATTTCAGAGATTTGTATAAATGGTCTAAACACTGAGCTGGTACAAAGAGACTATATAATGACCTCCCTAAGATTTATCTTTAATATAAACGCAGTAATATTTTTCTACCCAATTCATAGGAAATCTTTATATAACATGAGATGAATTTGCACATCTTTTTAGCATTTTTATTTCCCAAAAATGCAGCTATAATATGCTTTGCAGCTTTATATTGAACCTTGTGGCTCCATTTTGAATACATGACGCTTCCCAAATGTTAATTAGTTTACGTTCTTTATTTTCCAATTTTTCGCCAAACGTCAAAATAATTTGACAAAAAATTTCAAATATTGTAGCATCTTATAAGACATTAAGCAGCACTTTTCAGATTGAAGAACTGAAGAATCTATTCCATGAAAAAATTAGTTTGCTGGAATTAAGAATGCTGGTGTCTGAAATTAAAGCTTACCCCCCCCCCTCCGTGAGTGAACAAAAAAATTTTGTTCACTCACGGAGGGGGTTAATTTTTTTTTTTTTAAAAAATTTCTATATAAATTTTTATAAAAAATATTTTTTTTCGAAATTTAAAAAAATCCTAATTCGCAAAATTGGAAAGCAAAAATTAATTTAATTTATAAAATTTATGTTTTAAAAAGCAATTCGTTCAAAATTAAACAAAATTAGCTCTAGATTTCATTATACTAATTATCATTTATATATCAAAATTTTTTTCCATAAAAAATTTTTCTATTAAAACAATTTTGTTCACTCACGGAGGGTGGGTTTTTGGGCATTTTTTTCTAATGGTTTTGTTCACTCACGGAGGGGGGGGAGTTAATAAATAATGAAAAAATAATTAAATCAAATGCATCAGGATAATAGATTCCAGAAGTCATAATAGTACTTTCTAACTGTTTATAGAATTCTAAAAATAAAAAGGGAATTTATTAGTCCTAATATATGCTTAATTACTCGGATGTTTACTATTAACAAGCCCTTTCCAAGCTGTGAAAATCATTCTCATAACCATACCCCCGGAAAATTCATTACTTCTAACTTTAGTGATGTAATTTCTATGCTTCCTCAATGAAGTCATATACGGTTCATTTTTTTTATCTGGCTTCAATTCTTCGGTCTTTTTTATTCCTTCTCTAAACTTAAAAAACAGTTTTTCGATATTTTTCTCTTTAGATTCTGAATTTGAATCTATAGATCTTCTATTATTGCTAGATCTCCTGTCAGTGACATTTAGATCTCTTTCTGACTCTAATGCAATTAATGTAGAACCTCCTCCAAATTTAGGACTTTGCGAAATATAAGTCCCTCCTGATAGCGTTCTATAGTGTTTCTTATCTACAGATAGGAAAGCAGCTAGATTTTTCGATTTTTCTAAAAACTCTTGTGAAATTTTTTTAATCTCACTGATTGCTTGATATCCTTCTTTTCTTTTCGTAGTCAAGCTTTTATTTTGTAATGGACTTGGCTCTTTCGATAGAGTTTTATTAGAATAACTCGGAACTATTTTTGGTGAAGCTCTTATTCTACTTGTGGATTTTGAGTCTCTTGGTGAACAACTTTGGCGTGAGACAGCAGCTGTATTAATATCTCAAGCTGAGTTTAGATTATTGTCCATAGTTTTTCGTTTTAAAAACTGCTTTTCTGCATACGAAACCATTTGGACTTTATTGCTGTTTCTGTTATCCTCGTATTCGGACCGAGAAGTATCACATGATAATGGGGTATTTGTCCTTGACTGCTTTGTTAAAATTATATGTGCGTTGTATGCCTCTTTGCAAGGAGCAGAAATTTGCTGAAAAAGATTGCAAAGTTTGTCTGATAAGGATAGACCTTGATATGCGGCGATTGCGATGTATTTTAAACATAGTTCAAAATTTTGGTAAGTCAATGAGCTTCGGGAATTTTGGTATTGTGTTGAACGGGTGACCACACGCTTAATATCTAGCATTGAAATTAAATCCTATGTTATGCTTACGGGAAATATTTGGGCATTCCTACAAAATTTGCAGAAATAAAATGGTGACGTTGACGGAATTTGGACTTCGAGGCGCACCCACTATGGAGCAGATAGGACCCATCCTGATGAGATGAAAGCAGGGCCTTTGCCCCTTTTGAACTATAGGCCTTCAAGTTTGGGGATTCCTTGCTGAAATAAAGTTTTTTCTCTCAGAAAGGTTTTCCGTCACTTCAAGATGGGTTAGGCAGGTTTTGCCTACCAAATGGTCTTCCCTTATCGGGATCATCGGGCACTCCACATACCGATGACTGTGCCCTAGGGGAGGTGCTTCAGATGGTAAATCTAAAATGGCAGCTTCTGATTTTCCCATTTCGTCGCTCAAGACTTTGGAGGTGGCTATTTTGGAGCTGAGGCAAGGGAAAGGATAGGCTTGCCCGCTTATGACCATTTTAATCGTTTAATTTAATTTATTTACAAAACTTGCAAAATTCTGAAAAAGATATTTTGTTATCTTGAGGGTTGTGCTGAGAAAAGATTGATTTTAAGTGTGGCCTATTTGACAAAAACAGAGTTTCGGGATTAACGAATTGTGGAGGATCGGGTATATTTGACTTTGAATGATGCATTTTTTATAATTAAAATTGATATTCATAAAAAAATAATTACTGAAGCAAGAGCATAATATTGACTTTTATTAGTTTATCATTTTTAAACGATATATGAAAGAATTTTCTTAATTAAATGGTTTATATTATTTATAGCAAAATCGATATTGCATAGATTATTAAAATGTGCTACCAAAATGAGCTAAAATTTATTCACCAATTTCATCATTTCAAAATATTTTTTCTTTTCACTTATTTTTTGCATTAAAAATTAAAAAATCTCTATAACTCAAAAAAAATCAAGACTTCCTTGTTATTTCAAGATTTAAACTCCAAATTATTTTAAATTTGAATTTTCTTTCCTTAATAAATTAATGGCCTTATTAAGAGTTGACACTGAAAGAAGACTAGCTGAATTTTTCTCATCAGCAAGTAAAGGTGAGCAGGAAGTTGAAATTGCTCGTATAGCTCTTTCTGAAAACCGCGATTTTGATCCATACTCAGCTTTTAAAGTTCTCGACCGCTTTTCCAATGGCTATTTAAATTACTTGGATATCAAAGCATTTCTTGAGAACAATCGCATTTTTGCTTCATCCCAAGAAATTGATTTACTTATAAATCAATATGACTCAGACTCAGACGGTCGATTAATCCTCAATGATTTTCATCAACTTACCCTCCCTTCAACCAACTTAGTTCTGCGTGACATTGCCTTAAATCGATCAGGCATTTTACGGTTATCTGCAGATGTCGAATTTTTACTTGTAAGGCTACTTGAAAAAGAGCTTAATTTACAAAGAAGACTAGAAGCAATCCGCAAGGACCTAGAGATTTTCCCAGATTTCTCTACTATCAAAGCTTTCGATACCATTGACTATCCTTCATCATCAATAATTACAAGGGACAAAATTGCTGATTTTTTGAGGAAAAACCTGATAAGTGCCTTTAATGACGACTTGGATGCTATTTTAAGAAGATTTGATGTAGATAGTGACGAAAGATTAAGCTACAGCGAATTTTCTGACGCCATTAAATCAACCACCCCATCCAGCTATGTAAAATCACCTATTAGAGATTCACCTTCAAGATCTGGAAGGCATTCATCACCTTTGAGAAGGTCTCCAAGTCCTACTCGAAGCCCGAACAGATCTATTGATGCTTCTTCAAGATTTGATGCTTCAATTACCAGAAGTCCAGGGAGATCCCAATTATTAGCAAGCTCCAGTGGCTTTGACAGATCATCTAGATCTCCTTCAGGGCAGCCTGAAGAATCAGAGCTTGTGAGCGTGTTCAGACAACAAATTGACTTAGACAGAGACTTAGAAGCTGCAAGAAGAGATTTGGCCTTATGTCCAGACTTTACAGTTATAGACGCTTTTAATCTGTTTGATTTAAATAACCTTGGCTACGTCACTCAGCTCGAATTTGAAGACACCTTAAGATCTCTAAGAGTTTATCCTATAAAAGACGAGGTTTCTCTGCTGTTCAAGCATTATTCATATATAGAAAGAAGACTCACCTTCACTGATTTTTCAAAAATTGTGACCACAAAAGACCTGGAATATGCAAGACTTATCAATAACAGAGTTCCTCAAAATTTGCCAAGGTATGATAGACAGCGCACTTTCAGCTTGACCACTGAAAATTTGCTATCAAGAGTGATGAAATTGCACTTGGAAAATGAATCAGTTGCTGAAAGCTTAAGACAGAAATTAGAAAGAAGGCCTTATTTTAGCAAAACTGACGCTTTTCAGTGCGTAGATAGGGATAGAAATGGATATCTCACGTTCAACGAGTTCGAAAATTTGTTGCAAGATTATGGGATTTATGCGTCAAGAAAAGATGTAGAAAATCTGATGGAGAGATACGATAAAGATCAAGACGGAAGAGTTTCTTATTCAGAATTTTTAAATGAGGTTACTCCCAAGTCTCCTAGGAAATATTAAGTTAATAATTTAATCTTATTTAACTAATTCTGCTTTAGAAATATGGATGATCTAAAAACGCTTTTATGGACTATTAGCATTTTTTATATTGATGTAATTAGGAAATTTTTTCTCATTGAGTGTTGGTTTTATGACTGACTCCCCCCCTCCATGAGTGAACAAAACCATTAGAAAAATCGCTATTTTTTGCCCAAAAACCCACCTTCCGTGAGTGAACAAAAATTTTTTATGGAAAAAAATTGATATATTAATGATAATTAGTATAATGAAATCTTGAGCTAATTCTGTTTAATTTTAAACAAATTGCTTTTTTAAAGCATAAATTTTTATAAATTAAATTAATATTTGCTTTCCAATTTTTGCGAATTAGATTTTTTTTAAATTTCGAAAAAAAATATTTGTTATAAAATTTTAAATATATGATGTTTTTTAAAACAAAAAATTAACCCCCCTCCGTGAGTGAACAAAATTTTTTTGTTCACTCACGGAGGAAGGGGGGAGTGAGGAGTCTTGGCGGTTTCATCTTATTATTAAAACTCTTTATCCGGCCATTTGAACTAGCTATACATGAATAAAATGCAGAGTTAAAGAACAGTGATGGAATTTAAAATAAATTATTAAATTAGATATCATGGATGAAGAATTTTTTAAATAAATATATAATTAACCTTTTTTAAACTATTTCAGGCAAAAGTACTTCAAATATTATGAAATTTTAATTAATCACCTGAATTTATTAGATTGATAATTAATAGTCACCTACAATTATAATATTCGATAACTCTTAAACCGAGGAGAGGAAATTTTTGCATTTTTATTCGGAAGAAAAGCCATATCTATTCTTATTAATATAATTTTTTTTTGTGTCTATTTCTCGAATAACTCTTTATTTTATCCAAATTATGTGGAATCTGTACAGCCATAAGTAAAATAAATGTCAAAGCATCTGAGATCTAAAAGTTGTCAGAATGTTCGCGAAATTTATCTATCATCTGTTCTACAAGATAATAGAAGTTTAGAAATAGCCCTTGCCAAGCTGATTGTAAGTTTCATACAGGACATAATAGACAGCCCGACTTCAAAATCTCTATTGGGTAGAGCTTTAATGTTCAAAAGTATTCATAGCGACTATTCAGAATATGACTCATTTGGCCACATTTTTCGCCAGCTTGACCAAAAGTCGTTTGACTACCAAGAATCGCAGCCAGAATTAGAATATAAAAAGCGCCTTGAAGCCTTATTAGAATTTTTAAAATACGAGTGCACACGAATGTGCCCAAAAGCATTTTACACAGTAATTGAGCGAGTTATTGATGAATTTAGGCCTGCCATATTCTTGAGCCTCTACCATCCTTGTCTTGGCAAAATTTTAAATGAGTAATAATTATATAGTCTCTCCTTATATCTCAAAACAGACACTTGCCATATTCACTTACTTGCTCTAATAATGGAATTAAAGTGATGGCTAGATAAAAATTTCGACGAAGAGGTGATTGCTAGAAAAATTCGGAAATTTTTTATCCCCTTATATGGAATTTTAAGCCTTGAAGAGTCTTGAGAACCTGAAGCTCTAAAAGGCATTGAAAATATTTTAAATGATGAAAGGGTCGAATATTTACTCAAGAAATACAGCTGTGATCGCGACGAGATCCCCATGGCAATATCTGACCAAATGATCCCAAACCTTCTCGAATTTGACCAAAATATAAGCTTTTTTAGTGAAGGCTCCATAAAGTCTGATCGCTCATCAAAATCCTTGAAATTGCCTCACTTAAAAGAAAACTCAATCTCCAAATATAAAGAACTGGCTTTCAGAAGATGCGCCTCTTGTGAAGACTTAAAGATTTCTTCACAAGAGAAAATCCAAAACAATTTATTTTCTGTTTTGGCTTCCTCGAGCTGAAACTCAAATAATTTTTCTGAAAATCCCTATGTGAGTGATATATATATAGCAATTACTCCTCCTAGCAGGGCGAGTACTACATCTATATTTCCCTCTGAAAGCTCTTCATATCATCCTATGATAAACATTTTGCATAGTATCCAAGGGAATTCTGTGCAAGAGGAAGAGGAATTGATGAAGCTGGAGCATCCATTTGCGTCAGATATAAACGAAATTGTGTCTTTAGAATCAATCACCCCAATCCCTAGAGAATGGGTGACTTTGCTTGAGTCTTCTGATAGAAAAATCATATGCAAAGTCCTCAGTTCTAAAGGCTTAGTCTTGATATTAGCATTTTTGTCTTTGCCAGTCCCTTATAAAGAGGTGTTAGCTGTCTTGCAGCAGCCAAAAAACACCCAAAAAGGGGCAATAAGAGATTTAACAGTTTTAGACGTGTCTTCTTATTATGACATTGTGTCATTCAATTTGATGCCATATGGAGGTATAGCTGAGAGAGAGTTTATTTGTAGAAGGATGGCAATAAAAGACTACCCAACTAAAAAGTCTCATATTTTTGTCATGAAAAATATCGATGACTTTGAAAATCCAGACAGCAAACTTGCAAAAGGAAAATTGCTGATGTCAGGAACAATTTTAAGGCCAGCTATAAATGGAGGATGCACCATCAGCCATGTGCATAAAAGCCAACTTGGCGGGATAATTCCAAAGCCGTTACTTTACAAGTATTATTTGGAACTTATCAGCCAAGTGCTTTCGGATATAGAAAATTCTGTCTAAATAAAAATATTAGATTAATTCTACCATAACACTCGCTTCAGTCTCTTCATCTTCAGCTTCTTCACTTGTTTTCACTGTTTTTTGAGATGTGAAAATCCTCTTGGAAAGCTTGGTTTTAACAGATTTTGAAATTTTTGAATATGCCTCTTTCATTTCTAAGGTAGAAAAATGTGGAAGATGCTCTTTAAGCATATCAGTATTTATCCTATAATTTAGCAGGACTTCTACAGCTTCATCAATTTTTTCTTCGTTTAATAGCTGGATTACCCAGGAATATAAACAATTGGCGTAGTTTTCGATACCTTCATTGCAGACGCCTAGGGAAGTGTGCATTAAGCTTTGCTTGGTTTCTATAAAGATTCGGTTTGATTTGTTTAGAGATGATCCTTTTGAGCGTAACTCAGGGAATCGTAGGACGTCTATGTATTGGTTTGTAAAGGATGTGGGGATTATTGAGGAAGTCGTGGCGAAATTATGAAGGAGTGACCAATTTTGCTGACCTTTTATTTGAGACATGATTATGTCAGATAAGGCTATTGAGTCAGCTGATTCTGAAATGTCAGATAATTTTTCAGTTACGTCTATATAGTTTTCTTGGACTAGCATAGGAATAAAATCATAATCAATCAAAACTAAATCAATTTTGCTCTCAAATTTATTTTTTTTTTGGTTAAATAGCTCTTTTGCTGCCTCAAAATTAGACAAACATACAGCCTTGTCTTTTCCGGAGTTCCTTAAATCGCTTCCTTTTTTCACTAATTCTAATAAATTTAAAGCTTGCCTCATGTCCCCATTTGAAATTTGTGCAATTTCTTTGGCTTGGAAGTAGTTAATTTCAAGTTCTTCTTTTTCTGCAATTTCTTTAATTTTATTTGCGATTTCATCTTTATTTGGATTGTAAAATTTCAAATCTAAGCAATAGTTAGCTAGGGATTTGATTTTTGTGGAGTGCCTATCATTACAAATGCATATAATTGGAATTTTTGTGAGTTTTATTAATTCAATTAAGGCAGCATTTCCTCCTTCATCCCCTGTGGTCATCCCATCAACTTCATCCATAATTAAAACTCCTTTTCCAACTGAATGAGGACCTCTAATAGAAGTGTTCAAACAAAATGGCTTACTCCCTCTATGAACAACAAGACCATTGGAAAATCCCTAATTTTGACCAAAAACCCATCCTCCGTGAGCAAACAAAAAAGTTAATTTATATTATGTATTGTTTCTTATTTATAATTAATATAAATAATGAGAATAATATTGAAAAATAATGATTATAAGGTTTATTTTATATATATTCAAAGGGTTCACCACCATAATCCCCCTTTAAATTGAACAAAATATCCTGTTCCAATTTTAAGAAGGGCTAATTTTTTCTTTAAAAAAAAATTATAAAAAATTTTTCTCTATAAAATTAATTTTATTAAAAATTGAGCATTAATTTGATTTTTTAATTTATTTTTATGAAGATTAATTTTACAATTTAATCGATTCAGTGTGGAAACTGTTTTAAATAAATTCTATTAGCACTTTTTGCATTAAATTATGCCATAAAATTCGTATTTTCAGCTATGGAGAAAGTGAAATTTGCTATAAATGATTCCAATTTAAGGAGGGTGGGGAAGTAAATGCAAAGAATGATTTCAAAAAATAATAAATTTAAAATAAAAGACTAACAGAAGAAGTCGATTGCACATTTAATTTCTTTATTCAATTAAAACATTGTATACAAAAATTTAAAAACAAATAACCCCCTTCATGATCAAGCAAGTTGTTTGTTCGCTCGCGGAGGGAAGAAGTTAGCTTTATCAATAATTATCTGTTTGTTGCGAGTATCGCTTGCATTGAATTCTACAGGCTGATATCCGAGGTCTTTTGTGATTATTCTTGCTGCTGTTGTTTTGCCTATACCTGGAGGACCGCTTATAAGAATAGCACGGGCCGAATATTTGTCATTTTGTTTTCTTTCGGAGATTGGGCTTTGCCACTTTTTAAACCATTCTAAGAGCTTCTGAATTTGAGGTTTGTTTCCTATTAAATCCTTTAAACATTTTGGGGAATATTTATCAGAAAGTAGCTCACCTTTTTGAGTCTTTTTGGGAAGAGATTTTAATGGCTTAATAGGAGAGATTATTGATAGAGCTGGAGTTGAAGAATTAGTTTCATCTGAGGCAGGTTTTGCAGGTCCAAAGTTAAACTGTCGAATTTGCTGTTGTTTTTTTACTACTTTTGGAGAATTATCTTCCAATTTCTCTTTTGAGACCTCAATTTCTTTATCTTTATCATTTTCCACAAATCTCAAAGACTCATCCACAAAATTTTCTTTATAAATTTCTTCCCTCTGAGGAGTCTTAATTTTCTCTTTTTCCAGCTTATAATTCCTATCAGAATAAAGTTTCATAATTAAAGCTTCTTCACTTTCGCTGCTAGATTCGCTATCATTTACTTCTTTTTCCTCAGCTTTTATAGCAATTTCTTTTTTCTCTTCTTCTAATACTTTTGGCTTTATTGATTTGAAATAATCAAAAGGTGAGATTGCTTGTTTAGGCTCGATTTTGGGGAGTTTTTCGACTTCATTTGTTTCTTCATGCTTTCTTTTGTGCGAAATTGTGTTGATTTTCTCGCTGGGATCAACTGGATTTAAAAAGCGCGAAATGTTCATTTATTAGATAAAAGGCGGTATAGCTCTTGATAAATTGTTTTACTATTTAAAATGTTTTAATAAATTATGCTTTATGTGTATTAATTATTAGCCCTACATATATATTAGCATATAATGACATAATTGCTTTATATTTTAAAAAAAAATAAATAAATACCTTTACATCAATTTCAAACAACATCGTATATAGCTTTCCCATAGAGAGCTCACAAAAATCTATATAAAAATGGCATAAATTACCTATAGCCTATTTATAAGAAAAGCCATATAATTAATCAAGTTTGTCTTCACTCAAATGCATCCTTTTCGGCTTACAGCTTGGACAATAAAACTCCTTTTCTTCATGCAAATACGGGAATTTCATGCACTCATTATGAAACCATTCATTGCATTGCTCACACTCAATCATGCTTGTAAATCATTTTCGTTTTTCAAAATCTTCCTCACTTTCATAAGCTCTTTTAAACGTTTGTTCCACATATGGTTTTCTGCAAATGCAGTATACCTCTTTGGTGTAAACATCTTCTAAGACAGGCACAGAAATCATTGCTTGTACGAGCTTTTGTTCTTTGGCTCTAGCTTTTTCTTTTTCTATTTCGTCTTTCAAGATGATTTTTTTAATTTTTTTATGCTTTTTATGTTGATTTTACTATCAATTATTTTTTATATGAAAGCATGAATTATGAGGCTTATTTGTTGAATAAAGAATAATCTTTCCCTTAGGTACAAAGGTGCTGGGCTGAACATTTAAAATTCCAAATTCTTTTTTAATTAAAGGCTGAATAAAAGCTTTATAAAATGTATAACACTCAAATGGCTTTCGGCCAGGAACTGTTATGTTGTATTGCAATATAGCTTGAGATATATTTAAAAAAATGGCACTGGCAGGCCACCCGATTTTTTTACCCTATTTCTTCAAAACCAGCAGGTAAAAAGCCCAGTGTGAAGAGAAAGGGCAGAAAGAGACCAGAAAACAATTGTGTTGTCTGAATAGTTTTTTCTAGGGTCTCAGGAGCTAATTCATTGAGCTTGAGTTTTTGCCTCTAAAAGAACCATTAAAAAGGGCAGAACTAGCAAAAGCTCCGAGCGATTGATAAGGCCTCGAACGGAGTTCAAGAGGTGGCATCTGTCTAAGAGAACCTGAGAGTTTCTTCCAAGATGGCGGACCCTTAGGCTTTAGGAGTCATAGAAGTCAAGATCTGTTGTGCAAACCCCTTGCCTGCTGTGGCAAGGAGAGTGTCCACCAGGATCCCTCAGAATGATTAGCATTTAGGAGTAGAAATCTACTGCCCTGTCAAATGAGAACTTCTAATCTTAATCTTAATATAGCTTGCGGGTCAAGGGTGTTATAAATAAATGGTTTTTGTACTTCAACACTACTCCGTAACGCATTACTAGCATTTTTTTGCTTAATTATAAAAGAAAATCCATTATTTTTGTGTTTTACCAAATAATCAAGCTTTTCGTCCATAGCTTTCCATAATTTGAATTTCTCTATGCATGAGAATGGCTCCTTTTCCGACTTCGATTTTTTCTTCTTTTTGGTTACAGGACTTTTCAATTTCTTTTTCTTTTTTGAAGTTTTATCAAATATTTTTGCAAAATTTATGATATCTTCCACAGTCTTTTTTTCCCTGCTTTCCAAAACCCTCCTTAATTTTAAAGGTTTATGCAATGGGCAATACATGCCTACTTCATCATACCCAGACTTGTCCCTTGTATTTGTAAATAAATCTTTCCCACACTCAGGATGATAAGCAGCCTGGCATCTTCCATGCTGGCATTGCAAACAAGCTCCTTCTTTGCTGCCACATTTCCCGCATCTCAAACTAAACCTTTTCATATCAATTTTCGTTAAATCAATTCCACTGACGTTTAATTTATCAGTAATAGTGGCAGGTTCGATATGCAAAGCACAAAAAACATGAACCCAAACTTTTTCTGGGTTTCCTTTAAAATCATAGTTGGGGAAACTTAACTCTTTTGAGGTCTGGTGAATCGTTAATTTTATGGCTCCGCCATTTACAGAGCATAAAGCACATTTTAAGCTATGTCTTTCTTCAGGGCTGTTAGTTTTTTCACATGCTTGGCAGTATCAATCGTGATCTGGGACGTTAGGGATTCCATAACACTTCATGTGAGCACCCATTTCACAGCGGGAACAAATAACGATTAAATCATCGTCTTCGTAGTCTCCATCTCCACAAACTCCACATACCCAATCTTCTTCACATTTAGGAGGACCTCTAAGACCACTTTGGCGTTTTTCTGCATATGAAAACTCATTATCACCTCTGCCTTTCGTTTCAAAATATTTTAAGTATTCTTCATAGTGGCCTCTTCTGTTTATTTTTTTGATTTCGCCTAGAATCAGGTCATCTTCTTTATTATGTTTAATTTTTTTGATCCCATTATCAACAACTTCTATTGTTTTTCGATTTATTTCAGGTTTTAAAGATTCATTGATAAGTCTTTCGTTTTCTTTAGCAATATCTTCATGCTCTTTTTCATAACACTTAATTAAAAAATCAACATCTCCATCAAAATACGGCTCTTCGTCCTTCTCCTTTATACAGAAATCAGGGAAGTTTTCTATCATATAAGTGTTTGGAAAATATTGCACACCAATCACATACCACAAAATATTGCCCGTATAAACGTTTGGAGCTTTATAATCGTCATATGTTTCTTTTATAATCCTCACTGATTCTGCGTCTTCGCCCACTTTGTGAGCTACTTGTCTGCTTTGTCATACTCGCTGATATTCGCGCTTTCTTCTGCCATTTGGAAGATGAATATCACACCGAGGATCTTCAAGAGAAAATGAAAAATGAAGAGTCCAATCCATGCACCAAGGATGGACAACTCTAGAGCACCCATAAGATCTGCAATGCAAAGTCATGCCAGATAATCCACAAATTATACACGATCGATTTTCCCTGCAAGAAGAATGAGCCAAAGAACAGCTTGGAAGCTGAGTTAGCGGGTTTGTAGCTTTCTCACAAAAGATGCAGTGTTGGCGAGAACTTTTGTTTTCGTATTGGGGCTTGATAGATTCTTCAGCTGGGCTGTCACTGGAATCCTCATAAAGAGTTGCCGCGCTTTCCAACATTATAATATCCCCCATATGAGCTGATAAAAATTGGATTCATGCATTTTAGAGGGAAAATTATCAGAATTATAAGAATATAGGCATTATTTTAACTTACCCTAATATACACTTAAACTTCTATCTCTGCCTGGAAAGTCCTCACTCCACCAACGATGCCAGGCACCCACTTTAGCATCAAATACAGAATAATTTCTGGCTTCAGACTTTCATAGTTCGACAGCTGTACTTCCTGCTCTCGGGTTACCAACTTGTGCCTATAGGCATGCTAGAGGTTTCAATCCTCAACTGAAAGCATATTTCATAAATATTCGACTTCCTATAAACTGAAATCCAGCAGAGCGTATTCTGGGATCTTATTTCCTGTCATAGCTAGGATAATTCCCTAGGTGAAACAGCCTCATAGCCTTTGGTGGAGACAATAAAATTCGAGCGTCACAATATTTATATTATTTAGGCATTATTTTACAATTTTCAGGGAGCAATACTTAAGATAAATCTCTTAACTTAACTTAACTTAAATTTACAGGCGTCCGCCGTAGTGTTGACGCAGTCACCAAGGGACCCAATATTAGGGTTCACCTGCTTTGCGGTATAGTCCAAACTGATCATATAAATCAGTCACCAGGACATACACCTACTCCTTCCCACGCGCGTGAGCCGTGGCTTAGTGTTGAGTGGGCGGGCTATGGGCTTCTGCGGCTGCTGCTTGAGTGACGAGAGTTGGCTCTCGAGAAATTCCAAAAAATGGAATTTCTGGTCACCTTTCGGCAAAAAAGAAATCTTCAAGTCCTGGGACGTAACGCCCAGTTTCACGCTAGGTAGTTGCCCGAATGGTCTAGGCATTGCCTGTAGACTCTGCTGGGCTTACCCTTTCCAAACCTGAGACTCCTTTTCTCTCGGGGAGAAAATCCATTCTGGTGGATGAACATGGGCCAGGCTCTGCACTGCAGAATTGCTTACCATGGCATTGTTGCTCATTTCCGGAATGGCAAAACCTTGCCGGATATAATTAAAATATGAGTCGAGTGTGTGTGGCCGGAGGCCACACCTAGACGAAGACGCCATATTTTAATTATACTTAAGATAAATCTCACATGTGTTGGATTGTTTTATAAGCGTTTTATGCATCATAAATTTTCCAAGTCACAAAAAAAGCTGCCTATTTTTAGCAATTTAAGTTTTAATGGAATATTTTCACTATAAAACATGTGAATAAAAAATGAATTTTTTATCAATTTTCTCCATTTCCTATAATTTTTGATTGCTTTCTCATTATTAACTACAAATTATTAAAATTACTCCTAATCAGATGTAAATTATATAATTTTATATGCCCTTTATAGTGATTGGGATTACTTAAGCTAGCGTTAATTTCTATTACTATAAGAAATACAACAATAGTAAAAATACAGAATCTTTTAATCATTATAAATGTTATAAAACTTTTTGAAATTCTCTAACCACTCCTCAGATATAACTGGATTATTATCATCCAACTTTGCCAATTTTTCCGCTTTTTCTCTTAGCGCAGCTGAGATTAGTTAGTTAGTTAGTTAGTTAGTTAGTTAACGATTATTGAGAAGTTCCTTGGTAGCATCTCTAGGGCGCATTTTCTCCACCTTGTTCCGTTATTGGGCCGCCTGCCGCCACCCTCTAGGGTTAAACTCCTCGTCGCCTGAGGCTCGCGTCGAATGTCGAGTAAAGTGGGCTGGGTCACCATGCCATACGTCAGACTTGGGATGCCCTTCCAGAAAATTCAAAAAAAATGAATTTTCTGGTCAAGCTGTTGGCCAAGATGAAATTCGTCGCCTAGGACACAACGCCTGGTATCGCGCTAGGAAGTTGCCCGATTGGTCAAATTGACTTTGCTGGGCTTTCCCTTTCCATCTTCCACCAAGTAAAACCTTTATTCGAGAATGAGCTGCGGTCGGCCAAATCCGACGTTGTACTCCACCTAAACCAAGTAAAACCTGGCCTGATGCGCACCACCGAGCGTCATCCTCTCTTCCACAAGGTCCCTAGGTCTCCCAAGCTACAGGTGTTAAGAATATGGGCTGGCTCGCCACGCCATTTTAATGTACATAGCGCAGCTGAGGTATCTTGGATTGTATCTTTATGCAAGTTATATCAGTCATTCAAGCACTCATCAATATCCCTAAAGAATTTATTGATCTGTCCTTTTAAGTTTGACTTATAAAGATGCTCTACATGTGAAGCTTGAAATAGTTCATTTTTTATTTTATCTCTTCATCTCACTATATTTATTGAAGGAATTTCAAGTCCTTTAGCTGTTTCATTGAGTCTCCCGTTCTTCATATATTCTCTTACAGCTTGGATTTTTCGAGCGGTTGAGTATGTATTGACATATCTTTTTTCGTCGCTTGTTTTTCTAATTTTTCTAGGTCTCGGGGCAAATTCTTCACCATTTAAGTGTTTTTCTTTAGTCTGGGAGCGTGATTCTTTGTATTCTTTAAAAGATTCTGGGGTGACTTGTGCGTTAGAATCTTCGACTTTTAGAGAATCCTTGTCAATGCTCGACATATAGTCGTTTTTAAGAGAATTTATGATGCCTTCACTCAAGCCTCAATCACGGCTGGCACCTTTGGAGCCTTTTCTTACTGATGTTTCAAGTATCATTTCACGAGTTTTTTCCAATAGTGGAAGATTCCCGAATTCTAACGCACTTATTCAGCGCTCAACATTTTCTGATGAGACTGAGAATTTTTTAACTGTTTTTGGGATGCCGTTAATAATGGCATATCTTGCAATTTGGCTTTGCTTTTTAGATGCAGAATGGGGCTCTTCAGTCATTTTTGAGGTTATGAATTATTAGAGGGCATAAGGGAAATTATATTAAGCAGGTCTCAATAATAGGAATTAGCTGAAAAATCAGTGAGTAATAAAATCTGTAGGAAAATGGCAACTAGATCTTTCAAATGATGTGCATTTAAGCATATAAGTATAAATGTTAATAAATTATTTATCAATTGTTGCTGTAATTACAATTGCAAAGCCTTTCAATAAAATCTATTGAATTCAATATTAAAACAACTTTTATTTTATTAGCAGACCATCTAATAATTTTATTTTCTCTTATCTAACAATTTTTAGTAATCCCCTTTTTAAATTTGCAAATAAAATATTGAAAACGACTATTTAATATGGGTATAACAACCTTATCATTTTTATGTGCTTTACTATCTTTATCAATATCCCTACAAAGTAAAGAAAATCATTTGTTCGCAACTCCATCATTTTTAGATGTATCAGATACTGAAGCAGACTTAGAATCATTACAAAATACAACAGATTCTCAAACTATAATCACAGATGACGATGTGGATGAAGCAATTCCTGTGTTTTCATCAAGCCAACCATATGATGAACAGCAAGGGGATATGACTGATAATGATGTCGAAGATTATGTGAGTTTGGCCTTAATAACGCCGACTGAAGATGCTGAAGGATTGACCTGGCAGGATATTGAAGGGACTGATGATATTGATGAAGCTGTAGAAGGATCTGATAACCCTGATGCAGGAGCTTGGGTATAAAGGTAAAAATCAATCATATTTTGGAAATAAAGTTTGATAAAATTTAGTTTAAAAATGAGAAGTTTATTAAAAACTAACTGCAAGCAATTCATGATTGAATTCAGTTAATATTTATCGCTTTTTCATAATGCCAATAATTTAATGGCTGCTCATGTTAACTTTTAATGCAAGATATAGCCAGTTTTAATCTTAATGCTTATTCATATCTTTAATGATTTACTAAATAAGCGTCTTAATTCTATTTATCAATATGCTATGCCATTAAAAAGTATTTTAAAATGTTGAAATCTATATCAAGGACTTTTGGATATATCCCCAAAAACGAAATTCTTTTTACTCGAGGCAAATATAAAGTTTTAGAGAACAAAAGTATAAATTTCATAGGAGCAGGTGCCAACTTCTTATCATTAGGAATGTTTTACAAATTCGCTTCAGGAATATATCATCATTACTCAACAATGAGTACGCTCGCTTTTGTTTTTGATTCTACAGTATGCTTTGGAGCAGGTTTACTTTCATTGAGTATTGCAGGTGCAGTGGGTGGTATTGTATCAAAACTATGCTTATTAGAAAATGGGAACATTGAAGTTACTACAGCTGCAGTTTGGGGATGGCCAAGAAAAACGATAATAAGCCAAGCTGATCTTGTGGATACTGCAGCAGATAAAGATATTGTTGAGAGAGCTAAAAAGAGAGAATCATTGGCTATCGCTACTAAATATAAAACATATTATTGACTTTTCCCATATGGAACTAAGGTTAAAGATAAACAAATAGCTCACTGCTTCTTAAAAGGGATTGAAGTTCAAATAAACCAATAAACTTAAGTCTTAGGTTTGAGATTAAATCTTTAAAAATCAATTAATAAAATTAAATTTATTTTAAACCAAATTGCGTGCCAAGAATATAGCTAAAACTGAAACCAAATATCAGGCAAACAATTGTAAATTCTAAAACTGTAGGTTCTCTATCTTGGATATTTAACAGAATATATTAAATGTCGTGATAAGCCAACTTGCTAATTGGGAAAGCCGGAACCTTGTGGAAGGGAGGACAGAGTTTGAAAAATTTGTATTCCCTAAGGTTTTACTTGGTTTTTTGGAGTATATGTTAGATTTGGCTACTGCATGCTCACATCCCGGCCAAGGTTTTACCTTGTAGGAATTGTTTGCTTGATATAGAAAGGAGGAGTCCAGCTAGGCATGAGGTGACAACTTAGTTAATTGGGCAATTCATAGTGCGATATCAGGCTTTGCTTTCCCGTGCTCCAGGTTCCATTCTTGCCGATAGCTCAACAAAAAACATCGATTTTTCGAATTTCTGGAAAGGGCTAACCTCCTTGACGTATGACATGGTGACCCAAAGTCCCTGACTTTTGGGTGTAAGCGAAAGCCCTATTTCGGGAGGAGCAACTCAGTGGAAAGCCGTGTCCGGGCAGGCAAGCATACCGTGGAGATTTATATAGAGGCAAGTGATGTACTTCTCTAGAAGTAATTTAAGCTAAGTTAATAATATTTTAACAGCTCACGATCAAGGTTACCTGGAATCTCTAGTCTTTCAATTTCAATGGTTTCTGAAGCTTTTTCACCTATCTCTTCAATAGCATTCTCATCTTCATTCTTTTCAGAACTCTCTTTTTCTTTTTGTTCGCTTCTCTCCTCTAATATTTTAATATCATTAACCAAATTCATAATTTTTTCGTCTTCCTGTCTACATTCATTCAGTACATTTTTATATTGTTTAATTTTTTCTATATTAATATCTCTCATTTTTGAAATTTCTGATATAGTTTCATTTATCCTTACATAAAATCCATAAAAATATGAAGCAAGCTCTTCTGATCTTTCTGATCATATTAGCTTCCTGATTGATAAATCATCGATTTTCTTTATAGAAGCTTTAGATTTTTCCACAATTTCAAAAAAATGCTGGAGTATGGCTGATTCTTTATTATATAAATCATTTAGATTTTTTACATCAGAAATAATCATACTTCTTTGCGCTTTCTTGTGATCAAGCTTTTTATTAATAAGCTTTATTTGCTTGGAGACTAAATCTTTAATGGCATCTTTTTTCGAGTTTTTTATCTTTATTGGAAATTCTTGTACTTTATCTTTTGGCTCAGGATTTTTTTCCCGACCAGCAGTGGTTGATAAAGTTTGATTTTCCTTGGAAATATTTTTCCCAAACTCCTTCCATTTATCACCAATATTATCTGATTTGGGCTTATCCATCATTGGCATTGCTACTTTTACTTTTTGTATTTCTTTTGGGATTTCCATAGCAATTAGCAAGCTATTGAATGCTCATCTATTAAAGCGGGCCCCAATTACTCCTAATATCTTCTTGTTTAGATGTGTGAATATTATATCAGTTCTTGCTAACTTCTCAGACATTTTCTATTTATTTGATAATTAATGATTTAAAATAAAATAAAAATACTATGATTTTCTTATTATTTTCTCATTAATTATCATCTTCTTTGTTTTCTTCAGGTGGCTTTGGTACTACATTTACTACACTAACTAAGTTTTCAGACTCGCTTTGTTCTTTAATTTCAAGGACTTGCTCAATTGGTTCTCTGCATATCATGCATTTGCATTCTTTCTTTACTAGTTCGCTTCCACATGAAAAGCAAATCCCAGCATGCCCGCACTGCATGATAACTGCATTAGGGGGATCTATACAGCAAATGATGCAAAGTCTATCTTCAATACTCTTACTCACATCTTCATCTGATTTATAATATTTTATAATTAATTGCTTTTTGATAAGTTATTATAATGCTTTATTTCTTACAGAATAATTAAATTGGCTTATTTAATTCTGAGAGAAGCTTATAGTTAAAAAGATATCTGCAATTAAAGAATTAACTTGAATCTCAATGCTGTTTTCTTTATCTGCATTGTTTGCTTGACTTGTAGATGCTCTCTTAATGCTTGCTGATTCAGTTTCTGTTGTTGGCCTATAAAATGTGTTAGAAATTCTTTTAAGAAATTTGGGAGGATCTTTAAAGAGTATAGCAATTCTATGTGTGAAACCTAATTGATGTTGTAAATCACTGTAATTTATACTCCCAATAGGGACTTCAGCATATCTTGAATTGAAAAACATGTCAAACCACTTAACAAGATACTCGAAAAACAGAAAAGTATAAGTCTTATATTATCAAATAGCAGTTTAGCCTATTTATTTCTTTTTTATTTTCTCTATCAATATGGTTTTATTATTTATTACTGTTTTATCATCTTCAATGAATTTTACACAATAAAAATGACGAATTATCAAACCCGCCCTTCTCTCATACCCTCGTGGGGTTTTGGGTTTAAGGGGGCTGGGGGGCCTGAAACTTATGGCTCGATTTTTGTCCCCAGTCGGGCACCATGACAGGGGTTTTACCCCACGCCAACTCCACACTTCTGGATGCAAAGGGTAATGGAACCTAGAAGGAGGATTCGGAGTTGCGTCCTATTTCCTATCCCCGAATAGATCATGCCGACTTCTAAGAGCTGTTCAAGGGGATACCTAGGTGTCGTCCCGAGAGATTGCAACGTCAACAGAAAAGGGCCAAAGTGCAAGCCAATGCCTAGGGCGTGGAGCCTGAAGTTGGCTAAGGTGGAATCCGAAATAAACCCCGAAGACCTTTTTACTTTTATCTAATCTAATCTTATGAATTTTTGAATAAATAACAAAGATTACAATAAAAAGTACCCCAAATCCTATAGCAATAGACATCTGGCTGAGTTCACCATCATCAAAAACATCTGCCAGCATATAAAAATTCAGAAATGAACTTCCTGCTGATCCCAAAATAGTAAACCAACCCCAAAAAGGGCAAATTAAATCTAAACAAGAAGCTTTACCCCTGAGACTTTTGCAGAAAATGCTTATATTCAAAAAAGTCCCTCCAATGATAGCAATAATCATTATCATATCTGCAGCATAAATTGGTCAAAACACAAAATGCCAATTTCACTTAATAAGATCATTGAGTTTTAGACTGGCAAATAAAAATGCTACAGAAAACATCCATCGACTGCAGAATTTCAATGAATATGACAAATTTAAGCACTCTATAGAAACGCTGTTCCTGATCCCAATAGATATTATATTTGATATGTATAGAGGAATCCCTGCAATTGCAATATTGAAGTTTGAAAAATTAATACAAAATATTAAAAGCACCTTGAAAAGAAATGATAATATAATTTTCATAAGGCCAAATAATTATTTTAATTTTCTGTAGAAAATTTGATATTATTAAATATTAATTGAGGACTTTTTTAACTAAAAACATAAAATAAAAACATTTTCATAAATTTTTGATGGAGCTAAAGAAAGGCTCCTATTGCTGCAATAATTTCTCTTATATAAAATTTTTGAGGGATTGGAGAATTTTCTTTATTGATTTTAAAACAAATTTGAATCAGATCGTAGATATTGTAAACAAAGAGAGGGATAAGTGGGATTTCCAGCGGCATTGAACTGCTTGCAGATATTAGTAAGAGTATTAATGCCCATCCAACTGCAAATAAAATGTTACGCTGACGGAAATTGGACTCCGAGGCGCACTTTCTATAGAGCAAGTAGGACCCATCTTGATGGAGTTGAAAGCAGGGCCTCTTTCCCTTTTTGAAGCAAATCTTCAGGCTTGGGAAGCCTTACCGATGAGGTAAGTTTTATTTCTCCATTGAAGGTTTTCCTGTGCCAGATGGGGGAGGCAGGCTTACCTACCACATGGTCTTCTCTCATCCAGACCATCGGGGCATCTCACAGATGATGGCTCTGCCTATGGGAACTGATCTTGGACAGATGGCTCAGACGGATATCCAAAAGAGACACCTTTTGGAGCCTAGGCGGGTGACGGCTAGTGGTTAGATCCACTTATGACTAGCATAATAGTTTTAGTATCCAATTGCAATTGCCTGAACCAATCAGTTTCTTAATAAATCCCTAATTATATCTCTGTAAGGTCCATGCACTGCTGAATCATCGATACTTTCTATGTGCGGGAGTTGTCCGTTCATATTAAATCTTGTGAAATATATATCAATTTTAAGATCAGTGAAAAATTTTTGTTGAAAATAATGATTTCTTATATTATCTTAAATAAAATTAATTATTAGTATTTTTATAGTAATAAATAAATTATCGATAATAAAATTGGCTTTTCTTATGCTTTGGGCTAAATGATTTCATTTTATTTTGTTTAAATAAATTCTCTTGAAAATTATTATGGCTTTATAAAAAATGAATGATGAATATACTATCCCTAACTGGATCTTGATGAATCTAAAATTCTGACCAAAAAATACTTTATAAAGTCAATAGATTTTCTGTAGCTTAACTAATAATGCTTCTAACTCACCTCCGTGAGCGAAACAAAAAAAATTTTCATTCAAGGAGGGTTTAATTTTTTGTCAGAATTTAAAAAATCTCAAATTGCTTGGAAAATAAAATTAATTTAATTTGCAAAATTTATATTTAAAAATGGAAACCGCTTAAAATTCAGCAGAATTAGTTAGATATTTCGTTATGATAATTATCTTTTATATATAAAAATTTTTTAAAAAACATTTTTTGCTCACTCACAGAGCGTGAGTTTTTACCCAAAAAAATAGGGATTTCCAACGGTTTTTTCACTCACGAGGGGGATGAATTAAGCAAATTAATCCTTAATAAATGACTTCAATTCAAAAAGCAGACCCTTATTCACTTACAGCAATTGAAAATTTGTTAGAAACTTGAGAATATTCGCCAGAAAGGGTCTTTTTCGCAGTAAAAGCAATTTCCGATGTTGTTCGATTCCACAGCAACATGCTTAAAGAATTTGAGCATAGTCTAATGGCAAAATCCTCAAAATCCGAACTGAATGCTGCTTTAGCAACAAAACCAAATATTTCCGATATAATCTCAAGCCTTTCAGAAATTACATCATCAATAAATAATAAGCCAAACATTGAAGAAATCCAAGATTTAATAGATGAAAGATTTTCTTATAATAATTCCTTATATCAACTTTCCAAAAAAATTTCTTATGAAGAATTGAATAATGCTTTACAATCAAAAGTAGACTTGATAGACTATAAAAAAGATTACAGGATTTTATATGAAAATTTAAATGACGCTACAAAGAAAATACAAGAAACCCTAAGTGAAGGAGACGCCAGAAAAATTTATGAAATTTTAGAAACCAAAGCCAATCTCGAAGATGTAAATGAAGCTTTGGAACATAAAGCTAACAAGCAGACAGTAGCAAATGCATTGCATAGAAAAGCGAATAGAGGAGAAATTGAAAGTATTTTAGCTTCTAAAGCTGATATTAGAGATTTGCAAAATTTACTTGGAGCGATTGAAGCAAAAGTTGAATACGGCGCTTTAGAATCTATTAAAAAAGAAATAGACCAAAAATGCTCAAAAAAAGATTTAGACGAATTATACGACAGAATCAAAGGCATGAAAAGTCATGAATGCAATAGTGAAATTTTATTGCAGGACTGAAATAAGAACATTGATAAAATCAAGCAAAAAAATGAACAAGAAATCAATAAAATTATAAGTGAATTAAGAAATTTTGATGAAAAATTATTATTAAAAGCCGACCAAAGCTCAATAAATCAAGTTCTAGAAATTCTGAACACAAAATCAGAAAAAGAGCAGGTAGAAGAAATTTACAGCCAAAACTCAAAAATAAACGCAGCCTTAAAGCAAGTAAAATCAGATTTTACAGAAAAATACAAAAATCTGGAATTCGAATACAAAAGATTTGATGATGAAGTTGGAATTCTGAAAAAAAACTTACTCCCCCCCTTTTTAAATTGGAACTAAAAATTTTGTTCCAATTTAAAGGGGGGGTTAATTTTTTTTTTAAAAAAAATATCAATATAAAATTTTTTTATAAAATATATAAAAATTAAAAAAAAAAAATTCAAAAGCTTATCGAATTAGATCAATAAATTTGTTTAATAAAATGCTATTTACTCTTTATCCTTTAAAACAAAGCAAGATATAACTAAAATTTCATTGTTAGTTAATACGCCACTATTAATTGGTATCTAAATTATTTACGCAAAAATTATTATTTTTATTGATAAAAAAAAATTAAAAAAAAAAAATTTTAGAAAATTTATCGATCAAAGTGCTAATTCAGATGCTATTTATACTATATTCTTTAAAATAAAGAAAGAAATAAGTAAATTTTGAAATTTTATAAAAAATCCTATTGAATTTATATCAAAACTATCCAAAAAAAAAAAATATCATTTTTACCAAAAAAAACAAAAATTTTTTTGAAAATTTTAAAAAAAAAAAATTAATTTTTTTTTAAAATTTAGCAATTAAGGATAATAAATTTATTTAAATAAGATGCTCTTTATACTTTTTTCTTTAAACAAGAGCAAGATATAACTAAATTTTTAATTTTAGTTAAGAAGAAGCATTTAACTTATATCAAAACTTTTTAGATAAAAATTATATATAATTTTTTATTATAAAATTAAATTTTGTTCCAATTTAAAGGGGGGTTAATTTACCAAAAAAGTGGAAATTTTACCGATATTTTGTTCCAATTTAAAGGGGGGGGAGTTAGAAAATACAAAAGAAAAAATATCAAAAGATTTGTCAGATTCATTTAAAGAAACTAAAAAGATATTTGACACAGATAAAACAGTTATGAATGAAATTTTGAAGCAAGAAACGTTAGAAAGAGAAAAAATAAAAACTAGTGTAAATGAATTAGTTAAACAAATTTATTTAAAAAAAGAAACTGAAGATGCTATTGAAATAGCAAGTAAAGATTTATTAGCAAAATGCAAAAAAGAATCCAAATATAATTTAGAAGCTTTTAACTCAGGAATCGCTGAAATAAAAGCAGAGATGAGAAGCATTTTGAATAATCTAGAAAAGGAGTTTCTGGTCCAATTAGAAAAAAAATTGAATTTTTCTGATTTTTCTGCAGAAATGGAAGCTAAAGCAGATATTTCAGCCTTAGAAAGAGCAATTGCAAGCCGAGTTTCTCATGGAGAATTAGAAGAAGTAAAAGCAGAAATGGAGCAATTACAAAGTGAAATTAAAAGAAAAGCAAGCTTAGAGGCCCTTGACAACTCACTTAAAAGTTTCAAAGAATTAGTAGAAGAAATTAGTAAAGAACTCCTATTAAAAGGAAATATAAAAGATATATTAGCGCTTCTTGATACAAAAGCTACTATTGAAGAAGTAAATAAATCAATTGAAGAAATATATAGCGATCTTCAATTAAGAGCTCCTTTAGACGATTTTAATAGTCACATCTCAGATCAAGCTTTAATTAATGAAGCTTTATGTGCAGAAAATTGCATTGCAAGATGAATTTGAAAAAATGGAGAAACCAGAGGAAATAGTGTGGTTTGGGAAATTCAAAGCGTTAATACCTGCCCAGATAATTTTATATGGGAAAAAGATTGCATTCAAACACTTGCTCCTGGACTCTATGAAATCAATTATGCATTTTTTGCTAGAAAAAAGCCTACTGTAACACTAATAATTAATGGAGAGCCGATAGGAATTGCTGGAGGAAGCCAATGCACAAAAACATGGACTCGACATCCAGCTGGAAATGTTTCTGGCTTATCTGTTATTGATTTTTTGGCCCTCCCAGCAAGAGCTCGAATAAGCTTTGCTTTTTCAAGTGAAGCTTCTGGTGAAGGCTTTTTAGGTCTAAAAAAGTTATAATAACTAATAAATTTAATTATTTTTTCTTCCCTCCAGCATGAAACAGCCTTGAGTTGCATTCTTCACAAATTATTGGTATAAGCTGCTCAGGAGTAATACTTTTATTCATAACATTTTTCACTTTTTTAACATTTCCTAGCAGGCTTTGGATTTCTTTATTTACTCTGTCCTTTAAATATTCATACTGTTTTACTTCTCGATCTACATCGCTAATTCTTTTATTTAATCCATCACATTTTTCTTGACTCTCTTCAAGAAAAGTTGGCTTCCTGTATTTTTCCTTGGATACATTTAATTTGGTATTTTTTAATAGAAATTAATAAAAATATTATTCTTATGCATTTTAAAAAACTAAAAATGGTTTAAAAAAAGTATAAAAAGGCTGTTTGTAGCAAAAAATTTGTGATCATGAAAAGTCTTTAAGTTTGTGATCGCAAATTCTGTTCTTTCATTTTGGTGAACTGTCTCCCCAATTCTTGATTCTAGATCACAAATATTTTCAAGATGAGCCATATCTCCTGTGTTTATTTTTGACCTTTTCACATCAGCAATGACGTCCATTTCTTCGATTTCCTTTACATATTTGTCTCTTTCTGCCTCAGCTTCAGCTAGAGTGGCTTGAAGATCGTTTATTTCATTAGAAACGCTTTTCACGACTTGTAGCCGGATTTTTCCATATCTGCAATTGTCGCACATACGTTTCTTTTGGTCATCTCATTGCTTTTTAATAGAATGCTCTTTGCACACACGCTCATTACAGAACTTGCAGGTTCTTCTTGGTTTATTTACGCTAAAAGAGGCTTTGCAGATATGACAGCATTCATCGCTAGAAAAGAAGCTAACTCCTCCAGCTCCATGTGTGAGCAAAACCATTCGAAAAATCCCTAAAACCACCCTCGTGAGCGAAAAAAAATTATGAAAAAAATATTTTGATTTATAAGTTATTATAATGAAATTTCGCTAATTCTTTTTAATTTTAAACAGTTTGCATTTTAAAACACTAATTTTACAAATTGAATTATATTTTTACTTCTAAATTTTTACGAGTTGGATTTTTTAAATTCTTAGAAAAATAGTTTCACTATAAAATTTATATATATATATTTTTAAAAAAACAAAAATCAACCACCCTCCTGTCAGCGAACCAAAGATTTTTGTTCGCTCTCAATGGGGAGCAAGGCTTTTCTTTTTGTCAACTTTTTGATCACTCATATTTTTCACCAAGGTTTAGAATTAATAAATTATCTCAAAATAATTAATTATTCTAAATCTTTTATAAAATTTTGTAACTACTTCTACACTTTTATCAGTAATAGTATAAACTTTTAGACCTTAAAAAATATTAAATTATAAAATGGAATCTTGAAACTGATGCTAATTTATCGATTAAAGTATATCAAAATTATATTGTTTGCTATTGAGAGGAAATTATCTAAAATGGCTTTGGCAAGATCCATCACAAGCATTTAGAGTTGCTTCAAAAACTGAAATATCTATATATAATCCATTAATTAATCAATTATATATTAATCAAATTAATTATCATTTCTATTTATATAATAATTTCTTCAAAAATCCACTTTTTTCGATCCCACATAAACTCAACAACATTATTATCGTGTTGTGTAATAAACAAATATGCACGAAGTTCATCGTTAATTTTATCATTCCAACTTACAAGAGAAGAGCTCACACCAGAATACACAAAATTCCCTCTTTTCCATTCATTTCCTGTATATAACCATTCAGTGATTTGATGACCATCAGAAATATAAGCTTTTATTATAATTCCAAAATCTCCAGAAAATGAAATTGCCGATATATCATTGCCTTTAACATCAAGTTTTCCATCACTTCATTTGTCGTTGATTTTAATCATTTCTCTGATATGTCCATTTGCAATAAATACATGAATGAAGTTGTTATTATTCGAATCATTATAAGAAATCGCCACTTGCTTTGTTAAAAACATCCGCTGGTTTGAAATTTGAATAAAAATTTCACGAGTTTCTATTGGTAAGCTGTCAGAGCCAATCAAAGCAAATGACAATTGTACTGTATCCCCATTTTTGCATTTTTCTGTACAAGAAACAGAAAATACTTGTGTCACTATAGGGACATTTAATAGTGTACTTAAAATCATATCAGACTCTTCTTTTATTATTAATTCCTCTGAGCTTGCTTCTGTAACAATTCATGCATAGCCATTTGAAATGTCTGGTGTAATCTCTAGATAAATTTCTTGCTCCAAACTTATTCAAGCATGAACTGATAAGTCCAGATTAAAAATATTCCCATGGACGATCCCAAATAAGTAAAATATTAATAACATTATATGATGGACAATTTAATGATATTAATATTTAGAATATTATATAGAATTTTCCCAAATTTGGCGCTGTTTGCCCTTGATTTGGCCACTGAGAAAATTTTTTTGGTTCGACCAGTACCATATGGTTTGGTCAAACCAAAAAATTTTCTCAGTGGCCAAATCAAGGGCAAACAGCGCCATCTATGGGAAAATTCTATATATCAGAAATCTAATAAATGTGGCTTATAAATTAATAATGTATTTACATTATAAATTTTGGCAAATTTAATCAGATAAATAATTATAAAGCAGCATTTAATTTATTTTTAATAAATGATTTTTATTGGAGATAAATTTAAGAATTATTAAATTAATTCATATAATATAAAAGAATATTTAATAATTTTAGAATTTATCATCGCTATTAAGCTTCACAGTAAAGGCTCCGAAGTATATTAAATAATTAGGACTTTTATCATTGCCATCTTTTAGGCTTATAATATTTGGAAATATTAATGGAAGAGACAAAGTTTCTCACAGAATCTAGCCCAATTGCACATAGCAAAAGCAGTATAGCTAATTTTACCCCAAAATCCATTGATAATTCGAAGAAAGGGCCGAACTCTCTTCCAAAATTATTCAATGGAAAACCGCTCAATATTTATAGCTATTTTGCCTTATATTCAAATTCAGGAACTTTCAATGTAAATATACCTACAACACTCATTAAGACCGAAGACTCACCACATCCTTTCTTGCTCAGAACTAAAGGCAATGGAATTCTCCACTGCAGAGCATGCAGCCATAGTGAATTTTTCACTTCCAGTCAAAAACACAAAAATCGAGAAATTCATATATACTTGTACAAATCTCTATACAGAGAATCAATTGTTTTTCAATCCCAAGAAGCTGCAGAAGAGTTTTGAAAATCGGCAAAAGATTCTTCTGGAATGATTCAATGCTACATAGAATGTATATCGACACCTGTTTCTATGACAAGAGTCTTGTGAAGAGCAGGAATGAAAACGAAGTATTATAACGTCATAAGCTGTGATAAGCGAATTATAAGATCAAGAGAGACTCATAAAAGATCTACTTGCCCTGCAACGTCACTAAAAAAGAAAAAAACAGTTTCTATAGATTTTAGATACACAAATATGATTTTTAGAACATCATCGTCTATGAATAATCCATTTAAAGTTAATACCCCTTCAATATCTACAATAAAAGAAAGACCAAAATTACGGTTAAAATATTTTATTTAGTGCAAAAGCTGATAAATTTCTAGGTAATACTAACTTTTGATTTATAAAAAAAAATTAATTTATATTTAGAAAAAGTTTTTAACAGAGCCTAAAATTAGCTTCAACTTTAACAGAACCAAATCTAGACGACTCAAATTTATCACTTAAAAAATCCAGATCAGATGATCCATCACTTCTAATGTTTAAGTTTGACCAAAAAAGAAGAGACATTGTCAATGTAAATAATCCAGAGAGCTTCGTCGTAATAGAAAATAAAAACAAAGTCCCTGAAATAGAAGCAATGATTAATGAAATCATAAGCTTTTTAAATGCTCACGTATTTAAAGAAGAAGAGCTAAAAGGCGCTATTTTTGAGTTCATGAATGATAAAGACAATAAATGAGTATTTCTAAATTGTAAAGAAGTCAGCTTAAATGCTAAAATCCCAGCAGAGATTATTAATTCGAAGAAATGCGAAGAAAGGTCACAAAAAAGAAGGAGCAAATCTTTTGTTGTATTAAAATCTTATGAAAATAAGATAGATTCGCCAGAGACATACAAACATTCAGAGCTAGAAAAGCGTCACTCAGTAGGTTGCTTAATATTTTTTCTATAAAGATAATTTCATGCTATATAATTTTTTTAAAAAAAAAATATGCTCAGTAGTTGATGATAAAATTAAGTTGCCTTTTCGAATAAGGACAAGCCATAAGCCAACTCAAGCTACTGGAAGCTGCACAGAAAAAGAAATACTTGAAAGATGCCAAAAAGTTAACGAAAAACTTGAGCAGATTGTAAATTTAAAACCTTTGAACTACCTTAAAGATGTAGACTTCAAAGAACAAAGCATAAAGGCCTATCAAATTAGATACCAGCTCGAAAATTACTCGTTTTTTTCATCTCAGAATAGGCCAGAAACGAGCACAACTGAAAGTTCGCCTCTATTAAAATCAGAAAGTACAACGAATGCTGTATTTTCTGACAAAGTGCTTCACCACACACGAAAATTAATTTCCGAAGGAATTAATCATTTAGACGAAATGAAAATGAACACAGAATTATTAAGAGTAAAAAGCCATAACCTCGTTGGAAAATATGGTGGCAGTGAATTTTGAAATCAGTTTATATCATCTTTATATAAAAAAGTCATGTCATTTGAGTCGTTAAATGCCTATTTTAAAAACTCGAATTTGAAAATGATAATAAGCGGGATGTTCAAAATTTTCAACGGATGTGCCACACTTGAATTCCGAAGACATGTAAGGTCTTCTCATACAACTTTAGGGATAAGTGAAAGTAACTTTTCATTGTATATCAAATTATTTGAAGACACTCTTATTGAATTTGATGTAGAAGAAGATGATAAGCAGGTCATAATGGCACAAATCAGGTCAATGAAGTGCTTAATTTGTAGGTAGAGTCCATTAATAATAAATGCACAGAATAATTAAAATGTGTTAGTAATAAAAAAATCAAATAAATCTTTCAAGCCAATATATGAAAAATAACGCTATACAATTTTAAATGGAAGGTAATTCTGAATTCACCAATATAAAACGTAATTACTACAAAAGTCATCATTATAGGAGCTTCTGGAGTGGGAAAGACTGCACTTATTCACAAATTAACTGGTAATGAAGATATTTTTCCAACAGTTGGGCTTGAGTATACACCTTTTCAGGTAAAAATGAATAATGAGAAAACTATTTGTTTCCAAATCTGAGATATGTCAGGAAATGAAAAATATAAAGATATTACTACCCCGTATTGGTAATTTAGATTATTGAAAAGGCCTGATTTTTGTTTGCTTGTGCTTGACTTATCTTCTAGAAAAAGTTTTGAAGAGCTTGACAGATGATATAATTTATTAAAAGAAAATTCTGAAGGAAATTTTACAAGCTATTTATTAGGAAATAAAGCTGATTTAGAGAGAGAAATTTCAGAAGAAGAAATAAATGAATGAGCAAGACCTAGAAATATTGAATATTTTGAAACTTCAGCTATTTGAAAGAAAAACAAAAGCGAAGAATTCCAGCTTGGAATCGAGCCAATTTTTCAGAAAATTGGTCAAAACTGTCCAAAAAATAACACCTACAATGGACTTCCCTTAAAAATAATTAGACCACTTAAAACTTTACACCCTAGAAAACACAACTGCTTTTGCTGTTAACTAAACAAAAAAAATTTTGTTCACTCACGGAAGGGGGTTAATTTTTTTTTTTTAAAAAAAAATTTATATATAAATTTTATAAAAATTATTTTTTTTTCGAAATTTAAAAAAATCCTAATTCGCAAAAATTGGAAAGCAAATATTAATTTAATTTATAAAATTTATGTTTTAAAAGGCAATTCGTTTAAAATTAAACAGAATTAGCTCTAGATTTCTTTATACTAATTATCATTTATATATCAATTTTTTTTTCCATACAAAATTTTTCTATTAAAAAATTTTTGTTCACTCACACGGGGGGGGAGTAAGAGTATTTAATAATTTTTTTACAGCAAAAAAATTTAATTAATTTCATAAAAATACCAATTTTTAATATTTTGATTTATTAGTTACCCCCTTTAAACTGTATAAATTTTAATTTGTTCCTTATTGAATTAAAAATTTTAAATTTTAAAGAATCTCTATTTTATTAGATTATTGAGTTTTTAAGCCTAGGTTGATGACTAAATCGCTTCGGATGGTTGATTCCGAAGCTTTCTGTCGTCTCAAAGTCTCTGGAAACAAATTCATTATGCACATCTTCCCAAGCTTTTGATAACTAATATTTTTTTATATATATAAAAATTTGCATGATATGAAAATCTCTCGATCAAGGATAGGGGTTAATTTTCCCAATTTTTAGGAATTTTTACAGTAAATCGTTCGATCAAGGATGGGGGGGGTAAGTAAGTAAAAAGGGAAAACTTGAAGCCCAGGGTGCAGCTCCTGGTTCCTTGCCGAATATAATTAAATATGCTCTCGAGTCTGTATCGCCAGAATACCATGCCCTGGCGAGACGCCATCTTTAATTATGCTGTTAACTAAACATTTTTTTTAATTTATTCTTCAATTGCAATAAAATAAGTCTGCAGAATTTGGCTACGAAATCGTTCTTTATATGTATTTGGATGTGTAATTGTAGGCAATTCAGCACCTACAACTTTTTTATAATTGCTTTCAATGACTCGTTCGAATGTATATTGCTCTACATAATCAATAATCCCTGCTGCAATTTTCCGCTGCTCTAGAGATACTATAATAAGTAAAGAATAATCAACGATATTTTGTTTTGATAAGAAAAGAGAATCATTCCATACAGCAGCGTCAAAAATTCTTTTGAATTCAGGAGAAATATTGATAGGAACTCCAAAAAAATCGTCTAGAAAATTAATGTCCATTTTTGTGCGTTTTTCGCCTGATCTTACCTTTCTTCTAGAATTGGCAGTTCCTTTTAAGTCATAGGTGAAGCATTTTTCAGGCATATTGAACCCGACATTTTCATATAATAATGCACACTCTACCCGAGATCTTCCAGTGCCTTGGTTTTTTATGTAAATCCTGAAAGCTCCTAATGTTCTTACAAGTAAGGACGGCATGCTATGAAAAAAGCTTTTGCAGACATGCCGAAAATAATTAGGTGCTAAATCAATAAACATGTGAAATTCTTTTTCGTCAACAATTTTCAATATATATTTCCCATCATGCGAAGTTCTAAAAGTCGCGCCACTTTTGCCAAGCTGCATTTGATTATTTTGTGAAGCATAAATCGACATTAAAAACTCTTCAGCAGATCCACAAACAAATAGTCGGCATGCATTAAATTGAAATGGAAAGCATATTTGGACTTTTATAGTCAAATGAGGGCCATATAGTCTTCTCATGTCATCTTTATGGGCAAGCTCATTAAATGCATCATCGTCATATGTAGAAATTTGAAACTCAAAATGGTCTTCACTGCCTGATAGTAAAGATGCCTCAATTTGGTTATTTTTATCTAGCTGTGGATTTGAATTTGACATTATAAAATCTTTATACTTTTCTGTAGACAGCGTATAAGCTATTATTGACAAAGAATCTTGCTCATCAACCGGGACACAAATAGAATCCTTTACAAGTGGAAGCGTTAAACACCCTCTCTGCATATAAAGAAAATGCGATGATTGTATTAGCTCATCATCTTTGTTAGATAAATTCACCTTTTTTATTGCGAAAGAGTCGTGAATCATCGTAGAAAGCTCATGTTTACTTTCATTAAAAGAAGCAGTGTCTGCTAATTCGTTTTGTGTTTCAAAGAAAGAGTTTAAATTTGAAGAAATTTCATTTATCGTCACATTTTCTCCTGACTTTACCCTTCTTACATTATTTGCAATGTTTTCAATATTTACCTTTGTGGAGCAAAATTGGAAGAATAGAGCTCTTCTATATGTTTCTAGCTGTAAAATATTGGAGAACTCAGAAATGTCTATGTTTTGCAGCTTTTCTACTAGTGAAGATAAAAAATCAATATCATAGACAATTTCTTGACGCAATTTTTCCCATTTATTTTGGGTATCTTTTGATTCTTCTTCAGAAAATAATGAACTTATGACTCTTGACATGTCTTTGCAATTACTTATCATATCATCGAGCACGTCTTTTGCTGCCATTTTCATTTCATTATAAGTTTTATTCAATAGCGTGTTATAATATCTTCCCATGTCTTTATTTCTAGATGTAACTAAATCAAAAATCGGGTTTTCTTCCCATTGAACAGTGACTTTGATTCCAAATGCATGGAATTGAAATCTCGCAAATTTATAATAGTCATGTCTGCAACTTCGATGGTCATGAAACAGGTCTTTTTTGACAAAAAAATTGTCAATGAATTTATTAAAAGAATACTCTCAGGTTGCTTTGCTTAAAATTTCTGATTTCTCGTCAGTTTTTCCACATGCTTTGCATTCTTTACTAACTACGATGTCTCTTATTGGACAGGTTGATTTTCCAAGCCGAATTTTAATTCTGCCTCCTGATTTTAAATAGTAAAAAGAATGGACACCTCAGATTCTACCACATTCGCATCTCTCATTTGATTTTTTGATGGTGGAGATAATAAATTCTCCCAAAGGAATATCATTTTCTTTATAAAAATCAATGGTCATGCTTTTAGGCCTTATACACATATTTTTATTAATTAATTAATTCGATTATAGCCTGTTGTTCTCTTTACAGGTCAACTTTTCTCTCTTCACGGACCTGTTTCTTTTATCAAATATCTCTACCAGATAATTCTTTATAATCCTTATGCACATATTATGTCCACAGACAACGAGATATTTATAGGCAGTTGACTCTTTAAAAAAATTCAAAAAAATATCAGGGTAGTTTTCAAGCCTGCACTGCGTAAAAGCTCTTTTTTCTAGTCTTACATTGCGATATTCTAGACTGAGCTGTCTAATTAAACTGGCTACCTTTTTAAGCTCAGGTTTATCAGGCCCAGATAAAATAATTGTGGCCCCTAATGAATTATCTGCAGAGCCTTTAAAGTATAAATATGTGGACTGTCCAATATTTTTTTGGAAAAATTCTTCACATTCCGCTAAATACTTTACCAAATGAGAAATTTGGTCCACAGATGTTAGAATTTGCCCTTGAGCGACCCTTGCAAGCATAGTTAGAATTTTCATTTTCACATTAATAATAGTCGATATCCCCATTTTTGAAAGCTCATTTATGATAGGCTGTGACAAGCCTTTTTCAGATACTATCACTGTTGGGCTGATTTTTTCGATTTTTTTGATTAAGATTTTCGTTAAATCTCCTTCCTGATCTATTAAATTATCCATTGAAACGATTCTCTTTTCTGTAAAAAACGAATCAGTAGCTCCTTGCAATAATAAAATTCTTGGGTTTTTTATTTCTCTTGGCATTCTTTTGTGTGCGATGTTTTTATTTAAAACAATTCCATTCACATATTCGCTCAAACTATTGTCAGAATTTTCTACGTTAATAATCCTGAGATAATTATTTATGTCCATACTATCATGCCTATACTGGACAGATGAGCAGACATTTCCGACGATTTCTCTTACAAATTTTATGATTAGTTCAAACCAGTTTTTATCAACTCCAGAATTTTCAAGTAGCTTTATCGCCCTTATCCTTAAAAACTCTTGAGCATAAATTTCAAAGTCATCTCTACTTTTCCCATTTATTTCATCTAGAAGCTCCACAATTCTTATATCCTTCTGCTCATCCTGTGCTGGGTCGATTCATATTTCTCGGCTTCTTTCTTCTGCCCCATCTAATATTTCAACTTCTCTTGGGAGAATATCTTCTTTTTCAATTGTAGTAATAGAAGGTGTATCAGAAGTTCCATCAATAGAAGATATGGGATATTTTTCTATATTTCCAACCAACGTATTTTGCTGTGAGGAATTTAATAGTTCTAAACAGTCTTTGCAAATTCTCAGAATAATTTTCCCATTAGGCAGTTCATAGCTCTTTTCTGTGCAATTTGAGCAAAAAATCAAGCCGCAATATCGACAGTGATGTCTCCTTCTAAAAGTATTGAAAACCTTATCGCACTTGTGACAGGTTTTTGCTGAGTTATCAGGCATTCAAAATTCTCGTTGTTTATGGTTTAATTCTCCCATTTATAAATTTAATGACAAATTTACTAATTTCTTTTTCGCTTTGAACCAACTTCTTCTTCATTTCTGTCAGGACTTCTTTCTCTTTCGTATTCATTTTTGACTGAGTCTCTCTTTTGCCCACCTCCTCTTCCTCTGCCAAACTGTCTGCCTTCTTTAAAGCCTATGTCCCAATCAACCCTTATTGTTTGATTTTCTAGGTTACTTCCAGATAAGCAATCTACAGCTATTGCAGCGTCTTCGTGTGTAAAATACTCCACGAAGCAAAATCCACATGGGGTCTTTTTGTATCTGTCAAGCCCCATGATGATTTTTTTGACCTTCCCGCAGTATGAGAAAAGTTCATGGATCTGCTCCTCTTTGGTGTATTGTGACAAATTGCCGATGTAAAGAGTAGACGATAATCTCAACTTTTCACGATATTCATCTTGGGAGTATCCTTGCTGCCGATCGATGTATTCTGATGTTGGGTTTGGGTCTTCGTATAGGAACGCAGCCATTTTGATATTATAAGGAAAATGGACACAGATGTAGTGATAATAGAGCATTGGTATTTTCTATTGCAGCATCAACTGTAGGCTGCATAAATGATGCACCAGCCATGAAGAAGATAAATATTTAGAGCTTTCTAATATGATTTCTACACATTTAAGTATCAATTTAAACTTGATTACCGTTGTAAATCAAATTCCTGAAGGCTTAGTGCATCCACTTCTATGAAAAGGGTCAGCTCATCAGGGTGTTAAAAAGGATGGGACAATTCCAGAATTCCCCAGAATTGGCAGTTTTGAGATCTATTATAAAGGATTTTGTGTATTTTCTAAATTGGGGACTGGCCTATGGCCAAATAGAAAGGCGGTATCAGATGCTATTCTTGATGTAAAGAACGGCCGATACAAATGCGGGTTTAGTCTTTCAAGCCTTTATTATAGCCCTTCGTTTAAAACTCTCGCAGAGGTTGATTCATATGGAAATTTTTACACTCCTTATAAGAAGAATCAAAATTCTGAATATAAAACTCCTTTTGATTTAATTGATGAAGAATGAAAGAATGACAAAAAATATCAGTCAATAGAAGATGATAAGAGCTTCAGCTATTCATATTCAGAAACGAGCGATAGAAAAACCAATACAACTACCTCTGAATTCGCTATTCGGGATTTTGATAATATTCACGAGAACAACCAAAGAAAGCTAGAAGTAAATGAAGAACTTTCTGATGAAGCAAACACTGAATCAATGCCAAGCAGCAGATCAAGCTCATCTCCTGAACCTCCTTGCGATTTATTAGCAAGCTATGATATTTCGATTAAAATTGGAAAAGCAAGCACAAAAAGCATTCCATATAAAAATACCGGTGACAAATTACTTTCCCTTTCTTTAAGTTCAACTGATACTGAAGTCATGCAAGTTATTAAGCCAGCTACTAAGATTAAAGCTAGAGAACAAGGAAATATAAAACTTAAATTTTATCAAACTTCCCCAGTTCAGAAAAAAATTGTGTATTTACTCGTAACTGTTGATGATGCTATATATGAGTGCTTTCGATTTAAACTAAATTATTTATAACTTAAATATTTTGTTATTCGCGTTACAGTATTAATTTCTACAAAAATGAATTTCTTCTATGCTCCAGACTTAAAAAACTTCGTTTTAAATCTAATTTATAAAAATTTCAGCTTAGATTTACAAATTTAATAAATTCAAAATTAATTGCCATGGACAATACGTCAGAAGATATCGAATTTTTAGAAGAAGAGAAACTTGATGTAAATATAAGCTTTGTGCAGAGAGGGCGGCAAGATTTATTAAATGAATCGGAAATGGGAATCCCAATTTCCCATGACGCTTATGTATCTACTACCCCTGCGCAGGATTTTAAAAGCATTTCTATCGGCGAGCCTCAGAAATGCAGGGATGGGAGGGAATCATTTTATGCATACCCGATCTATGTAGAAAATCAAGCAGTATCACAAAGGAGATATAATGAATTTGTATGGCTTAGGAATCAGCTATTATCAAAATATCCGGGATGTATAATTCAAGCATTGCCTGATAAAGAAGGGATAACTGGGTATTGAACTAATCAAGATCCAATGTTTTATGAATTTCGTCGATACGGATTAGAAAAATTTATACAGAGAGTAGGAAACCATCAGATATTGGGGAGATGCATTGATTTTTTAAGTTTTATAAAGGATGATGAATTGAATTTTACTATAAGATTAAGAGAAAGTCAGATTTCAAAAGGATGAATGAGCAAAATCACTGACTTTAGCAGCTCTTTTTCATCAATAATTTCTACTTATGTCCAAAGAGATCACATTATTTTGCAAAATGACGCAGATATTGCTTTTAACTATTTTCGAACTGAACTAAAGAATCTTTTGCAGCAGCAAGAAAATTTACGAGCAAATACAAATAAAATTATAATAAGCCTAGAAAATGAGATCAATTCCAGCCTTGTTATGAGCAAAGCTTATGAATCTATGAGCAGAATTGAAAAAGAAAATGTTTCGGTGAAATTAAAGATTTTAGCTTCTACACATCAGCAAATAGCAGAATCACAAAGAACATCATATAATAAAATAAAATCTTTATCAGGCAAAGAAATAGAAGATTACTATAAACTAACACTTGGCGCATTTGAAGCTCTAGAGCGAAGGAACCGAATCCGTAGTGAAAATTCTAACGCAGATGTCGACATTGATGAACTAAATGAAACTTTAAAACAAGATATGGAAAAATTTTATAAAGACAAAAACTCGCTTGCAAAAATCATTGGGGTGAATATGATCAGCTATAAAAAAGAAATGACAGAAGTTCTTGCAGAGATATGGAAAGAAAGTCATACCAGAATCTCAGATTAATTGTTAATAATTAGCTGATATATTGATTAAGTTAGCTTACCACTCAATCTTGTTATGCTGGCTATCGCAATGTGGCTTGTTGAGTGAATATTTACATCCACAAAGCCAATATACTTTTGATTCTTCTGGGGTAAACGGCAAAGGACCAAAAGGAGTGCCAGCATGAGAGCCATCACAATAAGGTTGATTTGCTGATCTTCCACAATCACACCAATAGTAGGTTTGGCCAGCTACTAACTCAGCTCTATAAGGGCCTCTTTTTGGCTTAACACGAACGTCTGAAGGGACTGCTGCAGCTTCCATATTGAAAATTTATAACCAATTAGAAAATTGATAATTATTCTTAAAAAACGTTTGATTTCTGATATAATTAAAATATATGGCGTCTTCGTCTAGGTATGGCCTCACAGCCATACATATTTTAATTATATCCGGCAAGGTTTTTCTAGCCTTGAAAAGGACAGCAATGCTATGGTAACCAATTCTGCAGGTAGCAGAGCCTAGCCCAAGTCCAAATTCGAGACTGGTTTTTTACCTCGAAGAAAAGGAGGGTCCAGATTTGGAAAGGGCAAGCCCAGCAAGGTCTACAGGTAATACCTAGATCCATCGGGCAACTGCCTAGCGTGAAACTGGGCGTTACGTCCCAGGATCTGGACTTCACCCTTTTGCCGACAGGCTACCAGAAACTCCATTTTTTTGGGGTTTCGGAATACCAATTTCGTTTTCTCTCAGCCTCAGGAGGCCGCACAAACCCGTAATCTGCCCACTCAACACTGGAGCCTTTTACAAGAGACAAGGAGGAGACCCGACGGAAGAAAGGTCGCAAAGCGGATGAATCCCCCAAGGGATCCTCGGTGATTGCGTTAAAATTAAGGGCATGAGCCCGTCTACTTAAGTTAAGCTAAGTTAAGTTTGATTTCTGATAATGAGCTCCCATTCCCTTGAGGATTTTTTTTGAGTTGAACATACTTGAATAATCGACTGGAGATGGCGAGCGATTAATAGAAAAAGTCTCAAAATTTGCACTGGATACAGTAGATGCTGCTGACTTCGGTGGGGAAAATTTATCTTCTTCGTAAGAAATAGAACGGGTGTGGAAGCTTTCTTTAGTTTCACCTGTAATAGGATTAATGGTTTTTTGATGGCATTTATCATCCCTAGCACTCACATATGCGGATCTCGGAGGTGAAAATTCATTGATTTTACCAGAAATGATGGGCGCCTTTTTATTGCCTAAAGAAAGTGGACGGGAACGGTCAATGTTATATTGTTTTATTGTGCCAGTTATCGGGTCATGTATTTTATCTTTAACCAATGTTTTGGAAATAATAAGGCTTATTTCTCTATGGAGAGGGTCACGGAGTTTCTTTTTCTTATCTTTCGCTTTTTTTATTATTTTTTTAATCTTATTAGTCATTTCTAGTTTCTGGTTCATTAGTGATGCTTCATTTAATGTTTTTTCTGTAAGTTTTCCATTGCATTTATATTCTTTATGTGGGCTTCAACGGAAATCATTCACAATTTGGCTTTTAGACCGTTCAATTTTGCCTTCTTTGCGTTTGCTTGGCTTTGATGCAAGATCGTTGACTTTAATTTTTTCTCTGAGGATAGGACTTTTGTATGTCCTCATTTCTAGTTTGTCATTGGAACTGTTTAGAAGCAAATCAAGGCTGCTAGAAGGAGCTGCTATTTTTTCTTTATGGATTTGAGATTTTTCAGGGGATTTTAATTGATTTTCAGGAGGGTAGTAAACTTTGCTGTTCATGAACGTTATTTTACCTATTAAATATAGTAATTGCCGAGGATGGCGATATCTTGCGCCATCCTCGGGCAATTCAAAAATGGCCCCACACCGGGAATTGAACCCACGTGTGGGGCCATTTTTGGTTAGTGGAGAACATCGACTTCCACGCACCAAAAATGGCCCCACACGTGGGTTCGATTCCCGTGTGGGGCCATTTTTTAAATTGCCCGAGGATGGCACTATCTTGCGCCATCCTCGGGCAATTATTTTGGGAATTACCTTAATATATCATTATAATACTGAATAAAGGAAATAACCATATTTTTAACTTTAAGCAGCGATTTATAGGTCATTTCTACTACATCGCCTAAAAATGCAATAAATTATTCCTCAATTTATTTATCTAAAGAAAATTTGGTTTTCAAATATCGTATCATAGTGGATTAAATATTTTTGATTTTAGTTATTCATGATCCTCTCAAGATTATGTTACTGCCAAAATAAGTAAAAATTGTCTTTAAATATAAATATTGATGCCGTAATTAAAGTAAAAAAGTAAGAATTTTCGATGAACTTGCACATACAAGTATTAGTTAATGATCATTATTGCATAAAACTTAAGAAATCTTGATGGCAAAATAACTTCTTAGAAAATGGCTGACATAGCCTAACTCTTAAACTATGGCTTCGACTTAAAAAATAATTACTTATTTTTTAAGATAGACAATAGAGAAGGTAAATTATTTGGAAATTTTCCAAATTATACAATTTAAATCCTTCAGATCATCACAAAAAAAATAATCGCGAATTTTAATAAAATCTCAGGAATAAAGAAGAATGATCCTTAAATAATTTCTAATTAACCTATTAAAGATTTTTATCTTCATGAGTCTTTTAAACTTCTTCTTACTTTTCTACCTCATTTATCATCAGTCACTCTTCTTCTATCTATCATTCATTTTTGGCTTATTTTTCAGCTTATCCATGTTTACTGAATATTTAATCTTAAAAACCGATTATAACTTGCAAAATATCTAATTTATTCAACTCTCTAATATTTCAAAATCTATAGCCTATCTTTCCCTTCTTATTTGTCCATAATTTCCTGGATTTTAGATCCACTTATAACCATAAAATTATGAAAGAATTCGCGGTACGTACCCTTGAGTCCGTAAAGCACCTTTGTCCTTTCCTTTCCAAGAATCATATGATAACCCCTACTTTGATTACTGAAAACACTGAAAAATGCCCTTTTATGAAATCCATGAATTTTATCCAGACAGGAGATAGGCCGAGTATTGAGGACGTCGCACAAAAGCTAATGGATCCATTGAATTTCATTGATCTTGAAAGTATGAAACCTAAAAAGCTTGCAGGTCTGGAAAAGCATTTCCATGATGCCATACAACGACTTAAAGATGAAGGACGATATAGGGTTTTCACGAAGGTTTTGCGGCATGCCGGGGATTTTCCTATGGCTACAGAGTACATGACTGGTGATGAAAATAAGATCACTATGTGGTGTTCAAATGATTATTAATGGGATATTATTTTATTTTTAAAATTTAAATTGATAATGAAAAAAATCAATTTTTCTTTTATTATATTCTATAAAAAAGTAGGAAAATAAAAAAATAATGATTATTTAGGGATGGGACAACATCCTAAAGTTATCAAAGCTATGGTCCAAGCTTTAAAACTTTATGGAGCAGGCTCAGGTGGAACTAGAAATATAGGAGGAAATACAAATTTGCATGTACAGCTTGAAAATGAGCTTGCAGATTTACATAATAAAGAGGCTGCTCTAGTATGCACATCTGGCTACGTTGCAAACGAAGCAGGTTTGAGCACTCTTCCATCCCTTTTCCCTCAAGGTGCCATTTATTTTTCTGATGAAGAAAATCATGCATCTATGATTTATGGCATGAGATACTCAAAATTAGGTAAAAAAGATATCAGAGTATTTAAACATAATGACATTAAGCATTTGGAAAGCTTGCTAGAAGCTTCAAACAATGATATAGAAGACAAAGATAAAGTAAAAATTATAGTTTTCGAAAGCGTTTATTCTATGAGTGGAACTATTTCACCAGTAGAAACCATTAAAGATATCGCCAAAAGATATGGAGCACTTACATATATAGATGAAGTTCATGCTGTAGGACTATATGGAAAAAGAGGAGGAGGTGTTACACAAGAGCGAGGGATTGATATTGATATTATTTCAGGAACTCTAGGAAAAGCTTTTGGCACTCATGGCGGCTATCTTGCAGGTTCTTCATTAATTATAGACTGCATAAGAAGCTACTCACCATCATTTATTTTTACAACTTCACTGCCACCTGTAACTGTGGCAGGAAGCATCGCCTCAATCCAACACGTTAAAGAGTCAGAAAAAGAAAGAAAATTACTTCATGAACATTCAAAGTTTATGAAAAAGAGGCTGCAAGAAGAAAACTTGCCAGTACTACCATCAGCAAGCCATATTGTGCCATTATTTATAGGGAACCCAAATGTGTGTAAAGAAGTCAGTGATGTTTTCTTCAAGGAATATCAAATTTATGTCCAGCCGATTAATTATCCAACTGTCCCAAGAGAACAAGAGCTTTTAAGGCTTTCTCCAGGGCCACTTCATACTCATGATAAAATTGAGAATTTTGTGGCAGCTGCCAAGAAGATTTGGACAAGATTTTCTCTTGTTAATTACGAAGAGCTCCAAGAGAGACTTAAAGTTAGGATTCATCAATAACTAATAATTTGGTCACTTGGCCATTATTAAATTTGTTTACCAATATTGCAATTTTTTATAATTCTTTTCTAAAATTTTTATTTTATTAGTATTTTCTTTTAGATTAAAAAAGTTTCAATATGAGCCGTGAAATTGGAATATAAATTAATAGATAAAAACTCAGCTAATAATAATTTAATCCTTAAAAAAATATTATTTGAGAATGTAAAATGGTATTAAGAAATAAGAAAAATTGAAATTAAAGCATATAAAAAATCAAATTTTATTATATTTTCAATATAAATGGTCTAATATTTTTCATTAATAATCAATAATATAATAAATTCTACTATGAAAAGAAGCTCACAAAAGCACTCAAGCTTTATCGCAAATTTTCACAACAAAAAGACTGTTGGTCTGCATACCCCAAAAGCTGAGACTATTCGCTTTTTTAACGAATCTCCAAAGGGTTCTAGCCCTCTAAATATAAAATTTGAAAAGGAAGACCAAAAGTTCCAAGGATTTCATTCTCATCGGAGAAGCAATACATCTCAAGGTTCTCCAACGCTCAAAAAATTTAACTTATCATTGGATAAATCAGATGGGACGAATTATTTAGTTGTGAAAGCAAATTTTTCAGAAGAAGAAGAAACAGCTTCACAAACTGAAAGAATCCTTTTAAAGCAATGCACGCCTGACACCTTATTAAGTGAAGATTGTGAAGCATGCTTCCACACAGAAGGAGATCTAATTGATAGAGATCAAGAAAAAATAATAGATTTCATTGATCTAATTGATAAAAATGAGGAAAATCAAGAGTATAAAGCTGATTTAATAGAAAATGAACGAGAAAATGGCAAAAGATCTGAAGGAGATAAAACAAATGAAGCAGTTCAAATATTTAATATATTTGATCAATTAGAGGAAGAAAAAGAAATCATAGACGATGTCGAAGAAATTGAAGAAAAAATCGAAGAGGTTGGAAAAAAAAATATTGAGCCCGAAATGGTGACAGTTTACTTCAATATTCCTTATGAGACCAAAGTAATCAATATTTAGCTTGGAGAAAATATTGTAGTCGTTGGAGATACGGAAAAATTTGGAAGTTGGGACACAAATAAAGGATTGAAATTAGAATGAAGCAAAGGTAATTTTTGGCGTGGAAATATAATAATTGCTCAAGAAGAAGCAAAATATTTAGAATTTAAATATGCAGTCAATAAACGGAATGGCTCAAAGTGAGAAATGGGAGATAACCGAAAGCTGCATATACAAAATAATTTGTTTTCGTGCTGTTGCCAGCATGAATTTTGGCAAATTACTAAAGAAAAGAGCCAAAAAAGTGATATTATCAATATCTCATTCAGACTTTTATATCGAGCTAAGGTAAGTCTTATTTAGATTGGAGAAAATTTAAGAGTTGTAGGAAATTCTGAAAAATTGGGAAACTGGGATTTTAATAAAGGATTGAAGCTTGAATGGACAAGAGGCCATAATTGGATTGGAAGAATAGAAATCGATAAATTAGAAGCATGCAACCTAGAGTTCAAATATGTAGTTGTTCAAGATACTTATCAGAAATGGGAAAGAGGAAGCAATCATAAATTGAATTTCAATGAAGAATCAGGAACGAATTTCTATTTAAATGACTTATGGCATGCTTAAAACGCCATGTGAAATTTAAATAAATAATTTTATAAAATAAATGAAATCAAATGATCAAATGTAATCATAAAGCAGTTTTATATCAAGACTAACTGAGCAAAATGAGTTTATTAGAAGTCAAATTAAAGAATTTAAAGAGAAAATGAAACAATTCGTAAAAATTGAAAGAAAAGAGCAACTTAAAATGAGCCTCAGCAAAGATAGTGAATACTAATTAGTTCAAGAAAAATTGTTAGAAAACACCAGCAAAAAAATTGAGATTTATCATAAAGAATATGAGTCTTTAAAAGAAAAATTAGACCATATCCACCAAAACAAACTGATAAATGCCTTGGAATTAGAAATTGAAACGAAAATTACTACCATCAAAGAGTTGTCAACATTAAATAGCCAATTAAAAAGAAATTCCAAATATTTCAAACCACACAACTTAAACGATTTAGATCTGACACCAGATGAAAAAGAATATAAATCTTTGCTATTTATGATCGATGAGCTTGCAGATGTTTCAAAGAAAAATCAAAAATTAATTTTTCAATACGAAATGAGGATTAAAGAGCTTGAAAACCTTTTAGAAATTAATAGAGAAGAGATTGACAATAATCCTATTGAAAACAATAAATTTCAAAATGATCTAAAAATCAAATATGATTGTTTAAAACATGAATTGAAACGCACAGAATTCAAATGGAGAATTAAGCTTCAAAGATTAAGAATTAAAGAAGAAATACTGCTAAGACAAATCAATTTAACAAAAAATGAAATTGAAACAATTTACACAAAATTTAAAAAAATTAAGGATATAGAAAATAACCAAAATTCAAAAGAGTTTAACTTGACTTCACTTCGCCAGAAATCAAACACTCCTGTAATTTTTATAAAGGTTATGTGCTTTGACTATGAAAAGCCAGTATCTTCAACATTTCGTATAAATAAAAGTTTTGCATATTATGCACATAAAGGAGAATAAAATTTTCAGTAATAACTTTTGGTAATAATTAGTTTAATACCTTGTCCAAGCGAAAATTTTTCTTTAGCCTCCTGCTCACAGTATATCAATTAGAGTCTAAGATGCTATTTCCTTTATACTTATAATCTCTAATCCTAAAATGGCAGACCAAACTCTCTATTTTCTCATCAAGCCCTTATGCGCCAAACTTCTAAGAAATTCTGACACCTTAGATTCTACATCTTGCTATTGCGAGATTTCTATTGGCAGACAAGCCAGAGTCTCCAAAAATGCTGAAATTGCTTTAAAGTTTCCTTCATGGAACGATGAGCTTCCTTTTCTAATAAGAAGTGAAGACAAAATCTCTGTAAAAGTCTGGGACATCAAGCCTGATACCAGAAAAGTTATTTTTGGAGAAGCCACTATTTTAAGGGAGGATATTACTGATTTATATGAAAATTGGGTCATTCTCGCAAAAGGAAAAGAAAATGTTGGGGAAATGAAACTAAAAATAGAAATCTCACATGAATGTCCTGAGAAATATTCAAATTTAGAAGCGGAAGAATCCAAGCAGACGCAAGAAATTCCAAGTCAGATGATAAATTATGGAACTCAGCAAGAAACGCAAATAGAGCATACGTACATTCGATCACAAGCTAGCTCTGATATAAAGCCAGTCTACTATCAGATGGCATCAGCTCCTCCACTTCCTTCTGAAGATTTTCATGAATTTGCGCCATCTCAGAATTACTCTTATTCAAGTTTATTAGATTTTGATGCTCCTCAGCCTGTTTCCCAAACTTACAACCTGCCTCAACAGAAATTCAATCAAAATTCAGCTTTTCAATTTAATTCTCAAAGCAGTTATCCTACTCTTGGAGGAGTATCGCAAACTAATAGCCAAACTAGTTATCCAAATACTGGGTATAATACTCCTTATTTTCCTAATCAATCAAAATATCCATCACAATCAAGCAGCCAGACTAATCAACAATATCCAGGATTTTAAAATTTGGTGATAAACATAATTTTAAATATATGATCTAAATGAGATGCATTAACTATATTAAACATTTTGTATAAAATATTGAATTTCAGCCAAAAATGTACTGTATCTGCATTATTAAGAAATATCTGCAATCTTAATGCACATTTTAGACTATGAAACAATAAATTTTAAAATGAGCGAAAAACCTCCATCAGCAAAGAAAAAGACTACCAAGAAAACAAAAGAAAAAAAATCAAGAAGCTCAAGCCCGACGTCAGAAAAATCGAAAAGTTCTCCAAGGACTTCAAATATCCCTACAAGCCCTGTGAATTCCCCAAAACGAGCAGAAACAATTCCAGAAGAACCAGTTATTCTTAATATTTGCAAAACCCATAGCAAAGAATTTAAATTTTTTTCGGAAACTAAAGAAGAACTTGCATGCGAAGATTGTGGGAAAATTCCTGGTCAATCAATAATTCCTATTGATCAAGCTCATAGATTTCGTATAGCAACCGCCTACGATTTATTAAATTCCCATTTATTCCAAAAACGCGAACTACTTAAAGCCCAAGCAATGAAAATCCAAATGAGAATGGACGAAATAAAGCGCTTCAAAAATTACATTGAGCAAGACATGAAACGAGAATTTGTTGCTATGAACGAAAGGCTAAATTCCTCTTATGGGTCAAAAATGGCTGTATTAGACCACGATTTAGGCGAAGTCCAGAGCGATTTAGATAGAATCAACACTATTGTCGGAATGGTAGAAAATTCTAATCAAAATATTATAGGATTTTTGCAAAAAGCACCTGAACTTAGGTATGCTCTAGATATTTCAGTTTCTAAGCCATTTAGAACAGAAGTTGATGTATACGCAGAAAACCTTCCTCAGGAGTTACCAAGGATCAGAGAAATTACAATAAAACATGATGCATTATTATCGTTATTGAAAATAAAAGATGAAATGATATGGAATCTCACGCATGAAAAAAATTCAAAATTGGAAAAATCAATAGAGGAAGAGTTAGCCGAATGAGTAAAATTAACCGATAAATTTTCATCAGAATTGGATAAATTCAAATTAGCATGTGAATTTTGTGGAAATCCTTTAAATGAAAATACTATTAATTCAAACTGTGAAAAAAGTCAAAGACATCATTTCGTGAAGATAAAAGATATAGAAATTCCTGAAGAGCCTGTCCAAGACACGTTAAGAAATATAGATGAACTAGGAACCATAAGACAAATAAATCAAGCTTGCAGAGATAGAGGATTGTTTTTGGAAAATATTTTTAGAACCTATGACTCAGCCAGCTCAGGGCTAGTTTCTCAAACTGAATTTTATCAAATTTTATCAAACCAGTTCGGACTTTCAGGTGCCCAAATTAATTATTTTGCTAAAAAATATGACCCTAACACCTCAGGAAAAGTAAAATATCAGTTACTGTTAAGGGATTTATTATATGATGGTTCTCCACTTCATTCTAAGCTTCATAGTCATGCTTTACAACTTTTTGAAGCTTTTAAAAAGCAAGATATCTATTCGGAAGGTTCAGTTAAGCAAGAAACATTTAAAGATATTTTAAGATCGCAAGGATTTGATGGAGAGGAAATAAAGCAGGCTTTATCATTCGCAGATATCAATTCTAAAGGGCAAGTTCAATACCAAAATCTCTATAATCGCTTTAAATAAGAATTTTTAATTTGAGGTTAGTAAAAATTATATGATTTTCATAGAAATGCTAATAGCAATAAAATAAATTGCTAAATAAGTGCATTAATTGCGAAACTTATTGTAACTTAAAACTAAGAAAAGATTTTTTATAAAAAATTAAATGGGAGATACCTGCTCAAAACAAAGAAAAGCAATCATAAAAATAGTCCACAATACCTTTGATGTCTCTCAATTGAGCTCTGGAATTCTATTAAATTTCAATAAAAAGGCTCTGAACCAGCAAGAAATAAATGATGCAATTTTATCATATGAGTCCCGGCTAACGAAAGACTCTGAAGACCCTTTAGCTAATTTAAACATGGGAATTTGCTTATATGTGCAAGGATTTTTAGAAGCTGCTGAAAATCATATATTAAAATCAATGAAAAATTCAGCAGAGTATAGGGGATGCTTTGTACTGGGATTAATTGCTCACTCCCCGCCTCCGTGAGCGAACAAAACCATAATTAATATAATGAATCATTAGCTGATTTTTGTTTAATTTAAACAAATTGAGTTTTAAGACATAAATTTTATATGATTCGTGCATTTATTTCTTATCATGCATATGCATGTCATTTTGAATTGGTATGTGGAAACCAAATATGCGTTTCAAAGCGCAGATTTTAGTGCGGCAAATTCATAATTTGAGATCTCATATGAAAATGGCGCGTATAAATGACCATAAGAAATTTAGCCAAGGGGTTATAATTAAATTATATTTGCTTTAATTTTTCAAATTAAGATTTTTTAAAATTTCAAAAACAAATTAACTCTCTTCCCATACAGAACAAAAATTTTTTTATTCGCTCACGGAAGGGGGGAGTCAGCAAAAATCCAACTATGAAGAGTCAATTAATTTCTTTGAAAGAGCAATTTCTTTGCATACTTTATTTGTTCCAGCTCTATGGAAAATTGCTGAAGTGCACTTGAAAATAAATAAAATAAAACCAGCAAAAAAATATGTAAAAAGAGCTATAGACCAGGAGCCAGAAAATCCTGATGCTTTAAATATTTTAGGCTTAGCCTATTTGCAAAGTGCAAAGCTATCAAAAGCATTGCAAATATTGAATAAAGCCTATGAAATACTCCCAGATTCCTCCAAAATCAATACAAACTTAGGCCATACATATAAAGCCCAAGAAAACTTAAAAAATGCTATAAAACACTACGAGCTTTCAGCAAATAACTCTAAAGGTGTTCAACAAGGGATAGCTTATATAGACTTAGCTTCAGCTTATTTCGAATATGGAGATATTGGCCAATCTTTAAACTATTTCAAAGAAGCTGTAGAATTCGGCCCTCAGGTGCTTTATATAATAAAAAACAAAGGATTTGACCTTATGTTGTCAAAAGTAGATATTTTAAGAGGAGTCCAAGAAATTTTAAATCGCGACTATGATGATGCGATTAAAAGGCTGAAATATATTTATGCGAAAAATAAAAGCAATTTAATATCTGCTTATTTGATGGGGTTAGCTTATGCAAATTTAGGAAATGCAGAAAAAGCACAGAAATATTATAAAGAAGTATTAAAATATGGAAATACAGGAATTAACTCAAAAAAACAATTCGCAAAAACCTTGGTATCCAAAGCTAATAAAGCATTAATGAAAATCAAAGAACTTAAAAGTGAAGAAAATTCATTCGAAGACCTTGAATTCGAAGGTGCTACAGACTTCCCTGAGGGGTCACCAAACCAAATCCCTTATGCATTAGATATCTCTAAATCTGGTGCTATTAGTAGAAATAACAGTAATCCTCAAACTCCTAAAAGAAGCAATACGCCAATAAAAGAATTTAATGAAAATCCAGGCGAGCAAGCAGCATCAGTTGATATATCTGAGCTTATAAAACAAAGCCCAAGGTATCCTTTATTTACTTCAGCGGTCAAGCCTTCTCTAAAACAATTTGCAGCAAGTGCTGATCCTAAGCCAGAAAATTGTGATATTTTCTAATTATAAATATAAATTATAATATATATAATTTGCTATCATAATAGCCATTAGTGCTGAGAAGTTAATAATAGAATATAAAAAAATAGGTATTGAAATTTCTAAAATGCCAATAAATATCATGAACTCATTTATAAATGATTTTTTTAAAGGGCATGCTTAAACACAAATAAAATTTACAAATACACAAAACGAAGAATAGCTGTGTTTGAGAAATCTATGTATCAGTTAAACTTTTAGAATTTATTAAGTTTCTATATCAATCTAAAAGGAATTTATAATTTTATAATAAAAAGCTTTAAAATAATAATAAATAGTAAACATTAAATTTTAGGCAAAGATATGCTTGAATTAGCTCGAGAAGTAGCTGAGGTTTGGTTATCAAGGATTATTTTCGCTTTTTGCTTCAGGTCAGTAAGAGGAAGCGGAACTTTTATATCTTCAATACCATCTACATTATCTTTAATTTCAAGATTTGAGATATTTATAGACTGGGTATCAAATTCCTTTGGATTGAGAAGATCTAAATAAGGATATTTTGCATCAGATGTAAAGATTAGAATATAAGGAAAACACGACTCTATCTGGCCCAGCATTAAAGATGCAGAATCTTCAGTTAAATTTGTGATTTCTGAGATATTGATATTTGGCTTTAATTGATATGGAATATTTAAGCTCTCAAATAAAGCAATAATTTTCTATATAACTCTTACCTTCAAAACAGGAAGCAAAGAATCTAACAAATTTTGAATTTCTTCATATTCATTTATTTTAACTCTTGATTTTTCATTCAAGTTTTCTAATTTATTTTTGATTTTAATTGAGATTTCACTGTCGTTTTTGTCGCTTATTTCTTTTGAATCCTCAAATGATTTTATTCTTTTAGTAGTTCGCTTTAAAGAATCTTCTAATGCATCAATTTCAGCATTCAAATCATTTACATATTTATAAACCTCATAATTTTGTTCTTCACTCTTAATAAAAGAAGTTACCATATCTTCAAAGCTCTCAATTCCAGTGGCTTCTGTTATTTGATGGAAATGAAATTGAAGTGTTTTTATATGTTTTTTGTAGTCTTCATAGGCTTTTGTCTGAGTTTTTATAGCTTTTCTTCATTTGGATAATAAAACTGATAGAATTTTGGTTAAATTAATGACTTCTAAAGGTTTTAAAGCTTGATATTTAAAAAAAGAATCCAGCTCTTGAAATGACTTATTTTGAGATTGTTGGCTATCTTTAATAAAACTCATAAGACTACTTACTCTATCACTATAAGCATTTCTTTGGTGAGCGCTTTTACTTCGTAAAACTCCTAATTGTCTGTGATGTTTTTGCACTTGTTCCGCACTTTTCTCATATTCACTGAACAGTTTTTCTGATTCATCTGCATATTTTTTTATTTCTTCTGACATGCTCTCAATATTTTTTTGACAAGCTTGAAGATCCATTCTATAAAATTCAATTTTGTCTCTGACTTCTTTATTTGAAATACATTCATTGTTTAATTTGTCAATTTCTAACTCTTTTGTGACTAATTTTTTTTATTATTTTCCTTTAATTATGAAAATTCCATTTTTTAGCTGTGAATGGTAAGTTTAATTGTTTTTCATAAAAGTTTAATTGCCGCTCAAGTGACTTATCATTGCTTATTTGTGGCAACTTTATACGATTTTTGGTTTGTGTAAGCTCTGATTCAATAGCTTTTATTTGCTCATCTAGATATGCAGATTCACGCTTTTCTGCTTCAAATTTTCTGATAGTTAAATCGACTTCTCTTTGAATACGTTCAACTTCTGGTTCTCGAAGTGAGGTGCTGCTTCTAGAAACGTTGGTTGGGACTTTGGATCGATTAGAAAGCATTTAATTTTAATTATGGAATCCATATACGAATTTTCTATTAGAAACAAATTTTATCCCTGGGAATAAGGTTAAATAATTTGTGGACTGGTCAAAATTTGAGTTTAGTTGAAATAAAGCAAGATCAATTAGCAAAGATTATTTATATGATAAAATTTAGTTATAATACTTCTCTTTTTGATAGTCGATTTATTTAAAGAATCAAAAATGCTACGTGCGTCGATTGTGGATATAAAAAGATGACATTTTAATAATTGCCTTATTTAAAAATACTTGCTAAATAGCTTTTAAGAAAAAATTATTATTGCAAAGTATTCATTCAAATCCTAAATTATTTATCAAAGTAATTTGAATGCCTGAACTAATTTTCTCAAACTGCAGACTTAAATTGTAAAAGAAAATATTATAGAAAAAATAGATTAAATTAATTTTAAACACACTAATTATTACTATCTTGACCGTAATATTAGTTTAGTTAGTTAAGAATAATTATTGCATAAAAACTTTCTATGGTTAAAATACAATTATAAGGTCTGAGCTTAAAATATATTTAACAAATATCACTCAAGTAAATTAATATTTCAAAAATACTGTAATTTTTGCTTAGCCTGTTCCATGCTTAAAATAGGGTAATTCCTAATGCAGGATATTGTAAAATGGAAATGTATGCCAAAAAAGTTTCATCTAAAATTAAGATTAAATGTGGTTTTTTAATAATTCTCTTCTGTTTCTATAATAGATATAAGAAATAAAAATCCCTGCTGACTAATTAGCCAATATTCTATTTTTATAGTCACAGAATAACTTCTAAACATTACTGAAATAGACTATAAAATAGATGCTTATAATACTTTTTTTATAATTGACTAAAGAAATTTCCAATAATTTTTCTCGATCACAGAGAATGGAAGAGTTCAAAAAAATTCTTAAAAAAAAAATGCTTGGAAAGATAGAATAATTTTTCAATTATTCTTTATTTTTTAAGTTTTATATCAAATTTAAAAGCATGTTATTAAATTAGAAACTGCTATATAAATAATTATGCAATTTTTTCTAATGCTTATTTGATAGGCAATTAAGAGCATCCTCAATATTGCAAAATCTTTTTGCTGCTTGCTGAGCTATAATTGGGGAATAGCCCATACTCACTAATTGTTCTTTAAGATTAGCTTTATCAATGCTATTGATTGATCTTTGCTGAGAATTTGCTTTAGTATATATTGGCCCTCTTGGAGCTTGATTTTGGGCTGGCTTTTGATTATAATTAGGGGTAGATGGAATAACAGAGATAGGTGGAGGGGAAGTTAAATCTAGAGCGACTTGAATTTTAGCATCATATTGCATTAATTGTGAAGCCATATAATTTGCTGTTTCTACGTTTCCCTGGTTTAAAGCATCTTCGAATGCTTGGCAAGCCTCATTTACCCATTCTACATATTCCATTTTAATTATTACTAAAAACATGCAATTAATATTTGACTTTATAAAAGTCTTCCTGATCCTCTGATCTCCAATTACCCTATTTTCATCATTCCTTTCAGTATCTATTATATATAATTAATAATTTAGGCCTCAAAAGTAAGCCCATTACTTTCATAGAGTGAAAACAATTGTTGTTGTAACTTAAGAAATTATCTTACTTCTTAATTTCTATAAAAAATTTCCTGTGATTTATAAATATTAGCACATCAATTTAAGGGAGCATAAATTATTTATTAATCTGAAACTAGATATAATTATCTTCATTGCTGATTTTCACTATTAGCAGGCTTTATATTCTACCTCTTTTTAATTTCGAGATTCATATGAGTATGGTGTTGTCAGTATAGCTTATTGTTTTGTCAATTTATTTCTGATCATAAAATAAGTTTTTGAACAATTTACCTATAGAGATTATCCTTTTTACCAGCTGCTATATAATAAAATAAAATAATCATTAAATATGAATGTTTCGCCCATAAGAGCTGTACAACTAACATTAAGAGAGTCTGAAACAATTATTTTTGTAATCAATAATTAGCTTGAACAAGTTAGTGCATGGACTTTCGGTGAAGGCAAAGTAAGAGACTGCTTTCTTACACTCATTTCTAATATTGAAGCTCAGCATGAAATAGCGTAATTTTAATTCAGAATTTTTCTCTACAAGAGACATAGATTATTTTCAATAAATTCTAAAGTCACACTTATGGTGGTTTTGCCTTTAACAAAAGAGTTTAAAATCGAGCCAAGAGAAGGAGGCTTTGCTTTTTGCTGGCTTGGAGATATGGACACAAAGTCTGAAATTAAAGGAAATGAATTAGAAATTTTAGAGCTGATTAATAAGCATATAGAAAATGTAAGCAGATATCAACGAGCTCCGTTTTCGTCAGACTCAAACTCATTTAAATGAATTTGGTATTACCAAGAAGCTATCCCAATGAAAGTAAAAACATGTGACGTTAACATCCAGCGAGATTTTAAACACCGAAATACTGTGATGCTATTGCCTGAGCATCATGGAGGAAGAGCTATGGAAACCTATATTAGTGAACAGCTCGTCAAAAGGGAAAGTGAGTTTACTGAAAAAAGAGAAATAAAGCTTATGGTAGGAACATGAAATACTTGTGGAACAGGTCCAGCTGAAGAACTTAGCTTATGGTACAGATGCCAAAATGATGAATATGATATGTCTATTGAAGCTCCTGATTTAATTTTATTGTCTTTACAAGAAATGTGTATAGCATCTCGACTACTATAGTCTGCCTGGAGCACTCTTTTCCAAACAACTTGAGCTCTGACGAATCTTCTAAAGGTAGCAAGTCAATTCCAAGTTGACAAAAGCGCATACTTTTGCAAGGATTTCTCAACGTGGAATTAACTTGACACCTTTAGGTGCCTCATCACAACTCCAAGTTGCCCTGGAAAGATTGCGCCAAAGCAGGCTATAGCAGTGCAGAGGCAATAAATTAAATGCGAAAAATATTTCTGGGGATGAAAATCGGAAAAGAGAATGATGCATTCATTTGTGTGAGCAAGCAAATGTAGCTTTCCCTGGAAATGAGTATATATTAGCAGCTGAACAAGATTTAGTAGGACTACTGACCTTGGTTTTAGTTAAGCGCAGTTTATTTGAAAATTTGAAAAATATTGTTTGCTCAGTTGTGAAGCTTGGGTTCAAAGGATATTTAGGAAACAAAGGCGGCGTTTCTTTTAGATTTGATATTTTTGACTCTTCAGTTTGCTATGTGAATTGCCATCTAGCCCCCCATAAAGGAGAAACGAGATTGAGAAATAAACACGTGAAATTGTTGACGAAATTAACGAAGTTTTTAGTTACGGCGAAAAAAACAAAAAATATGTATGAGCACGATTTTATTTTTTGGAGTGGGGATTTGAATTATAGAATAAATACTCTTGATTTTAATCAAATTGTTGAAAAAGTGACAGGGAAGGAATATCAATTTTTATTGGAAAGATTTGATCAGCTTAAAATTGAATCGAGAAAAAACCATATTCTAGAGGACTTCAATGAAGCTGAAATAAGGTTTCCTCCTACTTATAAATATGTAAAGAATTCGATTGAGCTGAGCTATAAGTAAGATTTATTTAGCCAAAAGCGAGATCCTGGGTGATGTGATAGAATTCTGTGAAAGGGGAACGCCATTTGCCATCGGTATGGTTCTTGCCCTTACCAGCTGCAAAGTGATCACAAGCCTGTATTTGGGTCCTTCACTCTGCCAGTCAAAATATCTAATGCTCATTTAAAAGAAAAAATTGAAAAAGAAATAAGAATTACAATAAATGAAACATTTTTGTCAAATAAACCAACACTACGAAAAATCGACCAAGAACCCTTATTTGACCACGCAGAATAATTGGTAATAGAATACCAAAATTAGGCTAGATTGAGCGTATTAGAGCTTGATTTATTAAATCAAGCTCACAATAAATTAGCTAGAAATATGAAATAATGTTTTTATTTGATATATATTTTATAAATATCTGTAGAAAAGCTTTCTCTTATTGGCTTCCAATATAAATATATTTTAGTTCTTATTCATCGATTATATCAAATAAAATATTAAAAAGCTTTCCAAAGTAGCAATATAAGATGCCTTGTCGCTCTATTTGTATTTTTGTAATAAAGTTCCATTTGCAATGGAGAAAAAATTATAAAAAAATATATTAACAAAAGATAAAATTTTGCTGAAGGTAAACAAAACAAATAAGCTCCTAGCTTTAAAATCCATAATAAATTTTTCCTTTCATTTTTTTTTTAATTTTTATTTGTCCACTTTTTAAACGTTAAATTAGTTATTATGCTATATAAAATCTTGTTAATCCTCTTTAATCTCCCAATTATTTCATTAATTTCATCAGTACCCCAGCCACTATTTATGTATCGTAAATTCATATTCAATGTAAAATGAGAGGAACTCGTAGGTGGTCAGTAACCCAAGATCTAAATTCTGCTCAATTCATATTCAACTTGATGCAGAATTTCCCCAAAACAACAATGGTAATGGACGTGCGATCTCCAGCAGAATTCAATCACATGAGACTTCACAATTCCCTCAATATCCCTTACTGTGATCAATACAGTGATTCTCCATCAATGCAAGATCTGAGACAGCACGCAATAGGAGATTTAAAATTATTTGATAATAGAAGACGGCTTCTTATTATTATCGTATTCAGCCCTCCTGGTATTGTATTCGCGAGAGAAGTCGCTTATATCTTATGAAAAGATAAATGCAAAGAAGTCCATGTACTTGAAGAGGAATTCGGCCATTTTGCTCAAAAGTACCCGTTTTTGTGCTTAGGGGACGGATTCCCAACATATAAATTGCCAGCCTTTGGATACCCTAGTGAAATTATTCCTTTTCAGTTATATTTAGGTGATTATCACCATGCAGAAGACCCATTGGTCGTGGAATGCTTAAAAATCACACACATTCTAAATGCAACGAACTGCTTTGAAGCAAGATTTATGTCAAAAGGGGTTGTTTACCTCAGACTAGGAGTTGAAGATTTAGCAACTGAGGATATTTCTAACTCCCAGCTCCCTAAGCGAACAAAAACATTGGAAAAATCCCTATTTTTTGACCAAAAACCCATTCTCCTCGAGCGAACAAAAAATTTTTAAATAACAAGTTTTTTATGGAAAAAAAATTGATATAGAAGTGATAATTAGTATATAAAATCTCTAGCTAATTCTGTTTAATTTTAAACAGCTTGCATTTTAAAACATAAATTTTTACAAATTAAATAAATATTTGCTTTCTGGGGATTTTTTAAATTTCGAAAAAAAAATTACTATAAAATTTTATATAATCAAATTTTTTAAAAAAAAAAAATTAAACCCCTGAGCAGATAAAAATATTTTGTTCGCTCACGGGGATAAGCATTTTCAGCTGGCTTACAATTTTATAAAAAATGCCTTAAAAGAGCCTAGAGGAAGAGTCCTAGTGCATTGTGCACAAGGGGTTAGCAGGTCATCTACATATGTAATAATGTATTTGATGAGATCAAGGAAAATTAATTATGAAGCAGCATTAAATATTGTTAAACTGTATAGAGAAGTTGCATGCCCTAATGAAGGATTTGCAAAACAGTTGCAAAATTTGATTTTTACTGATTATGATAGTGATAGCAGTAGTGAAAGCGATAGAAGCATTGCAAATGAGTATGAGAATGAGACTAATCAAGACAAAGTTATGATAGATTAAGAAATCAGTATATATAATCGATAAGTTTTAAACTTGAACTAGAATTAAGGGTTTATTTAACAAAATTAATCAGCATAAGTTAATTAATTAAGAATTAATTGTAAATATTTTTAAAATTATGCTGTGTTCATTTATTTAAAATATCAATTAGAGAAATAGATGGCTATATTTTAGTAGAATGTCGTAAATTATTATATAGATTTAAATAAGATGATCCCCCCTCAATCTTCATGTCTATTGCAACAAAAATGCAATTTTTTTAATATAAAATTTAATATAAAACAAATAATAATTTTCATGCCTCTTGCAACAAATTATATACATTAAAATGGCGACACGTGCCAACCTACCCTCTTTGCGCAGCAGTCCAAACCTTATGGCTACGGCGAACTGGGACGGACTCCGAGCCGAGAATCAGACGCAGGCTCAAGAAGTGTGTATCCGGGTAGGTTTTGGCTGCTTTCCTGTGGTTGGAAATGGAGGTGCTCAACAATGTCCTTTGCATCCGAGGACTCATGGGGTATTCCTCTACCGAGAAACTGGGGGTTTCGGCCCAGACCACAGGTGAACAGTCTTTTTCCTGTAGCTGTCGAAGGAAGGCACTTTGACACCCGATAGACTCCAAGGATCCTTGAAATCAAGCGACTCCAATCGCCCGTAGCAGGGCCGCAGAAATCCATAAGCCGCCCACTCAAGACTGAAGCCGCAAGGCAAAGGAGGAGACAGAAGGTACCGGAAGGGCACTCGTAAGAGGGATAGATCCTCTGGGCTGGAGTCGAAAAGCGGTAGAATCTTCCGTAGTGGAGGTCTTTGGTGACTGAATCACCAATATGGCTAGCGCCTGTCTGTAATAATCCTAATCCTAATCCTCTTGCAAATTTTCGATGCGCATCTTAAATTTTACCGTACTTTTTAGCTAGATAAGTTTAATAAAATGGCGAGCGATGAAAATAGCCGTCCAAATCTCGATGAGAAGGCCATTTGGCACACCTACAGCAGCGCTGTTTTATGGTTTTTTTGAGAAACTCACCTAGAGAAAAAATGCATTAATTTTGTTTTATAAAAACGTTGTGTTGCAGTAGGCATGAAGATTTTTTCAAAACATTTTTGTTACAATAGACATGAAGATTGAGGGGGGTCATTGCTACTTTAAGATGGGACTTAATTAGCATTTTGATTCTCTTAGGTGAGAGTCTCCGAAACCTCATTAATTTGTTTTCCAGCACACATTTTGCATACCCTTACTCTTGTATCATATCCAAATTCAGGAATTGTTTCTCTTAGTTTTGAGTCTTTCTTACAAACTGCTTGCCCACATTTTCTGCAATGATGCTGCCTAGTCATAGCTGAGAATTTTCCATTGCAAACTTTACAGTTCAAAGCTCCCCTAGGGTCATCTCAGTTAGGCCTCTGTGCATGCTTAATTATCAGGCTTCAAGCTCTGAATTCCTGGACTGTCTCGCATTTTATTGTTCATTGTTGAGTTTTTCCTTTTTTATTTACCAAATAGCACTCAATTGAATTCGGTGAGCTATTTTCAGAAATAACTCTAAATTTATTGTTAAGGATGGTCGAGTTCTTTGGAGGAGTTCCTAACGATAACGAATAACATAATTTTCTATCAGAAAGTACCAGTCATCTTCTTTTTTCTTTATTATGTGAAATGATCGTGACATATCCTTCTTTCTTTAAGCGATCTCGGTGAAATTCAGGATGTTTTGACTGTTTATGACCCATTTTTATTTTCAACTATAAGTCGAAATTAAAGTGATTATATTATTATGTGAGTGTTTAATTTAAAAACACCAATATGTGTAGGAAAATCCTAAAATTTTGGCTTAAATTTTTTCTGCTGATGCTGCATATTGAAACTTTTCACAGACTTTGGCAAAGAAGTCACAAGTCTTTTGTGTAATTCTTCTTTATTTTTTAAATAGTCTTCTTTGAGTCGGCTCATTAGCTCATCAGTCCTTTTCCCAATCGGGCTTTTAGGAATGTGATGAGAAAGCATGAGTTTTTTGTGTAATTGTTTTATGGAAACATCTGGTGTTGTGGGTGTTGTGTCTTTTTCTTCGTCTTGAAACAGTAAGTTATATGATTTTAGTCTGTCAACGATAGAATTGTGCTTTCTTCGCTTGAAGACATTGCTGCTGCAGTTCCTTTCGTTTTGAAAAGTTTTTCTGAAGTAATCTATACTGCTAATAGTGCTTATAAACGTGATTTTATAGAAAGTTAATTGTTTTTTTTATAGAAATTGGTTTATTTTTTAGTAAAAAATAAGCTTATACTGATGAAATAGAATAAATTAAGCAATAAAGATTTTCTGTGAGGACTTTCAAATTCTCCGCTAATTTGCATGGATGGTGAATGTGACTTTCTCTTAATTCTTGAGGTTATTTGTTTTATATTGGCGTTTTCCACTCTAGGAGACGGGGTGCTTGTTCGGAATTCACGTTTAATTTTATAGTGTTTATTTGGAGAATGGGCATTGTCAGGTGACAAATGTCCAAATTCCATTTTATCATAATCATTATACCAGCCCAAGGGCATATTATGACAATTTTAAGAAATTTCTAAAACTTATTAAATTCTTTCTCCTTGGATATTGTCCCATTTTGAAATAAGCTGGCTTATAGTATCATTTACTTGGATGTTTGACTTCGCAAGAGCTCTTAATTCTTCTAGATCAATATTCTTCAACATCTCGTTCATATCCAGTTTCTTAGTCAAAAATTCGATTTTAGCTTTCAATTCTTGATTTTCCTGGGCTAAATGTTTGCTGTCCCTTACATCTTTTTCTATATCATTTATAAGGACCTTATTTCTATCTTCGAAAACTCTGATTTTGAATTGTGTATCCTTTAAGTCACTTTCTAAATTCATTCCTTTTTGCTTCAATATTTTTACATCTTCTTCTAAGACTTCTGATTTTCCTTTAATTTCTGCTGTGTCATAAGTCAGTTGATTTTTTATTTCAATGAGTTCGTTATTTTCATTGATTTTTATTTTTAGGTTATCCATATGGTATTGAGAGTCTCTCCTTGCATCTTCTACATTTTGATTGGCTATACTTAGCTCTTTTTTTTCTCTTTCCTTTAATCTTTTAGTTAGCAATGCTTCTTGCTGAGTTTTTTCTCTTTCCATATCCATTTTCATGTCTTCTACTTGATTCTGAAGATCTCGTTTATCAGCAGCAGCTTGTCTACAAGCTTTTTCTATCATTTGTTTGGTATGTTTAAGGGCTTTGATTTTGTTAACCCCCCCCCCCTCCGTGAGTGAACAAAATCATTAGAAAAATCGCTATTTTTTGCCCAAAAACCCACCCTCCGTGAGTGAACAAAAATTTTTTTAATAGAAAAATTTTTTATGGAAAAAAAGATTTTGATATATAAATGATAATTAGTATAATGAAATCTAGAGCTAATTCTGTTTAATTTTGAACGAATTGCTTTTTAAAACATAAATTTTATAAATTAAATTAATTTTTGCTTTCCAATTTTTGCGAATTAGGATTTTTTTTAAATTTCGAAAAAAAATATTTTTTTATAAAATTTATATATAAATTTTTTAAAAAAAAAAAATTAACCCCCCTCCGTGAGTGAACAAAATTTTTTTGTTCACTCACAGAGGGTAAGTAAATTATCTCTTTCTAATTCAACTTCTTGCTTCTGGTAATTCAAATACCCCAACCTATCTGACAAAAATGTCATTGTTGATTGATTTTTTAAGTCTTCTTCCAGTTTAAACTAAATATTTCTTACCAATCTGTCTTGAAGCTCTATAAGCTGCTTGTTTTTTTCTTCTATTAATTTATTATTAAAAATTTCAGCTTGAGCTACTTTATCTTCTAAAGCCTGGATTTGTGTAGCCTGCCTATCAAGCTTTATACGAGTTTCTGAAACATAAGCGCTCATTAAAATCGCGGCATGTATTAGCCTGCCTCTTAACACAACATCCGGACCTTAAGGCCACTGAAGCCAAGAATTAAGCTTAGCCTCAGCAAATGCGTATCAGGTAGGCCTTGGCTACTTTGCTGTGGCTGAAAATTGAGGAGCTAAATTATGTCCTTTGCACCATTGAGCATTTTCTACCGATAAATCGGATGTTTATGCTGAATTATAGGGGAACAGTCTTTTTCCTGTATCTACCAAAGAGAGGCACTTTGGCATCCGATAGACTTCATGGAGTTATCCCTGGAATCAAATTAACCCCAATCGTCTTGCAGGGCCGCAGAAATCCATAATCCGCCCAATCATAAACCTACTAGGCAGCTTTTGGTAAAGCGGATAAACCTTCTGCACAGGAAGTCTTTGGTTCATCGTCTCCAATATGTATAGTATCTGCCTTTAATAATCTAATCTAATTCTGAAGCATAAGTTTTAGCTAAATCTCTCTCTTTTGTTGACTCACCGAGTTTTTTCGCGCTTTCTTCTTTTTGGAAGATTGTAGCTGTAATAGCTTTTCTATATTTTTCTCCATCAATATCAAAATGTTCTGTGTCTTCTCTAAGCTTAGCCTGTAATTCGCTTTTATCGTCAATTGCTCTATTTAAATTCGTTTGGAAAGCTTGATTTCGGCCCATGAGTTCACGGTTTTCATTTTGCAAAGAATCTATTTTAGCTTCTAAATCTTTTTGAATTTTTTGATACTTGCTTTTGAGCACGACCATATTTTCCGTCAAAGGGCCGGCTTCTAGCCCACCCATAAATTTCCCAGCCCTTTCTTTGCTTTGCTCCTTAGTAAGCTTGATCTCCATTTCCAAGTAATAGAGCTGCTGTTGAAGATTTTTTATGTATTCTTCTTCAATAGGTTTCCCCGTTTCTTGAGGTTTATCGATAAATGTAGTTTTTTTGGTTTTTGTTGCTGAAAAGCCTTCAAGCTTCGGATCATTTGGAGGTGCTTTACGAACTGAAGGCTGAAGAGGAGGATTTTGCGGGGGTTTTATTTCTTTTGAAGAGCCTGTACGATTATAAGCATCAGGATAGCCTATTTGTTGAGACTGTAAATTTGGGTCATTTCTTGGCTGTCGGTCGTAGTTTTGGAAAGTTGATTGAGGATTATAGCGATCTTGAGATCTTGGGTTAAATAATTCTTTGGTAGATGTAGGGCGAGCATAAGGATCTGAAGGAGGAATTTGTTGGCCTTGAAGAGAGAGATCAGGGCCACGCTGTCTTTCGAAGCCTTGGAGAGTAGATTGAGAAGGGTTATAGCGATCTTGCCCTCGGTTACTATATCGGCTATCCATAATTTAAATTGAGTAGAAGAAATAATAATTCTTTAAACTTAAAGAAAGTTTATTAATATAGACTGAAAATTAACTACTGCTAGATCGATTTATTGTTTATGATTTTAATTAAACGGTAAAAAAATAGTTTTAAATAATCTCAGTTTGTTTTGCGTTTTGATTATTTTCAATTGAATGCTTCATATATTTTATGCTGAATTTTTCAGAATTTAGCCTGATCTTAATTTTTTAAAAAGCATAGTAGTTGCATAAGAGCTAATTAGTAAAAATAAATGGAAAATTTTATTGAAAACCATTCATATTTTTATAGTTATATAATGAATTTGCTGATGATCTAAATGTATGAATTTAATTAAAATTACCCACTAAAAGGCTCGACATATGACTTGCTTTTTTCATAAACCTCATCATATACTTTGATTAAATTTCTCCTAATTGTGTTATTGACATAATTAATTTCGAACTCATTTTTTTCTTCATTGTAATCCTTAATCGCCATAAACCCATGATTGAATAAATGCAATTCCAAATTATTTGCATCAGTCAAAAAAAAATCTTTTTTTTGAAATACATGGTTTTTCCCCCATTTTTTATTCAAAGCTTCTTTAAAATATTCTTGGCTTAAAATCTCGAAATTCCCTGCAAATTCTTTAATAGGCATCCCATACACGAAATTCTGCTGTAGATAATCTTTCATATATTTAGGAAAACTAAGATTAATTTCAAAATCGTCAGGATTCCCTTTGCTTAAGTAATTTAAAAATCCTTGAGGATTATATAGTTCTTTATTTTCGCTAGTGAATCTATAACCTCCAAATGCACTTTTTATGAGACTTTTTATTTGATGTGGTAATAAAGTACTTTGAGACTCATAAAAATTAAGATAATCTCCGAAATTATTCTTTAATTCTTCGTCAGAAAACCCTATTAAATTTTGATTGGATGTTATGATTGCAATTTAAGTATTAATTCAACAGGAAATTCAAAGGAAAACAGTATAGAATTTGGCTGAAATTTGAATCTAAAGTGATGTCTTTAATTTGGATTTTTTCATGCAAATAAGTTCGAAATCCTATTAGAGAGGTGTTAGTTTTTACAAAAAATTTTATATTTTCCTCTTTTTCTTTTAAACTTGCTAAAATTTTAGTCAAAATTTCAATTAAATCATTCCTCTTTTTTTGATATTGAATTGTTTCTAACTCCCCCCCCCCCTCCGTGAGCGAACAAAAAAATTTTGTTCGCTCACGGAGGGGGGTTAATTTTTTTTTTTTTTTAAAAAAATTTATATATAAATTTTATAAAAAATATTTTTTTCGAAATTTAAAAAAAATCCTAATTTGCAAAAATTGGGAAGCAAATATTAATTTAATTTGCAAAATTTATGTTTTAAAACGCAATTTGTTTAAAATTAAACAGAATTAGCTCTAGATTTCATTATACTAATTATCACTTATATATCAAAATTTTTTTCCATTAAAATTTTTTCTATTAAAAAAATTTTTGTTCACTCACGGAGGGTGGGTTTTTGGTCAAAAAATGGCGATTTTTCTAATGGTTTTGTTCGCTCACGGAGGGGGGGGGGAGTAAAGTAATTTTGTCAAAATTATCAATTAAGATAACGACAGGTCCTAGCTTGTCTTTTATGCCTTCTATAAGATTTCCAAACATTTCGTGCACAGGTAAATTTTTATTTAATTTTATTTGATAAGTTTCAGCTGATTTTTGAAGCAAATTTTTAATCATTTCTGTAAATATTGATACTGTTGCTGGCCGAAACGTGATCCCAAAGTCATAAAACAGTACTGGAGTTTTTTGGAATAATTCTGGTTTATTAAATATATAAGTTCCATTGAATAAGCTTTGATTTCCTTCAAAAATTTCTTTAATTGTTTTCAGTAATAAAGTTTTTCCAAAAGAATCAGGCCGGGAAATTGAATAGAATTTGCCACTTTGTATCATGCTAGCAATTAATGGAGTTTTATCAACATAGATATAGTTGCTTTGACTGAATCTAGAAAATTCATTGCAATTTATTGATATTCTTTTGATTGTCTTAAAATCTGTGCTAAATATTCTTGAATTTGTAGATGGAATGAGAAGGCTTGGATTTCTTGTGAATTTTTCAAAGGAATGCTTTAGCATATTGAAAGAATGTAAGTATTTTATAATTATAAAACATGACAGATGATTTAAATATGTCGAAACTTATTTATAGCCAAAACAGACATTTAAAAACATATATTCCGTTGTCTGTGAATGAAAAAAAAGTTCAAAAATCTTATATTTTAGGCTAGCAAATAAATATTAAGCTACTTCAAATAAATTTTTGATCGCTTGCTAGGTTTTATAAATTAGATTAAAACTTGCTTCAAATTATTGCAAAATAGAAAAAAATTGCGCGCTCGTTCACAGAGGAGTGGAGTTTAGTTTCCTCAATATATTTATGAAATTAAAGTCGTTTTATTTAATAATTTTATTAAAATATTTAGGCTGGGTCCAATAAGCAATAAATTGCGCTGGCAAGTATTCATAAAAGGCTTGATGAATTTCTTCTTGTTGAATCTTTTATAAGCAACTATATAAATATATTAATTTATATTATTAATAAAAATTTAGACAATTATTTTGATGATAAGTAAGCTAAGCATGCTCATTATTTTACAAAAAATAGCTCCTAATAATTTCATATTGCTAACTCCCCCCCTCCGTGAGCGAACAAAAATGTTTTTTTTCGCTCACTGATTAGAGTTTATATATAAATTTTATGGCAAATTTTTTTAAAAAGAAGTAAAATTTTATGTTTATTTAAAATTAACAGAATTAGCTAGAGATTTCATTATAATAACTATCACTTATATATCAAATTATTTTTTTCTTAAAAATTTTAATTAAAAAAAATTTTTATTCGTGGGCAAAAAACAGGGATTTTTCCAAATGTTTTGTTCGCTCACAGAGAGGGTAAGATATATTATGGGAGCCAATAATTCAGCAACATCAAAAGGAAGCAACAATAGCTCAGCAGATGTAAATATATTTAATCGTCCTCTCGCAAAATTCCAATCCGATATCATAGAAAAATCCAAAACGAAAATATTATATTTAACTTAAATTCTCTACCGATATACTTGAGTTAAATTTTTATTTTTCAAATAAAATCTTTATTAATTAGTATAAATCTAAGTCCAGCTGAATTGCTCTTCTATAGTTATTCATAGCATAATCAGGGCGTTTTTAGTTAGAAAAAAAATCCAACCTTACTTAATCAAGATTAGAGCACGAAGAAATAGATTCCAGCAAATTATCCTTCAATCCCAAGTCAGAGGTTTTTTAACTAGAAAAATAACTACTCCAGGATTGATGAAAATGAAAAGAAGGAATAAATATACACAAGCTATTATCCAGTCACAAGTGCGAGGCTATTTAAAGAGAAAAGAAATTTTAAGGAAAATTAGGAGATTAAGGAAGAAAAAATTTAAAGCATTAGGATTCAGCTTACAAGGAATAGCAAAAAGTTATTTAATTCGCAAAAAAAATAATCAAGCAATAATGTGCTTAGCAAATGAGAAATTTAGGTTTTCTTTAGATATAATAAAAGCAATTTGCAAAGCTCACTTGTTTAGAGAGTCCATAGAAGAAGCTATATATATATTTAGAGAAAAAAAGCACAATGCAATTGGAATTAGCTTGCAAATACTGGGAAGAGGATTTTTAATAAGGAAAAAAGAAAAAAGGCATCTGCGAAAGATCACTAAAAAGAAGCTTTTTCATACATTAGCTGTCATAAAATCTACTTGCAAAGCGCACTTAATAAGAAAATTTTTAGAGCCTTATATCCACCAACTCAAAAATAAAAAAAATAATGACCTTGGAATCATGCTTCAATCATTAGCAAAAGGATTTTTAATAAGAAAAAATACCAAAGCTCCGATTCAGCAATTAATTGAAGACAAACAAATTCATCCAAGACCATCCTATGATTTTTATAAAGGAAAAATCAAGGATCTAAAATCAAAAAAAATCAAAGAAATTGAAAAAAAGATAGGGAGACATAAAAAACTAGAATATTGTGGAAAGATTAAAGTTAATTTCAGAAAAGCTTTGGCTCTAGATGATTCTGTATATGAAGGACTTTGGGATCCCATAACCAACCAAAAGCATGGAATGGGCAAAGAATTTTTCAAAAATGGCACATTTTATTATGGATCATATAAGCATGGGCTATATAATGGAGAAGGAAGAATAATCTATAATAATGGAGATTATTATGAAGGAAAATTTAAACGGGGATTATATAATGGCTATGGAATTCTAACGAAAATTAATGGAAGTGTTTATACTGGGGAATTTAAAGATGGGATAAAAAATGGCAAAGGCAATGAAATAATGCCAGATGGTACAAGCTATGATGCTACTTATGAAAATGGTATAAGAAATGGTCCAGGCTCTTATAAATCCTATGATGGAAAATCATATCAAGGGGATTTTCTAAACGATTTATTTCACGGTAAAGGAACATTTATATGGCCAGATGGGAAAGAGTATAGAGGAGATTGGCGTAAAGGAAAAATGCACGGAAAAGGAGAATTTATATGAAGTGACGGAAGAAAATATGTAGGAGACTATTTTAATGATAAAAAACATGGCCTAGGTATTTTTGATTGGCCTGATGGCAAGAAATATGATGGAGAATGAGTTAATGGCTTACAGCATGGAAATGGATATTATACCTTTTGGGATCCCAAAAGAAATATTTTCAAAACTCTTCAAGGTACTTGGGAAGAAGGAAAGCGAATTTCGTGGGCAGACTCTGCCAATACCAATAATTAATAATAAAATGGAGGAAAGCACACTCTTTTGGTGAATATGAACTATTTTCGGATTAACAGGGCTTTTGGTGGTCCCAATCTTATTCGTCATTCCAGCTCCATACGGAAAGTTCACCAGAGAAGGCTGGGGACTTGCCCTGAGAAGCGATCTTAGTTGGTTTATTCAAGAATCTCCCTCGTTTTACGTCTTTCTTATTACAGCTATTTATTCACCGATAAGAGATACAACAACACTTATTTTAGGCCTATTATTTTTAATCCACTATCTAAACCGAGTCTTTTTTTACCCTCTCCAAATGCGCGGCAAAGCCAAAACCACTGTGCTAACTGTAGTAATTTCCTCCTTATTTTTCACAGTCACAAATGGATATCTTCAAGCAAGAGGACTATTTAAATTTGACCCAACCACAAATTCAATAGATAGCATTAGCTTTTGGGTAGGAGTTGTTGTATGGGAATTCGGCTTTATTATGAATTTACAAAGTGATCAAATTTTGAGAGATTTAAGAAAGCCTGGGGATATTGGATATAAAATTCCTTATGGAGGACTATTTGGATATGTGAGTGCTGCAAATTATTTTTCAGAAACAATCGAACACTTAGGATGGGCTATTGCGTGTGGCAATAAAACTGCATGGATTTTTGTGATGTGGACTATCGCTAATTTAGGGCCAAGAGCGATGTCCCAGCACAAGTATTATTTGCAGAACTTCAAAGAATACGCAAGACTTAATAGAAAAGCCTACATACCCTTTATATTTTAACATTAATCAGGGTAAACATAACTATTTCTTTCTAATTCACTATATAAAACTCCTACTACCCATATATTAAGCTTAATGATTTGCTCAACCTAAAGTTAAATATCTTAATCGATATAGTCTCCCCATTTTTCTCCATCGATTTCTTCATCAACTTTAAAGCAGATATATTCCCAGAACTCATTTGATTTCTTGTTGAGTGAAATTAAATCAATCATGGAGTTAAACCCATAGTTTGAGCTGAGTAGATAAGCAATGTCCTTTGCAGAGACCACTGGATTTCCAAGGACTGGGTCGAGTGGGATGTTATTCTTGACATATTCATCAGCTTCTGCCATAATTTTATCCTGGTTGATTTTCTTTTGAGGGTCCTCTGGGCGAGATTTGTACCACTTGTAGATTGGGTAGAGCAAGAAAATACCGAAATAGCGAGCGTTCCCTGTATGTCTGCAGAGTCTCAAATAGAATTCTTTAAGTGGGTTGTACCTGCCTAGGGACTCAAGGCCGTATTTCCTTTCGTTGAAATCTAGATTAAGTCTGCGTCTGATTCTCCAACGATCTGCTGGCTTAGGAGCGTAGGTCCAAAAAGTCATATTTATTATAATCAATGGATTTCTTTGAAAGGGTCGAGGTGAAAGCAAATAAATGGATAAATGTATTTAAAAATCAAAATTTATTTATAAGAAATGGAAACTATAAGGTTATTAGTTATTAGAATACATTTTTTATTTAATTATTTCGAATTTATTATATATTTGATTAAGAAGATCTTTTGTTTTGCCTTTGTCTAGCAGTTCTTTTAATTTTTTATGTGCCCAGGAGAAAAGATTGAGGACTTCTTGAATATTGTAAGAAGTCCTTGTGACATTTGTGTTTGTAGCTGGATCTCTTGTAACGACAGCTTCAAAATTGTCATGTGGGAGTTCAAAAAATGGGTTTGGGTTGTCTATATAAATTCCCATAGTTTTGGGATTAAATTCAGTACCATAAAATTTCAGAAAACTTATGCTTTTTTGCTAGGAGGAGTTAAGATTTACTGTATAAGTGCTTAATTTTAATAGAAAAATGCATTAAAAATATGATAAATTAAAGGCATTTTACATGAAAAAATATATTAGAAGCTCTCCAAGATTTTCTGGATACTCATTCAAACTAATAACTCTGGCTACAATTCATAACAAAAGCGCATATGATCCTAACCCTCCTAAATAAGCTGAATTTAAATTGTGGACTTGCAGGAGATTTTTTAAAACGAGTGCTAAATATTGCAAATTTTTATATTTTTGTAGTAATTCTTTAGTAAGTGCCAAAGTTTTCAAACCTAAATGTCGGCCTGGTCTCAGGTCATCTGAATCATCTATAGTGATATCAACTTTTAAAGGCTCAATATTTGAGTCTATTTCTAACTTAACTACAGGAACTGTCGCTGAGTCAATTACTTGGCAGCTCCTTACCCATTTGCAATTCTCTAAGAATCCGCCAATTTCTTGGCAGATCACTCTCATACCCTCTCGGTCTGCAATGCCGCTCCTCATAATTGCGATATCGAGGTCGCTGTTTTTCTAATGGTGGACTTTTTCTATCAGAACATTTTTATAGTGTGACATTTTTCAGGGATATATGATTAATTTTTTCCTCATCGGGCATTTGATCGATATTTATTTGTTTTTTCTGGACAAATACCTGGCTAGCAAAATTTTGACCAAAATTCCTAGAAAATGCCACATATCAAAATGTTTGGATTAAATGAAATGCAGCCGTTTCCTAATGCTAAGCCACTAGCATGGGATCCATATATTTCTATATAAGCTCCTGGGTGTAAAACTTTGACGAGCTCTTCTAATTTATCAATGGTGATTTTTATTTCGGGGAATCTGGAGCTTGCTTTTCTAACCATTTCACTTCCAAATTGTAGGATTTCGTGATGCAAAAAATAGCTTGGATCACTTGCATGAAGAGATTGAACGGACAAAGGAGGAAATTCATCTATAGTGTGCAGGATTAAGCTTGAAATACTTAATTTATAAGGTTATTTGTGAATTTTTATTAATTATTATTTTTAATTTATTTAGCATAATATATATGTGGTGGCTGAGTTTTTATATTGGCTGTCACAGTCTGTCATTGAATTTGCACTTTATTTTGCTCTTTATTTATCCCTTTTGCATCTTTATTGTGATTGTTTGCCCTTGGCTTTTTTGGGTCGATTCTTTTATTGCTTCTTATTTTTCTTTTATTTTTGACAGGTGTTTTTGGAGCCCTTTTTTGTACTTCTACAGTAGTAAAATCTCCATTTTCATCATTTTCATGTGTTTCAACAACAGTTTTATCCTCTTCTACATCTAAATTCTTATAAACTCCAGTCATAATATTTCCCATTAACTCATTAACAAAAGCTTCTTCTTCAACTTTTTGTTCTGTTTCATTTTTTTCTTCAACTTTTTGAATTTTTGGCTTTTTTTTCTTCTTCTTTTTCTTTTTGTCTTGATTTTTTTGATTTTTTTTGGAAAGTTCATCTGACTCCTCCAGCAATAAGTAATTTCTTGCTTATTCGTGGCAATTTATAAAAATTTTAAGATAGTAAATTTTAATAAAAATAGATCGAATTTGCGTATTAATGGGCTTTTCAGGTAAAAGTGAAAAATAAAATTTTGAGCATTTATCCTCCACAGTAAAGCAATCTTCGGTCTATTCATATTAAATTTACTATTTTAAAATTTTTTGCAAAACTCCTCACGAATAAGAAAAAATGCTTATTGCTGGGGGAGTGAGAGCAAGTCTTCGATTTTTCTCTCAGCATAAGCTTCACTGATTTTTGTCAGGATTTTTCTAGTCACATAGTCAAAAGCTGTTGTTACTCGATCCAGAGGGGATAATGATAAAAAATCGATAAGCTTTTCAGGAGGAGAGGTTTGAAAAACATCAAAGATTGATTCTACACTTTGATTATTCATTTGGTAAAACTGAATTCTCTCTGATGAGAGCTGTTTTCCTGGACCTAAATGCTGACCATAAAATATCATTGGTCTAGCTGCTGGCTGCTTAAGATCATTAAAAGAAATTTTGTTCAAATTAGACCTTTCTTGCTTTTCTTGCTGAAATATCCTTGTAACTTCTTCAATGCTTCCTATAATATTGAATCTCTGCAAATCTGAAAGGCTAGTCCAAAACTGCCTAAGTCCATTGCCTATTGCTCCTGACTCGCTTTCTTCTACTTGATAATGCATAATCTCTCCATGCCTCCTTGGATCAATTTTATTATACAGCCAATATTTTGACCAGAGTGCCCTTTCAATCCCTGCAATTGCCCAAGCAGAAAGTGGCTTGAATTTTGAGTCTTGTCCTAATCATGCTGGATATTCCCAGTATCACTTTTTAAACTGTTGGTCTCACAAAACTCGACAAGGAGCCTTAAATACTTTTTCATTTGTAATTTTAAGGATAGATTCTAAGAAATTAGAATAATCATCATTAACTTCAGTATCAATGGCGATTGTATCCCAATTCTCTTCTGTGTCAGCTAATCGGATTATTTTTTCAATGTATTTTTCTGCAATGAAATTTTGGTTATCTGGTGAGATGTCTTTGAGATTTTTTTTACGCCAATAGAAATTTTCATCCAAAGCATCATCTGGTAAGCGATTTTCTTGGTTTGCCTTTATTAATAGGCCGAATTCCATTTCGCCAGAATAAATCTTCTTGATGAACATTTGCCTTATGAAAGATGCAAGGTTGGGGTTATGAGCGTAAAGCACCTTCTTCTTCATTGATGGGGTCAATGATTGAAATCATGGAAGTATTGCATTTGAGTGGCTTTCATCATCAATTTCAGGCTTTGAATATAAGCTGAGTTCATAAATTGGGCTTCGCTTGAGCTTTTTCTTCTTAGTGGGATTCATTGAAATAAATATTGAAATTATTGAAAATTCTATTAATATTTATTATTGTTAAAGATTCTATTGTCATATTTGAATTATTTTCTTGCTGTCTATATTTATATCTCTATGCTTCTTAATTTATAAAATTAATTGAGTTACTTGATTAATTAATAAGGTCCTATATTTTTTGGAAGTTTCTCACAAAATTGGTTTCAGCCAATAAGCGTTAATGAATTAATTTTATATGCAAGAATAATTACTTTTTGTATATTTATTATTTATTTTAAAATTAATTATAAGAATAAATTTATTTTATATATAATTTAAATATATTGAGCTTACCCCCCATTAAATTGGGACAATATTTTTAATAGGAAATATTTTTGGTAAAAAAAACACCACAAAATTAGTTTTAACTTACTTTCACACTGAATCGATTTACTTTTGAATTAATTCCTTATAAAAATAAGAAATAAAATGGTGATGTTAACGGAAGTTATAATTAAAATATGGCGTCTTCGTCTGGGCATGGCCTCCCGGCCATGCAGCCTCGACTCATATTTTAATTATATCCGGCAAGGTTTTACCATTTCAGAGATGGACAGCAATGCTAGGTAAGCAATTCTGGTAGCTTTCAGAGCCTAGCCCAAGTCTATTCTCAGGGGTGGATTTTTCCTCGTGGGGAAGGAGGGTGCAAGGTTGGAAAGGGGAAGCCCAGCAAAGTCCTCTGGACCATTCGGGCAACTCCCTAGCGTGAAACTGGGCGTTACGTCCCAGGCTTTGCATTTTTCCTTTTTGCCGATAGCCGACCAGAAAAATCCATTTTTTGGGTTTTTCGGAAAAGCAACCCATGTAACAAGCAAGTAGCTCATCCATGAGCCGTCGAAGACGTGGACATTTGCCCTGGAAGCACCCTGGTGATCAAAGCGAGTTTGTCTCCAGCAGACTGGTGGGCCCGATGCGACGAAATGCGAGTGATAAACCTGGAGTTGTAACCCCGTAGTGGACGTTAAGCGATATAAATTCTAATGTAATGTAATGATGTTAACGGAAGTTGGAATCCTATGGAGCAGGTAGGGCCCATCCTGATGAAGCTGAAAGCAGAGCTCTGTCCATCTTATAGTGAGCCTTCAGGCTTGAGGATGCCTGGCCAAAGAAGGAAGTTTTGTTTCTCCCCGAAGGTTTCCTGTCTCTGCCAGATAGGCTAGACAGAATTTTTCTACCACATGGCCTTCCCTTGGTGGAACCATCTGGCATTCTACAGAGGGAGCTAAGCTATTGAACAGGTGATTTAGATGCAATCCAAAATGGCAGCTTTCCATTTCCCTTATTTAAACTCCCAGATGGCTATTCTTGGAGCCGAAATGAGGCAGCTTGTCCACTTATGACCAGTTTAATCGTTTAATTTTTTACCTTATAAAATAAATTAAAAATTCAAAAATATCGGGCTCAGTTTATTATTTTTTAAAATTTTAAAATTTAAATAAAAGCCCTTTAAATTGGAAAGATTTTTGATTAATTTAAAAGGAGAGAGTTAGCATTATATTAAAAGACTGAAACATAATTATATAGCCCGAGCTTTCTTTGGCTTGGGCTCTTCCGACATCCCCCGACGAAAATAGGAAAGTTGGTTTTACCAATATTTCCTGGTAAAAATCAACTCTTGTATTAAAACTACAAATCTCCAATAAGTAATGAACTTGTCATCTGGGGATTTGGTTTTTTCGGCATATTAGTAAAGCAACTCCTCGATTGACGTCGGGATAGCCCGAGCTAAAATGAGGCTCGGATTATAGTATTTAGCATAAACTATGCGAAACTGTTTAGTCTTGGTTTTTTCGTAGACACAAGCACCTTATCAACATCAAAGCTATTTTCTTCTCTTGGTAACGGAGATACGTCAAAAATATCACAAACCCATTTATCGGGACTTGAAGGACTCATCAGTTCCTCAACATGCTCAGCTGGAACTTCTACTTGATCTTGGCATGGGGATGCTAAATATCTTCAAGTATTAACAACATCAGGCAAGACAGGTGCATCTTCTTCAGTTTCTTCCACAAAATTATAGCGACTTCCTTCTTGCTCTACATCTCCTCTTGAGTAAATTCTTTGTCTAGTTAATTTAACTGGTGTCAAGTTTATCGATTCACTTGCAGCCCTTTCTCTAATAACTCTGGCTATCGGTAATTTATAATTTCCATCAGGTGGGAAAATTCTTACACCAAGGCTATCAAATTTTGCGTCTTTGGGCTGGATATGCCTATTCTGAGGCATGCTATCTCTAGCTAATGTATCATAGTCCGGGGCTAATTTATGTAAATATAAACAATCTGGCTTGGAACACACTCTACCTCTAAGAAAATAGGTGCAATATTTTGTTGTCCCATAAGTAGCGCTTAATTTTTTGCCATCTAGCTCATAGCCATTGCAGGCTTTAATGCAGGTTGCAGCTTCTTCATCTAAGTTATACGTGATGTGGACTCCAAAACTAGGACCGTTAGGAGAATTTGTGTAAGCAGTCCCTTTGTTAATTACGCATTTCTTAATTGCTCCATACTGACCAAAATATTCTTGACTCCTAAGCAACTCTTCATCAGCTGTTGCAACTGGAAGGTTGATAATATATATAGCGGGTGCTCCCCTGTAGATTTTTAAGAAAAATGCCATTCAAATAAAAACTTAGTTTAAAATTCCAAAAAAAGCTAAAAAGTCAAAATTCATTTTAAAAATGTCATTATATGCATCCACTTGTCAATTCTAAAATTGACTTTTCAGATTTTTCCTTAATTTAAAATTATTATATTTTATTTAAAAGTAATTGTCTTAGAGATCTAAAATGTGGCTTGTGCTATACTAGGTTGCTTTGTATAACACGTGCTTTTGCCATCTCCTCTATATCTTGAAGAGGAATTTTTGGAGGAATTCTTGCCCTGCATAAGACTTACAATTTATCTGGTGTAAGAGTGATAGGAATCTTATGTGGAGAAGAACTTGGAGGGTTCTCAGTCTTTTTGGGCGATATTGTGATAGGCGTGATGTTGAGATTTCGAGTTTTTCTTACTACCGTCCGGTTAATTTTTTTTTTTAAAAATCTGACTTCTCGAAATTGGAAGGCAAATATTAATTTAATTTGTAAAATTTATGTTTTAAAAACGCAATTTGTTTAAAATTAAACAGAATTAGCTCGAGACATCATAATAATAGTTATCACTTATATATATATCAAATTTTTCCCATAAAAAAAATTTTGTTCACTCAATGAGCGGGTTTTTGGGCAAAAAATAGTGATTTTTCTAATGGCTTTGTTCACTCACGGAGGGGGGAGTTAGTGGTTCCATCAAATATTTTTAACTAATAGACAATAAAGCTTATTCATTAAAATTTTTCCCACAATTTTAATAAGAAAATATCCTAAAGCTTGAAGATTGTTTTGATAATAGTTTTGGCGAACATTTACTGAGGTTTGCATTTCAAAATGGAAATAGAAAGACTAAAATAACTAGCTTATTAGAAAAATGGGAAATTCTCCTCATCGGAGTATTTCAGATCCATCTGGGTCTTCCTCGCAGTCCTTAATAGGTTATGATTCTCCTTCATCAAATAGCTTTACTATAAAATCAGCTCCTTTAAGTGATACTCACTCAAACAAAGACCCAGGCGAAATAAATGATATTGATGAATTGACTATTCAAGAGGCAAAAACTCATTTAAAAAGTCTAGGGTTTTCATCAACCATGATAAAGCAGGCTTATCTCAGAGGTGCTACATCGATAGAAGGAGCCTTAGATTTATTAACAAACGGGAAGCTGGAAGAACAAAATTTTATGTTTTCCTTTACAAATTCATATTGTCCTATCTGCAATGAAAACTTAAATGAAGTTAACCAAGTAGTCATCCCTTCATGCTTTGATAAATTTTGCAAAAGGTGCGTGACATACTATCTTCAATTGAGAATTGAAGAAGGACAAATTCTATCTATGCCCTGCCCAAGGCATGATTGCGCAAGTGAAATCCCAATAGAAATTATAAAGAGCTTGCTTCCTCAAAATTTGATGGAAAAGTATGAAAGATTTAAAATTAATGAGGCTTTAGGGAGAGATCCAAATTTAAAGTGATGCCCAAAACCTGATTGTCAAGGATATGATATCGGGAATATGAATAAAAGCAACCTGACTTGCAACACATGCGGGCACCAATTTTGCTACTATTGCCTAGAGCCATGGCACGGGATGAGAAAATGCAAGTCAAAAACTGATTATGAGCTTGACAAATGATCCAAAAAAAAAGGTGTAAAATTTTGTCCTAATTGTAAAAGACGAATAGAAAAGCGTGAAGGATGCGACCACATGACATGCCCTAAGTGCCGCTATGAGTGATGCTGGGTTTGTGGAATGAAATATAATGCAGGCCATTTTGATTCTTGCGAAGTAAAAATCATTAGGAAAAAAAATCCCCCACTATGGGTAGTTTTAGGACTCTATTTTTCACCTATTTGTTTTATTTTTTGTGTCATAATTCTTGAAATTATTGCAATAGAAAAAATAATTGAAGATGCAGATAGCCGTTCTAACCATTTGAAAAAAATATTAAAAATCAGAGTTTTATCTTATCCAATGGCAATTATATTAGGGATTATTTTTACGCCTTTAGCGTTTGCTTTGGCTCCATTCGTAATTGGAATTGTTGTTATGATTGAATGCATGAGAAATTCTAAAATATGCAGTTCTTCTATGGCTGTGGTCTGGGGATGAGTTTTAGGGATTATTTTATCACCAGTTGTAGTGGTATCGATTTTTCTTGGGATTGTTATAGGCCATATTGTAGGGCTTGCTTTTATTCTCTTCAAAGCTTATATTGCTGTAAATAGGCTAAAAGATCCAACATATATGAAGCCCACAGCGAATTATGGAAAATTCTAGATACAAAATAATTTCGGATACAGCAGTGATATAACGATTATATTTTATATTAAAAATTTGCAGTATAAATAATAAGTATTAATAAGCTCGACATTTTTTATGGACTTTCTTTCACCTGACGCTTTTTTCTAGGCTGAGTGTCGACTCCGACTTTTCTTGCTTTGACCACCAAGTCCTCAATGATTAAAGGCTTTATATAGTCTGCATGCATAGGGACAATAGCCATAAAAAAGCGGCCTTGCCGATAATGAGAAGTTACCTCTTTAATTACAACTTTTTGATAATTAACAACTTCGTCTGCTTCTACCTCAACCATACCTCTCATGATCTTATCTCCATTTGCAGTCTTTTCCATTAGTCTTGGTGGATTTTCGTTCGTGAATAATAAGATTTTGAAATGGACTGGAGTTGATAGTTTGACTTTATTGCCTTCCATATCGGTTACTTGGGCAAGAATATGAAAAGATTTTTCCTTAAACACTGGGTATGGAATATGGCTAAGCAGCTTAAGGGAATATTCCCAACTTGACGTGCCATTGCATAATTTGTCAAGTAAAAAATCGCTTGATATAGATTCATCGTCAGAGATAATTACTGTACAATTCTTTTGAGCTGATTTAAGGAGAGCCAATTCTGAAGTCACCCAATCAAGTTTCTTCATGTTGGATTTGGATTGCTCTGAGATCATTTTAAGTATTTCTATCTGATCTTGGTGGCCTCTTATCAGGCATGCTGCAGCACAATTGCTCATCAGGCCACCAGTGAAATTTAGAGGCTGATATTCTTGGCTGATCGAATTCAAAAATGCAAGCTGGGCCATATCTGCGTTAAACTGGGCGACTTGATCGATATTTTTTTGATCAGTATTAGGTAGACTCATATTTTTATTAATTTATCCAATTAGTGTAAGAAAAGAAATAGCACAATTGACTATTGTGATAAAAAAAAAGTTAACAAATTTGTATTGCTATACCAGATTTTTTTATGTTAATTGTCCAATTAACAACAAACCAAAACAAAAGTCTAGTTTTAGTTGCTTTAATATCATGAATTAGAGGCCAACTTATTTTCTTCGAATTTATTATAAGAAAACATTTTATCTACTTTTGAATTAAATTAAATATATTAAGGTTCATCGCTTGTGAACTCAGCCCTTTAATTTTTCATGTTTATATTAATATTGTTAAAATTCATTTACTAATAAACTCAAGTGTATTATTAACTGTATTACAGAAGACAATTTTATTTGAATTGCAGCCATTTCGATAATAGAAATTCTGGAAATCATGTCCAAAATTTAGTAAATTTTCTAAAATAGATTGATGCCTTACCAAATCAAAGCCTAGACCGTCCATAGCTATGATAAAGATTGATAGGCAGGAAAAATACCAGATAATACTTTGAAAATCTATCATAGATCGAATTTAAAAAAAGATGACAGAGTCTTCAAAACAATAGCCTAATGATTTTTATGAAGTGAAATTGGAGACTAGGCTGCTCATATGTTGAGCGCAAAGTTGCAAGAGTCTGGAAAGGATAACTTTATTACAGTTTTAAGAATTAGCGATAGAAACTTTCATAATGACAAAGAAGATTTGCAATATATGATTAGACGCATCTTGAAATTTTCCATTCCTGTCTTTAAGATATCCAATAGGGAAAAAAAGTTTATTTTTGCTCCAAAGAAGATTTTAGGATAAAGCATAGCTAAATCATTTATTCATTAAAACTCTTTTTAAATCTTTAAAGAATTTCGTCTAACTAAAAAAATGGTTCTGAAGATAGCAAAACATGTGAGAGAATAAAATTAAAAAATAAATCATCAATAAAATAATAAAGTTTTACCTCAAATCAGAAAGCATGATTATTAAACTAAACTAATTGACTGAGTATTTGCATATATGCATTATTATTTTTTAGCTTTTTTTTATGCTTAGCCACATCACAACAATAAACCTTTAAACATGCAGCAAAAATTAATTACTTTCTATGATAAAATTAGAAAAATAAGTAAAACTTTCATGAATATTATATTATTTCGCAATGTGATTTTTTAAATTTTTTATTAGGTAATTTATTGAAAAAAATAAAATAGACAATATTATGAAAAAAATTTGCTGACGTTTGAGATAGTCAAATTATTTATACCATTTTTAATCAGATTATTTATAAATATAAATGGCATCTTATAAGCATTATGGATTTTTTATTTTATCCTATGGCCAAGCTTGATATAAGGAAATTCCTGCAGAAACCAAACCTCCTATTCCAATTCATAAGTCTGAAAAATTTTTCCCAAATAAAAGTGTAGGGATATTAGTCCCAAATGCAGAGGCTGGAATTAAGTCACCTAGAATTCTTACTCCTCCATTAGCAAACAAAAATTTATTCGATGACAGGGGGTTAAAAAAATTTATATTTTTTTATTCAAAATTAAAAAATTCCCATTTGAATATTTTAAAGAAAATATTAATTTTAATTTGTAAATTTATGCTTTATATATGAACTGTTTATATACATAAAATGGCGTATGGCGACCGACCCACCCTCTCAGTGGTGGTTACCCATGTATATCCGGGCATGGTTTTGGAGCCAGGAATTAGCCCAACAACGTCTGGGACCTCGAAGCGAGAGGCCTAAGCGCGAGAGCCGCTGTTTTTGCGACCAGACCCATGGGCAGTTATTCGTGACTTCTTTTTGCCAGCAGCGCTCAGCCCAGTGAGTGCCCGAAATGAGGCAGGGTGAATTACCTGCCTAAGCTGCTTTAGTGGCTCGCCCCGAATGGCGAAAGCTGTTGAGTTCTTTCTCGGGATGACCGGAAAAGAGGGGAGGCGAGTTAGACACCAAAACGGGGGTCTCTCCAGTTGAAAAGGTGCCCTTCAATGGGCAGATCTGGCGGACGACGAAGCGGAGTTGGCGTAAACTTAGGCGACGATCCAAGTTGGAAATGGAGGTGGTCAGCAAAGCCGGTATGAGACGGCCCTTGACAATACCTCTACCGAGAAACCGGGGGTTTCGGCCCGGGCTTGGTGAACGCTCTGCCACCACACGGGAAACCGTGGCATGCGACCTCGGACGTAGTAGGGACCTTAAATACCCAGCGTAATCTTAATCTTCTTAATCTTATATATGAACTGTTTAAATTAAACAGATTTAGCTGAAATTTCATTATAATAATTATCACTTATATATCAAAATATTTTTTTCATTAAAAAATTTTTTGTTCGCTCATAGAGGATAGGCTTACCATTTTTCTATTATCTTTTTGTCTCATAGGGGGAGAGTTAATAGATTTATGTATAATTGCTTTCTTTCTTTCCTTATTTTCTCAATAACTGCATTATGAGATTCAATTTTAGGTGATCCAAGAGTTGGATTTTTGCTTTTATAATCATTGACATAATTATGACACAGACTTCTCAAAATGTTTAAAAAAGCAAAAAATAACCCAAAAAACCAGCTTTTCATCGCAGATTTTGAATAAAATGGCGTATTGAGATTAATTACTTTGAGTGATGAAAAAGTTGCCAGATTGTCAAAAAAGAAATAAAAGAAGAAGCCAAGCCTCGTAAAAATTTGCAAAAATTTTGCTGTTCTGTTTAAAGAACTGTCTTGAAAAATTTTATTTATGGCATCAATGTCGTGGATTCCTTTAAAAAGACGAAACATTTTTCTGGAAAAAGTTGAAGCTGAAAAGAGACCCTGAAATCTTTCTTTTAAGTCTTGATTCTTTAAAAGAGCTTTCAAAAACAAGCTTCCATATTGTAAAATTTTAAGAAATTTGTCTCTTTCATCTGTTTTATTGCTCTGAATCAAAATCTTATCCATTTAATAATTGGATTTTTTCTAGCTGAGATTAGCTGAATTTTTTCGTTATATGGTATAAAATACGAATAGAATAAATATCTTAAGGAAAAAATCTTCATTATAATTTTATTAGATTTAGTATGGATTATAAAAACGATAATTTTGCTATTAAAATAATCTTATTAAAAATAATTGAATTTTTGAGAGATCAATGTATCTTGTAATTTTTTATTATAAAGCTATCTGATTTATTTATCTGAGCAGGATTAAGTTAATATTTCATTGCCCAAATGAAATTATTTATAGAAATAGAGCTCTATAAAATTTCTCATTTTCTAGATGATAGTTATATTTTATTTAGATCTTTCAGAAGTTAAATAAGCAAATAAAAACTAAATTTGATTTAATTTTTATAATCATATTAATATTAAGCCAAAAAAACAATATCTCTCAATAAGTGTTGAAAATTATAACCAGATTAGATATCAGTATAAGAAATAAATGGAAATTGTATCCACATGCCCTCATACTTCATGTGTGCTTTCTTCACTAAAAGGTCTTTCCAACGGCCTTTCATACGGCGCTAAAGTCCGATTTACTCACTCCCTCGTAATTGCTTTGCTTTTTGGCAGGCAACCATGAATAAAAAGAGTCCAGCAAATAATTTCAAACACTATTGAGCACTCCACACGCCTAGGCTTATATGTTTTTCTCTATAAAACGATACTATGCATAGTAACAAGAATTAGAAAAGTTAGAACTCCTATAAATTCAGCTATTGCTGGTGCTATAGCTGGCTACTGTATGTTTTCAAAAGAAACCAATGTAAATGTGCAGATTATTTTATATTTGTTTTCAAGAGTTCTGACCTCTGGTGTAGGGCTTTTATATAAGAAAGGATTAATACCAAAATCACTATTTTTAGAAAATACAAATTTTGCGATTTTGACTACTATATGCTGGTCTATTGTTATGTATTTATACTATTCTCTTTTCAATTGCCCAGTAAGGGCAAGGGCAAGAGATTGAAGAGGGAAATTCTCCAGTTGGTTGGATCAAATCAGGCTGGTCAAAACATCTGGAGAAAGGCCGAAATAACTGGAGAGTTTCCTTCTTCAATCTCCCGGGCAATTGATAGGAGAAGAGTATATTTGAAGAAAGAAAAGAGTCATTGCAAACGTCATTAGTGCATTCGATGACATTTTTGTATAAGGACTCAGAAGTATGGAAAGATTGGTATGATGCACTGCCTTTTCCAGATTTTTTTAGGAATTTATTAACTAAACATAAATAATCTTTTACAGTATTTTATATAGTGACTTACCCTGTCTAGCACGGGGCTTTTTTTGATAGTACTAACAACTAAAATAGCCCCGCTCTAGATAGTGTAAGTCACTATAATTCTTTACAGAAATATAAAAAGCAACTATTTATTATCCTTATAATATATTAAGTTATATGACTTAAGATTTAAGATTTAAGATTACGATAATTCTTTGTTGACCCCCACTTAGCTTAGGATCTAACAATACAAGCTCTTCCTTTATGAATTCCATCCACCAGCTAACAGCTCTGAACAACGGTAGGTGGAATCGGCCGAACCGTCGAACCGTTACAGTTGCCTATGGCCGGACGAGTCTCTCTTCGTTCCTTGAATGTGATTCAAGTACACTTGGGTGCTGCCGGAGCAGTCCCAACGCTAATTTCCTTCAGAAAGAATGAACTTCCCTCACTAGGACGAGTATAGGGGACAGAAGCCCTAACTCATACATTCCATATTTAATTGTAGTTATATGACTTAAATTATCTAATAATTAAAATTATTCTTTTTCTTTCTCTGTAAATATCCTTTTATTTTTTAACAAATTCAAATTTTTCTAAATATAAATTAATGGCTTCACTAAGACTTGGCACTGAAAAGAAACTTGCTGAATTTTTTTCAGTCACTGCACAAGGTGAGCGTGATGCTGAAAATGCCCGTATTGCCCTCTCAGAAAATCGCGAATTTGATCCTTATGCAGCCTTCAAAGCTCTTGATCGCTTCAATAATGGCTATCTCAATTACCTAGACATCAAATCGTTTCTTGAAAAAAATCGAATTTTTGCGTCTACCCAAGAAGTTGATTTATTAATCAAACAATACGACTCAGATTCAGACAGCCGCCTTATACTTACTCCCCATCCCTCTTTAAATTGGAACAAAATATCGGTCAAATTTCCATTTTTTTGGATACTTTAACCCCTTTTAAATCAGAACAAAATAATTTACAGGACGACTTTTAAATTAAGACAATAATAATTTTTATAAAATTAGAGCAGAATATTATTTAAATAGATCATCATTAAATAGATTAATTTTTTGAATTAATTTTTCATAAAAATAATTTAGAATGCAAAATACTGTACTCAGTTCCGACTTTTTAATTTTAAAAATTTTTATAACACTTTTTATAAAGACAATTTTATTTTAAATTTTTTAAAAATTAAAAAAATATAAATACACTTTTGATTTGAACAGGATTTTAGCGATTTTCAGCAACTTACATGCCCGTCTACAAGTGTAGCTATCCGCGATCTAGCCATTAGCCGTTCAGGACCACTACGGCTCTCTTTAGACGTTGAATTTTTGCTTTCTAGATTATTAGAAAAAGAAATAAGCCTACAACGCCGTCTAGAAACAATAAGAAAAGAATTAGAAGCCTCTCCAGATTTTTCTATATTTAAAGCTTTTGAGACGATAGATTATCCACCTACAAGTTTTGTAACTCGTAACAAAATTTTCGACTTTTTAAGGAAAAATCTAGTTAGTGCTTTTAATGATGATATTGATGGGATTTTAAGAAGACTTGACATAGATGGCGATGAAAGATTGTCATACGGGGAATTTTCAGATGCAATTAAATGTGCAAGTCCAAGTATTGTTGTGCATTCACCTGCAAGGGAAAGCCAAACTGTGAGGCATTCATCACCATTACGAAGATCTCCAAGTCCGAATAGGACAGCTGATAGAGAATTTAGGACAAGTGGATATTTGGACTCTTCGAGATCTTTAACAAAATCATCATTTTTAGAAACCTCTGGGCTTAAAAGCCCGAGAAGATCACCTACAAGATCGCAGTTCTTATCAAGTTCTAATGGCTTTAATAAATCTCTAGAAACTTCTGGGCTTAAAAGTCCACGAAGATCAGGAAATTTAGAAAAATCTTTATCAAGATCTCCTACGAGGTCTCAACTTTTATCAAGCTCTAATGGATTCAATAAAACTGCGAGGTCTCAGCCTGACTCCCCCCCCCCCCCTCCGTGAGCGAACAAAAAAAATTTTGTTCGCTCACGGAGGGGGGTTAATTTTTTTTTTTAAAAAAAATTTATATATATAATTTTATAAAAAAAATATTTTTTTCGAAATTTAAAAAAATCCTAATTTGCAAAAATTGGGAAGCAAATATTAATTTAATTTGAAAAATTTATGTTTTAAAACGCAATTTGTTTAAAATTAAACAGAATTAGCTCTAGATTTCATTATACTAATTATCACTTATATATCAAAATTTTTTTCCATTAAAATTTTTTCTATTAAAAAAATTTTTGTTCACTCACGGAGGGTGGGTTTTTGGTCAAAAAATGCCGATTTTTCTAATGGTTTTGTTCGCTCACGGAGGGGGGGGGGGGAGTGAGGAATCTGAAATTGTCAATGTATTTATCAAGCAAATCGGCTTAGACCGCGACTTGGAAGCTTCAAGAAGAGACCTTGCTTTATGCTCAGATTTCACACTAATTGATGCTTTCAATATTTTCGATATAAATAACTATGGATTTGTCACCCAAGTTGAGTTCGAGGAAGGCCTAAGATCACTCGGAATTTTGCCTATAAAAGATGAAGTCTCATTATTATTTAAACATTTTGCCCTTGTTGACAGAAGATTGACTTTTAGTGATTTTTGTAAAATTGTGACAACGAAAGATTTGGAATATTCAAGATTAATTAATGGAAGAATTCCGCAGAACTTGCCAAGATATGAAAGGAGAAGGACATTCAGATTGAATACAGAAGGCTTGTTTGTGAAAGTAATGAAACTGCTTCTAGAGAACGAAAGTGTAGCAGAAAGCTTAAGGCAGCAATTAGAGAGAAGGCCATATTTCAGCATTTCTGAAGCTTTTCAATGTGTGGATAAAGATAGAAATGGCTTTATTACATTCGATGAATTCCAAGTGTTGCTAGGCGATTATGGTATTTATGTCACAAGAAAAGATGTTGAAAATTTAATGGAAAGATATGACAAAGATAGGGATGGGAGAGTTTCTTATTCAGAATTTTTAAATGAAGTAACACCTAAATCTCCAAGGAGATACTAAGTTAAACCCTCTTAATTATTTGATTTATTTTTCTTCTTTTTCTTTTTCTTTTTTTTCGCATCAGGTCCAAGCCCTGGGATAAAATTATCATTTTTTTCTGTATCTTTTGTTTTCCTTTCTTCTTCAAGCCCCATTATCTCTATCTTCCCTTCTCTTGGTGTCAAAGGCTCCATTTCTATATTTTCTGGCTTTCACTGTATTTCCCAGAGTTCTCCAATCTCAAAATTTGCTAGAATTTCTCCAGTATATTTATATAAGATATACCCATTATTATTCCTGATTCTTGGGCTTAAAATTCCAACAAAAAACATTTTTCCATCCGGTCCCCATTCACAAGAAATTATGTTGGGAACTCTGCATCTTCCAATAATATTAAAATTTTCTCTTTCGCAAATATCTACTCTAATTAAGTAATTTCTCTTCTAGATTTTATTCACCAATTTAATAATGGCATAAATTCTTGTGTTTTATATTTAAATTTTATAATAAAAATTGTTAGCCTTCTATATATATCCTTGAAGGTTTCCTAATCCTCCTATTAAAAATAAATTTCCATATGGATTTCACCTTATCATATTTCTATTATTTTTACCCAAATCTCTAAATTTCCCACCTATTCCTTTGTATAAATTTATCCCGGCAGGAAAAAATCCTGCAATTGAAATAAATTCATCATTATTTGGAGATCATTTTATATCATGGATAGGGCCTTCATCTAAATTGATTTTCCTAGGAGATTTTCCTTGTGTCATCACATATAAAGCATTTTCTCCAGGATAAACTCGGCCTGTGTTATCAATTTCTGTTTGACAAATTGCTAAATCCCCCCCCCCTCGAAGTTCGACCAAGATTTTTTTTTTTTCGAACTTCGAGGGAGGTTAAGAAAAATTTTTTAAAAATAATTATATATTTTTTTTTATATAATTTAGTAGTTAAAAAAAAATATTTATCATATTCTTCTGTATGGTTGAGAGGGTGTAAGGGTTAGAAAAAATAGTGCAAGATGGTTTTGTAACGCTTTTTTAGTACTTGAATACAAAAATCGCAAGCTCACCCCACATAGTTTAAAATTTTTGAAAAATTGCTTATTTTCCTAGTAAAATTTATGTAGGTCTTGGTCGAACTTTGAGGGGGGTTAATTTTCCAAAAAAATAGGAATTTTCCCTATATCTTGGTCGAACTTCGGGGGGGAGTAAGACTCTTGATGCATCACAATTTCATTGAAACGTGACAATTTGAGGTTTGGTTATTTGTGATGAGCTGTCTAATTGAAAATTTAGATTTTCATCAGAAATTCAATATGAAATTGAAGGGGATGAGCCTTTAATATCCACTGAATAAATCGCAAGTCTATTAGGTAGCTTTGGCGACAATGAATAATTAGCAATCCTAATTTCGTTGAAGCTTCTCAATAAATTTCTTTCTGAAATTTGATATATCTGTATTTCATCATTATTTTTGTATAACAAATTTCTATTATCATAAGTAAATACCACTGAAGGCCATAATTCTTTATTATAATTTACTTGGATAAAAGAATAAAAAACTTGGCCTGTAGAAATTTCCCACACAAAAAGATTAGGATTTTCTTCAATTTGTTTTTCCCAGGTAACCAAGTAATTTTCGCAATGAGAAAAACTGAGTAATTTTATCCCATCATTCCGAGCCCTCATAATTTCACTGAAATTTTTAGTATCAATTACTCTAAGTCCATATAAATCGGCATATGCAATTTTCTGTCCAGTTGGTGAGCAAGCTGTAGCAAAGCAAGGAGCAGCAAATAAAATTTCATGGGTTCTTGCATTTAAAATCATTAGAGAATCCCTGGTGCGACATATGATTTCATTTTGATTAATCATTAAAATATTTCTCATTAAGATAAATATCAGACATCTCATTACGAGTTTATTTATTATTTTTAATTAAAAATAATCTACAGCTAAATGTGTGACATTCTCCCTTAATATAATATTCAGAATATTATTAATTATGCTGAAAGAAAAGCCTTCAACATTTTTAATTTAAAAATCCATGAGCGCCTTTCCATGTATATTCCACATGGGTTCTTTTCTTTTTTCTTGTTTTAACAAGATGCTCTTTAGATTTTTTATCAAAATCATTTTTTGGTCCGCGGATTTTTATGACGAAGTCATTTCTTGAACCTACTGTTTGAAAAATTGGACTTTTTATTACTGTGTCTGGTGTTTTATCAATTTTATGAGAAAACCATGATTTTATAGCAGTTTTTTGGTTCGAATAAATTTGGTCTACGGATGAAACCCTTCTATGAGTAGAGGATGGGATCTCTGTAGCTGAGGTTTCGGTGGCTTTTTCTGATGCTTCTTCATTTTCAATAATTTCTCTTTTTATGCTACTTGGCTTGATTAACTTCATTGTGAGGGTTTTTACTTTTTTTCTAATCACAGTACTTGTTTTGTATATATTTTTAGGTGTCTCTTCGTTATCGTGTACCTCTTCATCTCGGACTGGTGCCACTGTAGTTTTTCTTGAAGAAGTAGGAGATGAATAGAGAGGTGAATAAATTGGGACAGGCTCATGGGTTGGATGCCTTTTCACACGTCTTTCAAGCTCATTTATGTTGAATTTTGCAACGGTTTGCTGGGGAAATTGTTTAAAGACTGGAGAATTATATTTCATTGTTTGTGTTCGCACCAAGTTCCTAATCTTCAAAGGTTTAGCAATAGGAGTGCTTGTTTTTGTAAGAAAATGGGAGTCGGGAGAGTCTGAAGGGCTTCTAGAGTCCAAATTTGTAAGAGGGATTTTGGGGATTTGTTTTAAGGAATTAGCATAGAAATCTTTTTTTGAAGGTTTTAAGGAGTCCATTAGCTGAGATAATCAGTAATTTAGTAAATTATAATCATTTTTATTTAACATATAATTATCGATTGTATGGTTTTTCACCATAATAAAAAACTTGATGATATTTTATGTTTAATACTTATGATTTACTTGACTATAATTAAATAATGAAATTGGATTAAAAGTTTTCAAACATGAAGTATTATAAGCAAATTATATTGGAGATTTAAACCTACTAACATTTTAATTAGCTAATGCATTATTTAACACTTTGAATTTTATCAAGCCAAGAACGTATTTATAAATATTTTCTTAAAATTTATCATATTTCCTTTAAGTTTATTTATTTCTTAAAGTTTTATGGGGGATTTAATTATTCAAATTAAGCCTGATTCAATTTTATTTATTAAACTAATATGAAGGATTCTGTTTTAAGTTTATTCACCCTAACTCTAGAAAGCCTTATAATCGCAGAAATCTATAACTATCGGATGAGAATCCAGTCCGAAATTCCAAAAGAAAAAATTGAAGACAGCCCTATTTCTTTAATTCCTACAAATATCCTGTCTATCAATTCATCATTAAGTCTACAAACCCCGGCTAAGGAAGAATTCAAATCAAGTAAAAAATCAGATAAAACCAAAGAAAACTCGTTGGTTGAAAGTCATGACGGCAAGAATGAGGACGATTTTATATACATTACGCCAAACATGAAGAAATTTAATCCTCATAAGAAGCATAAAAAAATTGAGCATCTTCACGATGATGAAAAAATGAAAAAAAGAAGGGAAATGGTGGAGATACTTAACCATCTTGAGTCAGGTACAAAAAGAAGAAAAAAACACATTTAAATCATTTTTGGTAATAATAAATAATGAAAAGTTAGTTATCTTGTTTAAAACCTCTGATTTTAGGTTTATACCCTTCAGAATTATTTGCAATTTTCATAATTTTATCATGAATCGCTGATAAATTATTTTTTGTCTTTATTTCATTATTCCTGCCAGTTGATACAACACTATTTCATAATTTTTCATTATCCCTCTGCAATTTTTCATGCAATCCAACAATTTTCCTGTCAAAAATTTCTTGTATATAATCTCTTACCTCTTGTGAATTTTGATCAAATTTATACTGCAGATCATTCACCTTATTCTTTATATCCTCAATAAACTCAGCAGTTTCCCTTTCTTTATCATTTGTCCCCTGCTTTAACTTTTCTACCTCATTTTGAATATTTTCGAATTCTGCTTTGGCGACTGGATCTTTTATCAAGTTTAAAACTTCTTCCTGATTTTTGGCCCGGATTTCTTCAATTTTTCCTAATTCCATACCCAAGCTATCAAGAGAGTTTACAATGTTTCCCATCTCTTCGCCAATTTCGGCAAATTTTTCTAGGTTTCGGTCGTCGTTTCCTTGTTGAACTTTTTCTTCTTCTTCCAGCCTTTCTTCGATCTTTTCTAAGCTTTCATCTATGTCTCTGTGCTTATCTTCAATTTCTTCAGAAAATTTATTTATCATGTGCTCACGCATTAATTTTTCTGTAGATAATTGGACAGTTGTTTGGGACTCTATTAAAGCTGTTTGCTTGGCAACGTTTTGGAGTTTTTCATTGAGGTCATCAGCGATAGAGTCAATTTCTGACTGCAAAGTTTCTAATCCTCCGAGTAATTTTTCAAGATCTTCACAAACACATTGATGCTGCTCTGAAATTTCATCGTTTAATTTGTTGATGATATCAGAAAATGTTTCTCGATTATAATATAAAGCTTTTTCGAAATTTCCTAACTCTCGCGTGAACGAACAAAAGATTGGAAAAATCCTTAATTTTTGGGTAAAAACTCACGAGTGAACAAAATTGTTTTATGAAAAATATTTCGTTATAATGAAATCTCAGCTAATTATTGAATAAAAAACAACTATTTTTAAGATTTTGAAAAAAAAAAATTGTACTATAAAATTACCATATAAAACAACCCCTCATTGAACGAACAAAAATTTTTGTTCACTTACGTAGGGGTAGTAAGCTAACATCGACCATCGAAGCCAAATTTTCTATTCTGTCTTCTAGTATTTTAGTATTGACTCCTAGGTGGCTTTCAAGGCTTGCTTGCAGCTCCCTCATCTTTTCAACTATTTGTGAGTCTCCCATATGAGAAATTTTAGTTAGCTCATTTTTTAAGATTTGCAAAGATTGATCATGCTTAATAAACTTTTTTGTTGCATCTGACTTGAATTTTTCATTCGATATAATAGTCTGTTTCAAGCTTTCTGTAATAGTTGTGATCATTTCTTTTGTCTGCTGATGCTGACTTTTAACTACTTCTACATTCCTTTGTGTTTCTTCTTCTATATACCTACTTAAAATATCAGCTTTTTCTGAAAAAGATTTTGAAGCTTCTTTAGTGTCATATTCTGCTTTAATTCTATTCTTTTCAATAGCATCTTTATAATTCGACAGTTCTTGGAAAATCCCTTTAGTTGTATTCTGTATCATCTGCTTTAAATCTTTTTCTGCCTTTAGTCTACAATCGATTTCGGTTTTGACCATTTCTGTCATTTTCTCTGTAATTGAAGCTTGATAGCTCTTGAACTGTTCAATTGCGTCTCTAGCAGCATCTCCCACCTGTGATAAATCATCCCTCATATTAGCTTCTCCTTGAAATCTTGCTCCTTCTTCCTGTTTCAAGCCTTCAAAAATGCTTCTAATCTGCATGTCTAAATTTGCATTTAAATGATTAATCATTTCTTCTTTTCTTTGAAACTCTGTCCTCATTAGGGTTTCTAAGTTTGCGAGCCTATCTCGGAATTCTTCTCTATCGAACTGCATTTTTTCATGTGTCATTTTTTCTTTGACATCAAAAGTGTATTTTAGGTCTTGATGGGTTCTCAGCCTTTCTTCTTGTTCTTGGATTAGCCGGTTTAATAAATCTCCAGTTTTAAGCTCAACTCGGTGCTGTATATCTCCTTGCAACTGACGTAAAAACAGTTTTAAGTCTTCTTGGAGCCTTTGTGACCCAATTTCAACTTTATCAATTATTTTATGGTCTTGCTCTTGCTCATTACCAAGAGCTAAAAGGGCAGTTTCTACCATTTGGACTCTCCTTTCCACCTTTTCTGCTAGTTCAATCAATAAATTTACATTAGTATCAGCCTTTGTATCTAAAGTCACTACTTGTCGTTCTCCATGATTTAATCGTGATTCTAGCTGAGACACACGACTTTCTACAGTAATCGACAAATTTTGCAAAAATTCGTTCATTTTTTCTTGAGATTCACCCAGTCTTACAACTTCCCCAAACAAAACTTGTGATTTTTCTTTATTTTTCAACTGCACTTTTTGGTCTTCAGTTAATTTGTCTTGAAGAATGCTTCTCATTTGGATTAGTTCTGAGTCTGCTTGGACTGAGTTGCCTTTTTCAAATTTGCTCATTTGGTCTAAAATAAAAGAATTTAGCCTTTCTTGCTCTTTTATTTTTAAATCCAACGCTGATACCTTTGACGCGAGGTCTTCTGGGATTCGGTTACGGCCTCTTGATTGGGGAGTTCCAATTCCTGACGGTGGGCCACCTCTTAGCTTTATATCAGTGCTTCTTGACCTTACAGGAACTTGCTGAAAAGATTTATCTAAATCTTGATGCGCCTGGAGCACTGCTGCAATCGAAGACGAGTCATATCGTTGAGGCTACATAAACTTTTACGAATTTTGCCATAATTTAAATACTTTAAGAATAAAAACTGTATATCGCCCAGCTAAAATATCAATAATATAAAAAACAAAAGAAATGGCAGTAGTTATAAGGCAAGCGCTTTTCAGAGGGCGTGGCATGAATATGTCAGAATTAGAAGAGCATGCGATGGATAATCGTGAAGCCTTAATGAGACAAGAAGATCTCTCACGCATCCGAGACGAAGCAGTTGACGAAGATATGATGGATTCAAATTCTTTTAATGAACAAGAAGAAAAACGCAAAGAACAGTCCAGAGCAGTTAAAAACCAGCTCATGAAAAAAAAGCTTGAAAAAATAGCGAGATACAAAGCAAAATTAAAAATTTTTGACACAGTTTCTGTAATTCTGTCAGCTGGTGGCGTGTTTTTAGCGTTTCTTGAGGTTGAAAATAATTTTAGCACAAACGGTGGGAAAAAAAGAAATGAGTCTAATAGCTATGATTTCATTTTGAGATCCATAATTACTATTTCCACTGTGGCTTTGCTTTTATTTATATATTTGCATCATCTATTTGTATATCAAATAGCACGTGAGCACCAAACCACCTCTGAAGGTGTCGGCTCCAGTTTTTATGGAAGCATACAGTTTAAATGGATGTGGGTTGAAATATTATTTAATGCAGTCCATTGTCCACCCGGACTAGATGTAGAATTTCATTTCGAGCAGCTGCATGGGACTTTGGTATTGTCAGTGGACCAAATGCTTAGTTGCATTATGCTTGTTAGAGCTTATATTTTAGTAAGAGTGGTTAAGCATTATACAAAATGAGGGACAAGCCACGCAGACCAAGTCTGTGACTATTTTGGGTGTGATGCAAATAATTTATTTGTTTTAAAATCAGTATTTAAGGACAAGCCTTATTTGGTATTAGGCTGCTGCATGATATTGAGCATTTGCATTTTTGGGTTTGCAGTAAGAACTTTTGAAAGGCCTTATAATGCAGAAATTGAAGGGCAGGCTAAACAAAATTATAATTATGTGTGGAATGCATTTTGGCTAGTTATTATTACCATGTGTACTGTTGGGTATGGTGATTTTTACCCTCAAACTCATATGGGGAGATTTGTTATTGTTATAGCTTGCTTTTGGGGTGTATTTTTAGTATCAATGACTGTCGTCACGTTGACGGAGAGTTCTGAGTTCAGCAAGGGAGAAGCCAGAGCTTATGATATTTTATATAGGCTAAAGGCGAAGGAAAGAGCTAGCCATATTGCTAAAAAAGTTGTAGCAAAGGCTATACAGGTGAATTTTTTGAAAAGAAAAAAGAAAAAGGATCATGCTCTTCATCACCATTGTTTGATGAAGTACAATGAACTAATGAGAGTTTTGCAGACTTTTGCTGTACAAAGTTTAAGATAACTCTTCAAGTCCGTACTTCTTGACCTTAGCCTAGACAACAGCTCTGAATAAATATAGGCGGGTCGGCCTAATTGTCGGCCTGTTTCTGTCCCCAAGCCCTTAGAACCTCTCTGATCTATACCAGACTCGTGTAGACCCATTCTCTTAAGCCGAGATCTCAAGAAACTGTGAACTTCTCTTACTGAACTTGGATGTAGCACCAGAGTCCTACCTCTAACTGACATATTTAATTATCGCTGTACAAAGGAAAATATGGAAAGATTGGGAGCCGCCAGTCGAAGAAATGCTTAAGCAGCTTGCAGAAAGGATTGACGTTGATTTAGAGACTCTTAAAAGCCAAGTCGCTAGTGTATTCGAAATTGAACAGCAGCTCAAAAGAGTCGAAGTTTTCCAAGAGCAAGGAATTAATGCAACAAAGCTGTCTATTACTTATTTAGAGGAGCTTGATGGTCAGCTTGATACAGTTATTCAGAAAATGATGAAAAAAGCAAGTTAAATTGTGATAATTTAATAAATGTCAAATAGAGTCTTAACAATAAAAGCATTATTTTCAGATAATTCATTACAAAAGGAAAAGCGGAAAAAAGAGAGATATGAAAAAGCAATAAAAGAGCTAGAAGCAAATAAGAAGCTATTAGAAGAAAAGGAGCAAATAAGGAGAGAAAAATGAGAAAGATTTCGTGCAAAGGAAGCTATGAAAAAACAAATCAGAGAATACCTCAGAATGCATAATGAAAAGAATGCTAAATTGCATAATTATGCAAAAACCATTCAAAATTGATATAGGAATGTGAAGATTAGCCAAAAGCATGAAGAAGTCAAGCTAGAAAATCTTAGATTTTCTGTATGTGAAAATATTGAAAATCTTCAATCTACCTCTAAATACATTTTTTGAAATTTTGGCCCTGGGCTTGAAAAAAGTGTAATAAAAATCCAGCAAGCTTATAAAAGGCATAAACTTATAAGAAAAATAAATGAAACAGTTAAAGCGCTGAATTTAATAAAAAAACGTAAAAAGAAGGACGCGAAGAAAATTATTCAAAAAGGGATAGTGGTGCTGGCCAACAGAATTAAGGTAAAAAATGAAAAATGACGTATTTTTAAAGAAAAAGAGCTGAAGAGAATTCAAAGAAATTTAGCCTTGCTCAAAATCAGCCAATATTGGAAAAAATTAAATTTGTCAGGAAAAATCATTGTAAGAAGGTATCAAAAATATTATAGAAAACTATTCGCACAAGGCACAATTCAAAGATTGGCTGGCAGATATGTGATAGGAGTTCCAGAAACTACTACAAATCAAAGAAGAAACTCTTCATGCTCAATAGCTTCATCACATTCCACCCCATTTAGACATTTGACTCATACTCCTGCTAGTTCTGGCCATGAGCCCGAGCCGATTCAAAATAATCTTATGGATGATATTTTGGCTCAAAATATGATAATTGCTGAAAGAAGGAAAAGAATAAGGAAAGGAAAAATTTCTTATGCCATCAAACCGTTAAGACTTAAACCGATTGAGCCTGTTCTTATGACTGATGAAGAAGATGATGATATATTTACTAAATCATTTGAAATATCAAAAAATCAAATAAAGCCTGTAGATGCATCTTCTAGAACCTCCAGAAACCAAACATTAAATATCAGTTTTACCAATTTAAGCGGCATAAGCACCCAAAATTCTATTGTTTTTAATAAAAGCAGGGAAAGCACTGCGGAAGGCCGTAAAAGGATATTAAAAGATCATATTTTGTTGAAGCCCAGCATAAATCAAAGATTTTTAAAAAAGTTAGCTTAACTCTCAATTATTTGGAAATTATTTTGTTTTAATCGAAACCAAAAATTGCCGATTTCTTCTTTTACGTAGCTTTGCCTTTGAAATATTTTTATTCTTCCTGAGTATTCTGTTGAATATCCACTTTCTAATTCTTTAATTTCTATATAAGTATCTGAGCTTTCTTCTAATTGCCAAAAATGTGATAAAATTGCTTCAGGTATTTTTACTATCATAAATGGGTAAATAAGCTTCAAGGAATAGATCAATTGCAAGCAGAAATTCACACCTTTGATGCAATATAGAGGAAATAAATTGTCTATTACGAGGATCTGTGCTCTGGTACTAAATTTTTCGATTTTTTTAAGAAGTGAATCTATTTTTGTGGAATTTTTAGGACTTTGCCATGCAGAAGGCGGTTCTTCTAATAGTGGAAAATCTTCAGAGTTTCATGCAGTTTCATATTCTAAATATATTGGATCAATCATGTATTTTTTAAATAGTGCCGAATAATGGGCACTATTTCCAGAAGAAGACAAGAATAGAGATGGATGAGACAATCGATTGATTAATTGTAAAATAAATCCAGTGCTGTCGTTTTCAAGAGTGTCTGTAATTATATAGAGTCCTGGAATATTTAATGTTTCTATCACAGACATTATTTTTTATTAAAATTTTCAATTTCATATATACCGCAAGATCGGTTGCAATTTCAGAATATATTAAAGAAAGGAGAAAATTTAAAAAAAATCGATTCTCATAGTTGTTATTCCATATATAATTTGCTTTGAAAAAATGCAATATTCAGTCATAGGTGATCGGAAATCTGCTCTTCTCCACCTTCTCCATATTCCTCCACAAGAGCGCTCTTATCAAGACTTATGTGATCTCTCCAACCTTATCTCTGTATTTTCTATTTAGGATATAAAAATTTTCCAAGATTTTAAATACACCCTTAAGCTAAAAAACCTCTGCAAACACCTTTTATTGGTATCTTATGGTACAAAAGAGACAATATTCCGAGAAGGAGATGATGGCGAAGCATTTTATTACATCATTTCTGGAAAAGTTATCCATTATGTTTCCTCGTCTAAAAACGGCAAAACCAAGCTTATTAGCGTGGCTGAATCCAAAGAAGGAGACTCTTTTGGAGAGCTTGGGCTTTTATATGGTATCAAAAGAAGCAGCTCTGCTATTACAAATACACCAGTAGAAGCTATGGTTTTAACGAAAGAAAATTATGATAAAGAAACAAAAGGAGATGATTTAGAAATTCAAACAAAGGCTATACATTTTTTCCAAAAGCATAAATTATTGCAATCAATCCCTCAACAGCTATTAATTGATATTGCTAAAAAATGCAAAAAACCTATAGAGTTCAAAACTAGCGACTTAATAGTAAAGCAAGGATTTAAATCAGATGCAATTTTTTTTATAATTAAAGGTGCAGTAAAGCTGATGAGGAGAATTGATTTTAAAAAAATTCCGAATTTATATAGTATTTTATCGCCATCTCAGCCAAATGATGCTGATTATCAAGAACAAAATATAGAGACGAAGTTAGTGGAAATCCAGAATTTGTCAAAAGGGGACTCAATAGCTGATTATGAAGTATTAAGAAATTTACCTTGTAGCTGTACTGCTATTGCAACGATGCCTACAAAGGTTTATAAAGTATCTATGCAGGATCTGAAATTGCTTGATTCTACTGATTTTCAAAATTTAGTGAATTTTACAGAAAGCTTACCTGATGATAATGAAATAAGAAAAATTTATATTCATACAGAAAAATGAAATTCATATAAACATTCGTATGTGAACAGTATCAAATTCGAAAAAAAGTATAAAAATAATTTTAACTTTAGGATGGAACCAATAAAGTCATTTAAATCCAGGAGCATAACACCGGAAAATATTTTTTCAAAACCTTTATCACACATCAAGCTTAGTCCAATATATAAAACTATGTTTTAATTCAATTTTAGGGTAAATTGTTTTATTATTGACCTATTTTTAATTTTATCTCTGTAAGTTTAGCCTGATGAAGTGTAAATGGTGGAGCTATTAAAATTTAATATCAATTTCTCAATAATTATTTAAATATTAAAGTTAACTTTGATAAATCCTTAATAAGATTATTACATTAAAAAAATTAAACAAATTGATTTTAACTTAAAGTATCAATAAAGAAGCATAAAAATTCCAATATATAAAATTAATTGATTTAATACACTGATTTTTGTAGTTTTTTAGGATTTTTGTCTTTTCAGTCCAAAGTATCCATATTTAATTTTGCTATAGAGCTAAGTAAAATGGAAAATCTTAAAAGATATATCAAAATTCAACCTTCTTAAAATGGAATAAATTTAATATAAGAATAAATCCTATAACTATTAAATATCATATTTACACACATACACATATTTAATCATTTTTCTCACCTTATATTATTTTTTAAAATGATATCTCAATCACTATCGACTTTATTTTTGCTTTTTCAGTCAAATATTTATTTTTTTATTAACTAATAATCCCCATGGATTATTTAACAGCAAATTCACCTATCATAAGTATATCAACTACTAGTGATATAGACCTCGATTTATGTCTTGGGTCTCCACATCTATTCGAAGAGTCCAGTCTTAGCACTATGTGGAGCGAAGGCCAAGCTCCACAAATCCCTACTCAACCCTCTACAGTCAGCTCTCCATCAGCTCATTTTCCTCGGTCCAGAAATGGTTTAAAATCAATAAGTTGGAAGGTAAAGGACATCGTTGAGCGACAAGGCTCAACCTCCTATAAATCTGTTGCCGATGAGCTATTATCTGAACTTAATATTCCCACAACTGCGACTAAGGATGAAAAAAATATCAGACGACGAGTTTATGACGCATTAAACGTATTAATTGCTGCTGACGTTTTATGCAAAAACGGGAGATTTGTCGAAATTAAACACAAAAATAAAGAAAATTTCTCATGTGACAGTGAATCTGTCATAGAAAAGCGAAAAATCCTACAAGAACTTGTAGAAAAGGTGGGATCTATGAAAGGGCTAATAAATAGGAACATGAAAAAATCGAAGCCCCAAGCGATTTTGAAGGTTCCTTTTGTAGTCTTGCTGACAGATAGCCCAATTGAGAGAGATTTGAAGCTGGAAATGAAAGTTTCTAGTAGAGGGATTGATGCAAATGTAAAATTCGATAAGCCATTTGAGGTATTAACTTCATATGAAGTAATAACAAAACTTTGTCTTCATAATCATTATGCAGATTTGCCTACTGAGGTGCTGAGAATTTGCAAAGGTACTTCGGAGGGTAAATTTTAAAATAAGATGTGAGTTGTATATATTTTAATAAAAATTGCAAAGGGTAGCATAATATACAGTCCTCAAAAGACTGAATTCTTCTTTAATTATAATAAATGCTATATTTATTTGGAAAATAAGCAATATTCTAAGTCTTTAACCTTCTCGGTAGGTATATAATTTATATAGGAATTATGATAATTTTAATATTTTATTACAAAAAAATTATATAGAATTTTATAAAAATCCAAATTAATAGAAAATGTTGGATCAATTTATTCCTATTTCTTATTAAAGAAGAATTTTGCTTTATTGAAAATAGATTTTAATGACAAATAAATATGCTTAGCCAAGAAGCAGTTTGTAGCAAAATTACTGAAAATATTTATGTCGGAAACTGCAGCGCCGCAATCAACAAGGCTCTTATGAAATTCAACCAAATCACTCACATATTAGTCTGTGGTATTGGCCTACCCAACAACTACAACAGTGAGTTCACTTATAAGCATATAAAGGTGGAAGATACCCCATCATTCCGAATCATTGAATTTTTTGATGAAAGTTCAAATTTCATCCAGGACGCCGTTTCATCAGGCGGGTCTATTTTTGTGCATTGTGCGATGGGAATTTCTAGAAGTGTCACTATTGTAGCAGCTTATTTAATTAAACAAAAGAGAATGAGCACAAATCAAGCCTTATCGTATATAAGGAGAAAGCACCCCAGGGCGAATCCTAATAAAGGATTCAAAAAGCAACTATCAGAATACAAACGAAAATTACTGGAAAGCCAAGACCATATAAATATAAAAGCTTGTAAATGCGACGTTTTTTAATTATTTCTTGCTGTTCTTTCGAATTGAAGCTTCGCAGCCATAAAAGCCCAGACCATGAAATATACAAAAAAGCCTAAAATTGAGGCTAAAAATAAATATACAATAAAGCAGTATGGCGAATCAACCTACCCTCTTATATCCTGCAGCTGACATCCTGCAGAGTGTACAGGACCTCGAGGAAGATAAACGGTTCTCGGGAATGTGTATTCGGCTAGTTTTTCTCGGCTTGGTGAAGCGGGTTAGCCGACTGCAAGCTTTACTCCGATACCAAGCTTTTTGCCTGGAGGAAATGGGCTTAAGAGTTTGAAAATTCTTCCAGCAAAGCCAGTGGTGTTTATATTATCCAATCAGGACTGAAACCAAGGGTTATGCTATGGGATTTGAGTTTGCATTTTAGACAGATTCGATAAGGAAATTCAACCGTTTGAATATTCCATGGCCTCTCTTGACGTACAGTACGGTGACACGACTCTCTCAACTACCGGGTAGCTAGTGCAGACCCTTGTCCGGCAGAAAGCAACCTTCGTGATACCGTCAAACGCGAACTGGTGAGCAGTGTGGGAAGCGTAAGGGGTTAGGAATAACAGCGGCTCTTCGAAGTTTAATAAGCAGAAATATAATATTGAGGCTAAAATAAATAAAACCAAATAATATTCCCTTTTCCTATACATTTTCCTGAAAGTGGGCAATGGTGATCATACCCTTCACAGCATAGCCCACAATCTTCACAATGTTCTGTTCCTTTTGCAGTCATAACATGACAAACTCTGCAAAAGCTTTTATTTTCAGCCTTCCCCAACTCAATTTCTTCTTGTGTGTCATTTACTACAATCCCAGGATTTTTCAGAGCGGTCATTAAATAGCTCATAAGGACTCAGGTGATTGCACTAAAGCTATAATTAGCATATGGATACGGTCGAATTTCTGGTCTCTGACCAAAATTCATCTCCTGCATTTTTATGAAGTTTGGGTTCCTTGTTGAAATTATCCCAACTATGTTAGAGAAGCAAGGCGTTTTATCCTATTCCAGAAGAGCACCACCTAAAGTTTGGCGTCTTCATAGGAGGTATTCGCACTTTGGCTAGCCAGAGGAAAATGGTGCCATACCTCACAGCAGTTTTGAAGGTAGCTGTGGCAGCTAGCAACTTAGTAGTGGGCGTCAAACGTAATAGCTAATATTTGATTTGATTGTACCAAAGCCTATAAACTGCATAGTAGGATCTACCATAGGAGCCATAACTAAAACATTAAAAATCATTGCAGAAATAATGATTGATAGTAGGCAAAGATTAAACATCCAGTCAGGGCCTATTGTATAGGTGATTTTGCCTTGAGAGTACCAGACAATGCATTTACCAAGCTTGGAAATTCCTGATTTTTTTTGAAACTTAACCTCGCCGATTTCTTCCATTATTATAAGTTAATTACAATATTTATCAACTTTAACCTCAAAACGGGTCCAGGTCCCAACTTTCATTAAACTAAGCTGGGAATATCCTATTATTAAACTAATTGTACATAAAATTTCTAAGAAAATCTTTATTTCTATACAATTTAATAGATGATATTCTAAACCAGCTTCTTTTTCTTCTTCTAAAACGTCTTTGTTATCATCTTCTGCAATATATGAATAAATACAGTTAATGAAACCGAATCGCTGGGTGTTATAGAGATTAGTCTCACACATTATGCATTTTTCTTCTTTTAAGGACGATGATTCCATCAATAAATCAAAAGTCCCCAAGCCTTTACTTATGTAGACAACCTGCTTGTAAGCTGCACAGGAAGGATTCATGCAGAGGCCTTCTTTAGTGAGACCAGTTTTTTTAATTTTTCATGAGCTTGGTGTGCAGGACCCATGAGTTTCTGATTGAAATATTATATAATGCATTGGAAAAATTTCTTACCATAATTGATTTGGCCAGATATAAGTAAGTTCTGATTAATTTTCATTTATCCATCAATAGGAACGCACTTAGCTAATAAAATTGATATTAATATAGAGCTAATGAATTAATTAAACTCCTAAGAATGTAAAAGACATAAAAACGCTTTTTATAGCAAATTAAGCGTGCTTTATATTTTAATTAATGTAAATTCTTGGAGAATTCAACATTTTTAGCATATCAAATTTTCCTCTCTTTAATTTGCATTGTGTCTTTTAAAATTAAAACTCGAAACACTTTTTACGTCAAAGAATATGAATTTGGGATTTTTTAGAATATGGAAAACTATCATCCATAGTAACTTCTGTGTCGTTTATAATAATCCGGCAGTCTGACCTCGCACAACAGCTTTTGGCTTTTAAAATTTCAGTTTTAAGGCAATCAACTGTAAAATTCTTTGGTAGCTGGATGCAAGTTGAAGAATCAGAGCAACAGTGTACAGAAAGAGTTATGGAAATTTTATCTTTATTTTTGGGAACTACAAGTGCTGTCATTTTTTCAGAATTCGCACTACAGTAAATTCAATTATTTTAAAAAAAAAATTTTCCTTTTTGAAATAAATTTTTAATATATTTAAATCAGCAAGTGTTACATGGTCTTTATGACCATAAACTTTCCCACGAAATTTAACAAGAACTTTGTAATTTTCTACGGTGTATGACAAAGGTAAAAAGGACTTAAGATCCTCGCAAATGCTTTTCATCGGGTAATCGCGCCGAACCCGCAGTCGCAAATTTGTGGTTTGGAAGAACCGGGAATCGAGCGTGAAGTCAACGCTCACACTCATTTGTCCTTCGTTGCAGACACCCATATTTTATATCAAATTAAGAATATTGGTTTATAATAAAGCATGACAAGAGCCGTCAAATTGGTTAATAAAATTTTAACATCAATAATCGAAATTTTAGATTAAAGACTTTTGCATAGGAAAAATGGTTTTTTTGTGTTTTTGAGTATTAATAGGTTTTCGTAAAAAAAAAAACAATATAATTGGTGCTAACTCCCCTCCGTGAGTGAACAAAAAAATTTTGTTCACTCACGGAGGGGTTAAGTTTTTTGTTTAAAAAAATTTATATATAAATTTTATAAAAAAAATTTTTTTTTTCGAATTTTAAAAAAATCCTAATTTGCAAAAATTGGAAAGCAAATATTAATTTAATTTATAAAATTTATATTTTAAAAAACAATTTGTTTAAAATTAAACAGAATTAGCTCGAGATTTCATTATAATAATTATCACTTATATATCAATTTTTTTTTCCATAAAAAAAATTTTTTGTTCACTCACGGAGGGTGGGTTTTTGAGCAAAAAATAGCGATTTTTCTAATGGTTTTGTTCACTCACGGAGGGGGGGAGTAAGAAATCAATATAAAATTTTTTGCTTGGCAAATGAAGGAAGCCAAATTTTAAGGCAGGAAATGAAATAAATCAATTCAAAGAAGGCGAAGAATTTTCATAGAATATCACAGAAAAAATAGGGAAAACTTTTGACAAATTTGCTCAAAATCGTGAAATTTTCTATAGGAAAGTTAGAAAATTGAAAATTTAATCATTTCTTAATACAGAATTTTAATCAACAAAATTTTCTTATAAAAATGAAGCCTTCAGATGACGTCAAATAAAATCAAGAATAGCTATATTTAATAATCTCCAAAAACTATCAAAAATTTCTTTATAAAGTTAATTTTTTCGACAAATTTTCTCTCCAAAATTCATTATTATTTACATTATAATATTTTCGCTTTTCCTTCTGTTATGCCCTTTGCTTGGTTTCGGCTTAAAAATCACACTGTCTTCTTGCTCTTGAAAATTGATCTCAGGTATATAAGAGCAATCAGGAATATCCTGCATAAAAAAGCTTCCTGGACCGTTCTGTGTTTTACTTGACGTGATGCTTCCTAGCAGCAAATCTGATAACCTCGCCGTACTTATCATGTCTTCTTTAATGAATAAATCTGATTCAAAACTTCCCATTTTGCTATTGATTCTTTCTAGCAATGAGTTTTTTAATTTTCTCAAATTTTCTTGTTTGCTATTTTTGGTGAATTCGTCATTTTGTTCGATAATGTCAATCATATCTTGGAATTCTTGGATTCCACGATTAGAGTTTGACTCGTCTTCGCTTTCTTGGCTTATAAGTCGAGGCTCGTCAATCTTTTCTTCTATTTCATTCAAAATTGGTAGGCTCATTTCTTCACTATATTTTGCTGCCTTTAAAATTGATTTGATTTTCTGGCTGCCGTCTACTTCTACTTCTGGAATTTTATTAGATAATGCCGAAAAATAAGCCTGTGTTCCAGAAATAGTACGCTTATGGCTTGGCTTCGGGTGGTTTGAGAGTGGTGGCTTTAATGAAAATTCATCCATGGAATATGTGCTTCTGTGAGTAGGGCTTTTTTTCACCTCATTAAATAACAGTTTTGGGTCTCGTTTATTAGGAAGCTGCAAAAATTGAGAATTATTTGATTGTGAAGATGTGTGTGTAGACTCTGATATTGGATTAAATAGTCTTTCTGTAGGAGTGATATTAGTTAGGTTTGAGAATTTCATTTTATTATAAGACTGAGATTTTCTTATGAAAATGGTGGGATTAAGGGTAAAGAGGATGAGAATTGATGAGTAAATAAAAATAAAATGAGATTGGAATGCAAATTTATATGATTTGTCTGAGGAAAATTTAATTTATAATCGTTAAGTTTATTGTGCATTACTGAATATTATTAAATATGTTGATAAAATTAAGGAATTATGGGTTTTTGAGTAAAATTTAAGATTTTTTAAATATTTTGAGGAGGTTTTACATTTAATTTTTGATTTAATCTGAGACTTTAGCATCTATTATGACTATGTTTAAAACTTTATTTATCGTAAAAGTTTCTTATGCGAGAATTCAGAGGTCAATTACATTTCAAACCGAATAAAGTAAAATCGTTCGGATTATTGATAAAATTGCTATCCCTTTATTATTCTTTGATATCTCTGGATATTCTAATTGATGCCATCAATCATATACTATTAAGCTCTCTTAAACGTATTTAGCAGTTTCTAATATTCTTCTACGTTAAGCTTCGATTATGCTTCTATTTCTTCCATAAACTCTCTTTTTTTTCTTTAAAATTCTAAGAATTCCTTTTTTTCCATTTCTTTAATTAAGGGTTGCCCTATATTGCCATTCTATTTTATTAATTTTCAAGCTATATTCAATGCTTTTTAAAAAACTTGATCTCCAATGGCCCTTATCTTTGATGATTAATTTTTAAAATAGACTATCAACAAATAGATTCCCACGACTAAGAGGAAAGATCTCAATAAATATTCCTATAAATGCAATCCCTAGTCAATTAATCGTGCTGGTAGCAGCTAAAGAAGCTTATTTCACAATAAGCCTATAAATTATGCTAAATGATCACAATTTCAAAACTTTATAAAGTATGCATAAAGAAGAAAATTAAATCCTATTAAAAAATCACTTAATGAATGATTTTACTTTAAAATTGATAAAAAGCCTCGCCATTAGTAATGCTGCATCTTACTTAAATAATCGGAGTTATCTTGATAGTTTAAATTAAATAAATCCTATTAAACTATATGATAGACTTTTTCGACAGCATTAATAAAGATTTGTGTGCTCACAACCTTCTCCAAGAACTTTACATCCCCAGATGGTGCATTATCTATCAAAATTTTCCCCAGTTCTTCTATATCCAAATATTTGCTCTCCAATCTGGATGGCTGCCTTGGCAGCAGTTCAAGTATACTCTGCCAATATCTTCCAATTTCATCTATAATTCCATCATAAGCATTTTTCTGGTCGCTTGATGGGGTATAGCAGACTCTTCCAGTGAATTTTTTATATCAAATTTTTATGATTGCCTCAGCATAAGCAGAAATAAAATGGTGACGTTGACGGAAATTGGTCTCTGAAGCGAATTCCCTATATAGCAGGCGGACCTATCCTGATAAAGCTGAAAATAGAGCTTCTGTCTCTTTTGAAGCAGGCCTTTTGGCTTTGGGAAGCATTGCCGAAGAGGGAGGCTTTGTTTCTCCCGAAGGTTTTCCTGTCCCTCCAGATTGGTTAGACAGGTTTTGCCTCATAAATAGTACTTTGCCTATTGGGTCTATTGGGCACCTGAAAAAGGTGGCTCTAATCTAGGAAGCTGATCCTTAGGTTAGGTGAGTTTAGCCAGAAAATTCAAGAGGTGGAATTTTGGCTGTGCCTGACACTATTTGCACTCAGGTGTGCATCCAGGTAGGCCATCTTTCCTCGAGTCAAGATAGTCCGGCTTAGGGTCCTGCTTATGGCTGTTTAAAAATTTTAACTTTAACAACTAACTCAGCATAAATTATCCTAATTTAATCTCCAAATCAGATTTATCTTATTACTTTATATTCCTAGTTTAATCTAGCACAATATATAAGGAACACTCAAAACATTTTTTAAATTATTCGCAAATGGCTCTTTCACTGACTTAGATATCGCATTTGTCCTTAAAATTCTTTTAGATATTTTTGGCTCATCCAAAATTACTCATATAATATGTGAATATTTTTTATTTGTGTATGACTGAGGCGCTGTTGGAAGTCCCACAAGCAAAGGAACTGGGGCTTCTAAGACATCTTTTAATGACTCAGGCAAAATTGGGGTCAATAAATGTGTCCAGTTAAATGGCCTCAATAGTGAATAAAATCCTAACTCCCCCTCCCCCTTTAAATTGGAACAAAATATCGATAAAATTTCCATTTTGAGTAAATTAAGTCTCCTTTAAATTAAGCAAAATTTAAATTTTTTTCAAAACAAATTAAATTATAACAAAATCTTTTGTTCTATTCAAAAGGGCGAGGGGGAGTAAGACACAACTACTGACATAGTCAAGGTTTCTGCTTACAAAGACTACAGATTTTTCTTGAATTAATGCGCATAAAAGCCAGAAAAAGTCTTTAAATTCTAATAGAGAAAATAATAAAGGGCAAAAATAAGAAGAGTCCAATAAAGATAAATCACTAGGAAGTGAATAGTATATATCATTAATCGAATGCAGATTTATCATTATTTGCAAGGTTGGTATAAGCGAATAATTTGTATAGTAATCCTGCAATAATCCAATTTCTTCATCACTAATCATCCTCTGCTTTCGAAAAACAGACTCAATAGACCCTCGATTATAAGGAGAGCGCTCTGAAATGCTGCTTAGTCTTTGAATCTGCTTTATAGCAAGAATTTTATAAAGAATCTCAAAGTGAAGCTCAAATGTAGGGCAATATGATACTAAGCAGTAGCATTTTGGAATTATTATATGTGTGTTTTCAATTTGTTGGTCAGTGCTAAGATCTTCGATAATGACACAACAGCAATATAAAAGCTCTTTTTCAGAATTTGCCATATTCTCATAAGGGAATTTTTCTTCAGTGCTATTTGATTTTAATGTAAACACAAAGCTGTTCCCTTCTCTCTTTTGATGTGGCCTCAATACCTCATGCACATCACTGGCAGACTCTGTGAGCCCTAAATATCTTACTGTAACCCCTGATGGAAATGAAAAATTCCCGATTGCTCTATATTGTGGGCTTGAATTTGTGATGTTTCTGGATGGGTACTGATAAAGAACTTCTGCCTCAGCGATTGTTCCAGGCCTGACTTTTCGGTCTTCGCTGATACCTAAAATAAAAAATTCTTCGAAAAGTTTGTTGGCTTTTGGGGTGTTGCTTTCTCTAGAAAAAGGGTTAAGCTGGCCTTCGGTTTCTTTATGGAGCATTTGTTTCATACTTACCCACCTCCGTGAACCAAAAAAAAACATTTTGTTCGCTTACAGAGAAGCTTAATTTTTTTGTTTAAATTTAAAAAAATTCCAATTGGAAAACAAATAGTAATTTAATTTACTAAATCTATATTTTAGAATGCAAGCTGTTTAAAATTAAATAGAATTAGCTAGAGATTTCATTATAATAATAATTACTTATTTTTCATAAAAACTTTTGTTTACCCACGGAGAATGGGTGTTAACTTAAAACATAAGGATTTTTCCAATATTTTTGTTCACCCACCACAAGGGGAGTTAGAGCCTTGCTAATTGAGGATTGGAGTGTGTTGCTGGAGCCGCATAAAGTTTGGGCTAATTCGTCGATTTGTTGATTAGGGATAGTTAAATATCTTAATGAAGGGTGAGTTTGGCATTAAGACAATTTTTATAATAATAAAAATTAGGAATTAATATAATATGGTATAATCTAACTGCTGTCTTTGCGACAAAGCTTTGATTTGAGATTGAAGATTTTCTATCAATTCTTGGTCTTTTTTACTTCTTTCTGAGGCCTCAGTAAGAGACGCAATTAACTCAGCATTTTTTTCACGCAGCTGCTGATTTTGGTTTAAAATGCTGAAATATCGATCTCTTCAGTAGAGAATCTCATCATCTTTGCTTTGCATTTTTATAGGAGATTAATAAGATATTCTAATAATTATCGTATAAAATAAAAATATAATTAAGCACGATGCTCTCTGATTTCTTGTATTTTTATGCTTTTTTATATATATAATCGCTGACAATATTTAATTTTGAATCTGATTATTTTAAGCATTCTTAAGAGAATATATATATAGAGAAAATTTTTACTAAATTTTCTTGAAAATTACATATAAATAAAAATGAGCTCGGTTCGTGAAATAGAAATCAGCGAAGCTATCTGTGGCAAGACTAGCCTTTATTCTTTCCCTTCTCAAAGCGCTACTAACGCAAATACCATGAAGCTTCCGCAATGCTCGTTATCAGAACCAATTCTCAGGATACGAAATCTCTCAAAAATATACAAAATGCCAGGACGAGAGGAGTCTGTTATTGCACTGAAAAGTATCAACTGAAATTAAATAAGCTAATAACGTGCCTTTCATAAATGCTAACTCCTCTCCCTTCAGTGAGAATCAAGTGCAGGAGCAAGGGATATGCATTTGGGTAGGTTTTAGCTGCTTTCCTGTGGTTGGATATTGAGATACTCAACAAAATACTTTGAATCGGAAGACCCATGGGCATTCCTTGACCAAGAAACTGGGGATTTCTGTTCAGGACATAGGGGAGTAGTCTTTTTCTGTAGCAGTCTAAGGAAGCCACTTCGGCGCCGACAAACTCCAAGGAATTGATTCATGGAATCAAGCTACTCCAATCGCCTGTAGAAATCTAAAGACATCCAATCAAGACTGAAGAAGCTACCGGAAGTGGCATTCACCTTCGGGGAAAGATGCTCTGGGCTGGAATCGAAAAGCGAATGAACTCTTACATGGGAGGTCTTTGGTGATTGCGTCACAAATATGGCTTACGCCTATTTTTAATATCTAACCATATCTAGCCTAACTCCCCTCCGTGAGCGAACTTTTGCATCTTCTGTGAGCGGACAAAAATTTTTTATGGAAAAAATATTTGGATATATAAGTGATAATTATTATAATGAAATCTCTAGCTAATTTTGCTTAATTTTTAACAGTTTTCATTTTAAAACATAAATTTTACAACATTAAATTAATTTTATTCTCAATTTTTTTGAATGGGATATTTTTAAATTTTGAAAAAAAAAATTACTATAAAATTTATATATATATATTTTTAAAATAATTAATCCCCTCTTTGATCGATTAAAATGCCTCTTTCCTCACAGAGGGGGAGTAACATAATAGTTTTCTATCATAATTTGGTAAGCCAAAATAATTATTAAACTAGCTAGAAGGATTAATATATAGCCTACTAGCAATTTGGCTCAAAAATTCAATATGCAGCGTTTGGATGCCATTTTTAAATTCTGAGATATCATTTTATTAAAGTATCAATCTCGTCGAATCAACTGAATTCGGCCCAATTCGTGAAGGCGAATTCATCATAATTCGTGGACCATCTGGAGGTGGCAAAACTACTCTTCTCAACATGATTGGGACTATCGACACCCCCACTGAAGGCGAAATCGAGCTATTTGGGACGTTTATCTCTAAAAATTCCTCTAACTTCCCACCCCCAATAATAACAAATTCTTGCTTTTTTGTGGTAGATTTTTGCACAAAATTTTATATGAATAGTTCGAAATTCGCTCGGCAAACTGCCCAAAATTTACATTTTCACTTTTTATCGAAAGTCCCAGAAAATAAGCAAATTTAGATCTATTGATATAAAATTTACTATTTGAAAATTCCCATGAATTACAAGATTTGCTTATTACTAGGAGGAGTGACAGCTATTTATCCAAGCTCAGACTTGAACATATAGGTTTTGTGTTCCAGTCGTTTAACTTACTCGCTACTATGACAGCGTTCGAAAACGTTGCTCTTCCTATGAACCTACTAGGAAAACTGAATAAAAAAGAAATCAGACTGAAGGTCAGAAGCTTATTGACAAAAGTAGGGCTTCAGGACAGGATGGACCATTTACCCTCAGAACTATCTGGAGGTGAGCAGCAAAGAGTTGCTATAGCAAGAGCTCTTGCAAACAGTCCCGAATTGCTGCTGCTAGATGAGCCTACTGGAGATTTAGATAGCCGAAGCACTGTAGATGTCATGAATTTACTATTAGATATAAATATGGGGAAGACTGGAGAAAGGCCTACTACCTGCATTATGGTTACACATAATCCTGAACTTGAGTGTTACGCTGATAGAATTTTGTACGTGAAGGATGGGGAATTCCAATTCCAAGCCTACAATAGTGAAAAAACACCTTTGGTTTATGAAGATTATGTCGCATTTTTAGATGTTAATCCTTAATTTATTAATAAAATGAGAAAAACTATCATCGCTCCTTCTGTTTTGTCAGCTAATTTATCATGCTTATTAGAAGACTCACGCAATGTGATTGACCAAGGTGCTGACTGGATACATTTGGATGTGATGGATGGACACTTTGTCCCAAATTTGTCATTTGGGCCACCAGTTATAAAGTCATTGAGGGATGGGATTTCCGATGTCTTTTTTGATTGTCATATGATGGTAAGTCATCCTTGGAATTGGGTAGAGGCTGTAAAAAAGGCTGGAGGCTCTGGCTATACTTTTCATATAGAAACAACTCCGGAGGAGTCTCAATTTTTTGGATTATTAAATGATATCAGAGCTAAAGGGATGAAAACTGGAATAGCCTTGAAACCAGGAACACAGCTTTCAGAGATGCTTTATGATGGAATTAGGAGAGGATTAATTGATATGGTATTGATTATGACGGTAGAACCAGGGTTTTCAGGGCAGAAATTTATGGCTGATATGATGGAAAAAGTAAGAAGCCTTAGGAGAGATTTTCCAGAGCTGAATGTTGAAGTAGATGGAGGGGTGAAGGTGGAAAATATTGATATAGTTGCTGATGCTGGAGCAAATGTAATTGTTTCAGCAACTGGGGTTTTTGAGCATCCAAATCCAAGAGAAGCAATTAGAGTTATGAGAGAGAGTATAGATAGTAAACAAAATAATAGTAATTAGGGAATTTTTATGGGTTTACTAAAATCTCCCTTTAATGGTTGGAAGCCAACTTAGCCTTCATATTTTCTAATCTTTAAGGCAGATAAATTATTATCTCTTCTGCAGCAATAATTCCAGCGAATACTCAACATATTGTTAAGTTTTATAGAAAAATCCCTTTAATAGTTCATAAGCAAGGAATTCGCCCACTCATCGAACTATTCATAGGAATTAAGTATAATAGATCTTGTTGACTTAATGTATAATAAACATATATTTCCTCTTCTAAACTACAAATTTGATGATTTTTAAACTCTTTATTTATTTCAATTTAAATATATATAGCAATTGAATAGCAGTTTTGGTCTCATATTCAATTATATGAAAGATAAAGCTTAAAGCGACGGGAGATAACAGAATGCTCTCTTGATGAGGCAATTGAACTTTAAGGATAATGCGAACTGGAGTGAATATCGAGCTGAAAATTAAGTTCAGCATCAGGAGATGAGCATCGGTAGTTCAGCCGCTGAGCTTCAAAATGGAGGAGATTGAGATGCCAATATTTCTTTTAATGCTTGAGTAATTCATCAATTGAGAAACCAGGGATTTAAACTGAATTTAAAAGCAGTCTTTTCTTATTAGTGATGATGCACTTTGGCACCCTTTAATTTCAGAGTACAGACTCCAAGCCGATAGGCAAGTGCAGCCAAAACAAATGTGTATCCGATAGGCTGTGGCTACTTTTCTCTGGTTGGAAATAAGGGTATCCAGTAATGTTTTGACCCTCGGACATTTTCTACTGTTTGTTGCAAAGTGGATGAACCTCATGTGTGGGAATTGTTGGTGACAGCGTCAACTAATTCCTGTCTTTAATTAACTTCCTAGAATTTGTTGGGCATTAATGTTCGCAGACAGAGAAACTTTGCAAGGAAGGTCTTTGTTAACTGCGTCATGAATGTAGCTATCCCTATCTTTAATATTTAACTTAACCTTTCTATTTTTTCGCAATTCAAGAGATTTAATTTATTATAAAACTATCAGCTGATTACTGCCATACTCATAATTAAATTTGGCATCTCGGCCCAAGGCATGACCTTCCGGCTATGCAGCCTCGAGCACATATTTAATTATATCCGGCAAGGTTTTTATAACCCAGAAATGGACAGCAATATCAGGTAAGCAATTCCAGCAGTTTGAGAAACTTGATCTAAGTCCCTTTTCAGGATAGCGAAAAAGGGAAGGCTTAGAGTTGGAAAGGAGAACCCTAGCGGCGTCTCTTGACACTTCGGGCAGCTCTTAGTATGAAAACAAGAGTTGCATCTTGGGCTCTGAGTTAGAACTTTTGCCGACAGTCGGCGAGAAATTCCATTTTTCGAAATTTCCCTGCAGATAACCCATGTCGAGCTCGAAGAGTCGGAGAGCTGTCGAAATCCTAACGCTCAAAGCCGAGGGACCACACAGTCTTGATACCGATACAAAGAAGGAGTGGAGAACCCCTAAGTAGGGACGGAAGCCTGCACAGGTAATGTGGTAGTGGACGTTAAACGGAAGACTTAGCCCTTCAAACTAATAAATGTGTGTGATTACTGCCATAGTCCATTTTGCATATATCGTCAGAAGACAGAAATTAAAATAAATAGCGGGCTAATGCCAGCGCCTGGTCTCATATATTTTCTAATGAAAGATAAGTAAAGAGGAAAAAATTAATTTTAAATAGATTTAAGAATTTCCATGAGTGGTTATTCCTTTAGAGCAGGTATAACTCAACCAGACTTATTTCTCCCACTCCGCCTAATCCCTAGAGATTTCATTTTAAATAAAAAAGGAAAAAGAAAATGAATAGCTCACCATTATGGATTTAACAATGTCAAATTGATTTTAATGGTTTCATCTAAACTTAAACCGTCAGGAGGCGGTGGAGGGAAAGGGCGCCAATGCCAATCTATAGCAGTTCGCTATAAATCCGTGAGTCATATCCTTACACTCTTTGATTGTTAATCCTTTCAAGCTGAGAACCTGCACTTCTGCAACTCAATTATAATTCCAAGCCAGCTTCTAGTATCAGAATCTCTTCTGGTACTTGATAGACACAAAATTTAACCTCTCGGAATAGCATAGCAAGCTGAAAGCCTTGTAAATAGGAAACTCAAACCAAAAATAACCATTCGAAGATTAAGCCATAATAATAAAATGGCTAAATAAGAAATTGGTTATATCCGAAACCCTTCCTCCTCTGTATTTATTATTATTGAGTTCAGTTTTTGACGTGGATTTGTCTAAAATGCGAATATGGAATTACTGAATAGGCTAGTTCGATATCTCAATTAAAAAAGAGACATATGCTTTTACTGCATGACCACCGGAGGATGGTGACCTAAGGTGGAGCTCGCTCTAGAGTGAGATTCAGGTAAAGTTATGTGACTCTTAAAGGCTTTTCAGGCCCTTTTGGTGGTCATCGGCAATGCTTGCTAGAAAAATTGTCTGCTGACGTCACCAATAGGAAGTTAAAAGGGTGGGCTATAGGCTGAATGGTTACTTCACACGACGACTATTTCATAACGACTATTTTTTTTTGGCCTATTTTTTTTTGGCCTATTTTTTTTTGCATATTTTTTTTTTGGCCTATTTTTTTGGCCTATTTTTTTTTAGCCTATTTTTTTTGCCTGGCCTCATTCATGAAGCTGCTGAGAGGACTAAAACCTTATTGAGAAAGAGAGACTTTTCCTTACGCGATTAATATTGAGTAAATTAAGTGGAAAACTCCTAATTAAATCTAAAATTCTCGAAATTTTAAAAAGCAAATAATTGGTATTCATTGAGTAAGAAATCTGCTACTCCCCCCCCCTCCGTGAGTGAACAAAAAAAATTTTGTTCACTCACGGAGGGGGTTAATTTTTTTTTTTTTAAAAACATTTATATATAAATTTTATAAAAATTATTTTTTTTTCGAAATTTAAATAAACCCTAATTCGCAAAAATTGGAAAGTAAATATTAATTTAATTTATAAAATTTATGTTTTAAAAGGCAATTCGTTTAAAAATTAAACAGAATTAGCTCTAGATTTCATTATACTAATTATTATTTATATATCAAATTTTTTTTCCATAAAAAATTTTGTTCACTCACGGAGGGTGGGTTTTTTGGGCAAAAAATAGCGATTTTTCTAATGGTTTTGTTCACTCACGGAGGGGGGGGGAGTAAGGGTGCATTTTTTGTTGGTTAAATCGTTTAAAACACACATTAAAAATTATATTAAAATAATTAGTATAGAATTATGGCCAAATATTGGTAAAAAATAGCTAAAAAATTGTCAAAAAAAAAGGCCAGAAAAATAGGCCAAAAAAAAATAGGCCAAAAAAAAATAGTCGTTATGAAATAGTCGTCGTGTGAAGATACGAGGCTGAAGGGGGCACACATGCTAAAACCTTAAACGTAAGTAAGGATTTAAACACAACCAAATTCCATCTAAATTTATAACTAAGAGTGATTATAATTTTCCTATAGATTTTTGATGTGTATTAATTACTATTTTAATTATTCCATTGATAAGTTCACTGATATTTAAATGGCCCATACGCTATTTCCACTCCCTTATTCCTATACAGCTCTTGAACCTCATATGGATGCTAGAACTCTTGAAGTCCATTATACAGCTCATCACAATTCTTATGTGACCAAGCTAAATGCAGCTCTTGCTGATTTCCCGGACAAAGCCAATCTCGATCTTACTGCTTTGCAGCATCTTGTATCAGGCACTAACCCTGCTGTCATCAACAACGCAGGTGGACACTATAATCACACTCTTTTTTGGCAGAATATGGGCCCTGTTGGTTCTTCAAACCCAGCTCCATTTGGAGAACTTGCTGCCAAAATTGATCAAAAATTTGGCTCATTTCAAGCTTTTAAAGAGCAATTTACAGCTGCCGCTGTTAATAAATTTGCATCTGGTTGGGCATTTTTGACTGTCAAGCAGGATGGGACGCTTGAAGTCCATAACACTCCTGGACATGAAAACCCTCTCATGGACGGAATTGGAACAGTCCATGGAGTCCCAATTCTGACTTGTGATGTTTGGGAGCATGCCTATTATTTGAAATATCAACAGAGGAGGCCTGAATTTGTGGAAAATTGGTGGAAAATTGTCAACTGGGATGCCGTGGTGAAAAATTATGAAAATTATGCAAAGAAAGGGCAGGCAGTGCCATTTGCTAGACCTGCTAAGAAAAGTGGGTGCTGTAGTATTTTTTTTACAAAAGAGATAGAATATGATTACCATTCTCTGGTTAATCTAAACTTGCTTAAAAACTTAAGCGCTATGACTGGTTTTCCATTTTCAAAAGTAGTTGATTGTAGCATCAAGTTGGAGGAGATTGGTTATATCTTAGATGAGCTTGACCTTGAAACTATAATAAATAAAATGGCATTCGGTTCGAGAGAAATTAGCTTTGCTAATTTTCTCTCCATCATGGAATTTTATTTATAGGGTTAGGTTTTCACTCGAGAACTTCTGGACAGTAATAGCAGTTTAACTCTGGGGATAAACCAGAGGAACCACTCCTCAGTCCTCTCAAGATTTCGGGCTTTTTACCTCTCAGCACATCCCCACGGGAGGATGACCCTTTAGGCGGAACACGCGCAGGAGCTGAGTCGAGCGACAAGGGCGACGGCATCGCGCCGGGTGAGACGTGCAGCAAGGCTGGTGAAGCAGGAGTTGATAGAAGGCTTGGCCAGGGCTGACCTGTTCCAAGATGGCTCGCCTACGTCACTAGTTTTGCCATAGGCCCTTTTGGGCTGCGGCACTAGACACCTTAAACACCAGATAATTAAGTAAGTAAGACCTTGAAACTATAGGGAGCTTGATGATAAGTATGGAATAAGTTAAAGAAAATTTTTTAATTTTTGAAGCTATTGAAATAAATGTGCATGGCTCATGCACCGATATGGATTGCTATCATTGAAAATGTAGCAGTTCTAAATGACTTCATATTTTGTTTCTTAGAGCGGATTCCTAGTGATTAAGAAAAATATTCAGAATATAAATAAAATATCTCTTGTTTTAAACTAATTTAATCTAATTTAATATAATTATTTTTTAATAATGATCAAAATAACTTTAATAATTAGCATAACTAAGGCAAATAAAGTCAAGACATATTTATAACCCAAGTGGTCTTTTTTAGCGAAATAATTTTTAAAAAAATTTATATTATAAAAAAATTAACAATATATAATTATTAGTATCAGCCTCTTAGGCCTATCGCAAAGGTATAGCTAAATCATTAAGATAAAGTAATTTCGCAATCGTTGTAGCAATATATGGTTTTGTTCTTTGTTTTAGAAATCTTCCATAAATATCTTCATGCTATATTTTGCGACCATTTTTTCTGCTGATTTTCTAATTTCTCTTCAACAGATTTTTATACTGTACTAGTTGGCCAACTAGATCTCTTATAAGTTACTCATAGAATTTATACTTGACCTTTGAGTAGATCATGAAATAATTTGTAATTGCAACTTCAAGCAAAAAATAACATAAAATTTCCGTGATTTTTACTGATTTTCAATGAGTCGTACAAGTTTGAATGAGCTGATCAAAATAGTTAGCTCCATCCATTCTATATGCACATTATCAAATTAAGGCTTCCCTTTATCGGCTTCAGTTCTGCAGGAGTCCTATCAACAAAAGATAAATCCATCAAGAAGAATAGCCAATTACCCTTCGATAGATTGAAACGTGGTTTTGAATAGAAATAATGATGGATTCAAATATCTGATAATTTCACTAATAACTTCTTCATAAAAAACCCTAAATAAAAAAAGAAATGGCGTAATTTCTTCTGAACTAAAGCTGTTTAGGATGAGAGCATAATAATCTCTTCTATTAGATTCTGAGGATTCAGTTCAGTTATCAGGGAAAATTTCACCAGTAGAGATATTTCTTCATCTTCTTCATATGAGAAAGTTGCTCCAGAAAAGCTACTAAATGATTCTTCTGCTCTAGAATCAATCTTATATTATTCAAGCCTTATGACTATCCATATTACTATTTTAATTATTATACTAAATAAAGTATCTGCTTTAGATAGTATATTATTAGTTGATGATAGCTTTAATATAAATTAAAACTAAACTCTAATAAATTTTATTATTTAATACGCTTGCTTCACAATAGAAAAATCTTTGGATGCATATTCATCAGAAGCACGACTAGGTACGATTTTTGAAAGGGCGGTTTTTGAGAGCTTACCAAATGTAAACGCGAACCTAAATAGATGAGTTGTATCCAGACCTTTTCTTCTATACAGCAGACTTGGATATTTTTTTCTTTGCACATAAATACCGACAGCACCAATTAAAACCCATCCTATACAAACTAACAGAAATAAAATTAAATAACCTCCTTCAACATTAGATGAGATCGTTGAAAGCACAGAAAGCCATAATACGCCTATTAAGCTTAAGGCTTGCCATCAGCAAAATCTTGGATAATTATAAGGTTTCCATCTAAATATAAATCCAATATAAGCAGCCATTATGACAGCAAATAAAGCTCCATGAATTGCGCTATCTGCCCTTTTAACTGTTTTATTCATAGCAATAAGTATGATTTGGACTACAGATTTAACCATTAAAAATAAAGGAGACGTATAAATGTGCAAATTCATCTGCAACTCTTGCCACAAAGGTCTACAAAATATTGCAAGAGGCTCATAGCATAAAAGAGCTATAAAAGAAAAAATTGCGTATATTAAATGATTACCCTTTCAGCAAAAATAATAGCAATCTTGAACAAGAAAACTGTCAGTAAAATCCTCTCCAATAGATTGATCGCACACAAATACATTTAAACACATCGAAATAAACGGAATAAAGCATAAATTACCTAAAATCGGCATTAAATAGTCTGCAAGTCAAGCTAAAAATCTTAAAAATGATACGCTGGGAAATTTTTCATCCAATCTGAGTAGAATAACAGCGCAAAAAATTAATCAAACGGTAATAGCTCCATAGATCCCATCAATTACAATTCAAAATACCCCGTTTTTAAGCTTTAAAGAGTTTTCTAAGTTGAGGGAAAAAGAATTGCTGATTTTTGCTAAGAAGCTACTGATTAGAGTTATATCTGGCCCGATCGCTACGAACTGGAAAAATTCAATGCCAATTGTTATCTGAACAATAAAATCTTGCAAAGAAATTTCTTGCCTTTCTTTAAGTTCTTTTATATTGATATTTCACCACGTTTTTCATATATATGCGGCAGAAACAAAAGAGATTAAAGCAAATCCAAAGCAAATGCCAAAAGCGAGAATTCTTCCTTTTGTAAACGTCCTTACCAGTTTATCAGAAAAAGGGCATTCGTTATCTTGATTTCTTAGATCTTCCGGCTTCATAGTGGACCCATCTCCATAAATAATCGGTATATCAATTGTTAGCATTACGCTGCTATACGGGTGAAATTCTCCTATTTTATAAGCAGTCACATTACCAGAAGCTGCATCTATTTTATTAACATTAATATCAAAATTTTCCATAATCCTGTCATTGCTGTCTTTATCAATCGAAAACTTTCCTGTGCATCCAATAAATTTCTGAGCTCTCATTGTCAAATTTAGCTGATAAGGATCATAATAGTCAAGTCCTTGATTTATCATCGAATCCAACGCAACCGCTATATAATAAGCTGCATCATAATAATTGCAAGCATATGAATAAGGGACTACATTATAAAGAGATGCTATTTTTGAGTACGCAAAGTGTCCAACTTTTCCAACCCAGTTTTGTCCAGAAATAATGATCATCGGAACTCCTGTATCTTTCACTTTATAAGTATACATAAAATCGTACTCTCCCAATGTAAGAAATAATGAACTTGAAACAAAAATTACGAGATCACCTTTTCTTAGGCCTAAATCATATAGCTCTTCAAGAACGTAATATAATTCAGGAGGCATAAAGAATAAAGCCAAAAGCCTTGCTTGAGTACTAAAAACTGCTTTCAGTGAATCAGAATATTTTTTTATGGTGGTTCTATTTAGATTATCAGGGATCTCCCTCAAGCTTTCAGGGTTTAGAATTTCTAAGCCATATTTCTTGGCATTTTCTATAAGTGTGGAATATGATACCTTGTTTGATGGGTCATCAGAATATAAGACACAGAGTTTATTTCAGCCTAAAACTTTTAAAAAAAGCGAACTCAAAGCAAGTATGTAGTCGTTCGAAATGGCGATTCTTGTAAACATAGGATAAAGTGCGGTTGAGCTCAGTGCATGGCCTAATGCTACTGACCCAACGACTGGAATTGTTACATTTAAGCTTGTAAAGAGCTTCATTTCTCCAGTTGCTATTACAGAAGCGCTTGATATATGAGCTAATCCAATTTTATCTATATCTTTGGTAAAGCAAGGTCTGGCAAACTTTTCATCATAATTCAATGTGCCGCAGTCATAAATGAAGTATCTAACTTGGAAATTTTTTAAAATCCCTAATGTGTTGTCATTTATCAAGCTTCATGCTGTATATGCACCGTTACAAAAAAGGGGTATAGTTGTCATTGGAGGAGTGCCAGGATTAGTCGCACCTCCAGATATTGATACGTGCAATATTTTTTTGTCTGATTTTGGCGCATTATGAGTATTTCCAGGGAAAATTAAATTTTTTACTATTTTTACTTCTCCATCAAAGACTGAGCCAATGATTTCTCTTTTCCCCTCCTGAATATTAATGATAGAAAATTGATTTTTCTGGCTATATCCTTTCATTAAATATCTTATTTCTTCAGCTGTCACTGGCTCTGCCGTGCTATTAAATAAATATTGCAATAAATTTTCAGTTGATTTAAATAAAAATTCCTTTTGAGAGCTTGCATATTCTTGGCCTTTTACAGTGATTATAATTGCTCCATCAATTTTGCAATCGTAACCACTGTTTTGATTTAAAATTAATCCATCTCCTTCCAGTAGAAGTTTTTTGGATTTCAATGATTCTTGAATTATCGATGAGAGAACAGAATTTGTAAAAATGTAATACAAAGTAGTGCCTAAAGGCTTGATAACCCGATTTTACTAACTCTGCTCCTCATTTAAATTAGATAAAAATGGATAAAATTTCCAATTTTTAGCCCACTTTATTTTTTTAGCAGAAAATTTTTATAGGGAAAATTACTAATTTTTATAAAAATAGTAGTTTGGCTTAATTTAATGGAGGAAGTGCTAATAGAAAGCTAATTAAGCATTTGGCATGTTAAATCGATTCTACTTTAAATTAAATATATAAAAATCAAAAATATATATATTTTTTACAAATTATTTTATGTTTTATCAAAAAAAATTAACTCCATAAATTGGAGCAGAATATTGGTTCCAATTTAAAGGACGAACTAAGCTTTCTATGTTTGTAAATGACTCTACAGCTAAATAATTAAAAGTTGCTGAATATTCTAAAAATTCGTTTTTATTGTATATATTATCTTCGTCAGCAATTACAAGTCCTTGAGTCCAGTTAAAGTAATCTAAAACTGTAAAATATGCATTCATTTGAGCTGAATGAGAAGTGACGATGTTGTAAGTCCATTTGTCATGGTATAAAGACTCATACCTTCTCTGAGGAACCAAGTGGATTTTCTTGTTTTCTTCACATAATTGAGAAAGGCTTAATTGTATTTCAAAATCGTCTGATAAATCAAGGACGATTAAAGTATCAGGATAAATATTGAGACACTCTGAAATTGCTGAATGGTTACAGTGATGTCAGTCAATAATTAAATTGAATTGGTTTTTTATTTCCTTGATCCAATTTTCGCTGGCTATGTTTTTATTATTTTGGGCAATAATAATATCAGCTGAAGAAGATAAGTTTAGCATAGATAACAAACATAATATCTTAACGAATCCTATGCCAGAAATGCCTTGCTTTTTTTTTGCTGATTTTTTATTCATTTTAGTATTAGAGTTGTAATTCATTTACAAAAATCTGAAAGTTTAAAATTTGTATGTATAAGAAGATGTATACCCATAAAATAAATATATTAAAGTTAATAAGTAAACTCAAATCAATAATAGCAAACATATTTCAAATTGAATTTTCTTATTTTCAAATTTTTATATACTAATAAAATATTAAACATAAATTATTTAAAACTTTTAATTTCCCAGAAATGATAGAGAAGCTAAACATCATTTTAAGATAATATTTTTGGTAATTAATTTATAATTAGTTATCAGAGAGCTCAGAATCTTTATCTTGACTGATTTTATATTTTAATATAATCATAAATGAAAAGCAAAGTTTATATATATGATCAGCATAATTTTAATAATAATTTCAATTTTGCACTGGTAAAATAAATTATTAAAAATATTTATTTTTAGAAAAAGCTGTTATATAAATAAATAATCGAATCAAAACTATATTTATCCCTTCAAATTCAACAGCAACTTCTAACTATTAATTTTAAATAAGAATTACATTCTCTACAAATAGCTTATGCATATCCAACTTACTATAAGTATTTTTGCTCTAACTCCCCCCCCCTCCGTGAGTGAACAAAATTTTTTTTGTTCACTCACGGGGGGGGTTTAATTTTTTTTTTTAAAAAATTTATATATAAATTTTATAGAAAAATTTTTTTTTTTCGAATTTTTAAAAAAAATCCTAATTTGCAAAAATTGGAAAGCAAATATTAATTCAATTTATAAAATTTATGTTTTAAAAATCAATTCGTTTAAAATTAAACAGAATTAGCTCTATATTTTATTATACTAATTATCATTTATATATTAAAACTTTTTTCCATAAAAAATTTTTCTATATAAAAAAATTTTTGTTCACTCACGGAGGGTGGGTTTTTTGGCAAAAAATAGCGATTTTTTAATGGTTTTGTTCACTCATGGAGGGGGGGGGGAGTAAGGATATTATGTAAAACTGAAGATGAACTTTTAGGCTTGCTACTTATAAGGCTCTATAAATTTTTCTTAGAGTGCTGCTGAGTAGGGTCAACAGAATTTAAATCTAGAGGTTTAGATTAATTTTCAAGCTAATGAAAAAGTATGGTAAACTAATTCATGGCTTAAAAAGGTTTTTGAGGAGCTATTTAGACTTAGACACAATGTGAGCTGATGGAAACATTATGTTTCAGATGATAGGGAGATTAATGGCGTATCAGAAAATCTGAAAAGCTTTGATATTAAATTTTACTGTGCTTAATAATCTATAAAAGCTTATCTTTATAATAATGCAAGGATGAGATTATTACTATATATGAGCATGGCTATGCATTCATTTTAGATCGCTTTATTTCGAAATTGAATTAAAAATTAATTAATAAGTATAATTTGATAAACATGCTTGAAAATCATTTGAATTGGCTAGAAAAAGGCAAAAGTTGCTTAGAAGAAAATAAACCAAACGAAGCACTAGAATGCTATGAAGAAGCAATTAAGTTAAAACCCAACGATTCTAGAGGATACAAAGGCAAAGGTAACGCTCTTAAGGCTTTAGATGAAAATGATGAGGCTTTAAAATGCTATAGCAAAGCAATTAAACTCAAACCTGATGATCCTGAAGCTTACAATGGCAAAGGTACAGCTCTTAATAATTTAAAAGACAATATCAAAGCAATAAACTCATATAATAAAGCAATAAAACTCAAACCTGACTATGCTGAAGCTTATTATAACAAAGGGAATGCTCTTGGTGATTTAGAAAAGTTCACTGAAGCAATAAAATCCTTTAATAAAGCAATAAAACTCAATCCTAATTATGCTGAAGCTTATAATGGTAAAGGCAACGTCCTTAGTGATTTAAACAGAAATTCTGAGGCAATCGGATGCTTTGACGAAGCTATTAAACTCAAGCCTGGCTATGCAAATTCTTACAATAATAAAGAAATGAAATGGTGTCGTTGGCAAAAATTGTGCTCAGATGCTCACTCCCTATGGAGCAGGAAGGACCTATACAGATGAAGTTAAAACAGGCACTCTACCCCTTTTTGAAGAAGGCATTCAGGTTTAGGGATATCTTGCCGAAGAGGGAAGTTTTATCCTCTCTTAGGTTTTCCTTTCCATACCAGACAGGCTAGACAGTTTTTGTCGCATAATCATTTTATTACAATAATAAAGGGAATGCTCTTTTAGAATTAGGAAAATATGAAGAAGCCATAGAATGCTACGATGAAGCACTTAAGCTAGAACCTGATGATGCTTATACTTACTATAATAAAGGCAACGCTTTTAATGATTTAGGCAAAAAAGTTGAAGCAATAGAATGCTATGATAAAGCAATCAATATAGAGCCTGACTATGCAGAAGCCTATTTCGATAAAGGTAAAGCTCTTTATGACTTAGGTAGAGCACCCGAAGCAATTGAATGCCATGATAAAGCTATTGGCCTCAACCCTGAGCATGCGGCTGCTTACTGTAATAAAGGGGATGCTCTATTTAAGCTATGCAGATATCCTGAAGCAGTAGAATGCTATGATGAAGCAATAAAGATCGACCCTAACTATGGTTATGCTTATTTCAATAAGGGTTCAGCTCTTTATGAATTAGGCAGAAATGATGAAGTTATGGAATTGTTTGACAAGGCAATTGAACTCAATCCAGAAGAGCCTGATTATTACTTCAATAAAGGTACAGCTCTCTATGCATGAAAAAGATTTGATGAAGCAATCATATGCTTGAATAAAGCAATATACTTAATCTATCCTTATAAATTGCATCAGAATGCAATATCATTTGTATAAACTACATTTGGTAGGTTCCTCAAATCAATATTATCCTAATTCATTCTCATTAAACAATTAATATTAGCTTTCTTAGCTAGTATTTTTTTAATTTCACATGAGAATTTTTGCTTAGCAATATTCCATCTCCTCTTGATAGGAGTTTTCTGGATTTCAATGTCTCTTGAATTTTTGATGAGAGAACAGAATTTGCAAAAATGTAATACAATGTTGCTCCTAAAGGCTTGATAACTCTGCTTACGACCTTTTCAAGGCTTGCCGATGTTCCTATAGTTATATAATCAAAAGTCTCCGAATAGTCTAGAAATTTCTGCTTGATATATGTATGATCTCTATCAGTGATTAAAAGCCCTTGAGTTCAATTAAAGTAAGCTAAAGCCGCAAAATATGCATCAGCTTGGGCTATGTTTGATGGAAGGATATTATATGTCCATTCGTCGTCGTAAAGAGACTCTTGATTCTTCTGAGGAACCAAATGAATTTTATTATTTTCTTTACATAATTGAGAAAGGCTCAGTTGTGTCTCAAAGCTGTTTGATAAATCAAGAACGATTATGGCATTTGGATGTGAGTTAACACACTCTGAAATTATCAAGTAGTTGCATTGATACCATTCGATAGCTGGCTCAAATTGCTTTTTTGTGTCTTCAATCCAAATTTGATTAAGCTCATCTCTATCATTTTGAGCAATAATAATTTCAAATGAAGAGCACAAATTGAGAATTGCTAAAAAAAATAATATCTTTATAAATCCGATATCAGAAAAATTGTTAGATATTTTAGCCTTTTTGTTCATTTTTTTTTACTAAGCAAAAATGAAAATTCTGATTTATTATTTTTATATGGAAATAGTTAAACTTATTTATAAGACAAACTAATTCTATCCCTACTATGTAAAAATACAAGAAAATTTATTTGGTACCTCAAAAAAAGTTTGAGTCTTATAAATATAACAAATGAGTTATAGCATCCCTTCTCATTCAGCTCAAATGAATGCATATTTTGCAGTTTTAGATTATTTCAACTGGACTCAGGACTTATAATTACTGACGAAGATAGCATATACAATAAAAAGAATTTTAAAATATTCAGCAGCTTTTTATTATTTAGCTGTAGAGTCATTGGCAAACGCTTAGCCAGCAGCAGCGGGCCTACCTCTTCTGAAACTTGAAACAAGAAGGCCTTAATCTTTAATAATTTGATCCTTCTTTACAAACCCTATGCCAGAAATGGCTTGCTTCTTTTTTGCTAATGCTTTATTCATTTTTTTATTAGAGTTTTAATTCATTTACAAAAATCTGAAAGTTTAAAACATTTTATATATACAAGAAGAATTATGCAAACAGCTAATATAGAAATATATAGTGTTTCAAATATCTCTATGGATTAAATATCTGCTTGATACATAAATTTCATTTTCCATTTTAGGAGAAATCGTATTAAGAAGTTCTGACATATTTTTCAATATTGATATGTCAAAACATTTCTGGTTCTAAGCAAATTTGCCTGACTCCCCCCTTTGATTAGAAGCAAAATATAGGTAAAATTTCAATTTTTTGGATATTTAATCCCAATAATTTTTTTTTCAATTTTGAAAATTGGATTGATATAAAAATACTTGTTTTATATTAATAGTTTAAATTTAATCCTTTCAAACAGCTGGCACGCTAAATTATTAATGTTTTTAAATTAATTCTATCCAAAAAATAAATTAAAATTCAAAAATTGCATCCAATAATATTTTTGAATTTATATTGATTTTTCTATTTTTTTTTTTTTAAAAATTAGTAAAGGAAGTACTAATAAAAAGTTAATTAAACAGTTGGCACATTGAATCGATTTTATTTTAAATTAATTCTTATAAAACAAATTAAAATTCAAAAATATTTGCTCAGCTATATATTTTTAAATATTTTATAATTATTTTTTTACAAAAAAAATGCCATAAATTGGAATAGAAATTTTGGTTTCAGTTTAAAAGACGGAGTAAACTTTGTATGCTTTTCGATGTGTCTACAGCTAAATAATTAAAAGTTGCTGAATATTCTAAAAAATATTTTTTATTGTATACGTTATCTTCGTCAGTAATTACAAATCCTTGAGTCCAGTTGAAATAATCTAAAACGGCAAAATATACATTTATTTCATCTGAATGAGAAGGGGCGATGCTATAAGTCCATTCGTCATAATATAAAGACTCATACCTTTTTTGAGGAACGAAATGGATTTTCTTGTTTTCTTCACATAATTGAGAAAGGCTCATTTGTATTTCAAAATCGTCTGATAAATTAAGGATGATTAAAGTGTCAGGATAAATATTGAGGTACTCTGAAATATTTGAATTATTGCAATGATGTTAGTCTATAATTAATTTGAGTTCTTTTTTTATTTACTTGACTCAATTTTTGCTGGTTATGGTTTTATCATTTTGGGCAATAATAATATCAGTTGAAGAAGATAAATTTAGCATAGATAGAAAATATAATATCTTAACGAATCCTATGCTAGAAATGCCTTGCTTCTTTTTTGCTGAGTTTTATTCATTTTTGTATAGAGTTTTAATTCATTTGCAAAAAATGAAAGTTAAATAACTTTTTTATATATAAGAAGAGATATGCTTATAAAATAAATATTAGTTGAAAGCATACTTGCAAACGCAGAAACTTATGATAGCATTTTAAATTCTTTTGCTCAAAATAAATTTATCGAATTTCTTGAAAATATCAAAGCCTGCATTAATTAGTTCCATTTTTATCAGATTCCTTAAAGAATTAATAAATCAACACTATAAATTTGACATATTCTACATTGAATTTATTCAAGTTTTTTATGATACTGATAGAAGATTAATTATATAATTTATTTAATTTGAGTTTAAGACTTTTTAATCTTTATCCTTTTTCCTTAATCTAGAAAATATTTTTGCGCACCAGAAAGGGATATTTTGAATTCTGACAGATGAAGTTTTCAAGGCTATTTTATTTTAGCCAGTTTTATGCTAAGGAAGTAAGCAGGAATTTATTTTAACATATTTATTTTGAGGCATACGTTTTCATAAATATAAAAAGTTTTAAACTTTCAGATTTTTGTGAATGAATTACAACTCTAATACTAAAATGGATAAAAAATCAGCAAACAAAAAAGCAAGGCATTTCTGGCATAGGATTTGTTAAGATATTATGCTTTCTAATATTGATGGAGCAATTATAATCACTATAAAAGGTCAAGAATATGCAATCTCTTAAAGGGATTATTTATTCAAATCAACTGAAAATTTATTACAATATTTATTTAATCGCACGACGGAGCCAGTGACAGTTGAAGAAATAAGATATTTAATGCAGAAATATAGCCAAAAAAGTCAATTTTCTATCATTAATATTCAGGAGGGTAAAAGAGAAGTCATTGGCTCAGTCTTTGATGGAGAATTAAAAATAATAAAACAATGAATTTTCCCTGGAAACACTGATAATGTGCCAAAATCAGACCAAAAAATATTGCACGTATCAGTCTCTGGAGGCTCTACTAATCCTGGCACTCCTCCAGTGATAATAATACCCATTTTTTGCCACGGTGCATATACAGCATGAAGGCTGGTAAATGACGGCACATTAAGGATTTTAAAAAATTTCCAAGTAAGGGACTTCACTTTTGACTGCGGGGCATTGAATTATGATGAAAGTTTGCGAGACCTTGCTTTACCAAAGATATAGATAAAATTGGATTAGCATATATATCAACCTCTTCTGCATTATCTATTGCAGAAATGAAGCTCTTTTCAAGCTTAAATTTAACGATTCCATGGTTGGGATGACACCATTAGACGATGCACTGGGCTCAACCGCACTTTATCCTATGTTTACAAGAATCCCTGTTGCGAGCAACTACGTACTTACTTTAATTTCGCTTTTAATTAAAGTTTTAGACTGGGGTAAACTCTGTGTCTTATATTCTAAAGATACATCAAATAAATCAGCATATGCCGCACTTATAGAAAATATCAAGGAATTTGGCTTAGAAATTCTAAACGCTGAAAGTTTGAGGGGCATCCCTGATAATCTAAACAGAACCACTATCAAGCATTATACCAGCTCATTTCAAGCAGTCATTGATACACAAGCAAGGGTTTTGGTTTTATTATTTATGCTTCCTGAAATATATTACGCTCTTGAAGAGCTGTATGATTTAGGCCTGAGAAAAGGTGATCTCGTAATTTTTGTTACAGGCCCATTGTTTCTTACAATGACACAGTACGATTTTATATATACTTGTAAGCTTGAAGAAACAGAAGTTCAGATGATCGCTATTTCTGGACAAAGCTGGGTTGGAAAAGTTGGACAATTTGCTTACTCAAAAATAGAATCTCTTTATGGTGCTGCCCCTTATCAATATGCTTGTAATTACTATGATGCAGCTTATTATATAGCAGTTGCGTTGGATTATATGATAAATCAAGGACTTGATTATTATGATCCTTATCAGCTAAATTTGACTCTGAGAGCTCAGAGATTTACTGGATGCACAGGAAAGTTTTCGGTTGATAAAGACAGCAATAATAGGATTATGGAAAATTTTGACATTAGCGTTAATAAAATAGACGTAACTTCTGGTAATGTGACTGCTTATAAAGCAGGAGAATTTCACCCTTATAGCAGCATAATGCTAACTATTGATGTGCCGATTCTTTATGGAGATGGGTCTACTATAAAGCCGGAAGAATTAACTCGGTATGAATAAGCCATAGATTTTTTTATTTTCCTATCGTAAGCGAGAAAAATTGTCTTCCTAAGAAATAAAGATAATGAATGCCCTTTTTCTAGTAAGCTGATAAGAACGTTTACAAAAGGAAGAATTCTCGCTTTTGGCATTTGTTTCGGATTTGCTTTACTTTCTTTTATTTCTACTGCATATATGAAATATCAATATAGAAGAACTTAAAGAAAGGCAAGAAATTTCGTTGCAAGATTTTATTGTCCAGATAACAATAGGTATTGAGTTTTTCCAGTTTATAGCGATGGGGCCAGATATAACTCCAATCAGTAGCTTCTTAGCAAAAATCAGCAATTCTTTTTCCCTCAACTTAGAAAACCATTTTAAGCTTAAAAATTGGGTATTTCGAATTGTAATTGATGGGATTTATGGAGCTATTATCGTGTGATTATTTTTTGCACTGTTATTCTACTCAGATTAAATGAAAAAAATTCCCCTGAGTGTCATTTTTAAGATTTTTAGCTTGACTTGCTGACTATTTAATGCCGATTTTAGGTAATTTATGCTTTGTTCCGTTTATTTCGATGTGTTTGAATGTGTTTGTGTGCGATCAATCTATTGGATAGGATTTCACTGACAGTTTTCTTGTTCAAGATTGCTATTATTTTTGCTGAAAAGGTGATCATTTAATATATGCGATTTTTTCTTTTATAGCTCTTTTATGCTATGAGCCTCTTGCTATATTTTGTAGACCCTTGTGGCAAGAATTGCAGTAGAATTTGCACATTCATACGTCTCCTTTATTTTTAATGGTAAAAACTGTAGTCCAAATCATACTTATTGTCATGAATAAAACAGTCAAAAGAGCAGAAAGCACAGTCCATGGAGCTTTATTTTCTATTATAATGGCTGTGTGTATTGGATTTATATTTAGATGCAAGCCTTATAACTATCCAAGATTTTGCTGATGGCAAGCCTTAAGCTTAATAGGTGTATTATGGCTTTCTGTGCTTTCAGCAATCTCATCTAGTGTTGAAGGAGGCTATTCCATTTATTTTCTATTAGTTTGTATAGGATGGGTTTTAATTGGTGTTATCGGTATTTATGTACAAAGAAAAAAATATCCAAGTTTGCTGTATAGAAGAAAAGGTCTGGATACAACTCATCTATTTAGATTCGCGTTTACATTTGGAAAGCACTCGAAAAACGCCCTTTCAAAAATCGCACCTCGTCGTGGATCTGAAGAGCTTTCATGCATAGATTTTTCTGATGTTAAGCAAGCTTATTAAATAATAAAATTTATTAAAACTTACCTCTGAATTACTTTAATTTATATGAATGCTATAATTGAATAGTGATATAAAGAGTGTTATTTTATGCCATCGAAGAGCTTTATGATGTGGGCTTAAGAAAAGGAGTTATTTTTGCTACAAATCAAGAAATGTTTCATACAATACCAGACGACATTATTGACTTATTAAAGATTAAGGAAACTAGAGTTTCAATGATGGCTGTTAGTGGGCGAAATTGAGTAGGTAAGGTTGGGGAATTTGCTTACTCGCAGATAGCATCTAGATATAATGGCGTCATATTTGCCCTCACTTGCTCTAGTTATGATACAGCAATTTAATAGGCATAGCAAGGACTACATGATAAACCAAGGATTTGATTATAATGATCCTTACCAAATAAATTCGGCAATCAGAGTTCAAAAGTTTAATGGGTGCACAGGAGTAGTTACTATTGAAAAAAATGACAGAGCTATCAGCATTTTTGATATAATGGCCAGCAAAATAGATAAAATTTCTAGAAATGTGACAGCATACAAAATGGCTGAATTTCGTGCATATGGTTGCACAATTTTGAGCATTAAACTCCTTCATTAGAATTTCATTGCATAATTCTATGGCTTTTTTTTTTACCTAATTGATAAATTTCCAAATTATAATTATTAATTTTATAATGTTTTTAATAGAAATTTACCTTGCTCAACCACTTGACTAAAGTAAAACCACTTGAAAATCCTATTAAAAATGATTCTGCTAATGGCACAAAAAGTTGATGCAAGCAGTGAGCCAGGCTCCTATTATCGCCTGTCGTAGAAACTAAAAACGATCCTTAAGTCACTGAAGCTACAAAGATGCCCTATTGCCCTATTATATAGCTTCTGGATAGTATTCTAAACAAAGAGAATTAGCTTAATCAATGCTATTAAGAGCATGCCCTTTATTTCAGTAGTAGTCTACATTATCTGGATTAATTCTAATTGCATCACTAAAATATTCAATTGCTTCTTCATGTTTGTTTTCTTCTGCCAGCAGTTCACCTTTCTATTCTATGCTCTATCTTCATTTTGATCTACTCTAATAAATTCTTTAAGAATCTTATTCCTTCTCTCTTCCTCCCAAGCTACAAAGAATACGTGCTTTATTCTCAAAATAAGTAGCATATTCTGAATTAATTTTAATTGCATCATTAAAATATTCTAGTAGTAATAAAGCTTCTCCTATTAGATCATATAATCCATCTCTGTTTGGGCCAACTTTAATGCTGATTTTCAGCACTCCATAGCCTCTTTATATTTATCTACTTTAAAAGCACGTCGCATTTATACAAGTAATAGACTGCTTTACTTGGATTAATTCTGATTGCCTCATTTCAATTCTTTATTGCTTCTTCATGATAGAAAATTGATTGTTTTGATGATATTCCTTCATTAAGTATCTTATTTCTTCAGCTGTCTCTGGCTCTATCATGCGATTAAATAATTACTGAAATAAATTTTAAGTTGATTTAAATAAAAATTCCTCTGTCGAGCTTGCATATTCTTGACCTTTTATAGGATTATAATTGCTCCATCAATTTTGCAACCATAACCACTGTTTTGATTTAAAATTAACCTATCTCCTTCCAGTAGAAGTTTGTTGGACTTCAATGCTTCTTGGATTATCGACGAGAGAACAGAATTTGTAAAAATGTAATACAAAGTAATGCCTAAAGGCTTGATAGCCTTACTAACTTTTAATTGATACAAAAATTTTATAGGTAAAATTACTAAATTTTATAAAATAGTTTTTAATGGTGTAAGTACTAATAGAAAGCTAATTAAAGGTTTGCACATTGAATCGATTCTATTTTAATTAATTCTTTATAAAAAAAAATCGAAAATCTTGGCTCAATTTTATATTTTTAAAAAAATTTTATTTATTTTTGTTCAAAAAAATTAACCACTTAAATTGGAACAGAAATTTGGTTCCAATTTAAAGGACGGAGTAAAATTTTGTATGCTTGTTGATGACTCTACAGCTAAATAATTAAAAGTTGCTGAATATTCTAAAAATTCGTTTTTATTGTATACGTTATTTTCGCCAGTAATTGCAAGTCCTTGAGACCAGTTAAAGTAATCTAAAACTGAAAAGTATGCATTCATTTGAGCTGAGTGAGAAGGAAAAATGCTGTAATCCATTCGTCATCGTATAAAGACTTATACTTTTTCTGAGGGACCAAATGGATTTTCTTGCTTTCTTCACATAGTTGAGAAAGACTCAGTTGTATTTCAAAATCGTCTGATAAATCAAGGACGATTAAAGTATCAGAATAAATATTGAGGCGCTCTGAAATTGCTATGTAATTGCAATAGTGCCAATCTATAACTGAGTCTAATTGTATTTTTCCTTCATTAAGCCAGTTTTGACTGCCTTTATTTTTATCACTTTAGACAATAAGAATATCAATAGAGGAAGACAGATTTAGCATAAATATGAAATATAATATCTTTACAAACCCTATGCCAGAAAATGCCTTGCTTCTTTTTTGCTGGCTTTTTTTTCATTTTTTGTATTAGAGTTTATTTACAAAATCTGTAAGTTTAATAACTTTTTTATATATAATAAGACTGATGCAGGATATGAATAATATAGAAATGCATAGTGTTTCAAATATCATTATGATTAAATATCTGTTTGATTCATAAATTTCATTTTCTATTTTAGGAGAAATCATATTAAGAAGTTCTGACATATTAGGGTGTTAGGGTGTTAGGGTGTTAGGGTGTTAGGGTGTTAGGGTGTTAGGGGTGGTTAGGGTGTTAGGGTGTTAGGGTGTTAGGGTGTTAGGGTGTTAGGGTGTTAGGGTGTTAGGGTGTTAGGGTGTTAGGGTGTTAGGGTGTTAGGGTGTTAGGGTGTTAGGGTGTTAGGGTGTTAGGGTGTTAGGGTGTTAGGGTGTTAGGGTGTTAGGGTGTTAGGGTGTTAGGGTGTTAGGGTGTTAGGGTGTTAGGGTGTTAGGGTGTTAGGGTGTTAGGGTGTTAGGGTGTTAGGGTGTTAGGGTGTTAGGGTGTTAGGGTGTTAGGGTGTTAGGGTGTTAGGGTGTTAGGGTGTTAGGGTGTTAGGGTGTTAGGGTGTTAGGGTGTTAGGGTGTTAGGGTGTTAGGGTGTTAGGGTGTTAGGGTGTTAGGGTGTTAGGGTGTTAGGGTGTTAGGGTGTTAGGGTGTTAGGGTGTTAGGGTGTTAGGGTGTTAGGGTGTTAGGGTGTTAGGGTGTTAGGGTGTTAGGGTGTTAGGGTGTTAGGGTGTTAGGGTGTTAGGGTGTTAGGGTGTTAGGGTGTTAGGGTGTTAGGGTGTTAGGGTGTTAGGGTGTTAGGGTGTTAGGGTGTTAGGGTGTTAGGGTGTTAGGGTGTTAGGGTGTTAGGGTGTTAGGGTGTTAGGGTGTTAGGGTGTTAGGGTGTTAGGGTGTTAGGGTGTTAGGGTGTTAGGGTGTTAGGGTGTTAGGGTGTTAGGGTGTTAGGGTGTTAGGGTGTTAGGGTGTTAGGGTGTTAGGGTGTTAGGGTGTTAGGGTGTTAGGGTGTTAGGGTGTTAGGGTGTTAGGGTGTTAGGGTGTTAGGGTGTTAGGGTGTTAGGGTGTTAGGGTGTTAGGGTGTTAGGGTGTTAGGGTGTTAGGGTGTTAGGGTGTTAGGGTGTTAGGGTGTTAGGGTGTTAGGGTGTTAGGGTGTTAGGGTGTTAGGGTGTTAGGGTGTTAGGGTGTTAGGGTGTTAGGGTGTTAGGGTGTTAGGGTGTTAGGGTGTTAGGGTGTTAGGGTGTTAGGGTGTTAGGGTGTTAGGGTGTTAGGGTGTTAGGGTGTTAGGGTGTTAGGGTGTTAGGGTGTTAGGGTGTTAGGGTGTTAGGGTGTTAGGGTGTTAGGGTGTTAGGGTGTTAGGGTGTTAGGGTGTTAGGGTGTTAGGGTGTTAGGGTGTTAGGGTGTTAGGGTGTTAGGGTGTTAGGGTGTTAGGGTGTTAGGGTGTTAGGGTGTTAGGGTGTTAGGGTGTTAGGGTGTTAGGGTGTTAGGGTGTTAGGGTGTTAGGGTGTTAGGGTGTTAGGGTGTTAGGGTGTTAGGGTGTTAGGGTGTTAGGGTGTTAGGGTGTTAGGGTGTTAGGGGTGTTAGGGTGTTAGGGTGTTAGGGTGTTAGGGTGTTAGGGTGTTAGGGTGTTAGGGTGTTAGGGTGTTAGGGTGTTAGGGTGTTAGGGTGTTAGGGTGTTAGGGTGTTAGGGTGTTAGGGTGTTAGGGTGTTAGGGTGTTAGGGTGTTAGGGTGTTAGGGTGTTAGGGTGTTAGGGTGTTAGGGTGTTAGGGTGTTAGGGTGTTAGGGTGTTAGGGTGTTAGGGTGTTAGGGGTGTTAGGGTGTTAGGGTGTTAGGGTGTTAGGGTGTTAGGGTGTTAGGGTGTTAGGGTGTTAGGGTGTTAGGGTGTTAGGGTGTTAGGGTGTTAGGGTGTTAGGGTGTTAGGGTGTTAGGGTGTTAGGGTGTTAGGGTGTTAGGGTGTTAGGGTGTTAGGGTGTTAGGGTGTTAGGGTGTTAGGGTGTTAGGGTGTTAGGGTGTTAGGGTGTTAGGGTGTTAGGGTGTTAGGGTGTTAGGGTGTTAGGGTGTTAGGGTGTTAGGGGTGTTAGGGTGTTAGGGGTGTTAGGGTGTTAGGGTGTTAGGGGTGTTAGGGTGTTAGGGTGTTAGGGTGTTAGGGTGTTAGGGTGTTAGGGTGTTAGGGGTGTTAGGGTGTTAGGGTGTTAGGGTGTT